TAATATTATATCAGAACTCCCATAGATAAAATACTAAAATATAATATTTTAGATTAAGGATTCTATATTCTATATTTAGAATATAGAAGTGGAAGTATAATATAAATAAAAATAAAATTACTTTTTAATACTATATATAATCTCTACTAATATATAATATATTTAGAAAAATTAGAAAAAAAATGATTTAATCGAGTTATTTATAGTAAATCTAGTAAATATTAATAAAACTTTTTATAAATTTAACTAATTAAAAAATCCTATAGAAGTGAAGAATAAGTTATTAAAATTTTACTATAAATATTTAAATATTTTTAATAAAATAATAGTAGATATTTTATTATTTTATTATTTAGAGGTGAACTATGCTATAAAAATAATTAAAAATATTAAAAAAAAAGATTCTTTAAAATTCCTTCTATTAGATAAACTAACTAGAGCTTTTAGTATTATAAAAAATTCTAATTAATTTTTTAAAAAAAGAATTTATATAAGTTAATAATTTTTTGGTAATTATTTCTATATTATTTATTTTAAAATCTAGTAATAATTTATATTTCTATATAAATTATTAAATACTAAACTAAATAATAATAAAAGATTAGTATTTTCTGTTATTTATTTAAAAATTCTTTAATATATTTTAAAAATTTAATATTATATTAAATTAAATATTATCTAAGCCTTCCACTACATCTAAATTAAAGAAAAAAATAAATAGAAAACTATATTTTATACTTATTTTAAATTATTTAAATAATTAATAATTTTATTTAGGCTTGCTAACTACCTAAGTATTTTTTAATAATATATTAATTAAATTTTATAGAAATTCTTTAATGAATTTTATTTTATTTATATTAATAATATCTTTATTTTTATAGATAGAAGTCTAGTTAAATATTATATTTAAATATAATAAATATTAGAATATTTACAGGACATAAATCTTTAAATAAATATTAATAAATATAAATTTAAAGTAACCATTACTAAATATTTAAGATTTATTATTAAAGTAGAAAAGGAGATCTATATAAATCTTACTAAAATTTAGACTATATAAGATTAAAAATTTTTAAAAACTGCTTATAATATTAGGGTTTTTTTAAGATTTATTAACTTCTATTAGTAGTTTTTTAAGAACTAAGAAACCTATTTAAAACTTTTAATATAATTTATAAAAAAAATATTAAATTTAATTAGATACCAGAGACCTAGAAAATATTTAAATTTTTTAAAAAAATATTTATTACTATTTTTATTCTAACGTATTAGGACTCTAAATAAAAAACTCTAGTAAAAATTAATTTTTTTAGATAGTATATAAAAAAAATATTATTCTAGTAGGATAATCAGGAAATCTTTTATTCTATAATATATTTTTTAAAAAGAAACTTACTTATAGAATATAATTATTAGATTTATAATAAGGAATTATTAGTAATTATTTAATCTTATAAAAATAAAAATTAGAATTTATTTTACTTTCTTATTTCAAGATTTTTAGTGACTATTAGAATCTAGAATACTTTATAATCTAATAATAATTTATAAAATAATAAATATATTAAACTTAATTTTTAAATTATTTTAATTTTATAATTAATTACTGCTCAGGAATAATAAATATCTAATTTAATATTTTATTTTAAAAATTTTAAAATATATCTAAAGAGAAAGATAAATATATTATAAATTAAAAATCCTAGTTATTTTATCCTATATCTAAGAAGAGATCTAGTTATATAATATTTATTAAAAAAATTTTTAATATAAGAATTCTTACTAGCCTAGAGCCTGTAAAGTTAATATTAAATAATTTATAAAAATAAATTAAATAAATTAATAAAGACCTGAAGAAATACTAGAAAATAATAATTAAAAATAAATTTAAACTCTTTAAATAATTAAAATGAAAGATTTTTATTATAAAATATTAATTAGATATGAACCAGTGCTTACTTTTTTAATAATAAATCTAGATTTTTAATTTAAAATTTTTATAAATCTAGATTATTTAAAAAATTTATAATAATATAATTACCGGACACCCCAGACGGGACTAACTTTATAAAATAATTATTTATTATTATTATTAGTTAAATATAAGTAAGAATATTTACTAATTTTATTATAATTATAATAGCTATAAAACTAATTATATCTAGAGAAATTATAAATAAGATTTTTTAAAACTATTATTAATTTTTAATTAATTTTAATAAAATATTATTATTAACTTCCTAATAGACCTCCCGGAGTTTTAAGGCTATAAAAATATTATAATTATTATTAATTAATTAATTAAAAGTATTATTATTAAGGCTATTTTAAGTATGGATATAAAAAACTTTATAAATATACTTATTTAAATATTTTATAATTATTATAAAATATTTTAATTATGTCACGGTGCAACCTCCCAAGCCGGGAAGAGAGGAATACCGCTGAGACTTACTGCCTAGCACGTGACCCCAGACACGGTTAAAAGCCACCTGCCTCTTAAACCCCGTTTGTAGCTTTAAGCTATATCTTATCTATTATTCTGTATATAGTTTGACCAGTAACTAGTTTAATATTTAGTTAGAATCTTAGTTATTGTTATTACCTGAGTCCTACTTATCTACTAGAACTTATTATCCTACTATCTCTGTCTATTTATATTTTAACACTATATAGTTTCTCTTTTAAAATAATAGACTTATAAAATAACTGCTATTCTATAATCTCTGATTAATCTCAATGGACTAGATAAATTAGCTTAGTATATTTCTAAATATTTTAAAAAATAGTATAATTATTATAAATAAATTTTTATTTTTATTATAAAAGTTACTAGTAAATAAGACTGCTTATAACAAGATCTTAATATATAAAATATGATAACCGCATACTAAATCTAGTAAATTATAAAAATTAATTATTAATTAATTAGTATTCTAGCTGTAAAAAAAATTATTATTAAAAAAAAAATTAAACTCTAGCTAAGTATGTTAAAATTATATAAACTATTATATTAATAATTAATACTCTTATTTTTATTTTAGAACTTATTATTAAGAAATCCACAGCTTCTTTAATAAGAATAGCTATATTAATTAATTTTAAATTTTCTACTTTTATTTTTTTCTCTAAACGATTATCTAATTTTAATAAGTTTAAAGGTAATTACTTAGATTTAAACTACTTTATTTTCTAAATCAAGATAAAAATAAATATTAATTATAATTATTATATTACTGTTTCTACTTATAAAATTTATATAATTAACTAATTAGATAAAATTCCCTATATCTAGATCCAATCTTTTATAAAAGATAATGATTATATTTTAAATAATTTTATAGATATTCTAGATATACTCAAGTATATTTTTGGAGACTTTAATTATATTTATAATATCTAATAAGAATTACATTACTTATAATAAAAGAATTATAAGTTTGCTATATATTTTATTAAATTTAAAAAATTTATTTATAAAGTTTACTTATATTTTAATTTTCTAATAACTGCTCTAGAAGATAGTATTAATTAAAAACTTAATATTATATTTTTAAATAATATATTTCTAGAGAAAAATTATTATAACCTAGTCTAGTTCCTAATAAATCTAGATAATTATTAGTTAAGATATAAATCCGATTCTTAGAACTATCTATGGAGGTTAATTAATATTTAATATATTATATTTATAATTATTAGAAAGGCTCCATAGAAGTTTTCTATAAAAATTTCTAATTAAAGATTAATTATTTTAAATTATAATTTTATAAATCTATTATTTATTTACCGCCCTTCTCCACACTTTAAAATTATTTAAAAAAAGAGGGGAGAATACTTCCACTATAAATCTAATTAATATTTAATTTATAATTATTCTAAATCTAATATTTTAGTCTAATAAATTAATTATATTTTTTATTTATTTTTATTAAGATAGATCCAGTCTTTTTCCTATTATTAATTTTTATTTACGTGAATTAAATCTCCAGTGAGAAAAGTCTTAAATTTATTTAATATAAGATTTTTTATATTAGTTCTATAACTAAAGATTATAATATTATTAAAATAATTATACTCTTCCAATTTTAGCGAGCAGTCAAAAGGACTATATTTAACTTAAATTATTATTAAAAAAATGCTATCTTATATATTTATATTTTTTTTAATATTATTATTAAAGAGTTTTTTATCAAGAAAAAACTCCGGAGGACTAACTTAATAATTATATTTATTATATTAAATTTAAATAACTAAAGAATTGTTATATATGTAATATTTAATATTAATTATTTAATATTATATATTATAGATAAAAATTAGATAAGATTTATTATTTATTTTTATATTTTTTAAAATATTCCAAGTCTATTATGAGATTTGACAGCTGAAAAAGCGAGACTAAAATAATTATTTATTATATTTATATAATTTTAAAGATTTATAACTATATAAAAAAAGATATTTTATTTCTAATTATCCAGCTAGTTTACTTTTTAATTATACTTAGCTTATCTTAATTAAAGATTTATAATCTCTAAATAAACTTTACTGAGTATATTATCTAATTTACTAATTTATATTATTATTAGTATTATAATATATTTATCTATTTAACTAAAATTTATATTTTATATAATATTTTAATATATATTTATTTAATATATATTATACCTCCCCTACTCCTAAAAAACTAGAATATATAACTAATTTTTATTATAACTTATATAATTTATACATACTAAAACTATCTAATATATACTATTATTATAGATTAAATTAATATTATTTTATAATCTACTTCTAGTGCTAAAGATCCTATATTATTAAATAAATTTAAAGATTTTATAGATATCTTCTTACTTAAGGAAGTAGAGAAACTTTTTTCTTATTATAATTATAATTATACTATTACTCTAGAAAAGGAAAGAATTCTTTTATTTAATTTTTTATATAGTATATCCTAGAATAAACTATAAGTCTTCTACAAATAATTATTTAAAAATTTAAAAAAAAGTTTTATTTATTTAAATTTATTATCTATTACCTTACCAGTCTTATTCATTAAAAAGTTTGGAGGAAGATTTAGATTTTATATAAATTATTATATTTTAAATATAATTTTTATTAAAGATTACTATTTATTTCTGCTTGTAAAAGAAATCCTAAATAATTTAAAAAAAATATATTACTTTACTAAGATTAACATTATTAGTATTTTTAATAATATTTAAATTATTAAAAAATAGGAGTGGCTGATAATATTCCATCCTTATCTTAATTTATATGAATTATTAATAATATTTTTTAAATTAATAGAAATTCTAACTATTTTTTAATATTATATTAATAATATATTTTAAGATTACCTAGATATCTTCTACATAGCGTACTTGGATGATATTCTAATCTATAATTATATTTAAATAAAATATATAGAGTATATCTAACTATTTTTTATAAAATTATATAAAACTAGATTTTTTATTAAAATATTAAAATATAAATTTATTATTCCTAAGACTAGATTCCTAAGCTTAATTATAGGCTGCAATAAATTCTATATAAATCTAAAAAAAAATTAAAATTATTACTAAATAACTTATCCTAACTTATATAATAGATATATAAATTTTTTTAGGATTTAGTAACTTCTACTACTATTTTATCTATAATTTTTTAAAACTTACTATCTCTTTTATATAACTTATAAAAAAAAATATTTTCTTTATCTAGACTCCCGCGTGTTAAAATATTTTAAATTATTTAAAAAAAATTTTTATAGAAATCCCAGTACTCCAGTTATTTAATTAAATTTAAAAAATAATATTAGAAATTAATATCTCAGATTATATTTCTACTGGAATTTTATTCTAGTATAATAAAAATAAATTATTATATTCTATAATTTTTTTCTTTAAGAAGTACTTCCTAATTAAATATAATTATAAAATTTATAATAAAAAGTTACTTGTAATTATTCACTATTTTAAAAAATAATATTCTAAATTTAAAAAAATTTTATTTTTAATTTAGATTATTATTAACCACTGTAATCTAGAATATTTTATATTAATTAAATTTTTAAACTGCTATTAAGCCTGATAGTTAGAATTTTTATCCTATTTTAATTTTAAAATCATGTATTGATCTGGACGTTATAGAATTAAATTTAATAATTTAACTAGAAAATTAAAAAATTTTTTAAAAAAAAGAAATAAATAACTACTACACCAGAGCTAGACTATATTAAAATAAAAAAATCTAGATTCTACTTATTTATCTATCCAGATTAAAGAGAATTCTAAACCCGGAACTACTAAAAAAAACTTTAGATTTAATAAATATGGAATATTCCTAGACCTTAAATAATTATTTATATAAAAAAAATCTAGGAAAGATTTCTCTAGAAATACTCTAACTTTAATAATCTAATCTTAAAATAATATTATTTTTAAAGATAAATAAGACTTACTACTGCCACTAGAAATCTAAAATATCTTATAAAATATGTATAAGAAAAATAAATAAATATAAAATATATTAAAAATATTAGTAATTAGTAAAAACTACCATCTAGATATCTTCCTAATTTCTTATAAAAAAAAAGAAATTTATTATTTTATAAAAATTATCTCTGAATCCTTGATTATAATAAATTAAAAATTAAATTAATTTAATTAATATATGATAAACTATCTTCGGAATACCTTGGAAGGTCTTATATATATAAATTTTTAATTTGAGAATACTACTAGCCTAATCTCTACTATTATATAGAATAATAAATAAAAAACTATTATATCTATTACTATATTATCTTATTCTAAGAGATTAAATAAGATATCCTAAAATCTCTACCGGTTCTTGAGCGTGCTTAATAAAATATATTTATAAATTTTATTATTTATTTACTTAAAAGTTAAAAGTATAATACTATACTAGTAATTATTAATAAATTTATTAAAATAAAATATTTAATATTTTATAATTCTACCGCTAACGCCGCCAAAATAACTATAATATATATATAGTATATATAAAAATTATATAATTTTTTTTATTTTATAGTCTCCGACCGGAGATCCTAATTTATGGTTAAATTCTAGAAATATCTAATCTAATATCTAAACATTACTAGCTGACTATTAATTATTTATTATTTTAAAATTAATAGCTAAATAAAATAAATAAATATTATATTAAAGTAATATTTTTATATCTATATAAATTACTTACAAGATAATTAGAATATTTAATTTTTTTTAACTAAATTTACTTTGAATACTATATATTCTAATATTATTAAAATAATATTTTTCTTTACTAATTATAGTTTTTATTTATAAATAGAATTTAAATTTATATCTATCTCCAGTCAACTTACTACTAAAAACACGGAGTAATTTATTATAAAAATATATATTATTATAAAATTTATAAGAATTGAGATAGCTATAGTCTAAATCTAATACGTAGAATAAGCTAATAAAAAATACTATTCTAATTAAAAATCTTAAAAAAATTAAAAAGTTTAGCTAGATACCTGATTTATTAAAATTCTATAATTTAATAAGAAATTTAATTAGAATACTCTAAGCCTGTATTTAATTAAAAAAATTATTAGTTTTTATATGTACCGCCTGAAACTCTTACTAAATATAAAAATTTATTTTATATTTAATATAAGTTTACTTATTTTTATTAATAATAATTTATTATTAAATTAATATTAATCTCTTCCTCCTTACATCAAAGTCAACGGACTTGAGGAGTAAGAGGTTAAAAATATATTAGATTTTTTTTAAAACTATTAGGAATAAGACTGCCCCTAATTAATATATTTTATTAAGTAAATAAAATATATTAATTCTACTACTAAATCTATAGAATATCTAGAGAATACTTACTAAATTATTAAGAATTTTTATTACTATTATTTATATAAACCCTGACCTTCACCTTACAGGAGCTTGGCTTAAAAAAAAAGAGAGTACTATTATAATATAATTTTTTAAACTAGAAAAAGAGAAATATTACTAAGATTTACTGTCTAATATATGATTCTAGATATAGTTAAAAGCTATCTACTCTTTAAACCCTATTCATAATTTCAAGTTATATCTTGTTTATTATTCTATATATAGCTTAACCAGTAGCCAGCTCAGTATCCAGTTAGAATCCTAGTTATTGTTATTACCCGAGTCCTGCCTGCCCGCCAGAACCTGCTATCCTACCACCCCTGCCTACCCGCACCTTGACAAATTAGTAGTTTCAGACTGCGGCTCTCAATTTATAAGTAAATTATAGATAATTTTATATAAAACTTTAGATATTAAATAATATTTTTTTTATTATTTATTATTTTAAAATAGATAATGTGACAGAGTAATAGATTATAATTATTAAAATTTTCTTATAATATTTTATTAATTAATAATAAATTAATTAGTAAGAATTACTGTTTATAATATAATTAATCTTAAATAATTAAGATTTTATATTAATAAGAGTAAATCTTTTTTTTATAATATAGCTTCTATATGAAGCCTTTAGACTTGAGTATTAAAATAAATATTCTAAAATATTATTAAATTAGAAATCTCTAAGAGTAAATTAAAATTATTTTTAATAAATTTTAAAAAATTTAAAATATTATTAATTTAATAATAGCAGCAGTACAAAAGATATAGAAATAATATATTAATTATTAATAAAATCTTACTTCTTATTATAAAGAAAATGATAAAGTCTGGTTAGATTTAAAAAATATTATAACTAACTAATCTAATAAAAAATTAAATTAATAAAATATAAAGTTTATAATACTAGAATAAATTAAAATATATATTTATAAATTAAATATATTATCTAAAATTTATTTAATATTTTATATTAATTTATTTTAATCTGCTATTACAGATCTTTTATCTATCTAAAAAATAATTAATTAATAATTAGATATTATTATTATAGAAAATAATACTAAAAAATATATTATTAAAAAAATCTTAAATAAGAAAAATATATCTTAAAAGAAATACATATATAAAAAAATATTTCTAATTAAATGGAAGGGATACACTATATTTATATAAAAATTAATAATTAAATTTTATAATATTAAGATTTATAAATATTAATATAATTTTATTTATTTAATCTTTTAAAATCTACTACGGGCTAGCTACGTCATAATAAAAAAAATAATAGTTAAAAGAAATTGGGTTCTATCAACTATCTAAAATTAGAATATCTATATTTTAATCTATCTAGTTCTAAACCTTAATCTAACAATATCTATAAAAAGAATAAAAATCTCTAAAGAAGATAGGAATCTCTAGAATAATAAAAAAATTTATTAATATTATAAAAAAAATCTTCTAAAAAGAGTTATCTATAAGAAAATCTAACTAGTCTATAGATTAGATAGTTTTTTTTCTAGCAAATTTAATTTCTTTACAGATTATTATACTTCACGTAGTCCACCCGGCTTCTTAGCCCGTCACATAAGATAAGACCTTAATCTAGACCATTCTATCACATTAGCAATCTACACGTATAAAATAATATTAAAATAGTGAAAAAAATTTATAAGAGATGATATGATATGGTAAGCTAGTATAAAAAAATAAGTTTATATAAAAATATATAAATTATAATATTATATTTCTTAAAGTATTATTATTAATTTCCTAGCTAATACTTTTTATAGATACTTATTATCTCTAAGAGGCTTATGGATTATATAGTTATAATATCTTATTAATTAAGATCTAGAAAAGATTATCTTAGATGTAGATATTTTTTATGATAGATTTATTATAAGTCTTATAAGGGTATGATCTCTTACAATTATTAATAATTATATTATAATATTCTATTAGATTCTTTTAAAATAATAAAAAAGATTTTTTATATATTAATTAATAAAGATTAATCTACGATATAAATATAAGTTATTATAATTATTAAATAATACTTATATAGTATTTATAACTAATTTCTTATTTAATTAATAGACTATCTATCCTAAAAAGTAGATCCTATCATAAGTTATTTATTATTAGATAGCTTTTTAATGAATTTGATTTTTTTTGATTATTATTATTTGTGTAATTATTAGGCTTCTTAGCCTGTGATAGTCAGAGCCTTATACTTAGCCTGTGACAGTTATAGATTATATATTATGAAATAAAAAAATTAAAATTATAAATAAATTTGTAGCTTAAATTAATTTTTATATTAATCACGGGTATTTTTGAAGTAGGGTTCTAGAAATATATAATTATATGGTCATAAGGATTCCTGGGTATACTGTAACACTATTAAATATTTTAAGCTATGTTCACCCTTATACACACAGGCTTTGATTATATCACGCCAATCCCTGTACTAATCCTCTGGATACTCATCCTTGATGTTACTGACAAACGTTCTGGTTTCTTCATCCCATTTTTTGAAATGTTTCCCTGCTACTGCAACAAGTGTCGGTGGCAAGTCGGAAAACTCGGGATTCATGAGCTCAATGTTTTCCTCGGCCACGTAACGGACACTTTTATCCTCGACTCTGACAGCGCAGTTAGCTTGATGATTGCAACCCCAACTAAGGCCAAAACCTACAATACATGATAGAAACTTTGGTGCCTGCCACCTTGTAAGCGGTCTATTCCCATCCTTCTCATCCATTGCTCCCCCGCTCCGCATTCTGTGTCCCAGCCCGTTATGATGGCTTGGTAATCATACCGACGATGCCTGAAAACCTGCCCGACCTGGTACTTGATTTTCGTCCGCTGAGAGAAGCGCCGTTTGACCTGTTTTGGTATTTCGTCTACCGCCCTCATCACATGGAGACTCTCCAAAATATGCTCATATTCAGGCATTCCACGAAGCAGCGGCGTGACGTACTGTTCAACCAGGTGTATATCCGATGGGAATTCAGTAGCAAGCAGTTCCATTAGCCATAGCAGGTTATGTCTTATTTCCGTTGGCCGAGCAAGATCCGAAAGCAACATAGAAGACCAAATTGCAGCGTATTTGGCACCCACGACGTCCACTGGTTCCAGGCGCCTATTTGGGAACTGAGCCATATGTTGCACTGAATTCATGATATTCTTGCTGCATCGAAGGACGATTTCTGATGGGCGGGATTCGCCTAGAAAGTTCGCTTGTTCAACTGCAGTAGCGCCTAAGAAGTTCAGCTGGTATTCCAAATCCGTAACTGGCGTCTCCCTCTCTGAGCGGAACGGGTCCATGTATATTGGGCTTCCTTGCGTCCCAACTTCAACTGCATTGCCGTCGACATCATGACCAATGGGCGGCATAACTATTACATGGACATGGAAAGGAAACCCACAGGGCCGGGCGTCGAGGCCAACCCGTCGAGCAATAGAACAATAGATAGTGGCAGATATCAATGGAAGAGAATTGTGTTGAGGGTCATTCAGAGCAATGCCGAGAAAGTTATGCTCCAAGCAATGGTATTCTTTCTCCGCATCAATGCCTGTCAGATTATTCGCTCTTAGGAACTTCGCAATAGCCCTAGCCTTATCACGAGACGCGAGTTGCTGTATACCTGGATAGTTGAGAGACATAAGCGAGGCGATTGAATCCAGCTCATTGCTTATCTGAGACGATATTAGACAAAATATTCTTTCAATTGTCAGAGTTACCCACCTCTTCCAAACTCCCGAAGTTGCTCCGCGGAATGAAAAGATCGAATGCGCCTAGTGCTCTATCTAGAGACACCTCCTCACCATTTCTCAGTCTAGCCCATTCTCGCACGGCGAGACTTCGATGGAGACAAGTCAAAAGCGCCTCCGCATAGTACCTTATATCGAAGCAATACAGTTAAAACAAAATATCATCACCCTAAAGTATAGACAGCACCAACCTCCTTGCTAAGTAATCCTCTGCCTCACAATCTACTTCAAGATTGTGTAAGAGGGCATCCTTGGCATCATACCCGAATCCTATTACCCTTCGAATCTTGTCGATTCTCCCTGTTTGATTTGCAAGAATATTGTCCAGAAGATGGCAAGTTGCTCGATACGTCAGGTGCCTTGATATATAGAGTGATTTCCAATCTACTGCGGAGATAGGGCCTGCGAGTTTCTCCGGCAGTTCATGCTCCTGCGCCCAATGTTTGAAGTGGCTTAGACAATAAAAACGCCATAATAAAGGCTCTGTTGTTACTCCGCGGAACCGGCGAGCCGTCTGTTCTAGAGCGGCAGTGGAACAGGGTGGGCAGTAGCAGAGAATGGAACGTAGCAACTCTTCAGGGAAGCAGTCAAGAGATGGAACCATTCCGGTGCATGTGGCACAGCAATAGATAACAGTGGGAACGAAGTAAAGCCTGCCCTATAGCTATGATAAGTTTGTGCCGCTCATATCCGTGCCACCCAGGTGTGTGTGAATCAGCGCCAAGCGTACTCTGAGAACTTGAGCGGAAAGTTTTGCCGTGTCATCCCTATCACATTTTATTAGTATAGACAATCACGACTGCATCTCACCCAAGGGTCAATATTTCATCACTTTTTGAGATTGCTCTTAAGACCCATGGGCCAGTTTCACTCCACGACCAACGGAAAGGGCACCGATCCTCCAGCCGGACCCCCAGATAAGAAACTCGATTATTATGAGCTATTACAGGTGAACTGGGACGCATCTGCAGAGGAGTAAGCTTGCCTTGTCTTTCCATTTGCTCAGTTTTTGTACACGCTAGTCATGTTAAACGAAGAATGAGGAACGAAAAGAAATAATGCCGAAGGTTTATGAGGTTTCGATAAAAGAAAAAGATGGAATGAGGTCAACGTATCCCAACGCCACTAACATCCCACGCTTACTTTTAGAATCAAAAAGGCATACAGAAAGAAGGCCCTCGAGTTGCATCCGGATAGAAATTATGGAAATGTGGAATATGCTACAAAGCTCTTTGCAGAGATTCAGTCTGCGTACGAAGTTTTGTCAGATCCTCAGGAGCGCTCATGGTACGATGCACATCGAGATGTCTTGTTAGGAAGCCAGACTGGCACCGGAGTGTCTGAAGTTGCGAGTAATTTGCGCATGACCACAGCAGACGACATTTATAGGGTCTTTTCAAGCTTCAGCCCACAAATGGAATTTTCAGATGCCTCGGATGGATTCTATGGCGGTCTCCGTGAGATATTCTCTCGTCTTGCGATGGAAGAGGAGATCGCATGCCGCGGGCAAAACTCGGATATAACTGCCTACCCTACATTTGGATGTCACAGTGATGACTTTGAGGGGGTTGTTCGCCCATTCTATGTCGTGTGGGGGGGCTTTTCTACAAGCAAGTCTTTCGCTTGGAAAGATGTTCATCGATACTCAGAAGCTCCGGACCGCCGTGTCCGTAGGCTGATGGAGAAGGAAAACAAGCGCCTGAGGGATGAGGGCATCCGTGAATTCAATGATGCCGTTCGATCGCTCGTAGCTTTTGTGAAAAAGCGCGATCCGCGATACAAGTCCAATACCCAAAGTGAATCACAACGCCAAGAATTTCTTCGACAATCAGCTGCAGCACAAGCTGCCAAATCACGAGCAGCAAACCAAGCTAGGCTACGAGACCATATCACACAAGACTGGGCAAAGTCAGAAGACCTTGAAGACGACGAGTCAGTGAGTTCTGAGGCTGAAATGGAGTACTTTGACTGTGTTGTTTGTCGGAAAAGTTTCAAGAGTATGAAGCAGCTTGAAGCACATGAGCGGAGCAAGAAACACATTAAAGCTATCAAGCAGCTTCAAAAGGAAATGAGGCATGAAAATAAAGAGCTGGGCCTAGAGGAGGATCCGTCGGAGTATGAAGCACAGGCCACAATAACAATCCCCTACGAATATGGGTCAGTTACTGCATTAAAGCCCGACGATCCATCATTTGCATCTCCTTCGCCCGACGCGGTCCCCGGCGACAATGACACTGAAAGTTGTTTAGCCCCCCATAGAAACACTGGCGATGGAATTGATTCATGGGTGAATACAGAGCATGTGTCGCAAATGAGTCTACAGGAAAATTCAAATCCAACTTCAGAAGATGAATTGGACTATGTGTCAAGGGACATTATCGAGGGTCGGCTCCAATTGACAGATCATCTAACACGGGATACAACAGATGCGGCGGGTGGATTGTCTCAGAATCTCTCTGGTCTAGATCTTAGTGCCTCCCAATCAACGATCCACAAAATAGGGAAAGCCAAACAGAAGCGCATGAAAAAAGACCAAAAGATAAAGGACCAGTCTCAAGACATGAAATGTGCTACTTGCAGCGCTTCCTTTCTCTCTCGAACCCAATTGTTTTCCCATATCAGGGAGTTTGGTCACGCGCAGCCTCAAAGAGTTACCCAACATAAGAAAAAGAATTGAGAACTACACGGGAGTGGCGCTCCATAACGCTTGAAATAGATCTAGTCCAGCTCTCCTTAAAACTGGCCTTTGTGCAATGCCCACAGCCTCCAACACACACCAACATAGCTTTCGTTGTAGCAAGCCCTTCTGACTCAGGGTTCAATTACAATGAGCTTTCTTTTGCAGGCGCGATGCGGTTGTGATTCAAGATCGCCTAAAAGACTCCTCGTTCATCTGATGTTGCTCAGTGTCAAGTACCGTAGCCATAACTTGCTTCAGTTGTGATATCCCACCGGTTACTTATCCTAACCCGGCTCTCGAATTCTTTACAACATGTGCAACTGGAAGCAAGATACCCTTATTATTCGTTGCGCCAAGAGGGGTACCAGTGCTCCATCCCATTTTCTCAAGCATAGCCCTTCCCTTGTTTTCTGCACCGATTTCAGGTGCTGACCCTCCGACAACATCGCCATCCATGTAGGAAACAGATGCATCAGGGCGACCACGGCGGGGCTTACTGGACTTGCTTGATTTCAAGTCCCTAGGGTTGTATCCACGTTGGCCGTGTCCTTTGTGCAGTATCCGGTCCATTTGAGCTATCGTTTTGGGTGTATGTACCGGAGTTCGGGATGTTTTATGCACAATTGGAAACCTAGATGATCCCTTGCCTCGGGATTGTGAGCTCAAGGATAAGGCATTGGCCAGTTCGTGAACCAATTTGCGGTGCTGCTTAGACATCGGAGGTAGAGCCAAACTATATGGAGATTCAGTGTTAGTCATCGTATCACGAAAGCAGTATGCGTTCCGGTGGGGAGGAAGAAGGGGAAGCACCTGTTCCTTGACGATAAGAGGAAATGACGAATCTCGGATTTTAAATCCTCAAAGCCTATTCCATTTGCATATTTCATTTTCAGAACAGGATCCTGGCGGTTCCGACCAAGCAGTCCCTGCGAACGTAGCTCTTCACGTTGTTTCTTCCTGGCCTTCTTCTTTGCCCTGTCGTTCTGCCAGGCATTTACCAGTTCAGATTCAAGTTCGCTGTCCGAGAGTGTGATGTCTAAAGCACGGCTTTTCCCTTTGGACCTCTTTTTCACACTGGGTCGGTTGAAGTCCATAATATCAAATCCATAATAGGGATCGAACTCCAGTGCATCGGCAAAAGCCGTGGCTGATGCAAAGAATCCATTCTCGAAAGTATCAAGCGTCTGTATAAAGTCAATAGCAGAACCTTGTTGTGCTTTGCTTTATGGCATGAGCTTTTGAGGCAAATTGAACTGTGCGACTTACATCAAACTCATCCTTCTCCACGTTCTCTGTGTCGGAGACGCCAGATGAAACAGTTGACTCGCCCTCTGTTTGAAGATTCTGACCATGTGTGACTCCTTCTGCCGCTTCTTTCCTACGATCCTGCCCGAAGAAGTAGGCTTCAGGTTCATCACTCTCATGCGTTTTGTCTAGGGCCAGTCCGTCGCGTCGGAAGAAATTTTTATCTTGTCGGATTGCCGGAGTTTTTGCGGTTGCAAAAGCCACGGGTTCCACGCACATCATGGACGCTGTTGGGTCGCTGACTCGAGGGCCGTAATCTCGAGCTCTGGTCGCATGCGAAGCACTGTTAAATAATAGATAGTCGTCATCGATGTTCTCAATGTAGTCGGCGAGAATGTCATCCTCATCCCTTTTCCATTTTCTTTGGTTCTGCTTCTGTTTCTGGGCCCTAAGTGAGACGTAACCAAGCTGATCACCTCTTGTTCTCGAATGCGGTTCTATCGAATTATCCCTAGCAAAGGGCAACAAGTCGGGGTCAAATTGAGAGGAGTCATGTACTGGTTGAATGTGATTGTCTTCTTTTTTATGCCGTGGACTCCTGGCGGCAGTCGTGTTGCTTTGCGTCTGCCTTTTGATCGGGGGGGTTTTGCGATCCTCTTGCTGGGTTTTCCGACCACGAAAAACGACTTCGTCTTCGCTAGAATCGACTAAAATCGGCGAATTAGTGCTAATTATCGAATCGGGCGTCGATTCAACATTGTAAACTGAGTCGACGCAGAGCGTTGGGGCCAGGTTTTCCGATGCAGGTTCTGGTGCCAATGTAGCCATCAGTTCAATATGATGCTGTGGGTCCAGTGTCACTTCGGGTTGAGTGGTTTCAACCAATTTTGCCGGATTCGGGGACTGGTGTCCATTTTCTTGATCGGGTTGCGGATCCTGTGCGCTCACAAACCGCACGATCTGGTGGCGAAGAGAGGTGCCCGTCCTCCAGAGATTCCGTCCTTCGGTGTTGCGCGCTTCTTGCTGCATTGTGAGCTGTCCATTGTGGTGGCCTTGCAGAGGTCAGTAAGCTTGGACGATTGAGTGCCATTATGAGCTGATGATACAGTACCTAGAAACTCATCCGCCCCTGTTCTCTGCTTTTTGTTCCGGGCTTTCGCCTTGGTGGAACGTGTCATTTTCGGCGGGACAGATCTCTGTCTATCCGTATCTATTATGACATGGAGTACTCCGTATGGTGGTCGGGTTGCAAAGGTCAGCAGTGGCCGAACAACACTTTTCGTGCCTCAGATTTCGTCCTTATGTAAGCTTAGGGGGCGGTAAAGATAAAGGTTATCGGCGGTTTCACCAAATGTATGGGGTCTCGTGGGGACCCTTCATGCCCTCGAACACAGTAATCTCTTTAATAAAATAAAATATCGAAGACTACAAGCCATATCATGTCATCTGATTGTGTCGTGACCTTTCTTACGATGTCCTGCCGGGATCATGGCTACCCCCACGAACTTTCCACCATGTAGAACTGCCACAGTCCTCCTAGCTTACCTCGTGACTACTGCTAATGCACAGATAGTGTATGACCCCTCTTGGTCGGGTTAAGCCTCGTTCTTCAGTTTTTCAACCCATTTAGTCACTACACCTTTGATATTGTCTCTTGTTGACAGTCTATCTTGCCTTTCTTCATACCTCCACGGTTCCACTACGGTCTCTTTCGCTGGATTTATGACTTCGATTTCCGTATAATCGAACGGGCCGAGGATAATATATAATACTATCCATCAGAGAGTGACGTACCGCCACACCCACCACTCTGCTCCACTCCACCACTGCTAGGATACCACACCTGTGCGACCTGGGGTGGCACCACCTATATACCAGGACGAACGCAGCCATGAACAGTGTGGATATAGGACGATGCAGCAAACGCATCGTACAGTACCTCTGGGATCCAGAACCCAAGAATGACGAAGATCCAAATGCATCTATTTGGTGTCTGGGAATAGAGTACCCTCCTGATCATCAGGATACACCCTCCGAGAGGAAGACACGTAAGGCTCTGCAGGATCATAATGGTACATCTGACGAGATTCACTTGATCCGAACTATAACTAATACGGTCTCAGCAGACAACAGCGACTCCTGGCAGAACGCACCAGAGACGGCAAGGTACCAGAAAAGAACAGACCATACCTGGCCAGAGTCATTCCTCTCAGACTTCGAGTCTAAAATCTGGATGACCTATCGATCAAACTTCCCCCCGATACCGAAGCTCGAGGGCGGCGACATGAATGCATCAATGACACTGGGGGTACGCCTGAGAAGCCACCTAGTAGATACGCAAGGTTTCACGTCTGATACTGGCTGGGGTTGTATGATACGATCCGGTCAGAGCCTGTTGGCAAATGCAATGTCTATGTTGCTTTTAGGGCGGGGTATTGTTTTCCGCACGTGTTACTTGGACAATATGCTAACACACCGCAAGGTTGGCGACGCGGGGAGAGTTCCAAAGAAGAAGCGCAATTGCTGTCGCTTTTCGCTGACGTGCCAAGTGCCCCTTTCTCAGTACACCGTTTTGTAAAACATGGGGCAGAGTCTTGCGGTAAATACCCAGGTGAATGGTTTGGGCCTTCTGCGACTGCTAAATGTATAGAGTATGTGGTGTGCTCCACTGAAAACAATGAATGATGGACTGAAAAATAAAACAGAGCGCTCTCATCCCAATGTGAACACCCAGTGCTCAAAGTATACGTTACGAACGACACCTCAGAAGTCTACCAGGATAAATTCATGAGTGTCGCGTGCAACAACTTTGGTGCGTTTCAGCCCACCCTGGTACTTCTAGGGACGAGGCTTGGCATCGACCACATTACGCCTGTATACTGGGACGGCCTAAAGGCTGCCCTTCAATTTCCCCAATCGGTCGGGATCGCAGGGTATACTTCCACACACTAGCCGCATTTCTACCATACCAAAGCTGACGTCATTAACAGAGGACGCCCGTCGGCGTCTCACTATTTTGTTGGCGCCCAGGGGTCGCATCTATTTTACCTAGATCCACATTATACTCGTCCAGCGCTTCCAGTCCGGGAGGAAGGTGGATCGTACTCGGCAGAGGAAGTGGATACTTATCATACCCGGCGACTAAGAAGAATTCACCTAAAAGACATGGATCCGAGCATGCTTATAGGCTTCCTTATCCGCAACCAAGAAGATTGGTACGATTGGACCAACCGCGTACGAGCAGTTGAAGGAAGACCGATAATCCATGTGCTCAATGAAATGAATCCTGATCACGGTCAGGAAGCGGAAGCCCTCGATCAAGTGGAAGCATTGGATGATATTGAATAGTATTTGGGAATCGGGGATTGTGCAATAAAGTGGTTCATATGTAGCACCACTTCCACTAGTGCCAAAGCATCATTTACCAAACTCACTTTTCATCTCATGAACATGCAACTAAGCAATCTGATATTCGAATTCTGCTAGGGAAGGCAAATCCGCGCAACCAACCCCAGATCCGAGTTATGTTACACCGCATTCACGTCACGAAAACCATAAAAACATTTGGCCCAAGGGGAAAAAAGAAATAAAGCCATCCCATGACACATTAGAAATCCCGCGAACACCCTGTAACCCACCACCTCAAAACCTTAACTGATGACGAGGTAGCAAAAGAACAATCCTGCAGAAAGAAAAGAGAATAAAAACGAAAATGCTTATTTGGCAGACGACGAGTACTTCGTGACGGCCTTGGTGCCTTCCGACACTGCGTGCTTTGCCAGTTCACCGGGAAGGATAAGCCTCACACTGGAGCTGTTAGCCAACTGCGCCTCTCCCACTATGGTAGTCTTGACTTACGAGGTCTGGATCTCCCGTGAAGAGATAGTGGACTTCTTGTTGTAAGCGGCAAGTTTCGAGGCCTCGGTCGCAACACGCTCGAAGATATCTAAAACCTTCGAGTTAGACAGCTCATACAAGCATCTTCTGGTTGCAACATACCATTGACGAAAGAGTTCAGGATAGACATCGCACGGGTCGAGATACCAGTATCAGGGTGAACCTGCTTCAGGACTAAAAACGCGGTCAACTATTTGATCATAATTATTCCCGACTAATGACTTACCCTTGTAGATGTAGGACGAGTAGGTCTCCTTTCTGGTCTTTCCACGCTTCTTCTTATCGCCAGAGGCGGCGGCGGCAGTCTTCTTGCCGGCTTCCTTCTTCTCAGCGGGGGCCTTGCCGCCAGCCGGGGCCTTGCCACCGGTGCTGGGCTTCTTCTCAGCAGCTTTGGGAGGCATGTTGTTGAAAGGTCGAAATTAGTGATGAGAAATGAAGAAGGTTGATGATGCACGTGAATATCTCGTTGTGTTGATGTGAGTGGAGGATAGAATGAGTAGGAGAACAAGAATGATGGAGACGCGGTGACGAGGGGAGGCGCGCTACTTATACTAGCTCGCAAATACCCAGTTGATCCTGAGTCCGTGAAAGAAGCAGAATTTCGATACGGTCACAGATATGTATGATCTGTATGATTAGATGAGGGAAAACGCGTCAGTCACAGCGGAAAGTTGACTAAGATCACGCTAGCATGACTGTATTGAAACAAGACTAATTAATTACCGCACCTTACCACTTATAGAACGGCCACGCGCGGAATCATACCAAATGTTTCTTTGCCAAGCTATGGGTGCGCCGGAGAATGATCTCTTTTGTGATTGGCTGGCCCCGCTAAGCGAGAGGGTGATCTGAAAGGCTCCCGGGTAGTCCAACGTCACCCCGATCGCGTTGTTATATATGTCCTCCGCTCCCTCGCGTTGGCTGACAACCCTTTAACACCGTATCCTGCTCATCACCATCGTCATTTTATCGCCTTCGCGTCACTAATAGCATAACTACCTTCTCATAATCTCACTCTATCCGACAAAATGACCGGAGGCAAATCTGGAGGCAAGGCCAGCGGCAGCAAGAACGCCCAGTCGTATGTCACCTTGCACGATTCGGGAGGATCAAAATAAAACTAACGAAGAATTACAGCCGCTCGTCTAAGGCCGGTCTCGCCTTTCCCGTTGGACGTGTCCACCGTCTCCTCCGCAAGGGTAACTATGCTCAGCGTGTCGGTGCTGGTGAGCCTATCAATACTCTCGTCTTCCGAAATCAAGACTAATGTCCCTGCAAGGTGCCCCCGTTTACCTTGCTGCCGTTCTTGAATATCTCGCTGCTGAGATTCTCGAGTTGGCTGGAAACGCCGCTCGCGACAACAAGAAGACTCGTATCATCCCTCGTCACCTTCAGCTCGCCATTCGCAACGATGAGGAGCTGAACAAGCTCTTGGGTCACGTCACCATTGCCCAAGGTGGTGTTCTTCCCAACATTCACCAAAGTGAGTTGCGATCTCGATATGCATCGATCAATACGATACTAATGCCGCACAGACCTTCTGCCCAAGAAGACCCCTAAGAGTGGAAAGGGACCGGGAAGCCAGGAGCTGTAAACAATTTCTTTTTAATTTGGGTTCTCTGATTCGGCGCGGTTTGGTTCTCTTATTGATGTGATAACGGGGTTCTGGTCGGAACGTTTATGGCTCTGCGTTTTCTTTTATAGTTTATGGTTGTACATTATGTCTACGGACATGGAATGATACCGACAGCATTTTCATGGATTCAAGTTTCCTTCCGATTAGAGTGTGGGCAGCATGTCTTCGGCCCAGAATGGCCAATGATGTCTTCCGGATTGGTTTTTCCAATGTTGGGGCTCGTATGGGCTTCCCAAGCAGGGGGTAGTAGTAGACCAGTCAGTTTTATTCCATGTATAGAACTATCGGACAGGATGGTCTGCGTAAGGCAGTTAATATGGCGATATTCAGTGGTGCGCGGCGCTTTCCGAAGCAACTGAAAGATTTCTTAGAGTCAATAGATTGACCTCTTTCAGCATGGTTATGTTCACTTACGGGGCAATTGGGGAGCGGGAAGGTTCCTCTCGTATTTGCTGCCTTCAAAGATATCAGACAATTATGACCTGCGTAAGTTGGAGGGCTCTTGTCACACTCACCACCTGGAGCGGTAGGCGCGCGATAAGGATCGGGATGTTTCCAGGTCTCCAGTAATTTCTCTGTCTCTTGAAGCAATACCTGCGAGATCCACTATCAGTTTGCTAAACGCAGAATGCAGAGCATACGGAACTAACGCTTACCTTTTGCTGACGAGGGTCACGAACGTCCTTATTGGCCTCAAAGAGTGAGCGAATATACACTGCCTGTCCTCTCCAGATCTGTCGGTGGACGGCCCAATCAAGGGCAAGTTTCAAAGACCGTCGGTATAGGGAACTGTACAACAAGGTCAGCATATATTCTCTCCGCTCTTCCTTCGATCAACTTACGCGCCAGCGTTGAGAGGCATTGTGGCTCTGCAGCAATTCTTTCAGGAGAACTGTCCTTTCCCTTTGTTTCTTATTGGGGGGGAGGGGGTGGCTAAATAGGGTGGTGCACAAGAAATTGTCGGGCGCGATCTTTGGAGCTCTGAACGAATGCCAGCTCGTTCAGCTGCTTAGCCGTTAATGATCCTCGGCGGGTCGAAGAAAGTACCAAGTTGGCGTACTCCGTTTCCCGAACAAGCGTAATAATAATACTCCGTTCATTTGCCGGGCGCAGGGAATGCAGGCGCCGCTGAGGGAAATTCCGGTTGTCTCGGCCCGGGCTTGAGACTGACATAAGTTTCGTCACTCTGCAATCCCGACAGGAAATACCCATAGGACTGGAACCCGGCAAACAACCTATCCACTCTTAACGGGTTTACCTGTTCTCCCACATAACAAAGCCACTATTCTATAAGCTTTATCTCAGGTCTACAAACTGATCCATCTAATCAAGTCATCATGGCTTCTCGATTACCGTTTCACCGTCTTTCCGAGCAACATCTGAGGGCTCTCCCTCGACACGCCAGCACCCCCCGCAGCCTCTATATCAGCTGTTGCAGGAACTTCACGTCCGTCGCGCTCCAGAATTGCGCTAAGGGCTCTCTCAGACCAACTTCAAGACTCCAGCAAGTCGCGGTTCTCGGGTTAGTGACCATCAATCTTGAGTTTTATGACAATGGATTACTGATCCCCCTCATAGTTCTAACGTCTCTCGCTTCAACATCGCTCCATTCGGGCGATCTCAAATCAGAACTTACGGTATCACGGTCCTCCTCCTTCTTTGCCAGACGTCGCTCTAATAAAAGCTGTTGTCTTTCGATAGCGGACACTATTGTTAAGGTTCCGCAGATGGCGGAATCGATTACCGAGGGGACATTGAAGCAATTTTCTAAGCGTAAGATACAGGCGCTCGATCCACTTCAATACACTAACACTATCTCAAGAGGTTGGCGACTATGTCGAGCGGGATGAGGAGATTGCGACCATCGAAACCGACAAGGTAAGCGACGAGCGGAAGTGACAACCACTTAGGCACCCTGCGCACGCCCTTCAGGACTTCACAAGCAGTGGCTCACTCCTCACAGATTGATGTGTCCGTCAATGCTCCAGAGTCCGGCACAATCAAAGAGCTCCTCGTGAGCGAAGAGGACACGGTTACGGTTGGGCAAGACCTCATTAAGCTGGAGCTTGGAGGTGCCCCTGAAACCAAGAAAGAAGAGGCAGCCGAAAAGCCAGCAGCGCCAGCCGCTGCTGATAAGCCCACAGCTTCAGAACCCGAACAACCTAAAGTACCGGAAGCATCCAAAGCTTCGTCTGAGAAGGCTAGAACACCCGAGCCCAGTCCCTCGAAGAAAGCAGAGCCAACGGCTACCAAGTCGCAGGCCCCTGAGGATGTGAAACCCAGCGTTGGTGGTCGCGAAGAGCGGAGGGTATGTACCGAATCAACGCCCATGTCTCTCGTTTGTTCTGTCTTCCTGCTAACATGATAAAATCCGTTGTCCTATAGGTGAAAATGAACCGGATGAGATTGAGAATTGCGGAACGTTTGAAGCAGTCCCAGAACACAGCAGCTTCGCTTACTACGTTCAATGAAGTCGACATGTCCTCTCTGATGGAATTTCGGAAGTTATACAAGGAGGATGTTTTGAAGAAGACCGGAGTGAAGCTTGGATTCATGAGCGCCTTCTCTCGTGCTTGTGTTCTGGCTATGAAAGACGTTCCTGCAGTCAATGCCTCTATCGAGGGCCCCAATGGCGGAGACACCATTGTTTACCGCGATTACGTGGACATTAGCGTGGCCGTTGCTACCGAGAAAGGTCTCGTGACACCAGTGGTCCGCAACGCGGAAACCATGGACCTTGTCGGCATTGAGAAGGCCATTGCGGACCTTGGGAAGAAGGTTGGGAAATCAGAGCAGGCCTACATTATACCTTGCTAATAGTTTTGGTTGCCAGGCTCGTGACAACAAGTTGACTATTGAGGATATGGCTGGAGGCTCCTTCACCATTAGCAATGTGAGTACACCGTTGCCTACCAATAAGAGCTCTGCTTGGATATTGACACTTCTTTTAGGGCGGAGTCTTCGGATCTCTGATGGGCACCCCGATTATCAACCTCCCACAGACAGGTAGGTCTAGATCTTTGCAGGTCAATCGGATATATGTCTAACTTTATCAAGCTGTTCTTGGGCTCCACGCAATCAAGGACAAGCCGGTGGCTGTGAACGGTAAAGTTGAGATTCGCCCCGTATGTTACCACTTTTCTGGAAATGAATACAGTACTAGCCGCTAATTTTGTGAGCAGATGATGTATCTCGCCCTGACCTATGATCACCGTCTCTTGGACGGCCGCGAGGCTGTAACTTTCCTGGTCAAGGTCATTCATCCACCTTAAAATGTTTGCTATGGACTAGATGCTAATCTTGACTAATGCAGGTCAAGGAATACATCGAAGACCCTCGTCGCATGTTGCTGGGCTAAATATCCTTTACCGAATTAGATCTTCGGTAGTGGAGTGTTTGCGCCCCATTTCACGCCTTGTTTCGAAACAACTTGTAGACTAACCATTCTGTATGGAGCTAGCAGTTGATATCACAAATTTCAATTGTTGCCCACTGCATTCCTCACGCTTTAGCCACTGTGCAATATTCATCTCCAGGTTTGGATTGTCATGTAGACACATGCCGGGCCATTTTTTGTCGTCAAAGTCCCACCTTGTCTCTCAATTTTTGGGTCTCTTCGCGGCTGAGTCCACCAAGTTTTCCTCTTTCTAGCTGTATGAGTATCGGTGGGTCTAGCATCTTCATCAAATCAGTGAGGAAACAATGTACTGCACGGGAAATGCCATTGTCGCGAGGCATCTTCCACACATCGGGTGGAAGATCGATGGGTAACCGAACATAGCTGAGGTATTCGGTACTCAGTTGGTTCGACCCATGTTCTAAAGTTTCGCGCAAGCGTCCAATGACACGGTGTGCACATTCGCTGTACCCGTCCCGCGGCTGGGTACCCATCGTGCAATACTCGTTTAACGCAGCTTGCTTGATTAATTCCGTAGCGATATCAGTGTGTCCCTCCGGCAATTTATTGTTCGAAACAAGGCAAAGTCTGACGAATTTGTCCAGCAAGTTGTAGGATCTGTTCGATGCTGCCGTCCAGCAATTGGTAATGTGGGATTCTTTATCCTGGTGGGGGCGATGCAGGGGTGATAGGCGTCTTCGGGTGTCCGTCCCAATGGACTCTGCTCCTTCGCTTGAGCGATAATTCCCTTGCGACAGTTCGACAGCCGGCGCTCCACTTTGTTCCAGAAGCACATGGCCATCACAGAACAACTGCGCAAATTCTAGAACATGGATCTTGATGTGTATATCCTGGGAGAAAAGATCCGGGTGTAGGAGTACAGCCCTGATAGCTGTGGATGAAGCGTCAATATCCTTCACTCACTGTCAGATGCGTGGTGGGTTTCCATACTGTCGATGGTATTAAGGTTCCAGCTGAGGTCCCAGTTATGAGACTGCTGTCCCTCACTCTTGGCTGCCCCATGGCACAGGACTAGGTCAATGGTGATGCATAGAAGATAGTCCAGTATCATCAAGTTTACTTCTATTTGGGTGTCCGGGTCTGCTGTTGGAAATTCCATTGTGGGAAGAGGCAAGAGTTTGGCACCAAAGCCATTATGTTATGTCTGGTTGTATGATGACTGAGTAGTGGTCACTGACTCACTGTCAACAGGTGATGACAAGGCATCCTCACCGCAGGTACTGGTAGGCTAGGCGAGCTGTGAATTTTCAGTGATGAAACCTTAGTACAAGAGCTGGCAGACCCAGTTGTCGCCAGCATTACTCCGTACGAAGAATTAAAGGGTGGATCATCCGGGCGCAGCTTACTTAAGCCCCTACCTGGTAGTTAACTAACTAGTTAACTAACTGTATCCTTTGTCGGTAGCTGTGTCTCAAGTCTAGGCGATTGATCTATGGACCTTGAGATGACTGGAGGGTCCTGGTTCCCAGGGCACATCCGATTGCTTTTGCAGGAAAGTACAGTGAAGTGATGTGTGCTGTTTATCAACTACTAGTATGTTAAACACGCATGCCAGCATACTCATATATATGTATACTATATATATCCACATGTATATCCACGTTCATGATAGCGCGCATTAAGTCCAGCCTGCTGATGGTCAACTCACAGGCAGGCCACCCCTAACAGGCACATTACTCTGCCGATATCCAGAGCCTACATCTGTTCAGAGTGCCCAAACCCACCAGCAAACTGGGTGTGTACAAACCGTGGGCGTACACGTGACCGTCGGTGGACCAACGTTACCATGTCGTCATACCTACTTTGGCTATCCAGACAAGAGATTTTGCCGTACCTATAGCTGGCACAAGTATTCTCATCGCTTTGACAAGCATAAGTCCGAGAGTTCGGACATCCCTTGCCTGCTACATTGATTTCTGGATTAGGAAACCATCTGTGTGTCATATGTTCAAGCAGTTACACATAGGTGCAGCCTTATCATCCACAAAGTTCCTGCGAAAGTCCATATCAATGGCGTGGTACTGTTCCGGCTCCACGAATAGCGAGCTGATCGAGAACCTGTCCAGAACGGGCCTGATAAAAGATGAGAGAGTGAAGAAGGCCATGTTAGGCGTGAGCATCTACTATCTTTTCATCCCCCAGACACATTGGGACTGCATGCATCCTGGCCTGATCTTTCCCCCTAGCGAAGAGACGTTTCACCCATCAACTCCAAGAAAGAGCTGACTTCCCTCACCTCTACCCTAAGAGTCACGCACCCCTCACTGGATGGGCAGATGGATAGGGCATAATCTGACACACCCTTTGTTATTGCCTGGATCGGTTTTCTGACCGAGACACAAGGTTGACCGCGCCCACTACGCGCCCTCGAGGCCATATTCGGATTCACCGCAGCCCATTGGCCATGGAGCAACCATCTCTGCTCCCCACATGCATGGCCATGCATGTGAATATCTCATCGATTTCCTCCTACCCGGATCGCGTGTGTTGGACATCGGATCTGGATCGGGCTATTTGACCCATGTTCTCGCCAACCTCGTGATGGGTGCTTCCTCCGCGAACGGAACCACTGGTCAGGTCATAGGAGTAGACCACATCCCGGAGCTGGTAGACCTGGCATGCGACAACATGCGTAAATCAAAGCAGGGGCGCAGTTTCCTTGAGTCTGGAAGTGTGAAATTTGTCACCGCGGATGGTCGCCTGGGTTGGAAAGAAGGCGCACCATATGACGCCATTCATGTTGGCGCGGCCGCAGAAAAACTTCATCCTACACTCGTTGAGCAGCTTCGCGCTCCCGGACGGATGTTCATTCCTGTTGATGCGGAATACGATGGGCGTGCTGAAGGTAGCCTTGAATTGGGTGGGGGTCAATATATCTGGGTAGTTGATAAGAGGGAGGATGGGTCAATCCACAAAGAAAAAGTGTTCCAGGTCAGCTACGTTCCCCTGACCGACCGCCCGGGAACATGAGAAACATGTCTGTTTACTTCCCCCCTTTGCTGCATCGGAGACAACAAATGTAAAAATAGCACAAAATTCTGCTCGCACCAATCGATTCCTTTGACCCCATGTACCTAATCCTGAGATCTCGCGACGGTATGTGAATATCAATATTCAATGAGAACATCTGTCTTGGTAGGCCGGGGGATATCTATGATACAAAGTGCGTGCTGTTCTGCCAGAGAAATATGGGAGAGAAAGCTAGAACAAGAGATCACGAAAGAACCAAGTCCAGAATGCATTCAACAATCTGAAGTCCTAGTTTGGCTTCAGCGGAAAGGGAAACCACCGGGGAAGTTGAACCCCTGCCCCGAGAACTTGAACTGTGGGCCGCCTTGCTGGAAGAAGAATTGCTGACCACCACCCTGCCCAAAAGGGCTTCCTTGGAACGGCCTGCCCCTTTGTGACTCGGGATCGTTGGGGTCATCACCGCTGTCGTACCGAGTGCGCAGTTCAGCGTCTGACAGTACCTCGTAAGCTTCATTGATAGAGGCCATCTTCTTTTCAGCCTCCTCCTTGGTGACACCCTGGGAAATAGCCTTATCAGGGTGATGCTGTTTCGTAAGCTGTCGGTAAGCACGCTTAATCGTCTTATCGTCCGCATCACGGCTGACACCCAGGACTTTATAGTAGTCTTTCTGCTTGGAGCGTTTCTGTAGAACATGGGCCTTTTGCAGAAGTGCCTGAACTTCCTTAGAACTGGAATGGTGTTCTTTGGCTTGGTTGAGCAGAATTATAGCATCATCAAATCGGTCTTCGTCAATAGCAATTTGACTCTTGAAGAGAAGCCCTGCGAGGGAATGCGGATCCAAATCTAAAGCTTGGGAGCAATAAGAAGAAGCCCGTTTGGTCATTTGTGCCTGTTCAAGTATAATTAGACATATGTTGCATTCTAGAATGACCAGCGGAAGATAAGTGGCAACAAACCTCACGGAAAGCTTCGCAGGTCTGCTCGATCAGTGAAGTATAAAGGCTGCTGGGGGCAGCTGGATGAATGTGACCAGCTTCTTTTGCCTGCTCGACATCTCTCTGCACATCATCAAGGAGGCCGCTTTCGCCACCAGCGCCTACCAGCATATTGATAGCATTGTTGTACTTCCGTGAGTCCATAACGTCTTTCAATTTCTGTAACTGTTTTACAAGTTGTTTCTCCCTTCGATAGAGGCGGTTGCATGGTTTTGAGTCGGGATCGGAGTGTAGACATTTGCGAATTTGTGAGATACCTCGATCACTGTCCCCCAACGCATAAAAAAGGGTCGAGGATATCTGCAAATATGGCTCTAACGAGCTTGGAGATATCTGCAGAACGTGAAGAAGATCGCTGATCCCCTGCTCCAATTCGCCCGTCTCAAAGCGACAATGTGCTCGAGTCCGCCGGAGGCTTAAAGACATGGGTGCTTTGGATAGAGCCGCATTTGCTTGACTGACGCAGACATCCCAAGCTCCACGGGTTTCCGCTTCAAGCGCGGCCGACGCAGCGTCACGCGATGCCTGGAGTTCTTGATACTCCGGAGCTGACTTCTTACCAGCTTTATCAAGATCGTCCAATGCACCCGCCCAATCAGCAGAGTTGGCCCTAAGGCGTGCCCGCTGAAGAAGAGCGCTTTCAAAATCCGGCTTCAGATGCAGAACCCGGTCGAAGTCTTCCAAAGCCAGCGAGCTCCTGCCCAGGGACAGATATGCTGCACCCCTTTGGAAAATCGTCAGATAATTTGCTGGATCTCTGGTCACAGCTGCATCGAAATACAGCAAAGCCTCACGGGGGGAGCCTCCTGCAAGGTGTGTTTTTGCAGAAGCAATCAAAGATGACAGTGGTGTGTCGGGCGATATATGAGATGACTGCAGACCATGACCAGCCGACAGAAATGCCAGGAAGACCGCAAGGAAACCGAGAGATAGGTGCATTTTGTTTTGCCGCCGGCGAGGCGCTAGAAATCGGGCTGAAGATGAGGACGAGGGGCAATTATGATAAGAAGATCATAGTAGCCCAGGACTCGTAGCCAGCATAAAACGGCGGCCGATAATGAACGTAAATGGAGCGTGAGGGACCTTGGAGAGGTCGGATAGCAATTTACATATTATCAATGCCAACGACAGCCGCCAGGACACTATCGTTGTTCATCAAAGGGGGGGCCGGAGTAGAGAGGCTCGGAGGCTGGATTCACATCTTCCAGTCTGGCCTTTACGCCAGCCTGACATACGGTAATATTACTGAGTGTTTGATCGACGTATCGCCGTGTTACCGAGTACCCGTACTTACACAGTACTCTTTCGCATTCGTATGCGCCGAATCCTGATCTTACCCGAGGCAACAGCTTGGACCGACAATTACTGCTCGGTAGAATATGTTCAACGCTCCGTGGGTGTGCTCTCGATGTTTTGCGCGGTCTGCTATTAGAATTGGTTCCAACTCGCGCCTGTCTTTACAGCGCCGGGGCCTGAAGACAGGTCTGCATCACCCGCATGCCTTTTCTGTCCGCCGTCGAACAGGAGACTGACGCGACCTGCGCCAGATTCCGGCCTTTCGCCAGCCTTGTTGGCACGCGCCCGCTCTTTATCCAACGAGCATTCTACCCTGTCGGCGCATTTGGCGGAGGCCTTCGATGCGAAAGTTGCAAAGCGAGTCGGTGAACTTGCACCAATTGCAAACACCCTGAAAGAATGGGATCATGCAAATAATGTGCGTGGTTCCCTAATGCTTATGTGTATTCGGCCCTGTTGACAGGTTGCAGTCCATGTCAGAGTTGCAGTCCTTGCTTAATGACCCCGATACCGATGCTGAGCTGAGGTCGCTAGCGGTGGAGGATTTGGAGAGCAGCAAAGTTACACTGCCTACTATAACGGATAATTTGAAAAAGGCCCTTATCCCTCGCCACCCCTTCGCAGACCTCCCGTGCTTGCTTGAAATACGTCCCGGAGCCGGGGGAGATGAGGCGGGCCTTTTCGCTTTTGAGGTATTGAGGATGTATATCGCCTTCTGCTCACGTCATGGTTTTCGTTATAGCATCTTAAAGCAGGAAGTCGCAGACGGCCCCTCCGAGGATCGTCTGAGCGAAGCGGTACTGGAAGTCGACGCAGATGGGGCTTATGACATTTTGAGAACTGAGTCGGGCGTACACAGAGTACAGAGGGTTCCAGCTACGGAGGCAAAGGGCCGCACACATACCAGCGCAGTTAGCGTGATGATCCTCCCGAGTTTCCCGGAATCTGGAAGCGGCCTGGATAGTTCACTCAATTTCGAGGATCCGAACAGTGACTATTATGTTGATCCTCAAGAGGTTCGAACAGAGAAGATGCGAGCCAGTGGCGCGGGTGGTCAGCATGTAAACAAGACAGAATCAGCCATTCGGTTGACCCATGTACCAACGGGTATTGTTGTATCGATGCAAGACTCACGGTCTCAACATGCCAATCGAAAGAAGGCATGGCAAGTCTTACGGGCGAGATTGGCTGAAGCAAGACGGGAAGCCCGGGAACAGGAATTAGTTGAGCTAAGGCGAGGGGCGATGGGGGGTGTGGCTCGGATGGGACGTGGTGACAAAATCCGAACTTATAACTACGGTCAAAATCGCTGCACAGATCATCGCAGCGGCATCACCATACACAACCTGGATGGTGTTCTTGACGGCGGCGTGGGTCTAGAAACCGTAATGGATAGCGTACGGACATGGCTGGTCGACCGCGAGATAGCAGCCATGGCTGTTGAAGAATCGGTCAAGGACAAGGGAGGACTGCCAGCTCAACAGCGATAGGATCTGAGTATCATTAGTGGAAAGCATCCACTTGCTCACCAGTATCCTGTAGATACGTCCATCTAATATGATTCAATAACTTTATACTATGCATTTCGACAAGTTAAAAAAAAAGCTCTTCATGATGTTCGGCATCCACTGCCTACAGTTTTCGACCTTCAGATGTATCTCCTTTCGGGATCAAATGTATCCAAGGCATCCATTGTCTTCTCGTACCTGTCAGAGGGTTAGTCTAGTACACAGTTGGCAAGGAGGGTCGTTTGAGCACAAACATGGTGAACACTATGCCTCCGCTCATTATCAACCTCGCGAGTCGTGGGACAGCTCCAGACCAGAAGGTCAAGACCCCCTCGTCCTTGAATATCCGTGCTGCGCAGACAAAGCTGTTCTTGTAGTTCTTGCTGGCTTCTAGCGATTGCATTCTGCTACCGTGTCAGCAAATACATGGCTAATTCCTTCTTTGTGTAAAGGATGAGAGAACGGGGCTGTCTCAGGCGCTCGATACATACCTTGTCTTGACAGTATCAAGAGGCTGCGTAACATAACTATGCGCAGGTAAATCAGCATATTGACCACAAACCGTATCCAAGAGGAGTGAGATGAATGTACACAGTGATAAGACCTGCAATGCCCCCAAGAGCAAATGTGCTCGCGGTTCCCAACTTCTCGCCTGGAGCGACCTGACCCTGGGCTAATTGCTTCAACATTGTGTAGCTCGAAAACCGCACTGCCGAGTTGGCAGCCTGTCGCGCAGTAGTAGGGACAAAGCCCTGGAAGAAGCCCCGAACGCCCCGTTCTTGAAAGATAATCTTACTGCCGTGCAAAAACCCACGCATGCGAGGGTTCTGCGATTTGCGATCATCTATTCTGCAGCATTGAATAGAATTCAGGAGTCAGTACTGTCCGTACGATTTACGGCAGATGAAAGCTGGCCTGGGGGGGGGGGGGGGGGGGGAGGATAGGATAATCGGTGCCTGGACTTAACGGACAATTGCGTTTTAATGCTCTCGAATGGAGTAACTGCCAGCAGAGACTCCGTGAACCCGGCTCCAAAGCCTGCGATAACAGTCCTAGGTCCAGAAATATGGCCATTCTCATCCTGCAATGTCGATTTCAACCAGTCGAAAGCGACAAAACCTTTACTCAAGTGAAGACCCCGCATGAGCCATTACGCGACGCGAAATACTCTCTGATAGAATGGGATAGAACTCACGAATTCCCGCCTTCAGAGAGTTTCCTATAATCAAGGTCGTGCATCCAGCATACCATTGTTTCCCAAACGGCGGCCATGGCAGTTTCTTAGCATCGGGTAACCTGCGGTTGAGCTGGGATCGGGTTTTCGCAACTGGAGGTGTCAGGTATTGAATGACGGTAGTGATGGCTTAGTTGGATTTGCCTTACATTCAGCTGGATAGGTAATTGCTGTTGTGAATTTAGTAAAATGTATTGTCAACAGGCATCAGAAAGTGTTTTACCAATTTCGACTGCACCGGCAGTAGAGCCTGCGATAATAGATCGCAGACTGCTAGGCTAAGTTTCCATTAATAAAGCAATTGGTGGTGGTGTCAAGATATTGGAAGGAGTGTAGCAAACCTTTGGTCTCTGATCGTTCTCGGAGATCGCCATTGATAGGGCAGTAGTAGCAGCAGCTGCAGACCACTGGCAGTGTGGAAGCCTGTTGGTTGGCTATTCGCTCAAAGATACTCACATGGGAGTACGGGGTTCAGTGAGACCAATTCCCGCAAAACCCACCCGGTACGCGGGGTACTGGGTAGGAGGTGTTAAGCTTAATGCTCCGTACCGCCCACGAATGATTACTAATAGTACCTGGCTGTAACTATGCTTGCCAGCATCCTCCATTGACAGAGATGGTCTTGTTTTCCCAGGGATTAAAGATTGCCATTCCGCTAGACACCACATAGATCGTAATGTAAGCTTAGTTGTCGTAGTGCCTGATCGCTGACAGAAACACAGCGGCATCTAAAGCTCCCTGGACTATTTTTTTTGCTTTTACTTTTCTTTTTTTGGGGGGGCGGGGATGCCTTCTTCCTCCTTTCCTTCTCTACCACCCCAGCCCAACTCCCCCGCCCCCCATCCTTTTTTTTTCCCCATATTTTTTTCCTTTCATGGGGGTTTACACCTTCCCTTCCCTCTTGTCTTCTGAACCGGCCGCTGCTCAACATACAACATGACCACCACTTCATTGACAGTTTCCTTCTCTTCCTTTTTTTCAATTGTAATCGAAACGCAGCCCTAGAGTTACCAATGCCTAGGGGCCTTGCAACAATATCGTATCGCGTCCCTCACCAGTACACGATACAGGTTCCAACATGTCTTCCGACACAAACAAAGATCAACCCAGTGCTGTATTCCAGAGATGCCAATGGACAGACGACGATGGCATGCCACGCGCGTTTTTGACGATGACAGAACGATAAGACGATCGATCGAGAGTATGCGACGTCTGAAAATAGGACCTGCGAAGCTGAAAGATGGGCTAGGTGAGAAAGCCACGAACAGTAGTAAACCCAGTAAACGCAGAGCGCTAAATGCAAAGTTCAAATCACAAATCACAAATCGCGCAGACCGTTATAAGCATAACTGAGCCGTGAGGCATAAGCGGACAGAGGAAGTGATGTTTCGCCTAGATGTGTAACTCTTCGCCAGTGATTCGGAGTCGTGTAACGCTCTGCGATGACGAGAAAGCCCTGCGGCTATAGAAATCTGATCGATGAATATCTGCGTGTTAGTTGAAAGTCACCCTCGAACGCCAAGGCGAAAACGAAAAAAAAAAAAACGGATAATAAAAGCCCGAAAACGCCCTGAACCCTACATCAGATCATCTGATGCTGTGTCGAATGATCATATGTACATTTGGCCGAGGCCGAAGCGTAAGCACGATCACTAATCGTACCAGGTGCACGCCTCCAGTGCCGCGGACGTCAAGGTCCCAAAATAGCGCGCTTGAGGTAAGAGAAAGGGAAAAGGGGGGCAAAGGTATTGACGTGGAAGACGGTCGGGGAGAAGAGCGGTGGCTGACGAGGCACAGGAACGGAGAAGACATAGGTAACGCGTAGTATAATACAGATCTCCCAAACGTTTATCATAGGTCATAGTTGATATGAAACTAAGGTGAGGGAGTGCCAATTGATCACAGAACGGATGCGAATGTGAAAAAAGCCTTGAAACAGAGACTGCAGAGGCCAGCTGTAACTTGCTGTTTCCGAACAAGAGGGGGTCTTAAGAAAAGAAAGAACTCCAAGTAGAATAAAAGGGCAAAGAGAAAAAGCACAGGGGCGAGAAAGGGAGCGGAAGAGGAGGCACAAAAGTATTTGCTCCGGCTGCTAGTCTAGTAGTTGTTTTAGGACACCTGTGCGGGGTGGGATTTGCCACTAGACTGCCCTTGAGTGCTGAACTTGGTCTCGTTTTGCATGCTGCGACGCTGGCCTTGCCCTCGACCTCCGCGATAAGAGCCACGGCCCCTGCCGTATTGATATGACCCACCATTCATATGATGGTTGTGACGACGTTCGCCAGCATTCGTATTAACGGCTGTGGTGGTAATCGGAGGTTGTGAAGGGTTGGCGATAGGGCGCGGAATGGTGTCCGGTGAGTCATAGACGTAAAGTTTCTTGTCGATATTCTGCGGAATTGGCTGGATTTCAGTGCCGAGCTCCTGCTCAATTTTGTACAAGTTGAACCGGTCTTCCCAGTTTATAAGATTAATAGCAAGACCGAGATGTCCAAAGCGGCCAGATCGGCCAATTCGATGGAGGTAAGTTTCAGCGTTCTTGGGAAAATCGAAATTTATGACAACATTGACGGCTTGGATGTCAATACCTCGAGTCAGAAGATCGGAGCAAACAAGGTTACGACAGACGCCATTCCGAAAATCGTGGAAAACTCGGTTGCGATGTTGCTGAAGCATCCTTGCATGGGAGTAGAAGCAGGAATATCCTAGTTCTGTAATCTTCTTCGCAAGTAATTCAACGCGGTTGGTAGAGTTGCAAAATATTATCGACTGGTTGATTTGTAGCTTCGAAAATAGTGTGTTCAGGCAGTGGACCTTCTGCTTCTCCTCCACGAAAGCATAATACTGCGTAATTCCGCGAAGGGTGAGCTCGTCCATGAGATTAATTTCATATGGATTGCGCATGTGTTTGTCCTAGACCCTATCAGTACATCGACGCGAGACGACCAGACGCCTTGTAAAACTTACTTTGAATGATTTCACAATCAATGGGAAAGTAGCACTGAAGAGCATGACTTGGCGGTCTTTAGGGTGGAATGATAGCAGTTGCTCGATAACTGGCGTAAACTCAGGCGACAGCAACTTGTCGGCTTCATCCATGACGAATGTAGGACATTCGGAGAGATCAGCCACGCCTTTGCTAGCCAGGTCCAGGACTCTTCCCGGGGTCCCAACAAGGATGTGGACTGCGTCATTCAATCTAATAATGTCATCCATCAAGCCAGTACCTCCAGTAGTGACCATAACATTGATGCCTAGATGCTTTCCCAAGGTTTTGCAAACGTGCGACGTCTGCAGCGCCAGTTCTCTCGTAGGAACAAGGATAAGGGCCTGTGTTTTCGTGCTCTTGGGGTTTATGCGTTCCAAGGTAGGAATGACAAAGGCTGCTGTTTTCCCTGTACCATTCTTGGCCCGCGCCAAGATATCTCTGCCCGTGAGAGCGACTGGTATCGTCTCTTCCTGAATTGGAGAGGGCTTTTCGAAACCAGCCTCGAATATACCCATCATGAGTTCACGTTTGATGTAGAAGTCTTCAAATTCCAAGCCTTTCGTGGCGGTGACATCCTATGCCACATCAGATTGCGACCGACAGATAATGATAGGTATAGATATAGACAAACCTCAGTTTGCGGCCTTGCATCTTTGGCGGGGACATTTAATTGCTCCTTCCATTTCGTGTCTGAGCTTGCATCCCTTCAAAGGGTTGAACATTAGCATTATACATATGAAACAATCAGCACATGACAGTGAATGTACCCTATAGTAGTGTTATTCAGCTGAGAGGCCAATGCGTCGGTCATGGTGGTCAATTAAGAAAAGAGGGGAGATCGAGGATCGGGCTGAGTAGACTGGTTGTTCTCTCTTCGATGGCCGGAAACTCAGTAGTGAGAATGGGTAGATACAGACGACCGCAGGTTTGTTCGAAGTCTGCAAGCAGATTAGACAGGGTAATCGTGAAACAATGACGTAATTTTTAGTACTTTCTGCTTGAAGAATGGTCGACGAAGCCCAAAAGTTGGGGGTAAACAAAACGACGTGGTTGATGGGGTGGCTGGATGAAAAGATTACTCGACCGCTTGTTAGAGACAAGAGTACTCGAGGTCGGATAGAAGAGTGAAAGATGGAAGAGAAGGAGGAATGGAAGTATGCAAGGGGTCTCTGGTAATTGAGTCGTCAAGTTTCCACTTGACGGCGACCTGAGGTGAAGTGCTTGAGTGTGTGGGCCGTTTGGTTAGAGTCAGGAACGAAACCCGGGATGATTGAGCTGGGCTGCCTCTGATGTAGGCTACGATTCAAGCAATGAGGATGTATGAACAGCCAATCTTCACTTTGAGGTGTTGCGGATGTCAAAAGTTCTTGTTTGATAAAGTTGGGTCGCACTGAGAGGAAGGCAAATGGCTTGTCGTGGAGGTGTGGGGTGGGAGAGGATGGATGGAAAACTTCAACTGGTGGTGGGAGTGGTGAATAATACGGATCATACACTTTGATACGGGGCAGCAGCTTCCGCTGCACGGTCATGTGGTAGACTTACTTAAGTACAGAGGGCACCTAACTAGTAGGTATATACGTAGGCGGTACTCCGTACACCTACTGCTCCTACTAGTCCTTAGGTGCCCTTACCGCCTTGCTGAGCCCCGTCTATCCAGAGTGGGATGATGTGCTTCTGTCCAAAGCCTCATTTTAGCAGGCTGAGCGATGTTCGTTAGTAGCTGCATTAGTCCTTTAGTGGTGAGACTGTACAATCACTGTAACTCATTGATCTGTTTTTCAAGTGATGAAGAAGTTTACATCATATCTACAACATATATTCTGAATAGGAGAACACGAGAGCTAGAATATCGTTGAGTCACCCAATCATCTCGCAGTATAACAGGGGTGAAGGACTTGTATTAAACTGCTAGATAGAATCAATAGAGTAAAAGGGTCTATAAGAAACTCGTTGGTGGAAACAAGCGGGGATTGAGCAGCCAGACCAAATAGTTGCAACTTGCAGTGGATCACAACCAGCAGAGAGGCAACCAAACTGTAGCAACCGCTGGAAATTACCGTGGAAACGACAGCCTAGTTTGGCCTCTTTCTGGCTCTGCCAGCCTAGAAGTGACATGTAAGTTTCTTGCAGTCCATGCTAGTTGGTGCATATACATACTCCTTTACACATACATCAGGCGCCAAAGTAATTTCTGCTCTTGATCCGGGTGTAATAAGTATGAATTGCCGCCCGATTGACCGTCTGGCAGCGAGCATCTGTTGTTTCGTCAGCAAGCCTCCAGCAAAAAGTCCGTTCAACATACAAGCATATCAATAGCCATTTTCCTATTGATGTGGTCCATATACACATCACTTTCAAGATTGTGTCAGCTGAGGGGCATATTGGAGGCGCTAGGAGACTTACAATTCATCCAAGCAGCGAATTGGAGATCCCATAGCTTCCCAGAGTGCCAATAACAGGCATACCTGAGAGAATGACTTCTCACCGCCAGACAGTGTCTTTGCGCCACGACCGGCGCTGTCTTTTGTGATATCGGGTTCCACCTACAGAGTATGCTGTCAGACTATATCCGCAAGAATGACGGCCAAGAACACACATACTTGTAGATCCAGAAGCTTGCCCTCATGGTCGGTTAAAAGTCGACCACGGAAGCTTCTTTCACTCAGAAGGTAAGTGAACTGTGCTTTGGCACGGGATGAAATGTGAGACCTAAAAATCACCCAGCGGCCTTTGCGGAGTTTTAGTGTTGCCTTGAGCACCTGGTATTTAACATTAGCAGGGTAATTTCCCGCCAAACGAAGGGGGTTATGTGTACTTCAGCCAACAACCTAAACTCCTCAACTTGCTTTAAAGCCCGGTCATAGGCTTCGCTGGCCTTTGCCACCTCAGTAAGGAGTTCGTCGCGGGATGCTCCTAGCCTAGGCTTTCATTAGCGTGGCGTTCTTGTTGACCGATCAGGTATACTATTACTCACTGTTGGTCATAGCGCTTGATGTCGTTATGGAGTCTTTCGAGCTTTCTATCCAGACTGGCCGCAGTTTCACCTTCATCAATTGCAACCCGCGGGGAGACCATACTCGCCTTTTCGCTGAAGTCAAGGATACGTGCCATGATCTCTCCTCGTTTATCATGGACCCTATTCCTGTCTCGCCTGATGTCGTCGATCCTTTCAACGGCTGTATTTTTATCTCCTATCCTCTTTCGACGCTTGTCGTTCGCAATACGCCCCTGATTCTCAGCGACTTTGAGCTCTTCTTGTATGACGGTGATCTCGGCTTCTTTGGCTGAGAGCTCCTGCTTGATCGCCTTCAATGATTTCATCATAGCATCCATTGCATCTGCGCTGTCCTTCAAGGATCCTTCATTGAGGCGCTTCTCTTCTTCTGCTTCTTGGAGAGTGGCCCGAAGCCCGTCAAGACGCCCGTCTTCGGGAAGTTCCCTGTCAAGTGCATCAGAAAGCGCTTCAACACGGTCTTCCAGTCTCTGTGCTGCAATTCGTAGTTCGTTTGATCTTCGCTCGTGTCTGACACGAGCTTGCTTGCAGCTTTCCAGCCGAGACCGAGCAGACCGAAGCTCTTGTTCTTGACGGCTGAGGTTGCTTTTCAAGTCGGCCACTACACCCTGTTGCACTCTACAAAGATTCTATTAGCACTAGGAGCATAGTATGAAAACAGAGCGATTAACTACCTGATTTGGGACTCCAGATCGGACCTCATACGAGGAGACCTATTGTAGGCTGGGACTGGCGCTTGGCTTGGTTCCCCGGTTCGGCTAAAGGAAAGATGGATACCTCTGCGTCTGTTTGTCTTATCAATACAATAACACCGTGCCACGTTTCGAGGTCTTTGCCCATCAAAGAGAACCGAGGATGCTTCCTCAAGGTTCTCAATGAGTAGCATTTGTTCTATTTTATGATTGATGATAAACTGTCCACGGGCCACCTCATTATCGAACTAGAAACTCGTTAGATTGACCATACATTTCATTAGAGCCCTGGAATAAAGCACTGACCTCAAGGACCCGCAGTGCTGTATCATACTGGGCATCTGGTTCGTTTGATGATGTATCGATGCGGTTACCATCCGCTATCAAGATAGGACACATACTTCCAGCACTGTCAGAAATTTTCACGTATGCTGCAGACCTGGAGATGCTTACCAATCGACACTTTCCATGATCTTAAGAATTTTTTTCGAGTCTTCAGGAGTAACTACAACGAAGCTGTTCAATGTCGAGCCAAGCGAGTTTTCGAGAATTGAGGACCATTCCGGCTTAAGCAAGCGCACATAGTGACCAAGTGGACCGACAGGACGCCTAGTAAAGGACTGATCTTGTTCGATTGCTTTCAAGAGGATCGGCATCCTCGCGTGGAAACCCGAATTTTGAGGACCCCCTTCCCTTTGTAGGGTCAACAAGAGTGATTCGGCCTCCTCAACATCGGCCTTAAGTTTAGCGAGTGGGACCGCAGCTGACTTCACTTCCTTCTCAGCTTCATTTATCTCATGCGTTAAACGATTGCTATGGCCTCCATGCTCCTCATACTGAGTGCGGGCTTGGGAGGCTTCTGCTTTTGCTCGTTCAAGTTCTTCTTGCTTTTTCGTATAGCTCCCTCCGCTAATTTCAGCTAAGCGTCGATTTTCTTCATCGATATCTCGCTCAGTAGTAGCGATTCTCGTTTCTGCTGCTTTGAGGTATTCTCTTATCCGTCGTTGTTCAGCCTGTGGCGTAGTATCAGAAAATCTATTATATTGAAATGATGCGTTAACTGATCATACCTGCAGTCCATGGCGTTCGGTCATCTGTGTATCCCATTTCGTCTGGATTTCAATTTTTTCGCCTTGAACCTGGTCCCACTTGGCAGTAGCCTGGCGAACATCTTCAGCAGCGGCTTGGGCCTCGCCTTCAGCCTCTCGTATCGCAACATCAAAGTTGCTCAAATTGGCTTCGGCGCCGGCTATATTGTTGTCCGCTCTAAGAATTTCATCGTCTAGAGAATCCCTTATCTACTCGCCGTCAGAGATGCAGTTTAAGTATCGGATCGCAAGGCGGTTTACCCTTTCTTGTTCCTCTACCTGAGCCCAGGCCATTTGACTTCGAACATTTCTAATCCTGTTTCGCAGAGAATCATGTTGGTCGGATATGTCAAGTTTTCGTTTCGCTGCTTCTTTCCGACTTTGTAGGATCGCAATATCCTGCTCCCGATTTCTCAACTTCTCCTCGATCTGGTCACCGGATTCTTCAATGAGTCGATAGTCCTGATCGAGTTGCTCAAGTTGGACACCCTTCACAAAGAACTTGTACTTTTCACTAGGGCTTGATGTGCTAAGAAATTGGCGAGCCATGTCCTGAGAGAGAACGTTCATCGGATTGTCAAATTGCAAGGTGAAGTAGTCAATGATGGCGTCGAGCTCTGCCTTCTTGGTAGACATGATTCGTCCATTTTCTGATTTGATTTTGAACCCACTTGTGCCATTTTTGGAGAAATGGCGCTCTATAGTGATGAACTTTCCATAGTCATCCGGCAGGTAAGCGCCATCTCCTTGGTTCTTGATTCGCACGACGATGGTTGCGTTCCTACACAGCAATCTCAGCACTTTATTTCAGATGGAGGGTATTGATACCTATCACCTACTCCTTGCCTTCTTTAATAAAACTTTTCAGACTCTGGCCTCGATTGGTGGCGGATGCTTTACCGCCTAAGCAAAGGGTTATAGCCGTGAGAACTGCACTCTTGCCGCTGCCGTTCTTTCCCACGATGAAATTAATCAAAGGGCCTAGATCGACGTAAAAGTGGTCATGACACATGAAATTGTAACATTCAACACGCTGCAATATTCCATGCTCGGCGGGTATATTTGGTTCATCTGTAGCGAATGAATACTTCTCCTGGATGACCTGCGTAGCCCGCAACTCAAGCTCATCTTCGTCATCATCGAGGGCTTGTGTAAGAGATCGCACTCTTCTTTCTTCATTCCCATCATTGCTCGCTTCTGTGCTCCCATCCGAGACAAGGGAATGAGTTCTACGAAGGCGTTTTGGCTATGAAATACAGGTTAGTAGAGCCCACATATGGGACGAAATTGCCGCATACCGAAGGCGAAGAGCTGGGATTACTCTCCTCGCTTGAGTCCGCAGGCTCCAGGTGCGCCTGCAAACGCTTCATTGACGGCATGAGGAAACAGCGACTGAGATCTTAAATTCGCAGAAAGTCATAGCATTTACTTTGAGCAGACATGGGAAGTTGAGAGCACGTAGAAGATAGGGAAAATGGAAACAAAGAAACAGAAAACCTCTCTTTTCACCACTGGTTGAATGCTAGACCACGGAGGCTGAAAGGACCCTACTCCGTACTTGAATCTTTGTTTCGTCTTATCGGTCATTGATTAGTCGCGTGGTCGCGTGTCACGCCTACACGTGACGCACGCGGAATACTGGTAGTCTTGTATTGATGACTTGGACTACGGAGTAAACACTCCACACTATCTGATGCTACGCTTTCTGGCATGTCTTCGCGGCACCATTAGTATCTACGGAATACATACATTAAGCACCTGCGTAATTTCAGATGCGCCACCAAAACAGGACTTACGGGGTACAAAAATAGCCCATGTCGTGTACCTCGCTACTGCTTGGACTCCAAGCCCCACCATTCCCTTCTGATATGACAAGGATTTCTCGTCATCTGCGCTGCTCCATAGCCCGATTGCGTTGCTTATTCTTTTGCTTTTTTTTTAAGAACCAATTTAGAAAGTAACCCATTCCGCGTTCTCCAGATATTGCGGAACTTTCATTCGTTTGAAGTCGTCCTCGGTCTCTGGATCTCGCTCTCCCAAGTGCCCGCGAACCCTGTCCAGGAAAGGGATAGGATCTCTCACACAACAATGCATTGCCACAATTGAGCCGGGGAGTAGGTATAGTAAAGTCGCCCCCCGGGCAAAGCTTCTGCAGTTGTTGAGTTTAGCGCTTACATGTTCATAGGCTCCTCCGCAACGTAGTGCAGATACGCTCCTAGTAGCTTGGTCCCCTCAATGTAATTCCTCTTGTCAAGCTTCTCGTTGATTGAATGGGCAGCATCCGTCGAGCTTCCCATTGGTAGAAGCAAGACATTCTTCCCTGTTGCTTGTTCGAAGCTCAGTGTGACGGGAATGCTTTGCACACGTTAGTTTCCCCATCATTTGTAGCATGGTAGCAATAAAAAAATAATAATAGCCTCAGACACGTACCTGCCACCCTCACGGGTCATATCCGGTTCAACACCAAAAACCTGTTTCACTGCCTTGCTTGCAGCTGCGAAGTTCCAATGCTTTGGGCTGGCAACCCACCATTTCCCGTCATGTTGAAGCCACACATCCAACTTGTTCTTGCTGTTCAGTTTGGCGAATTCTGCTTTGATATAATCAAAAACAAGTCTGTTGACATCCTCACTCTCCATATTTGGAACAGTTCTGATTGAGAACTTGCCAATGACCTTTGCCGGAATCACGGTTTTTGCGCCAGGAGCGGAGTATGCGCCTTCAACACCGTGGATGGAGAGAGACGGGTATCTCCATCTTGCCATGAGAGTTCTTTCTTTGGTAGCATGGATACCAGTTTCACTCCCCAATGATTCGTGGAGGTTGTCCATGGTATAGCTGATGCCGCCATACAGGGATTTCTCCTCCTCTGTAAGGGGCTCAACAAGATCCATTATGCCAGGGATTAGAATGTTGCCCTGAGGATCGACAAGTTTAGAAAGGACATTAACCAGGTCAGTCATCGGCTCGTGAGCAGAGCCACCGAAGACCCCGCTATGCAAGTCCTGCGCGGGGCCCGAAACGCTCACTGAGTAATAGTTGCAGCCTCGGAGCCCATAGGTCAAGCAAGGCTTCTCGGTTCCAAGCCAGTAATTGTCCGAGATGCAAACAGCATCCGCATCCTTGAAAAACTTCTTGCTCTCGGATTGGATGAACTCCTCCAGGCCTTCTGAGCCATACTCCTCCATTCCCTCGAAGCAACAGAGCAAATTGACAGGGAACTCAACGCCGGCTTTCTTGTGGGCTTCAATCACGTTCAGCCAGCCTAAAACTGGGCCTTTATCATCCGTGCTTCCGCGTCCGTACATCCTTCCTTGGCCGTCGACTGTCAATTGAAAAGGCTCTGTCGCCCAGCCGTCTTCTTTCAAGGCAGGTTGTACGTCATAGTGTCCGTAGACCAGGATAGTTCGTTTGTTCTTGTCATTACCATAACGAGCAATCACGACTGGAGGAAGGTCAAGGTGCTCCTTTCCAGGTTGCTTGCCCAACGGTCTCTGTTCCACTTCGGCGCCCAAGGATTCAAGTTCGGAGGCGAGGAATTGGGCCATCTTGTGGAAAACATCGATGAATCAGTTAAGTGCCATGTCGTAGGCCATAATTTTGCATGATTTACCTTAAAGACATCTTTTCTATTCTCATCCTGCGCGGAGACAGACGGAATGGCGACAGCCTTTCGTAGACCTTTCGCATATATAAGGACTTATTCGAGATGGAAGGAAATTTGGAAGGCATAACGTACGGTCAATGAAAGAATCAGACAGATCGTCGACCCTAGGCGGGGAAAGACCCGAATACCGTTAGATAGCCAAATATAACATGGACTGGTAAACTATGCAACATTGGCGGTTATAAAGCAATAGTTGGAGGGGCAAAACAGAGGGCGGAAAATGTGAAGCCATGGCTTACTGCTTAAAAAAGGGCTCAAGTTGCGGTGCCATTGTCAGATCACTAATATTTCCGTAGAATGAGCGGCGTGAAGATAGGTAACGTATTTGGTGAAAGGAGACTGTTGGATTTGCTCGGGTATCCTTGAGGTGCAAGGGAGATGACAGGTATAATCTACACTCCCTACTAAGCGACGTTGCAATGCGACGGAGGGGGAGGGGGAGGGGCATTTGGGCTGTGGAAGATAATCGAAGTAACCTGATTTGCCTGTTGGGTTAAGACAGGTTTACCTAACAGTATCCTCGCTATCGTTCGGTTGTCCGAGGTACCTGCCCCAAGGGAGACAGGCTATCCGTTACGGAGCGCAAATAAGCGCTCATAGCCTTCTAAGGGCCACGCTCCCTTTACTGACTCTCCTGATAAGAACCATATCAGGCTAGGTGCTAAGAAAGCCACTGCAAATTTAAACTACAATACATTTCCAGTACCAATGACGCTAGAATACATGATTTTATACAACGATTGAGCTCCCAGTATGGATGCCGTGGAAGCTATGGAGTCTGGTAAGCCCAAGCCAAAAAGAAAAACAAGGAAAGGCGCCTGGGAGAGAGACCGGAATTATACGTGAGGTGGCCGAAAGGGAAAGAAAGCTTGTTAGGGTTTTACTGATCCCTTCCCCAGGCCTCCTTCCGCAACTGTCGGTCTTCTCTAGCCATCCGACGTTTTGAGCCCCATCTCGATTGCACCGCTTCCAGGACCCGCTTCTGGATTTCTTTCTTCTGAGGACTGGCCTCACACACCAGTGCGATGAACGTGGGGGAACAATCGAAGCGCTTGGCCAACTTCAACCGACTCCACGTCATTGGATCGGTAGCTCTAAGCCGGCGAATTTCTCGTATGTCTGACGGGTTTAGGTGGTATTTCTTCTCAGTGGAGGCCCTGACTGCGGGAGGGAGCGATTCGGCGTTGATGCCATTGACAGACGTGGTGCGTAAATTTCTCCGGATATCATCGGAGGGTAGAAATTTCGTCGGCGTATGGTACACTGAAGGCGCGCTGGAAGGTGGATTGTAGATGATGTGGTCCTCTTGCGGATGGCTCGATGAAGAGCCAAATGAGGCATCTGGCTTGACACGTAGACGTTGCTTTGTGCGCCTGTATGAAGACTGGTTCCGTCGCAAACCTAGAGCAACGCACTCATAAGGGGAGGGCAGAAGGAATGGGAGGGCCAGAAGAGGCCTCCTGGGAGCAGTCAGGCAATTCGCCATCACAATCGAAACGCAATCCACTTGTATCCTGCAATGATGGCAAATGACTTAAACAGCTGGACAAGGAACTGATTAGGTCAAATGGAACCTAGTGCAAAAAAGGGCAATAGTAAGTAATTATATTTATGAGTGGAAAATGGACGTGGAATACGTAAGAAGCTTTCGGAAGAAACACGTACAGCAAAAGGACACAAGCCTTGAATTATCTGAATATGGCCGAAATGGAGGTATGTAGGGGAGGTACCAGATGAAATTGGGAAGTGGACTTTTTCCGAGCTGCTAGTCTCGTGACCTTGTAACCGGAATAGTCAAACTAGTCTAACTACTCCGTATGTATTGGTGTATACGATGGTTTTCATACGATACAACGTTCATACACTCTCTGATCTTCACATATAATTCATCTCATACTTTGAAAATTATTAGATGGCAATTTTCTAGGCCAATCCCACCAGTGCGAAGTGGTACGTTTTCTTTTCAGCTCATGTATTAGCCTTCAACGTGTATCATCTAGTCAAGATACGAGTCATATAAAATACTCCCGTGCTCCGTAAAACTTTCCCTGATTCAGCAAGCCTTGGTAACAATCAGATATGGGTGAGGACCTCAATGCTGTGCATCCATAAACCATATGGGTAGAGAAGGACACCCCATAGACACTATCCAGATACGGAATGCTCCGTATTTGGCCATCACACCTTTCGGCTGGTTATATTCAATATAGGTAAATACAAATGCTAGTTTTACAGGGTGACTCGGCCTGCGATCTGAACAAGAGGTGAACTGATGGCTATGACGATCATCTTGGTCCTGATCTTTCAAGCTATCCATGGACATTATGATACATCTCGCCCTTTCTTCACTACATCCCAAACATAGATAGGAAATGATACGGTTTTACTATTTTATCCAGCAGACCCACAAAGGTACTATAAACTTCACTATTTGATAGGTATCCATATGACCTATAACCTCCATATGTTGACAAATGGAGTTTGGAAGTCTATATCAGGCTTTTACTCTAGCAACAGCATCCAACGCCTGTTGAAACCGGCTGCTAAGGTCCGACACATCTTCCAAGCCAACACTTATCCTCACCAGGCCCAAGTCGACACCGAACGAACTTGCCTAAATTAATGGATAGTTATTAGTAAAACTAGGTTCCCATGCTTTTGTATAGAAACTGGGAAGATTCACGTACCCATTCTAATTCACCATAGTGTGCCAACAAAGTATAGGGGCAACTATGCATCTAGGTCAACAACAGCTTTACCGCCGACCTACCAGGACTATGACTATGACTTACCTGAGTGTGAAATTAGTTCCAAGACTGGGCCCTTTAAGTACTTCAAGTTGGTCAAAGAAGGCAACTGCCGCTTCTGTTGAATGGAAGGTAACCGAGAAAAGACCACCATATCCTCCACTCTGGTTGCGGAAAGCTTCGTACAGCGGCCTTGAAGGATTGCACTTCGGATAGTAGACCGTTTTCACTGCAAGATACTTAGTATTAAGCAATCTGGACTGGTACCCCAAGTCTGACACCGAAAATACAACAAAGGGAATGAGAGTCAGCTTACCGAGTGGTGATTTCTCCAACATTGCCGTGATTTCCTCCGTAGTGTTGTTGATCTTGTCAATCCTGGACACAAAATCGCGGCTATTTCTCTCCAGGAACACGGCGTCTTCTGCCCAAAGATTGTCCTCATATTCACGGGCACATGTATCTTTTAGAGACCGGTAATAGCGCCCATGGGGATTGAGCACAGCGCTTCCCCCCATGACATTACTGTCTCCACTGAAGACTTTGGTCAAGCTGCTAACCACAATATCCGCATAGGGGAGCACATTGATGTTGAGGAAGTTTCCAACTGTCTCATCCACTACGACGGCAAAATCATACCTGTCGGCGAGTGAACGAATTCTCTTCAAATCGGGGGCTTTCAGTAAAGGATTCCCAGGAAATTCAGTGAAGAGTGCGAGGAATTTCTCCCCGTTCGCTAACCGTGACTCCAAGTCATCGAGATCTTCTGATGAGCCATGGCCATAAAACAAACAGCCGGGCCCCCATTTTTGAAGTATCTTTAACGTGTCGGTATAAGGAAATCCAAAACAGATGCTCTTCATCTCACTCTTCGCAGCCATCAGCAATTGGTGAGCGTTGAAAATGGAACTCATCCCGGTTGGGAAAAGATATACATCAGACTCCGACAGTCCCGCGACACGACCTTCTCCTGACTCTTCCTCAAGCGCCTCGCTAAGCTCCACATCGGCAGTCAGTACACCTGCTATACGTCGCCGGACAGCCAGCTTTGCCTGACCGGCAAGCGCGGTACTCAGATTGCGACCAAATCGTTCTTCAATGAACTGGACATGTTCCCGACCATCTTGGTTACCGCTGGCTGCAGGGGTTGTACCTAAAATATTGTCGCATGCGTGTGCCCCATTTGCTTGAGGCTTTCCACTTATTGAATCCCGCCCCTGATACCTTCTGGGTCCCTTGCAAAATCTTGGGAATGTTGTTTCACAAGCTGCAGGTTTTCTATCCACGAGAAACCCATCCCTTAAAGCATTCAGGCAGAACTCGGCACGCCTACTTGATATACCATTGCCTGTATGTTGCCAAACCTGCTTGGCAATTGGCGCATACTGGATCGGATATATCACGCATGACAATAGCAATTCTGCCGTAGATGATCCGGCTTCTGTTTGATTGGGAGGGCCGAAATTTATTATCCGGACGTTGCAGGATTCACCGGCTGGTCTTCTCGACATGAGAAACGAATAACACACCCCTGCTGTTTTCGGAGATGGGAATAATAAAGCGGTATCCACTTCCGGGCTTCCATAGCGACGTACGATCTCCCTTGCTAAATCCTGGATGATGGGGTGTATGAAAAACCGAGGGTATCCGCATTGCATCTTATTCATAACCCACGACTCTCCTTCCTCATATGCCACGTTTGCTTGCCATGTCGGAAGAGATACACTGACTGCCTATAGCGATGTGAGTTAAAGCATAGTTTTGAAAGCAAGCCTTGCACAAGCGTGAACGAGACGAATGGGAAGGGGGTGGATAAAGACCGGGCGGGGTTGCGCGGGGTCGGGGCATACATGATCGGTGTGAGGAGGGACTGGGCCTCCAATGTCTTGGAGCATGGTAGCACGAAAAGACAACGACACAGAATCGTAGATTGTGGCTAGAGTTATAGGATGGAAGCTACTAGCAGAAAGAAAGCAGGGCAAGAAATGTTGAAAGAGTGGTGGAAGACAAGACAGAACTAGGACAATAGTTAACTAATTCTCATGAGTCAACAGCGATTTCGGCGCTGCCGCCAGAGTAGTTCGGCCCGTTCAACCTAAGGCTCGGATATCTAGGTCCTATTAGTACACGTCGATACATACATACCAAGGGCATTTACATGCTGAGTGCTGCTAATGGTACCTGCCATGTAGAGACTTAATATTACCAGATAATAACCGACCTGATAATAATACAGGTAGCAGGTACTACGATATGATGTGGCTTCCCCTCCGATCCTTCGCTCTAGTGATAGGTTGTATTTGGCCGGGTGGGCTTTCTGTGCCTTGCATCTTCCTGGCAATGTTGCTTTCATGTGCCTGACTTTTCGAATGCGGATGTCATCATGAAATCTTACAATTCGCCCTTTGAATGACACGGAGTAGGTTATCTAGAGAGTACAAGTACCTGGGTAAAGTACCTGAGACCTTAAACCTAATAACCGGGTCGCACATAAGCTCAGTACCACTCAATACTTTATAGCAACCAATATTAAAAACAATCGAAAAAAAAAAATCAGATGCACAACATTAAGATAGGATCTACCCTGGTATCAGACCGTGGAATTCGTGGGATGTAGAAATGGTTGGTGGCTTTATTTCTATTTAGTTATTGCTGGCTGATTACATAATGTAGATGGGGTTTCGGAGATCGGAGCTTACTTTCCCGTCAAAATTGAGAGGGCAAAAAAAAAAAGTAAAGGGACTGAAGCAAGAAAACGAGCGACGAAGCGGAAGTTCTAAGCTCAGCTAGACGGGCTATCTCGGTGAAGGAGAAACGCTACAGAAATTCAATTTGCATCTGCCAGCCTCCAAAGCTGACTCCCACCTTCACCGGAGTCTCTAATTGTTCTGCCTCTCCAATATGTCGACTCACTCAGCGAAAAGAAGGAGATTGAGCCCTCCCCCGGACGAATCCTCGCATGCACGAATTATCAACCGAGATAAACAGGCTGATAGTGATGGTTCCAATATTACCCGGAAAGCCGCCTCCTATACTCCGCGCATCACTGGAAGAGAAAAGAATGATCGTTCCGCTGAACTTGCGCTCGCCAGCGGCTTTTACAAGTCCAGTTTTTTCAAGCTACAGTTGGACGAGTTACTGAATGAACTGAGGCCGAACTATGATAAGCACGTATCGCGACTTCAGGAGACACTTCAGGAGCTGAAAACTGTTATCGAATCCCTTCCGGATAGGCCTCCGAAGTCAGCCCTAGAAGCAGAGAAAGAGCTGCGTGGCTCGCATGGTATCACTGTCCCATTCCCTGAACCTCGCCCAGGAAAGGATACAAAGTATACCGTCTCATACTCTAGACCATCCAATATTAACGTGGTGGGAAGTCTATCTCTAAGAACGGGTGCCAAAAGTTCCGAACCGCTCACAGTGGACCTGGCAGTGACAATGCCGAATACTCTCTTCCAGGAGAAAGACTATGTGAACTACCGTTACTTCCATAAGAGGGCGTATTACATCGCGAGCCTCGCGGCCGGGATCAGGGAGGCGGAAGGATTGGGCTTCAACGTTAAGTTCGGGCTTCAGGATGGCGATAGCCTCCGCCCTGTTATCCTACTGGCACCTAAACGAACCGACGAAAAGGAGCATGTGTCCGCTAAATTCCAGATCCGTATCATAACAGCCATCGAAGACTCACTATTTCCGATTTCTCGGACCTTGCCAGCAAGAAACAATATACGACAGGGCTCAACGGATGCGTCTGCGTCCGAAGAGTCTACTCCGCTCTACAATGCTACTCTTCGCTCTGAGGCCACTGTGACTCTGTATCACAAATACGTATACAACGCTGCTCGGAACTGTGAATCATTCAGGGATGCTTGCATCCTAGGCCGGACGTGGCTCCGACAGCGTGGCTTGGGTTCGTCACTGTATAGTGGCGGATTTGGTGGGTTTGAGTGGACGATACTTATGTCTCTTCTCTTCGAAGGAGGAGGCCCAAATGGAAAGCCTGTCCTTTTAAAGTCGTACAGTAGCTATCAGCTATTCAAGGCGACCTTGCAATTTCTTGCAGGAAGGGATTTGACGAGCCCATTGTTGTTTTCGGCTACGGATATTCCTTTTCACCACGGGGTTCCGGCTTTGTATGACGGCAAAAGAGGGTTGAACGTTCTATACAAGGTGACTCCTTGGTCCTATGCCTTCCTTCGCCGCGAGGCAAACACCACCGTCAAGATGTTAAATGAGTCCCGTGACGACAACTTCGACAAGGTGTTTATCATCAAAGTAAACGAACCCCTACTCAAGTTTGACCGGATCGTCAAGCTTCCGTCCCCGGACTGCGCGAGCGTTCTTCGAAATCTACACTGCCAAACTGCGATTTATGATGTGCTTGCTAAGGCACTTGGGGACAGAGCGGATCTTATACATATTTACGGTGGTGTTACCGAGCCCTGGCCGGTGGAGGCGAAGCCGAATCGCAAATTGGAGAGCAAGGGCGTCTTTGTGGGGTTGCTTCTGAATACCGAAAATGCTGCGCGTGCTGTCGATCATGGCCCGTTTGCGGAACAAAAAGAAGAAGCAGCATCTTTCCGGTCCTTTTGGGGAGAGAAGGCCGAGCTTAGGCGTTTTAAAGATGGCAGCATCCGGGAGAGCTTGGTATGGACTGATGAAGCATCTTCACCGTCTATAGTATACCAAATCTTGGCGTACATTCTGAGACGCCATTTCAATTACACGGAAGACGATTTGATTTATATTGGAGACGAGTATGACCAGAAGCTTCGCGAGGGCGGCGATAATGTCTTTTCATACTCTAGCCCGTCTTTTCAATCGATCACGGATGCTTTCAATTCCGTGCAGAAATCTATTAAAGACATGGATGGTGTCCCCCTCACCGTCAGGCAGCTAGCACCAGCTAGCCCAAGTTTGCGTTATACTGCTCTTCGATTGCAGGGTACCACCGGGTTACCATGCGACCCAGCGGACATTGTTCTACAGTTTGAGAGTTCGGCCCGGTGGCCGGATGACCTGAAGGCAATCCAGATGACCAAGGTGGCCTTCCTCGTTAGGATTGGGGACTGTTTGAAGTCGTCTGGAGTTGCTTCTCTTTGCAAAGTCGGGTTGGAGAACGAGTCAATTGGGATACTTAACAATGCCTTTCTGGACATTACCCATATGTCCGGAATCATCTTCCGCCTCAGAATCCATCACGATCGAGAACAGTTATTGCTAGAGCGTCAGCTGAAGGACAAGGGAGCTAGCCCGCTGACAAAGCAGCAGGTGGCCTACGCCTTGTCTGCGTATAAGCGACTCTTTATCCAAACTCCTCGTCTGACACAGGCAATTCGTACTCTATGTACACGCTTCCCGCTGCTGTCACCAACAATCCGCCTCGCTAAACATTGGTTCAACTGCCACCTGCTTGCAGGGCATGTCAGTCAGGAATTGATCGAGCTACTGGTAGTTCGAGTCTTTACCCAACCCTATCCATGGGACACCCCTTCCAGTGTTATGGCTGGTTTTCTAAGAACCCTTCACCTCCTTTCTCGGTGGGACTGGCAACAAGAGGCACTAATGGTTGATTTTGGTGAATTGGACCAGAAAGCAATGGAAGCAATACAGACTCGTTTCTCTGCCTGGAGAAGCATCGACCCGGCAATGAACACCGTCGCCTTATTCGTTGCTTCCGATATTGATGTTGACGGCGTGACTTGGACTCAACATGAGATGCCCCCCAAAGTCGTGGCTGCTCGAATGCGCACATTGGCTAAGGCGGCTATGAAATTGCTGCGCGACGAGGGGTATGGCCTTGATATATCGGATCTGTTCCATACATCCCTAGCGCCTTATGATTTTGTCATTAATCTTCGCGCGGGCTTACTACGTGAACATTCGGGCCTGTCAACAAGGTTCAAGAACCTAGACGGACGGAGAATCGCGCAGGCTGCTAAACCTGCAGTCGTCAAGTCCTTTGCCCGTGACCTGCAGGCCTGTTACAACCAAAACATGCTTCTCTTCCATGGAGACGAAGGTTGCAGTGTTATTGCCGGATTGTGGAATCCGCAGATCTTCAAACCAAAGAGTTGGACACTGAAGCTGGCATATTCAACGTGCCCAGTAGAATCCAAGCTCGCCGACGAAGTATCCATAAACCGCCAGGCCGTTTTGAGCGAAATCGCTAGGCTAGGTGCTGACTTGGTCGACAGTATTGAAGTTCACACAGGGTTGGCTTCGAAAGAGTAAAGATGGGATGTCTGTTGACAAACACTTTCCATTGCCATGTATCATTAAATACCTAGAAGCGCCGTTGCAATGCGATCGCGAAGGGAGAAACCAAAATATCGTGAAACAGAAAACAATGCCGAATGACACTCGTACATATAATATACTATTGGTCCTTTCTCCCACCTTCGTTCCATTTACGGGCCCGCAATTGCCTTCTCAGCCATCTCGATCGGTGCCTGGGACGAAAACGAACAGAACTTATCTTTGATCGCCACAACTTCATATGTGCCTTCGTCAGACGTTTTGATGATTTTTGTGTGTTCGAAAGAGACGTCGTGCTTAATGTCAAGGATCTCAGGCTTCTTCCCTCTTCGGGTATTCGAGCTCCGGATATACCTAAGTAATAGTTAGTCAAAAAGAATACCATCCGTCTTCAAGGGAACGAGCAACAGACGTGAACTCGAATGGGGGTGTGCCCCAGAAATCAAACTGAAGTTCTGCTTCTCCTCCTTCGTGTATATCAACAACTGAAACTTGGCCTTTGCTGATTCTGACACTCGGCATCTCGTGAATTGTCTTCGTTATATTCTTGTGTGCTTTGCATTTCCCGCTTGCACCGTCACCCACAGCAGTGATTGTGAAAACCCCCGGTCTTTCGGCAATACGACGGAAATTTGTGGTTCTGGAAGTGGCCCTTTTGGATGCTCCATCGAAAGTATAGAACACATCAAATGGGGCATGGCCAGACAGTGAGAAAGAGAGCCGCTCGCCGACACAATAGTCTGTCTTGGACTCCAGGGGGATTATTGTAGGCACGTCCGAGACAGCGACTCTCACCGAAGAAGTATCATATTCGGTTTCTTGCTGGCATCCGCGCGCATCTCTTACTTTGCGAATGCTGACAACATGTTGACCCAAGTCGAGATGACGTCGCGGTATAGGAAGATTATGCCGGTTGGACTTGATGTTGGGGATTGACACGATTTCTGGTTTGGCTTTCGAATGATGCTTGATGGAGATTTCGAGGGAAAACGGCGGGACGCCTTCCAAAGTGATGGGAATCAATTCCTCGCCGCTAATATCTTCTTTGCAGAAGCCATAGATACGGCCAGGCGAGTCAAAGCGCGCAGAAGGGAGAGGGTTTACCGTTTGCATCACGACCACCGGCCGGCTTCTAGGATCGTGGTCGTAGAGATTGTCGCCGACTTCTGTAAATTTATACGTATAGAGGCCGGCTTCTGAAGTGTCCATTTCCATGGAAGCAGCATGAAGAGCCGTCTTCAGACTCTGGAGTCTAACAGAAGGCGAACCACGAGACGTTTTCCGTTGTTGCTCGTATTGTATGTCATACGGAGGATTGCCGGACAGCCGGAGCTCGAGACTGTCATCTTCGCCTTGGCAGACATCACGCTTTACTATGTGACCGTCGCCACCGACAGGAGAGCCATCAACGGCACTAATCCGAGGACGAGGTATCCAGGACACTTCAAAGACGCTGGCTGACTGCTCGACAGAACCAGGGCAAGAACTATCGGTAACTCCAACAAGTTCATATCGCCCTTCCTGGGCTACCGTCAACACGCTATTTTCTTGCCAGAATGTTTTCTCAAGGACAGCAGAACTGGTATTCAAATTCCGATATCTCACATTCCACGGCCGCTCCCCGCTGAGCCTGACTGGAATGTCAACCTTGGAGCCTTGCAATGCCAAGTACTTTCTGCTCTTTTCAATCTGACCGAATGAGGCATGGGGTGGTTTTGAGCGAGCGTCAATTTTAATACTGTCCCTGAGAGTTCGTTTGCAATTCGAGCGGTCTTTGACGCTCGTGAGCACGACAGCATACTCGCCACCACTGACGAGCTTTTCAGTTACAATCGTGGCAATTTCGGTGTCAGACACCAGGTTGTATTTTGTCTTCTTGCCGTTATGGACAAGCTCGTATTGCAACGTCCACGGTGCTTCCCCTAAAAGGGCAATATCCATGGACACCGGCTCCCCGAAGCAAGCCTTGCGCACCTCCTTGGAACCAAGAAAATGGGCAGAAGCGGGGGGTTTCACATCTTGTTCGAGAATAGGCACCTTGTCTTTGAGGGATTGTGGAGCATAGACTGTGTCGGAGATGTCTAAGAAGCGATAACGATAAGAACCTGCCTCTGAAGGTGTGAAATCCAGCTGAGCACGTAGCCCATCGATAGTTTGAGTCTTTGTCTCCACGCCCTTCGAATGCTCAACAACATATCGAACTCGGAATGGTGGAGATCCAGTGAGGTCCAAGTCGACGAGCAGACCAACAGGGTTATTCGCGCATTTATCGAAGACTTTCTCATACTTGATAGCCAACTCCGGCTCCGGCGGATTGCGCAGGTAGCATGACGAAGGTTCCAGCATTTCCCCAGAGCAGAATTGACTAGATATAGAACCCAGGCTATACCAACCAGGATCCTTGATCTGAGGCTTCTGATCGAGACCGCTGAGTGACAGCCGACGGACTTTACTGGGCTGTTCACCCATACCTTCTGGATCGGTGCCGCTGAAAGAGTACACCAGAGAAAAGGGCCCGTCATTTGCATACCCTTGCCCAGAAGGGTGATATTTTATGGGAAGGTCGACACTGTCACCACGTGCAACCTCTAGGAAGCTCTGGTCATTGCAACCAAACAGAGACAACCGGGGTCTTTCGTGAACAGAAAACTGATGCCACTGTGACAATGCCTTTGCCGATGATCGGTCAAAAGAATCCAGCAATGCTGAATAGTTTGCAATGTTTCCTGCAGCATCATGGACCTCTTCAATGGTATAAAGCCAGTCCCCGCCGACATTCAATGATTCATTTAGAGGAACTTCAATGATTTGACTCTGAGCCCAAGCGACTTCGGGCTCTTTGGAACTGAAAAGGATACCGGAATTTCTCTGACCCAGCAAAGGCGAGCGCAAATTATCGGGTTGGATATTCTGGAAGGAGAACCCTCGGTCAAGATGGTTCACTTGTCTGCTGTATTTGATTTTCAATGGAGGTGTGCCTTCGACCGCGAGTATTAAGTTTGATAGTTCTCCCCGGCATTTATGGGTGTGTGAGTTCTTGATCAATGCCCGAGGACACGAGACGACAAGAGCGTCAGACGACCGCATATGTACGTCAAGGTTAGACTCATCCACTACCCTCTGCAGGCGATAAATTCCCGGTCGCCGAATCGAATAAAGAAGGTCCCGATGGAGATTTGACCCGGATATCTGATGATTCTTCTCAGCCTGTCGCTTTAGCTGCTTCAGCTGTTTCGATGATAGCGAGATCGTTTCGTTCGCGCCGGTGTCGAAATCCAAGCGTAACAACTCGATGAGGATTGGATCGGTCTGATTGACCCGGATTGGTAAGTTGATGGCATTGTTCTGTGAGTCTATGCAGAGCGGCACTTGGTCCGGGTTGAGGACAGCAGAACTGTATATGACCTCGGTCAGTGAGCTCAAAGAACAAGCTATTTCGAAAGAACTCACCCTTCTGGTAGGATATGGACAATCTGCTTCCCCAAGATGAGAGATGCGTTGTGAATAATATCTCCCGGTTTCACACTCCGCTCAGAGATAGACAGCTCTCTATCATAGGCCAATTTGACCATTCCTGCGATCCATGCCCCCACCGGAACCTGGTTACATGTTAGCAAGCCCTTATTTTACTGCGGCGACATGATCAAGCATACGGGAATCCGAAACATGAGGAATACATTGCCGACAACGTGGATTATGAAAATTGCAAGTGTAGTGGGAAAGGCCCATTCTAACCACGGGATGCGTAACGCCTGCAGACCGAAGAGAAAGATACCATCCACAGCAGCCCATTTAAGAAACAGCCAGGTCGAATCCAAGTCATCAGATGCCGTCCAAGACTCGTATACCCGCCAAGCATTCAGCGCGACATAGAAAGCCGCAATATAAAGTCGTTGCGACGGGGCATCTATTACCCCAACCGGTATGAGCGGCGAACTCGCATCATGAGTGGCTGTAGGTGCTTTTGAAGGTGATTGCCTTATTCCCACCTCCCGAGATTTATACTTAGATGGAGAATGGCTTAAATCTTTTATCCTCGGGGCTGTTTGTGGTGTCTGCGGAAAAGCAGACCGAAGTCGGGGAGTACCGTTCATGGCATGCTGTGACCATAAATCATTCACGGTACGACCAATCTATGTTAGATAGGACAGAATGAGTTTCCATGCTGTAAAGTGATAGATATAAGAAAGGAGCTTACCCACAAGAGTGACAAGAGCTGCGGGGGTCCTGGATCTGCCTTGGAGGGGGTTTATTCTGTGTTGAGAATCCAAAAGAGAGGAGGGTAGGGGGGGAAACAGAAGGCTAGCTTCTTTTGCGCGTAATGAAAAAGCTTTGGGACCCAAGTCAAGCTGTCGCGTAATCCAATCGATCTCTCTGATTATTCGACAAAATGTTTGGAGATATGGGAGCGCGGTACAACCAGGATGGAAACGAGGTCCAAAAAGATGCAAGGGTCCAGCTTTTAGCTGCCGGGGCGCTTTTGCAGATGGATACAGGACCGGTGTACGGAGTAACCCGTAATGATGTATGATGATCACATCACGTGCTGTAGGTGATGGGTACTCCACCATAGTAGTATGATGATTGGAGCGCGCGCAAACAAGTGTGTCCTGTCATAGCAGGTAGATATATCTACAGAAAACTCAAGGGGACCTTTACATCGTACGCTTAACCGTACCATTATGATGTTTGGCGCCCTTTGCACAAGATTGTAGTTGTTGAAGTTACTGTCGGCATAGAGGGTGGTGGTAGTAGAGACATGGTAACATCCTTATTCCGTCATGGAAGTCACTTCATTGTTATTTTTGTAGTAGTTAATAATAACGGTAGGTACGTGCGCAAAGCCGCACCTGTATCCGTATTCCAGGACACGTGCTGTGAGGAGGGTATACGACCGAAACCGACTTATGCGCCAAGGTCATAGATTTGCACTAATTCCTCATATCCCATAGCTCTGGCCATTCTTAACTGTGTTTGTACAGTGACACGGTGTTGTCTTAGCCAATTTATTGACACCTGAATCGCCAGCTTCTCCAAGTTGGAACAATTGTCCTACGGTCATCTCCGTCTAGATGGCTCGAAGGACTTAACGCTCACTTCGATAGGTCGGTGCTAAGTGCTCGCCTTGTCCCTTTATAACTTCCAACCTGGGTCTGCACCGAATTATCATGACACAGCAAATGAAACAACCACGGTTGGATGCACAACCCAATAGCGTTTTAAACGATGGCACCGACTGCTCAAATGAACCATGCCCACCAGCATCGAGACTGGAGAGGGATAACTGGAACGGCTTCTGTGAGCTTGAATCAGAACCCGTATGACCATAAACCCGAAGTCTTTCTTCACTTTCTGGCTATCCAGCATGGTTAACTTCCTTCTATAGGCTATATTTAATGTTATGCTCCGAGAGTTCGGAGTGAAGGGTGTCAAGGTTCAAGAAGTCATATCACTCGATGAGGAAATAATGGCAGTCTTGAAGTGAGCGCCACTGGAAGAACAACTGACTCATTACCTACTAAGAACTTTTACTCCCGCAGTAAGCCGATTTTTGGCTTGATCTTTCTATTTCGTTGGCGAGAGGACGATCCAGACAAGCAAGAAGCGAGCTGTCCAAAGGGCCTCTGGTTTGCCAATCAAGTTCGTCCGTTCCTGCTCTATGTCCCTGCCATGAAGCCAACTGCTGACGATTCTGGATAGACAGCCAGTAATGCTTGCGCTAGCGTGGCTCTTCTGAACATTGTAAACAATGTCGAGGGCATCGACCTTGGAGAAAATCTGCAACACTTCAAAGACTTCACCATGCCGTTCACTCCCGCATTGAGGGGGGATGCAATCAATAACTTCGATTTTGTAAAAGGAATACACAATTCATTCGCGAGGTAAGTACTTTGCTCAGTGAGAACGTCTGCCTTGGCTAAGCTGGAAGCAGGAGAATGGACATGCTTGGCTCCGACTTCCAGCTCAAAGCCGAAGCCACATCGAAGCGAAGTCGCTCTGCCAAGATTAAACATGCGGATGATGAAACAAACGCGGGTTTCCACTTCATTGCCTTTGTTCCTGCCTTGGGTAAGGTGTGGAAATTTGACGGTCTAGAACGCCAACCCCAGGCGCTTGGTGAGTGAGCAAATGAATCATACATCGGTAGTCATCACTGATTGGATGGAATTGTAGGCTCTTGCTCACCGGAGAATGATTGGCTGAACCTAGTGAAGCCCAATATTCGCACCAGAATGGAGGAATACGAAGAGGATCAGATTGAGTTCTCCATCTTGAGCGTTGCCAAGGATCCGCTGCCGGAGCTCGTTGGTCAGTTAGCGGTCAATGTAAAGAGCCTAGAAATTGTTCACAGGCGCATAACCGCAAGCGCAGAGGGGCCGACCGAATTGGGATCGACTGTTGCGGATTCGATGCTTGGAGCTACTGTTCTGGGACCCGATGAGACCTTTACACTGACGAAAACAATGATTGACCAAGCGTCTATCCCTGCTGTACAACATGGGAAGTACCAAACATGTTCGATGGGAGAACTCATCCACCACCAGCAGGAGTTGAGTCATGCCCAGCAGAATCTCCGAGTTTTGATCCGGGAGGAGCAACAATCACGGGAGGCAGATGATGACTATGCCGAAGGCCGAAGATATGACTATGGCCCAGCCGTCCAAACATGGCTACGATTCTTAGCACGGAAGAGGGTCATCGAGAACTTGCTGTGACGCCGCCAGCAGACCATCATATGGATGTTGTCTTCTTTATAGCAGCTCTCCTGCGTCGTGCGTAGAACGTGCCATGGCCACTGATAAATGCGGATGACCTCATCGACACTACTCACGATATGCCAATCCTGGCGTGTGGCTCGGGGCAGGGCACTGATGATCCAGCGACTTAAGGTAGCGGTATAGATAGATATACATCGAAGCCATGGAGGCAGGTCGGGACGCCAAGCCCTGAGAATGAGGGGCAAGACCATAGATTCTTATTACCTATTGATCGATGCATAGAGTGACTACTAGAAGTATTCTAAATAGGCGGCGCCTTGCCGTTGTTGGTGCAGCCGAAGGAGATGGATGTGTGGATGTACACTGAGGAACGTATTGTAGACCAAGCAGGAAACCTCGTGATACACCGATTGGATGACAGTTCGCGATGACTGCTCTGCCTTTAGCGTACTCAGGTGGTTCAATGTCTGAGAGTCCTCCTGATGCATTCCGTTCCCGCCTGGCGGCAGCACGCGCGCGCGAGAGAAAGAGAACTGGAGAGAGAGAGAGAGAGAGAGAGAGAAGGAGAGCCCTAAAGGCGATTCTTCCTCGGGGGTTGGACCCGATACAACGATCATTACCGAACGAACCGGACTGACGACTACTCCCCTTTCTTCCGTACTATATCTACTACTTACGATATTCCGTAGGGCCCGGTGGGACGCAACTAGGCCTTCTTCCCATCCCTTTTCTCTCCTTTTCTCATATATTGCCGGTCAGTCGCGGGGAGTTGACGATCATTTTACCTGCCAATTTGTGCTGGGAATACTCCGTACGGAGTACGTCTATCCTACTCCTAGCTTCTGCCATCGTGGACTGGTCGGCGTGACTTCTCTGCTTGGCCTTAGCCAAGTCCTCCGATAACTAGGTGACGGTGACGTAGAAATTAAGAACGTCACCGCCTGGAGTTCAGTGCACGCGCCCGCCGCGTTATTGTTTCAGCGCAATCTGCACTTCGACTTTGCTGCTCGAGTCCCTGGCTGGTCCTTGTCGGTTTGATTAAACGTGTATCTCTACCCTCTGTACCCGCTGTGCAGCCATTCCTCATCTTCAAATCCTCTGATCCTCTGCGAGTCTGCCAGGTGCACACCGCAGATCTCGCTCAGACGCTCACGCCCGACCCTTTCTTTCGCCACAAGCGACGCAAAGAACGTCGCCATCATTTCTCCTTGTCGGATTCCCTTTCCTGTCTCGAGTCTGGAGCCCATCATGTCTTCGGTCACGGCCCAAGACATTCCCGAAAAGATCCCCGATGATTCTTCCAAGTTGAAGACTTTCTTGTCTATTCTCCGAAAGTACGTGGGAAACTGAGATACGCCACCCCGTCCCCTACTGCTCCGTACATCTCGGTCAGTTTGTGCTGATAGGAGCGTGTGGCCTTGCCAGGTTCGTCGGAGTGGCCGACATCGCGTCTGTTCGTTTCTCATTGCCTGCGCATCTTTTAGAACCGACTCCCAATCTAGGTAAGTCGTCCCTTCATGCTAGAGCACACGAACCATCTTCGCCAGCGGATCGCTAACCAGGACCCTCGCCTTACAGAATACTGGAATTACCTAGACAGACCGGAGGCCTTTGCAAGGTCAGCAAGATAGCCTGTTCATGGATAAGGTCTGTTTTCTGACATGAGTGTCACAGCATTGGTCAATCAGAGGATCCGCTGGGACGGACGCTAGAGGTTCTGAGATTCTGGTTTACCAAAGACCTGGTATATATTGCTCTTCCCATTTCCTCTTCAGTTGAGGCCATTTCACTGAGTGAACCACAGAAATACATTAAGGGCAAACCATGCAAGCCGTACAATTCTACATTGGGAGAGTTCTTCAGGGTAAGTCCAGATGCGGAGGCAGTCTGCCATGATTCATCACAGATGCACTGACTGGCCTGGAAATTTAGTGTAGCTGGGAAGTAGACCAGACACTCCCAGAAGTGACGCCGGCTTCTAAAGCGGGCACAATAGATGCCGTCCCTAGCGTGAAGAATGGCAGCGGAGAACCGGTCAAGGTATGCTACTTGACCGAGCAAACATCTCATCATCCACCGGTATCGGCCTTCTTCATTGACTGCCCAGACCGGGGACTCTCGGCTCGTGGGTTTGACCAAATCAGTGCCAAGTTCACCGGCACCAGCATTAGGGTTGCCCCTGGCCAGCACAACCTCGGGATCTTCGTCAATCTTAAAGACAGGGATAATGAAGAGTACCACTTGACTCACCCTGCGGCACATCTTGGTGGCCTGCTTCGAGGGGCTTTGGCGATTTCCGTCTCGGACACCTGCTATATCACCTGCGCCAAGACGCGCATCAAGGTCATTCTACAGTACTTAGAAGAGGGCTGGATCGGTCGGGCGCAAAATAAGGTTGAAGGCGTTATCTTTCGGTACGATCCTGATAAGGATGTCATCACGAGAATTAAGGACGTTCCCGAAACCGATGTTCTGGCTAGGATCGGCGGTTCGTGGCATGGGCAAGTCTTCTACACACTGGCCGGCACAAGTGATCCTCGACCTTTGATTGATGTCACCCCTCTTTTCCCGGTCGCAAAGACGCTGCCTCCCGAGGAGAGCCAACTTTCCAACGAATCCCGCAAGTTCTGGTCTTTAGTCACCGAGGCGATACTCGACAAGAGGTATGGCCAGGCCACCAAGCTCAAGCAGGACATCGAGGAACGGCAACGGCAAAGGGCAGCAGAGCGTCAGAAAAATAACGAAGCATGGCAACCTCGGTTTTTCACAGGCGCTGTCACGCCTTTGGGAAGGCCAGAGCTAACTGAAGACGGTTTGAAGGCGCTTGAGGGTGTACGCAGCGGCAATTATAAGTTGGAAGAGAGTGAAATAAAGGGTGCATAGAGGCATCATCTCCATGGGTTTCATTGTACATGGACAAATATGGCGTATGCGAAGAGACAGTTTTGGTGGCAAATGGTTAGAGGTATTCGTTTGGTCTTTGAATTTCTTTTGGTTGCCCCGGGGTTGCACTTCTGTCTGCTATGCCAATGGTATTTGGCGGGTTTAGATCTTTTTTTCATCAAGCGGTGGGGCCCTTTAATGCGAACTATCGATGGAGACATTCTAGAAATTGCTGGTACAAAGTAATTGATGCAGCGGAGAGGTGTGATTTCCCCAACATTCACTATTCCTATCATAGCCGACGTTGGTGTTGGCCTTCTATGACCTAGGGCTGCATGCATGAGTGCGCCTAAGTATGCAGCGGAATCCTCGCACTTGTGGTATATAAATGTCCAGTGTTTGGCAAAGGCCCATGTCAACTCACACAAGACGCTGTATATGAACATTTATAAGGGCTCCTCAGCACAATGGACCCCAACAGCCAGTTCAGACCCTAAAGGAGGTTTCCACGAAGCAGAACGAACCATACAAACTCCATGAACCAAGCACAGCACCCATCCGCACTTGACCAACACCCGCCTTCAACTCCGCAAAATTCGAATCCTTGCGCCAATGTAGAGACCAGAATCCCAAGTCATCATTAGAAAAGCATAACTTCATTCGCTTAGGCACTTGCTGTGACAACTTTGTTGAATCCCGCAGTTATTGTCTTCGTTATTTCTTCGTTCTTGTGAGGAAGAAGAGACAGTGCATAAGCGACATCATTCCATTGCCGCTCGGTTTCGCATCTTGGAAGTCGAGCAGCCAGTTTGTCTGCCAGTTGTCGGGCGTGTTTCTCCTAAAATGGCAAACAAGGTTAGAACATGGATCTGGACCGTATACTGTTTGGACACTCCTGTGCAGACTTACCTTCTCAACAAAGCCAATCAAAAATTTGACGATACGCCTCAGAGACGCCTCCTCAAGGTTGCGCTCCGCACTCAGAAGGCTGAACATGTCAACAAAGTGATTATAAACTGCATTGTCTTTGCTCGCCAACTCAGTGAAGAACATGCGTGCCAGGTCAGCAATCCGCTTGTCTTCATCCTCAAGGCACTTAGCCATCTCGCCCAACTGTCCTTTGACCTTAACCTGGCCGGCTAAAATAAGAAATGTGAGCGTCATCAGACAGGTGCGCTTGACTGAGGCATCGCTGTCGTTCAGTCGACGATACAAGAAGTCCGTATTCTCATCAATGAGATGGTTAAAACAGACGGCCATATCTCCCAAGGCGATCACAGCGTTACTGCGAACGGTTGGATCTTGGGAACGCTCCATAATGGTTATCAGGAGAGGGAGGTTTTTCTCGCAGTAGTCTGCTGAAACACACATCAGCTTAGCCATGCACAATGTTGCCGCTGCCTGAAGGTTGCGGTCAGCGTAAATGTTGCTATTTGCGCAGATCTCCATAACCAACGGTCCAAAATTGGACAGGAGTGAATGCTCCCCATATAGCAATTCCCGTTCCCGGATATGTGCCATAGCATCCTGGAAGTCGTCCTCAGTCGTTCCACCAATGAGGTCAAGTTCGTCATCCTCGGCTGTGTCATTGTTCTTTTGGGCTGAGGCAATAGCCGCTTTATTCTTCTCCTGCTCGGCCTTACGGCGCTTAAAGTCGAGTTCACAAAGCTCGAGGTGGACAATCTGTTTAATTGCAATATGACCGACAACGAAGAGCAGCTGAGATAATGCAGCGGAGGGTGTTCTATGACTTGCTCCCTGGTCGTCCGTCGAGGCTGTCCCGGGTTGTTCTTCACCCCCCTCATCAGAGACTTTCGAAGAACTTCGAGTCGGTGACTGAAAGACGGATCTGGTTTTTCGTTTAAGAAGATCGGAACACAGGACGTCCGGATGCTTCGACAAGGCATAAATGGCGCCAATCGCTTGCTCCGCCACGCCATACCATTCTTTACTGTCAGATACTGTTTCAACTATTGCTGCAAGCTTCGTTAAAACGGCATGGTCATTTGTCAGCTTCGGGATGCCAACGTCCTTGGACTTCGCCTGGCGACCTGGCACCATTCGTCGTAAAGCAATGCAAGTATACTTTGCAAGCACAAGATCGGATCTGCCCAGGCTTCCAAGCCCGATACGCAGCATTGTCTCGATTTCCTTGATGACGACTTCGGGGTCTGCCAAAGCAAGCATACCAAGGACGATTATTGCACCTCGACGCTGTGTCCTCGAGATCTCTTTCTTCTGCACGCCGTAGACCTGCCAGAGCTTCGCAATAACAGCGTCTGAGATATGCCCTGCCCTCATCATAGTACTCAATAGCTGCTCGAGACAAGTGAGTTCTGCGGGAGTCGAGCCAAATGTCAGACTGATCATGTTTCGGGCAATGTAATTTGCAGCATCATTCGGACTAAACGAATCCGGCGCCTCGAAGAAAAGCCCTTTGTAACAGTCGATCAAATGGGTTTGAACTCCCTTGCCTTCGTCGCTGTTACCTTTCGTCCAAATCAGCCGGAGCATTCGCCGGATCCCACTGCGAGAGGTCTCAACCTTGTACGCGTCGAGTACAACAAAAAAATCCATGGCCTCGATGGCCTCACTCTTGTTTCTTGACGACAATAGCTGGGCAACCAGATCGGAGGAAGAATGGAGGACCTCGATGAATCGAATAGCTTCATTATAGTATTTCCTTGTCAGTTGCAGTCGTGCTAGCAGTTCGGACGTGGCCGCTTGCTCAGCGGCTTGCTTGATTGCCACAGCCTTCTCTTCCTCCGTAAGTCCCGAAGTTTTAGAGGGAGACTCTTCCGGTAGTTGAGTAGCATCATCCAACAATGCACTGTCAACGTGTGATGCCTCTGCCCCATCAAATCCGGGTGTCTCAGGAGGCCTAAGTGCATTCAGTTCAGCATCCACGGCGTCGAGTCTAGCTGCCCATTCCTTGTGCGAGAGTTGTCCCCCATGCATGACACTAAACGGGTGGGTTGAAACCAGCTTTGCAAGCAGCCTGATCGCATTTCGCCGCACGTTACTACTTCTGTCTTCCAAGCTCCTTGCCGCTAGCTCCGCGACAGCTTGCCGTCTCTTGGGGAACTTCTGTTCTAGGTCACATATTCTCATATATACCTGGATAGCTCGGCACCGACAGTAAGGGTTAATATCAAGGAAGCGCTCCTCGAGCACATCGAAGAACGCATTTATCTGCGTTTTATAGTTGTCACTTCGCTCCTCTTGCCGGCTTAGGTCGGAAATGAGATTCCCGAAGACTTCGATGACAGCACAACGAAGCGTATATGACTAGAAGCTATTAGCTACACATTGGTGAAAATCAGATGGAGAAAAATGTGCGCGGTTACCTCGCTGTCCAGCTGCTTGGCCAGAAGTGTCATTTGCTTTATGATGAGTCGCGGGGCCAGTTCCGAGAGCTTCACAATGAAAGCAGACACCGACTTAGGCCCACGGGTATCATTGGAGTTAAATTCTTTGTTTCCAAGCTCCCTAAGACATGTTAGGTATGGGGGTCATTATGTACGAACAAGGATAGGTTTTATACTTGAGGATTTCATCTGAGAGCTGAGGGTAATCATATTGTTCCGCGAGAATGTGTAAAAATTCCGCCATCGGTTCCGACAAGTGCTCGAAGTATGTCAAGCTTTGTACAATAGAGGTCTGGGCTCCTACCCCGCGAGTTAGTTACACCCCACTTGAGCGGGTGCATCACAACTTACCAAATGCATGGCCGTGATGTTTAACTGCAATGCAAAGGACCTTAAATGCATGCATCCGAATGCTCATACTCTTCACACGCTGCTCACTCTCGAGGATGAGGTAGATTGAGCGGGTGAACAGATTGATAAATGTATCGCGGTCAGATGTTGTTAGAAATATTCTGCTGAGCTTGAGCTTCATCACCTTGCACATGGTTTCCATTGATATCTGAATCTGCGCTGTCCAGTCCCAGTTACCATCCTTGGCATTTGCTTTGGATCTGGCAGATTTTCCTACGCCTCTGCGGGCGGGTGCAGGCTCTGCCGGCTTTTCTGCAGCTTTGACCTCCACAGCACTAAGAGCCCATTGCAGAAGAAAGCCATACATTTCTAGTAGCTGCTTGTGATGTTGTATACCGTCCTGCTCATCAGACTCAAGATCATTATGAATTATATCCGCCTCGACTGATAAGCCGGAAACCACCAAATCAAGAAGCTTGCTCAGGGACCTGGTGGGGGAAAGTGACGAGTATCTGGAGAGAATGAAATGTTTAGAACCGAGTCTATTGAAGTTATGCATCTCGGGATGTCAGGGGCCAGGGCGCACTTTAACAAGAATTGCAATGAATCAAAAAAGGATGGTCGGGCCAGTCCTTCTGGGTTTTCCGCGACCGCATCGACGATCGGGTTCAGTATATTGTCAATTAAGGCAGTAGGAAGTTGATCTGGATCGTTTTCGCAATCGAGCAGCTCCGGATCAGCACCGGGGGTAGGAACAGATGCCGGGTCGCTCAAATAGTACTTCAGCGACTCATTGATGTCGAACTGGATCCGGTCCTCCATGATTGGTCACTGCGAGGGCTGTCCTCGAAGGACACGAAGGTTATGGGTGACGAGTAGTAACAATATTTTCCAAAGGATGCTAGGATGGCGAGCCGGAGAGGAGGGGCAGGTTGAAGGAGAGTGGGCGTCAGAGGGAAGAAGTGGTGGCGGTTGATGCGGGCGGACCTCATTTGTTTGTATCTTTCCTTTTCGGTAGTTCTGAAGGCGGCGGGACAGGGTTGCGTACCAGTAAAATAAATCACATGTTTATGCGGTACCATAACTTCATGACGTAACTACAAATTACACCACTCCAGTTTCCACTAACTGTACTCAGTACTGGAAGGCTGTAACGTGTATTTGTGGTAATGATTCACATCACGACGTGTACAGGGAAACCGTACCTTGCTGTTTACATACTAGTAATTAAACAAACATTCTTATTCCCGATGTGCCCGGACCTAACCCTTTGGATTATTGTTGGAAGGTACCCTACTCCGTACTACAACACCGCATACAGTATTTGGACTCCTCCGCACATGTCCCACACGCGTGTGCGTGCGTGACTTGGTTTCTAATTGACTCAGTAATACTGTTCTGCACTCAATGGTATATCTTTATTCCTTGCCTCCCTTCCCTCCGTGAAGAAGAAAATCGTCGGTCCTACTGCTTCTACCTTGTTGTGTTGTCAGACTGAATTGTCCTACTAGCATATGCAGACGTGATCGAACCACCTCTCATTTGCCCTGATTATATGTCTATGACGACCCTTGAGGGCTTCTGTTGAAATGTCCACATTTCATGCAGCATCTGCTGATATCTTTGGCGCACAACAACCTGCCGCTGCGAAGCCGGGCCCCAAGTATGCTGGGGAAGATAGTGCGGCCACGGATAGCGATGGATCAATAGAACAGATGCGAGAGGATATTGGGTATGGGGAGGACGATCCTCAAGACAATGAGGATATTGATGACTCAGTGAAGGAAGATATGAGAAAACTTGAAGATACATTTCCCGGCATATCTGACAGATTTCGGCTGGTGAACAGGATCGGAGAAGGTATGGAATGGTTGATCAACTTGCTTCTAGCTGTGTTCCTTCACTTACAAGCTCACTCCGCTTGAACCAAACGACCGACTGACTGGCTATGGAACCGCAGGTACCTTTTCTACCGTGTACAAAGCAGAGGACCTTTTATACGACCACTATGAAAATGACTGGGACACATTTCAAGGCAATCGCACGGATGGTTGGACGGATCCTCCGACTAAAAGACGACGGGTGGAAGGCGACAACGGCCGCTCAGTTCCGGTCAAACGAAGGAAGCCGCGGTTTGTTGCATTGAAGAAGATCTATGTGACGAGCAGTCCCCACCGCATTCAAAATGAACTGGAGCTGCTACATGATCTTCGCGGTTGTCGATCAGTTTGTCCGTTAATCACAGCCTTCCGTTACCAGGATCAAGTCGTGGCTGTCTTGCCTTTCTTTCCTCACACTGACTTTCGCATTCAATACCGCACGTTTATGGTCGCTGATATGCGACATTATTTTCGATCTCTATTTACCGCGCTGCACTCGGTCCACAAACACAACATCCTCCACCGCGATATTAAACCGACGTAAGGAAGCATGCGCGCTACTCATCGTTCTTAACTTCAGTCGGATACTGACTTATGGCCTTGACAGTAATTTTTTGTACAATCCTGATCTTCGGGAAGGCGTATTGGTTGACTTCGGCCTTGCAGAAGTGAGTTGAGCTACTATGATCATACCATGCGGCATAATACTGAACTGTTGCCCTAGCGTGAGGGGTCTGAGTATACAGGTACTTGCCTGTGTGCGAATGCAACTTACATACGCCGTAGTAGATTTAACCACAGCTACCACCACACTCATTGTTCACCGACAACACTGTCAGCTGGCTATCCCAAGAACGACTCACGGCCATCGAGGCGTGCTAACCGAGCAGGAACGCGAGGGTTCCGTGCACCTGAAGTCCTCTTGAAGTGCACCTCCCAGACAACCAAAATAGATATGTGGTCTGCAGGCGTTATTCTCCTGACCTTACTCGGGCGCCGGTTTCCATTCTTTAACTCGGCTGATGATGTCGACGCGATGATCGAGATGGCGAGTATTTTCGGTACGCGACGCATGAAGTCCGCAGCAGCCATGCATGGACAAATATTTGAAACCAACATCCCTACCATTGGTGAAAAGGGTTATAGCTGGGAGAAACTTGTGAAATGGGCCAGCTGTGTCGAAGAACTAACTGAAAGTGAGAAACAAGCCACTCGTTTGTTAGCTGGTCTCATGGAACTGGATCCCTATAAACGTCTAAGCGCCAGGGATGCCTTACAGCACGAGTTTTTCACTGACCCTATAGACCATGATGTGGAATGGGGAGGGCACCCTGAAGATAGCGCGGACACTGGGGAAGAAGACGAGGACAAAGAAGAGGAGGCAGACGAAGTAGCAATGATATAGAGCCTCTGAGCTAATGTATGATAACGGCATCTGGCGTGACGATAGAAAAACCAAATCATGATTGAAATAAGCGATCCATGATATGTCTGAATGATCGGGTCTGGCAGTGAATTCCCTGCGTGCATACAGTTAGCGGGGACACTTCATGGGTGCAACACGACAAAGGCAAGAGGAGAGACACAGGAAATAATACAATGATTTGGTATTCTGAAGTTCCCCAGGCCCAATGGGCGTGTCTCTCAATGACTGCCGGCCCAAAACTATATACGGGTGTACATATACTTCAAAAATTAGATACCCAGAAAAGCAACCCAACGCGGATTCGACCAAGCCGCTGTTTAACTAGCCTCCCCAAAGTCAACATGCCCTGACTGTTCGGCATGTTGAGTCGCGCCTTTCTCCCCGATAAATGTCCCACCACATATATTACAGCGGAGACGAAAGCCAGCTGTATCAGTGTAGTAATGCCTGCTTTGTAGGATCTGGCAGAGCTCGAGCGACTTCTCAAGCACCAATGGATCTGCGGCGTCAAAGACTTTGGTATCGAATTCAGGAGGCACATCGGCGTGAGTAAAAGGAGGACTAGAAGGCGATAAAGCAATTGTATCGTAGTGGATTCCCGAATAGACTACGATACATCGCAGTGGAGCGCCTTCGTTGAATCGGTCGATGCGAAGGGTCTGCACGTCTATTGAACAGATTTCAATGTCGAAATGCTTGCTTAAGATGCTCAGCTCAATCCCGCCGCCCCATGAGTCCTCATTCTGGATCCAGCGGCAGTACTCGTCCGGCTTCTTCTCCAGTACCGCCTCGGAATAGAGGTCCGGATTCGCTTGGATTGTCTGCGCAATAACAGACCGTAGCTCGGTCATGACATCCACTCCCCCCATGGTCGCACTGCTCACCGCGCGAAAGAGACAGGAATTGTCATCAGGCATGATTCGGAGAACGAAGGTTCCGCTGTGCTCAAGCGAGGGAACCTCCGGCGGATCATCAGGGGAACCTTTGTTCGGTATTTTGTCTGATACTGGCAAATTCAGTGGCTGCTTTGCCGCTGGAGGTTCGTCGCTGACTCGGGTTGGCGCTTGGGTCGAGTTCTCTCTCTGTGTGACGATAAGTTGTTCCCCGTGCAGAGTGATCCCGAGATCTGCAATCTTCTGACCCAGAGGAAGCCCGTCCAGCAACATTGGCTTGATATCGGGGTAACCATATTTTACATCATAGCTCTCTAAGCCAGTTCTATCGGTGATTTGGCGGCGGAGATCGTCGATAGTTGCGGCTTCATCCAGCGTGACGCTGGACTGTCCCGCCGGACCGCGGATGCGGATCCTCATCCTGTGACGTAGTCGCAAGGGCTGGAGGGCTGGAGGTGGAAAGAGAGAGAGATCTGGGTCAGAGGGGTGGCTTCTAAGGAATCAGCTGCGGTAGCGAATGCTCGAGCGAGGGTGATGGATGGCAATTGACCAGCAACTGATCCAGGCACCTGAACAATCGTGGGTAAAGGGAAGAAGGTATCATCTCTCCGCTGGGACCTCGGAGGGGAGATGCCTGACTCCGGCGAACTACCGGGTATTACTTACACGCTCGTACCGATTGAGTCGGGAGGGCTGTGTGGCAGTGCACCTGGGAGGCCCGTGTCTGTATGTTATCAAACCGGGCCGTACGTCCTGAGTCGGGACTGTATGAAATTACGCCGTATTGTGGCTGCAAGCTGCTCTGCTGAGTCAGCATAGTTGCTGCGCGAATCTCGTCCTTTGGCGCTTTTGCGCTCGTTCTGCTTCTGTTCGCACTCCATGTCGGCTCGCTCTGTCGACGTGCTCGACTGACAGAATATCTTGAGAATAATCGACGAGTCGGTTTGGGTTCTGATCTGCGCCAAGTTTCCTGCGTTGTCGCGGCCGTTGACAGTATGGAACCGGAGCCGTCGCAAGCGCAACCTCACCCTGCTCCTGAGGAACCGGTCAAGTCGATCGAGGATGACGGCAAGGCCCGCAGCCTGACAGCGATAGATGGGATCACGGACGAGCAATGGAGGTCAATGATGAGCGTTGTTCTGGCTATCTACGAATACAGAGAGGAGGAGTAAGCCTTGCACCCCCGTTTCGACCCATGAAAGAACGAGGCGGCCTGGCCGCTTGTCGCATTCTGTCCCGGGCTCGATACTAGAATCCCTCATTTGACTGACAGTCTTCGCCTTTCACGGATTACAGTGGCCATGATCCATCGAGACTATTCCAACGGAGCGTCAACAAACGCAATGTTCCCGATTATTATGATATTATCAAGGAGCCCATGGCTTTAAGCATATTGAAACAAAAGATCAACAAGCGCGAGTATAAGAGCATCCCCGAGTTCGTGCGCGACTGTGCTCTAGTATGTACTCGCTCAGGCTCTCGGCCTGTCTCCACTTCCTAACCTGCCATAAGCCGAGGCTATGGGAAACTGACGTTGTCCCTATCCTAGATCCCTCACAATGCGCAAACCTACAACCGCCCAAAATCTCAAGCGTATGAAGATGCGCTCGTAATAAAGGTCTGTGGCAACTTGGGCTCTACTCTGACATGGTGATACGTTTACTTTCGATTTCGCTGACCATACCTGGTAACAAAAGGATGTTTTTATCACAGAGTTTCGAAAACTGGTGAATCAAGGGGTTATCACTACGGAGGAAGCTGAACTCCCTGATCTTGGAGAAATCCCCGAAGCAGACCCCCTCCCAGAGGAAGAGGATGAGGAAGACGAGGACGAAGAAGACGAGGAGGATGAGGAAGATTCTGATGATGAGAGTCGACGAAAGAAGAAGAAGGGCTCTCGTCCAAGTGGTAAACGGGAGGGTGGCAAAGACGATGGTCAAAAGTCGAATGATCCTGAGCTGCGGAAGAAGCGAGGCCGGCCACCGCGGGTTGACACCCCAATGGAGGCTAGAATCAAAGCGATCCTAAAGGGGATTCGTAAGCTGAAAGGGCCCGGCAACCAACTTAAAGTGCGACATTTCGAGAGGCTGCCCGACAAGGCTACATATCCGGACTATTACGTGGAGATTCGAGAACCCATTGCCATCGACATCATCAAGCGGAAGTCAAAGCGGAAGAAGTACAATTCGGTGGACCACTTCATGAGAGACATGGACCTTATGTTCAACAACGCGAAGGCCTACAATCAGCCCGAGAGTCAGATCTATAAGGACGCAGTTGACCTGCAACTGGAAGCGCGCAAGCTGGCTGAGCACGAGAAGAAAAAGCCAGACAGTGAGTACTTGATGGAGGATGGGCGCCTGCCCCTACCCGACGGCATTCTGCACAAGGGCGAGCTGTGGAAGGTCGGGGATTGGGTCCATATCCAGAACCCAAACGATGTGACGAAACCCATTGTAGCCCAGATCTATCGCACATGGCAGGATTCCGAGGGTGAGAAATGGATCAACGCTTGTTGGTATTATCGCCCTGAGCAGACCGTCCATCACTTCGAGAAGCATTTCTACCCCAATGAGGTGGTCAAAACGGGTCAGTATCGGGATCACCGGGTGGAAGAGATTGTGGATCGTTGCTTCGTGATGTTTTTCACTCGCTACAATCGTGGCCGGCCCCGAGGTCTTTCCCCCGATAAGGATGTCTACGTCTGTGAAGCCCGATACAACGAGGAGAAACATAAACTGAACAAAATCAAGACGTGGGCGAGTTGTCTTCCGGACGAAGTCAGGGAGAAGGACTACGAGATGGATCTCTTTGATGTTCCTCGAAGAATCAAGAAAATTCCCAGTCCGATCAAGCATCTGCTGAAGGGTGATGCGAAGGAAACCGATGACCTTCCCAAGCCAACCTGGGGGGCGGACAATGCACCCCCCGTGGTCGGCGCAGTCCATCGCCGCCCCCGGGATGAGAACGTAAGCTATTTCTTAAACGTTTTAGCCATAGGTGACTGCCACTGACCGATCGCTACGCTTTCCAGGAGTCTCCTCCCCCGGAACCAACCCCGTCACCACCTCCGTCACTACCGCCACCTACTTTGCCCCCTGCTCCTCCTCGGCAGCCCTCGATCAACCAGTCATCTACACGGCCGAGTGCAGATAGTCAAGGCCCTGGCGCAGCAGCTGGAGCAGCTACTGCGGTGGCCCGCTCCCCAGCTGCGCCTATTCCTCCGGCCCAACACTCACCGGCACCGGTTCCCCCGGTAACTTTCCATCAATCCCAGATCCCTCCAGCTCAGGTTTACCAGCCTGCCTTGCAGAGGCGCGCTAGCGGGTTTGTCCCTCAGACACCTCATCCGGCTGCTTATCAGGCGTCAGCTGTACCTCATCCATACGTAGCCGCCCAACAAACACCGTACACCCCATATCCAGGGAGCCGGTTGCCGGCTCCTCCCTTAGGGATGTACAATCCCAACGCTCCCCGGCCAATTGAAGTCTTCCATTTGAGCGATGCTGCGAATGCCGCCATTCCGGAAGATATTCGTGAGCAGTTCCACACTGATGATCAGGGCCGTGTGCTTTTCTTCTCCAGCATCCCGCTGGATGTGATTCCGTCAGTTCAGCAAAAGCTAGGCCACTCTCTCAAGTATCTGGCTGCTAAGGAGGAGCGAAGGAAGTTGGTGGAGGCCAAGAAGCGCAAGGAGAGCCATGACCGGGAGGAGCGGGACGTGAGTGTTAAGCGGCAGCGGGCCGATGAAGAGACAGCTCTGGCTGCTCAGGTGGACACCTTAACAGCCAAGGCCATGGAGGCCCTGACGTCCCAGATCACGGACGGCACCGACCAGCTCTATGACACCCTATACCAAGATAAAGCCGGAAGTATTCGACAAGCTGACACCAGGGCCCACAAGCGAAGGCTTATGGCCGAGCATGCTTCCCAGGAGGAAACCGCCAGGATTTTGGCGTACTCAAAGCAAACGACCTTTGTCAGCCTCAGAGGCAGTGCCATGTATCTGGATGATATTGGACGTAAAGCCTGATTTTACGAAGGCCTGCCAGATTGACAACATTGCTGATGCTACCGAGTCTTCGATTCTCTCCGCGGCCGAAGTGTCTTCTTCATTATAAGGTGGATTGCATAGGCTTAGATGACGGCAATATTACGGAGCAACTTATGGCGTCGTCGAAAGGCGACCTTCTGGGGTTGATCTTAGGGACGATATTCATCAAATTCATGCTTTCATGTATGTTATGTAGACCAGTGTGGGTGGGATCAAATGTAGTGGGATTCTCAATCCGCCACAAATAACCTCTTTCGTGTAGACCTAGCGTGCTCTGCTTTGCAATTGACGTTGCATCAGAAGGCATAATGAAATAATCAAGAGGCATACAGATTTTGAATCTCCTGCGGAGATCTCCGTATACCAGTCGTCCATGTTAATGATTTACGGGGACCGGATCTAGGGTCCAGTTCAGATAGTTGCGTACATCGTTGACTCGTAAATTAGATACAACCAGCAGAATCCTCAGAGAAGAGACAATAACGGGGAGAGCAGAGAAAGGCAGACTAGGACAAAAGTGTACACATGGTCCCCAGCAAACGGACAGAATCCGAGATGCCAATCAGTCAATCAATGCGACAGCTGTCTCCCGATAGACTGGGAATACCGAGAAGTGGATTATCCAGACGCGTATAAAATCATCAATGCAGAATGAATGATGGAGGCCGCCACAGCTGGGCCGTCATCAAGTCCCTCCAAACAAGTTCCCAAATTGGTCTAAGAGCCCAGGAAATGCAAGAAACGTGAAAGAAAATGGAGAATGAGGGCTATTGTATAACTCCCGGAGATCGCTGAACCGTTCTATGCAAAATGCCCTCCAATAGCGCCGGAGCCTAGAGCACTCGGTATATCCTTTTGGTGATGGTGATGACTTATGGACAATATCATGGACTGGTACCAACCTGTGGTGCTTTTGTTTGTTTCCCTTTTCCCATGCTTTGCTATCGTATGCTTTTTGTCATGTTCCTCGCCCTCGTTTAAGTTCCTCGTATAATTTTCTTCCTTCACCCATCGCTCTTTTAAATAGTATTTTTCATCTCCCGGTCCCCTGTCTGCTTGCGCTCCCACGTATTCAGATTAGCAATGGCAGGGACCCCGCCCGAATCTTTACTTTGGGAAATTGAGGTTATGGCTGGAAACCTGAATTGCTGGTCGGCGTTGAAGCCCCGCCGTCATTCGAGTCAGATTTGTGTGGACTCCATGAGGTACTGTTTCGCTTATTGTTTTCCTCCTCCTCCATTGAGAAGACCAGGTCGCCTTGCTCCTCATCAATCTTGCTTGTACTGACCGGCGAAGAAACAGTGCGGTCAAGGCGGCTGCTGGCGCCCACGGATGACGAATGACGAACCAAGCCAGGATGAAGCGAGATGCCACTAAGTTGCTGGGATATCATAGACATCGAAGGTTGGCGAGAAGGACTCGAAATAAACGGCGAGACATCACCGGAAATCTGCCGGCTACCGATTGGGCCCAAGCTGGGGCTGGTACCCAGATTTAGAGAGGACTCACGAAGGGGCGAACCGATGTGGGTAAGGGAGGTGCCGTGAGCATCTTCCTCCCTTTTCTGTCGCTGCTTTGCAAACAAAGCACCAAACCGAGACGGGCTGGACGCGAGGGGGGAGCCAACTTTCGAAAGACTGGTGCCACTCATACCCAAGCCGCTGAGGTCGCGATGGCTTGAGCTGAGTTCGTGATCGGTGCGCGACAGACGCCGGAGTCGCTCCTGAGGCGTAAGGACATCATCGTGCAAGTTCATCGGCAAATAATCTTCCTCCATCGGGAAGTTGCTATCATCCCAATCATCCAAAGCTGTGGGCCGGGGTACGCTAGCAGAGAGCACACGTGGTTTTATGGGCCGCTGGGAATGTAGGAACCGCGGTCCAATACTATCTTCAAGAAGACCAGGGGGCGATGAGCCGATGAAAGAAGAGGATGGTTTTCTCATGTCAGGGCCGTAGGCCGTGTCGCGGAGATTCCGGAGCGCATCTGACGGCGCACCCATACGCTGTGCTGGCGGAGACAGCTCCAGTCCAAATTTCGAGGGCACGGAGGCCGCAACGGGGCCGTAACGAGCGGCGTGCGAAATCCCTTGGCTGTCGAAGGATGCAGGGAGTGGAGCATCAAGTGCAGTTAGGTGACGATGGTTCGGGGACATCGGGAAACGCAGATCATCCACAGGTGATCCGTACTTAGAGCCGGCATCCGAAACCAAGCCTGTGTCAATCGTGGGGATGGCATCGTAAGGCTGTTGTTGCTGCTGTTGCGCATGTAACGCAACGTATTCGTCCTGCGCTGGGACCTGGGAGGAATAGCGCGGATCGTGACCGTTCATCCGTTGTTGGGAAAGTACCGAGTTCGTCAGGGCGGAGTCCTGGTTGACATAGGCTTGTGGATTGACACGCCCGCCCAAATTGAGATGACTTCCGCCCATTGCCATACCCGGGTTGGGACGATTTACCCGACGGCCATCCGGAAGGATATGCGCCAGTGCACATTTCGCCCCGAACTTGCAGTTACCCTAGAATTGTCCCATGTGTGGTCAGCCTCGGGTGGTGCCACGGGGGTCGATGGAGTATTCTCGGCACGAGGAACCACGGTCACCTTGCCACCAGCTTCCTACCTTTGTGAAGTATTTGCAGGGGGCGTAGTCGATTGCAGCATCCGTAGAGTGTAGGAAGGGGCATGCAGGCCCGGCCTGGCAAGCTCCTTGACGGAAGAATTTGCACGGCACATGCTTGGTGTCTGCGCGACAGTGACGTCCGAGTCAGCATTGGGCTGCCACCGGCCAGAGAGAAGAGCCCGCGAGAGTTGTGGTGCAAAGAACAGACGCCCTTGCATGGCAGCCTGAGGCAGGAAGAGAGAGAGCGGGACATGAACGACTCACTGCTCTGGTTAGGAGGGCTGCGAGCAGCCATGTCGAGGCCCGAGAGGTTGCGGGAATGGCCGTTCTGGAGTGACTGGGGGCCGGAGGGAACCGGGAGAGGAGCGCGGCTTTTCATGTCACCCGGGGCACGGGTCGGGACACGAGCAGCGTGGGAAGAGGCCGACGAGGAGGGAGAAGAGGGTGGCAGGGGTTGGGGAGGCGGAGGGTTGCGAGAAGCCGATAGCTGCATGGCCAGAGCAAAGGAAGAGAGCAGTAGCAGCGGTCGCGGTAGCGGTAGCGGTAGCGGCGACTGGCTGGCGGGCGGGCGGGCGGGCGGCGGCGGCGGCGGCGGCGAGGAGCACACAAAATCCGGAGGGGTTTATCGGGACGGCAGAGGAGGGGAGGGGGGCGAGATTTCCACGGGTGTTGGTGGGGGGAAGCACCGAAGAGAGAGGAAAGAAAGAGGGTGAGAGAGAAAGCGGTGAATGGGTTGCCTCGATCGATCCCTGAGCAGGAGAAGAGAGATAAATAGCAACGCCGGTCACAATGGAGGATCCCTGGAGCAGGCTGCGTCCGAGTTCGAGTCAGTCACTCCATCTCGTTTGTTCTCCATATCTCTCTCACGCGCTCTCTTGGGATGGATTGCATGCTTACCTACCGTTGGCGTGTCTGGAATTTGTCAGGCAGAATCCCGCAATCACTCAGCGGCTCTGCACATTCAGTCCGAGGGCTTTCGAGGGGGAGAGACACCAGACGGAAGACGTCGACGAGGGGGAAGAGAAAGACAGGGAAGGGCGAAAGGCAGAGCAGAGGAAGAGGGCGGAAGAGGGAAAAAGAGAGTGTGTCGACTCCCGTCTCGTATCTTGGCTTGACTCTTGACTCTTAATCTTAACGGCCTCTCCCCACTTCCCTTTTTCCAATTCGAGGTCTCCCCCTTTTGACCCTCCATGGCATTTCTCGTGCAATCCCTTCCATCTATCTACTATGTATCTACATCCTACAATGCACACTACGGGCCACATTGGATCCGTACCTGACTGTCTGAACAAATAGAACTGAGCACTCTTACTAGACTAGGGATGCGGTGGTCCCTTGGGAACCATTAGTCACTCCTCTCCTCTTTGCCCGGGTCGCAGGGCCCGGCGCATGACAGTCCCAGATGAAGACGATGAACGGCGTCGAAACCCCCCTGGGTGGCGTCATATCGAGCCGGCCACCACTCCTGACTCCGTCGCATGCGTCCCCCATCCCCTCAGTTGACAGCCCCATGCTTCAGTCGTCCTTGTTGGACCGCGAGAATCATCCAATTAATTGCTCGGATGGCACCGGTCGGATTGTTCATCTGATCGTTCCATCTTGCGGCCGTAGCTCTTTGCTCAGCAGCCCCCGGCCTAGGCTGCTACATAGATACACAATAGCTCTCCTCTGACCTCCGTCGAATCACACGCTCTTGGTCCAGCCAGGGCGGAGCGGCCGCCGATCGTCTATCTACTCGCTATCTGGTCCCCACACTGCCATGTTGTATGTTGTAACGTGTAACTGGTGGCACAGCGTCCTCATCTTAACCGCACTGCCCTAATTGTATCAAGAGTAAGTTTATATCGGTGGTACCTGTGATTTCAGGGCTCGTGTATCCGGCACCGAGTAGTGCTGCTGGCCCTAAAGGGGAGTAAGAGGCCTCGTTTCACCACGCCGAGCACATTGTCAGTCAATTAAGAAATGGGCCCTCCAATCCCAAAGACTCCTTCGTTTTGGCATCAGAATAGATCAAGATATAGCCTGAAGCTGGCACGTCTCTTACCCAAAGTTCTTCCCCAGTCATATTCTCAGGCACCACCTCCGAGCACTTCCGCCATAAATCGCGACAAATCCGACCGCGGATGCTGGCATGATTATGCCAGTGTTTCCAGTCCTTTTCGGCTTTCAATTTAAGCTGGATAGGTACGCTTTCCGAGTCGCTCCCTCGCGCCTCGAGCAAGCGTGCCTGGAGTGCCTCCTGCTCTTGCTGAAGTTGACTAATATCACGTCGAAGCTCGAAGAGCAAGGGTCTTGCGTTTACAGCTGCTAGCTCCGCTCGCGTCTTTTTCTCTGTGGCTTGGAGATTGGTCGCTTGCTCCTGTAGCCTCTCAGCCTTCTCATCCAAAGCTGCAATGATCTCTGGCGTGGCTTCATTGCAGGTTTCTTGCAGAGCATGGTAAACTGCTTGTTTTCCTAATGCACAGCAATCAACCCTCTTTCCATTTGCTTCTTCTCCCTGCATAGTGGGCGGCTTGCTCACCGGCTGCTCGACCTTCGATTTGCTTGTTTTGGTGCAGTTCTCGTAAAGCTTTAGCAGCATGTGCTGTGGGATGTGCAGCTTCAGCACAAAAGTATTGCAATGATACCATTCCGGCAATGATTCTACCTTTCGTAATTCTATTTTGTAGATTGGCCGAGATCTCAGTAGCCTGCGCGAGATCAGCCATGCCATTTCACCACTATTCAAGGTTCACTTAGCGGCCAACCGAATATGGGCGACTATGTCATTGTCACAGCAGAAGATTAGTTCAAGCCCGTGTTACCTGTCTCCCCCAAGAGAAGAAATCGGGTCAACCGGTCGGCTCAGACAGAAGGGACAGCGTACTTTTGTTTCCCTGCACAGCAAGGAGTCAGCAGTTGCAGTGTGAAGATAAAACCCGTAACGCAGAATACCCAGTGAGAGACACTCACGGAGATATTCAAGAATCAGCGCAGGACCGTCATGAGCAGCTCCCCGGGTTTAGTTTCATATAGCTCTTATTACTCCAGGAGTTGCTTGTTCGCTCACCATCTCCGCCTGAATGCTTATCGTTCTTCCCCTTTCTCTGGGCCATGATAAGATAGGCTCGTGAAATTCTACAGCACGACGCGGACCGGGAAGGAAACGAATCAGTTGTAGTTTAGAAGGTGAAATTAGATTCCCTGTCCGGGGGGGTGATGTATCACGTGGGGAGACGAGAAACGCGTGACAGAACAGCGATGAATTCGATACCGAAAGGACAAAAAGAACTCCAAGCTGCGCGCGGGAGCTGAACGCTGGGGTAAAACAGAACGAAGAGAAATGAAAGACCTGAAGGTCTTGGTCATGCCGCCAGATACTTCGTTCTACGCCGTTGCACGTAGAACATATTACTAAAATGAAACATCACGTCAAAACGCAGGCCGGGAACTGGGATGATAGTGAAACTCATGAAGCCTTTAGACGGTTCGGACATATCGGGAAACGCTATCTGTAAGATGATGGGCGACATTCCCCGGCCCAGAGCGCCGACGACATCTTCTCATTTAGCTCCCAACACTCAGAAACCATCCACATTATTTCACGTACGCAAGGGTAAAAAGATATTTAGCCCCTTCACACTTTTCAAATATGGCACAGATGAATAACGACCATAGTAAGAGATCTCTTAGGGTATCACATGACAATCTGCGCAAAGGTTAGTCTTGCAAACATGCCTTTAGGATAGCAGCAGGGACAAAGGTAAACATACGCAGTCGCTGTCCTTTTGGACAGTCGGAACCCCCATTTCCTCAAACGTCTTGGGGCCCTTGCCCGGTAGGTTACCATGCGTTTTCGAGGCAGGCGCTGCAGGCTTTTGGCTGGCTGTGCTTGGCGCCGCAGGGGGAACCTTGGACGTCGTAGCGGAGGGAGGGGGTTTAGGTGTGGAAGCTGATGACGGGGGCCTGGGAGTGGATGAAGCACTTGGTGGCGGCATAGATTCAGTGCGTGGAGGAAAGGACGTGGAAGGCGAGGCCGGCGGCCGCGGGGAACCCGTCGGACCCCCTTGTGAGGGGGGGGAAACGGGACCTCGCACAGGTCGCCTGTCTGGAGGCATATTGTCCAGTCGTTGGGGACGTCTCCGAGCATCGGGATGAGGATTCTCAAGTGGTGCTGAGTAGCCAATATCGAGTTTAGGTGCGGCGGACGCCGGGCTTGACGGGCTGGTGGTGGACGGCGTGCTTGGAGCTGGTGAGCGGTAACCCATTGCACTGGGCCCATACGATGCAGCGCGGTTGTAATTGGGCGCGTTCGAACGAATGTTGGGGTTAATTCCAAATGCCGAGCTTGGCCGAGGATCCGCGGGCATAGAGTATCCTGGCGGATACACAGGTCGAGCACGAGATGCCGGTCTGTCAGGGTAAGGAGCCGCGGGATTTGGGTTGTCTGACAGAGTCATCCTGGACGGGTCAGGCATTTCGAGATTCTCCGGAGTGGGCTTCATCGCGCTCCCTCGTTGGTGAGATCCATAGCGTGACTTGATCCGGGCAATCGCAACTTGTTCGTGATCCTTCCTAGATAGGGTCTTGGAGCGGGAGATGCTATCAATCCGACCGGTCGCGTCTTTGTTTCCGTTCGCTGCAGCCTTGGCATACCAGCTCCTGGCTTCTTTGATATCCACCGGAACGAAGATACCGACTTCGTAGAAGTATCCCAAGGCGAATTCGGCCGTTGGGAACCCACTTTGAGCCGCACGCTGAGCGTAAATGAACGCCAGTTCGTCGTTCTTTTCAAAGACGCCCTCATGACCGCAGAGAAACCATTTACTGATAGCCATCTCTGCTTCCGGTTCACCTTGGCGTGCAGCTAACGCATTATAATGCAAGGACAATGCGGGGTTGAAGTCACAGCCAAGTTGGCAGAGTTCATATGCGGCACCCATCTTGACTTGAGCCTTGGCGAACCCATGGTAGGCGGCTTTCTCGATATTCACGCGAGATGCGTTCAAGTCCAGCGGTAAATAGTTCTCGGGGACATTCACTTGCGGTAGCTCTCGAGCCAGGAGCATACCGTAAACCTGTATGATATGTCAGAGGGCTGTACACAAGAGGGGGAAACAAGCGGTTCCACGCACGTAAGCTCCCTGAGGTGCATTTTCATCGCATGATTGCGCAGCAAGGCTGATATAGTTAAGTCCCATTTGGTAGTCTTGGCGCTGTCCATGCTGTCCAAGAAGAATCATCATTCCCAGGCGCTAATAAACAAAATATTAGCACAAGCAGAATATGACCAGAGGGGTGAGGGTCGTACATAGAAAGACGCCGAGTCGGCAAGGGCAACACCCTTCTCGTAGTGCTTGATAGCCTTCTCCGGCTCACCCGAGCTCTCGAACTGCATACCAATGCGATACTCAGCTCGAGCGTATCCTTTCTCCGCAGCTCTCGAATAGGCCCGAAAAGCCTCTTTCTTGTCCACGCGGTACCCGAATTTGCCAAATTCCAGCCACATTCCCTTGATGAACTCGGCCTTGGGGTGGTATTGCTCGGCTAGGAAGTTTACGATGTTCATCGCGTCGAGTTTCAACTGCCGCTCCACTTGAGGTGTCTGAGGGCGCGGGGGCTGGATCAAAGATAGACGAGTTTCGTTTTGCATAGCAACCTCAACGTAGGCGAGGGCATCCTGAGCCCAAGCTAATTGCATATCGGGATCGTTCGATGACAACACGGCCATTCGGGCCCTCTCCAGGTTAACTTCCCGCTGCTCATCGGTAGGGGGAACGTTAGGCGGGGGATTGCGCAGGACAGGAAACGGCGAAAAGTTCGGGGCGTCCATCGTGTCGTGGGCGACGGATTGCTCGTAATGAGCGGACTCGTAGGCGGTTGGGGAAGATTGTCCATGCGAGACAGAGGAAGAAGTTCGCTCGGGGAAACGCGAACGGTCATACTGATTGTGGTGGGGGTTTCGGGCCTCGTGCTCGAGGTGAGCGATATTGTCCTGCATGTTCTCCGGGACTTCTGGCATGACCCTAGTAGAATGGAAAATTATGGATTAGCAACACATCAACCTGGGTAGACGGGCAGGCGAGCTATTTTCGGAGGGGAAAATGATTTTCTTTGACCGCTGAGATCCGGAAGGAGGAGGGCGGGGGATGGTCGCACCTTTGAGGAGAGGGGGATATGACTTCTGGCATGTAGAAATCGTCCTGGCCCCCTGGATACCAGGTAGCACCCAGCCGTGGCTGACCATGACCTTGAGGTGGTCTATTCATTGTCGGGGCGATTCTCCGTTTATTGGACAATATTGCTTTTTCCTTGTTAATTTTGTTCCCACCTTACCCCTGTTGAATTTGGAAAAGAAAATTAAATGCCACTTGTCTCGGACCGGCGCCAGGAAATAGTGTTTTTGGCTCACTGGCCTCAGCGGTTCATCGGAACCTTTGGAGGAAAAGAAGAGCCGGCGTGGAGACTGCCGAGTAGTGGTGGTCGACTAGTAACTAGTCCTCCTAGGCTCCTGGGGAGGGGCGCAGAGTCAGACTACCTACTCTGTATACGGAACACACGAGGGGACTCAGCAAGCAGGGGCGCAAGGGCTTCGCATTTGATCCAGCAGGAGAGAGGGTAATATATTCATGGGGTTCTGTTAGGTGGAGGCTAGTCGCTAACCGTCAGACTATTCCCTGGGGCTAATTAGGTGGTCATGATACGGAAGGGAAGTAGATACGGAATACGGAGTATAGGTGATACAATAATAATAATACTACTAATAAAAATAGGAGGGGAGGTTGTGAAAGAGGGGTCAGGGAGTCGGGGAGAGACGGCCAGGAACCGCCCGTACGGACGTTGGTTCAATGGCTGCGGCCTAGCCAGTAGCCACAACCTCCACCGGACTCCATCACAATTAGGTCACTAGCACCAACTACTGTACTTACTCCGGTTGACCCTGGTGATTTTATTAGTACGGTGGAGAGGTGCAGGGATTTAAATCCTTTAAATTCTGCCATAACTATATATAATTATTAATACTTTGTATAGCCACCTATAGTATTAATCACTACTTCACATCTTACCGTTATACTATTAATTAATTTATCTAAAAATATCTCTAGTAAGACATCCCAAGAAGCCCGTACAACCTCACGTAGTTAATTATATAATAGCTATTCATTATTGGAGAAAAAATACTCTATCCAATCTTTCATCTAGTTCCATACAGCCTCAATTAGATTGAGATCTGGTAAAAAAGTAGGCTAAATAATTAGAAAAACTTCATGTTCTTGAAATTCTTAAATAGTCTCCTTATTTGCATGGCTAGATATGTTATTTTACATTAATTAAAGCTGTTATTGTTCTTCCTGCTTAATTAAATATATATATCCATGAATTATTAGAACAATCTGTTCAGAATAATACTTAGTATTAATACTGCTCTATTCCTTCTCCTAAAAAAAATAGGGCTCTTTAGAATTACTGTAGAATGAAGCCTAAAACATCTAGCTATATTTTTATGCTGGATTTGTACGAAGGCAGATCTCATTAAATTCTTTACTAGCTTTACAAATCATATATATCTATTTATAAAAGCCTAAAGTTACCTAGGTTTTATTAATCTAAAGAATTTGATTCTATTAGTTATGAATCTAAGATAAGTATTCAAGTGTCCAAGCTAATCTTACTTGTTTATTTACTGGTAAAAGAGATAGTTTTCAAAGAGCTTTACAGCGTGAATAGCCTTGTTTTTTAAGAATATATACTAAGGTAGTAATTCTAACAAGTAGTTCAAGTTCTTTAATAACACGATAATATGGTAAGCAGCGTGTACGTTTAGAGTTTAATATCTATTATATAATATAATCAACATCCTCTTCTAAAAGCTTTGGTGGATTACCTTTAACCTTTCAAGGTATAACTTATTGACTTTGACACGTATATTATACTTAGCGATAGCTAAATCTAAGCTACTTTATAATTTGTTGATATGTTAAGCCAGTATTACAAAGAGTAAGAATTCAAAGTCGATCATCTCGATTAAGGCGCTTAGAATTTGGTGTTTTAGAAGAAGTAGACTCGGGCATGGAAGGCATCTTTATAATAATAAGAATTAATATATATTAATAATTCTGATATATTTATAGCTTCATGAATTCAACATGTAGCTTGATTAGAAAGGCGGTGTGTGGTGGGAGATATACCGCTTAAAGGATCTAAATCCCTGTACCTCTCTACCGTACTAACAAAATCACCAGGGTCAACTGGAGTAGAGAAGAGTAGGTACGTAGTTCGCTGCCTCCTATTAATCATTCCTTCCCTGACATTGGTACGTGATCGCGCGGAGTAGTAGTAGCAAATTTTGCATGTACCTAGTAGCCGACCTCACACAGCATTCTAGAAAAGTGGCACAGAGTACTCCATAGATATTCCACACCTGAACTAGGCAACCCGATATCTAATGTGAGGTAAGCAGGTCAGCAGTCACCCGAAAACAATCCACAAGGTTACAGTTACAGTACCAAACCATAACAGTGGATCAAAACAAACTTCGGAGTACTTGGAAGGTTTGGGCAGCAGGCAGAGTAAGCATGGAAAGAAAGGATCAAAACCAACGTTACGTAGGGAACAAAGTGCATGCTGGTTGCTAGATAGTAGATAGTACTCCGTAGATGACAGGGAGAAAAGCTGGCTATTTTTATCACGACGATAACTAGTACTTAGTAACCTACTCCGTCATTGGGGTGAATAGTACTCCATAGTGTAAGGACTTTGGGTCGACTAGGGTGGATGTTCCCTTCTAGAAGAAATCTTACCATACCTGACAGGCAGTATCTCCAGGGCTCCAATTTTTCGGTCCACTGACCTTTGTCTACCGCCCATCATACCTGCTATCTACCAGCCAGTCACATCATACTCTGATTGGAAAGTGACTGCAATTGGAGTCAGGTAAGTGTTCTGATTTACAACAGCGTGGCCTATGCAGTTGCTTCATGGTGGGCCGAATTTGGGATTTCCTCGTGGTTGGTAATCCGTAACCACCACCAAAGTACCTACAAAGTAGCTTCCATTCATTGGCGTCGGATACTGTACTAGCACCCTTGTATTTTGGACGATATTGGGGACTCCTCTTTGAGTTATCCTATTTATTCAAACACATTGTGAAAATGTAAATATATGGGCCCGTGCTAATGTTGTCATAAGTGCTGGAGATAGGCGTTCCATTGGGCGAAGATATAGGACTACTTGGGTTAATTCCCTACTTGGGGCAGTCATCTCGCCTTCATTGCGTGGGCTCATAATCGGGCTCCGACACTATCAATGGAGCTTCAGGAAAAGGATTTTCACCATCCTTATTCGCCTTATGACATCCAAATCCAGTTGATGCGGGCGCTCTACACCTGTATCGAGCAGGGAAAGGTCGCGATTTTCGAATCGCCTACTGGTAAGCTAGGTACACCTCAGGTACAAATCAACTGCGGCTAACCCAACCTGACTCAGGAACTGTAAGTAAAAATTCATCCCAACTACACCCGCCCGATTGAAAATGGCGGCGCAAACATTCCTCCGCTGTCAATATATGGAGTATCCTCGTCTAGAACGCCTGGCTCTAGTGTACAAGCCAGAACCCATCGAAATCGCTGAGACCCCTCGGACCAGGACTAAAGAACTTTTTAGGGAAAGTCGTTGAGTTTGATATGCGGTTCCCTGACCTGGTTGCGAGATTACAAGCGTTCCGCCTTTCAAGCGGTTATCGACAATGCCGCATGTTAGAGTACTCGGTACAGAATAGCTGGATTTTATCACTAACCATCTCTTAGGTGATGACGATGAACCTGAATGGATGTTAGACTTCACTAAACGTGAGTCGAGCCGTGTTATGACGGCGAAGAGGAAAGAGTTCGAAGAAAGACTGGAAAGGACGAAGAAAGAAGAAGAAAAGCAAAGAATCGCACTCAAGAATGCCGGAGGGCCTCGGAAAAAGCAGGTATGAGGAATAAGAACACTCGGCCCCTAGAAAACCCCACTGAAGGAAGTTTATCTACGCAGAGGTTCAGTACACCATCGACTAGTTCTCATGAGCTAAACGAAGATCACTTTGCACTCGACGAATACGACAGCGAAAACGAAGAGCTTAACACGTCCCGGGAGGGACTGGGCCATTCTAGTGGACTCTCTTCTAGCACGCTAGAGTTATTAGAAAGGTTTAAAGGGCAGTTCTCGGGCTCTAAGCCAGGAAGTGAAGATGACGAAAATGACGAAGTCAAGATCTTCTATTGCTCGAGGACGCACTCCCAGTTGACCCAGTTTGCCAGTGAACTGAGGCGTGTCACAATGCCATCAAGTGTACCCAAGGAATTGAGTGCTGGCTTAACTGGGGATGAAGAGCTCGAGGAGCGTCTGAAGCATGTCACTCTCGGTTCTCGAAAGAACCTGTGCATCAACCCAGATGTTAGTTCGCTGGCAAATGCAACCGCGATCAATGAACGTTGCTTGGATCTTCAGCAACCCGGTGTGGCTCCTCAGCATAAGTGTCCATTTCTGCCATCGAAAGAAGACGAGCAACAAGTTCTTCGGTTCCGAGATCACGCATTGGCCACAGTGAAAGACATCGAAGACCTAGGGAATCTTGGCAAAAAGATCGGGATATGTCCGTATTATGCATCCCGCTCGGTTGTCAAGCATAGCGAGGTTTGCTGCCCCAGCATTTCCTAATAGCCTTGCGACTGACTGGTTACAGATCGTAACTCTACCATATCCCTTGCTACTACAACGCTCGGCCAGAGAGGCCCTTAATATATCCGTTAAGGACCATGTCATAATCATCGATGAAGCTCACAATCTGATAGATGCAATATCCAACATTCACTCTGTGACGGTGACGCTTGTGCAGCTTCAGACCGCTCTCTCCCAGTTGACCATCTATGCTCGCAAATTTAAAACTCGCCTGAAAGGGAAGAACCGAAGCTATGTTGCCCAGATTATCCGGCTCATTGGTTCGATCACCGCTCATCTTCGGTCGATCCTCGAAAGCGAAAAGGCACCTGAAGGCCCTGTTATGCCTTCTGATCTTATGTCCGGAAAGGGTGTCGATCAGATCAATCCCTATAAATTGAGTCGATATCTACAGGAAAGTAAGTTGGCGAGGAAGGTTGATGGATACGTCGAGTTTTCCAAGGACAAGTCAGACAGGCAGGCGACTGGAAACCCCACAGTACCTGTATTGTTTCACATACAGGGTTTCCTCCTATCATTAATGAACCCTTCGGCCGAAGGACGGCTGTTCTACATGAAGGATCAGGGCGATATTCAATTGAAGTATATGCTTCTGGACCCTACCAATCAATTCCGTGAAATTGTCGAAGACGCAAGGGCCGTCATACTAGCAGGTGGTACCATGTCACCTGTAAGAACCAGTAGTCATCACGCATACTTACGTCTATCTAACAGATTCTGCAGATGACTGACTATATGAACCATCTTTTCTCCTATGTCCCAGCCAACCGGTTAGACACCTTCAGCTACGGCCATGTCATCCCATCCGGTAACCTTATTGCTCACGCACTAGTACGAGGAGTTCAGGGTTCGGAGTTTGACTTCACCTATGACACCCGTGATTCCGAGAAAATGGTGAGAAATTCCTAGGCGCCTTCGCGTTATTGCAAACTAGAGCAAAGCTAACGTCTCTTGCGTGAGTCAGATCCTTGACCTTGGACGGACAATAGCTACGCTCTGTCATGTCATACCGGACGGCGTGGTTGCCTTCTTCCCTAGTTACGAATATCTGGGACGAGTCTTGAGTATCTGGAATAAGCCAATACTAGGCGAGCAAGGACAAACTGTATATGACCTGATTGCAGGGAAAAAGTCCATCCTATCCGAGTCCCGAGACATGACAGTCACGACCGAGGAGCTGCTCCAAACGTATGCGAGCACCATCGATGCAGGCAGAGGTGCGCTCCTCTTGTCCGTTGTGGGCGGCAAGCTGTCAGAGGGAATTAATTTCTCCGACAAGCTTGGACGGGGCGTGTTGATTGTTGGGTTGCCATTTCCAAATATCCGGAGTGCGGTCTGGCAGGCTAAAATACAATACATCGAACAGAAAACACAGCAGCAAGCTACCGGCACTGAGGCAAGCCGGCAGTCAGCCGCAAGAGCGGCAGGGAGGGACTACTATGAGAACTCCTGCATGCGCGCGGTAAACCAGTGTATTGGGCGAGCTATCCGGCATCGGAATGACTATGCAGCGATTGTTCTGATCGATAGACGTTATGAAAAGCCGGGTGTGCAAGCCAAGCTACCGGCCTGGATCAAACAAAGTATGGTAAAGAGCTCGGTTCAACGGCCTGCAGGTGCTACTGTTCATAGTCTGGCCAAGTTCTTTGCGAGCAAGTGAGGCGGGTGGGCCTGGAGAAGAGATAGTTCAGATACTCCTCCGTACATACTATGTATGGTCTTGTGCATCCATCACGACAATCGTGTTATGTAATCGGGTGGCGCAGAGAGGACACCACGTGATGGTACGCCCCAGCCGCCAAGTGAAGGCGGCAGGGTTGGCCCTAAGTTAGGGCAAGAAAATTAGCGCACACTCTAGCCGCCCCGGGGCCTTGATTTCAACATCTGAGCCAGGAGTATACAGGATCGCATCCCCCCCATCGCCAACTCTCTTGTCGAGCTCAGCACCGTCGACAAGATGCCTACCCGTTTCTCGAAGACCAGAAAGGCGTGAGTCGCACCAAATTTCCCTTCGCCTCCGGTGGTCGACCGTCCCGTTTGTCGTGGTGATATGCGACAGGCTGAGGCCTCGCCCGGCGACCATCCGCCCAATCTGCAGAACAACAGGAACTGACGTTGATCCCTTAGCCGCGGTCATGTCTCGGCCGGTTACGGTCGTATTGGCAAGCACCGTAAGCATCCCGGTGGTCGTGGTATGGCCGGTGGTCAGCACCACCACCGGACCAACCTTGACAAGTACCACCCCGGTTACTTCGGTAAGGTCGGAATGAGATACTTCCACAAGACCCAGCAGCAGTTCTGGAAGCCCACCATCAACCTTGACAAGGTACGTTGAACCGACATGGGAATTCGAGCCGAGCAGGACACAGAATTCGAGATTTGGGAGGTCGCAGGGTACAAGTTTGCTTCACGGCAAGGAGGTGGGATTGGGGTCAATGGGAGCCAAAGGGTCAATGGACCGGGATGCAACGTAAAGGGCTTGAATCGCTGATTGATTTCCTTTCTCTATAGCTGTGGTCTCTCGTCCCCGCCGAGAAGCGTGATGCCTACCTGAGCGGCCAGAAGACCGACACCGCCCCCGTCATCGACCTCCTTCCCCTCGGTTACTCCAAGGTTCTCGGCAAGGGCCGTCTCCCCGAGGTCCCCATCGTCGTCCGTGCTCGCTACTTCAGCCGGGATGCTGAGGAGAAGATCAAGGCTGCCGGTGGTGTTGTTGAGCTCGTTGCTTAAGTGTGGAAGTCTGGGATTTCACTTGGAGGATGAAAACCGGGACAGGTGCTGCGCTGGCTACGGTTCGGTGTAATAGAGAGTCGGATTCTCTCCGGGGAATAAGATATCAAAAATGGGAGCCGCGGATCGGGCACCTTGGTCCGTGTATCTACAAATCAGAAGGGTTTCTATTTGTGACGAGCAAAGCATGGCCTCCTGATGCCCTTACGACCTCGCTCTATTGAACAAAATACCATAAAGGAGGACTTCTTTTTTTTTTTTCTTTGCTCGCTCCTCCCTGACTCGTGTTCCTATTGAAGCCTGTTGATAGGTAGCGCCTATCTTCCGATCTGAGCCGGACACACAAGTGCCGATTTCCAAGAACGTGCCAGGAGCGCTGGTCTAAAGGCCATGTATTCTGCATCTCAAGTCGTATTTTCTTAGCCATGATAAGTAGACCACCGGCATGCTCTTTACTACCTACCTAGGATAAGGGGTTGCGGTTCCACTTCAGGTCTACTCCGTAGATATCGCATGGGTGTTTTGGTGTGTTCCTATGAGGGGATCTCCTAGAGGGCCTTTGCAGCTGCAAATAAATAAATTCCGGTAGTTGCAAAGCGTTCAATAATGACTTGATGATTCGTTGGCGGACATGTCTAATGGTCTATATGAAACGACAGGAGTACACCAACGGGTAGCAGTGTTCTAGATCTTGCATTCGCGCACCGACCCCACCTTTTCCGGGGAATTACTACTGGCTTCCAGGGTTTCACGAATAAATCGAACCGCCTCGATGAACATCTTCGGGGACATTTCGTGCGCGGCATCCTCATCGATGATGTCCTCGAAGGTGACTGCGCCGTCCGCAAACCACCCACTTGGAGCAATCGCCTTCTTCCACCAGGTCAAGAATGCCTCCCCTCGATGGTATGGTACCAACTTATCTTTGCCGCCTGACAGGGTGAGGATCCGTTTTCCAGCTACACTGTGCGCCAGGAGTGGCCGCAATGCAGCCTTCTCGTTCTCCGTCGGCTCTGGCAAGGGTCCGGTGCGAAGAGGACTCGCGTCTGGCTTCGGATTCACATGGCTCAGAAACCGGCTCGCCGGGTCATACTTGCGGACCGCATCCAGCAGAGAAGAGGGGAACGCTTCGGAGCCTAGAAATTGGGACCCGGGAATCTCGCTTTCCGTCCAAAACGGTAACTTCGACAGCCTTGCACGGTCCGCCATAAGATTTACGTAGTCAGGGCAGCCGATGACAACGACCCCGGCGCTTATGCGGGGTTCGTGCAGGAGGCAGCTCCATGCTGCATGGCCACCCAGGGAGACCCCCAATACCAGATTGTCGGAGATCTTGCGGTCGGACTGCGGGAACACAAAAGATGGTAGGTAGTCAATCAGAAGAGATACGTCTCGGGCAGTGCCCTCTAAAGGGAGTGGTTAGATCCTCACTCTAGGCTAGATACATGGCACAACACTCACGAAATATGGAGAACATATCTTGCGCGTGCCGAGGATTCCCTTGCCTCCATGCCTCGTTGGCCAGCGGCTCCACCAATCTTGTCCCATGATTTCTCTGATCAAATGCGACAGCAATGAGGCCTTTGACGGCTTGGCCGGGGCAGGTACGAGAATCGCGGATCCTGGCGTTCCAGTCCGCGATTATGGTCGTGGCAATGCCCGCCATGCGCTCTTGGGTTGCTCCTCTATGGTGCAACAACCAGAGACAAGTAATCTCGGAGGCTTGTTCCGGCAGTTCGTCCAGACCGTAGACTGTGGTCAAGATCCCAGCGATTGGATATATCTTTCGGGAGACGGATGACATGCCGACATAGCAGTTTGCATCGTCGAGTACCTTCAAAGGATCTGCCATGGTTGTCACTCGTTGTTCGGTGCTGGGTAGAGGTCAGTGTCAGGGAGGGTCTGGCACGCTCCTGGGTTGGTCGGCTTCTCTAACATATACCTCGGAGGTACTCTGTCGAGGAGGTCAAGTTCTCGCATGGGAGGGGCCCATTTATTTATAAGCGTGTGGAGGGATTTCGGCGGGCAGAATGACTGTGGGTTGTACTTGAGTATACACGATACACCTGCTGGAAATATGGAGTACCTCGCGTGAACGCATGACCTGCTTTGCCACTAGATTGGACACGTTGTGTGTGTGTTTGTGCATGTGTATGTCTAGTTGTTTTATCATTTAAGTCTTCGGTGTTGAGTGACGGGATAAGACATCAGTTGGCCGCAGACTGCATGAATCTCAGCAATGGAGTAGAAATTCGTGCGCAAGGAGGCACCTGAATAGACGGGATAGAACCCGATAAGAACATGACAGCACTACAGTTCCGGATCAAAAACATTCTTTCTTGGTTTGCTCCAGTGCACTTCAGTTATTCGCAACTAAGCAAGTATCCCATCAAAAGGTCTGGCCGAACGGGCGATTACTCGTCAAGCGGTGAGAGGGGCGGTGAGAGTTTCCGGCCGATAACCGGGGACAGCCAGTCCAATAGGTTAAATACCAATTCACATGGCGCCGGTTTCATACGGTACGGAACATGTAAATCTCCAGGCTGTGGCTGTGGCTGGTGTTAGGGTGGAAGGCCCACCACGGTTGGACTCAAGGCATGCCGTTCCAACTACTGTGTACGTAGATAGATACATACTGTAGCCTTGGTACCACCGCGTAATCGGTACTTCCGGACCATCTTCAGGTACCTTGAGCAAGGCACCGGGGCTATACCTCTCCCCCATCTCAAGCCTCCAGTTCCCTGGAGCTCTATCCCAGTGGTTGAACCGAGGTCCCGTCAATGCAAAGCAAACCTTGTTTCATCTCTCGTCAAATCGAATAGCTCTCGCGATCGACTGCCCCTTTACTCGGTCCAAGCCAAACTGCGCCAAAGCGGGCCTTCCGTCTCCAGTCGACCTGCGATTCTTCTATGGGGCGGACTCCACCGCGGCTAGGCATTGTCGCTGCTAACTCAACGCTCCTTTCGCTTTCACTCCAAACGTTTCGGGCCCGTCCTCTACTGTCCCCTTAATATTTACGGGTTCTCGTCGATCAGTCTCATCTGCCCCGGCTCCTGTGCGATATAGAATGACCGTCTAATTGAGATCCGAAGCCCGTTCTAGGAGGATCTTCTCGATCCGCATGTACGCCGTTATCCCCCGCTCCTTGCCCCCTCCCCCCTGAACACTATCTGGCTTGTCCACTAACTTTGCGTTTCTTCAACTAGTATGACCGATTATACGGTCAATCCTTCAGAAGTGAGGGGCTCTGAAACGGATCCCAATCGCTATTATTCGAGACAAGCCGAACAGATGTCGTTGGACAACCTGGAGCTGTCATCGCCGCTTCCGTCCCCTTCTTTGACAAAGGATGATGCCGACAGAGCGGAGGCAGCAGATGAGGGGGAGGATCAGATGGATGGTACACAGATGACAAGAGGAGTGAGAGAAGCCCATCACGACGCAAAGGGAAAGTCGCGCGCAGAACCTGCCAACGGTTCTTGGGAGAGGGAAACATCGAATATCAGTCGCCCCGACAAACCAGCCTCGTTAAGTCTTCGACAGCCAAACGACGCAACGGTGAATCAACAACATCTCGGAAGCCGAAAGCCACAAACTCCATTCCTGGGATCATCTGCTTCGCCTCGCCGCCCAAGCGTGCAATTCACCCAAGACACTCCAGATGTTGACCCTGCTAACCAATCTCAGTCAAGACCCCCGTCTGTTAAAGGCGATGACGTGGATTTGGGCCTAAAAGGGAAGCAATCTTTACTTACGAAGCTGAAGTCCTTCGCAGCTTCGCCGTCGTTTACTTCCCACACTCGCTCGGCTAGTGGCGCGACTGTGAGCGATTTCAGAACCACAAACAATGAGCTGGCTACTCCTGGCTCAGAGAGGGGGGAGTTCCGTTTTCCGAATACTCTGGAAGAGGAGGGGAGCGATATTGACGCCGATGCCGAGGAGAGCGCCGGGGAACAACGGGCCCGCCAGCAAAAGAAGAAAAAGAAACAGCCACGTCGACGGCAGCAGGACGATTTGATGCCTCCAACGCAGCCGAATACGCCCAAAGTTACGAGTCGACCGTCGTTTCATCTCCCGAGCTCGTTTTCCCCCTTTGAGAATTATCGTCCGAATTTCTTTCCGCGAAGAGGCAGTACCGGTGATTTTACACCTCAACATCGCGAGGGTGTCTCGGAGGACGAAGGTCGCGATCGCCTAAACAGGGACACTACGTGGAGACGAAGAAGCGCTTGGCTCGCTAATGCTCGGGGGCTTACCTACAGCGGACGCCAACTGGAAACGCAAGCAAATCCAGAGGAGAGAAGGCCGAGCAACCTTAGACGGCTGACTGGTTTAGCCGGTCCTTCTGACAATGCAGAAGGGACAGCGCCGCCCTGGAGGCGCCACCGGGCTGACCGTGGCTCTAGCCTCAGTGCTCAAAGATGGCGGCAGATAAAGGCGGGTCTCAAGTTGATCGGACAGCGACGCAAGGTGGACAACACAGTAGACCATGCAAAATCGGCAGAACTGCTGGCCGAGTTGACCTCGGGGGTGCCGGCCGCCTTGATACTGGCTAGCATGTTTCAGCGGGATGAGCACGGCAGCAAGCGGATTCCAATTCTCCTCGAGCAGCTCAAGGTGCGGGTCACCGATAGCAAGATCGATTCTCATTCCGGAGACCGCCATCTGGTCTTCCGTATCGAGCTCGAGTACGGTAGTGGTATGACACGGATGAAATGGGTTATCTACCGAACCTTGAGGGATTTTGCAAATATTCACTTGAAGTACAAGTTGCATTTTGGAACCCAGAAGTATATTCAACTGCGAAACACCGAAGGCGGACAGAACCTTCCGCGCTTTCCTCGAAGTGCGTTCCCCTATCTTCGAGGCGTGCGCGGGCTCGAAAGTGACATGGAGGATGAGGAAGAAGACGGTGGCTACGAGACAGCCGCGGAAGCCACTAGTGGCAATGAGCGGGCTGGAAAGAAGCCACAGCAAGCGCATCGCCGTTCGTCGGGTGGCCTATCGCGGAGACAGTCAAACGCAACGAACCCAGAAGCGGAGGGTGTTCCTGGAGCCTCGGGACCTATGGAAACAGGGCAAGCAAATAAGAAGGAGAGCTACCCAGAGAGACAGCGGAAAAAGCTTGAGTCCTATCTGCAGAAGTTGATTCGGTTCCTTATATTCAAGCCCGATAGTAATCGCCTGTGCAAGTTCTTGGAACTGTCGGCCCTGGGTGTTCGGCTTGCGGCCGAAGGTAGCTACCACGGCAAGGAAGGCTTTCTGGTCATCCAGTCATCCAAGGGTCTTGATTTCCGGCGGGCGTTGACTCCGGGCATGGTGAAGAAGCGGCACTCCCCTAAATGGTTCCTGGTCCGACACAGTTATGTCGTCTGTGTCGACTCCCCGGAGGAAATGAACATCTATGATGTCTTTTTGGTGGACCCATTCTTCAAACTTCAAACCCAGAAGGTCAGCTTAAGAAACCAGAAGGCGAAGGACTTTGCCAAATCGGCAACGGAGTCAGCCAGGCACCCACAGCATCATACGCTGAGGCTCGAGAACTCCGAGCGCAAGCTTAGACTGCTGGCTAGAAATGAGCGTCAGCTCCATCAGTTCGAAGACTCTATCCGATTCATGGTCAACAACACCCCCTGGGCAAGACCGAACCGGTTTGACAGTTACGCCCCGGTGAGACACAAGTGTTTCGCACAATGGTTGGTAGATGCGCGCGACCACATGTGGGTCGTGTCGCGCGCAATCAATCAAGCGAAGGATGTCATTTACATCCACGACTGGTGGCTGAGTCCCGAGCTCTACATGCGCCGACCTGCAGCCATCAGCCAGAAATGGCGTCTGGATCGCCTTCTTCAACGGAAGGCCCGTGAAGGCGTAAAGATCTTTGTCATCATGTATCGGAACATCAACTCCGCCATCCCCATTGATTCGGAGTACTCGAAGTTTTCCCTGCTGGACTTGCATCCAAATGTCTTCGTGCAGCGGTCCCCCAACCAATTCCGGCAGAATACCTTCTTTTGGGCGCACCATGAAAAGCTTTGCATCATCGACCACACCCTGGCTTTCGTAGGAGGAATTGACTTGTGCTTCGGGCGCTGGGATACGCCACAACATCTCCTCACGGACGACAAACCCACCGGGTTTGAGACACCGGATGGGCCGAAAGATGCGGATCATTGCCAGCTCTGGCCCGGAAAGGACTACTCGAACCCTCGGGTGCAAGACTTCTACGATCTCGACAAGCCCTACGAGGAGATGTACGATCGCAATGTGGTCCCCAGAATGCCTTGGCATGACATTTCCATGCATGTCGTCGGCCAGCCGGCTCGGGACCTCACTCGTCATTTCGTCCAACGATGGAACTATATCTTGCGGCAGCGGAAGCCCACTCGCCCGACGCCGTTTCTATTACCCCCGCCGGATTTTGAGCCCGCTGACCTCGAAGCTCTCGGTCTCGACGGCACCTGCGAAGTCCAGATCCTGCGGTCGAGTAGCATGTGGTCGACCGGTACCCCCGACATTACGGAGCATAGCATAATGAACGCCTATGTGAAACTGATTGAGGAGTCCGACCACTTCGTGTACATTGAGAACCAGTTCTTTGTCAGCACCTGTGAGATCGATGGCAGAAAAATCGAGAACTCGATCGGCGATGCTCTTGTGGAACGTATCACCCGGGCTGCCAAGAACAAGGAAGCCTGGCGCGCTGTGATTGTCATCCCCCTGATGCCGGGGTTCCAAAACACCGTGGACAGTGAGGGCGGAACGAGTGTGCGTCTGATCATGATGTGCCAGTATCGCAGCATTTGCCGCGGGGAGACGTCCATCTTCGGCCGGCTACGGGCGTTGGGGATCGAACCCGAAGACTACATCCAGTTCTTCAGTCTTCGAACCTGGGGTAAGATCGGACCTCAGAAGCAACTGGTCACCGAGCAGCTTTACATCCATGCTAAGTGCATGGTCGTGGATGACCGAGCTGCCATTATTGGGTCTGCAAACATCAACGAACGCTCAATGCTGGGCTCTCGAGACTCCGAAGTTGCGGCCGTCGTGCGTGATACGGACATGATATGGTCTTCCATGAACGGTCGCCCTTACCTCGTGGGACGATTCCCACACACTCTCCGTATGCGCCTCATGAGAGAGCACCTTGGCATTGATGTCGATGAGTTGATGGAGCACTCCATGGCGACCGAGGAAGAGCTCCGCAGGATTGAGATTGTCGAAGAAGGGTCTAAGCCCCCTGAAAGCCAGCCCGACTCGGAATCTTTGATGCTCGAGAAAAAGGACGAGAGGGACATGATTGAGCGTCGACACCGTCTTCAAGACGAATTTCTCTCTCGGTCCGAAGATATGCATAGTTTCAACCATGACGTTGACTGGGAACAGGGAAACAACCCGAACCTCAAGTCGAACCGAAAGCTTACTGCCGACCCGAGAGTGACCTCCAATGCCGAGCACAAGAAGGATGTGGATGGCTTTGGCCCAGACAATCTCACCACGGCCCAGGCAGCTGGACTGGGCGATGCCCGCGATTCTAAGTTTATGGATGCGAAGACAGAGGTTTTGGTCTCCCCTATTGCATCGGAAGGAAAGGGTACTGTTCAACAGCCGAGACACCCCTCGCAACGCAATGCCCAGCGGGAAAACGCCGGCGGCGATGTAGAAGCTAAGCCGACTTTAGGTGTCCATGATAAGCAGGGCAACGAAGCGACGCAGGTCGTGGAGGGACTGCCGGCTGTGCGTCATCCGGCATTGGTGTCGGAACACGAGACGGAGAGCAGTAATAGCGGTATCCTGGGGGCATCACGGGATAAACATGACCCTGTCAAGTCAGCACATCCGTTTGCCCCAGACCTGAAGCATATCTTCATCGACAAAGATTGCATGCGGGACCCTGTGATCGACTGCTTCTATTTGGATACCTGGCAGGCTGTTGCAGATAAGAACACCAAACTCTACCGGAGTGTTTTCCGCTGCATGCCGGACAGTGAAGTAAAATCGTGGAAAGAGTACAAAGAGTATGCCGCGTATGCAGACCACTTTGCCGAAATGCAAAGCCAGCACAGTGCCAAAGCTTTCCAGCCCACCGGCCAGAGACAAACCGGGCCACCAGGGACAGGAGCCAACGTTGCTGGAGCAGCTGCCGGGCTCAAGCACAACCTGTCTGTGCATGCCCAGAGCGCTGAGGGACAGCAGAAGGAGCAACCATCCGTGGAAAAGAGCGAGCCCCGAGCTGCAGCTTTCGGTCAAGCTACAGACACGCAACATTCAGACGTCGCCAACCCCGAAGGGCTGTCGCCGATCAACGAGAAATCTACACTGAAGGCGCCAGACGGGGCAACAACAGGGCACTTGCCAAATGGACGACATGAGGAAAGTGGCTCGTCCGGCGAGGATCTGGAGAGGCGGCGCTCTGATCCCCCGCTCGTGGATTATTCCGAGGCCCTAAACCGAAATGCCACCGGCCAGTCTCGACGACGCAGACGAAGAGCAACCACGCTCGGCTCGAAGCGGGAGTTCCACGCGACCGATGAGGTGATGGACAAACAACGGGCAGAAGAACTCTTGAACCACGTACAGGGACATCTAATTCTCTGGCCCTATGACTGGTACGTAATCCGTTGCGTTTGTGCGGTTCGCATCCCCCGGCGGGTACTGACACCATGACCTATATGTAGGCTTGAGAAAGAAGAACAGGGCGGAAACTGGCTCTATACACTGGACCAGATCTCTCCGCTGGAAATCTAGTAAGTTTATGGCCGCAATCGGACGCAACTGCATCATATCCTAACCGCGAGTAGCAACTAAACCGATGCCTCGTCCCCCTGGCTACTGGCCACTCGCTCCCTCTCTTACCCTTCCTTCAACTTGAGACCGGTCGACCTCTCAGGATTTGACGTCATCCAAATACGGTCCTCTCCCCACCGGTCGAGCCATGATCTCTTATTCCCTGGGCCGCCCGCTGACAGTATCATCCACGACTCCCTTGTAGTTTATAGTATCGTTTTGGTTCTTCTCCAAGCATATATGGATGGTTGCTTTGGGTGGCTTTGTCAGCTTCTGCATAGCAAGCGGGCGTTTTCAATTGGGCTTTCTTCTTCCTCTTCCATGTTTTTGATATCACTCAATGCCTTACTGATCCCGGTGCTCTCACGTATCGACTGCACCGGGCGCTAATAGATTTGGATGTTGATTACTATTCCAGGGAAGTCTAGACAGGGGTTGCCAGAGACAAGGGCCATTCTATGATGTTTGCGCTTGAGAAAGTGGAAACTCTAGCTCAGTCAGGATCTATAATCTAAATCAATGCCCGTTCGTCACGTAGACGCACGACCCCCCAAAGCGAGTCGACGGCGCACATCGTTGAAATCATCGAAGTTAGCGTGCAGGATACGACTCAGCACACTACGATTTGGATCAACCAACGGAAACCTCTCCCACGTATCAAGAGCTGTTCCGAGACGCTCGTAAGCGCCCGCCAACGCGGACTTCAGCGCCGTGGTCTCGATACAAGAACGGCCCAGGTCATCCATATAGTTGGTGGGGTTCTGCAAACATAGCCGTGTGGCCGCAACCTTGTTGCCTCTGACCGCGGCGGTTCTTCTGAGGTTGATGATGGCTCGTTGGCCACGCAGATGAGCAGGGATGTCGTCCAAGCCGTGCATGCGGCTGGCAATTTTAATGGTGTCCGCATCGAAGAATTCCGGAGGGTCGACGGAGATACCGGTTTTCGCGAAATCGACTTGGGTGCCGTACATTTGCAACAAGGCAAGAAGAGTCTCGCCGAGGTTATCTGATCGTCGAAACCGACCATGGTTCATCTTCAGAAAGGCCACAACAAGCATGACAAGTGCCTCCGATGTGATGGACGATGCGTGACGGCCATACACACCTTGAGATTCAAGGATAAGTCGTGTGGCCATGTATAGAGGCCGAAGTGAAGGGTACTCGGCACAATAATCTCTGATATACTCAATTATTGGGGGTGAACCTTCGCCACAGTAAAAGCGCAGCCGGAGACCAGTTCGGCTATGGATAGCTGTGATGGAGCCCATCTCTGTTGATCGGTATATGTGGTGGTCGAAAGATGGACATTTCCGTAGTGTTTGTTCAACATCGCGTAATAGGCTCCTATGTAGATTCAAGGCCTTTGGGCGCGTAGCGCTTGGCTTTCGAACACTTTCAATAGATCGTACCGAGTCAGGAACGGGCAAAAGGAGGTCAAGATCGGAGTGACTCATTGCCAGCCCGGTTCGCCATGACCCGATGATAAGGGGCCCGTGGGGCACGGTGCCCTCAAGCCAACGAGCAACGTCCGTGGCGACTGTATATACCTGCTCCTCCTCGGGTGGGGTGGGCCTTAGGTATTTCTCAAGTGCGCAGATCTCCGCATCCAGCTGCGAGAGACCATCACTGAAGGACAGGGTTGAATCCAAGTCTTCTAACCACGGAGACTGAGCTGACCGGCCATTTTTGGGGTCAGGGTTCCACCGTATTGATCGATGTAGGACAGTAGGTTGGGAGGTATGGGAGGGTTGATCGGGTTTCAGGACGGAGCGAGGTTTCCTTTTGGGACTTCTCGGGGTCGAGGGAGGCCTCGAAGTTACACTCGCGGTCGGCGAGTTGAACGATGGGACCTCGCCTTTCGCCGCATCCTCCGGGGTGTCCTCAGGGTCTGCCTTACCCGGTACCCTGCGGATTAAACTGGCTCGATTCGAGGACCGATGCGCCTCGAGAGTTCTCTGCAGGCTGTGTTGGAAGATTGCCGAATTCTTGGAGCTTGAGCGACTTTCGTGGAAGCATCGTGCCTGAGATAGAAGGGGTAAAGAGCTTTTCAGATAAGGAGCAACCGATGTGAAAGAAAGGGGCTGGCGTCTTGAGGGACAAAGGACGCGCATGACAGCGCGTTTAGCAAGGCAATGAAGGCATTGCGGATGGAGCGTTGCAACCTGGGGCATAAACCGGACAGGGAAGGATTCACGGGATGGCAGACTGAGTCGACGAGAACCGCCGGAGTCAATAGATCAGTCAAGCGGAAGGAATCGGATAGAGGGAGATGCTGAGGCCAGGAAATGTTGCAGCAGATGGCCGATGGCCGATGGCAGATGCAAGACGGTCGGGTGAATTGCGGCCCTACACGTGACTTGCGGGCCGTGATCTGGTCAGCCCTAGGTAGGTTTTCACATGTCACACCCCCTGCCGGTCGACGATCTGGAATCTCGATCCTCGATTCTCGAATCTTGCGATCTCGACGGACCTCTTCCTTCCTTCCTTCCTTCCTTCCTTCCCCCGTAGCGGTTGAGAATTTCGTTTCTTTGGTCCTGTGGTTGTTATTTCCGGTGGAACCCGACGGCATACTACTATAGTATGACTATTGTGTCTCAGGGCAATCAAACTCATCAGGAAATTACTAACAGGGTGGTCGTCGCCCACATGTGGTGGTGATGTGCTTCGATGCCACCACGAGGCCACGAGGTATATTCTCCCAACCGATCAGGCATTTCTGCCATCCACTGGGCCCAACTTCCCGAAATATTGCCTAGCTTACCGACTGACCGACATGGTGTCTACCTAACTTCCTCTATTCAGTATCTACCCAAGATTACGCTTCCTGTAGTCCGTTCGTTAGCCAGTTAGTCAGTTACTCCTGTACTCTGTAGTTGGGGATTTAGCAGCGGTCAATTCAGTTCCGACCTGCAGCTCGGATCATGACGTATGGGGATGGCGGGGAACGGAACCGGCCATCAATTGCTTGCTTGGGGAAATGAAACAACGACAACGACAACAACAACATCATCATCATCATTATTATCCTCCCCCACCACCGACCACCATCACCATCATATCCACCCTCATATCCACTATTCACGATCCACGCGATTCATGATGCATACGAATCCACCATCCATCCGGACCGGAGGAGTAGGACCAAACCATCACGGTGATTCAACCGGTTTCCCTGAACTTGGTCGGCTTTCCCTCCCCTTCTTTCCCACTGGTTCGACCTGCCCAGTCGCCGTCCTCCTGATCCCCCGTCTGGCGCTATAATCCCCACCCGTTATATGCTTTCTTTTCCCTTCCACCTCTCCATCCGCCACTCCTGGAACGCCTTGGGCCCCGTCCCTCCCGCGACCCTTTCTCTGCCTCTCTCTCCCCTTCTGCGTCCTTCTATCTCGACCCGTGCATGAGGGATTGGTTGTTTATAAGCCAACCCTGCCGACGGATTCCCGACCAGCTGATGACTGGCTTGCCCGCTTGCATACCGGCTTGATTGCGCAATTGGGGTGATTGGTTACTATTCCGGGATTGTTTGGGAAGTGGCTCCGGACCAGCGGTGGTGGTTCTGGTGGTCGAGATAATTTCCCGCCGACTCTTCAGGCGCCTTTCCGGCCTATATCCCTACCAACCGGGGCTACTTATCTTGCTCTTGCATCGCTGCCATACATCTCCCATCCCCCCACTATCTACTACCTTTTGGGGGGATCTGTAACAGATCGACTTTCCTAGTGGGTGGATGCTGCTTGACTACAACAACAAGAACTACTCCTCCTCCTATCTAGTATGTATGATTTCCCTTATTTTCTTCCATCATCCCGCCTTCACCGCCTCCCGGCTCCGACGCCTCTTGCTTTCCAATCCTATGCTCTCTGTGACTGCCCGGTGGTGGCTGCCCTCGTCCCCTTCTCCGTCCTTCCCCCCCCCTCCTCCATCTCAAATCATTGATCCCCCCTCCATCGGTCAATCGGTCTCTCTGTCGGAGGGATTGATTGTATTGCCTCAGTCCCACCGCTCCTTCTGCATCGGCTCTTCCTTTTTTTCAGTGCCCACTTTTCCACCCATGGCCTAGTTCGCCTTCTTTTGGCCGGCCACTTCCCTGTTACTTCCAACCCCACCAAAACTCCAGACCTCCCAGGTACTCCAGCTTATCTCCCTCCTTTTGCCCCCCCCCCCCTCTAATCTACGCCGAGATACCTCAACGCTCCCTCTTCCCCCTCTTCTTCCCCCCCCCAAAAAGACAAAAGTGTTCCACCGATCCCTGTTTTGAACTCCAATACTTTTTTCTCCAAAGGAAAAAAAAAGTCGCTCAAAAAAAGACCAAAAAAAATCAATCAATCGAAGAATTATGGTTTCATCTAACTGATCCTGGAACTCCCCAGATTGACTGCGGACTGGCCCTGTTTTGACCGTCTTTTACCTCTCTGACTCCTCTCTTCGTCGTGTCCGTTTCCGTCATGGCCACCGAACAACGGACTGCCGCCGTGCCCGATGGTCAGCCCAATCCGGGCCCCATTGGATCTGGCGTGAATGTGCTGGGGGAGGATGCTTTTTTGAATGCCTCAAATGCCACCCCGGACCTGCGTGGTGAGCAGGCGCAGCCTTCCATCCTCCCTGATGCCCCTTCCTACTTTCCTGAATTCTCCGGGAATCACGTCTCGCCCGTCCCGCCCACTGCCACTTCCCCCACCACCCCAGCCCAGGCAGCCAAGGACGCGAAGTCGGGCGTTGAACTGTTGCGTCGTCTGAGCCTGAGAGGGACCCCCACGATGTTGGACACCGACCCCCGGGAACAATATCCCAGTTTGCGTCTTACCGGCCGAGTCATCAGCGCTGCATTCTGTATCCCATACAAGCTTTATCTCCATCCTGGGTCTGACTGGGTAAGCCCCCCCCCCCGCCTCCCACCTGGGTTCGATAAGAGAACTAATTGACCGATTGCGTCGTAGGATCTGAAACCCCGGCCGGGAACTTCGGCTCTATTTGATTCTATGGCCTATCTTGGTTCTAACGAATCGAGATGGTCCCATACCCTCGTTGGCTGGACTGGCGAGGTCGAGCCGGCCCATGAGACAACGATACCTTTGCAGCAAATCCCCATCAATACGAGTGCCAAGTTGCCGCCCACCGTCAACGGCTCGGCCCTGCCCCTCAACAAGGCTGCAGCACCCGTGCCCGTGGATGCTAGTCAACGCCAACCAAGTCATCCCCTTCTGGAAGGCTTCAGAGTGGGTCAAGAGGATCGAGCACGACTGGATGTGCAGCTGAGTTCTAGCCGCTATGGCAAAATTGTTCCCGTCTGGTTGACAGGCGAATCCGAAGTCCCCGACGACACGGTTTTCTTGGATGATCAAGGGAGATGGCGGCGTTACGCGGAGCGGGAGCTATACCCACTCCTTCACTACAAGCAGCACGGTCCCACAGATGGTAAGTCGGAACGCAAGTGGTGGGCAGACTACGTTCGCATGAATCGTCTCTTCGCAGACCGGATTGCCCAGGAATACAAGGAAGGGGACATTGTCTGGATTCACGATTACCACCTATTTCTGTTGCCCAGCATGTTGCGCCAACGCATTCCCAACATCTACATTGGCTTCTTCCTGCATGCTCCTTTCCCTAGCAGCGAGTTCATGCGTTGTCTGGCCAAGCGCAAGGAGGTGCTTACGGGAGTCTTGGGTGCAAACATGATCGGCTTCCAAACGTTCTCGTATTCTCGCCACTTCTCCTCGTGCTGCACTCGTGTCCTTGGATTCGATTCCAATTCGGCCGGTGTGGACGCGTACGGTGCCCATGTGGCTGTCGACGTCTTCCCTATTGGTATTGACACCAAGATGATTCAGAAGCTAGCCTTCGGATCCACCGAGATTGAGAAGGCCGTCTTGGGTATCCGCAAATTGTATGCGGGCAAAAAGATCATCGTCGGCCGTGATCGACTGGACAGTGTCCGCGGAGTTGCCCAGAAGCTACAATCCTTCGAGGTATTCCTCGAACGGTATCCGGAATGGCGTGACAAGGTCGTCCTGATTCAAGTCACCAGCCCAACCAGTGTCGACGAGCAGAAAGAAGAGACCAAGATCGCCAGCCAGATCTCTAACCTGGTTTCCACCATCAATGGTCGATTCGGGTCATTGAGTTTCGCGCCCGTCAAATACTACCCTCAGTACCTCTCCCCAATCGAGTACTTTGCACTCCTGCGGGTTGCTGACGTTGGCCTAATCACGACGGTCCGGGATGGTATGAACACGACAAGTCTGGAGTACATCATCTGCCAACAGAATAACTTTGGGCCCTTGATTCTTTCTGAGTTCTCTGGAACCGCAGGTACCCTGTCCAGTGCCATTCACATCAACCCATGGGATACCGTGGGCGTTGCGGGGGCCATTAATAAAGCCCTAACCATGTCCCCTGAGGAGAAGATGTCTCAGAATCAGAAGCTCTACAAGCATGTTACTGCAAATACGGTATCGTCTTGGTCAAAACAGTTTGTCACGCGTCTCCTTACCAACCTGTCGTCGTTCGACCAGTCGGTGGCGACGCCAGCACTCGATCGTGCCAAGCTTGTGCGGCAGTATCGCCGGGCTCGCAAGAGGCTGTTCATGTTCGATTATGATGGTACTCTCACCCCGATCGTGAAAGATCCGCAAGCTGCTATTCCGTCGGATCGTGTTCTACGGACCATCAAGAGCCTTGCCGCAGATCCCCGGAATGCGGTTTGGATCATCAGTGGACGTGATCAAGCCTTCCTGGACGAGTGGATGGGCCACATTCCCGAACTAGGATTGAGTGCAGAGCATGGGTGTTTTATCCGCAAGCCTCACTCCGATGACTGGGAGAATCTGGCCGAACGGAGTAACATGGGCTGGCAGAAGGAGGTCATGGAGACATTTCAGCACTTCACCGAACGGACCCAGGGCTCCTTCATTGAGAGAAAACGAGTGGCCCTGACTTGGCATTATCGCCGTGCAGACCCCGAGTACGGGGCGTTTCAGGCCCGCGAGTGTCGGAAGCAGCTCGAAGACACCGTCGGCAAGAGATGGGAAGTCGAAGTCATGGCTGGCAAAGCTAATCTCGAGGTGCGGCCGACGTTCGTCAATAAGGGATTCATCGCAACTCGCCTGGTCAATGAGTACGGAACGGGGCCTGGGCAGGCCCCTGAGTTCATCTTCTGTTCTGGAGATGATTTTACTGATGAAGGTAAACCCCCTCCCTCCTATTCACCTGTAGAGGCTTTCTTGGCACGCTGAGCCGTGGCTTCAAACATCTTCCTTGTTGTACGTTTTCTCAGCTGGCTAACGTGACTTCGCTATGTTTCTGCAGACATGTTCCGGGCATTGCAGAAGTTCGACCTGCCGCAAGATCATGTCTACTCGGTCACTGTCGGTGCAAGTTCGAAACAGACAGCTGCCAGCTGGCATCTCCTGGAGCCAGCGGACGTAATTGAGACCGTGTCGATGCTGAACAGTAGCTCGTGCTCCCAGGAGTATTGAGGTCCTGTTCCTGCTCTCTCACTGCAGATACCTACTGTGACAGCTGGGGCTGCGATTTAGCTCTCGCGATTATTGATATATACTTCATTATTCTTTTCCGGGCGTAGAGGGTGATGCTGTGGCGGCGGCGATTTGTTAGAGGGCGTCACGAAGCGGGTGTGAATTCGGCATTGGCATGAGCTTCGGCATTGGATTCTCGGGGGGATCGTTCAGCCATTAGCGAGAGTCCAGCATGGGGGTTCTCTTTCGTTTCTGGCGACTTTGATTTTGAAATTTGACTCCAGCATGATTGCGTTACGCGCGCGACGCACTGAGCATGGGTGTGCCTGTTATGGCTCTTATAGTTGACTATATAGACGGGTCGCCGAAGCTCGGCCGATGCCCTCCCTGGTTGTAATGCGTTAGAACGAGAATAGAAAACAACCCGATATAGTACTTCGTCACGCTGGGGTTTGGGTCGTTCTGGCTCCAGCCAGACGGCAGCCCCGATGCCTCCTGATACTATACTATACGATAGTTGGTATGCCACAGAGGGACATGCTCTCGGTGAGGCATGGTGGGCCTTGCTCTGCCCTTTGCCTATACCAAGCGATGAGAGGATGTAGTAGGATCATTCAGGAATGAAGAATCCCCCGATAGATATCCTTCGGAGTATCCGGAGTATCGAATCCTACTCAATACCGGGGCGGATCCGGATACGGTATGGAACGAGACCGGACCGTATCGGCAGTATCGGCCTCGCTGCTGCTGCTGCTGCTTCTTCTCACTCTTCATGCGTCTCTCTTCATCTGTTCCTTGCTCGCAGCACTCGTCATCACTGTTCAGTTATACAGAGATGGCCGTCGCCAAATCAATTGGATCCTGACTCTAGCGGGGAATCGCAGCCAGCTCAATGTAGTTCCCCCAGCAGACCCGACAGGGGGTCCATCGTCCCCTCCGCAGTGGTGGTGGAGATGGTATCCACTCCCAACCCTCCAGAAATCGTGCCTAATAGTATTTGACCTGGGGTATACCTCGGATCGCGACCATGGTGCACCATGACGAGGCGGGGGAAGCGCTACTTCTTTGGTCCTTGCCCGTTGGATCCCAGCCTGATCGCCATTCTTTAGCCGATTCGGCACGACACTGCCGGCCCTACCAGCCGTCATGGCGGTTGATTCGGTCTTCTTTGCGAACCACCAGAGCCCTAGCCTTTTCCCAAGTTAGTGCTACTTACCGGCTTGACTCACTGCGTTGCTTTGGTCGTTCGGCTCTCTGTCTGTGTTTCCCAGGGCTGAATCCAAATGGCCCCAGACAGAAAGACGGTCTTCTCAACGTTCTACAGTCACGACCGATGCCGGCCCCTGGACGTGCTTTGAGTCATACGCACACGTCAATTTACTTGATCGGTCAAGTCAAGATCTGGGGTATTGATGCATACTCCATAGTGCCTGATTCTTGGCCCTCTTCTTCCTTTATCCTTCCCTATTTCAGTCTCCAACCCTCTGTTGATCTTTCAAACACACGTTCATCCTGAAGATCCGACTTCTATATCCCACAGGATATCCCCACCACCCTACCTCGTTCGGTCAAGCTGTCGGCTCCCAGCGCTAAGGGACCGAGTCTTACCAGATTGACTCGTCCCACAACCTGTGTCTTCTACTGCCAGGCAAGATCAGCATCCTACTCAATATACCGGAGAGCTGTACTCAATTCTACTTCCCTATTTGTCGGATATATTTACTCTCAAAATGACTACTACCCCGTCGTATCATGCTCAACTGAACCTTCCCATCTCTTCAGACGACGCGGAGGGTCATTCCAGTAGGGTTGCAAACGATCTTGCCCCTAATCAGTTTCTTCCCCTGGGAAAACCCAATGGCGATGAAGAAGCAGGTCTAGACCACGATAAACAAAAAGAGTTGTCTAAAACTCCTACCAATGGCAGCCACGTTGGCGCACTGGCCAGTAGAACCTTGACCCTTGTCCGCACCAGAGAGTCCGGCAGGGACCCAGGACTTCCTCCCGACGGGGGCTTTAAGGCGTGGTCCCAAGTAGCCCTGGCGCATTTTGTCATCTTCAACACCTGGGGCTACATCAACAGCTTTGGAGTCTTTCAAACCTACTATACGGAAACGCTCGGACGGACTCCGTCCGACATCTCCTGGGTAGGAAGTATCCAGATCTTCTTACTTTTCTTCATCGGGACCTTCTCGGGTCGCGCCACGGATGCCGGGTATTTCAAGGCCATCCTGACTCTGGGGGCCATTTTAGAGCTGTTTTGCATCTTTATGACTTCCTTGTGCACGAAGTACTGGCAGCTGTTCTTGGCCCAGGGCATTGGCCAGGGCATCGGTTGCGGGCTCATGTTCTGTCCGACCATTGCGCTCATCCCTACCTACTTCACCAAGTACCGCGCCATTGCGATTGGGATTACGGCGTCGGGCTCCGCCACCGGAGGCCTGGTTTTTCCAGCGGTCGTTATGCGACTACTGCCTCGCATCGGGTATGGATGGACGATGCGGACTCTAGGGTTTATTTCGTTGGCGACACTGATTCCCTGCCTGGTTTTTCTCCAGCAAAGACTGCCCCCGCGCCGCAGCGGGCCCCTCGTCGAGTGGGGAGCGTTCAAAGAAGTTCCCTATGCCTTATTTGCGCTCGGTATGTTCCTCAACTTCTGGGGCATCTACGTGGGGTTCTTCTATATCGGTAGCTTCGCGCGCAACATCATCGGGGTCTCCAACTCGACCTCGATCGATGTTCTCCTGGTCATGAATGGGATCGGACTGCTAGGCCGGTTAATCCCCAACCTGATGGCCGACCGGTACACGGGGCCTTTAAACATGCTGATCCCGTTCAGCCTGGTGACCGGGGTGGTGGCATTTTGCTGGGCCGCGGTCAAGAGCTACGACGAGTTGTATGCGTTTAGTGCGTTCTACGGGCTGGCCGCCGCGGGGATTCAGTCGCTCTTCCCGGCAACCTTGAGCACGCTCACCACCGACCTGAAGAAGACGGGGGTGCGAATGGGTATGGTGCTTAGTGTGGTGGCGGTCGCTGCATTGATTGGCACGCCGATTGCTGGGGCGCTGGTGGATCGAGATGATGGACAGTATTTGTTTGCGCAGATGTTCATGGGCAGTGCTATCCTGGCTGGGACCTTGACCCTGGTTGCAGCGCGAGTGACGAAGCTGGGGCTGGTTTGGCAACGCGTATGAGGACATGGGTGCGCGCGCTCGTGGGCCAACCACTGGGAAGACGGCGAGGCAGAAGGGCAATCCAGGATAGGGTATGAATACCAGACTGAAACTTGGAGTGGACGACGGTCTGTGTAGTTGGAGAAGAAGCCCTCTTAAAGTACTCCGTAGAGGCGAATAAACCAATGACCGCCCGCCTCTTAGTCAGGCCCTCCCCGCCTGTTCAGGGCAACTGGCGGCGTGACTCAAACAAATCAACATTCAACACCGCAACCACTTCGTCGTCGTCTCCGCGTTACGATCTACAAGTCCTCCGACTACCCAGGACTCCTCATTCTCGATCTTCCTCGATCGGTGCCGCTGGTGTGTTTGTCCCCCGCCTCGGCCCCTCCGAATGCCCTGTTTGGACCACCACCTTTCCGCCTCGAAGCCTGGGCTGCCCCGCTGACTCGGACAAGAGACCCTTCTTGCCTTCCTTCCTTCCTTTCTTCCAGATAATCGACACCCTGCGCAGCTCACATCATGGCCCCCCGCGGTCGCGGAAAGTTCTCCAAGCCCTCTCGAGGAGGTATGTGAGCAACACGGCCACTGGTCCACCAGCCCCAAGATCTCAACTCACCCTCTTCCCACACACAGGCGGGAAACGGTTCAGTCGCGACACCCAGCCGGTCGACAAAGATGGCAACCCCGTGGGTCTGTGGAGGGTAAGCAGGACCGAATCCTGATGTCTCGCATGCCGTCTCAAACCACCTGGCCATTAACCCAATCGTCCCCACAACCAGGAACCGGACGATGACATGCCCACCTCATCCGAAGAAGACGCATCCTCAGAATCGGGATCTGACGAATCCTCCGAAGACGAGAGACCCGGCCCGTCCTCCGTCCCACCCCCGACGACCGCCACCGAAATGACCCGCGAGGAACGTCGCGCTGCCGCCAAAGCGAAAAAGCAAGCCGCCCAAGCCAGACGGCTCCAAACCGCCGCCCAGCCGGGCGACCTGCCACCCTCCGACTCGGAGGGATCGGACAAGGAGGATGAGCACGACGACCACGAGGAGGAGGAGGAGGAGGAGGAGGACCTCCCTGCCAACCCGAACCACACTACGAAATCCCGCTCCCAGCTGAGCACCACCACCGACGACACGGCACAGCCCGAGGGCGGAGACCTCTCGCAGCTGTCGCGACGCGAGCGCGAGGCGATCGAGGCGCAGCAGGCCCGGGAGCGGTACCTGAAGCTCCATGCGGAGGGGAAGACGGATGAGGCGCGGGCAGATCTGGCTCGGTTGGCGCTCGTCAGGGAACGGCGCGAGGCGGACCGGCTTCGTAAAGAGGCCGAGAAGGAAGAGAAGGCGGAGTTGGCGAAGCAGAGGGCCGCCGAGTTGCAGGCTAAGTTGCAGGCTGCCAAGGGAGGGAAGAAAAAGGGAGGCTCGAAGAAGAAATAAACTTGAGAAGAATGTCTCTTCCTTTTATCCTTTGATTTACTTCTCATATACCATCCTATTTTATACCATACCATATCATATCACACCACATATCATATATCATGTATTGGATAGCGATCGGAGGGGCGAGGGCGTGTGCTTGCTTTTCTGGTAATGCACGCGCAATCTCAATGAATGATTACTGCCTGTTCTTATTCCTTTCTGTTTTGTTTGTTCGAGAGGGTCTTGGGGAGAGAGGTTGGATCTACTTGTATAGTCGTCTGCCAGAATGTCCGGACAGATAACTTGACAAAGCGACCATGCTGGTGTGGATATGGAGATATGTATAGAAGCTATATAACCAGCTATGCTGTACAATATACGACACTGTCTTTGTCGCCTGCCCGAGCTCGATGGCAGCGTGTAGAAGCGATGAACAGTAACCCCGGATGCAACGACATTATGCTCCTTGAACCCGATTCCCTTAACAGACACAACATATGATTCATACCAAAAGATCACCATATACACCGGCGCCAGAACGAAACGGAAAAGGAAGAAACCTGGACTGCGGGTCCATCATAGGGGAGAATGATAGGAGCAGGAACACTGTGATTGGCATGTTCGAACGCCGCTCGAAAATGCTATGCTGCGGAGGGGATCATGCGCCCCAGAAAAGACCTTCCACTCCCCCTCCTTGCATCACGACCCCCCATCCTGCAATCAGACTGACCAGCCACAGGACCGCGAACGCCAGGATCGGGAGCAAGAGGAGTTCCGTGTTGTGTAGGAATGGAAGCGCATTGTATCCGAGGAAAGTGATGTAAGTGTAGTACGTCAGCGCGGAGAGGTAAAGGGTGTTTCCAAGGAAGGTGGCGAGGAAGTTGCTCGGGCTGCGCGTGAGAAGCGGGAGGAGCAGGAATTGGACGACGTAGAGATGTAGATACAATGGGAAAAACGCCCGATTCGAGACCTGATGCAAGTCGTTAATGACCACCGCTCTTCTTGCCCATTCTCAAGGGAGATGCTACTTACATCGAAACAGTATCCAAACTCCAACTGGTCCTTTTCTCCCGGTTGCGTGAAGAGGCCTTGCGCCGCGCCGCGTCTCCGTCCGCGACCGCCTCTGAAACCTGTCAGGGATGCGGCCATGCCATCGGGACCAAACAGCCGCGGGATCACAAAGTATCCGACAGTGGAGACCAGAAGAGACGAGCCGATGAAGTGGAGGAAGATGAAGAGTAGAGAGAGCCGGACGATGGCTCCGAAGGAGGGCGCATAGGCGAGACCCCAGGCGAGGGCTGTGAGCAGGAGGAAGAAGGAGAGGAGGTAGGCGAACGAGGGGTCAGGACGGTGCCAGGTGTTTTTCGTTTCTAGACAATGTATCTTAGCATTGGAAGGGCTGGTTGTTGATCACATGCCGGGGAATTGATTGCGCGGTGGTTGGGCAACATACGTTTCTGCGGTTCGGGCATGGAGTCAGCATGATCGGATGCGCGCCATCCAGCAGATTCCCATCACACTTACATGGTAGTAGATTGATTTGAAGACCTTCTTGGGTGCAATCAACAGCGATGTCATCTCCCAGATGGCCATCTCGAAGTCCATCTGCGGGAACTTGAACAGCCTGAAACATAGCCAGGGGCGTCAGCAGCGGGTCGTCGGGTCGCGAGGCCTTGGAGGGCGCTCTGAACAGGCGCATCATGACTCTCCGCCATCCAGGAGGGCACAATCAGGCGTACCTCTTGAAGAATCGCGGCATCCGGATACTAGATCCGCGGCTGGCTGGGGTGGTGCCGCCGAAGCTGGACGGGCTGGCATGTTGGCGGGGGACGGATATGTGAGGGTTCATCTTTTAGTGAGGGTGAGTGGGGTTGGAGAGAGACCCCGATCTTAGGACATGGGAAGGAAAAGGGCGGATGTCATGTATCGGGCGGCCAACTGCCACCGGACGTCAAGAGTCGAGCTGGTTCCTGAGGGAGCTTGGATGTCCTTCATTGCGATTCGGTGGCCCGTCGAGCGAACGACCGTTGGGGTATTATGTCATCGCCATCCCCCCGGATCAACCTCGACCCGGTTCCGTCTCGGATTCGTACTAGTGGTAGGCTGACTGAAGAATCAGGCATCTTTTGGTTTTCCTTCTTTCTTCCTTTCTTGGTATCTTTCTTACTGATTTGCTTCCTTTCTGTCTTTTCATTTGTTTTCTTCCCTTTCTAATGATATTTTCAGTGCTATTCAGATTTACGAGAAGAGCCCTCTGTCGCGTGGGTGCTCGATACCCGATAGGTCTTACCATGTCGGCACGGGCATCGGACGATGGCATCAAGTGGATCCTAGATACTAGATAACTAACTAGCTAGAAGGCCGGAAACCCATCATGACATCCTTGCAGATGATCGGCTCCTCAACCCGCCGGTGTATCAACTATCCAGCGAGTGGTGGACACGGCGATGTATCACATTCAAAGAGTCGCCAGGTTTGCCAGATCTGGACAAGCTGCAACGCCGGCTGCAACCGAGAGCGGCTCCTTAATTTCTCGGTGTCACTCTCCCTGTCGACCGCTGGAAATGGAAAGGATGGAGCGAGGGATCGATCCTGAAGCTTCGGGCGACGGAAAGTTTGCGGCATGAGGTCTGGAGGCAGGTTCTGAGGTGCCTGGCCGGCCTGGACAGGGATGGGGTCAGCGACGCAGCGCCAGTAGGTAAATCTCCGGCAGCAACGAGGCGATGCATTGTGATCGATGCAGGCCCGAGCCCCAAGGAAGTTGGCATCCTCCATCACGAAACCTGCGCTGATGGAGCTCGTCGATGGAGTTGTGCGATGGAGTTGTGCGATGGGTCCCCGCCAGGACCAGTTTCGGAGGAGATGATAGATCGGGAGCGGTTCATATCAATACTAGACACATTATTACCTGGTATTGGGGTAGTATTGATTGTATTCTCGATCTAGTTCATCTATCCTGGTCCTCGAATGGGTGACATCCTCGAGACTGGATCGTATGCAGGTGGGCAGGCGTGCCCCTGAAGCCCTGGACGCTAGACGGACTCTAGGCCGGCGACTAGTGAACGCTACGCAACTAGTCGCTTGTCCGTGACAAGTCCATCCATCCCCTAAACTACTCCGGAGTAAAGTCTTAACGTCTTCTTCCTCTTCGTCCTCCTCCTTCTCAGTCGGCTGATCCGCCGTTTCCTGTGCGCCCTTCACCTGCCAGTCTGGGGCTTGCTCAGGAATTCGTTTTTCCTCCCATTGCTGCGGATTCCTGAAGCGTTCGATCGTTAACCCTTCCATTCTCTTTTTGCCTGTGCCCACCCGTGGCGACCCTCCCCCACGATCGTCATCTGAGCCCGTCGGTTCCCCGTTCTTTTTCTGTCCTCGTCCTTGGTTCGCTCCATTTTTCCTTCAGCGTCTCTCTGCTCTCGCTTCGAACTGGCACTGACCTGACTAGCCCCGAGAAAAGCCCTACAGACGTTCTCCGGCATTGGACCAACGGCGGATCCCCCTTACACTGCGAAATAACTACTCCCCTCCCCCTCACGCAATGACCGACAAGTGACACAAACCACCCTTGACTGCGCCCTGACGACGGTCCACTTGATTCCTCCAGGTCTCAATTCGAGTTTCCAATTCGATCCTGGCCACGCGACTAGAGGGAAAGCTCCAGGGTGATACCCCGAGCTATCGGTGATCGTGTGTCCGGGACAATTGCTTCAAGCGTCTTCCTGCTCCGTCGTCGATGGCAACGATCCCTCAGGGACTTGGCGACAATCATTTCTAGACCCGCTCGGCTCCTATCTTGTTGAATACCACGAATGCCGCAGGTCCCCAATACCCATCAATGAGCCGAGCCATACGACCGGGCAGTCTCAGAATGCCTCAGCAGCACGTCGACAGCTCCCCTCCGCGCACTCCCCCTTCGGAAGCCGTCAATGGTAAGTCTACCAGGAGAGGGACGCATGCGCGACCCTCCGTCCGTGAGACATTCTTGGATGACTTTAACCCAGCGGATAACGCAAACGAAAGCAACGAGTCCTGTGACGAGCGAGACCCTCACGACCTGTCCCTGTCTCCGCAGCATGCAGCCCGCACATCGATCGTTGATAATATGCTCCTCTCCCTAGATCAGTTTGCATCGGGCTCAGTGCTGGATGACTACCGGCTATTCAATTCGGTCTTCGAGACGGATTTGTACGGCCACGGTTCGCCCGACTCGATGGTCCAACGACGCTATCGCGGGCATACCTTTTCGTCATCCTTGTCGTCGGAAGTGGACGGCACGTTCGAGGAGGGTGCGGCGCGGCAGGCGACCCAACCCCCGAGAGGTCGCCGGAGCAACAGCAGCTCGAACTACCATTCCAGTCTAAGAAGATTTGGGAGCACGCGCAGTCGCGAAGGGACCGGCTCGCGCGGCCAGCTGTATGACTTTCGACCGGGCTCGACTACGGCAGCAGGGGCTCGCAATACCCGAAATGGGAGTAAAGGAAGCGTCTCCTCTCACCTGGACTTTGGCCCCCCTCTGCTACATCGTCGAGCGGATTCGACCGGCGAGAGGCGCTCGGCAAGTTTTGACTTCGGGACTCGGCAGCCATTCATTCCCTTTCCCGAACCGATTGTCGACTACGATTCTTGGTCGTTCAGTGAATTCGATGCGGCTCCTACACCAAGTATTCCCGGGGGTCCAAGCAAATACCATGCGTCATCACAAGCGGATTATGCCGGTTCTCTGAACCCGCAGCAGTCCCGAACGCCCGTTGCATCGCGACGAAACAGTATCAAGTCCCCACGGGCGAATCCTAACCGGAAGTCTCGCCCGGACAACATCGGTACTGGCATCATCAGGAACCGGGACCTCGATCTAGCAAATCTTGCGGACTCGGGCCTAGAGCTTCCGCCAGCAATACCGGCCTCGCTCGACCCGCCTGCGCCCAGTCCAACCATATCATTCAACAAACCGATATTTCCTCCGCCGCCCGAGCCGATGCCGGCCAAGGAACGACCGGGCTTCTTCCGGCGCGTGTTTGGCTCCAAAGCTCCCACGTTCGGCCCGTCGGATTACCATCAATCCGACCACCCGTTCGCTCAGGAGAATGACCTCAAGGATTTTAATGGGCTGGCCACCAATGCTAAGAGCTGGAGACAACCGCTGAAGCATAGTGTGGTGGGTGGCAATACGGCTCGGGATGGCAGTCATCAGGTGGTGACGAAGAAGTCGTCCTTCTTCCGCCGGCGGAAGAAGTCCGTTGCTGAAAGTGCCCCGCCTCCGATCGTGCTTCCTCAAGAGCTTGCCGGCCAGCGGGCGACGGAGTTAATGAAGCCCGAACCTAGCCCAGCCAGTAGTTTGAAGAAAGTAATGAACCCTTATCTCGTCGATTCCGGGGTACCGATGTCCACCCAGGCCAACAAGGTCTCGCAGTTGCGGGCGGCGCCCGACGATGCGGAGCCCAAGAATCCCGGAGCGCCGTCGACACAGAACCACCAGCGAGGAAGCCTGCTGACTACCCCCGGACCCTCCAAGGCCAAATACAGTCTCTATCCGCCAGTGTCGTCCGGCAATCCCCCCGATGCTCCCGGCCTGGGGAACAGCAACAGCAACAGCAACAGCAACGGCGAGGAAGAGCCCGTCCCCCAGTCCGGAGGCCAGGAGTCAGGCCCGAGGGCATCTAGAGATGGGGTCCACTCGCGCAGCAGTGACCGGGACTCGGTGGACAATGACCACGCCTCTGGCTCACAAGGCGGTCTGAAACCCCAGGAGACCGCGGTGACCTCGCTGTCGCCCGTAATGGAGAGTTTCTCTCAGATCAGTGTGACGCCCACCCACAGTTCCGAAGATGTTCTTTCCAGCTTGAAGGAGCCCGAAGAACCCAGGGACTTGCATGCCTCCGACTTGTACCGAGAGGGTCTCGATAGTGTCAGCCGGTTCTCTGCTCCTGCAACGGGATTGAGTGGTTCCCCACGGGCATCCATCTCGGAGATGTCGAACTACTATACGGCCTCGGAGAGTGCAGCAATGACCTCGACCGAGCCCAAGCCCGCCGATCCGCCGGAGACTAAGCCCGATGAGGTCCCGCCTGGTGAACCGACCCCTACGGACAAAGAACAGGCGCAGATGCTCTTTGACAGCCAGGATCAAGTCGTCGGGAGCGAGCCTGCCGCGGCTTGGCTCGGCGATCCCGACCGGGCCCTGGTTCGTAAGGCTTACATGGAGCTCTTCGACTGGTCCAATTTACACATACTGGCGGCACTTCGAAGGCTTTGCAACCGATTGGTGTTGAAGGGCGAGACCCAACAAGTGGACCGAGTCCTAGATGCCTTTTCCACCCGGTGGTGCGAGTGCAACCCGCGCCATAGCTTCAAAGCTTCTGGTATGTGCACCCCGATGGCCCTGCCTCGCTGCTGGGTAGCATCGCTAACGATCTCTAGATGTTGTGCACACCATCTGTTACTCGCTCCTTCTACTGAACACCGACCTGCACCTGGCGGATATTGAGCAGAAGATGACCAAGACCCAATTTGTCCGAAACACCATGCCCACCATCCATCGCGTGGCGGCGGATGCCGCTCCAGACGGATGGGAGGCCCGAGGGACGGGCAAGTCGAAAGCTTCAGACCCGCCTGCTGGCTCCCATCCTCAATCGGCGCCCGCCGAGGACCCGTCAAGCGCAGACAAGCCGAGCAATGTCCCTGCGAAGTTGGTCAACCGACTCTCCCGGACGGATCTCTCGGCCAAGATGGTGAGCGACCCGGACAGCGACACTGGTCCCCTCGTCAACACCCCGTTCACGGGCACCATGAGGGCTTGGGAGCAGCAAGTCGAGATGGTCCTCCGAGATTTCTACACGTCGATTCAGAAGCAGAAGCTCCCGCTACATGGGGCCCAAGTGGAGAAAGACGGGACGCGCTCCTCCTCGAACAATCTCCTTGGTCCTCACCCGGGTGGGCTCCGCCGAAGCCCCAGTACGGTGAGCAAGAGTGGCTCCGACATCTATCCACGCGGCCGCTCCGCAGATTCCCGCTACGGCACGGCACGGTGGTCTTCCAAGCCTCGTTCGCGAGCGCGACTGTATCCTCCTTCGACCATGGGCTCCAGCCGAACGAGCTTGGATGACCAGTCATCTCTCTGGAGCCCATCCGCATCCAGTACGTGGAGCAAATACTCTTCGGGGAAGCTGACCTCAGCGTCGGTAGATTCTTTCGGCTCGGATTACCCACGCGGGGACTACCAGCAGTCGATCGGATTCGCCAACGCCTTGAGCCAGGCCATCATTCGCGAGGACTCGGCCCACTCCATTGCCAGCTTTGAAGACGCAGAGCGGACGACCCCCTTGCTGGAGGATGAGACGCTCCAACTGGCGGGCGCTCCCTGGGCCAAGGAGGGCAGTCTCAAGCACAAACATCACTTGGACTCGGTCGACAAGAGGGCCAAGGACCGCAATTGGAACGAGTGCTTTGCCGTCATCCAACAGGGCTGGATGCGCCTCTTCTCCTTCAACGCCTCCATGAAGTCGGCCCGACAGAAGGCCAAGCAACGACATCCCGGCGGGGTCGTGGTGGGAGGAGGCAACTGGACCGAGAATGCCGAAGAGATCTGGAAATTCCTTCTGCGGCAAACCATCGCCAGCGCCCTTCCACCCCCGGGCTATTCCAAATCCCGGCCCCATGTCTGGGCCCTGAGCCTGCCCACCGGGGCGGTGCATCTCTTCCAAGCGGGCACGCCGGAGATTGTCCGCGAGTTCGTCTCCAGTGCCAACTACTGGAGCGCGAGACTGTCCAAGGAGCCATTGATCGGGGGCATCAGTAACATGGAGTATGGATGGAGCGACGCCGTCATCAACAGCGCCCTGATCCACGCCGAGAGCACCCGGACTCCGCCGTCCTCGTCGGGAGCGCGCCCGAGCATCCAGAGCTCGATCCGCAGTTCCATTGATCAGCAGGGGGTCCGGCCCCGACTGCCGGCGGATCGCGTGCACATCAGCGACTGGGCCCCTCCCCAGCAGAGCATGATGGCCTCGGCCTTTGCGGAAGCCGATCAGCTGAAGGCGTTGCAGACCTATGTCAAGAACGTCGAGGAGGAGCTGCAGCGCCATAACGAGCTCCGACCTGCCATGATTCTCGCCTTCTCGCCCCGGCACCCCAATGCGGCCAAGGCGCTGGCGAACTGGGAGCGCAAGTCGTCGTATCTGTTACGGGAGATTGTGAAGTTCCGGACCTATATTGACTCGCTCTCCGCGGCCTTGGACCAGAAGAACCGGATCTATGCCACGCGGGAAGAAAGCACCCCAGCTGCATAACTCGGTTGGCCTTCCCCCGGTGGATGCTGCGCGAATCCCTTCCATTGAGCTGGCTCTCGGCGTTGAATGCTTGGAGCCCATGCAGCTCCCCTTTTTGTTTTTGCTTGTATACCCATTCCCGTTTTCATTGCGCCCCCGCCGTCGATCCTTTGGCCTCTCTGCTTCTCTCCTCTTCTTGTAAAAGTTTCCGACCATGAGCCTGCACTGGAAGGATCTTGGATTTCCTTTTGCCTGTGCCATCTGTTGCCTTTGCTCTCCATTTCCCTCCGATCTTTGCTGTATTTGGTCTTTTTCTTTTTTTTTTTGCGTCGATCTGGATATGACGAGGTTTACGTGACGGGTGCCATGAAGATTCTTGGACGTAGAACAATTCACGCCAATTGATTGCTTGGTCTAAAGCCCGTGGTTCTTGTAGCACTACTTAAGTAGATAAGGGATGGACAGGTCGGGCCGGCCCTGGCCCGTGCTGATTGGGCCAAGGGCGAAATAAACAATGCCCGGCAGCTCCTCAACCTCGTCGATTCCCTCTCGACACCTCACCTTTCTCCCCATCTACCACGACCGACCCTCCGGGTGCTGCCAGGCGACTTTCCGTTTTTTGCAAAACCCCCTTCTCCCTGTCAAGTGTCAACCCTCCTTTCTCCAACCAACGGGGCCACGCTTCGGGCGAGTCGGAGAAGGACTGGCGGGCCTGGCATTGGCGCTAAGTCTACGGCTGCCCGGCCAAGTGGGTAGCACAAAAGCCCAAGAGCCCGAGTCTAGACGGCGCCGCGTTTCAGCGCCGTTCTTCCTAGGCCCCTAGGGGGTTAGCCTGTGGAGCAAACAAATACCCGGCCCTGAGCCCCCCGTCACCATGTCGACCGCATCGCCTCAACCAGCATCCTCGCCTGAGCCGGAGTCCCCCAACGCCGTCGACCTCGCGCACCCGGTGCGCTGCTCCTCGTCCTACTCCCCGCCCCCCGATACTCCCCCGGAGGAAGAAGGACTTCCGGCCCTGGAAGACGTGTTTCGCGATTCGGTCCCTTTGATGGTGGCGGAGAACGCGCGGGGAGGATCCCCAAGCATGATGATGATGATGATGATGGGAACTTCCGATCAAGGCGGCGGCATCCACCACGCTCACAGGGAACCAGCCGATGCCCAACCGCACGAATTCGCCGGCGATACATCGACAGTTGACGAGCCCCCCCGCGATGACTCGACCCTGTCTCTACCCCCCTTGCCCGACAACGACGATAGCAGCCTTCTTTTGTCCGGCGACGATGACTACCCGGAGCGGATCGACGACCAGACGTTCATAAGGGAAAAAGAAATGCGACGGAAGTTGATGGACATGGAATCGAGCTTTCTACCAGAACCCTCCACGATCGAGGTCGCCGCGACGAATCGGACCCTTGGTGCGGACGATACCTACTTGATGGGGATCCATGGGGAGACGGGGCCAGTCCCCGCAAGAATCGAACATACGCAGATCTCTTTTGTGGCGCCCGATGATTCGAGTCATGATATCACGGCAGCTGGGGATGGTGTTCCCATTCCTCAGACGCCTACCCAGGGACCCAGGCCAGACGCCGCGGTGGATTTGGATGCGACGCCCGCGGCTTCTCTGGAGCGACCGGGCGACCACACCACGCTACTGGAAGCTATGCCGTCGTCCCCCTCGGCCGCGGCCGCAGCGAGATCGATTTCCCGGAACCAATCGAGGTCATCCCAGCATGCTTCTCACGCCAGCCAGGTCACCCCAAGCGAGTCTTTCGATCGATCCCCGATTCCGGATGCAGATCTTTCACTGCAGTCGACACACCATAAAATCCGCAGTCTGTCACGCAGTGTATCGCCTGGAGCCCCGGGACTGTTCCAGGACAACAACGCGAACGACGCCGAAGCCGCCTCCCGCACGAGCAGTCGACGGAGTAACCGGCCGAGATATTTGACCAGTCGTCAATCAGCCCATCGTCTATCATATTCCTCGGTGACCAGCGGCGGGACGGAGGTTACCAATAGTGATGCGACGCTGGGCGCCGACTATGCTCTCCAGTCAGGGGGGGCCGCACCGGGCAATCTGGGTGCAGCCCATGCTGGACAGCGTAACACTCTGGCTCGGTCGGTCAGCTTGGGGAGCATGGCATCGGGCATCTCGGGGTACAGTGATGAAAACATCTTCGAGCGGAAGAATCCCAGCGTGGCTACAGAAGGAGGCCTGCAGACGTTGGATGAGGAGGAAGGGCCATCGCAGTCTCGACCTGGGTCGTCGTACCGGTGGCAGCAATCGCAGCAACAGCCCGAGCAACACCCCCCGCAGCAATCCAGCCCCGACGACGTTTCCGGGCCGATGACGCCGAGGGCGAAACCCCAAGATCACAGCTTTCCGACCGATACGACCCTCGCGGACCGGGTCAAGGACGTCCAGGTGCCCAGCACCTTCGTGAAGCAATTCCGCGAGGATTATGGCGGCCGTGGATCATCGCCGGACAAACGTACGAGCGCCACACCGGCCTTTGCCAAGAGCGGCCGTACGATGACGCTGAAGGAACAGAGCAGCACCATTGATCGTCTTTCGAAGGAGAATTTTGATCTCAAGATGCGGATCCACTTTCTCAACGAAGCCCTGAATCGACGCTCCGAGGAGGGCATCAAGGAGATGATTTCCGAGAACGTGGAGCTGAAATCCGATAAGCTGAAGCTGCAGAAGGACAGTCAAAGCCTGAAGCGGAAGATTCGCGATCTGGAGAAGCAGCTCAAAGACCAGCAATCCGACAAGGAGTCCATGCTGAACCATGATCCCGAGGGCTCTGACGAGGAGGACCGTGACCCGGCGCAGGACGAGGAGATTCTCTTCCTGCGCGAGCGAGTGGAGACATACGAACTGGAAATCGAGCGACTCCGATCGGAGAGCATCGCCCGCGAAGGGGAGAAGAGACGACTGGCCGAGATGGTGAAATCCCTCAGTGACGGGCGACCGATGGGATCGGATGTGGGGGCCCGGGAGGAGAGGGTAGGTGATCGAACTCTTGTTTCGCGCATTCCAGATACTAATTCATCGGGGCGGTAGGATATGTGGAAGGACATGCTCGAGGCCGAGACCGCAGCGCGGGAGCAGGCCGAGGAGGAAAACAAGCGCCTGCGCGAAGAAGCCCTGCGCCTGAAGAGCGAGATGAGCTTCCCGGTCGTCGCGGCGCGAGTCGGCCAGCGCGACCGGATTGGCTCCATGGCCTCCTACTCGGTCGCCTCGGAGAGGGACTTTTCCCGCGATCCCCATACTGCCAGCTCGTCCAGCTCGACCCTGGTGATGGAGTTGGAGCTGCTCAAGCAGGAAAATGCCGAGCTGCGGAAGGAGGTGAGCGCGCAGACGTCGATGCTCACGTCCCGGAACCGCGAAAAGGAGCGGCTGTACCAGGAGATCGAGGAGCTCAAGCTGGGCCAACGGCGCGATGGCACTCGATCGGTGGCGGGCGATAGCATCTTCGATCGCTCCGCATCCCGAGCGCATGGCCGACCCTCGTCCCGCGCCAGCGACGGCACGGGTCACTCCCCGAGCGACGATGCCGAGCGCGAAGACCTGGAGACCCGGGTGGGCCAGTTGCGTGACCAGGTCTCGGCCCTCAAGCTGGAGAACCAGGCGATCCGGGAGCAGATGGACGACACCGTCCGGGACTACGAAGCGCTGGACAAGGCGTACCAGGCCGATGTCGATCAGGCGGAGGAGGAGATGCAGAACCTCCAACAGGAACGCGACCAGGCCTTGCAGATGGCCGATGAGCGCGACGAAGCGTTCCAGGACCTTCGCGCCGAGGCGCAGGAGGAGCTCAATGCCCTCGGAGACGAGCTCGACCAGAAAGTGGAGGAGTGCCAGCGGTTGGGCGAGGAACTCCGCGTGCAGGACGAAAACCTCCGGGCGCTGCAAGCGGAAATGCGCTCGGCCAGCGAGGGCATCATCCGGCTGGAGGAAGATGCGCAGAACAATCTTCAGCGGTACAAGGCCGTCCAGCAGGAACTCGAGGACTGCAACCGGGAGATGGAGTCGCTGGAAAAGGGTCTCTACGAAGCCAACACCAAGGTGCAACGGCTGACGGTCCAGATCGAGTCGAGTCAGAACGAGATCGCGTTCCTGCGCGAGGAGCAAGACGGCGACAAGATCAAGATCGGGGATCTGGAGTCGGAGCTGAAGACCTACCAGTTGAGCCTGCAGAGCGAGCGGGACAAGGCGCGCGAGCTCGAAGAACGGCTGGCCGAGGAACGGCACCAGCGCGAGGTGGTGGGCAGCAAGGAGAAGCAAGAGGTGCAGCGGATCGTCAACGAGCTGAACCGCGAGGCCTCGACCGCCAAGGAGGAGGCCCGCAAGCTCAAGAAGAACCTGTCGGCGCAGGAGATTGAGGCCGCGACCTGGAAGGAGCGGTTGATGGACCTGGAGAATAACCTCCGGGAGACGCTGGGCGATCTCACGGGGAGTCGCTCCAGCCTGATCTCGAACATCATGAAGCTGCAGAAGGAGCTGGAGTCGACGGCGCTGGAACTCGAGAGCACGCGGTCCAAGCTCGACGACAAGGAGTCGATTCTGCGCAACCGCGATGCGCTGCTGGAAAGCCACGGGCTGGAGTCGCGCAAGCTGGCCGAGCTACTCGAGCGCGAGCGCCACGCGCGGCGGGCCGACAAGCAGTCGTTCGAACAGGCGCTCAAGTCCCACCACCAGGCGTCGCGCACCATCACGCAGAACAACTCGCGCATCTCGGAGCTGGAGAGCGCGCGGAATCAGGATCGCAAACGCTTCACGACGCTCGAGCAGCAATTCCGCGACCAGCTGAGCGAGCGGAACGTGATGCTCCTGAACATCTGGAAACGCCTGTCGGCCATGTGCGGGCCGGACTGGGCGCATTCCAACAGCCTGATCAATGGCAACCTGCCCAGCCAGGAGGTCATCGGCAACATCCTCTTCTGGCCCGGCTTCAGCCGCAACCTCCTGCTCGCCGTCAAGACCGTCGAGAGTGTGATTACCGGGTTCAAGTCCCGCATCAAGGGCGTCGAGCGGGACTTGACCAAGCAGTACCAGATGCTGGAACACACGTTCACCCTGCGGGTCAAGAAGCTCGACCGGCTCGAGGAGTCCATGATGAGCATGCGCGCGCAGCAGCACAGCCGCAACCAGGCCGGGATGTCGCCCGAGATGGCCAAGCTCCGGGGCGAGAACCGGCTGTTGAAGGCCGAGCTGAACCTGCTCCAGTCGCATTCCCGCAGCCGGGGGCCTACCTCGGCCGCCGCTGTCGCCGCCGGCATCGGCTCCCCGTCCCCGCGGTCCCCCACGCGCACGCTCAGCCTGGACCCCGGGGCAGAGGCGGAGCCCGCGGCCTTGGTCCGCCACCATTCGGCGGTGGAGCGACCCAATCCCCCGCGCGGCCTGACGCGGAGCGCCACCACTGGCATCCCCCAGCCCTCGCATGCGTCCTCGACGACCGCCACGATGACCCTCGCCGATGGCCCGGGAGCCATGGTGCCCGCGGCCCGGTCCCGGCACATGTCGGCGGACCCCAGTAATGAGAAGTGGATCCAACGGTTGCATGAGCTGGAGAAGCGACTGAAGGCGGAGCGGGAGGCGCGCCTGCTGGACCGCAGCGGGGCGCGGCGGCGGCTGGAGGAGCGCGATGCCGAGAACCAGAGGCTCCGCGCGCAGCTGGAGCGACAGCGCATGCGCAAAGAATTGTCCGGCGGCACCTCGACCGACGACGAGATTCGCGGGGGCGGTCACGGGCGACTGGAGGGGTCGGACCCGGGCACCAGCGATGGCTATGATCGCCGCCGGGACGAGGAGCTGAGCTCGAGCGAGGGCGAGGGCATCTACGTGGACATTGAGGTTTGATGGGAGTCATTGGCGTGTTTGTGGCAAGGCTTCGGGTACATTGTTACGGGATCATTCGAGATGATTCGCCTTGTGTTCATAGCTGTTTTTGGTTGTTTGCAGCATTGCATGTATCATATACCCTTCGGTTCTTCGTCTCGTGTTCCAGTCTTCTTTCTTGGACATTCAGTCGCCTGCGTTGATTCTGCCAGGCGCATGGCACCGATGTACATAGGACATGCAGGATTCTACTACATCTACACTAAACTTGGACCAACCGTTCGTCCCAGCTAGTCCTGACAAACCTCTAATAGACATACAATTCATACATATCATCAATAGTTTGGTCCACCACCCCCATCAATTCCCAAGGCCACCTACCGCAACGACACCTTCAACGAAAAGTCCACGATGCCGGTGCCCTGATGAATCGAACTCGTCGAGAGAATATCCACATCGGGACAGGCATACAGCGCCGCATTCCCCTCATTCAACCCGCCACTCACCTCAATCAAAAACGCCCTCCCCTCGCCCCTCCACTCCTCCTTCAACCGCCGCGCCGCCTCCCTCACCCCCTCCGGCGTGAAATTATCCAACATAATCACATCCGCCCCGGCCTCAATCGCGGCCCCGGCCTCCTCCAAACTCCGACACTCGACCTCCACCTTGGTCGCGAACCCCCCGACCGCCTTAGCCGCTTGCACGGCGCGCGGAATCGCCGCCACTATCCCCCCCTCCTTCGCCAGCTCCACTCCGCTCCCATCCCCCGCCGCCCGATTATTCGCACACGCCCAGACATGATTATCCTTCAACATCGTCATCGCACTCAAATCATGCCGATGCGGATCCGCCCCGCCGACCAAGATCCCGTATTTCTCGACCACGCGGAACCCCGGGGTGGTTTTGCGGGTGCCGGCGAGGGTTCCGGACCAGCCGTGGGCGCGGAGCGCGGTCACGAGGCGGGAGGTTTTGGTTGCGATGCCGGAGCAGCGGGCGAGGATGTTCAGGGCGACGCGCTCGCCGAGGAGGATTTTGCGGATGGGGCCGCGGACGGTGGCGACGTGGGTGGTGGGATTGCTGGGGGTGGGGGTGATAGGGGTGGTTTCGGGGATGTGCCAGGTTACTCTGTTTCTTTTCTTAGTATTTGGGGAGGGTGAGGGGGTTTAGGGTTGGGGTAATGGGGGAACATACGTGCAACCCAGTTGAGAAAAGACTTCATCGAAGAAGGGGACACCTGCCAGGATCCCCTTGCAAGGGATTAGTTTATCTGTATAACTCTAAGATAGAAAGGTATGTACATACCTCGCTCTTCCCCAATAACCGGGCCTCGCCTTCAGATTCCCCCACCACGAACCCGCCATAGTCGAAGCTAGGACAATCTTCTTCCAGCCAGGCGGTGATGAGACGTTTGTAGTTGCCGGGGAGGAGGTGACGGAGGTCACCGTATTGGGATGCCATGTTGTGTGTTTGTATAAGGGTATGTGAGGTGGAGGAGGGGAAAGTAGAATACGATGAAGGTATTCGGAACCCCACGCGGGGCAGATCGGAGGGCGGGACCTCGGGTCCGTCTGGTCACGTGTATTCTATCTATCTCCTGCCATTCTTTGATGATATGAAAAACTCCATCAGGGTAATCTTCCTGAATGAGTGATACATCAACAAATACGCGGTCATATTACATGACCCCTCTCGACTAAATTAGTTCATTGCATTCCGATCAGTCTCGGTCTCGGGTCGGTTTCACTCGGATACAAGTAACCCCCATCGCAACCTCAATACGAACACGAAGACCACAGACCATGGGCATGGACAACCCGCGTACTGCTCCTCCCCGGCTAGACGGGGCGATGATGGTCTGGATCGAGCTCCCTACTGCGTACATAGTAGCATAATCGTAAGCCGTTGGATTTGTGGATGACACGACACTGCCGCAGCTAGCTACCTAACTACCTTACTACTCTGTATGTAGGTAAGCTATGGCGGAGTAATCAGCGACCAGAGAAGTATACTTGACGAGGGTTGGCGTCATGGATCTGACATCACATCAGGGGCTTTGTCGGGGGATGGGATTGCACTGCCTTGTTTATGTTAATAGAGTTGGTCGTATGTGGAGGTACTGTAGGTTGGTGGTTGCGGCAGGCAGCAGAATTTATACGATGTCTTGATTAGTTCAGGATGTATTTATCCTTACTTACTATTCTGTGTTGTAAGTAGTATGGTTATATAGTATTACTGTAAGTGTATTAGTATAGTATAGTAATAGTATTACTCTCTCATCCATATCCACAGCTTCGAGGTGAACTGAGCTGGAGCTACCCTACTCCGTCCCGACAAAGCAAGCATGAAGCCCCCCCCATCTTGACATACATAACTACTCCATCTCCATACTCATCTCCATACTACAAATGAATACACTTATGCACATTACACACGCCATGCATACATAGCCCCTCACTACCCTACCCAACTCACCCCATCCCATCCTCCAGATAATGCATAATCCATAACATATGCAGCATTATGCGGGGTAAGCAACCCTCCCCAGTCTACATAAACCAGTCGATATAAATCCCTACACAAGTGACACAACTAACACAAACCCGTCACACAGACCAGCCACTGGGATATGCTTGGTATGCTGATCATCCCGCGGGTTGATGCATCTGATCGTGTGATAGATGCCTGTGTGCATGTGTTGGCCCTGTGCGGGATGGAAGCTAGTACTCCGTATGTACTCTGTGCACGGGATGGGTTATTTAGACTAAGGGAATTGGGGATGGGAAAGGGGTTCCGGATGGGATCTTCTCCGTGTTCTAGTATCAATGTACTTTAGAGAGGGAGGCGGTATTAGATAGATGGATAAGGTACATCACTCATTGATTGCTGTGCATAGTGTATACTTCGTACTTCGTACACTATACTTCTTTCAGCCTTTCAGACCACCATCTAAACTATCCCATACCCCCCTACTCTGTACTCCGTACTCCGTACTATGTACACAATCCACATGATCTCCACGCCAAGCTTCCCACTCACCGGAATTCTCCCTGTCCGCTGTCCGTGACGGTGCCCGAGAGGCTGAGCGAGAGTTCGAGAAGAGAGAGAGAGAGGGTAAGATTACGGCCCTCCCACTCGGAACGGCATCCCACTCTGGACCCGGTGTTTGGTATGGTATTACCATAATTATGATACATACAGTAATACGAGTATAGTGTATTGTAATGATACAAGTAAATGCATAGTTATGCATTTATATTACAGAATCTTGTATAGAGGCATATGCAGTTGTTTTTCTTTCTATTTTGGGATAAGTATGGAATTATAGCATATTCCGTATGCTCAGATGCAAAATCTAGAGTAACTCATGATCATATACATACTCTATAGTCTATGCACCTCTAGATCATCCCAGTTCCATCCTATACTCAAAACCATCTACATTTACAGAGTACATCTACCCCAGCGCTAGAACCCTAGCGTGATTCCAGAACGCTTGGCGTCAGGAACACACTGAGCCATTTTCCCTAGATATTCACCTATCCAACTCCCTAACTGTAACAATGATCGCCACGGATATTATTCCATAGTCCATGATCCCTAAATCCGGCCTCTCAAACTCGGTCTGCCCACCGGACCGAGCTGATTAATGATTTGATTACTAACTACCGGTGGAACCTTCCAGTCGGAAACATCCTTCGGAGACGGAGGAGCCCAGAGCCCAGAGCCACTGCGGATATAACGGTCCAATGACCCGTTCGCTCCTATACAGTGATTACAGTCCGTGGATGGAGTCATCAGTACACACTACACAGTAATGGGTATCGGGTCCATTTGACTGACCCCTTAGATTTGATCATGGAATGGCTCCGAGTTTCCGACCGACTGACAAGTCTCGATCTGGGTTAGGGGGGTCGCCGCCTGCTGACCGCTGACGGTCCGTATGAGGCTTTTTCCAAACTGCTGGGTGGACTGTGGATCCGTTTACTGCGTCCACTTCACTGGACTGCGATAGACCCGCTGTCGGATACATATCACGGTGATAAGGATAAGTCGGCACGCGGGATCATGTGAGGGTTCGGAGCATTAGGCCCAGAGGGGAAATTCTTTACAGAGAGAACGGGGTCTTGCTATACAGTACTTCGTACGGAGTACTCCGTAGTATGTAGGTATTTAGGAGTACATGTATCAACACGGAGATTCCACTATTGATCGAGGAATCCCCATTCGTGCTGCCGACACTTCACTCCCTCCAGGCTTTATACACAATTGTGCTGCCGTATTTGGCCCCCTTCTTCAGCACCACCGTGTGCCGCCACGCCGGCTCGTTGATCGCATTGACAAATCGACTGGGCTCGATGCAGAAACCCGCAAATGGGCCCCGGCTCGGGTGCCCGTCCGTCTCAGGCACGTCGATGCCCTGTCCCGTGTAAAATTGGAACGCCGGCTCCGTGCTGTGTACCTGCAGATGCAGGAGCGTGTCCGGGTGCTGGAACTCCGCTAGGAGTTGGAGGGGCTCGCCGCGCGTATCCAGCGGTACCCGGGCGATCTCGCGCTCCATGATGAAGACGTCGTCGAATTGGTTGTGCGGGCCAAAGGTAAAGTCCTTGGTGACGTCGCTGGGATACGGCTCGACGGGGCCCAGGGGAATGCCGCTCTCAAGGGGGAGGTAATCTTGGGTAGCGAGTTTGGCGATGGTGCCTTCGGTGGTGGCGCCGCCGCCAATGTTGAAATAGCTATCATCCCCGCATGGTCAATATCATTCCATTGTGAGGAGGTCCGTTCTTACACAGCAGCTTCGTACGTACCTATGGTTGGTCAAGTTGATGACCGTCTCCTCGCACTCATCGCCCACCAGTTCAGCCTCATACTCGATGTGCAGCACGGACTTGGTGCTGCCATTCTCCACTTCCTCACTCGTGGTATAAAAGACCCTCAACTCCACCGTCCCCGGGTACCCTGCTTCATCATGGGGGCTCAGATACGTGTACAGCAGCGTATTCTGGCCATTGCGGCTCAACACCGTCGGGCCTTCGAACTCGCGGCGGCCCCATCCCTGACTTCCCCCGTGCAGCGCATTGGGCGGGTCATTCTTCTCAAGCTGGTACTCCCGGCCATTGAGGTTGCGAATGATGCCATCCTTGATCCGGTTGGCGACCCGTCCAATGTTCGCGCCGAACCAGGGCGAGTTGTGTTTCTCGTAGAGCTCTTTCGTGGAGAACCCTTGCACGATGTTCTGTCCGTCCACATTGAATTCCTGGATGATGGCGCCCAAGGACGAGAACTTGGCTGAGGTTTTGTCTCCCATGGTGATAGTAGTAGTGAATAATAGCCCCGATTTACCTACGAATGATGAAGAAAAGAGCGAGACGTTCGATATAAGCGGTGCCATGGAGGGGTCACGCCGCCCGCTACCCCGCAATCAGCTCAACCACCAATGCGGCAAAGATCCTGTGGCTCACGCCGGAGAAACACGCAACTGGAGTACGCCATGCCAGACTGTGGCTGGTATGGCTGTCGCTGAGGTCCATTTAAACTCGGTTAAATCTTCAGGATCCATGCTGAATGGCTCTGCTGCTCCCTATTAGGCTAAACCGCTGTCTCTGTAGCTGTTTTGCCTAATCGGGTAAACTTCCGGCGCCTGCCCTCAGAATCATGTGATATCATCCATCAGATACAATAGCAGACATCGGTGGTGATCTTGCTTTCTAGGCTAGTCGGTCAGAGCTGAGCACCCTCCTAGATAGTCTAATAAGCTCGAGCTTCAAGTATAAAGAGACTAGTGCACCTAGCTCGACTACCCGTCATCCCACCCGGTGGGATGCTGCGTGCGTGACTAGCATCGGAACTACACGCAGTGGGAAGTATGCGGACGAAGGGTTGAACCCAATGCTCCTAATTGAATGATGAATGCCCTCTACAACACTGTAGTCTTATGGTTAAGGCTGGTACCGGTTGCGGCAAGACTGTGAGATCAAACACGACCGTTGAACAGCTGCAGGGACCAGCTCTTGGCCATCCATACATCGTAGCAGTGGTAGGGGCATCAAGACGGTAAGAAACGGTCATAGCATACGGTACAACTAGTGCGGACAACAATACAGATAGGGCCGATACATGGAGTTAAGGCGAGCGCCAGGCCGAGCTGGCTGACGGGGGATGGATACTAACTGAAACCTCGGGTCGGCTGCTGCGGAGGTCAAGAGTTCCGTCCCGACGCAGGTGTCCGCTGAATCAGCGCTGCCTAGCAGCCATGCCATGCCATGAAGTTTCACTATAATTGAGTTGATCACGCCCCCCCCCCCCCCCCCTACTCCACGCAATCATCTTCCGCGGACCTTGATCTGGTTCCGTACTGTGGCAGACACAGTGGCACAGACGCTGCTGTGCAGAGTCCAGACAGTTGTATCTAGTTGACGATGTCTACTGATCAGTAATCAGCCACATCAGATAAACACACCTAGCAGGGTCTCGTACCATACTTGCAGTCACCCGGCCCATCTGAGCACAATCCTTATGACACGGAAAAGCGCACAATAAATCGCGCGGCCCGGGGTTCGCTCGAGCCGTTGCTTCGGCATTCGGCATCGTAAAGATGAACCCCTTGAGGGATTAGGTACGGAGTAGGGGCTACCCCCAAACAATAACCCTCATGGATGGAGTATCAACTCCGTATCCCAGTCACAAGTGAGTCCTAGTCAGGGACCTGGCCGGCGCCATGGGCTAATGCAGTAACTCCGATTGCATTCGGAGACAATATCATCACCCGCTCGCTCGGCGACATATGACCGCGACTTTAATAATCCTGAATTCATGTTGAGGTCAGGATTATAAATCCGTCGTCGATCGGATGAGGCCCGCCCCCGGGATGGAGGTGTCGCTTGACACCAACATTACCACACACTGATGTGAGTGCTGCATGCAGATGTTCTAATACTAGTCCTGTCGAGGGGGTCGTTTGTTAGTCAGGAAACTATTCAATGTGTATAAGGAGACGGGAGTTACCCTTCCGGGCCCTAGTAGTCCTCCAATAATGAGGGTCAGACAATTGCTTTGGGCCTGAGGCGGGCTGTCACTGTCGGCACCGATCATTGCCCTAAGCAGCTATCTACGTTTACACTTTTACATAGACAGAGCTAGATAGCTAGTATAAGTCCATTGTCCATCATGAGTCTGGGTGATGCAGACACAATCTAGGTCAAGAAGACACCCCCAAGCAAGAAAAGACACCCACAGAGTAAAAAAAAAGGAAAAATGAAAGAAGGGAAAAAAAAACAAACCTGTCACCTACACGTGGACCACCAGGAGATACTTCCTCCATCGAAACCCCCGTCGATTCCTCCGTAATCCGGAGGAAAATCAAGGTTTAGTCCCAACCTGGCCTGGCCACCATACACAGTATGTGCGCACTGCGCAGGCCGATGGGAACTCGGATGTCCAACAAGGTAAGCGATGCGATCCAGGGCAGGCAGGCTCTGTCTGGCACGGTCGGCAGGTCGGCACTTCGGCCTCAATGCTGCAGATTGCCAGACTCCCCCCATTTCCATTTCCAGTGTTCCATTGCCAGAAGAGGCAAAGACTACTGGGGCCCATGGAAGAAAAAAAAGAATAGTCAGAGAGAGCAAGAAAAAAAAGGTGCGTGGGCTGGACTGGACCCAACCACCAAAATGGCTCCGTCGTATCCAAGGTGGAGACTGGACCCTCCTTCGCTTTTTCTCATGGTGATGGGGGCATCCATCATCCAAGGCTCTACAATCCCAGCGACCAGGTCGCCCGACCCCCGAGAAAAACCTACGATTGAGGAGGGCAGTAGGGTTCACTCGACGTGTCACGATCTACGTACCTCGTATCCCAATCGGGGGAAGGGACAGCAGAGTGGCCCAGCCAGGGCCCGTCATGGTGTTCCCTCCCCCCCCGGAGATAAGCCATGCTATCCCCGGTCTTTATCCTTCATGACGTCCTCCACCGTTGCAATCAGTCACCGCCTGTAACTTGCTTCTAGTCACCATTCAGCGATGGTCGTAGATAAGCCTAGATTACCGAGTCGACAGCGAGTTCACCGTACGATCCAGGATCAACCGATGCAGTAGTTATCTGTTCATCGGCGCGACGTCATCCTCGTCAGGTTCCTGGCGTCGGCAGTCGGGCTCCGTTGGCCGTTGGCCCTGCCGCCCTAGGCCAAAGTTCGGCCCTGGTTCGGAGCCAGCAGAAGTAGATGGGAAAGATTGTATTTCAGGCAATGTCGGAGACATAACATGATATACGGTGTTAAGACACCCGAAAACAAACACGACACAAGATATCCAGGAAAAAAGAAGTCAAGCCTCCCAGCCCAACCAATGTTTTGTAGGAACTCCAACTCCCGTAACACCCAGGCGCCATCGTCATCAAAATCAAAAAGAAAAGGATCTCTTGCCCGCAACGAATGTGATGCCAGTCACCCGGAAGAATCCAACCCCATGCAGCCTGCCAATTACCCTCCTACGTGAAGGGAAAGCTGTCACGGGTCCAAAATAATCCAAAGTCGAGAAAATAAGGTAGACGAAAAACATGTATAGTATACATGCGTCACATCGTACGGCGTATGCCGGAAAAAAAAAGCGATCTTGGCAGACAAAGGAAAGACATTAGGTGCTATATTTCATCGCGTCAAGACCATGCCTCAGGTCGATGCGATTTCGGGCGCGTTCGCATTTAAAAACTGGTTGATGTCCTCATAATCGCCCTTGGTATCCATGTAGGACGATGAGAGCATACAGCTCATCGGATGGTGGCGATTGAACATGGACGGCGGAACTTGATCCTCAAAAGACAAATTCGTGTAGTCGGACGCGCCTATTAGATCCATATCCTCGAACGTGCCAAAGTTGTTGGCGGGCCATTGCTGCGGCGTCTGGAGGGCGAGCGGGTTCACCACCCCTTGCAAAGTCATAGGCGCGACGAAGGCGGGGTTGGTCGGGGCCATATGAGGCTCGGATTTGATGGTGGGCCCTTGCGCTTGGGATGGCGTGCTGAAGCTGGATGCACTCGACAGTTGCCGGCCAAACGAATCGGAGAAGCGGGAGGGCAGAATGGGCGACTGCGCACTTTCGGAGCTACCGTCGGAGGACTCCTGGCGTTGCATGTGTCCGGCGTTGTGCCTCCACAGGTCTTGCTGCATGGCTTCGGTGTTCTCCTCGAAGCGCTCGCCCTTGCTCTGGTCCAGGGCACCAAGTCGGGTCAGCAGATCGTGCGTCAGAGGATGGCCATTGGCTTCGCATCTCAACGGCTCCCCGGGCCAGCTTTCACCCTCCATGGCGCGACGGTACAGCTCTTGCAGCCCATTGACCAGCCACGTTTGTTGTTGCTCGAGCATCTCAACATATCTGCAAGACGGCGGGAAACCAGGTTAGCCACGGAGACTGCATACAGAACAGGTGTAAGCTCACCCCTTGGGGTACACTTTGTCGTGAGCCTTCTTTCTCTCGCCAAAGACGCAAATGGCATTGTCTGTCCTACACCGACCACATGGGTTGGCTCCGTCACACTGCGCCGGGTCAGTGCATCAGGACATGCTGATGCGTGAGCCAAGCTGGGCTTACCTTGGATTTCTTCAATCTACACCGATCACATGCCTTGCATACCCTCTTGCGAACATTGCCGTCAGAATGCGAGTGATCTGAGGTAGGTGATGATTGGCGTGCCGTCATTGTGCCGTATATACTTGATGAGGATGAGCGAAGTCGGTCGCGGGAAGGTCAAGTTTTTTTTTAAAATAAAAATAAAAATAGAAGGGATTCCAAAGAAGACGGAGAAGAATGATTAAAGAAGAATGACTGCGACCCAGTTCCAATGGTTGGTTTTGTAGGTTAACTAGTCGGCTTTGCTTTTTTCTTTCCCTGTGTCCTATTTTCCCTTATGTTTTTTTTCCCCCTCGCCTATACCTCTTCTTGCGATGCGGTGTTGCAATGGCCACTGATCGACAATACGTAAGATTGGTCGATGATATAACGAGGCCAGAGGGATAAAGGCAAAGAAGGTGTAATCACAAGAAGGTTCTGGCCGTCGAACCAATGCGAGAGCTCGATCCACGCAGTCGCATGTAATGAGTAATGCAAAGGATGACCGGATCCAAGGACTGGATAGCGTTGCAACGGTCCACCAGAGGTTGGCAAGGCAGGGAAGTATACCTTCAGTGACGGGCGGGAGGAAGAAGAGTCCAGAAGCTCAGTGGGCGTGCTCGAACCGGAGGGTCGAAGCTCTTTAACTATGATAGCTCCGGGAGAAAGAGAGGTAAGCCGGCGACGTAAAGTCAGAGTGATGATGATGATGATGACTGCTACAGCTGGGCCTGGATGATTATTTATTCGAATTAGTCTAGTCTCCGTGAAATTTCCAAAAATCCATTTTTTATTGATTAAATAATAATAGTAAGGTTGGGAGGAGGCCAGCAAGCGTCCTTCACGGAGGATGGACGCCGTCTTACCCTGGGATTATTGACGCAGTCCAGAGGAACCACAATGGATCGGGTCTGCTGTCGGGGGTGATCATTGGCCGGCCGCTAGTCCTGTAGGTTATGCAGTAGGGCCCTTCGCCGTATCGTTTCAGTACTACTACACCCATGTACCGGTATCCCGCATTATTCATTACTTACCGTTTGCTGCCTGGCCATCGTCCGAATTGTTCACTGGTGATGAGGGGCGGCGGAAAAATATTCAACAAGAGCCGGATTGAAGTCAAGGCACATGGAACAAGATTAACGCTCCAACGTGGCTGTCAAAAGCATCCGTCCCCTTTCCTGCAGCCACCGTGTGCAAGTCCTGCCATCATGGCGTATCTACATGCCCATACTAACTTTCCATACCGAGTAACTATACGTCATAACCAATACCTGGTCGGACACCCGCTCTGTCTGTATGTAAGGTATCAAACCTGATACGGGTCAGTCGACGGATAACGGAAGTAGGAAGGGGGGGGAACGTTGTCGATGCTGACTGCCTTCATCGGCGTCGGAGTGAGTTAGGCTCGGACCTCGGGGGTGCCAACTTCCTTTCTGTGCTTTGCTGAAATTTCCTCATTGAGCTGATTACTTTATTCTCGCGTCCTGGAATTATTTTGACTTTGCTTTTTTTTTCCCTCACCTTACTAACCACTCCATCCCCCTTAACCAGATTTTCCCTTCTCTTCTCTTCGTTTAATTTTTTTTGGCTTTTACTTGAGGGGTCCTCCCCCTCCTCCCATGATTCAGAATACTTTTGGTGGAGACCTTGTCCCCCTGGGAGCCGTATATCCGATCGAGAGTGGTGAATTGCCTAGACCGGCACATGTACTCCGTACTGGGGATTCGGTGCGACGGGTTTCGTCTTCCATCCTCCGGAGATGTCTGCCTTACCTAAGAGACCTAGTCAAGGCCCTACGCCTAGAGTGGCCGTAGTCTACAACTCCTAAGTAGCAGGGAGTGGAAAAGATCTTTGGAGGAAAGAGGGAGGTATACGTGGTCCTCTGGATGCCTTGAACTGAACTTGGTACCTTTCAGGACCCCAAGGACATGCATCGTACATCACATCAAAACCGCCGAATTACCGCATCCACCATCACCCTCCACTATCTACTACTAGTAACTAGTCTGTTAGAGAGGATGACATCCCATGGCTGCATAGCGCGGCATTACGGCACAAGGACATTCCATCCGCCTGGGCCACTCGGCAAAGCCATGCCGAACGGAAAAGGTGGGCGGTGATGGTCCAGCATGATCGATTATTATTCATCATCATCGCTGGCGACTCCAGCCATCCCCAAGTAGGACACCAGCAACAAACAAAATGCCGAATCGGCGATCCCCAGCCGGGGGTTTCATTCTCTTCCGATATCTCTGATCGTCCGAGTTACTTACTTCCGTAGTGCTGGACCTGATGATCACCAGCCTTGGCAGCTGCTGGTGTCGGGGCATGGAAAGTCTAACGACAGACCGGATTGATTTCATGTCTTCGCCACTGCTGCGATGAAGCAGGGAACCCCGACTCCCGGCTGATCCAATCAATGGGTTTCGTTTGGGATGATCCAATAGCCCGGTCACTATTGACTTTCTGCGATCGCAGACGGCCACCACGCGACGATGTTCAACGGGCTGTCCGCCATGACAGTCAATGACGTTGATACACCACTGCACGCCCGCCCGTCTGATTCGACCGTGCCCCTGTCATCCACCACCCACAGAACAAGATTAATTAAGCCTAGCAGGCTGCAGCTCCCCCATTGAAGTGTGTCCACCATCGTGCAATCCCAGCGGCACCTTCTGGAGCGCCAATCGCTCGAAGATTGACTTCATGCTTGCGCCACAGCCCCGGGTCCCATCTAGTGGAAGATTGACCCTTGGGGCATGGCGATCTACACGGTTCTACAGCAAACTGCCGAGCGTCGCTTAAATCGGTCCCGAAGCAGCCATGCAACACGGGGAACCTTGACCCTGATGCGCGCGGATCTGTTCAGGAGTCAAGGGTTACCGAATCGTGCAAAGTCGAAACCCGATGGCAGAGGCATGCCCTCTCCTACATAGTACCGGAGTACTATGTAGGCAGAGTAGGTCTGGACCCCATAATAGCGTCATCGCGCGTCCGTCTACTGAAAATGCCCCCACCACCATGGATTGACATGGATGCGTTCAGCTCCCGCTCCCGTCGGGATGCGGCAGGGGTTCGGCTGATACTCTGGGTGCCGGGAGAGGTTGCTGATAAGATACTGCTATGCATGGTGGACCTTGTCCCTGGTCGACAAACGCCATGTTTGCCCCGCAAACGATGTGGCTGGCTGGTGACCTCATGAGTGACCATCGTCACAATCATCTATTCGCGTCATGTGAATTCTTGAAACATCGCGATCTTTCTACCTATGCAAATTAGAAGCCAAAGAGAAACGGGCAACAGGAGCAGCTAGTGAATGCAGCAGCACGGATCGACCAGAGTTATGCGGGGAATGTCAATGTGAAAAGTGTACAAAAGGGGGTATATGAGAAATGCTGATACAAACAGGTACGGACAGGAGCGATAAGCAAACCCTGCAGTCTAACAACAACGCAAGCGCCTCCATATGCTGGGCTTTGCAGGTCCTGCTAGCTTCTGTCCTGAAATGGGACTGTCGGGTTTCAGATTGTCCGCCTGGCCTACATCTTGACTAGTCTGTTTGCCTTTGAAGAGGCCACGAAGACCGCTTTGTCGTTGCTGCGCGCGCTTCGACGATGCTTCAGTGGCTTCCTTGCTAGCAACGGCACCAGCGGGTGCTTTCGCAGCTGTTGAAGAGTCGCCGGCGGGAGCCTGCTGAGCCGTTGGCGCCTTCTGGTAGTGTGCTCGACGAGCCTCCACGACCCGACGGACTAGAACTGCAGCGGTGTCAGCATTTGCGCACCTGTCTCAGTACCGGGAGGGTCTTACGGGCAAATGTTTCCTCAATGTTGACCATCTCCCTTGCGCTGGTCTCCATGAAACCGCAATCGTGTTTCCGGGCGTACTCCAGGCCTTCCCGGGCACCGATGACTCTGCTGTCCTTCAGATCACACTTGTTCCCGGCCACGATCTTGACTGGGGGTGGCATGCCGACATCGAGGCCCTCTGCGCTCGCCCCGAGTTCCTTGCGCAGACGGTCGTTGTCTTCGGCTCGTTGTTCGGTTTCGATGTCGATCATCTCCATGAAGTAGTCCAAGGCTCCCAAGCTCGCTCGGTTGGTAATGTCGTAGACGAGAAGGAAGGCGTCCGATCGCAGGTTGGAAGCCGCCCACAATCCGCGATACTCCTCCTGGCCGGCCGTGTCGGTGATGGAGAGGAAGTATGGCACGCCATCAACCACGCGTGTAACCGAGTACGAATCCTCTGCAGCGATCAGTATGCTTGAGCTTGAAGATGTGAAGAGCAAGCCTAAGGGAGGTATACCAATTGTAGGATCATATCTGTCACGTTTGATATTAGCATGGCGCTTCCTCTCGACCCAATGTCGAGTTTGGGGGAGAACTCACTCATGTATCCATTGGCTGCGTACCAAGCGCAAGGTGATGGACGATTTACCTAGCCGGCCATCAGCGACACGGGATTTATCCCTGAAACGACTCCTAGTATAGCCCCGCATTCCATGCACCGGAATAATGAACAAACGGCCGACGCAGAGAGAAGAGGTTGCAACATACCACATCCACCGTCTCCGCAGATAGTGATGGAAATCTTGTCTGGGGAGTCCGCCATGGTGGTAGCGCCGGGGGTTGGAGATGCGCGTACGGCGGATTGAGCAGACGAGCGTGTTCTGCAATGAACGACGGAAACAAGGGTGAATCGAAGCGACGCGAGAGGTTTCTATCTTCCTTCCAGCCGGAGGGTGGGTGCCAGGGGATCCTGCCGAACCCGAGAGGGGCATCCAAGGGGAGGAGCAGAAGGGAGAGAGCAGGCCGAGCGGGCAGAGCACCGAGGTCGAAGGGAACGGTGAGAATTGGGAGGCCCTTTCAACTGTCTCGCCGACGTTTGCGACGCGACCTTTAAATTCTGGTCTGGGGAGTAAGGGGGATGAGGGAGGAGATCCAGGGCCACAATCTCAGACGCTGACGGAGCGAAGCGCCGCGCCCCTTGGGGCAATTACGGGTGATTTGGGGGCAGACAATGGCCGATCACTGGGTGGGAAGGGTTGGAATGACATGGCGGCTGATTGATAAGACGGACGGGAAGATTGAAGGATAGGAGAATTCTTGGAGATGGCCATGATGGGCGGAGAGATGAGGGCATGAGCCTGGCTCTCGAGGTAAATAGATAGATAGATATTGGATGGGAATCACTCAATCTGGTGTAGATAAGTACCAGTACCCCGAGGGCCTGCAGCATTGGCCGGGCGCATGCGGTACCTGGTACGGAGTACTCCGTACGGGAGTACCTATCGAGTCTGTGCCTATTGCCTAGTCCCTACGGAGGATTTCCACTGTACTTTAGCAGCCACCGTACCTTCTGCAGTCATGGCAGTACGGAGTAGATACATTCTCCTCCGTGGGGAGGACCGCCATCGCGAAAGTACCTAGTCTTTTCCGACTCGTCCATCTGATGCATCTTCTTCCCCGTCATTCTTTCGTCTCTTCCGCCCGTCTCTCTCTCTCTCTCGCTCGCTCTCTGTCTCTCCTCTTCTCTCTTCCTTCTCCGCCCCCCCACTCTTTTCTCTACGGTTTCTCGATCGATCACACCGGCCAGATTGACACATCATCCGGAATCCTCTGGCGACGCGACCATGATTGGCCCGCCCCGCCACCGGACGAGCCCATTGCTCTGCTCTAGTTGACTGCGATCCAATCATGCCCCCCGGATGCCCGTCGAACTGCCTCTTCTTCGCCGCTTCGATCCTTTTCTCTTGCCGCGGCCATGGTGGCAGTCGCGCGAGATGTCGATTCCTCGCGTCTGGCCTCGATCATTTCTTTTTTTTTTTTTTTTTCCTCTGTCGCCCGTCGGTTGCCCCTGGAGCTAGTTGTTGTGCGTCAGTCTGATTCTTCCTGCCGAGTCCTGAGGGACTATCGGATTCTGGATTGGGGCGTGGTCTTATTATTTCATATATTAAGCCCGGCATGGGGGGTGGTGGGAAGTTGATTTAACGACCGCCTAGTCGTTCCACCGTCTGTCTCCGTTTCTCTCCAGCTCTCGCTTCCCCTCTTTTTTTTACCCATCGCAGCTCGGGCCCAGCAGCACGACCGAACGGCCCGTTTCCCCAGTCTTTCATCAATCGGTTTGTTCCTTGATCCCTTTGTTGGGTCCTCGCAGGGTCAAGAGTGACTCTTAGGCCGTGGTTGTGGGCAGGATTGCCAGCCGGGATCGGTGGCCTTGCTTTGTTCGCCGTTGCAGCGCATCGCTCCCCGCGCGCCCTCGATGCGTCTTTCTCATTGGTCTGCCGCCTCATCTCCAATCGATCGGACGTGAAAGTGCACCACGCGATGGAAGGCTTCGACGATGCCTTCTATCAGGCACACTATTCCGTGCCGGATCACCAACTGGGCCCCCCCGCATACTCCAATACCCATCATCCCCCTCCGTTGATGTCTTATCCCAGTTCCGACCACATTCCGCCCGGTTCCTTTGCCTACCCGCCGTCTCATGCCTCCTCCGATCTGCTCGCTGCCGGTATCCCAGCAACCTTTCCCGCCCATCCTGATGACTTCTCCTTCCAGCCGCCGGCCCATCACGGCCTCCATGCTTCGTCGCATGCTGCTACCCTCGCTGGTCACCTGTCCCATCCCATGCACGCCTACGATCCGTTATCTGCGCCTGCACACTCGATGCCGATGGGTCCCTTTTCATACGATGCGACCGCGTTTGGGACGTCCATTGGACCGCTGGACCCCAGTCTCGAGCAGCATTCGGTGCCGGCGCATGCTCACTTATCCTCCCAGACCATCCACCTGGATCCAGGCGCAGCGTATGCGGTCGCACAAGCCCCGGGATCCATCACCAACGCCTACTGGAATCAGCAGACCGCCCATGAGATGACTGCCCAGGCACAGACCACAGGTCCGGTTCCAGGGCCACCCGGGGACTTCGCCCGCGCGAGCGGTCCATCGGAGGAGCAGTCACTGCCGCAGAGCCAACCTCCGGAGTTTCAGCCCTATACCCAACCGACCAACCCGGCCGTCCCTCATCGATTCATCCAGCCGAAGAGGTCGTCGCCAGTGAAGGGTGGGTCCTCCTCCAATCCCTATCCAACCTGACCCGAAAGCTGATGCGGGTTCTCTACGGCCAAAAGGCGCTTTTCCACCCCAGGCCAAGGTGGAAGCTGGAAATGACTCTCCGTATGCTAGTATCTATTCGAATAGTGGATTCGATATCATGGGGGTCCTGGTAGGTGGATAGCGGATCGGGTTCGATCCGGGAAGAGGTGCTGTGTGCTGCGCATGGACGTTGCTGACCTCTCGATCTAGGCCCAGGTGGTGTCGCGGCCAGACCCGAAAATCAACATCGGTGCGGTCGACTTGTCGTGCGCATTTGTCCTCTGTGACATCACACTGGAGGACCACCCAATCGTCTATGTCTCCGAGGCGTTCGAACGGCTCACGGGCTACACCAACCGGGAGATCGTCGGGCAAAACTGTCGGTTCCTTCAAGGCCCGGATGGCATTGTCCAGCGGGGCATGCAGCGGAAGTTTGTCGATGAGAACACGGCCTATCGCCTACGATCGACGATAGAGGAGCGGACGGAGATCCAGGCGAGCATCCTCAATTACCGCAAAGGCGGACAGCCCTTTGTGAATCTGATCACGATGATCCCGATCCGCTGGGGCGGCAGTGATTATCGGTTCTACGTGGGGTTCCAGGTCGATCTGGTGGAGACGCCCGATGCCGTGACCAGACGGAATCCGAGTATGGCCCCCATCTTGCGAGTGATGGTCTGTTTCTGCCAATCTAACGATTCCTGATGCAGATGGAACATACATGATCAACTATCAACGCAATCAATTGCCGAATTATGTGGTCCCGCCGGACGTCTATCGCTCCAACCCGGATTTAGCCACCTTGTTTGACCCCAACCAAGTGTCGGCGGTGTTGGAGAGCCTGGAAGGCCCTGGGCCATCGTACCGGCATTATTTGGACCGGGTCCTGGTGGAAAACATGGACGATATCATCCACGTCTTGTCCTTCGAAGGCGAATTCCTATACCTGTCGCCGTCCTGCCTGAAAATATTGGAGTATGAACCGGCGGAATTGGTCGGAAAAGGATTGTCGACCGTGTGCCATCCCAGCGATATCGGTTCTGTCATTCGGGAGCTACGCGCGCGGATCACCACCGAACCCGTTAGTGTGGTCTATCGCATCCGGAAGAAGTACAGTGGATATATTTGGTTCGAGAGCCATGGGTCCTGGCACATCACCGACCGCGGCCGGCAATTTATGGTCTTGGGAGGGAGAGCGCGTGCCGTGTACAACTTTGATGAGATTGCCACGGTGGGTCGCGGGGGATTGGCCGAAAATGATATTTGGGCCAAGCTGTCGATGTCCGGGATCGTCTTGTTTATCTCGTCGAAAGCCCGGCCGGTGCTGGGCCGGGTGTCGGACGATCTGATCGGCAAGAGCATCCAAGATCTGACGGGAGCGGATACACGGGCCCAGGTCATGGAGGCCCTCGCAGCGGCCCGTTCCGGTCAACAGGTGTCGTTTACCCACAAAATCCGGCACAAGAAGGGACACATGCTGCCGGTGCAGACGACTCTCATTCCGGGAGATAGTAAAGAAGGCGAGCGGCCTTCGTTCCTGGTCGCACAGTTGCGCTTCCACCGGCCGCTCCCGAACAACGGGGCCGACGAGTCGAGCTCCAGCTCGACGGAGACCGGACTGGTGATTCACGGCAGCCGAGATGCTGCCGGCCCTAGTCCGGCGGCCTCTGGCCTGTCCGGGATAACCGGGACCAGCCGGCTGCCAGCCGGCAATCAAGAGGTGGCCTCGCTGCGCGACCGCAGCCTGTTCACGGAACTGGCGCCGACGCGCGGATCCAGCTGGCAGTTCGAGTTGCGGGAGCTGGAAAAGCAGAACCACAGCCTATCGGAAGAGGTGCAACGCCTGCTGACGCGCCGGAAGAAGCGCAAGCGCAAGCAAAGCACGATCATGGTAGAAAAGAGCTGCGCGATGTGTCGGACGAAGAGCACGCCAGAGTGGCGGCGCGGGCCCAGCGGCAATCGGGACCTCTGCAACAGTTGCGGGTTACGATGGGCAAAGCAGGTCCGGAATGCAACCCAACCGACGACGGCGCGCGGGCGACGGGCGTGAGTGGTGTTGATTTGATCTTGGTTTCCTTTTCTCATTGGTGGTGGTGGTGGTCCCTTGGGGGTTTCCTGGTGGTTCTCTAGTTGCGGCTGCGTGTCAATTTGATCGAGTATTCTGAGCACTCATATGATACCTTTCGGGGGGATTGCTGGTTTGGGACAGCAACAGGCAGGGATGGGGAGGTGAGGATGACGAGTCTCACCAGAGAACGGACGGACGGACCGGGGGAGCATTCCTGCAGGCGCTGGGAGAGTGATACGGATTTGCGATGACCTGTACAGTGTATACTAGCCAACCATGACGGCCGGGGGCCCGGATGGGTGAGATGCAGCAGCCCTGCCCCGGGCAAAGTGACGAGTCGAAATGATCCATACTGCCCTTGACTAATGTACATATGCATGCGCAGTGTGCTATACATCCTCTATCTACCTACTCCTTGCCGGCCAGCCATTTCTCCAACCAGCGTCTCTCCTCGCGTTCAGCCTCCCAGCTTTCTTTGCCCCCGACCCCGACGCCGCCGCGCTCCTCCACCGCGAGGCGCACCTCGGCGGCCTCCATCCCTGACACGCCCCCGCCGGAGCGAATCAACGCATCATCCACCTCCAGATACTCCGCATACCGGCGCAACCGCGGCCGATAGACCACCTCGACCAACGACTCCGGCCGTGTATGCGTCTTCGTCAGCCCCAACGCCGCACACGCACGCAGGACATCCCTGGCCCCGGCCGTCCGAACCCACTCGCCATCCACCATGCTCTTCAACACGCGCATCTCGGCCTCGGACCCCACCGTCGGAGCCGTGACCGATCCCACCGGCACCAGGGCATTTCTCTTCCAAACGGCCCGCTTCACGCGCTCCTTCTCCAATTGCCGCGGAATCCGACACGTCAATGGCGTGATCACATTCCCCAACGCCAGGACCGCCAACGGGGTCATCTCGCCACAGATGACCAGCACCAAGCTGAAGGGGATGATACGACGGATATCATAGGCGGAGCGACGGAGGAGTTGGAAATGGGCGCGGCTGAGATTGTGCGAGTGGAGAGTTTTGAGAAAGGATGAGGCGCTGGTGGTGGTGGCGGGGGGGGAGACGAAGAGGGAGAGGTTGAGGGTGCGGTGGAGGGGCTGGGCGGCGCGGTAGTTATGGTAGACGTTCTTGAGGCCTGTTTTGTAGAAGGTGAGATAGGCGCGGCCGATGGAGATGTAGTGTTTGAGTTTGTCGGCGGGGGAGGCAGACGGGGGGAGCGAGGGGGGGAGGGAGAGGTCGGCGGGTCGGGTGCTGGCGGGTGGGTTGATGTCGTTGGTGAGGGTGGTGGTGGAGGTGGTGGAGGTGGATGTGGAGGATGGGTGGGCTGGTTGGGCGGAGGAGGAGGGACGGGAGTGCGATTTGGATTTAGATTGGGATTTGGGGGAGTGGGAGGCGTAGGTGCGCGATTGGATGTTGTAATGGTGGTGAGATTGGAGGAGAGACGCGACGATGGTCAGGGTGGACGATGGGGGCGGACGAAGAAGGGCCCGCTGGGGCAGGAGAGCGGACGGCATTGCGCCGGTTGAGAGAGTGTGTGTGGTCCTGAAAAGAGGGCAATTGATGCGAGGATGAAGAGAGATTGACAGCGACGGGGATGGCGAAGAAGATGAAGCTGGCCGAGGATCATCTCCCCGATCGGGTATTTTTGTGCCTCAGGCAGTGAGGTACCAAGGCATTTGATCTCCGCGGAGCCCGAGGCTGCCAGAATTGCTCACATGACCCCGTGGTTCTTCGATAGGAAAACTTCCTTCTTCACTATTTACTCGTCATGCTACTTTATTCTATATGGCATTTTGTGTCGTACTTCTAATCTTTGTGACTATCCTCGACAGGTTTTCCGAATGGCCAATGCTTCTAGGGTCTCGGACATACCAAGTCGACGCGGACGTGAGAAGAGACAACAACCTTTTCGATCCCCTTGCCTGTCTCAAGCCACCGATGAGGCTCGATGACTTCAATCTCCATCAGCACAAAGGGTCGATCCTCCGGGATAAGCCCGTTAATCCGCGCGTAGCCCTTTCGCCCGGGGCCATACCAACCGGCGTTGCAGCGTCTCAAATCACGGCCCGCACCGCCTGGAGGGTCCGTAACCTTATTCCCCCAACATCCACCAGCCTGGCTGATCCGCCGTATTCATCCTGGACCCGGAATTCACCCGGCCCGGGGGATTTGCGCATTGCATGGGTTAAGTAGGGCCTCACGGAGATGAAGGAGTATTCGCTCGTCCGGATCTCGGGCTCAAACGGCTGGATGACCAAGGAGCCCTGTAGCCCACCCAGCGTGCAGAGCTCCCGAAAGGCCGCATCATCGGCATTCCGGGCGGCGGTAATGGCGATGCGTCGGGACAGGTGGACGAGCCAGATGTGGAAAAGTCCTGAATCTGGGCCTGTAACCCCGACACACTGTACTTCTGAGGGTTCACCAATTGGGTCCTGAACATTCGAACCCTTCTTTCCGTGTCTAGAAGCTAGCGCTTGTCGGCATTCCAGCGCACCAGCTCCATGGGGTTAACTGTCATAGGCGCGTGCGGTCCAGCCTTGATCGACTTGTCTACTTGGCCCAGAAAGGGGAAGAATCGACGCGGTTGCTTGTAGTACTTGTTGCATCAGAAGAAGGTCATCTGCATGCGAGAGAAGGCGAGAGAAATGTTGCGCAAGGTTACGTACGCTATCAGATGTCGGCCCAGCAAGAACAGTATCAAATACAACGCCAGAACATTGACACAGGCTTTCATTCAAGAGATAACCTACTCGTCACCACTATCAGATACTTTGAGATACACCAGGGCTACAATAGCAGCATCTATATCGCCCTTCCTGGCTCTCTCACCATAGGCACCAGTCCCGTGAGGTGGATCTGACTCTGGGCGTCAGTCCGATCCACAAACCCCAAACCCTCATATATTGGTTTGCCATCGTCCGTGGCATCCAGGTAGACCAGGGCCCTCTCCTGATCAGCCACCTGACAGCCCCATTCCAGGAGCATCCGAGCCGCCCCCATCCTACGATAGTCGGGATGTGTAGCAAGCATATCGAAAACTACCCAACGTCAGGACTGTTCGGACACAGCATAGGCTCACATACAGAAATTCTTTCTTCCATCACCAACAACTCTGGCACGATTATGCTCCAGGACCTGGAAGAATCGATCGTTGTGACGAGCGTCCATCTCGGGATGCCAGGGGGGAAACCGGGGCCCACGCTCTTGTGCCGTCTGGAGAGACCACTTGCCGTAGGCGATGATCCGACCCTGGGACGGGTCCACCACTTTCAGATACTTCTCGCGCGGTCGGTGAAGCATGTCCTGGCGAATGGCCGATTCCCACCACCATCGCACCCCGGGAGTGTCGGGCCAGAGCTCGAGCATGGCCGGGATGCTAAAGTCGCTGTACCACAGCTGGACGATCTCGGGCACGTCTTGGGGAGACGCCAGGTCGAGTTGAAAGGCGGGAGAAACCCGTGCCGGGGCCGTAGGTAGCGTCGTCGCCATGCTGTTGTTATATCGGAGGCAACCAGACGTGAATGCCTTGAGGGATGCGCCCGCAGAGTGTGAAATAGTATGGTAGGAAGTATGGGGGATCTCTGGCAGATACCCGGCATAGTGGATTTCCTCAAGGAGTATATCAACCTGCGTTGAGCGAGCGATGGCGACCAAATCAGGGCAGCCACGAAAGTCAAACTGCACCGGGAAAGTCCGCGTCTAAATTTGGCCTCACAGCCACGACGAGACATCGAAGAGAGGAGGGGCAGTGCAGAACTCGATGAGAAAGCCGGGTTGGTGTCTCAGGCGCCCAGTCTCCAGCATCGGATCAGTTTATCTCGGGCCTCGAACTTCACGCGGATATCCGAGAGCTTCATCCGGAAAGAGATGGGAAACAAGTCTCTTCAGGGGATGACGGAGCCGAGTGGACAATCGATGGATCGACGAATCATGGGTTTTCTGTACCATCCAAATCAAGCAGACCATAGATTCAAGTCCGCTTTCTCGAGTCGTGACATCTATCGTGACATGGATGATGATCATAGAGGATTGGAGGGAGATCGCTGGATAGGAGACAGGGGCATTTCAATCTCCAAGAAGCAGCTGATTTGCCGGAATGGATTAAGTCCTAAGTTCATTTGTACATGCCCGAGATGGATGGCAGAGGCTGCTAGAGAGGGTTCTAGTGGTGAAGTATACCACCGTGAAGAACCGGATAGAAGGCAAAGTTAATTTGCTCCAGCCTGCTGCATATATATAGTAGTAGACTTCCCTCCAGACCAGCCATCCTCTCCAGCGAATCCAGCTGCACATCTACTTCAGTTCCTGGACCTAGTGATGGACTAGTGTGGTTCAGTTTAGATATCTTTAACCCAATCCATTAGGGTGGTTCAAAACTGACCTATTTTCAAACTAACCTATTGTCACAGGCTAAGAAGCCTGATGACTATATCAGATATGATAATCTCAAATAGAATTAAATTCATTAAAAACACTATCTAATAAGAAGTAATTATAATTATTTTATAAGCTAGTCAACAACTCCCCACCCAAGAGTTCCAAAGCATACCACACCAGCAACCTGCGGGAGTTTATCCTCAGTACATGACAGAGCCTGTAAACTGGCAACAAAGCCTCCAATCATATAGCACCTGCATATCAGCAGCAGCCAGTCATGATGCCATACAATCCTTCGCTTATAATCCCCCAGTCACAGGCACCAAATCCTCAGCAGGCAATATCACAGAATTCCCCAAGCATAGGACAGCAAACTCAGCAGCCGCTGCAGGTATCCGTGGAGGGGGCAAGGCAACAACAACCAACAATAAGAACTATAAAACACGGCTGGAACAAGCGAACCTAAACTATGACATTTTTTATCTAAATTAACAGTAAAAAATTCACTCACAACTACAAGTTCCCGTCAGAGACAGTGCAATGTGGTTAAACTCGGATTCTCCTAGTTAGATAATAAATAACAATCATAGTATTGAGGATTTTGTACGTTCGTATTCAGGTGTAGTTGCCGGTACTCCAGCCACAGCACCTACCAGTCGCTTGAGGCAGTATGCACAACTTTCCAGGCATTTAAAATTCTCCAAAAAGGTGCGCAGTGAAGGTATGAGACCAATTGAATCCCTTGAGTCGGTCCCGTATTTCTGTCCTCCTGCCTTCGTCGAAATCGGGAAATACTTGACCAGTCAAAATCACTCATTGTGCTGACTTAGCATCATCGGGAGATGTGCCGGGCGCGAGTAATTCAAGCTTCTTGATTGTTTTCTGATCGATACATTTCTTTGCGTCTGTGTCATCATTAACCAGTGAAGACCAGAAGCGATGGACATGGTTCAAGTAAGCACAAATCTCCTGTAGTTAATTGATGTTAGATGGTATAGAGATCCGAGAACAAAATAAGCAGTTTTCAGGCAGAAAGGAGGAGATCTCAGGGAACAATGCAGACTTTGTGTTGGCGTACCTCCGGGCAACTGATTGCGACTAGTCTATGTACCATACTCAGCCTCATCCCGTCCATCCAGAGACCTGGGATATCCAGTAACTCGTCGAAGGCTTTTCGACGCCAGTTGTTATTGATAATTTGCTCCCAGCGTTGGCGATTAGATGATGATAAATGGGCCTTCCACCTTGTCCCAATAGAATGGTCATCGTCATATTGACGGATTTGGCGATAGACATACCCATCTGTATGTTCTCGGTTAAAATCGTACTCTTCAACTAGGTGATCCCTGAGAGCATCGTCAACATCTATTACCGAGCATTCATTAGTTTTCAATTTCTGCCTTTCTTACGATAGCAGTAACTTACCATCCAGATAGATATCCACGACCCACCACTTGTCGGCTGGAGCCAGAAAATCAATTTCCTCAAGTCTGACCCTGGCGGTACCTTGGTACTCCAGTCGACGCTCAGTGGCCACGTGTACTTCTCTGGTAGTGAGCTAATCTTGCTGCATGATGAAGGAGTCAAAATGAATGATGATGAGAGATTTAATGGCATTGGGGATGGATTGATGCTTGACTTATACCTTAACGTAACCGGAACAAATCAAGTTCCATCCTCACTTTTCGGGGGAGCATCATGAAATGTGGGCATACCATCACATTTAAAACGAAAACTGTATTCGCCCAATTCTGAATCTTTGAAGAGGGCATCAAATTTATGCGGAGTATAGGATATGCATGTTTGAGATAGAGTGGTGGCCATATCGATTGCAAATCGCTGATTCCATTCATTGCCAGCATCATCCAGTACACAGTATGGGTACGTACCTCAAGCTTACGAGGATTAGAAAATTGATTATGCTATTGTAACTAAGTATTTTTAGTCGGTAGCACTTGTAGAAGCTGAAAATTTTCTTGAGACTAAGTAGCTAGAGATATTGACCCATGTTTTTCGTATCGAGGTCTCCGAACGCCTACAACGGCGGTCCCTGGTTGAGACAGTGGCTAAAGTAGTGCAAAATACAGTGCAGGAAATATTTCAAAAGTACATGCAACTTAAAATCAAAATTTCTCCAGATTATACTCTGCGGTGGGCTTCAGTCTGCGCCTCGGTCTCAATGTTCTTCGCTTTGCACTTTTTTTTTTAGCTTCCTGCGCTTTGGCCCGGTTTTCTTCTTGGCATTGGGTTTCTTTTGACCTCTTTCCTGCGCCTTGGTCCGGATTTTCTTCTCCGCTTTGCGCTTCTTTAGAGCTTTCTTCTGTACTTTGGTCCTGCTTTTCCCCTTGGCATTGGGCTTCTCTTGAGCTCCTTCCTGCGCCTTGGCTTGGAGCTTCTTCGCTTTACGCTTCTTTTGAGCTCCTTCCTGAGCCCTGGGCTGGATTTCCTCTGCTGTGCGCTTTTTTTGAGCTTCCTTCTGCGTTGTATCCCAGGCGCTTTTATCGAAAGTCTAAAATGCTTCTTAGAAAAATTCCCAAGGAATTCTTCCTGCTTGACCTCATTGTCAGAACAGACCCACCTACATCATTTGAGTCGGGTCTCAATTGGCAACGCTTGCTAGCTTCGTTTTCTTGTCGCAAGGTTCTGATAATCACTGTAAAAAGAATACAGGCCGAACTCATGACTGCAAATCTGATTATTATGACGAGTAATAAAGACCACAGAATAGGTGAAGGAAGGCTGTCTGGGGGCATCTATATAGTTTGTGAGCATCAACGCGACCAAAAGATAATTTTTTGCCAAACCTTTGATCTCTCGCTCCGCTCAGTGGCCCTTTCACTAAGGATATGCTGTCCTGATTGAGTGATCAGATCTTTCAAAAGTAGCTTGTCTTTGGAACTCCCAACAGCCCTCCATCTTTTAGAGGTATAGTTCATTCCGAATTGCTTAATCCATCTGAAAGTTTCGTCATCAGGCCATATTTCGTATGGGCATTTTTCGCCGCCCGGAACAGTAGGATGAATATTGATGATCATTTGAACTGCGCAATGGCCAAGAAGTCCTTGAATGATTGGCTCTTCTATCGATTGGTAGTTTGAAAGACCAGTGGGATGTAATCGTTGAGGTGGTGGAGAGGAAAGTAGTATGACTTTTTCGAATCTGGCGATATGCCAAGCGAAAATTGCGGAAGCACCATGAATATACCGACTCCATTGATTCTTTGTTTTCCCTATCCTCGGACATTCTGGACTGTTTTTATCCATCAAAGGGCCCATGGCTGTAGTTAATGTTTGCAGGTTATTTTTCTCGGCCCATGCTTGGGCCTTGTCGAACGGTATGCCACTCCAAAGAACTTGACCATTGCGAATCCACTTTGAGTGGAATTGTTCAAATATTTGCAGTGCCTCTGTGACAGTCACATACTGGCTGAAGACTTAAGTAAGTGGGACACCAGGAGCTTGTTGGCCAGAAAGCCATTGAGAAATATCGTCAAAATCCATCGTTCTGCCCAGGTAGTTCAGTGGCTGACAGGTTTAGTATGGACATTATAAGAATTTCGAAACACCAAAAGAAACTGAATCAACCCTTCCTCTGCAAGGGATCGGGTGACAATAAATACAAGGCGTCATTGATGCGGGGTAATGTAGACGGACTGGATCTAGGCTCGTATCATTGTTGGATCCAGTAATTTCATACTACTATCTATTTTGATTAGATTGGAGAGACTGCATGATTCTTGGCGGGGACATAGGCACTCTATTCATGCCCAGTCAATGCCTAGTCAACATTCCAATTGAGAAGCAGTTTCAAAGAGGATCAGTTGGAAAGTACATGTAGCAATGCGGTTCAAAGCTCACGATAAATGGGCATCGGAAACCAGGTTGTACGGTAGATGAGCGAGAAGAGTGCCTCTTAGACGCAAGTCCCAGTACAGTGATCAGGAGCAGAAACTGTGTTACTTTTGGTAATCGGAGACGAGACTTGATTACTATGCCAGCCCGTGGAACCGAGCCCACATATGATCAACACTCGTGAAACAGCTAAATGACGCACTATTACATCCCTCAGTTCTCAATTTAAGAAGGATCAAGGCAGTGATATACTTTGGTATGCAGAAATGTCGTCCGAATATTTGAGTATCTGTAGTTGTGTTTCGACCTACATTGGTATTTCCGTTCTTACCATTCATTCTGCTCAGCCCAATTCCTTCCACAGCTCTCACTTTACCTCATGCGGTCACAGACTTTTTCATCATCGCGATCAGCAAGTCACGTGAGAATTGTGGAACGGAATCTAGGAGAGTGTCTTGGAAGATAGCATCAGCTGCTTCATCTTTCCGCCTCAAGAGAGAAAGGTTACGCAAAGTGATGTCCACGGCAAGGTCCCTTAAGCCTCTGTCACTTTTAGGCGTTGAATTGTAGATTTCCAAGACCGCCTGCGGGAACGAAGCCGCGTCTAGTCTTTGGGCCATTTCATATTCAACCTTTTTTTGGGCGAGAGCTTTCAATCCTTTGATGAGGAGACGGTCCGCGAGAGAGTACATCAGTATGTGAAATGAGAGAGGGTCAAGCATAGGAGTGGTATCTCCAGCATCGGTTATATCAGGAGATTGACCTGAGGTCTCCCAAGCCCCCTGTATTGTAGAGGTATCCACTTCACCGTCAGGAACGTGGCAACTCGAGCTTGTGAGGCTCAATTCATTGCCATGTTCGTGGCTTCGTTCTGTTGTATTGTGAGATATGACTTGGTAGTCCAGAGTATATAAGTACTCAATCGCCTGCTTCACCAAAGTCGGATCTTCTTGGATCTCGACAGTATTTGTGGTAGCTTCCTATTGTGTTTCCCCCGAGTCAGACAGATGTCTTCAAATAGCAGGCCACTCTGGCTGCGTACAATGAAATCTCCTTCCATGGCACCAGAGAAGAATCCTGATTGCGCGCAAACGATACATTTATGGGCAGGGAAGGACTCTTCACCACACAAAATAGTGAAGTCACTGTATTTTGGGTTGAGACGCATGCTGATATTCGATCAGTTAATATGCAAACGGAGGTGATGCATCGATTGCTTGGCAACCTGAAGCACGTACTTTGCTAGAGCATTCATAAGTTCTTGAAGGGGGATCGGGGTTTCGATTTTGTTGCTCAAAGGTTTTTCGAGTACCTCATGCGCGGCCCAGGAAAAAGGTTTGTGTCCTAGTCTCTTCATTGGCATCTTGATGGTCGAGTTGTTTTGATGCTTTACTAAAAGTAAGGATTGAGAATAAAGATGAGTGATACTGACCCCATACAGAAACTATTTATAGGCGCATTAATAGCCCATCTAGAATCAATCAATGGCGTCATACTAAAATAGCCTTTTGTTAACAGCTGGTTTCATCGTTCTAGCACAATACGAATACTACCTTGCTGGTGGCCACCTTGCCACATATTATTATTTAAGAAGTGCGGATCCTCGTATCAACAGACATCGAAAGGTTGTTAGGCAAATTGTGACGAAGGATGACAGGATAGGCTCGTACTGCTCTGAAGCTACTTAAAATCACTCGTAAAGTGTCTTGGCGTCTTTGAACAGCTTTGAACGTGTTTTAATAAGCACTATTAAATCCGGTAAGCCTTGAGCACGGCTTTGAAGTTTAAGCATAGGTTTTCCATAATTGACGCTTTCTGTTGCCCGTGTTGGTCGTCAAAGCAATCCGATGAATTCAAAATACGATTTATACGGGCAGTCATCTCAATTTAAGCTGACACTTTTTGTTGGTTAGCACTGGGCATACGCGCCGGCCACCGTGGCTTAATTTACAACCCTCATAGGATTCGAACTTGTATGACAGCGAGCATAGAAGTAGGAGGTTTTTTGGTTGGAAATTCAACTTTACTCGAGCCTTGGGTTTTGCGACGTCAAGACACGGATATCAAGCAATTCCTAGAGTACGAGTCAACAAGTCGATGGCGATATCGTGTTTCCTTTGCTAGACAAGGCTACCTGCGTTCTTGAGCGAAATATGATGCTCGCAAATGATATTGTACTTGTCTGCAGCAGTTCAATATATTTCGCTTAAGAGCGTAATTCCCACGAACTCATTAATTGTCAAGAACCACGTAGGCCAAAAGGAATATATCCCTTCCTAGCCTCGGGCGTAGAAGGTAGAAATATGGCATGTCTCAACATTAATTGAGAGATTAAGACTGAGAGCGTAGGACAAATGAGTGCTGAGGTTCATGGGTTTGAGAAGCGGGGTGTCGGGAATCATCGGGCTAGAGCAGCCACCCATGATCACATAGCCATTGTAGTTTGTTGCCTATTGGTCAGAGAGCGAAACCAGAATTCATCAAGGAAGGTAATATTCTTTGTCTGCATTAGGAATTGACGGTCTTATCCTGCTCTTTATGTTCTTTGTTGAACTGTATAGAGCCGGAACACAGGGCTGCGCTTGGTTCTGAGCTTTCGGGGTCGATCCGCGCGAATGGCTGGTCCTGCTTATCAGATGTCAAGAACCACGTAGGCCAAAAGGAATATATCCCTTCTTAGCCTCGGGCGTAGAAGGTAGAAATGTGGCATGTCTCAACATCAGACATTAGTTGTTGTGTCCACTACTCGTTGCGTTGTTGACATGTAAGGTCACGTTCTTGCATGTCTTTTCTTGCGCGAGCATGTGAGGTTCTCGATCCGGAGCGGTGGACGAAATAGTTGAAATGAGTACCTCCTTTTGTGAGCCATCAACTGTTTCCCTGCGAACCAATCTGGATTTGCATCTTGATTATGTCCGAAGCATCATTATTTTGACCTCAGGAATAGTAGTACTTCTTGGAGAAGTTCTGCCTGGGCCACTTTTTGAACACTAGTAGCGAGGGTATTGTTCCTTGCCATTATTACCGCTATTATCTCCGCCGTCAGTTGTGTCTCTCGTACTATCTCTGGTATCGTTCTTCGCTAGCATCTGGCCATGGCTGACAATCATAACAAAATAGAACCAGTGGACTGTAGTTTGAATCATCGGCTTGATTCAAGCCTTTGGAGAACTAACAAGCAGAGTGCTGTTCTGAGAAGAGTTGAGTTTCCAGCGGCTGAAGCTCCGCGGGTTGCCTTACACCGTTCTCAGAGCGATCGCTTGCCCAACTTTCAAGAGCTTGACCGTGTCTCGCTTGTACCAATGTGTGCAAAGTGATTTACATTTTGTCTGCTCGGACTTCGCAGAATTTCCATGTGAAATCGAAGCCCTCTACTTATAGCTAGGCTATGTCGCATCGCGGAGATCCAGATTCGTCGTGTTTGGGACATCAGATATTCCTCTTGGGTTCAAGTTACTGAAGAACGGTAATCTCGAATATTTGAATCGGATATTGATGTTTCATTGACTGAGGCTGGAGGACCGTGATACGATATACTTCGAGTAGTAAATGTTCAGTAGCCGATTCGATATTCCTCAGTTTTAGCACGTAGGTTATGACCATTATTGTCGTGAGGAAATGTGGTACCCATCGCAGTGTGCTTCGAAAATCACGGGCTCCTGCCTGATGACGACTGAATTAGAATGAAGGTTTGACCAGATAGCAGAAAGCCTCAAGGAATTAGCTTTCGAGAAGATCTTGCTGCCAGCAAGCCTCCCTTCCATAATATTTCGATCGATGTCAGACGCTCATTTCGCGTCAAATTGTTGTCATCCTCAGCTGCGAAAGTCGAAAGGCAGTAATCTATCAACGAGCGGCGCTCAAAATCTCTTGCTGTATGGTGAATGTTCTCCTAGCGAAATTCCGCGAGGGATATACCAGACGGCAGCACATCATCCTGACCCCATCGGTTTCCAAGACCATATGATTATTCATTCTTCTGAAGACCAGCCTATTCTATTGTTGCTCTGCAATGCAAACAGTTCGATAAACGTGGAAGATTCATGAATATCTCTCGTTGAGTTCAGTCACTTGATCCGGCCAGCCTTGTTTTGCGGCAGGCGCGCCGTCCAGCGTTCTTGGGAGAGGGCATTGATCACCGCCTTCAATGACAGCGACGGCCTTTGGGATGACTTCCTGTCGGATGAATCTCTCTAGTTTCCATACTCGGCAGCAAGGGCACTTCGGAATTCAAGCCGACACCCAGCCGTCATCATCACACAAGATTTTCCGCGAAAAAATAGAAACCGTCTAAATTCAGATCAACAGTTCACTACTGCTGCGCCGTGTCTGTGCGGGGAACTGAGGTAATTCCTGGCTTCGGCCATGACTTCTTTTGAGTTTAATTAGGAATCGAGCTCGGTAATCGAGCTCAAAACGCCGGCGCTTTGATGTCGATCGGTCGTCAATAATGGAGAACAGGGATTGACGTATGTGACATGAGTTGCTAGTTCAGGTTGTACAGAAAAGCAGAAGCACATTCGAGTCTAGCGACGACCGCTGAGCCATGATTGATGAGATAACTCGAGTGACTCATGGTAGGCACACTCTATCAACGAATCGTTGATCGACTGGTCAGCGATTTTGCACCTACCAAATATTAAGCCGTGATACTAATACTCACCCTCTAAGAGTGTTCGATGAGTTCAATGAGTTTCAACTCACGACTAAAACGATACTCCAGAACAGGTAGCCCCACGATTGAATGATGATTTACCTAGATAGAGTCACAAGGACACAATTGGTTTGTTGCAGGGTGCTATTAGCAGTTCAAAGTATTAATAGGGAAAATAGGGGAAGTAAACCATCTCCCTATCTTGTTTCTGCCTGAACATCGCTTTACGGTTTACCCCTCCATTCCAGTTTTCTTCGACCTCAAAATACCCTACCGGGAATACTCAATATCCTCCTGTCCGCCTAGCATGAAACAGAATTTGATTCACCACTTACGGTTAACCATCTTGGTCTTTGAAGCACACTGTTCATAACATGACAGCGACCGCGACTGAAGAATCCCTGGTATGCGTTCCTCGAGAGACTCGTGATAATACGCGGGAATAGTCCGACGCCGATTCAGTTCCCGCTGCATATTGAATATACGAAGGCAATTGGAGGATACCATTTTCTTTAGAGTACCTGTAGGAAAGTTGAAGAAACAGAGGAAATATTGGGACAAGGGCACGGCAGTAAGGAGGGAAATGAGGAGAACTTGGCCGGCGGGAATCACACGACATGATGCTAGTGCGCTCTGGCCAACAACTTCTGCAACGTTGATAGGACTTGAGAATCACCCTAAATTCAAAATTCTAAGTACTATTGGCTGCCATACCTTGTGACCAAGGCACGTCATTCAACCAAGCGGTATTAACCGGTCAAAAGATAACAATCTCACGCACCTGTGTATATAGACTTCAACTGACTTTACAAATGAACAAATTCTCCTTTCCTCTCACACAAGGGATTAAAAGATCATACCAGAACTTCTCTACGCGAGTAAGTGCCAATTTCCATCTAAAGTCTTACAGTAATGCTCGATTGACCACACACCCAAACCCAGCGTGACGAGACAGTCAAGAATGGCAGACAAGCCCGAAGCCAAAGATAAGAAAGGCGAAGAAGCGATAGTCGGCCTCAGCTCAGATATAAAAACCTTACAGCAGCTTACTTCGTCAGCCGAAGCTGCAAAGCGGCATCGAGAACGGTCAAAGGACGAGAGAGCACTCCGAAAACTAGAGGAAGCTTTGGGAGAGATGTTTAAAGAATCTGGCACAGCAGAAGGCCAATAATGTGTGTGGGACTGGAAATTGATATGACGTTGTAATTAGTCCTCAATCCCAAATGCTTCTTTAAGCCGAAGATCGTAATCGGTTTTATCGGCGATTTTCCTTGGCCCAATTTTGACGAAATCCTGAGACCAGTACCATGGCATAACCTGTTGAAAGCCGTCATGATCAGGACAGTATCTGAGAAACCTGGGTTGGACCTGCTTGTAAAAGACGGAGAATAAACCTGTTGGGCTAGCAAGCGCAAGGGAATACCAGAATGCTCCTGACTCCCAGCTTTCTTTCATGATGGTTGATAGTCGTGTCTCATATGTAACACCTGCTGCGTACATCTCGTCGCATGCGTCCGGTGTTTCTATAATTTCATCCACGGCTCGCATTGCCCAACTCCCTTTCGGGGTAGTTGATGGTTGTTGTGGATGGACGGCTTCGACTTTCTGTTCTTCGGCAGCCAAGACATTAATGAACTCCCTGCGCCTTATATCATACTCCTCGGCTTCTTCGGCAATCTCGTCCACAGCCTTATTCGTGAGCCACGTCGGAGTCCGTAGCATCTCGATAGGTCGAGTGCATGCCCACTCAAGATCCACCAAGCAAGTGATGTGCCAGTCTTTATCAACAAAGATGTTGCTTTGGTGAAGGTCGGTAAGCATCAAAACAAATGGGCCATGGCGAAGTTCGGAACGGAAGAACGAAGGGAAGGCTGTTCGCATTGCTGTCAATGCAGATGTCTGGTACAGATAGTCCTCAAGATCATTGATTGCATTCGGTTGGTGTCGTAATCGACTATCATGCATGTGAAGAAGAGCCGTCGCATAAGAATCCACTGTGGAATAAGTACAGCCGCGCGGTATACTGGTAGGTATCTCCTCATTTTCCAAGTCTTGAATTTCAAGAGAAAGCGGACGATTCGCCAGGCGTAAGAATCCACTCCGGTCTATAACAAAAGATCCAATCTTCGATAAGCGAATTCGTGTGATACTGAGCAATATTCGAGAGAGGCTTCGGAATAAATTCATTCTCAATCTTGCCTCCATGTGTTTCTCTGGCCAGGAGTTCGATAGCATTTCCCCTTGTTCTTCTTCGATATATTCTATTAATAGGTAGCCTGATCCCATTATCTGGTCACTAGATATGGAGCTTGGGGGTTGATGGCGAACATATTGCGTAGGGGTAGGTTTTCCAAGAACTGCAAGAAGTTTTCGGCGGATATATTCAAAGCAACGGGTGAGAAACGGCAGGTTTTGCAAGCGAGTGAACTAAGAAGAGCATTGAAGTTAGCTTTCTCATTGAGGGAACAGGGGGAAAGGTCGCACAGTTTCACCGGTCGATGTAGCGAAGCCGTATAGTCTTGGAATGGGTATATCGGGACAATTTTGTTCAAGCCATGCGTAGGTGCCTGCCTCGCACCGGATCTTTTCATCCCCATTGCCAGGGCGAAACGCATCACCGACTCGATACGGAAGAGGGAGCCGGAACAAAACACAGTTTCCAGGCTGTTGTTTCTGTTTCCACGTATTAACATTGACTGGGACACACAAATTGAAACTTCCATGTTGCCAATTCCCAAAGTCGGCCATGCGACACTGGTTGGGTGATTCTAGGTTCAGGTGATGAGCAACTACCGCTTCGATCCAGTTACGTTTCTCGAGAATATATGCAAAGAATTCATCTCTCTGGTCAGGGTAGCGCAATCGGTGGAGAACGTTCACCTCTTCTGTTTTGGCAGTCGAGTAAGTGATCTCCCCACGAAGAAGTGGACGCGCCTTTGGCATATTATAATTACTATTGCCTTTACAGGAAGCGCGTGAGAACCGTCAAGGTGGGAGGAGGTTGGCCAGAAAACGCGTTTGCTCAAGGAGGTTGAAAGTACTAGTAATGCATGGAGAGGCGCGGCGGCACCCCTTTTCATTGCTCAGCAAGAGCCTTAGCCCGGTCCCATGAGACTAAAATAGGTATGGTTCATGTCACTCGTAATATAAAGAAAGTTATTTTATTAATCCTAGAATTTATTTTTTTTTTAAAAAAAAAGAACCTATTAAGTATCCTAAGTCCTATTTAGACTACCTCTGTCTATATATAGATTTTTCTCTTTAGACTTGTTAGTTCTAAGTATATGAATATAATATCTATATCTCTACCTCCTTATTTATTTGATTGTGGACCTGTTTCTGGTTCGTCACACCGACCCCCTTGCATCGCCAACTCCTCCGATCCAGGTATATACTTTTCTCCCGCACCACCTCTCTTTTCTCCCGTTGCGCACTCTACATCGTCCCCAATACCACTCCCGGAACAAGAACCATCATTCCGTGCACAGTTCCTTTTTCAAGACCGATCTGGAGTCAGTCATCTCTCTCCGGGAGTAAGCGATTAGAACCGTTGATTTTGATCGGGTTGAACGATGGATTCTTGCGTGAGTAGGGGGTCTGATGATTCGATTGGTGGCGGATTTGGGGGTCGTGGATTGGTATTATCATCCTTCTGGGTGGTGGAGGTGGGGGTGGAGAACGGACGGATTGGTTTGCTGGGGAGGGGGCCTAAGGTGGGGAAATGCTGAGATGGTGTATGTGGGGGAGGTGGGGAGGGGATTTGGAGGGGGGTTGTTCGTTTGGTGTTGGGGGGAGGAAGGGAGGGGAGAGGTACAAGTGTAAGTATGTGCTGATGTTAAGGTATCTATCTATATACGAATGCGATGATCGGAACTAATTTCCCAGGTATGGAACATCATGGCTTACAAGGTCACCTCCACGGCGATTATGGCCTCGGAATAGAACCCCGTCACGAACAACCACGCCTTCTTCTCTCCGGCCACCGACTCCTTGGGAACCAGCAGCGCCGTGCTGGCGCTCCGAATGCGTGATCCGTCATCTTCAAAAAGCAACCGCGTCTCCCACTCCCCCGTCCCCGGCTGACGACGCGTATACCATACCATCACCCCGTCCGTGGCCTCGGGCTCCGTGCGCGTCTTGTCGAGGTCCACCGCGCGCAGCAATCCCCCCAGCACATAGCCGCTCGCATCGTTCTCGGCCGTGCGGTACGGGTCCTGGTAGTAGCTGGGGTTGTCGATCGTGCTGTCAAAGGTGAACTCGTCCACGATGGACAGCGTGCGGTTGGCATTGGGCCGCATCCGCCACAGGTACCCACCCATGGCGCTGGTGAGGAGGACCTCCTCCGGCGACGGACCATGTCCGAGACCGTTGTTATTCCAGAGTCCCTCGACTGCCACCATCGCATCGAGCCCCGACTCCGCCGCGGAGGACGCAAGAGGGTCGAGCTGGACGTGGATCACAGTCGACCACTTGGCGGCGGGGAGCAGGTTCTCCACCGAGCGTTTGTACCCCTCCCGGTAGAGATGGTCATTGGTGACGTAGAAGGAACGCGGGCTGACGGCATAGATATCATTTGGGGTGGTTATGAGGGGATGGCGGATGGAGCGCACATGGCGGATCGTGCCCGAGTTGAGCACATGGTGGAACAGTTCGACCTGCGAGCGCGCCTTGGGCACATCGCCGCCGTGATACTCGGGGTTGGCCAAGTGGTTCACGGCGAAGATGTACACCGCATCCGTCCGCTCCGGATCCTCGGTGAGATCGATGCCGTGGGTGATGAACGGTCCAGAGAAGTTTTCAAACGTGAGACGGGAAGATTTCATGGTCTAGTCAGGCGCATTGGCATTAGCCTTCTTCCACCCACAGTATGCAGCGCAGGGAATATACCTTGGGATCAATCACATGGATCGAGCCCGTCGTGTCTGCCGGGCCCTTGAAGGTCACCAAGGGAGGGAACCATTGGAAGCGGGGCAGGACCGAGTCCTCACAGGCTGTGAAGAGCTGGCCTGCAGGATGATAATAATGTAAGTCCTCGCAATGAATGGTGTCTGCAATGGTGTGAATGGGAGCTCCTTGGTGGCTGACGGCCCCGGTGGCCGAGCGGAACACGCCCAGGACAGTGAGCTCGTGCGTCACCGGCCGATACAGCGAGGCGATGAGGACGGCCAGAATGGCCAGGTTGATGTAGCTTTTCATCGTGAATTGGATGCTTCCTCGGGGTGGTTGTGAGTGTGTGGAAATAGGGAAAGCGAGTGACCGGGAGACAAGACAGATAGAAAAAACCAGGTGCGTATGGGGGAGCTTGGGGTAGCGCAATCACCAAACCGAGTGGCGTGCGGGGAAGGGATCAGCTTCGTGTGTCGCGGCCAGCAGTGACCCTCGGCACTGGAGCTGATGGCAGAACCTGCAGAAGGACTCCGTACTATCTGAATCAGACGCGGATTAGGCATCCACAGTGGGTCCCCCAGGCCAGCCAGTGGCGGTGGGCCGCGATCGCCATGGCGGGGAATCCCGCGCCTCTCCTTCTCCGCGGCGATCCGCCAATACGAACTTCTACTGTATAGTAGTCCCAGTCAAATGACCACACGCAGAGGAGAGCTTACATTAGTCAAGCCTAGAGCAGAGTGAAGTACAGCCATCGCCACATCGGCCCCCGACATCCACCTAGGCCGCTTTTCCATCGCGTACACAAAGAGAGCAACTAATTAAAACATGGCAGATTATTCCATCCTGTCCCACTAACTCCGTCGTCCCCAGGTCCAAGAAATCCGTAACTCATCACGGCCACAGCCCACTCACCGCTGCGATTGGGCCTCCAGATATTCCTGATCACTAGCATCCAAGATGTCATACTCTTCGTCCGTAAGCAGTCCCGCATCCGTCTCGTCCTCGCCCAGCGTCAGACTGTCCATGTCGTCAAACATGTCCTGCTCTGAGGGATTTGTGACCGACGGGGCAGAGGGTGCCGTCATGGCTGCCTCGTGCGTGCTCGTCTCCGGGGACTCCTTCTCCAACTTGGGGAAGATCATCTGACTCTCCGCGGGCCCCACCGGCTTCTCTTCGGGGGCTTCAACGGGCTGCACGGCCTCCGGCACCGGTGCACTCTCCACGGGCAGCGGCACCTCATCACGCACGCGGACGTCGCACCACAGACGGTGGCCGAACGGCATGCCGCTGGGAAGCTTCGGTCGCCAGTAAGAAATGGCCGTGCCCTGACGGCTCGGGGTCTTGAGCGTCACGGTAAAGTCGGCGCTGTGGCCGGGCTCCAGCGGCTCCGACAGCTTGTTGCTCTCCATGGCAGCCGAAATGGAGTCCATGCTCAATGGGTGGTTGGTGTTCACGTTGAACATCGAATCGCCACCGACGAACCGCACATCAGTGCCGACGGGCCACGAGAGGGGACCGGGGTTGAAAAGGGTCCAGGTCTGCTGGAAGGTTTTGTTGGGCGGCATGGTGGTGTCATCCGGCACAGTGTCGCGGATGAAGAAAGCTTGGTAGCCCGAGGCGGGATCCGACGCCGTCTGGTCGACCGGGTCCTGCTTCTCAGCCACCGGGATGGGCTGTGCCACCGGTTGAGGCTCCGGGACACTCTGTACTTCCGGCTTGGGCGCTTCCGGAACCGGCTCAGCCGGAGCGGTGGCCTGGGTGGAAGTGGACCTCTGGGGACGGTCGCCAAAGGTGAAGGTAGATCCGCCACGTTCTTCCTGGACGGTGCTGACAAAGACATTGTGCACAGGCGTCTTGAGCATGACCATGGGGTGAGTGCGGTTGTGCGTGTTGGTCGGGTGGATCTCGCATTTGGCGCAGAAATCAGTATCATCGCACACGGAGCACTTGTAGCGCGTTCCAGTGATGAAGCTGGGGCAAGGGCGGTTCTTGCACAGAGGACCATCACAGTAGATGCCGTAATGCACTTCATAACTTTGCAAGGGCTCGGCAATTGCCTCGTAGAGCGGCGCGAACCGATGGCCCGGATGGCTTTGGGGTGCCTTCTGGTGACACTCGGAGCAGTAGTCCCAGTCTGGGCAGGTCAGGCACTTGTGGCGGACACCAATGATACGCTGCAATTGGATTAGTGTACTGTAGCCCAACGAAGTACGGGGTTAACGAACCTTTTCACACCCATCACAGATCGCTGCGTGATGGTGGTGACGTCCAGGCTTGCAGCGGGACTGCACCAGGCTCTTCAAACAGAACTGACGGTTATGAATGAGGGTGAAGGAGTGCGCGGGGTGATGGCCATGAGTGTCCTTGAGAAGACATGTGATGCAGAGATCATAGTCATCGCAGTCCAAGCAAGAAACCATCTTAGTCTCGTCGAGTTCTATCAGATGTCAGTGGGACACAACCAGCCAGTAGGTTGGAAGCAAGAGGGTTGGTCATACCTTTCAGGCAGTCATTGCAGATGCGCTCCTGAGTGCTTTCGGGGACTTCTGGGGCAGCCGGGGTTTCTGGGGTGCTTTCGGAGACCAGCTCGGGAACGGTCTCCTCGAACTTCTCTTCCGGCTCCTCATCCTGGACCTTTCTAGGGGCGACCGTTTCAGTGGTGCTGTTAGTAACCTCACCGTCCTTGACGACGCGCTTGATCAACCAGTGTTCTTCATCGAGGCAAGCGACGCCAGCATCGACACACTGGAGGCAAAGGTCATAATCACCGTCGTCACAGATGCTGCAGTGGTAATGTTCGTTGGGGATCGAGCGGCCACAGTTGTTGCAATCGATGCAGAAGACCCCGTTGGGCGATGCGTGCGAGACAACCGGCGTGTCTAGGCTGTCCTGGCCCAAGACGAATTCGCGGTACTGAGGCTCAACAGTGGCGGGGGCCGACCATTGTGTGGACTGGGCCTCAGCTGGGGCAGAGTAACTGGCGACCTCGGGCAGAATCGAAGCCGATGGGGACGCACTAGTGGGAACACTTTCAACTTGAGACTCAGGGAGAGGAGCACTCAAGACAGTTTCGAGGTAACTGTACCTTGATGCATTCTCGGGTTCGGGGAGGTCTGCAGCCGGCTGGGGTGGGGATACAGGCTCCCCGGCCGTCGTAGCCTTGATCCGCAGCTTCAACTTGGCCTTGGCAGCGCGATAAAGCTGTTTGTAGACAGCGGGGTTCTCGCTATCGAGTTGAATATAACAACCGGCACTGTCGGAATAACGTTCGAAGATGACGTTAACATCCTCGGGAACGCCAAGGAGTTGGCGGAGCTGGTCACGGATAAGACGTCAGCATGCGTTACGACCATGTGCAGAAAAAATATTCATCTCTTATTTTGACTCCTTGCAGGCAGTTTGTCCACAAGCGAGATAAACATGCTTCAAGCAGACATCGAGCTAGCACATGGGCACGTGAGGGGGTAGCAGTGAGGGAGGAAATTCTGGGGTGGCTTTTTTTTTGATGGGGGGGGGGCAAGGACCCGTAGTTCCGATCGGAGCTTGGGTGGGGACGGACATACACTCTGGGGAAGCGTGCGAGCCCCGAGCTCTCTCAAGGGCAGCTTGAAGCGTCGAGTATTCTCATTGTAGAGCACCTTGACGGTGATGGGGGTACTTGGGCCCACGGGTGCCGGGGTAGGCGCAGGAGAAGCCATGGTGTCCAGAAATGTTTGTCTGGCCTGGCGTGATTTGGGCAGGGGTCCGAGGAGAGATAAGAAAAACGGACGCTAGTGCGTAGCGGTAGCTAGGGGACAACAAGCAGGCGATAGGGACCCAGGGTCAGATTCGTCCAGTCAGTTACTTTGGCCCAGGACAAGAAAATGTGATGGAATCCCCAGGATGGAAATGGATTTGGATGGATGGGATTTTAAAAGACGGGGGGGGGGAGGAAGTGGAGGATAAAAATGAAGCTGAGGCGGAAGCCGAGGTTAAGAGGGGGTTTCAGAAGAGAAGAAGAAGTAAAAAAGAAAAAGTGGCTTGAGGGAGGGAAGAAGATGATGAGATGAGGAGAAGGGGGGAGGAGGGAGAGGGAGAGATGAGGAGAGAGCGAGGGAGAGATTAAAGAGGAGTGGCCGGCTGCCTGGAGGTCAGCTGCTGCACTGCTGCATCCGGCCGAGGCGGTGAAGGCGGACGGCCATTGGCGGATGATGGAATGGTTTGCTGCGATGGGCTGTCCGAGTGTCTGTCCGTCTGGCTGGCCTGCCTGGCCGGTTCGTGACGACAAATCCCTACTAAGACCTAACTATGTACACTAACTCATCCTTAGGGACGCCCCGGCGGATCGCACGGCTGGCCTGAGCTCTGGGTGCTCCTGGGCCCCCCGAATACCTACCCGGTACCTCGTCTGGCCCGGCGGTCGCGATGCCATCCGCCGTACTTCCAAGTCCTCCTCCGTCCGATCACCCCCTTCACTACTACTCCCACTTGCATCCCCGGTGGAGTCCCCTCCCGTCTGCAGAACGAGGCACTGCTCTGCTGGCTACGTAGGTGCCTAATCCACCACCTCGTCATCTCCTTCATCTTGGGCGGGATGATTTCATCACAACATGGATGTTCCCCTCATGCCACCGTCCAATCGCTCCCAAGCCTCAGATGCCGCTTGCTGATCAGGGTGCTTACTTCTGCCCGTTAATCCCCATCTCCCCCTCAGTTTCCCCCCCTACGAAGGATCGGTTAATACGGTTTTACAATGCACTAGGCTGAGAGATTGACGCCCATTGACGTGCCGCTTGACGTCACGTCACACCCCCCAAGGCCTTCCAGGCCATCCCGGCCCTCCTGGCTGCTCTCTCTACCGAGTCCCGGCAAGGACAACGCTCACAGCACTATTTTTGGGATCATGTTTTATTGCTTTTGTAGACAGAGTGCCACGCCTCAGCCGGCCTCCTCGGCCTCGTCAATCAACAATCTCAAACGAGCGCAGTGAAACACATCGCAGATCACAGGGGGGCACCGCATTACGTTCATAAACCAGGATGCAGACGAGCGTGGTCAGAGACTTCGTACGGGTATTCGCATCGGCAACACACCGGAAGGGGGAGCCTGACGGAGCCAGCAGGGGGCGTAGAGCATCACCGCACCATGGTCCGGCCCATCCCGTTGCCATTCAACGTCATGATTATATCGAAGAAGATGGTATCCGTACATCGCGGGAGACTTGGGCGGACACAAGCTAAACGGGACAACAGGGCAACGACGAATGCCAAGCAAAAAAAAAAAAAAAAAGAGGAAGAAAAAGAAAAGGGTCAAGAGAAAAGGAAAAAAAAAAAAAAAGAATCAGTCAAACGAAAAAAAGGGAAAACGCGAAAAAAGAAGGAAAAGGAAGCAGGGTAAAAATAGAACGGCACAGCAGGCAATCGCTAGTAATGCATGAAATCCTTATCTAACCACAATCAGAGACGGAGCTGGGAGAGGAAGATGCCCCGGCGACACTAAACCTCAACAAGCAAGGAAAGGCACAGGCTATGAGAGAATGAAAGGTCGTCATATTTGGATCAACAACAGAGTTGCCGCTTTTCCATGCGTAGGCAGAAAACAACAACAAAATGAATAGGAAGGATGGGAAAAATGAGGGAAATAATAATATCATAAGAAAAAGAGGACAGATGGGCAAGATAAGGCGCAGACCAAGGCGGAAGGGGAAGCAGAACGTCAAAATAAACACAGAAGAAAACAGAATTTTCGCAGCTCACGAGAAAGAAAAGACAAGAATAGGGCAAGCCAGGTATCATGCATTAGGCCCTGCTCACTGAGAGGCGTAGTAAACACCCCCTTGCGACGGAGGGTAATAATAGGTTGTACCCGGGGGCGTCATCATGCCGCCCATGCCCACAACACCACCAGGCCCAGGAGCATTTGGCATACCATAGGATGAGTTTTGGTACATCTGGTTGGTATCGTAGAAATACACCGTACCGCCTGCTTCATGTGCGACAGTGCCCGGCTGAGCTGATTGCTCACCCGACGTAGGTCCTCCGGGCACCATATACGGCGCCTGTTGCCCCGGAGGGAAGGGAGGCACAGAGGTGCCAGGTCCCACGGCGGCATTATAAGGAGGGAACTCTGCTCCTGTGACCGGGTAATAAACAGCGCCAGAGGGATAGGACGCGGGATAGAAGGCCTGCGGCTGTTGGAACCCATATGGCTGGAAGGGCTGGGCATGGATCGCACGCTCGGGTATGTGGGACAAGGGCGTCACGGACGAGTGGGCAGTAGGAGGGAAACCGGAAGCATCTGTGCCATAGACCGGCCCATTGGCAGGCATCGGGACCTGGTGATGGAACGGCTGTTCCTGTTGCGGTTGAGGAGGGTTGAAGGGGAAGCTTGCTGGAGTTTCAATGTCTGCAACGGAGACGGTTTTCTGGGGACGAGGTTGATGCATAGGTATGGGCGCCGGACGGCTCTCCCGGTAAACAGGAGGCTGGGGTTGTGGTTGTGGTAGAGGCGGCACGGCCACTGGAGGACCGGGAGGCGGAGGTGGTAGCCCTGCTGAGGGTCGAGGTGGAGGTAGGCGGACAATGGGTTTGCCGTTGTCCGTGGCCACGATCGTCTGCCTGGAGAGAACTGAGGCTGCGGGCGAGTGGAATCCTTCTTGAGATGGCGGCTTGCCAAACGACGACCTCCTACTGATGCTGACGCTTGAAGTGTATGTCGAACCGGCATAGATACTTGGCCGCCGTCCAGGAAAGAATCCACTCCGACGCCCGCGGAACGCTTGTTGGTTAGGGCGGAGCGCTCGCGGGATGAATATAAATGATCGCTCCGTGGCAGGGAAGATGTATCGCGCCGGTTGTCCGGGAAGTGAGATTCGGACGGGCTTGTCGCGACGAAGAGGAGGGCGATGCTGAGGTAAACGGGTGTGTTGCCTCTTTGGAACTGTAGGGTAGGAGATGGGTTGAACCATGCCCGGTAAGAAGACCACAATAGGCACATTTCCAATCAACGTAGTGCTCGAAAAAGACCTGTTGGGCGGCGATGACCGAGGAGCTGTAGGAACTGCTTTGGGGGGAATAGTCGAGAGAGTCGGAGGTAGAGTTGGGAGTTTCGAGACCGGTGCATCATCCCCAGCAACAGTATCATGCAGATCGTGTGTCCACTGTTTTTCGCTGGCAACTGGTTTCACCTGACTTCTGCAAACCGTTAGTGAGACGTCTCGATGGGGGTCCGCGATAGAATAGCCAGGAGAAGTTCAAGCGTACTTGCGCACATTGCCGTCCACGATGAGACCGTATGGCCTCGACTTGGACTTGGCAAACGGCTTGTAACCGTTGGTTGCAGATTCGGTCGAGCGTTTGTCGTGAAGGAAGAAGCTACCTCGAGTGGGCACGAACGTTGGGTTCTCGTCCTTCTCCTTGGTATACTTCTCGTGATCACGGCGCTTCCTCTCCATAAGGCTGTCTTGTTTTGGTTCTGCCGGAGGCGCCGATGGAGTCCTTCCAGTCGGCTGGCCGAGCTCCCCCTTCATATCATCGAAATGGATTTCGGCCACGTCGGCCGCCTCATCGGACAACCTCAGTCCGTTCATCATAGCTTCTGTGTCCGACATAGCGGTGACTGTATGGCGTTTCCCAGGCGAGGCAGAATGGCGGCGTCCGAGCTTCGGGTTTGCCGCGGGTGTACGGCCATTGGGTTGAGGAGCATGGGTATTGCCCGCTTCCCGGGTCACAGATGCTTCATCATCACTCTCATCGCTGCCTTCGCCATCGGCGTCTTCGTCATCGGGATGGCTGATAATGGATCCTTCGCTCAGGGAGTCGTCCTCCAGTTCTCCATCTAGCGATCCCTCATCTTCGCCCTCATCGTCTCTTCTCCGACGGCGGCTAGCACCGATATTGTGTCGACGGGGGGCCATGGGAACGGAGTGACGGTGACAAGAAAAGGCTGATAAAATGTGCTTTGGATTCGAAAACTGCTTAGGGAGGGGTCGGGGGTGGTGGGAAAGGCGTCAAAGTGCACCGACCAGCAGCGGCGAGAGCGGCGGGTTGCAAGACGAGGGTGGGTGGGTAGCAGGGCAGAGACTAGGTCTAGATAGGAAGAAAACCGGAAAGCAACAGGTCCGTGGCACCGCAAAGACGAAGGACGGAGGAAAAGGCCAGAAAGCAGAGTAAGAAGGTGCACCTCAGGAGCGAGGGCCAGGAGTGTCGAGCGGATGAATGAGCTTTGGGGGGGAGAGATTTGGTGGTTTTGAGCATGAGCCATGACATGCTCTTTCGATGTCAACCGCCTCGATCCGGTTAGCGTCCCCCCCAAACCACCTCAAGTGATTCTAGAACTACTTTGCGCTCCAGTCGATCCTCCCCCCATCACGCCCTACGCTGGGATGCCGCCGTCCCTACGACAGCTCTTTTGGCACAGCGGATAACGGTGTTCACAATGGATTTGACGGCTCGTCCCCTGGTTCCCTCCTACAGCCCCGGGGGAACCAGACCACGCGTCAGAGCACCTCCGGCCACAGCGTGAGGATTATTGACGCTGTGAACTTTCCGACTCCCTTATGGTTGGCTGCCTCTGTTTACCCCATGACTAAGCCGGCGGGCATCAGGGATCCAGTGTACCTGTACCTAAATCTGGTACCATCTGTAGGTATTCCTCTGCGTCGAAGTACTTGGCGTCAACGGAGAGACATCTGTCGGTGTTTCTACAATGGCACTGGGGATGAAACACGCCCTACCAGGGCTGACCCCACAATCGGATGAACATGGCTCATCATTCCCGTCCGTGGGTTATTATATTGCTTCATGGCTTACATACATTCTGTACAAGAGACTTTTGGGGTATCAGGGTACTGAGGACCACCATCCTCAATGTTTCTAGAGCGCCGCCCACGGCCGTCTTCTCCATGAACCGACGGGTCATGGTATCCATGCAAGGATGGGACAACTCATGTCACAGTTCACTATGACAACGATTTCCAACGGTCAGGATACACTGCCCGATAATGCGGAGCTCCGTGTGGTCCGCCAGCAAGGAGGGTTCGATTCTCCATGTCCGATCGTCTTCTCTGTTCTCCCGAGCTGCACATCCTTATTTGACGAGGGAGCACTCCTAATCGAAGGTGATCTTCTTTCCTTGCGATTCGACGATGGCCCCACTAAGCTTTTGCACAGTCTCCTGATCGTATCTCGTATAATCGGGCTTTTCCTTCCTAGCCTTGCCAGGCCGCGACTGGCGAGGCTGCTCGCCCATCGAATCGTGTTCCGCAGACCCAACCTCGCTGATGTCTGCGGTATCGTTCTTCTTGCCCTCTCCATCTTTGCCGAATCGCTTCTTGTAGCGCGTCGTGGCATCTTCGGCAAATTCCATCCGCAGCCGCCTACCGAGCAGGTTGTTCACCCAAACTCTCTTCTGGCGCGGTTTCTTTGACTTTTTCTGGGTTTCAGACTCGGACTCGGACTCCTCTTCATCATCTTCGTTCACCATCACGAAGCCCTTCACCGCTGCTTCGGCGGCTGCGAGATCCTCAAACACCACCCAAGCGTAACCCTTGCATTTGCCAGAGTCCTGGAATGTCGCTACATGTACATTTGCCACCGTCCCGCATTGGGCAAAGTGCTCTTCAATGAGCTCCTTCGTAGCGTCGAAGCCGAGGTTACCGACAAATATACGCTTTGACGGGGGGTTTCCAGATGCCGCAGCATTGCCCTTCTGACCCTCTCCCTGAGGCTTGTCCGGTCTCCCGGAGAAATTCTTTGCATCCTTGATCAGCACACGCCGTCCGGTCAGAAGTTGCTCGCTGAGGCCAAGGGCCTCCTGTGCGGCCTTGTGCGTAGAGAAGTCGACGTAGGCGAATCCTTTATTCTGGGGTTTTCCGTGCTTATCACCGGACTTGGGCATGTGAATTCTGGTAATTGTCGTCTCCGTAAAGGTGCAGTTGCTTGTGAAGAAGTTGCGCACATCGTCTTTGGTCGCAAAGAATGGCAAGTTTCCGATCCAGACACCATACTCGGAGCGCTTCTGAGGATTAGCAGCAGCACTGTCGACAGGGGCCTGTGCCGGTGCCGGCGCCTTCGCCTCTGTCGTGGACTCCGACGGGGGTTCAGCAGCCTTTTTCTTGAGCTTTCGCAAAGCCTTCTTGGAGGGAGGCTCGGGTGCAGAAACGTCGATCTCGATCTCGGGGCCCTCGGGGAGCTTCCGCTTCTTGTGATTTTCTTCACCGATGCCGGCCATGGTGTGAGCAGCGAAATTGAACTGGGGTCTGCGCTATCGGGTCACAGAAAGAAGAAGGGAGTTCTGCGGGGAAATAAGAGAACATTCACTGAAAAATGGAGGAGATTCGCAACACCGAGAATTGATGATTGCGGAGGGAAACTTTTTTTTACGGCAGGCAGAAACACTCCGCCTCAACACCAGATCCAGACCGGCGGACCGCTTAACGTGACCGGCCCAAACACGCCCATTTCAAGCCTCAGCCGTCGCTTCTGCCGCCCCTTTCGCGCCGCCCAACTCCCGTCCCTCGAGGCGCCATTGTGGTTTCCAGCCATCTACATCCACCATCCTCATTATGTCGCATACCGTCGACGATGCCCAATCCGTGGCCGAAAGCTTACCGGATGCCCCCGCTGGCGTCCCTACCAAGCAGTCCTACCGGTCATTCAAGTGAGTGCAGTTTCATGGGCGCTTGAGGCGGTGCATTGCTAATCCGGCCGACCGATAATCCAGGAAGAAGTTTGCTAAGCTGAAGGTCAAGTTCGAGCTTCAGATGAGGGAGAGCGAATCACTCATCCGTGAAGGGTTGCGCATCGAGGATCTCTCGAAGAGGATTCAGGAACAGAACGAGTATGTTGCCGGTCCTGTCGTCATCGCGTCGAGCGCCTATCCCTGACCTCCTCATAGTCAACTCTTGGAAGTTCTTCTAGAGTTCAATGACAGTCTCCATGTGTCCCCCAGTCTACGCTATGATCTGAGTGCGCCGGACGACGATTCCTTCTTACCGCCTCCCGAACGAGACGTCCCCAAATCCTACAGTGATCCCGACGTGGCCAGCTCTGTCCTGCAAGATGCCCGAGCAAGATTGGCCGCCGGCCGCATGTCAAGCGACGCTTACCGGGAGGTGGAGGAAGATGTCAAGAGAGGCCAGGCATTTGCACCGCAGATGCAGTACACCTCCCTGACGAAGTTCCCCCATTCCGGGCCTTTGCAGCCCGAGAACCCTGACGCTTACAATCCTGCGCAAGAACTTGGGTTCTTGACTCCGGAATACGAGACCGAGTACTGCCTGACTCTGGATGCTCAGTTGGGCGACGAAGAGGCGCTGGAGCAGCTTGTTTGCATCCCCAAAAAGCCATCATTGGCCGAACGCGAGAGAGACGCTGCTCTTCGCAGCCATGTTTCTGTGCACAACTGGCTACGTCAAAACCAACCGCAGATCTTCTTGCAAGATAACGAGAACGCCTCGGAGAAGTCGGGTTCTCGACCCTCCAATCTACGCACGTCCAAGAGGGCCCCGGCTCCGTCGCGCAAAGATGAGGACCTGTATGATGACGACAGCATTTTGGAGACTGCGTCAACCTCAGGAGGTACCAAAGGCAAACGCAAGCGCGATGAAGACACCGGCTATCGGCCCAAGGGTGGTAGCAGCCGCTCCAACCGGAAGAAGAAGGATGATGAGAACGCCACCCCCAAGCGACCCTCGAAGAGATCCTCGGGAGTGGGCGCTTGAACGTACAGGTCACTAATCCTTGGTAATTCCATCTTGTATTAATACATCTTCTGTGTTTCTCTTTTATCTGCTTGACAGTTCAATGCGTCCACTATATTCATCCAGAGCACGGCAGACAGCAACCTTTCATCAACCGTACGGTGGGCTTATTCCTTCAGGTTTCGGCGACGATTTTCTTACCTTTGTTGTTGCGCCCACCCGTCTGGTTCCGACTTTTTTTTGCGGACACCTTGCTGCATACTGCTGCGTTGCGCTCGCTGGAAGCTGTCTTATTTAGCCATGTGTCAAAACTCAATAGTGTCTAGAATGACTTCCAATATGTTATCACTCTGAGAGACAGTCGGCGCAACGCTACGTTCCACCTACTGGCAGTAAACCCGAGTCCTGCGGGTGACATAGGCATACCCAGCTATGGCTAGCAATCGTAGACTAGATGCAAATACGGTCATATTGACCCTACATTGACCATTTACCAGATTAATCTACATATTACGGAGTAGATAGTGCTACTGTTGGTCTCCCGGATTGGGTATGCGGCTTCACGTGCGTCTCCACCACCGGTTTGACTGGTTTGCTTGGCGTCCCGAAAGTCTTCTCCGACTCCAGCTCCAATGCTCCGATTTTCTCAGACACCTTGTGCCGAAACACATCGTAATCAAATTCTCGGCCACTGATAATTCCGGTGTGGCATCGATTTCCTACAGCATGGCCATCACCATCCACCCCCCGGTTGTGGAGGACGTCGACGTCCCCTACCCCGAGTCCGACGTCGATTCGATGTCCGTGGATTCAGACGGAGGAGTAGATCTGGCAGCGGGAGATGCAACAAGACCTAGCAAACGGCCTCGCTTAGTGGAGGGGACAAATATCGGCGCTGGAGTCCTTACGCCCGGTGAAGTGGTCACGGATGATCCGCAATGGATGAGGTTGGTGACCCAATTTCATACTGAGATATGATTGTCTGGAAGACACGCGCATTGACCTATTCGCAGAGGACATGGCACATACACCAACCCCCTATCGACCTCCATCATCGCCACCGTCGCCGGTACGGTTCAGAAGACCAACAAATTGCTATCCGTCCAGCCCTTGCGGGCCCGTTATACGCCGGAGATCGGTGACCTGGTGGTTGGGCGCATTGTCGAGGTGCAGTCTCGCCGATGGAAGGTCGATGTCGCCGCGCCCCTTCTCGCACAGCTCCCGCTTTCCGCGATCAACTTGCCTGGTGGTATCCTGCGTCGACGAACGAGCGCCGATGAGCTACAGATCCGAACCTTCTTCAGCGAGGGTGATTTGGTTGTCGCGGAAGTCCAGACTGTACATTCCGACGGAGGCGCATCACTGCACACACGGTCGTTGAAGTATGGAAAATTGAGGAACGGTGTCTTCCTCGCTGTGACGGGTACGGGCGGCAGTGGTGCGTCTAGCTCGTCTGTGAAGGGTTCGACTGGGGCTGGGTCTACGTCGGCGGGAGCAGGGGGCGCCACAGGCGTTGGTGGAGTGGTTCGGTCTCGGAGACAGGTGTGGACGATTAATACTGCCAATGGAGGTGGGGATGTGGATGTGATTCTGGGTGTCAACGGTTACATCTGGATTTCTAAGCACGCGGACGGCGCGGCCGCTGCATCGTCGTCGACGGAGAATGTGTCTATCACTCGCATGGAGGAGATGGTGTCGAGCTCTATCTACTCGAGCCAGAACGACGAGATCCCGCCGCAGACACGTCGGGAGATCGCTCGGTTGGCACAGTGCATTCGGGTGCTGGTCAACGGGGGAGTGCGGGTTGACGAGGAGACGGTGATGGGGGCCTATGAAGCCAGCTTACAGGTGGACCTGGAAGTTGGGGACGAAGAGGACGAGGATGATCGGGGCAAAGAGGGAAGAGAGTACCTGGAGGGCGGCAAGGCTCGCCGGATTCTGGACCTGGTGCTGCAACAACAGGCGTAGAGCTAGATGGATTTCAAGGGCCTTTCGATAATACTTCTAAAGAGAATAGATACCCCGGCAATGGACATGTTGATGCCTCCGCTGTGGTGTGTAGTCGAGCAGCTGCCTTTCGGATTGCAGCAATCGGAGCATTCCTCATTCATCCGCTTGGATGATAAGCACAACCCCGCATCACGTGGTGATAGCGAGGCGGATGATTGGCAGAAATCCCACGGATTTGGAGATGAATTGATGAAACGCAAACCGCGAGAAGGGTGCCGAGATAAGGGCAAACAAGGCTACATACCATTGGTACAGGCACCAGGCAGCGCAGTGAGAGTCCATCCCATGACGAGGGGGACTCCGAGGTGGCGTCGAGGACAAGGGGCCCGTGACCCGTAACCCGTAACCAGTGACCAGCCATTCACCAGTTGGCTTAGAGTCTTCGCACCGGCGGGAGGGAGCCTTTCATTTCCCCCATTGATTCTCTGTTTCTCCCGACCGTCGCAATAACACTCAACCCCAACCTACGGGCTTCTCTTCAGCGCCGCATTCCATCCCTACCATGTCCTTCTTCTCTGAAAATCTTTTCCTGCTGTCCACTTTCACCATACCCTTAGCATAGCCGACTAGGTCTGTCTGCACCACTGGGGGTGCTTCTCGATTGCTCCTACTTCTCTCTATACTCTTCTACACTACGGCTTCTTACTGGCCTATCCAGTGCAAACTCTCAAGGGCCTCTTCCCGTGTGTCCCGCGTGAAAACTCTTTTGTCCCTCGCAAACTCCCCTCTCGACTCTCTTGCTGGTCGATTCCCAGCGTGCCACCATGCCTGACCTGCGTCGTCAAGTGCTGGAGAGCGGCAAAACCATCTCTCGCAAAGCCGCCTCTCGCGAAGGCTCTCGTCGCACGTCGCGCGCCAACTCGACGCAAAATTCCCATCAGTCCTCCCGGAATCCGAGCAGGTATGCATCTGACGAGGAAGACCTAGACAGTCTCAGTGATGACACCGCCATGAGGTGAGCCCTTTGTGATTCCATTCTGTCCCCTTCGACTTTTCTTGTTCCCACCAGCCGGAATGATGTCATCGTCGCTAGTTCTGTATTGCCCGTTACTAATGCGCCTTCTGCGACACAGCATTGGCTCGTTGGACGATCTGACCGATAACCCGGATGTGGATAATAGCCACGACTGGGTCGAAGAGCTCGGAGATGTCGTCCAGGATATTCTGGACCGGAAGCGCAGCAGCAACCTCAGTCGAGAGGAAGCCTACGCGGCCTTTTGCCGACTGGCCAAATCTCACTACGTCGAGGAACAGATTCGCGGTCGTGTCAACGACCTTGTGGCGGCCTTTGGTAGAAGTGTCAAGTTCGAGACCAGCGTGCGCGAGACCACCCTGGCGCTCCGCGCCATCGAACTTCTGGCAGTTTCCGCATACGACAACACCATTTACGAGAATGTCGAGTCCCTGCTTACTCGCACGATTCGAGATTCGACCTCCAACACGGTCAAAGCCGCGGCGATCCACTGTCTGGGCGTGAGCACTCTTCATGCAGGCGCTGGACACGACGGCATCCTAGACCAGATGACGTTTTTCTTGGACATCGCTGCCTCCGACGGGCAGTCGATCGATGCCGGGGACGATGCACAGAGCGTCATTGCAGCCCTGCAAGAGTGGGGCGTGCTGGCAACCCAGATCGACGACCTCGAAACTGAAAGCGAGGAAGCCGTGGAGATCTTTATGGACCAGCTCAACAGCGGCGACTCTGCGCTCCAAATCGCCGCCGGCGAGAACATCGCGCTCCTGTACGAAAAGAGCTACACGCCACAGGAGGATGATGAAGACGGCGACGAGGAGGATGATGAATCGGAAGAGGAGTCATTCCTGTCTGGTGGTCGTCGCAACGGCCCCAAGTTGATCAAGCGATACAACGCGTATCACAACACGCACGAACTCGAGCAGCAGCTCCAGTCACTGGCAACGGTCCATAGCAAGCGGATCAGCAAGCGCGACAAAAAGAGCCTGCACAGCAACTTCGCCTCCATCCTGACGACAGTGGAGAACCCGCGTCGGGGACCGATGTACAACACGGCCATCGACCAGGACACGAACCGCCACTACGGGAGCAAGCTCACGGTGAAGATCGGCCAACAGGGTGTGATGAACATTGACCGCTGGTGGAAATGGATCCGTCTGAGCTCTCTGCGCCGGATCCTACAGGGCGGGTTCGCCGCCCACTACTACCAGGGCAACCGCGCCGTGCTGGAGAGCCTCCCGGTGATCATGCGCATGGACACGCCGGCAGACCGAGGAACGGCCAAGCGCGCGGCCAAATATCGGAACAATCGTCGGTGGGCAGTGCACGAGCACTCGGACGAGGATTAGGCCGGTCCAACTTTTCAGAAAATACATGTGACACTGGATACCGTTGTTCCATACTGGCTTCGAGTTGATACTCACTGTCGCGTTAGATTCCTGTTGCCTTGCTAAGCTTTCTGCTTGCTTTGCTTGCTTTTCTTCTTATCCTCTTTTTTTCTTTTTTTTTCTGTTCCCAGATTCCATGAGAGTCCAATTTAGTTTCTAGACACAGACAGACAGGAAGGGATACCATCCTTCCTTCTCACAGCAATGTGAATAGAAACCAATCAAAAGTACATACCTACCTGCATGCATCTATACCTGTATTTTTACTTTAGTTCAGTCGTTACAACATTGCTATTCATAGTCCCATCTACTGCGTATCTGCATAATTCCAAACAGAAGTATGATATTCCTGTTCAATCCAGTAAAGGATAAGATAAATCAATACACCGAGAGAGAAAAGAGAGATGAGAGAAGAAACCGAATCTAACTACTTTGTCTCCCTGCCAACGACAGACATACATATGTACCTCTATACACATCCCACCTATCTCATCACCGGTAGTATGTAACATGATAATGGTGATGATGATGATGATGATGATGATGATGATGATGATGACGGTGCCTACGGTTGAAATACCGGCACGACACCCGTCCAGGACCCCCGGGACCGTTCATCCCAGTAGCCCTCTTTCCCGGACTTCAGCCGCCAGACGGTCTCGCCGGTGGCCTGGTCCTCGTCGACCTGGGTGAACCAGCGCGGGGTCCAGGATTCGCCGGCGGCTTCCATGTCGCGACGACGGGCGCGTTGGCCTTCTTCGAGCTGGACCTTGACGGTCTCGGCCTGGTCGACGTCGCCGTCTTCGAGGGCGCGTTGGTCCGGCCGAAGGCGGGAATCGGTGGCGGGGAGCTTGCCGTCCTCGATGGGGGTGATTTCGTTGAGGGTCGCGGCGAAGGAGGTGAGGCCGTAGTGTTTGGGGGCGTTGGGGACGAGGGGCCCGGCGGTCCAGACGGTGCCGGTGGGGGAGCCGTTCTGGGTGAGGTCGAGGGTGGTGGTCCAGGTGCCGGTGAGGCCGAGGGGGAGGTCGCGGCCGGCGCTGTCGACGGCCTTGGTGCTGACGTCCTCGCTGCGGCCGGAGAACATGCCGCCGGCTTTGAAGGTGGTGATGCTGCGGTGGCCGGTGGTTTCGTTGGTGACGGACATTTCGCCGACGGGCTCGACGTATTTCTCGCCGGCGATGATGTTGCGGAGGAAGGAGGTGGCTTGGGCCCAGCTGAAGTGTTCGCCGGTGGTGTGGAGGGTCAGGCGCATCTTGCCCTCGGTGATGATCTCGGCGGATTTGCCCCAGAATTTCTGGGTCGGCATGGGCGACTGCGTCAGGCTCCAGTCCTTGCTGTCGGCTTGGTAGGCGAGCTGGACGGGGCGGTGCGAGACCTTCTCCGCGAGGAAGCGGAAGCCGAGGTCTTCGCGGACGAGCTCGTAGGTCTCGCCGAGCATGGGATTGAAGGGCTTCCGGATGGCGCGCTCGCGGACCCGGTTGCTGGAGATCGGGGACAGGGCAAAGGCCGTGACATACATGAGGCGTTCGACGGGGTCGGCGGCGCTGGCCGCGCGGTCGAGGAGAGTGGAGTACTCCAGGACCTCGGCGGCGCGCTGGAGCAGGGACAGGGGCTCGTTGGAGGAGACCGGCATGGAGATCTGCGACAGATCCTTGCCGACGTTCTTGCGGAGGAAGCCGATCAGACTCGGGGGCATGACCGTGGGCGCGGTGATGTTGGTGCGGCGCGCCACGGCGCTGAGGGGCAGGGGCGTGAGGGTTTTGGGTCGAGCTGGGAAGAGCGGCGAGAACTGATCGTGCGCGCCGCCAGCGGGCTCGTCGGCTTCCTCCTCACTGTCCGAGGGCGCGTCGTCGGCCACCGGTTCCTGGGGTTGAGGCTCCCCGGCGGTGTTCCCGGAGGCGTGGTCGGCCACGTCGTCGTCGTCGTCGTCGTCGCTGTCGCCCTTGATCGTGAGGAGGTTGCCGTCGTCGGCATCGAAGAATTCCTGGGAGACATCGGACTCGAAGCTGCGGCGCGACTGCACCGCGGCCCCCGGGGGGTGTCGGCGCTGCTTGCTCTCGGAGATCAAGGACGAAAACTCGCTGATGACCTGGTCCAAGTCGCGCAGCACGGCCATGAGATGTTCGTGGATCTCCTCCATCTGATCCGGGTGGCTGGAGACGCTGCTGGGCTTGCGATCGCCCGAGAGGGACGCCGTATCGAAGGCCCCGGGCACGGCCAGCTGCGAGGACATGGACGCCATGGTGGTGGACCGCTTGACCCCGGGCTGCGTGGCGGTACTGTTCTTGCGCTTCCAGAAGGGGCGTCTGGCGTCGGCGGACTCATCGCCGTTCAGGTCCGTGGGCGTGCGCTGCGGGCTGGGCGAGCGGCCGCGCGGCTTCTCCGAGGCATTGCCGCCCAGGTACTTCGGGTCGGTGTCCTTGGCTAGACGGCGGACGGCGTCGCGCGACCCGGACACCTTGCTCACGAGGCCCTCGACGTGCGCCCATTCCCGCTCCTCAGCGGCATTCGTGATGACGCGCTGGGAGGGCACCCGCAACAGGGGCTCGGGCTGCAGGGTGTCGTCGGCGGGGGTCTTGGAGGGCGAGGCGGAGGCGGCCCGCTCCAGCGCGCGCTTCCAGGCCCCGAATTCCTGGTCATTGTAGGCGCGGAGATGCCACACCTCGGTGCCGGAATCAATGGAGATCTCGCGCGACTTCTCGTTGCATGCGACCGCGGCCAGAGACAGAGGGATGGAGCCGCGGAGGGCGGAGGAATTCCGATCGTGGTAGTAGGATAAGGTCGACGAGGTGAAGTCCAGGGAGAAGAAGCGGCGGGCCCAGCCCTGATGACGCTTCCGCCGGCGCTTTTGCAGCAGGCCCGTGTAGGTTCTGCCCGATTCCGGATCGCTGAGCAGGGGAGGTGGCTGAGCCATGCTGTTCCCCCGGCGGCGGGCGGCCAGGGGCTTCCCGGACTCGGCGGTATCGGATCGCTGGACGGGCTGGCTGGAGGCATGGGGCACGGGGACCGACTGCGGCGGCAGCGCGGTCGGGTAGGTGAGCAGGGCGAGGGTGACGGTCTTGGAGATCTGCTTGGAGAAGGTATTGTCAAAGACCAGGGCGTAGTTCCCCCCCTCGTGGGCCGGTACGTCGTAGGTGCCGCGGAAGATGCGTTCGGCCTCGCATTTGCCGAGCCATTGGATCTGCTTGAGGCCAATGGCCGTCAGCTTGTCGATGACGGAGGCATTGGGACGCAGGGCGCCGGCGGTGGCAGGCAGGTTCTCGGTGGATTCGGTGTTGGGGGCGTCGGTGGCGGGCAGGTTGGTGTTGGAGCCCAGCACGGCGGAATGGCCGGGATGCTTGAAGATGCCAAAGTTGATGGATTTCTTGTGGGGTTGGATGCTCCACGAGATGGTGTGGGCGGACTTGACCGACACCCAGCGCACAAAGTAGGACTGGCCACGTGCGTCGAGGCAGTTAGCCAGGAAATGCCTTGCCATTCGGCCATCCATCCAGCCCGCCATCCCTTGCTTACCTTGCTGTGGATCTCCAGCTCCTCCATGGCCGCCATCGCTGCGGCGGGGGGGCAGAGAGGGACACCGAGGGGAAGAACCGGCACTCGTTCAATCGACAGAGGGGAACGCGGTCGGAGGGAAGACCACGCCGATGTTGGCAAGACGGAGGAGACGGAGGAGGCGCGAGGCGTGGGTTTAAAAGGAGGGAAAGGAGCGATCAGGCTGGCGGAGGCTCAGCTGCGGTCAGCAACGAACGAGGCCGTGCAGCGAAACAAAGACGGGCCAGGGTTCACGCTCACCATGGGCTAGGGGCACAATTGGATTGGACAGGGTCAAGGGACCGTGGGGAAGGTCAAAGAGCGACCGGTGCAGAAGGAGGAGAAGAAGACGTGGTGTCCACGATGGGGGGTGGTTGGTGGTGGTGGAGGAGAGCGACACGGCGATGCGGAGATGCCGAGCCCTCCAGCGGCCGAGGGACCCAAACAATGAGCGCTTCACATGAAGGACTCCCAGAACCCCAGGGATCTCCCAGTGCAGTGGTTCGTCCCGAAGAACTATTTATTGTCTGGTGCTGGTGGAGCCCCCGAGGTTCCAGTGGAAGCCCGGAGACGACTCAACGGCATCGCGTGGCGTCAGGGGCACCGCGGAAATCACTTGCAGCGGCGCCGTTACGGAGTGCTACGAGGGACAACAAGGATAGGATTCGTTCAATTCAATTCAATTCACTTTAATCCCAGCCCGTCCAATTCCATCCATTAATCACGCAATTCGTTTCGGCCCGCAACCATGCTCATGCGGATGCTAATCGGCGTTGTCTCAAAAGAAATACACAAGAATCCGGCCATCCGGAAAGGATCCCCGCAACGAAGGTCCAAAGAAATAAGAAAAAGGGAGAAATATTACACAGGATACAGAGAAGGAGACCATCAGCGCCGCTTGCCCGCCTGCATGTTGGTGAACAGCAGCTTGAAGCCATTGCACAGCGCCCGCATGTCCGGATACGGGTTGCGCTGCAGCTCGTAGCCCTGGGGGATCACCTTCACCGGCCAACTGTGCAGTCGCGCATTCTCGCCGGCCTTAAAGCACAGGAAGAAGTAGCCCGCATGCTTGGGGTCGATGCAGAACGCATAGGCCGACCGCCGCGGGTTGGCCTTGGTGTATGTCTCCAACCAGGAGTCTGTCCGGGGTTAGTCTGTCCCTCGCACTATAAGAGGGGGGGGGGGGAGGGGGAAAGGGGCAGAGGGAATACGTACAAGTGGCGTCCTTGTTGCCGTCCTGGTACTTCTCGTGCAGCATCATCTCGTCCACCTTCTTGGTCATAGCCTTCACGTGGTTGAAGATCAAGTCGTCCAGATCGCTGTAGGTATAGCGGCCGCCCACCTTCAGCGTCCGGCCCACCGAGAACTCGTTCTCCTTGTCCAGCTCCAGCACGTCGATATGCTGGAAGATGCCGTCGGCCACCTTCCACGTCACCGCCAGATGGTCCGGCCCCTTAGACGAGGGCCGGATCACCACGTCGCCCCGACTCTGCGACCCCAGGTACTCCTCCGCCTGCGTCGAGTTGAACGGCCGGAACATCGGGTGCTTGATGACGCGCATCGTGCGCCCGCCGCTCTGCGTCTTCTCCTGCTGCGCCTCGCGGTCCTGCGCTTCCTGCCGGTCGTCCCACTCCCCTTGCAGCCGGTCGGGCGTCCGCGCCACCGGCCGGCTGACCTGTTCCTCCCGCAGCGACACGTTGCACAGGAAGTTCTTGCGGTTCAGGAACAGCACCTTGGCCGGCAGCGTCTGGTGGATCTGGTACAGCGCCCGCACGGGGATGTCGTACCGATCCGTCAGCTCCGACTCCGGCACCAGGGCATCGATGCCGCAGTCCAGCTTGCCGTCAATGTGGTCGTCCGTGATCCGCTTGATCGAGATGGGCACCACCATGCCCTCCGCCAGCGTCTCCGCCGTCTCGCCCGTGAGCATCGTGAAGATGTCGTCCGTGCTGAGGAAGACAAACTGCTTCCGCAGCTCTTCGTACGGCTGTTGCAGCTCCGCCCGGATCGTCTCCAGGGTCGCCCGCTTGCGCTGGTTCAGGTTCTTCTCCAGCTGCTCCGCGTACTCCTCCAGGATCAGATCGTTGACCCGGTCCTGCGCCTCTTCCCGGAACAGCTTGCGCACAATCGCCCCGGGGCCGTTCTCGTCCGTCTCCGCCTTGATATCCTCCTCGTCCAATTCCAGCGCATCCGCCGCCATCTTGCGCGCAATATCGTAGTCTTCAGGGTGCACCCGCGTGTTATCGAGCGGGTCGGCATCCGGGTCCGCGTTTTCGAAGTCGATGTACAAGAAGCTGGCACAGTTGTTCCACACCTTGACGCCCATGGCCGGGTACTGGGCATTCACGCCCAGCAGCTCCGCCCGGTTGTTGACCACGCCCCCGTTCATGTTCACAATCTTGAGGAGATGTGCCGCCTTACGGGGGCCCAGACCACAGACGTACGGCAGAAGATTGGCCGTCGCCGAGTCCGTGACAGCTTCGTTGATATCCACACCCACCAGGTTCACCATGTCCACCAGGGCGGTTTCCAACTGCTTCAGCAGCAGATCCTGAGACACCAGCTGCTGGCCCGTCTTGAACTGGATCGACACAATGTCACGGCCCAGAGAGGCGTACTCCTTCAGCGGGCTCTGCAAGTACTTGGCCAAGGCCACGCAGTAATGGGTCAACGGAGCAAAGCTGGGATGGTCCTTCTTGGCCCGCTCACTGTGCTGGTAGAGCCGCGCCACCTCATCGTTGACGATCACCACCTCCAAGCGGTCGCTGACCTCTTCATCCCGATCATCGGTATAGAGGGCGCCGCGCAGGTCCTGCCGTTCGACCACCTCGGTCAGGAGCTTGTACAGCCGACGGGTCTCCGGCGACATGCCGGAGACACCGATGACATCGGGGCGACGACGGCGCACGAGTTCACGGAAGGCGGCGACATCCTTGCCGTCGGCAATGCCGCGGTCGCGGTCCCCAATGGAGAGGTCCGTGAACTTGCCGTTCTCCAGCACGCGTCCGTCCTCTTCGACATAGGCCCAGTGAATGGGCTCGCGCCCAACCACGCCGGAGCCCGTGGACAGAGCCAGCACGCGCGGAACGGTACCGAGAATCATACCCTTGGGCTTGTAGGGGGCTTGATCCAGTCGCTGCGAGAAGGCCTCCCGGCACTCCTTGGCGACATGGTTCTCGCACTCCTGCCGAATGTTTTCCTTAACGCTGCGGTTGATCAACCGCTCCAGCTTGCCGAGCGCCAGATCCAAGACATCCCGACGGGCGCGGTTCCACACGTCGGCCACTTCACTGTAGTTGTCCGACTCGATGTCCTGGTAGAGGCGTTGGCGGAAGTGGTCGAAATTCTCAAAGCGGACCTTGACCTCGACCAAGCCTTCCTCCTCGGCCTTGAGCATGCGGAGGTACAACTCGGGGCGACGGGCGATGTCGCTGAGCTGCTGGTTGCGTAGATACTTGAATTCGTAGTATGGGTGCTGCTCGTCAATGCGTCGAAGACCCTTCTCGGTTCGGAAACAGTCCACCGCCCCGTTCATATAGTAGGCTTGTCGCACCACCTTGCGCATCTTGGGGCTCAGCACGATCTCCTCGGCGAACATGGTCTTCGCAGCCTTGACCACATGCGACGAGTTGGAGAAGTCGGTGTCCACGAGGGTATCGGCCAGGTCGTCGGGCCGTTCGGCCGGATCCTCCGTGTACTGGCGGCGGCCTTCTTTCAGGGCATTTTGCGCAAATGCATCCGCCGTGATGCCAAAGGCCCGGACGAGACCGTACGCCTTGCCGTTGCGGACCCGCTCAAAGAAGGTCTTGCTGGAGGCCTTCCGGCGCTGGGTTTCGCCACTGGCTTCCCCATTCATGAGCGCCATGTCCCGAAGTTGGGACGCGTATTGGAAATGGATGTAGTCCTGAATGTCCTGCAGCTCCTCCATCGTCACCGCCACGGGGAGCATCTCTTCCACGGTCGCATCATTCACACTAAAGAGACTCTGTAGGTTGTCAAATGTCTTCTGGATGGTGTTGCGCTTTTCCACGAGCGCCTTGAACTTGAGATCGTGGTCAAAGATGTCCCAGAGATCGGTCATGTTCAGGAGCTTTTCGGCCTTGATGGTGTACTGGGAGGCGTCGTCATCATCTCCGTCTACGGGCACCTTCGCGGCGTGAATCATGTAGTCCTTCCGATGCTGGAAGATGAAGGGCACTTCCCAATCGTCGGTGACCAGGAACTCCAGCACCTTGGCTACCGAGCGTTGAAAGGGCTCCCGCAGCTCCGGCTCGATCCGCTTCTTCAGGAGCATCAGGTTGGAAATCCAGGCGGCCTCTTCGCGGAACTGCTCCTCGGTCAGGCCCACATTCCGGTAGGGCTTGCGGGCGATCTGATGTCGTTCGGGCTCGTCCAGCAGACGAATCTGGTTATCCTCCTCGGTCAACATCTTCTCCGCTAGCTGCGACGGCTCAAAAACATCCTTCAGGTCCAAGTGCTTTTCCTCGTCCTCCTCCTGCTCCTCTTCTTGCTCCTCCATCTCCAGGGCGAACAGATATTCGTTGCCATCTCCGAACGCGGCGCGCATATCTTCGAGGGCGTTCTCGTCCAAGCCGGTCGCATCGGTAACACCCAGACCTCCCTTGGAGGTGCGGGTCACTTCCAGATCCTCCCGTTCACGCTGGATTTCCTCGTCTGAGAACACATCCTCCTCAATGAAGTCGTCCATCTCATCGTGCATGTGCCTCCGATGACCAGTCCGCCCGTAGTCGCCGGCCGGCTCCTCATCTTCATCCGAGTTGAAGATATCGTCAATGCCCTGGGATGCTTGTCGGAGATCGCGATCCTTGTGACCACGCTTTAGGCGCTTAAATTTGGGCTAGGCTTCTCGTTAGATCCGCCAGATGTGAGGGTAAGAAACAGCGGGGCAGGGCATGACATACTTCAGCAGCAGACGAAGATTGGTAGCTCGGATTGAGCTCTCCGATGAGTTCCAGATCTTCCTCGTCTAGATGCTCATCCTCGCGTTCGCGATCCCTCTGCTTTCTCTTTTCCCGACGGCGCTCGGCGCGCTCCTCGATCTCCTCGTCCTCGTCGACAATGAAACCCTCGCGGACCTATGAAGCGAGTAGGGTCAGTACGGATATGGAAAGGCACCGGCGCACAAGTGAGCAGAAAAACCTACTGCGCGAGCAGCTTCCTCGTCGTCGTCATCGTCCTCATCTTCTTCGCTGGAGTCGTAGTGGTTGTTGGTGCCAGCACCCTCCCGGATTTCGCCCTCGTAGTCATCAGCGAGCTCCTCCTCATTCTCGTCATCATCAATCATGGCCTCCCCCTCGACCAGATCGCGAGCGCTCATTTTGAAGGGTCGATGAATTCGTGGTGTCACAGCTCGGAGGTTCAAGAAAAGGGTCGGTGGACGGGAATTGGGGGAATGGTAGGGGGAGAAGAGAGGTGGGAAAAAACAACTCGAGTCAGCACAAGAGAGAACCGTCCCGAAAGACGGTAACACACCAGGCTTGACAGAGCGAGAGGCTGGGGGGATGAAGAAAGGATGAGAATGAGCAGCTTGGATGGAGAGACGAGATCGCAGCAAAGAGACGCTGTGGCGCGGGCCGGTCTCACCGCCCGCCGGAGCTGTGGCTGGAACGGGCTCTCACGTGGGGCACTAGTCTGATCCCGGCTAGCCTCTACGGGTGTGAATTCGGACTATTGGCGCAGATTGATAGAGTCATGTGATCGCGACGCCCCCTCGCTGAAACACCCTCTCCCTCCAGGCCATCATTGAGATTCTAGCAGGTCTAGTTTATGGGAACACTATTGTGGAGCAGGTCAGACTACAGGGCAGTGCTGGGGTGAAATGGTAGATGTCTGGGAGCCGTCACTCCCACTGCATGCAGCGTGAATAGAAACCAAACCAGCGGATTGCAGACAAAGCGCGGTAGATAGTTTGATAGTCCACGCCATCGCCCATCGCTTGTTTCATAGTTCCTCACTAGACTGGGTCGCTCTGTCTTTGTCTCAGGTGAGAAAAAAAAAAGATGGTTCCTGAGTCATTCAGGAGACATTCTGGTGGACATGCAGCGTGCCTGACGCCGGCGCCTTCCACAGCTCACATTTGACTTGGACTGCAGCATCTCCGCCCCAACTTCTTCACCTCGCCGTGTCCCCTCCATCGCCCCGTCTCTTCACTCGCTCCTCCATCCCTCCATCATCCCCAGTCCCGACTCGACGCCCTTCTCCTTTCACACCCGCAGGTCCCGGTGACCACTCTCTGAAGCAAACGCCCCGCCACCGGGGTGAATTCACGGTGCAGAGTGCCGGGGAGCGTTCGCATTGATCCCCCCACCTGCTCTCATTCCCGACCCTCACGGCGCTTGTTCGGTGCCTCAGCGACCAATAACTCCCGCCTCTGCAGGCCCAACCAACAGACACTCGTCGACCTCTTTCTCCCACTGGCCAGCAAAACCATCCTCTAGGCACCTCTTCTCCTGCCTGCTTCCTCTCATAGATCCTCTCTCCAGCGGTCTTTCGCCTCGTCACTACCCCTCCGTCACGGTGCGCAGCATCGCTCCCGTTGCTCAGCCATGGCCGATCAATTCAAGGCGCGAACGCTGAAGCGCAAGAACGTCAAAGGTCTTGCTCTGAATGCCGCCCCGAAACCCCCCGCCAATAACGCCGATGGTGATGCTCAAGCCTCGGGCGCCGGTGGAACCGTCGAGAGCAACCGCACCGATACCCTGGAGATCGGGCTTGAGTTCCGACTCGACTTGCGTAGTGAGGATCTGGTCACCCTGAAGGAACTTGGCGCGGGAAATGGAGGTACTGTCTCCAAGGTCATGCACGCCTCCACCAAGGTGGTTATGGCTCGAAAGGTACGTTGCCCGCAACCCTGATCGTCCGGGGGTAGCCGCAGACGCAGCATAGGCTGACTGACCGGCATGCTAGATCATCCGGGTCGATGCGAAGGAGAATGTGAGAAAGCAGATCCTGCGGGAGCTTCAAGTGGGACATGACTGCAATTCGCCCAACATCGTCACCTTCTACGGTGCGTTTCAGAACGAAGCCAGGGACATTGTGTTGTGCATGGAGTACATGGATTGCGGGTGAGTGAACCTTCTTCCCCTGCCAAGGTATGGCTTGGATCTCTAGTTCCGAACTTACTGAACCCTTGCATCATAGCTCGCTCGATCGAATCTCCAAGGACTTCGGCCCGGTGCGTGTGGACGTGCTGGGCAAGATCACCGAGTCCGTCCTGGCTGGTCTGGTGTATCTCTACGAAGCCCACCGCATCATGCACCGTGACATCAAGCCGTCTAACGTGCTCGTCAACTCGCGCGGCAATATCAAGCTGTGCGACTTTGGCGTCGCGACGGAGACGGTCAACTCGATTGCAGATACGTTTGTCGGCACGTCGACCTACATGGCGCCCGAGCGGATTCAGGGCAGCGCGTATACCGTGCGCTCGGATGTTTGGAGTGTGGGATTGACGGTAATGGAACTGGCGGTTGGTCGATTCCCCTTCGATACCTCGGACTCGTCGGCCGGCGACCGGGCCAGTGCGGGACCCATGGGCATCTTGGATCTCCTCCAGCAGATCGTGCATGAGCCGGCTCCCAAGCTGCCCAAGAGCGATGCGTTCCCTCCCATCCTCCACGAATTTGTTGCCAAATGTCTGCTGAAGAAGCCCGAGGAGCGTCCCACACCTCGCGAGCTTTACGTACGTGCCCCCATATCCTTGTTGAGCAGCACAGCCTGTTGCGGGGAACTGGACTGACGCCCGATCTAGGACAAGGATGCTTTCCTCCAGGCCGCCAAACGGACTCCTGTTGATCTCCAGGAATGGGCCATCAGCATGATGGAGCGTCACAACCGCAAGTCGTACCTGGCACCGCCACCGCCCAAGTCGCTCAAGGAAGAGCCCCCGGTGTCGCAGTCCACCCCGTCTCCCAAGCCTCAACCCAGCAGCAAGCCAGCACGCACGCCCCAGTTTGTGCCTGGCGTGTCACCCGGCGACGTTTCCTTCAGTGGAGGCCGCGATAGCCCTTCAAACTACCCGTACAACTACCCGGCGAACCCGTCTCCTCGTCCGACCCGGTCGACGCGCTCGCCTCCCATCTCTCTCGAGCATCTGTCGCTGGAAGATGAGTACCGATCCGGCCGTCGTCCCTCGCGGACTCCAGTCGGGGGCCCGTCTTCCGGGTTGGAGCCTCCCATGCATCTATCGATGGGGTCTCGCTCGGCCAGCTCGCACAACACGAAGTCGCGAATGCCCCTGCAGTCGGCGGCGCTGCCCGTGCGCGGGCCTCCCCCCAGCGGACCTCCCCCTCCGGCTCCTGGCAGCGGATCCTGGCAGCGCCAACCGGGCTCCATGCGGGGAGACCATATGACGGGGGCTGTCTAGAATCTACATCCGGCCTGTCCCTCTCCTCTCCCTCCTACCCATCCTTTCTTCCCTTCTTTCCCCTTCCCATTTCCCTCTAGAATCGCTAATCGTGGATGACGAACCATCAACCCAGACCGCTGCTTGCTTGACCATGTATCTGACCCATTTATGTCCATGACACTTTTGCATCGGCAAGGCGTATTCATTCATTGGCCATTTCTTTCTTCTTCACATCTCCTTCTCATCTATCTATCCAGGTCCCTTCTTGCAAACGCGTCAATCGGTTTCCTTTTCTTTCTTTTCTTTCTTCCCGCTGCATATTCATCTTCTATCTTTCGATCTAGCCATTCAACTAGCCAAGTGTATGTACCTATGTTCCCCCCCTCTACCGATTATGTCATTGTTGATATCATGAAAGAAAGAAAGACAGACAGACCGACCGACCGAAAGAAAGCAAGCGCGCATGAACTGAGCTGGTCGTACCGGATTGCATGCGATATGGTAGTTTCATACAGAGCAGATAGACATAGGTTAAATTGCAACTTCGGTACTTGATTGCATCTCGTTTCGGATAGGCCTGTGATACTGATGCAGGGAATACGTAAAACACGGAATCGAGGCTTACAGGAGTGAGGAGGGAGGGACGTGCCTGTCATGTACCGGCTTCGTTTTCAATTCTAGGGAGTAGAAAATCATCATGGCCGCACGGCCTCCCTGGAAGAACAGTGGCCGAACGGGAAGCAACAGATAGAGACACTCAAAGCCAGACCGGCATACACACAGGGAGCAAAGACACTGCACCGATCATGCAGGGAAAAACCGCAAGCCCGTCACACCGGGCGAGAGACGGAGGAAACGGCGCCGAACGACAGGGTCCCAGTGGAACAAACATGACCCAACAAACATAAATGACAGAGACAGACGGCGGACCCTACATCACCCGAGACCATTCTACTAATGCCCGTTCATCCTTCCCCTATAACCCAGACCCGACGACGCCAACAGAGAGAAACACAGAAAACGAACCACCCGCAGGGCAGCCCGGAGAGGAACCCGAACCATCTTACTTCATTGCAAGCTCCGAGCTACCCCCGGGACTGGGCCCTGGGGGAGCGGGCGCAAGATTCGGACGCGGCGCCAGTTCAACCATGGGATTCTTTCCTCCGCGGGTGCTGGTGGAACCGCCCCGGCCGGTAGCACTCCCGCCCCGGCCATGTGAGGTCGCCGACGCAGCGTTGGCTCGCTCCAGTTCTGCCTGCTGGCGGGCAGCCTTGCTAATACGCGGCCGACGAGTGGTGCTACCTCCTCGTGATCCGGGGCCCCGAACGGGGAGACCGGTTTCCTGGGAAATGGGGACCGCGGCGGCCAAGGGCACCTGGTGATGGGAGGACGGAGGCCCCCGACCTCGACCACCACGCCCGCGGCCACGGCCACGCTTGATGGTCCCGTCCGCCCTGTTCAGAACCGTTAGCATGCCGGACCAGGCGAAACAGCAACTCAACCGAGAATGGGGATACGTACCGTTCCACTTGGACTTTCTCGCCCTCCGGCACCAGAGGCCCACTGTAGACAAAGAACCCGTCTTTACTGGCGGCAGCCTGTTCCTGCCAGGCCAACTCACTATCATCCACGAAGGGATCGTCCCGATCATACTCCTCCATTTTCTTCTTGCGGCGCTTTTTCTTCCCGTCCGCCGGGTCGGCGCCATTCGAGCGGCCCGGTGCGGCCATTGCACTCTCCCCGTCCATATCCGTATCACGGTCGACCTCCATGCTCAAATCCTCGTCGGCGCTTTCTCCCGCGGAGAGACCGCGGCCACCCGCCTTGTCGTTCCGCTCCAAGGCGGCCCCTGCCGCCGCCACACGGGCAAGTTGCTCCTTGTGCGCGGCTAAACGGGGGTGTAAGGCAGCAAACCCATATTGCTCCTCGGCTAAGCGGGCGAAGTTGATGATCTGATTCCCGTGGCCCTTCAGCGGGACGTGCAAGACAATGCTAGGCGTGCGCCGGTTGCTCGCGTCGCCAGTCGAGGAGCTGCCTTCCACTCCAAAGAGTGCATTGGATATGAGTCCGGAGCCCTGAGGCAGTGTGGGGGCTTCCTTGGCTGCTCGGGCCGGTTTGGGAGACGGAGCTTTCGATGCCGGTACTGTCGAGGGTGATTTGGTTTCCTTCTTTGTGACTTTGGGAGCAGGCAATGCAGTCGGTGCATCGGGCTCAACATCCATCGGGGTTGGGCCAGGCGAGGGTGGTCGATTATTGGACGGAGCTGGGGCTGGGGTATGAGGTTCTGGGGCCGGCGGGGGAGGTGCAGCAATGGGTTGGGGCGCTGGGGCCGGAACCCGGGCCTCTTGAGGTGGCGGTGCTTGTATAGGTGTCGCATATGGTGATCGTAGAGCATAAGGCGAGACGGGTCGGGGTCGGGGTTGAGATTGGGGATGCGGTTGCGGCGGTGTGGGAACGATGGAGGCGCCCGCGGGAGATGGCGAGTAGGTGGAAGCACCATGGATTGGGGAGCCATACGGCCGAGAGGCATAGACCGGGGGTGAGGACGTGGTGGGCGGATCAATGATACTCGCAATGGCTGGCGAGGCACTGGCACGGAATGTTGGACGCGGGGAGATAGGGCGCGCCGGCGGACTGAAGGAGGTAGGCACCGGCGTCGGAGCTGGAGCCAATGTTTGGGCCGGTGCCGGGGCTATAGCAGGGGATGCAGTATCAAAGGCTGACCGAATGGGATCGAAGTTCTGACCGCTGGTTCTTTGCGGCGGGGGAGCGGGCGGCTGGGAATGCGGCCGCGGAGGAGGAGGAGGAGGATGAGGATGTACGGATGGCATCAGGGCCGGATAAGATGAGACGAGGGTTGTAGGAGGCACCGGTGGCGGAGTCGGATGGGCCGACGACGGCAAGGAGGGAGGGTTCAGAAGACGGGCTGTTCCTTGATGCATCTGTTCCAGATTCATCATTTGTTTCCGCGGGCTTGTGATGGGGGTGCTGGGTGCTGGACTCGGGGCCGGAGCTAGCGCTGGAGCTGGAGCTGGAGCTGGAGCTGCCGGTGCAGCAGAGACGGCTGTCGTAGGAGGACTATTCGCCGGAATTGGAGCAGCAGGCACAGCAATGGGCGAAGGAGCCGACACAGCAGCCGCCCGAGGACTCTGATCTGGTGTGGCGGCCTCTAACTTGGGCTTCTTGCGAGCGTGGGCGTGAGACGCGGCCGAAGTGGTCGGAGTGGTGAAGGTCGACGACGACTTCTCTCGCTGACGACGGCTGCCCCGTTTGGGCTCGAATTTTTCCTCCTTGTCCTTTTCCTTGTCCTTTATTTCCTTTTCCTTCTCCTTTTCTTTTTCTTTCTCTCGGGATTTGGTGGTTCGGGCGGCTTCTCTCCGCTCCAGGTCGAGATCGTCTTCCTTCTTGCGACGCGACCGTCGGGTACGAGTTTCGCGGGCGGGATAATCGATGGGGGAACGCGACTCGTGTTCACCTGCAGCCGACAATATGGACGGCTCTGTGGACATGGTGAAGAGGGAAGAAAGGGAGGAGAGGGCGAGGAGCGACGAGTCAAAGGTGGTGTTGCATCGAGTGAATGGACGGGGATTGCTGAGGCGAGGTTGGAGTGGGACAGGCAGCGCTGTCGGGGGTGAAGGAGAGAGGGGATATTAAATGAGATCCGATCCCTGTACTCAGAACACAAATTCAAGCCGCAGCGGAATTGAATGCGGTGGGAATGAAGATGAAGAGAGGGTGGAGAGGGGGTGGTGGTGATGGAGGAGGGAGGCGATGATGAATGGAGGGAGGGAAGGGAAGAAGGGAAGAGGAAGAGGAAGAAGGAGGAGAGCGTGACGGGAGGTCAGGATGGGGAACGCCGGCCCAGCAGCAACTGCAACAACGAAAGAACAACACCTGCAACTCTCTGGAAAAGGGGCGCGGGCGACCAGGGCTGGGCGTGTTCGCCAGCAGATTCTCTTGGCTTCGGACAATGAGGAGGATTGGGTTTCAGTGTTGCATTCGATGTCCGAAAGCCATGGGCGAGCAACAGCCGGGGAAACCAGTCGGCTGGGGGCGATTTGGTGGATGTGCTTCTTGTTCCTTGTCCGGCCGGCCCTTGGGATGGTTCGTTAATCGTTATCGCTTTTAGTTCCCTTCACAAGCTGGCTTGGCCAACCCCTCTGCTCGCCCCTCCCCACGCTCCGGGGGATTCAACCCATTCCTATTTCGGTGCAGAAGCATCTTAGATCAATTAAAAAAAATTTACAATCAGGGTCACTCGCCCGACGACCCCCACACGCCGGCTGAATGGGCATCAGCGATGGGCGCAGCGTCTGTCCAGTTTCGATATCAGATCGGGTCACCTGATTCAACATGCTTTACCCAATCGGGGCGGTCAATCAGGTGAATTACTATTCTTATCTGGGCCTAGCGTTCCCCATTTTAGCTTTTGAGCCGCATGCTGACTCATCCTGCAGTGTCCTGTGCTCGCTGACTCAGTGCTGACTCATTGTTGCTGGCCGGGGATGGCTTCATTCTCGACCGTTTCGGCAGCTTTTCTTCCCCGCCAACCCCCGCCATCCTCAACACCATGGCCTTCCGCGGCGAACGTTTCATTCTTGACCTGGACTCCGATGATGATGCCGCTCCGGAAGCTTCTCACGATGTCCCTCCGGGCTCCTCATCCATCGCCATCCCCGGGATGATCGGCGAAATCCGCGAACGCACCCCAGCTGCGGCTCCCGCCCCGCCTGCTCCCAAACCCAGCACCACCGGCTTTCCAGCTCATCGCCGTCGCGCCAAGCCCTCGGCTTTCAAACAACGACGAGCCCCGACGGCGTCTACCCCAGCCTCTGCTCCAGGCCCGACGGACGAGAAAACCGCCATCGCACAGGAAAATGAGCGGCAGCTGGCATCCATGTCCGATGCGCAGATCCAACAAGAGCGCCAGGAACTCATGGAATCCATGGACTCCTCTCTACTCGAGCGGTTTCTCCGCCGAGCTCGGATCGACGCCGACGACAATGCCGCCACCTCCCAGCCCGCTGCCTCGTCCTCCGCCGTACAACCCGCTACCGCTGAACCCGCAAAAGACGACGAAGAGGAAAACGCAGCCCCTGCTCCACCAGCAGCAGCACCCTCTATAACTCCCTCCTCAGCCAAACCACCCCCCTCCAACGAACCCTCCCCAGACGACGTCCCTCCCGCTGAAACCCCGTCCGACCTCCACGCCGCCGCCGAATTGCCTCCCTCGGGCAGCGTGCACTTCCCAGCACCACCATCTCAGACCTCACCCATGCCCAATCTCGATCCCTCATCCCCCTCCTTCCTCTCCGATCTCCAAACGCACTACTTCCCCAACATCTCCCACGACCCCGCCGCGCTCTCCTGGCTGCAACCCCCCTCCGCCGACCCAGAAGACCCCGACTCGACATCCGCCTACCACCCCGCCAGCAACGCCGAGGCCATCCACCCCGCCAACCTCCGCTTCTCTCTACTCGGAACGGTCCTCTCCCCATCGACATCCCTCTCCCTTCCCACCACCCTAGGTCTCCACCACCACGGCAAGGACCCCCACGCCGCGGGGTACACGATCCCCGAACTCGCCATCCTCAGTCGCTCCACGTTCCCCGCACAACGCTGCATCGCGTGGCAAGTGCTGGGCCGGATCCTCTTCCGGCTTGGAAAGGGTCAATTCGGTGAACGCGGCAGCCCCCTGGTCGAAGGACTCTGGTCCGTCGTGGAGCGCGAGGGCGTGGTGGCCGGTATGATGGCCGAGGCGGATGGAGTCACCGCGGGGACGACGTCCCGTCGCGGAGAGAAGGGCTCGGCGGCAGACGAAACGAAGGAATCATCTCAGGAACAGGAATCCGCAGGGACGGGTGCCGCCAGCAGCCGCCGACAACATGCCAGTGCTACAGCGTGGGCCGTCGAAGGCGTCTGGCTATGGCAGATGGGTGGCGCTGGAGACCGGGGGGTGCTGAAGGAGGGTACGATTCGGTCGCAGTGATGAATCACACGGCGCGCTTTCTGTCCTTTCATTAAAAGTATCACAAATTAATATGACCATGATATAATATGATGAGACGATTAATCGTATTGGTTGGTATCACTTCCCTTCCACGCATAGAAACGCTCCTATCCCATCTATCATCATCTTCTGCCTTCTCCCTCTTCCACATGGTGTACACAGTAATACATAGCCCCATCCATACCACCGACAATAAAACAAGACCTACCCCCTCAGTACGGAAACAGAACCCCAGACAAGTTCAACTCAAATCAAATCAAATCATCAACACGAGTCATAATAAGCATATCATACACCCGGTCCGAACCTACAAATCTCAATCATAATCCCCGATCTGCACGCCCCAAATCTTCCAGCGCATTTCCTCCACATAATCCCTCCGCAGCCACAGTCCATCCGACGGGACGATCTGCCGAGCCAGCGTCGCGTCCTCAGGCGCGTCTTCATCCTCCACGAGCCGTTCCTGGACGGGGGTATCGATCCAATTGAAGAGGAGACGGAGTTGCCAGAGACGGTCACGGACTTCGTCGGGGTCAGCGGCGCGGCCGCGCGCGGCTTGGATGGTGTTCTTGACGATGCCGTCGAAGACGAGTTTGCTGTCCACGGCGGATTGGCGGAGCCAAGGGGCGTAGGAGAGCGGGGTGGCGTTGCGGGTGCGGGTGGGGAAGGAGGAGGGGAGGACGAGGGCTTTTTCGCGGACGTCTAGACCCTGGAGGGAGGGGAGGTTGAAGATCCATTCCCACATGCTTTGGGAGGGGGAGGTCGGGGTGCGGTTGACGCCGGAGGTGAGGAGGGTGGCGAGGTTGGGCATGGCGGCGGGGGGCAGGCCCTTGCCGTGGTTGGAGGCGGAGGTGGAGGAGGGGAGGATGTCTTGGGCTTCGCTGAGGCCGGAGAGCGTGGAGACGAAGACGGAGGAGCCGGTGGGGTTGTAGGTGGCTTTGCGCCGGAGGTAGACGGATTGGTCGCCCTGGCGGAATTTCTGCCGCAGGTCGGGGTCGTTGGCGAAGTCGAGGACCAGGGGCCAGTAGTCTGCGTGGCGGATCTCCACGCGGGTGATGCCGCTGAGGTCGGGGAGGAGACAGGGGGCAGTGATCTTGCGGCTGATGCCATCTTGGTTGGTGAGCGTGATGGGGATGGAGATGGGCCGGCGGGAATCGATGTCTCGGGGCACCAGGCAACGTGGCTCGGCGGCAAGGACCCAGAGATGTCGGAAGGCTTGCAGATGACACTTGTTGTCGAGGACGGTCGTGGGGAAGATCGGATACAAGGAGCAGATCAGCGAGGCAATGGCCAGGTCTGACGTGCCGAGCGTGTAGCTGCCACCGCCTAAAAACAGCAGACCCATGGCCATGTGGGCGGCCATATGGCTGCCGTAGGGGGTGTCGGCGTCCACACGGCCATGGAGAGATCGCAAGCGGCGGAAGAGTGCCAGATCTCCGGTTCCTGCCATCACGGCGGCGGCGGAGAGCGCCACAACGTCCTGGCAGTGTCGGACCGAGTTCCGGGCCAACTTCGCGTCGTAGTTGACGGCGGGGAGTCTGCTGATGCGGATGAACTGATCCAGATATGCGAGTAGTAGGTCTCGTACGGAGGTCTGTGCAGAGCCCGCATAGCGAAGACCAAGGGTGAAGCACAGACCGGCGACGATGTTGAAGAAGGGCATGTCATCGCTCTTCAGTCGACGGACTCCCGTCAGCCGATACCGACGGCGGTAGACTTTGGGCAGGCTCTGCACGAACCATTCATCAGTAGGGCGAATGCTGTCCCACATGATGACATGTCTGGCCAGGGTACGCAGGAGGAACAGGTCCGGTCGAACGTAGTCGAAGCGCACGGTCGTGTCCGGGATATCGATCTTCTGGGCCAGGATTTCGTCGTTGGTTTTCATGAAGATGATGGTGAGGGCGATCGTGGCACCCGCCGTGGCTCGGTCCAGGACATGCGCGAGATCAACGTTCTTGGTGCCGACTGCCACGGCCAAGAGCCTCTCCACGATGTGCATGTCGCGCATTCCTCGGAGGTCTTTGCCTTTGGCCAGGTTGATGAAGCCAAGGGCAAGCCCGGCCGCCAGGCGGTATCCTTCATCGCGGAGATCCTCGTGAGATCCCTCCTCCTGCTCAACGTTTTCAATTTCAGACAGCATCACTTCACTCATTCTCCGATGCTGGGATCCGCAGTAGAGGAGACCGATGCCCATGATGCCCGCCGTTTGCGTCAGCGGCGACAGGTTTAGCTCGGCAGCACCCACAGGGAGCATCCTAGTGACATGGACCGACAGCAGCCTGGTAATCAGGGTGTCCATCGTGCCTAGATAGGAGGCTGACAACCCGAGCAACAGCCCGATAGATGTCATGGTATGCTTAGGCGTCAGATATTTGAACGCAACCCATTTGGCCAAGGATTTCAGATGCCCGTTCAACCCCAAGGCCAACAAAAACCCAGCATGTCGGTTGGTCAGTTCCTGGGGTTTGTTGAACAGAATCCACGACGTATCAATGCCTTTGGAGTTCTTCGATATAGCCAAACCGGTAGAGACGCCATTGTGGAAGAACGCCCAACACACTTTCTCCTCACTAAAGGAGGCCCGGTCCGCGCTGATCGTCACATTTGACGGCTTCATGACGCATTGCAAGGAAAACGAAGGGATCGGGAGCTTCTCGGTCAGCAATGGTAGTCGTCCGCTAAAGCTCAGCATAGCCCGACCTGTGGGGATGGAGAGCGTCCTCAGGGTCACCAGCTGCACCACTTCTTTCTGGGCCTCCAGCAGGTCCGAGTCGGTCCATTCCGGCTCGGGAACGCACTCGGCTACAGGGGCTTTGGACTGGTTCAGCAATCGAGCAGCGTCGATAAAACGCTTATCCTCACGGAAGATCAGCCGCGTCACCGAGAACCTGTCGGCCTCCGCGGAAGCTTCGAACGAATTGGTGGCGTCAATGTCCAGCGTGGAGGTTCCGATATGATGAACATCGCGCACCGCATCATGCGAGACAGCCAGCTGCAGCGGTGACGTAGCTGATGGAAGCCATGACTTATTCTTGCTCATAGAAATGCTCAAATCTTCGCGGTCAATGAGTTCGAGGAGGGTGGAGCTCCACGACGTGGACGCGTGCATTTGCGACTGCATTATCACTTCGTACAAGGGAGCGCTGACACCTTCTGGAAAGCTCTCAATAGTACTCCTGGTGAACCCCCAACGATGGAGAAGCTTGATCCGGTCAAGCGGCGTCGTGAGTTCATGCACCTCGGAGAGGAACCCATCCAACGCCAGCGTCCGGGGAGTGAGCGTGAAACACTCTTTCCATAACCTTCCTCTCTTCGGAGGTCGGTCGGGGCTGGTTACCAGGTTCAGAAGCGTGAAAAACGGCGGCGAAGTCTGGCGCCAACCATCTTCCAAGTGAGCAAAAATCGATGGGGGTGAGAACGGCTCACCAGGGAGGTCAAGCATGGAGATGCGACTGTCTTCAAATTGCCAACGGTCCATACTAGCCATTTCCATACCGAAATAAGCGTCTTCAGCCCATGACCAGGACGGCCATCCTAGCCAGCCGCCGATCTGGGCCAGGACTGGAGCCAGGAGACCCAAAGGCTTGCCCGACTGCTCACTATCGCAGATTGATAGCTTCTGCTCCTCGCGAAGGAGATGCAACGCAACTAGGATGGTGCATAGTGCAGTGTTTCGGATGTTTTGGTTGAAGTTCAGCGCCGTGGGCAGGTAGCCGCCTGCGCCTACAGTTAAGGAGCCCTGAGAAGTGTTCAGAAACTCCCTTGTCAGAGCGATACATCGAATGAGGTATGTGTTGGTTCGGCAAGTTGACCGGCTCGAGGGCGATTGCTGGCCGTGGCCGACTTCTCCATCTTCAGCATCTTGCTCGACCACCCACGCCCAGGAGCTGCTGGCCATCCAGGGTGCCACCACGCCCCCGGAACCGGATTCCCGCTCCAACATTGTCTCCCAGCTTTCCAAGTCGACGTAACTTCCGCTGCTGGACCTCAAAAATCCCCTCTTTCGGCGCGTCGGCCTGGCGGGTGTTCGTGGTTGTTCACTATCAATGAACTGGATGGCCATTGAGAACAAGATGACTACCATGGCCGTCCACTCGAGGTCGGTCTCATTTGCTTCCCTCTCGTCAAGCCATTTCACGGTCTCCCACCAGGCAGCCAGAAAACCATCCCCGGCTTTCTCGTCAGAGACTGCAAACCGACAGACATTGAGCACACGTTTCACCAGTTCATTGCTAGGTTCCATCTGAACCTGCAGCTTGACTTTCCGATTCGCAGAGTCCACCACATCAAACTTCCCTCGGGCTGCGGGGTGGTCGAAGCCAGTCACCGTGATGGATGAGTCGGTCATTAGACGCCTCATGCCGCTCTCTCTTCGATGGTTGCTGGAAGTGTTAGGATATACCCCGTATGCTTCATGCAGCATGAGTCTCTGGGGAATTTCAATGGAAGCTGGCTTGCTCCACGGCGTTTGCAACTGTAGCACTTGCTGGCCATCGTCGGTCTTCTTTAAGGTCAAGATTCGTGAAATCCCACCATCTACGATCTTACAGGCATCCCATATATCTGAAGAATGCTGTATTCCAGACGCCTGGACAAGTAATGAGCGTTCTTCAGAGAGACTGCTTTTCTTGGGCTTCTTCGCGAACACCCCGTCTTTCTTGGGAACCGAAACCTTGTCTACCCGTAGGTTAACAACCGTCATCGACCTCGCGTCCTGATCCACAAGGTAAAGCGCTAAAGCCGCGGAGCTTCCGCCCTGCGTACTCCCGAATTCTGACGGGGCTAGGGTCATGATTTTCAGTCTCCGGGATGATCGCTTCGATCTGGCCGGTGTCTGGAACGAGGCTGTAAACTTGGAAAAGAAGCTCTCGACCTTGGAGAGAAGGACCTCCTCGGGCAGGCCTGACGCCGCATGATTCAGGTCCATATTCTCGAAACCTTCAAACAGACTTTCATTGTTCAGTTCCTCGAGGAGTCGATCAACCGGTGCGTCAACAAAGCTGCTGGTTGTGCTGTAAACTGAGCCATTGCCAGGTGGTAGCGAACCTCTTGGGTTGAAGCCGAAGCTCCCCCGAGTGCTACCAGCTCCTAGAGATTGGCGTAGGCCACCGTGAGGCATGGAGCCCGACTGACTGCCTGTAGCTAGATCGGAGAACGCAATTCTATCCTGGCTGGTTGCCAGATCTGTGCGTGCAAGTAGAGAGCTCACTCGCCTCGATGTCTTCAGTGGGACTCCGATGTCTCCGAAATCTTGACCTAGTTTGGAAGCCAGATCATCATCGTCTGCCCTGCCTTCGACCGAATACTGTGAAAGAGATAGCCCAGACGTGTTCCACCCGTCACTTCTAGGGCCGAAGCTCTCTCTGGTGCCCGACGGGCGAGCAGCGGGAGTCGTCGTTCCTGTCGTCATTCCAAAGTGTGAACTACGTCGCTTCGATCGCGTACCCCCCGTGTCTCTTCTTTCTTTCTTTTTCGATGAGGGCGTGGCTTCGTCTTGTCTGTAGCGAGCCGTCCAGATGGTGTACAAGCCGGTGTTGATATTAACAGTCACCACGAGAATTAAGGGACCCATGTCTAGCCCTCGACTAGGGCTAGAAAGCTCATCCCTTGGAGATACATAGACAATCGCATCAGCTGGATCAAGCACGTCCAGCCCGGAAGGTCTGGTCGTGACACTAGTCTGCAGCCAACGAGAGGACTGGTTGGTCACCACCAAGCCCATTTCGGAGTGGGGGTCCATAAGAGAGAAAACTCTGGGCATATCAGCATGCTTGCTTGGTCGTGGCTTCAGGCCGGGCCTTTGAGCCGGAGAAATCGTTAAGGATGGGCGTTTCGATCTGCCAGAAGGGATATCCAGCGACTGAGAGGGTACAGATGACGACACAAAAGAGTTCGGAGGAGCCATTGGCACTGGCTGGTGATCTTCCTCCTCGTGTAGTTTTCTCTGGATCAGGAGTCCCTTGGGTGTTGCGAACACGGAATCGACCTCAAACGGCAGGGGAACGACATGGCTGTTACCGGCCAGGAAGAAGATATGAGCCTGGGACTTGAGGACCACCACCAACGCTCGAGCATTGTTTGAGCCTGTACCGCTGGCGCCTTGGCCATCTCCTCCATCCTGGCCCAGCGACAACAATGAGCCCTTTGACGGTCCTCCACTGAGCTGATCGTGCGAGCCCCGACTGCGGCCTGAATTAGTGCCTGTTTGCGCCTTTTCTCCGGTTGTAGCTTTCGTAACACTCGCGTCGGACCTCTTAATCTTCCCCACCGCGAAGCTCGTCAGTAAAGCGTGTCTGATCTCCTCTTTTTCTAGATCTAACCGAAACACTCTCTTGACGACCCCGGCTCGAGACCAAACGGCGCAGCTCCTTGTCCAAACAATCTCATCTTCGACAGGGCCGTTCGAGTCTCGGTCAACGCTTGTCGTCCACGAGTAGAGATCCTCCGGGGGATCTGCGGGTAGGAGACCTTCTGCGATGAGGAATGCGATGGCCGAAGGCTCATGAAGGCCGAGGGATCGAACTGTAGCCATTATCGGGATCTGTCGTCCGGCGTAGCGGTAGAATTTCCGGCAGTGGGAGCCAGAGGCAATGTCATGCCCATTGTCGGCTCACACCATTGATAGGGAAGACCGGAGCGCTCACACTGGCGTAGTGGTTGTTGTGATTGCGGCGTGAGGGGAGCCCAAGCTGGCGGTTGCTGGAGACGCGCTGGACGCGGCGGGCCAAACCCATTGAATTGAACCCAAGCAGCCGCTTTTTTCCTCCGCGGCCACCCCGACTTCTGCCTCTGCCATCTTCTCCCCCCAAACACCACTCTCCACTGCCCTTTCTTCACCCCTCACCCTTAGCTTGTCGGGGACCCTCTAAATTGACTACAGTTAGAGGTCTCGTCATTTCTCTCTTTGCTTCCCCTGGTGTCACTTCTCTAACGGGCGGCATTGGTCTGCCTTTCAGCTCTGCTCGTAAACATCCAAGCAGTCGCCACCAGGACAATGCCATCCTTTCCGTCGAGGCCGCTGGTCAGGCCTCGGGACGATGGCTTGCAGCTAAGGTAGATCTCAGTTCTATCCTTGGGCATCTACGCGATTCCGTGCTTACTGGATCTCCTCTCCATCTAGCTACCAGCTCCCTCACCGCGTGCACACGGCTAAAGGCTACCCCCTCCTCGCTCCCAATGGCTCATCGATCATCGTTTACGGTTATGAAACTGGATTGAAGGTGGTATGGAGAGGCGGAAGAGCCTTCTCAACTGAGAAGCCCTCCGCCCCAAAAGTGGACAGACCGCGGAAAGCCAGCAACGCCCATGAGGATGCGGTCATGATTATCGACTCCGATGAGGAGAGCACCGCGGAGACTCAGCATACTCAGCAGGATGAGGAACCAGATTATCAGTTTGAGGAAGATGAATCCGAGGTGGATCCGGTTTACCCTTATGAGGATGTCCTGCGCCAGATCGACATCCCCCTTGGCAGCAGAGTCCTCGAGCTGGCTGTACCTCGCATCTTACCCGAAACGGCGCGGTCTTCACTCGATCCATTTCCTCCAGCTTTGAAGAAGGACATTGTCGTCGCAGCGGTGTGCGCAGACTATTCTACACGCATTGTAACCCTCCCTCTGTTACCCCCTCACCCAACGCAGAATGAATTTGGAATCCAGACGGTCTCCATCAGCGGTGGCGTATCTCACCAGGAGACCCCGAGGGGAGTCAGTGCAACCTTCACCTATCAAGAGTTCGATCAACAAGATCAAGATTCTTCTCGGAACCAAGGTTCATCCCGCTCGAGCACAGGCAGATGGGATTTGCTCGTCGCAACCCATTCTTCCGAGTCGTCGGGTCTTCTCATCATTCATCGGATCCCGATTGCAGAGGAGGAAACGGTGAGCGGTACTGTGTATCACCTGTGTGGTGATGAAATTGAGACTAGGAGACGGCACTTGCCCGCCCCTGCTGTGAATGTTTCTTTCAATCCGTCCGGCTACCCGGCCCCTCGACACTCCACGTTGCTTGTCGCGTTCCACAGTGGATGTGTCAAGATATACTCCTGCTTCTCTGTGAAGCCACTCAAGGCTTCGCGGAGGTCATCCGGCCCCCAGAGCGACTATGAGACGTCAGAGACGGAAGGAAGGTGGCTGATCAGTCTTTACCCCGGCTTTGAACAGTCTGCTTCGGGACTCGCGCGGCGGAAGACCATCATTAGCGCGGAATGGGTACTCGGGGGACGTGCCATCTTGGTCTTGACATCAGATGGGGAATGGGGTGTCTGGGATATCGAAGGGGCCGGCCCTGGGAGCATCAAAGGCCCGCTTCAGCGTCAGTCCAGTGTGCAGGGCGTTACTGGAGGTTCCTTGACGGCATTCTCCGTTAGCGGTCGGATCTTGAGCGCTTTGCCTGGCGCCAGCCGTTCCGAGACGAGCGGACCAGCGTTCGAACAACGACCCAAGTTTGCGCCCTTAACGCCGTCTACGAAACGGCTGCGTGAAGATACCCTGCTCAAGGGCAGCTCGGTTGGAACGGCCAGTCCTTCACTCAGCGGAGGCATCTCGGTGTATCAGACCAACTCCTGGAAAGACGCGCTGCCCGATGAATCGATCCTGCTGCAGCATGGCAACCAAAGCGCAGTCATTCCCAGTCTGCTATCCTTGTGGCGCAACACCGTCAAAGCCAGTGGCACATTTGATGCGTCCAACCGCTGTCGGGTCTCTCCTCTCCAAGATATCTCGTTGATGGGAGAACGCTTGAAGGGAATCGGACACCTCCCGGCCGCCTCCCGCCATACTCGTGGGCAAAGTTTCGATATGCTTCTTACTGCCGAACACCGGGTTGTGATCCTCGCCCCGAGATTAACGGAGCCACAGCCGGTCCCCGTTTCTCGAGCGCCAGTCGTTGAGACATTAGCTACAGAAACGGACCAGCAGATGCTTCAAAAAGGACAGCTCGGCGTTGACGGCATGGACCGCTTGCTGAGCGGCATGGCAAGCAGCAAGCGATCCCTCCGGATAGGTAGCCCGATCAAGCGCCCGAAAATCTTCACTTAGGCAGACGATTTCATCAGCACCACAGCAATACCGACCATACAGCACAGAATTGAAGCATCGGCATTGTGTGCAACCGCGTCCACGGCAGCCACGTCCACATGTCTCCCCCAACATGTTCCTAACAATGAAGCTGAGATCAAGAACAGAGATACCCATGAGCAAACACCGTCCCCTTCTGATATTCTTCCTCCTCTTCCTCCATCCGTAACTCCATTTCGCGCTGCAAGGTGGAGCGCAAGGCGAGGTCCATGCCTTGAAATCCCTTCGTTCGTCTCACATACGTACGCCCCTACGTACGTCTGGGAAGGTCGGAGGGATAAGCTCTGTATCGGCTGCGAGACATCAACCACCGGCATTTTTGCCTTCTCATCCCATTCATCACTCGTCCGTTCTCAGGACAATCAATCCACCAACCGGGTCACTCAGACCCAACCCTCCAAGCCCCAACGTCTGGAATGAGTTCTCTGCTCCTGGTTTTCTCTCCCTCTTGACTGATGCTGATCTATCCTTCTCTCTGTCCTGCGTTCTCGCAAAGGATGGGATACAAGCCTCCTGTTGACCTTCTCATGAGAGTTCTCTTTCTGATACTATCGTATCGGATGGGGTAACTTCAGTGACAGGCACAAGGAGCTGATCCCATCCTGGACAATGATGAAAGTTTCCACATCATTATCAGTAAAGAGTGACGAGGAGACCAGCCGACTTGGGGTTTAGACGGGGAGCAGTGGATTGATTTTGATGGGAACATTCCCGTATCTATCTATGCATATACGTATCTCTTATCGTAGGACAAAATATCATAAATTTACTACCAACATCTGTTAAACAGCAATCAGGTCACATTGAAACTTATTTCGCAAAATTCTCTTCCTGGTAACTACTTTACGATCCCATTTTAAGTCGTCTTCAGTTATATTACTGCCTAGTAGTATCATTAGTCCCCTGTATCTGTACGGTATCTTTCCCTCCTTCGCCGTCTTCACGATACAACCAATACAAATTGACATCTGATCATCAACTCCAAGGTCTATCTTAGTCCTTTCCCTTTCGAACGGAGACATCTGACGGGAATAAGTAGGAATGAACAAAGTGAAATGACATTCACATTGGTGCTTTGGTTAGGCAAATCGTAAGAGAAGGTTGGTTGTAAACACGGACACATTTTCGAAACAGTTCCTACATCATCATATATCCATAACTAGTAGCAAGCACTTAGGTAAATACTTAGTGCCTGATACGTTAACTATGGCTGCCAGGGGATGACTGAGTGCTCATTGCATCCCGACCTACAAAGGTTGATAATATCAGGATAGGTGAGAGGATAGATGGAAGTAAAATCTAGGGAATGAATCATGTTCTTCTTTCCGCGAATCTTGCAGTGTATGTATATACAATATACATGGTGAATAGATCGCACAGGGACACACTCGCTAGAGACACCTCTAACACGCCAGCCAACCAAGCAACCAACCCCAGAGAGATTTTTAGACATCATCCAGATCAGAGAAGATTGGAACTCCACAGCAGCCAGACCAGAACAACCACTGGACAATATGTACATACAGGCAGTCAGGCAGAAGCCCAGACCAGAGGAGAAAACAGGAAAACGCCAAAGCCGCTAATCTGTGCGCATATTTCCAAATGGGTGTCAATTCAACGCTGTTTGGTTGTACTCATATCCATGATCAAATGGCGTAGTTTTATCTATCCGCTGAAGCCCAAGCCGTCGAGCTCCTTGCGCACGGCCTCCTCGGTCTGAATCTTCTTCATCTGTGTATCTTCGAGCTTCTCGCCACCGGCAAGACGCATTTTCAGCTCGTCGATCGCCCGAATCTTCTTCAGAAGACCGCGGATCTTCTTGTCCTGCGCAGTGGGAGCGCCGCTCGCGTCGGCAGCCGCAGCCGCAGCCGCCGCCGCAGCCGCCGCCGACGCGGCCGCGGCCGCGTTGCTGGCATTGGCATTCGCCTTGGCCGAAGGCGCCGCACCGTTGGCTTGGCCACCATTCTTGCGCTCATTCTGACCCTTGGACCGGCTGCGTTCATGGTGGCCCTTGTCGCCGCGACGGTTGGGGCTAGCCTCCTCGTCCTCGCCATCCTTTTGCTTCTTGGCCTCACGCTTCTTCTTGTTGCGCGCGGCCGACTTGGACAGCTTCTCCGGTTGGTCGGCGCCAGGGGGCAGAGCAACGCCTCCTCCAGGAGCGGCTCCCGGAGGAAGGAATTCCTCGGCTGGCTCGGCACCAGGCACCTCACGTCTGCGCGTTCTGCCGAATCCGTTCGTAGTGTGAACAGTGGCACCGCCGCTCGCACCATCTCGGACAAAGACCGCGCCACCCTGGTCTTCACGCTTGAACGCCAGGGGCGTGAGCTGACCACGGGCACCCGGGGGACGATACGCACCCGCAGGCTTCACCGGCGCTTTTCTGGTGCTCAAGTATGCGACAGCAGAGGGGTGGGGAGCCGGAAGGGGGTTGAACGGGTCACCCAGGGGATGCTGGATGAGCGACTGAGGCCGCCAGGACACGTCGTAAAGCTCGTTCATCTCTTCGTTGTACATCAGAGCGCCGCTAACATGCCAGAGACGGATGCCGTTGTCCACCCTCAGACGAGGGCTGGTAGTGGCCGTCAAGATGTACTGGCCATCGGGCGACCAGTTACAAACACTGGCATTCGAGGCCTCGACGGTGGCGATCTTGTGGAAATTCTTATCCATGTCGTATATATCCATCTGGCCTGCCAGGTTACCGAAACCGGCCACCAGCACAAACCGCCCATGAGGCGAGAAAAGGATAGTGTTGCGAGGCGCCAAAGCGAAGGTGTGCTTGGGCACACCGCGGAAGTTAAAGATTGTAGTCTTGGCAGGCATGTAGCCATAGACAACACCGAACTCCTTGGAGTTGGGAGACCAGGTTACATCGTGAATGGGACCCTCCTTGTCTGGTCGATTGTCAGTATGTTTCACCCACGAACGAAGCTGCATCTGCTTATCACGTACCGAGGTCCACACGGGAGTCAAAGCCACCACCAGCACTAAGCAGGTAGAGAGTCGTCTCGCCGTAGTAGCTCTTGCCCGACCGATCCACATCCGTCTGCGCGAGCACAATCAGAGTGGTACCCTGCTCGTTCCACTTCAGCTGGACCTTGTCGCCCTTGAAGAAGGTCTTCTGCGAGACCGGCGATCCAAACTGAGGCACCAAAAAGACCTTGACAGCAGCGGGTTGTCCCTAAGCAACAAAGAATCCGTCAGCCCTGAAGAATAACAGACCTCTACCAGCAGAAACCCATTCTCCCACATACCTTACGCTCAGGAATAAATACGGCCACAGAATGGTTCTTTCCGGGTGCGACTGCAAAGTCCGCAACCCCCTCCACACGCAGCTTATTCCAAACCTGAGACAGGTTCTCGCTCTGATAGAATTGAACCTCATTGGTGACGACCCGCGCGCAGTAACGCTCATCGGAGGTGTACTGAAGGTTCCAGCCGGTCTGCGACTTCTGGACGAAGCTGCCCACGACGACATTCGCGTCACCGTTGCTATCGGGGGACGGCTGGACGACCTGCCAGACCTTCAGGTTCTTCATAGTATCGCCATTCGCGTCCTTCGTGGGGCGTTGCCAGGTGATCAAGTATGTTCCGAGCGGCGAGAATCCAAGCTCGAAGACATTATCGGCAGCAATGGTCGACACAACGTGTCCGACGGAAGGATCGACGATGGTGACCCTGATAGACAATCTGTAAGCATGGTCCTTTGTTTTGGTTGGGGTCGAATAGCATACTTCTCCGGGGAAGCCCATGCGAAATAACGGCCGCAGGGCGAATAAGCACTACAACGCAGGTTTCCTTCAGGCCTGCAACAACACGAGACCATATAATCAGTAACTAAAGCCAGCAGAGAGAAGTTGATGGGGTGAACAAGGCTTACTTTTCGAACCCCGACAAAGGCTCATAAACTGGGGCCGCATCCAAGATGCCAATGCCCTTAACCGTACGGTCTGCAACTGGTTAGCCTTGCCCACAAATCATCGGAAGCCCCCCAAGCACTAAATAGAATACTGTATCGAAGCATTCACCAAGGTGAAGGAGAGGGGGGAGTAATTGGGCAGGAAGGGAAATAGGAGAGAACTCACAAGCAAGCTGGGTGGGAGCTGCCATTTTGATTGTCTCAACGTTCACTTTAATCGGACTAAACACGAATTCACGAAAGCCACTGATGTAGCTCAATGCGCGCGCAGATGACGATGCGAAGGCCCAGGAAATTCCACAAATCCTAGGGTCCCAGTGCTAACGTGAAACGTTCCCCGCCACTTAGGTTGTGTAACAAGGTAGCAGAAAATTCCACGAGAGTTCTCCAGACAGTCTGGGAACGATCGATTGAGGGGTAGACGGGGAAGATTGGCAGAGACGTGAAGCGTGGCGAGATGTTGGGCTGGAGGCCGCGAGAGACACACACACACACACACACACAAAGACGGTGGATTGGCAGCGAAGCTTGGCGGGATGGGAACGAAACCTCAGTCGAGTCTCCGGTCCAAAGGGATTCTCGAATGCTTGACAAGTCAATGCCAGCAATGACAGGGACAGGAGTCTAGACGGTCGGGGTCGGAAGAAGGATGAAGGGGTGGGAGGCGAACAAGAGGAGGAACAAGAGAGGGAAGAGGAGGAGGAGGGAGGAGAAGAAGAGAAGAAGAGAGAAGAGGCGGAAGAGAAAGACGAGCAGCAGAAGAAAGACTTGGGGAGAGGCAGAAAGGCTGAAGGGCCGCGATGGGCCCCTCCCATTGGGCGGTCTCGGCCCCAGTCCTGCAACAGCTGCTCATTTTCTTGCCTGTCGTCCAGTTTTCTTCCCTGGAGCGTTCAAGACAACTAGGCATTTCCTGGTGCAGGAGGCGACTCGTCAGTCTCGAGGAGGATCTGGTGGAGGCAGCAGAAGCAGCAGAAGCAGAAACGGGTCTAGACTCAGTCGCTTCCCCGTCCAGCCTCGAACGAAGATTCTCCCGATTCGTCATTGTTTCAATCTGCCTCCGGTCGGGATGGAGATCCTAGTCGTGCCTAGTGGCAGTCAAATCCATTCATTCCACGCTCCCTGAAGAATCTTGATTTCCGAACTAAATTACGAGGAAGAACACCGCATCGCTAGCTATCCTACAATTCAGATTCCGATTCACTTTCGCTGCAAATGTTGTCCGTCTCCCATGGTCGCAGTTTGTCCCATTCTTTCCCGTACAATTACAATCCCCCCCCCAAATCCCAAGCCTCTTTAAAGCAACGCAATAAATTAAAACAAAATAAGAGCCCCCCTCTCCCCGAAGAAACGCCTATGGTCCTTTTTGCCCGGCTTTTGCACCTGCACCACCCCTGCAACCTACTCGGCTGATTCGCCACCCTGCGCGGGAGTGGCCAACCGCGGGGTCCTCACGGTGGTGTCAACCACATTTGGATCATAGGTCATTCCATCCACCATCCGCGCATCCTGTGTAGGCTCGGGTGTAACGGATCCCGTGGGCGAATGGGTCGACAGCACCATCGGCCCCTCCCCAGAGTGCTGCAGATGGGATGCGAATGGGTTCGCGCGGCTCACGCCCGGGCTGCTCAACGAACTCGGTCGATGTCCCGATGATGTTCGGTTCAGCAGCGGATGCGAAGTCGGTCCACTGATGGTACTGGCACCCTCTCCAAATGCGACCAGGCTAGCATCCCCTTCATCGCTGAAGTTGCCCACGCTCGACGTTCCATCCTCCGGGTACTCACTCATGCGGTCCGCATCAAATGCATCACTGCCGCTCGCCCAGGTCGTGCGGGCCCCTATGCTGCCCGTTGCACTGGCGCTACCTACTGTACTTCTTTCCTTGATGCCGGAGCCACTGTCAAAGTATCCAGGATACTGAGGTACCGGTACTATGCCACTGGGCTGCGGTGTGCCACCCGCCCGGGCAGTAGCCACCCGTTCTAGACCAGCTAGACGGGAGATACGGTCGGCGCGTTCGGCTTCTAGAGTAGTAGTGGATGTGGATGATGCAGAATGGGCGTGGTGGGCATGGCGACCGTGGGGAAGAGGCTGGCCTTGATGGCCATCCTTAATGGCGGTTGTAGACAATGCCGACAACGACGTGGTGCCGGAGTTGGGGGTCCCCCTGATGAGCCGCGAGCTTCTGGTCAGCTTGACTCGGTGCAGATACTAAGAGAGGATAGAAAGGAGAATAAGAAAATCAGAATGGAAGCATATAGAAGCTGGAGATCTTACGGGCCCATATCCGATGGAGTCACCGGGTCAGACGGCGGGGGAGGGAGGTTAATCAACGTCGGGGTGGTCATTTTGCCCTGGCGATGCTCGCAGGATAGTGGTGTGCGCAAACAGAGGGACTCAACCTGCAGTCAGGCTGAATGCTAGATGAAAAGTATTGTGGCGCGCTTGGGGAGGAGGAGGAACAGTCAAAGAAGAGGTAGCGGTCACAAGGTTGATCTAGTTGCGAGGCGATATGGACGGATCCCAGAGACGGGTGCGATCTGCGGGGCAGTGAATTTGCGCTATTCGAGATGCATCCAGTCGCGTAACGGTAGCAGGATGGGGGGATTGCAATGGGCCTTTTAAGGTTTGGGAGCAGCAGTACGGCAGGTCGTTCAGCGAGTATGGAAGTCAATGAATGAACGGGTCAGTGAAAGTGAGGCTGCCGGTGGGCCAGAGCCACTGAATTGCTGAAGTAGGTTCGCCTCCTTTTGATCGCCCGTCCCAGCCTCTATGCAGGTCCATTCCATGCGCCTTCTAGGGGGATGTTTCGGAAGGCCAGGCGAGTTCCCCGCGGTCGCTGGGCGCATTTCCCCTGGTGGTGGTGAAGCTGGAACAAATGCATACATCCAATCAGTGACGAGTCCTGCCCAGGCGGTCCCTGACGTCATCTCCCGGCCAATCAGGGCGTGGCGCGGGGCTCGACACCTGGGAGCCTGAATGGGCGGGTTCCGAATGCAGCCTGGCAGTCGGACATGACATGACTGTTCCCTCGACACGCTCCATTCCACGTCCCATCCTTCTAGCGAGGGCTCGATTTATGGACATATGTACATAACACCATTGATCTTGGATTGTGACAGGTCTATATGCTTTAAAGTGCAGCGGTGGTCCAGAACCGTCCCATGCTCTTAGAACCGGTCATCGACCCCTCTTGCCCTTTCCTCCTTGACCCTCTCCTCCGTGGTCTCCCACCACCAGGAGTGCGATGCGTCTCGGATCGGCCGAGCCACGCGACCTGTCCGAATATCCTCACTCTCATCCCAGGGTTTCGGGCTCAGGATATAATGTATATTCTTGACGCTCTCGTCCCGCCAGATCGCATCATGCACCCCCTCCCACCGCATAGTTTTGAGGGCATTATACACATACGGCAGCGCAACCCAACGCCCAAAGAACACGTCTGATAGTAGGGATTGGTCAGCAAACTCGTAGTTGGACGTCGCGGTCGAGCCAAGCTGCGAGACGATTCTGTCATAGGTCTCTTGGGACGGATTGACCACCAGGAGACCACCGTTGTTCATCCCCAAGCCGAAAGTGGGTGACGCACCCTCTGTTTGGGCGACGTTGGGGGTCTCATGTTGTGAGGTGAATGCACAATTGGAAGGGATCCTACACGATGGTGTGTTAGCCGATCATCTCCAGGAGTATGGTATCTGTACTGCCGGCAGGGATCGAGCGGGCTCATACCAGTCCTGAGGATAGTGCGGTTTCTGCAGCGGGTTACAAACACAAGCATGGCTGGAAGCAAAGACACGGTTTCCTGCCCCGGCCATAGCTGGCGGATCCAGCTCAATTTCCATCAGCTCGTCCATATTCCGGAGAACCATCATGTCACTGTCGAGCTGCACGACGCGCTCATACTCCACCAGAGAGAAGGACGTGAGCTTGCTCCAGCAGTCATAGAATCGCACATCATTGGCATAGTCTTTTGGTATCGATGGAAGAAGATAGGGGACCCGCTGCTTCAAAATCCCCCGAGCATCGAGAGCAGCGTGGCCCTCGGCCGGGAAGGTGTCTGTGTAGAGGGCTACCAGCGGATATTTTGAGCCCACTTTGCGAAGGGAGTACTCCAGGGTCAGAAGCCCAGATAGGTAAGCAGTATTCGTGACGAGCGTGGTCCACACTGGGAAGGTCAGCTCTGAGCGCTCTTCAAAAGTCATTGTTGGCACGTACCTTTTGTCGCATCCGTGATGCGGGGAACGCCACTATTGTGGGCCATGGCCAGGACCTTAAGATATAAATAGTGGATAGTAGATTCTAGATAGAGATCTGTCCGGGGTGTGGTGGAAGATGGCGCAACGTTGAGAACACGATTGATACCGGCAGTGGTTGACTCTGGCAGGTTGCTGCTTGCACTCTGGGGTCTGCGTACAGGCTGGGGCTTTCTCGGGACTCGGGGGTAAGAGCAGATGAGGGGAGATGGCGCGGTTGATGCCTTCGGGTGCCTCGCATCCTCACGGCAAGCCTAACCAGCTTCGTCCTAGCGATATCGCCATTCTTATCCTTATCACGAATACAGCATTAGTCAGGGATCGGACATGGAAAAATCTCGAAGGCCTAGATAGATAAATTAGTGGGGTTTCTTCATGACGGATAGATACAGCGTGGTGATCAAGAGATGGCTGTTCCGCCCTGTCGGGCCCAGATCTGGCACCGTTAGGATGCATATTATCCGTGGTCGCAAGCACCGACCTCTTCCTCTGTATCCAGATAGATAATTTTTGCTATCCGCGCATTGTTAGAGTTGATTCTTGCAGGACTAAGGCCTGCCAGCTTTACTGATCTAGGATCTACATAGTACATAACTAGTACTTAGTAGTGACAGTAGCAATCACCCAGCACTGCAAAGATGCTATCGATTGGCTACCAGCAGCCGATCCTTTTCCCTTTCCGGGAATCTAGGCGGTCAGCCCGATGGATCGAGTATCTATCTACTTCCCCCGGAGCTCTGACAAAGTAAACATCTCTTTCGATTGCCTTCTCATCAGTGACCCTTCTGGATCTCCTGCTATCGGAAATCCTTAGCCGCTCGCTCATTTGTTCTCCTCGTCGCTACCAGGAAGCCTGATCAAATCCCGACTGTCTGGTCTGATGACGGAGAACGGCCACGAGGCTGAGCCTCTAATCCGTGATGGACGGACTCGGGCAGTTTCGAATACTCTAGCAGGTCAAGAAGACACTGAAGAGGCATCCAAGAGCAGTGGTTTTCTTTTCCTTCTGACCCTAGCCATGGGAGGGTGAGTTGTTGACTGTACAAGGCTTGACCGCCGGCCTCATTAACCTGCCCCCTAGTATCCAGATTGTCTACTCGATCCAGCATTCCAGTGGATCGGTGAGTTCGACCCCCATATGAAGGCGAGTATTAGCCGCTAACCAAACTTCGCTTCTTCTATGCCTAGCCATATCTGCTCTCGTTAGGAATGAGCAAAGCACTACTCGCATTTGTGTGGATCGCGGGGCCCCTTACCGGTACTCTCGTGCAGCCTTACATTGGCATCCGAAGTGACAATTGCCGCATCTCCTGGGGCAAGAGAAAGCCTTTCATGGTCTTCGGGGGAGCAATTCTAGCCGCTTGCCTGTTGGCGTTGGCGTGGGTGCGAGAAATAGTTGGCAGCGTACTGGGCCTCCTTGGCATCGATGCTCAGGCAGCTGAAGCTAAAACAGCAGTGATTATTGCTGCGACTCTCTTGATGTACTGTCAAGATTTTGCTATCAACACCGGTATTTTCTTTGAGCTGATCTGGGCACTCTCTTTTCTAAACATGAAGCTGACCTCATGTCACAGTTCAAGCAGCAACCCGGGCGTTCATTGTTGACAACGCCCCTGCTCACCAGCAGGAGACAGCAAATGCCTGGGCAAGCCGTCATGTCAGCGCAGGAAACATCTTCGGCTTTATCATCGGTGGTTTGGATCTACCAAAGGCTCTCCCATTCCTCTGGAATACCCAGTTTAAAGCGATCAGTGTAATCGCCAGCGTGTCTCTGGCAATCACCTTGTCCATCACTTGCTCTTACATTGAGGAAAAAGATCCCCGCGCAGAGCCATCGGCATATCAAGGACCGGGGTTCATCTCATTGCTCCAGTCTATCAAAGAATCTGCCCACCGTCTCCCCTTGCGTATACGTAAGGTCTACATGATCCAGGCCGCAGCATGGTTTGGATGGTTTTCATTCTTATTCTACGCCACCACGTACATAGGGCAGCTGTATGTGAACCCTATCTTCGACGAGCATCGTGGCCTATCGGATGATGAGATTAACAAGGTGTGGGAAGAAGCTACACGCATCGGCACTTTGGCCCTGCTTGTAAACGCACTGGTGTCTTTTGCAGCAAGTGTTATCCTACCACTACTAGTTGTTCCGTCTGAGAAGCAGATGGCAACTCAAACAAGCACTGGCCTAAGCACGTTACCCTTCAAGCTTTGGATCCCTGGGTTTACGCTGCGGCGCGCATGGCTTCTTTCTCACTTCCTGTTTTCCATTTGTATGTTTGGCACGTTCTTCATATCTTCCCCCGGCCAGGCATCGGTGATGACAGGGGTCATTGGCATCGCCTGGGCCGTCACAGCGTGGGCGCCATATGCGCTCATCGCATCCGAAATCACCCAGGAAGACCCTGGTCGGCCAACTCAGCATCAGCGAGGGAGATCTATCGAAACAGAAGGGTCAAGCATTCTTCCATACAGCGAAGAGGCCGGCGAACCAAGGGTAGCGGGTGATAAGGCAGCAAATCAAGCTGGAGTCGTTCTTGGGCTGCACAACGTCGCCATCTCCTTTCCTCAGATCATTTCTAGTGCTATAGGCAGCCTCATCTTCAAGGCGCTACAGAAGCCACGAGGGGAGCCCTGGGACACCAGCACAGCATGGGTGATGAGGCTTGGGGGATGTGCAGCCGTACTTGCAGGTTTTTTGACAATGGGTCTCGAGGAGCAAGGTGGAAGAAAGTAGGGACGCCGCTGCGCAACTGTCTATATACTCTTGGATCCCCGATATTGGGCCCAGGATAATCGATCATTACACTGCCTCGCCAATGGTGGCCATAAAGTTGTTGCCAGCGCAATGGGTTCTGGCAGCCTCGTAGCATCGTTTGAAGCTGGCAAACTGCAGGTGATGTCAACAAGAATGCTGGCATGAGCTCTGGTCACATCTCGACAGGGTTCAGAGAGAACCTCAATATGGGCGCCTTGGTCCTATCGCTCATCCTCAAGCCATATCCATTACACACCCTGTCTTCAGTCACCGTACTCATTCTATTTTCATCACAACGCAGGGCACATCCTGTCACCGGGCCGCCTACGCCTCCTACAACAGGCAATGGTACGTGGAAGAGCCGCTATGAGACGCTGCACACGTTCACTTCGCAACGCATGAATTACACACGCTGAACAAAGACGACTCTCTCCCCAGAATTTAAAGTACGAGTTGACCGCTGTCTGCGCATGCAATCTGGGACACAAATCTTGGAGCGCACTGTCCGAGCCTTTGGCGGCGCTGACACCTCTAGATACAACATGATCGGGGGTAGCGTCAGCGAAGCCAACTTCTTGTTCATAAAGCCCCTCGCCGGCGAGGAAGCCAGCCGAATCGCAGGCCCAATTATCATCTCTCCCCCCAAGTGACAAAGCCAACCAGCGTCACCAAAACACCACCGGAGCCCTAGTAGGCCTCTACATCCTTCCGCACGACGCCACCATTCTCACCACCCGCCTCGACTACCTCCCCTGGACGTCTCTTCCTTGGTTCATCCATCGGGGGTTGCAAGACATTCTCGTCGTCCTCGCCAAGCCATGAATGAGCCACCACCGCAGCCAACTCGCTCCGTTCCACGGTCTCCACTCGGCCAGATCGTCTCGTCGCCCGGGTTCGAGACATACAGTTCGTCCGAGACGGCAACATGGCAGACATGGCCGCGGGTGCCGTGTTAGCCGGGGGCGGCAATTCCGGCCGCATCGTCACGGATATTGCGGTAGTCTGGTGCGAGGGTCACCGAGACATGAGATCGTACGATGGAACGATATCCTGGGGCGTTGAGCCTCCTCCTACTCCTCCTACTTCTCCCTCCGTAATACCAGACAATAAGACGCTCCACTTCCGGCCCGGTGGCAAGAGTGGTAGCGGAGAGCTAAGTTTCCATGGCTGTTGTGGCGCTAGTCGAGTTCTTTGTTTTGAGATGGAGCGTCGAGTCGGATGATGAGGTGTATCATGATTCGCTCTTGGAGATTAGATTCGGGGTTCTCTCTTCGGCGTTTTGTGTCAGGGGTCGGGTGATTGAATAGAACGTCAGGCCTACACTACACACTAGAAGACACGTCCTCATCACCAGCACCTCAGTCTATATCTAAGAGTATGAGAGTCGCTTTTGGACTTGTTATATTACGTATATCAAAGACGCCTTATGCGGCTTATTGGGACATGCATTGGGTGCCATGTGAGTAATAGATCATGGGTGGCAGTATCTTGCAGTACGACACTGTGGATCACGTGCATGGATATTATGGATCGTTATGTGTGGATGTGTCTCGATATAGATAGTCGGTTTGGCTAGTGGCTACATTACCCTGGGTTTCACTACGACGTCACTCTCCAAAGACCAGAGATGACCACGAAGATAAGAGGAATCTCCCATAATGATCCTAAGATCTGTGCGTACATGGATGAACAAACCGAACGATATACTTAGTAAGTAGTACTCAAGAGAAAAAATGAAGAAGAAGAAGAAGAAGAAGAAGAAGAAGAAGAAGAAGAAGAAGAACAGCGCTATGCTTCATCACTCGTTCACGTGTCTACACACACACACACACACACACACACACACACACACACACATCCCCATTTACGATTCCTATACTACTTACCGCGACGAAAGAATGAGACTGGCTATTGGCTGGCCTTTCGGCTCTCGTAATGCCCACGCAGGTCATCGACTTCTTTTTGGAGCCGCGTCAAATCTGCCAAGATGTCATTGGCGTTCGATGGGTGGGGGATGAATTCGACTTCCGTCGGCGCTGGTGCCGGTGCTGGTACCGGTGCCGTTGGTGCCTCGTCGAGTGGTTTCCCTGAACGGAGACTGAGTCCACTGCTGTCGTTGCTGTGGTTGCTCGATCCGCGAGAGCGTCGTGGCGGTGGAGGCGGGGGTAGGGGGTTGTAAAGCGAGGCCCGCTTGGTCGACGGCCCTGGCGTTGATGGTAATGCCTCTGTGGGCGATGATGGAGCAGCCGCAGCAGAAGATTCAGGACGCAGGGACGAGGTCGCGGAGTCCGTAGGCTCCTCGGATGGTGTACTGCCCGTGCGGGACTCCCGCGTTCGTGACGGGTTCAAGGACCAGGAGCCTGGACTAGGGGGCGGCGACGATTCAGCCGTGGACTCCTGCGCCGCGTGGATGGAGAGCCGCAGTGGGTTGACCTTAGATGCCGTGGTCTTCGACCGTCTCATCTGACTGTGTCGTCTGCTGAGCGGGGGCGTTGGTGGCCGCTTGTTCTGCGACTGACTGCGCCGGAGCGACTCTGACGGCTGCGGCGGGGCTGGCTCATCCCTGGGCTGGGCTGAGAAATAGTCCGACCCCGACTGGGAGGGTCGGCGGGAGTATGATGGCTCAGATGGGGTGCCATGGAAAGAGAACCGGCTGGTAGACTTGCCGGGGGTGGTTTGGGTGAGAGCTGGCGTGGTGCCAGGGCTTGGGGCGATCCGTTTCCCGTGATGACTCTTGGGCGGAGGGGGTGGTATCCTATCCCTGTTTCCCGGGCGGCTGGCGGGAGGGCGTGAATTGATTTCTACTGACGAGGGCAAGCCCGAGCCAGCCCGGCTGGCTGGTCCAGGACGCAAGTCGGATGGTCGAGATACATCCGTCGAGCTACTGTCGGGCGTCCGGGTGCCCCCATAGGACGTGGAGGAGCGAGTCGACCCGGCTATGGGCGCGGTTTCTCGCGATGGGCCAACCTGTTCCAGGTCTACTGGCTGGTTGTGGATGCTTCGCTGCACGGGGATCGTGAAGGCTGCAGGCGGCGCGGATCCCCTGGAGGATAAGGCTGGGTCTGGAACGGTCCTGATCGATGGCTGGGAGCGATCATCGCCCCCGGGAGGTGGTTGAGCGGCCTGGTAGGTGCGTCGGGGATTCAGATCATCGACATCCTGCTGCTCATCCTCCTCCCCATCCTCATCGGTCGCATACGAGGGCTGGTGAAACGGGTCCGAGACGGACTGATCATCGGAGGAGGCCGCGTCGTCGAGATCCGGGGTCAGAGAAGCTGGAGGGGTTCGAGGGACGGGGCGGAAGGACATCGAAGGAAAGGTCACGGCGGGGGGTTTCGAGGATGAGGACAAGGAGGTGGTGGAATACGAGGGGAGGGAGGGATTGGGCGGCGCGAAGGCATCTGGGATGGAAGGTCAGCATCCAGGCCGGTTCAGCTCTCAGTCCATCTCGTCCGACCAGCACGCGACGAACGGTGCGCAGGAACCGGAACCGTCGGACGGACTCACTCTCGGGCTTCTTAGGGCGGAAAGGATTTGATCCAGACATCGCGGAGGAGGAGAAGGGCAGCACTGACCATGAGAGCAGGGAAGGGAGGAAGGATTGTTGGGGAGGGAAGGTTGGGTTGGGAAGGAAGAAAAGGGAGGTTCGCACTCCAGTTCCTCGGCCTGGTGAGTCTACACTTAGAATACTGACTGGCGGCTTGGACTCTCCTCTTTCTTTCTCGCATGTTGCATTCTGCCCCGGCAATTTCCCCTCGACTCTCTCCCATTCTTCCTCCCTAATTTCTCTCTCTCTCTCTCATGATAGTCAAAAATAAAAGACACCTAATCGAAGAAAAAAAAAAAAAAAATCGAAGAAAAAACAAGGTATATATGGTACAGTGAAGAATGGTAGATAGGTATAGGCGCATAGTACCCACCCACGCGGAACCCAACGGACCCTCCCAAAACACCTCTCCAGTTATACAAAGAATAAGATATCAAATCAACGGCGCAATCAAATGGTCATCACAGTAGTCCTCCCTCGAGGGTCAATGCCCGAGAAAGCCTGGGTATCAACTCGCCCGTGTATCACGAAATCAATCTCTTCTTCTTCTTCTTCTTCCTCCTCCTCCTCCCACCCTTGCCTTGGCGCACCCCCCCCCCACGACCCGTGCAAAAGAAATGCCGATTCAGTCTATCGTCGTTTTAGCTTTCCTCGTAAACATGCCACTCGTCGCTGCCAAAGAAGGCCTGTGCCAGACTCTTGCCACTCTCCGTCGGTTGGCTGAAGGCGACCTGTTCCTTAGGGATCTCCATCCCGTAGATAAAGTTGCTCACTACACAGTCCAAGAGGTCCATAGCAATCCCTTTCCGGCGCGATGAGCCCGACGTCCAAATGCGCGAGATCCCCACAATGGCGGGATGCTTTGCATCCCCGACCGTCACCGATGAGTCTGGTCCACTGGTCGATGGGGTCGACTTCTGGACCGGTCGTGACTCCCAGATCCGCTCCGTCAAACACGCTCCAACGCATCGACTGTCTTTCATGTGCAGAAACACCTTATACCGGTCCACCTTCTCCACCGCCGCGTTCTGGTTGAGATGCTGCGGCGGTTCCGTCTGACTCCACAGGATCTCATCCTCGATCGTGGGGGAGGAGAGCTCCTTGCAGATCACCTCCAGCACTTTCTTGGCCTGGTTCTTCGCCGACGGCGATGCCTTGCGATCCACAATGACCACATATCCCTCATCAAACCGGGTGGCTTCGTACACCCAGCGCGATGCATTGGCCCGCATGAAGGCCTTCCCAAGATCCACCCCCGTCGAGTTCATGTCGTGAAATTTCTTATGAAGGGCCGAATCCTCCGCGTTCGATGGCACATATTCCATCCCGCATGTTGCACACGTCCTCCGCACTTCGTGACCCAAATCGATCTGCATCTGCTTCAAGGGGCCCGGCTGCTGCGGCTGGGGCGCTTTCTTCTTGGGTGGAACGACCGAGGCGCGCACGCTATTCGAGTTGACCTCCGTGAGTGGGGTGGCGCTGCTGACATCCTTGGTGTCGGAGTGTTTACGCTTAAGGAAGGCAAACGTGGGTTTCCGCGTGTTGGGTGGAGGGGGGCTTAGCCGGGGGGGTGGTGATGATGGGGGTGTCGATAGCTCGTCCTCCTGGGTCCCTTCGGACAGGAGCACTGAATTGCGACGCGACGGGCTGGACATGACTGCTGCGGAGGACTCGCGGATAGCATATTGAAGGCTGTTCTCGGCCTCATCGGAATCATTGCCGGAGAGAACGCGTCGTTTTTTGGCCGCTGGCCGTTGGTCATCATCGTAGACGCGCCACAGGGGCCGTCCGTAAGTTTTCATCATGAGACCTCTGCGTGGGGGGGAAAGAGGGGAGCGTGTTAGTTCTAGTGGCGGAATCCAAGGGATAGGGAGCCAGGAGCAGGGGCAGCAGCACACGTACCGCTTGAATGAATTTGTCACAGTCCACGGCATCTCCCTTTCTGATGTAAAAGATGCATTCAAGCGAGGTAGAACATCTATGGCCGTGGGTTTGAAAGGAGAGAGGAAAGGAAGAAGAAGGGAGAACCAGGGAGAGCCGATCGATGATGCAGTGGAATGAGCTGCCTGACGGAATGCCAGGAAATTATGATGGGAGGCCCGGATTGGCGGTCGCCGATCGACGGGAAACGCGTGAATACCGCCGAGCTAGGCCCCATTCAGTCATATTGCTCTCGGCGATTCTCTGGTGATTCTCTCCCACTTACCTCGCAATCACAGGTTCTTGCCCCTCGTCGCGGGAGTTGGGAGGGAATCTCTCCGAGGAGACAATGGAACCAGCCGTCCACTTTATACACACACACACTCTCTCTCTCTCTCTCTCACACACACCCCCGCCCAGGCAGCACTCCAGCGCTCAGCAAGCTACTATCTCCCCGGAGCCAGGCTCCCGTTGCCCGTTGATGTCGGTGGTGGCGTGCCGGGATGTCAAAAAAAGGCTCCTGACTCAAATCCAATTATACGCGCGGGTGATACGTGTGGAACACTCCACTGCTGAAGAAGGAATAACAATGAGGGAATCACACCGAAGTAGACAACTTCCCCCCGTCCCTGGACGAGGGCCGGCTTACTTCTTATGAGAGCAACCTGGCCATGGTGAATCATCCTCCGTCCCGACTTCGCCTCCCTATATCATGAGCCCCCAACCAACCAGACTCACCGGTGCAACACACAGGTTGGCTTAGTATGTACGGACAAGTCGGTGGCAGCTGAGGTGGCAGGCCGCGTCGCTACGTCTCCGAGTAATGACTCTATCTATTTCCTGTCACGCATCTCCCGTTGGTCTCCCCTCCGGTCCAGCGCATACCGGATCAGCCACTCCGTTGCTTGGGAGGGGGCAAATTCATAGATCGACCGGGAACCATCCTCTTTTTCTGCGCCCCCAGCCTCGCCCTTGCTGGGCGATAGTGATGCCTTACTGGGCCATGACCATGTCATGGCACCTCCCCTAGACATTGACTTGCAGCTCGGGTTCTCAGATTTGTTCCGGGATTGGATGTGACGGCTACACAGGGTTCCGGGTGATCTGGATCTACCTGCATCTTCTCCCCTCTCTCTGCTTTCTTGTGGGGGGCGCTGTGTTAGCTGTCCTCGGGCAGCTCCAGGTCGGTCCCTCCACCACATGGGGGTTCTTCCGTCTCGAGTATGGAGTACAGGAGGCCTCGATGTTATCAGGCTTACAGCCAAGCCGTGGCTGGATCAGAGCCACTCTCCCCCGACCATCACTGACAGCCGGATCGAAGTTGCCGATCGTAGGGACGCGCATCATCTTTCTACTAGAGTGTTTGCTTTTTTCCCTTTACCTTTCGACTCTTCCTCACCGGGTCATGATTATCATTTATCCCTCCCGGCCCGGAGGAGGGATGCCGGTGGTGAGCTGAACCATCTGATCTTTCCCCCCCATTTCGTACCTGCACGAAGGTACCACTCAATTCCAAGCACGGAGTAGATAGCACAACTTCTGCGCGCCCCGTAGGGAAACCCTTCCTGAAAATGTAATAGTCCTATGTAGATATACTGATCAGGTCCGTCCACACCCCGGGGCGGGGAAGCGCGACCAGATCTCGTCAGACTGCTGTCAAATCAGGCTAGATGCCGCCGCGAGGAGCTTCTCGAGCCACGGCAGGTGGGACATGATGTCGATAGGGAGGCCACTGGGGCCGCTCACTGGGCCGACGGTCACGCCTCTGTGCAACCTGGCGGTTACACCTCAAGGTAATGTGTACGAGGGGCCTCCCGCGGGGGAAGAATCATGGACCAGGGCACCGGAGATATTGACCTAGGCAGGATGCTTGATGGATGCAATGTGATGAGATGAGTCTTCCATCTGAGTAAGATGTGGCGTCCCCCAAGGCTCCCACTACTTATTAGTCGGGTGCATGGTTGGTAAATGAACCGTGTCTTGGTAACCCGAAGACGGCTTGAGGCTAAGTACTTATCTGACCTATCTCCAACCGACATGACCCTCCCATCACATCGATCGACCCTGGTCTGGGGATCAAACGAGGCCGAAGTTGGCGTGAAGAAAGGGTGAGCAAGCCAATGATGACCGGAGGAGGCGCCGGTCGAATGCATTGTTGATCGGAGCTGGCGCTTATTGGACGGGCGCGGAGGGGGCGACAGCTTGAATTTAGTGGTGTTTCTAGCTTAGGTCAGGTCTGATACTACTAGTTACGGATACTATCTAGGTATCTACTTCTAGTCGAGTGTTTGAGATCGACTGCAGCCGGAGGATGTTCGGCAGTCTCAGTGAGAGAAATTCATGGAAGGCTAGTTACGGTACAGACGGGGTATGTAACCTGTAACCTGTCTCCTGTACAGCATGCAATCCCCGGGGGAGTGACACTTGACTCAGGTATGGTATTAGGTGATGTCTGGCCCTTCAAAAAGTCTAAGATGCCTTCGTATTGGCGGGATGGAAAGTAAAACAATGGGGAACGGGACCACCCCCAACTAACTGAGCCAAACCAACCCAATTGAACCAAAACCACAATTTTTTCCCTCGTTTTTCCATCCCGAACCCGTTTTTCTGCTGCGAATCTCCCCCAAACCCGAACCTCCGCCGTCCGTCCAAGCCCCCAAGGAATTACCCCGGCGCTCCTTCGACCGTCTCACTCTCACTCCCTTGGTTCCTTCGGCGACTTTTCATTCGCAAAAGCATTGTGATCCTCTTCCTTCGTGGCCTCATTGTTCCAAGTGAGGGGAAGCTGCAGAGCGATAACGTGAGAGAATAATAAGGAAGGGGGCCGAAGCTGCTGCTGCACCTTTTATAAACTCTCGCCGGCTTATTCTCCATCTCTTTTTCCTTGCGCTCGGGGGTCTTCTGTCTCGTTGCTTTTTTCCCCTTATCTTCCCTGCCTCTGCTGCCGTCCCGATTCACGGCCCATAGCAAGATACTCAAAAAGCTCTCTGCCTGGGAGCTCTCGATTTCAGTCTTCCTCCGATCACCGTCGCCAATTCTTCACATCAGACCATGTCGGACCCTCTCCAGAATGCAGGGAAGAGAAAGCGAGCCAGTACGTGCAACAATCCAATTAGAACCGCGCGGTTTGGGCTCATCGGGGCGTCTGATTCACTCATTTCGATCCCAATGATGCCCCCTCCCTCTGCCTTCTTCTTCCCCCCTGTCCCTTTTACCATCTCGTGCATTCCCCGCCTTCTTTTTTTTTTCCCCTTATCTCCAACGCGGGAGATCAACATTCTTTTTCTTCACTGTCGTCTTTATTTTCACGGCCTTCTCACCACGGCTCCCCCACCCCCGATTTAACTGCCTGTATCATTATCTCTCTTCTATTCTCCACTTTCTCCAGTCCTGGTGTTCTATTCCCTCCTGGGGACACCTATCTATCGCACCGCCTCAGTTTTCGCGCCGCGCAATTACCGACTGCGTGATTTTTTGTTTCCGTTGATTAGCATCAAAAATGGTTGCTAACCTGACTCCACCCGCAGGGACGCAGTCCTGCCCGCCGCCCGAATTGCCGCAGCTCGTTGCGGAGCAGCATGCTCCTATCCCCGCCCATGACAAAGAGACCCAGCGTCTGATCGTCGTTCTCTCCCATGCCAGCTTGGAGACCTACAAGGCTTCGAGCGGGCGCAACGGCTCCGGCCGTGATGAGAAGTACTCCTTGCTCAACAGCGATGAGCACATCGGTGTCATGCGCAAGATGAACCGGGACATCAGCGAGGCTCGCCCGGATATTACACATCAGGTCGGTTGCTCCTCGGCCTCGTCACAAGCCCTGGTAGCAAGTTGCTGATATTTGGTTTCTAGTGCTTGCTTACTCTGCTTGACTCCCCCGTAAACAAGGCCGGCAAGCTGCAGATCTTTATCCACACTGCCAAGGGCGTCTTGATCGAAGTGAACCCCACCGTTCGCATTCCCCGTACGTTCAAGCGGTTCGCCGGTTTGATGGTCCAGCTCCTTCACCGGCTCTCCATCCGTTCTACCAACTCCCAGGAAAAGCTCCTGAAGGTCATCAAGAACCCCATTACCGACCACCTGCCCCCCAACTGCCGTAAGGTGACTCTCAGTTTCGAGGCCCCGGTGGTGCGCACCCGGGACTACATCGAGTCGCTGGGTCCCAAGGAGAGCGTGTGTATCTTCGTGGGCGCCATGGCCAAGGGTCACGATGATTTCGCCGACTCCTTCAAGGACGACACGATCAGTATCAGCAACTACAGTCTGAGTGCGAGCGTTGCGTGCAGCAAGTTCTGCCATGCCGCCGAGGAAGTGTGGGATATCGTCTGAGCGAGGCACGGCTGCCGCTCCTATCCCGCTTCTCAGAAACGGCCAAAGCTTGACGAGGTGACGAATTTCCTTGCGCTAATACATCGGAAGGGCATGATCGAGAACGGTCAGCGGGTCCTAGAACGGGGACGAACTTGTCTTCCACGCGCTGTCGCTTTCTCTCTGCCTGGGTGAATTTGCATCGCTTGCTGTTATCTGCACGTCTTGATGGGTTTTCGTGTCTTTCTCGCGCCTCGCATCGTGGTCGCTGCTCGACTGCCGCATGCGATATGGAAAACTAGGATCACATCATATTTCTGGGCCTCGTGACGCTCGGGCGGTCCCCTTTCGACGGGCCGACGCCGGGGTCACTGCGCGGCAACCCTGCTCCGGTCTCTTCTGGTAGATACCTCTGTTTTGAGTTCTGCAGGATCGATTGTCTCGACGCGGGTCTGGGTCCATTTCCAATGTCTATGAGGGTGATCTGGAAGGTCTATTGCTCTGTAATCTCGAATGCCCTGGCAGGGTGTTGTATAGTGTCGTCGCCGCCCTGCACTCGGGGCAAATATACATACACGCGAATACACCCGATACATATCTATGAATGGAGGAAACAGAACGGTCTCGGATGGCTTTGAACCCCTCCCTTCAGCGCCCCTGATACTCGTCCCTGTCTTCTCGACCTCGTTTTTCCCTTGCCCTTGGTCTGTGGGTAACCCAGTCGGCCCACTGGCAGGCCCATCAGTAGTTTCGTAGACCCAGTTGTGGATGCACGTAATAGTACCATGTAGAGTCCCGTGGTCATGGCGCTGGGGAATGGTGACGTTGAAGACCCCAAGGAGCCAATATAATTGACGGGGAGACTAGAGCCGATCGCACCATGGAGAGGGCCGGAATTCGTGTCGAAGCGCGAGAGAAGAACAGGAAAAAGTGGGAAACGAGCGAGAAAGGAGGTGAGGGCCATGCACCACGGGCTACTAAGTATCTACTAACCGATGGAGGGGAGAGGATCCTGGTGCCTGAGGCCGGTCATCTGCTCCTTCCTTTCTGATCAGTTGGGGTGGTGTCATCTCCTCTTCTCTCTCTGGCTTCAATTCCTCTTCGTCTCCCCTGAGTCCGGTCTCACTCGTCTGCCTCCCCCGTCCTCTCAGCTCATTGATTACGAACAAATGAAGCAATAAACTCTGACTCATTCCATCAAGGCCGGTCAGTGGAGGGCATTATTGTTACAACTTGATGACCAGAGTCAATCGGGTGGCGCCGGTGGCTGGGGATGGAGTCTCCAGTTCGACGTGGCATGCAGCCATCGCAGCAGGTGGATCGCCCGCTTGGGTCGATGGAGATGGATTTACTCCGTACATGAAACCAATGGAAGATCGAAGTCGTCCGAATGATCATGATGCCGTTGGCTGATGGGCACCAGAGACACCACCTTTCAAAGGCGCGGCCAACGCCTTCCTCTGACGGATGGATCCCGTGGTGTTCGCCTCCTTTCACCGTGATTTTCGAAAGATTCCTGTTCGGGTGTTCTAGATGCCCCTCCCTCCTTCTGGCTGAGGGCGATGATCCACGGAGCACATTTGGCGGTCAGATCGCACCGGCCGGCGACTAACAGCAGCAGATGTGCCCGAAGCAGGAACAAAACCACCCCCCCATCGGTCAAGCAGATTTGCCCCTCAGTGGCACCTCATCCCCCTCAGCACGGTTGCTTGCTGACATGCCCGCCTGCGATTCGTTGTTCCCTCGTGATTGGTGACCACCCAAGGCGTCTGATGTCCAATCCCTGGCCCTAGCCGAGTGAGCCCGCGTTGCAATAGTTCAGGTCTTCATGAAAGTCAAGTGAAGTGCCCCCCCCCCAAATCCCTTGGCTGGCGCCGGCCTATGCACCTGTCGCGGTTTCAGCGTCTCTTTCGTTTGGTAACTGTCGTCTCCACCCCTGCCAATCCCCTTCATCCACCTTGTCCTGGACCCTCTCGCCTCACTCGAGTTCCTCTTTTGACAAGATGCTCCTGGTTGCGCTTGGCTCCTGCTTGGTCCCCACCGTTTTCTGATAGGCGCCCCGTCCGCCGTCGACAGGGCCACCTACAGCACCGTCCGCCGGCTTTCCCCACGATGACCTGGCGGCCATCCTGAGAGTGAGACTTCGTACCCCTCGTTGCTAGCTTCACCGAAAGAGTAACATCATGGGTCGTCTGAGGGTCGGAGTGAGTGGCAGCCTTCCGATAGCACCCAGGAGCCTATCCCTTTTGGCAGCAGCCTGCAGAGCCCGGACGAGGTTGATGCCTCGCGGATACTGGGCATCGTCCGGATGCCGTGCGAGTCTATGCAAGACTGCCTGCGATAACCGGCCTAGTCGTGCTCCACGATTGGAACAACTGGTCTCTTTCCCATGATAATTTGGTCCCCTGTTAGCTCCTGACCGCTCATGATTGGATCCCAAGTTGGGCATTGCGGGAGCATACTCCTGAGTCCTAAGGTCGGCCTGCATCTTGCCTTGAAATTCTAGTGCTGCTTCTCGGCTGGTCCCTCCCATCCCTCTCTCCTGATTTCATCGTCCTAAGTCCCTCCGGACTCCCTGTATATATATCGTCTTTTCTTCTCTTACTCGCTTTTATTCTGCAATCGACTTTTGGATCTGTATTGCTGGTGGAGCTATCCATCTGAGATCTATTTCTCTTCTCTGATTGTTACCCCTCCGTACCTCCTCCCCTGACCACATCTACTTCCGCAACTCGCAGAGGGCTCTTTACCCAGCGAGTTAATATAGCCATGCCTGTCTCACATCTAACCCTGACGGTTGCCCACCTGCCCACCTCCACATCCTTCTTCCTTTCTTGCCTACAACCTCTGGGGTACCAGTTTATCGGGCGCCATGATGACTACATTGGCTTCGGTCAAAAGACCGGCGAGCCCGCAGACTTCTGGATCACCGAGCAAAAGCCCGGGTAGGTGACCCCCAAAACTGCCATTTATATTTGTGATAGTGTCTGATCGTGATATTTTAGGGTGCCTGCTGGTGCCGCTCATGTTGCCTTTCCTGCAACCTCCAAAGACGCTGTGAGCGCCTTCTTCATCAACGCCCTAAAGGCGGGTGGTAAAATCCATAGCGAGCCCAAGCAGCGCGACTCGGACTCTGGCTACTACAGCGCCGCCGTCATCGACTTTGATGGCAACAGCATCGAGGCAGTATACCGCCCTAGCGTCTCATCAGCCCGGTCAGAGGTCAGATCAGAGGTCCGGTCCGTGGCCAAATCTGAGGTCAAGTCTGAGCTAAGTCGGCCGGCCCTGGCGTTGCTCGAAAACGGCTCGGTTGTATCGAAGGCGAGCAGCAAAGCCAGCTCCGTCAGGCCCGAGAGCGTCGCGCCTCCCAGGTCTGAAGCCCGCTCGTATGCTTCCAAGGCCACAACTGCCGTGGAAAGGCTGCCTCCCCCGTCCGAGCGAGCCCCGTCTGTTGTCAGCCGTGATATCCAGCAGGCTCCCACGGTGATCACCCGCGAAATCCAACAGGCCCCGTCGCCCACATATGTTGTCCACCACACGACCCACACTACCACCCAGAAGACTGACGACGGCAAGACGGCCAAAACCATTGTCGGCACACTTATCGGTGCTGCTGCGGGCGCCGCACTCGCATATGCAATGACCAAATCTGACTCCCCGGAAGGATCCGAGACCACGCCGCCCCCGTCGTATTCTCCCCGGGACATTGCCCAGTTGCTCTCCCCGTCGCAAGCACCTTCCCAGGCCCAGGACGAGTATCCTGGCTTCAGGGCCATCGAGGCTCCGCCACGGAGCGTTTATTCTTCGCGGTCCGACGCGCGCCCCAGTCTCACTCGTAGTGTGACCTCGAAGAACCCTCGCGCCAGCACCATCTACGAAGGCACGGAGTTTATCCCCCGGGGCAGCGGCGGCAGTGTCTATCTCGACGAGAACGGCCGCCGGGCATCCGAGGGAAGCGTCTACACCACCAAGGATATCCCCCTGCGGGCGATCGAATACGCCCCACCGGTCGATGGACGGGGTTACCAGAACACCCTGGTCAGCAGCTTCCACGACAAATCGCGGGCGATGGACGGTGCGAGTGTCTATTCATCCTCCACAGTCCGCACCCCCTCCAAGGCCAGCTATCAAGAGTCCCACCACAGCTCTCATCATTCCTCACACCACTCTTCCTACCACTCCGTGAGCCGATCCCAGGCCGGCAGCACTGCCTCTTCCAACCGCACGGCCCGGCAGGCCCCTCTCCCGGAAGGTTCCATCGCCTCCTTCACCTCCTACCGCAGCGCTACCAAATCGGGTGTCTCGGCTCGCGAGGTCCCTCTTCCCGAGAGTGTCGTTGATCTCGATGTCCAAAGCCATGTCACCCCTGACGACTCGATCAGTCAGGTGGATGACTCCCGGCGGTCCTCCTACTCCCATCGGTCGCATGCTTCGAAGCCCGCCTCCCGGGTGTCCAAGCACTCGAAGTTCGACGAACCCGTCAAGCCCAGCGACAGCGTCAGCCAAGTCTCTACCAACGTCTCCAAGGCCTCTCAGCGGACCATGAAAGCCGGCGGTAATGGCAGCGGCGGCAGCATCGCTCCCTCCAAGGCCGCCTCGAATGCGGCCTCGAAAGTCAGTCGCAGAACCGCCAGCCAGGTAGCATAGACTACCTCCAGCATCTTCTCTTCTTCTCCATCACTCTTATTTCTCTTCTTTTCACTCCACAGCATACACATGCTTGTGATAATTTATCTAACCGCTGATCGACCGGCATGGTCTTGGACCATCTTGCATTACCTAACTTGTATGTGAGGCACATTTGTTTCTCTACACATTGGACATCTAAACGAGCATGAAACGAGGCGTTTTGTTGTGATCATTGTTTAATATATGCGGGTTGGTTATGTCGCTTTGTCATGTCTTATTTCATTTCTGTCTAGCATTTCATTTTCTATACTATACAAGAACTGCATACAAATGTGGAAATTATCTGCCATTTCATTTGCATCTGCATAGTTACTTTGAGCATCGGGGAGCCACTGCAGTCACTGTTGGTCAGCATTGGGCGAAGCATGGAGTGCATAGTTAGCTGTCGGGTGCCCTGGATTAGTTTAGATTTCGGGTGTCCTTCTAGAAGGACGATCATCATTCCACTCGTTGGTTCGCACATACACCGCCATTCTGAGTCAAAGATCGCTCCTAGTGACGCTCTACAATGTAGTAATGCCCTTACGAAGGGGTTGATTACGTAGACAAACGATTCCCCTCTACAATGAAACAGCGCTCGACCCACTGGCTGCATTGGTTTTACTCGAGATTGCCTATTGCATACAACCCGTCAATTGCCACCAGCAGCATCGCCATTAATCCCATCCCTGGTCTCTCCTCGCCCCCCTACCATTCCACCACTCAGGCAAGCCTCACGACCGTACCAGCAATATCCTCCCCCCAGCCCCGACCCAAGGATTTTCGAAACACGCATCCTGGGTCCTATGTTCATCAGGTAACATTTATCCGACTCCGTCGAGTGAAATAAAAAATGCCATGAATGCATAATGAGAAGTGGTCATAATGATCGTTGGATATGACATTTCCCGCCAAAAGGAGAAAGCGAAATAAGGGGTAAACGCGGAATTTCAGACACACGCAAATAGTTCACGAAAACAAGGAAAGGATCTACGATCACGGTACGCCAGGCTTCGGATCTGATCTAACGGAGAGAAAGAAGACGCAGAAGCGGATTGGGAAGACCAAGGTGGCCGTGGAAACTTGAATTGCGAAGATCAGATGGCATATTTGCGAGTCCATTCACGCGCGGTCGCCTCGTACCGGGGACGGTCCGTCTTATACACGTGAGCGATTTCGGGCACCAACGGGTCGTCGGGGTTGGGGTCTGTGAGCATCGAACAGATCGAGAGCAGCACTGTAGGAAGTAAATTAGTCTCTACAGGGTCGGAAAAGGCGGGAGACGGAGACGGGGGAGGGACGAACCCTTGGAGATCGTGAGAGCAGGGCTCCACTGGTCTCTGAGAATGTCAAGGCAGATGCTGCCGTTGGAGTTGATGTTGGGGTGGTAGATCCGGGTGGTGAAGTTGACCTTCGGGGGCTTGAAGGGGTAGTCGGTGGGGAAGTGGATGTTCAGGAAGAAAACACCTCCCGAGTATGGAGAGTCACCCTGGTGAAGATCGCATCAGCATAATTATTCTTCGGAGGTAACATGGCTATCGTATGCCGGCGAATGCCGCAAGGTCCCCGTCTGACAAAGAGACGAAGACTCTTGAACATCGGGCACCACCAAAAACTCCGGGGATACTCACAGGACCCATGATAGTTGCTTGCCAGTGGAACTGTGCAGCGAGACAACTTGTCAGTATTCACATCTAAACAATGGAGTGTGACGATAAGGGGTTGGATCGCAGATCTGCGTAGGGCTGCCCCGCCGCTGCCGGCAGGAGCGGCGATGCGACCGTGTGGAACGAGGGGTCGGAGGGGTCAAAACCATACCAGGTCATCTCCGGAGGGACCAGCAGAGCAGGAGGAGGGGGGATCGCTGTAGAATGGAAGACAACCACATTAGCATGAGTGTATCAAAGCCATGGCAATGCATCACAAGAGGCGCTGGTTTGGCGGAGGATCAAAGTGGCGCCCCGCGGCCGTGGTGGGGTGTGACACCAGGCGGCAACGAGGAGGGGGGGAACAGAGAGGATGAGGGCATGGCTTACCGGCCGAGGTCAGTGAGTTCCTTGTTAATTCTCTTGAGAGCCATGGTGAGAAGAATGTGATATGTAAAGAACGGAGAGGATCTCCTAGGTTATGTAGAAAAGCGAGTGGTATGGAATTTGAAGGTGGGAAATCTGCACACGAGGATTCCGGGTCAGCAACGGAGACACAGGATAGAGAAGGAGGGGAGGACCACGAAGGAAGACGAAGCGACGAAGAAGAAGGGGGGGATCCCAGGGGGGGTGGCTGGCAGGGAGTGGGCGAGTGGAGGGAGACTCACCGTGGGCTGATTACGTCGGAAGACGACGAGGCAGAAGAGGGGGAATTGGGCTGAGGGAAAGAGGAAGAGAAGGAGAGGAGAAGAGAAAGAAAGGGAAAGGGAAGTGGACGGGAACGAGCGAGAAAGAGGGAAAGTCACCAGCCCCCCCAGTCACGCCTGCGGTATTACCCGTATTACCCAGCATTACCCAGCGTTACCGGCAGGGCCGCCTTAGTCAGGCCTCTCTCAGCCACCGACGCCACACCCCTCTTCCGTTTCATCATTCATGCTTTCACCGTAGTATGAGATAGTATAATGGCACTTGGATCCTGGATTTCTACGGGATACCCCGTACTATGTACTATGGTATCACTACTAGATAGTCAACCCCAACGATCTCATATTCCAACATCCTCCCCACCCACATGAACAGTACAACCCCCCCTCCATCCAGCCACTTCTCCGACAGTTTCGGATCCCTCAAACGGGGCCTCCTCGGATGGGGAAACCCGATATGCTTGACCCGGTGGCCACTTTGTACCCATTTTCCAATGCTGGTTCTTCCCGATCACTGGACGGCCAACAACACGAAAATGGATCTTTTCTTTACTGTTTTTCTTTTTGGTAATTTAACCTGTAATCCCCTATGGACGTCATACACCACCCCTCTTGCACTGTAATCTGCATATAGATTAGGTACTAGTGTAGGGCGTGCAGACGATTTTCTAAAAGATACTCCGATATATATTGAGGTGCATAGTAGATACATGTAGGCTATATGCAGACTAACTCTCTAGGTCATATGTATGCTCCGAATAGATAGATGGATGGTTCAGCTAAACTACGGAGTCCTTAGCCCCATCAACCGTTTCCCCCCCTCTCTTCCAATTTAGGTATGTACTGTGTACTAGTACTGTGGTATCTGGTCTGTGCCACATGAGAATCTGAGATTAATCACGGCAGTGGCGACGGCTAAAGAATCAAGAGTCTTCAAGAACCAAGATGGGTGGCATTTAGTACTCACTACTCATCCAGACTGAGTAATGATCACGACCCCACTTGATAAGGATCTCGATTTGCCCCCCTCCTCGAGTGAGATAATCATGGCTGTCGGGGAGATTGCGGGTTATACTTTGGACATTTCCGGTGGTAGGGATGGAAAGAGAGGGTAATTTCCTCGAGGAGAGGCGAAACAGTTACTGAGGGGTAGGGAAAATTACCAGTTACCATGCATGCCGCATGGATGGTTTGGGAAGCCCTTGCCACGTGGCGCAGCTGGGTTCTCACGTGATATAAGATGAGATGGTGGTTTCTGGAAGGGCCGGTGGGATTCAGTGTTACTACATATCATGAGTCATGGGATAGAGACTGCGTGAATAGTGGTTTGGTTATGCTGTGGGTCTTTGTCAGGGGAAGGGTGTTTATGTACATGTGACGAGGGTGGCCATCAGGTCATGTTCGATGCAGCTTAATGGCATCTATATCTTGGATAGGTTTGTTGCTTAGACGAATGCCTGCACGCCGGTGATGGCACGTCCGAGGATCAAGGCTGCGCGGCCCAGAATCAGTAATGAAATCTGGGTAAGGAGTGTTCCAAAGGCAAGGACTCACAGTGGATATCACTTTGTCCCTCATATGTCTGCACCACAAACAGGTTGGCGACATGCCGCGCGATATGGTACTCGTCGCTGGCCGCATTACCGCCGAACACTTCCTGAAGACTATCAAAGTAAAGGATGAGGTCAGCCTAGTGGCTTGCAAAGCCTCATGCCAGAGACACGACAACAAGAAAGAGGGTGCATACATCCGAGAGTTCGCCAGGGCTCGATCACAGTTCTGTCTCTTGACCATCGAGATCATCTCCGGGGTACACTTTCCAGCATCCTTCAGCCTGGCTACTTGGGTCGCAGCCAGAGTGCCGTACGCGGCATCCGTGGCAGCGTCCGCCAGCTTCTTCTGAATCAGTTGGTATTTCGCCAGCGGGTTACCCTTGAACTGCTTGCGCTCCAAGGCGTAGGTGCGCGCGCGGCTCAGACAATCTTCAAGAGCACCCATCGCACCGAATGCGATACCCAAGCGAGCGCTATTGAGGCAGGTGAAAGGGCCAACAAGCCCCTGGACGTCAGGGAACATGTTCTCCGCAGGGACAGGACAGTCATCCAACTGAATCATGCCGGTGATGGAAGCGCGCAGCGCAGTCTTGTTCTTAATGGCAGGCGTCTCCAGAGTCCCTGGGGGGCATTGGCTGCGCTCCACCACGAATCCGCGAATCTTGCCCGTGGTCTGCAACTTAGCCCAGACGATCAAGACGTCGGAGATGGGCGAGTTGGTAATCCAGGTCTTTGTGCCAGACAACAGATAGTACCCCTTCTTGGTAGGGTGCTCCCGCGCCACCGTCTCCATCGAGCCTGGGTCGGATCCATGATTGGGTTCGGTGAGACCAAAGCATCCAGCCAGCTTTCCCTTTGCCAGATCCGGTAGGAGTCGGTCCTTGAGCTCCTGAGTACCGAAGTCGTGGATGGCCGTCATGGCCAGAGAACTTTGCACGGACATCCCTGAACGATATCCTGAGTCCACACGCTCAACTTCCTTTGTGATCAGACCGGAGGCAACCGTGCTCACGCCAGCGCAACCATATCCTTCGATGCTCGCTCCAAGGAGGCCAAGTTCGCCCATCTCGGTTAGGATCTGGCGGTCATAGTTCTCGTTTCGGTAGGCCTCTAGTAGGCGCATCCCAGTTAGCCCCGAATTTCATGAAACATGTGAGCAATGCATGGGGTTCCCTCTTTAGGTTCATCGCCATGCGCATACCTAGAACGCGGGGTAGCAATCGCTCCTGGCAGTACTGCCTAGCTGTGTCTTGAATAGCCAATTCCTCTTCTGTGTACAATTCCGAAGCGACCAACGGATCTTCCCAGTTAAAGGCAGTGGCGTATCCCCGGACGGAAGCATTGCGCGCAGTTCCGGGCGCCCTACACAGGCGGTTTGCGGTCTGAAGGTGGCGCGAAGCCGTACGGAAGGCCGATGGATTCATGATCGGAAATCGAAGCGACAGCAAGGCAGAAGTAGATGGGAAATAATCTGCAATAGTATCAAGTCAATTGAAGGGCGCAAGATTTGGGGGGACGTTCAGCCGATGGGACAGCTAACTGGACTTGCGACACTAAGGGATAGTTCGAAGGATGCTGTTGCGGGGAGAGTTCCAGGCACGCCCGAGTCGGCGCGGCGGCCCTCAACCTCGGCAATCCGTCGGAACGGCGGGCGGGCAGAACTCTACAGGATGCGGGACACTCACTCAAGGGCACACGACCACGTTGGAATGCAATTGTTCGGCGTTCTGTTGAGATGGGAGACAAGCTGAATGACTCTGTATGCTCGTCGCCTTATAAGGACCAGGTCTCTCTAGCCGAGCCGCGGAGAGAAGAGACTCTTCCGCGGCCGACCTCGGGTGGCATCCCGGCTCCGTCGGCGATGGCGCCCAATAACCGGCTTGCCTATCAGCATTGTAGACGGACACTCAACCTCAGGATCTTATTTGTGACTGCCTGGGTCTACTTGAGGCTACTGCAGAGCCTTCAGGGATTGTATGCTATGAGAAGGCTGTACAGGATACCCGACAATGCGATATATCCATCATCTATCCCAGCTTGCTTGAGCTGCAGCCGTGCCGTGGCCAGCCTGCTCGAAGGTTGTTCTATATTATTGCAGTATAGAATCCATCTACCAGATGCAAAGCAGTTAGAAATACCCTAAGATCATGCCGAGAAATCCATTGGGCTTGGTCATATGAGCTCATGCATTTTTTATCGTTAATATGGAGACATATTTTGGAATAGATAGTCCACGTCAGTATGGCTGCTTGTCCGTCCTACAGCCCCATCAACCACGCGTTTCACTCAGAAGATGCGGTACCGGTTCAAGCAGGCATCTGGGACTGGAGGAAATCAAAGACCCCCGTTGGAAAGTAGTCCTCATCGAAGCCCCACAGGTCAGCCATCATGGGATCGACGGAACCTTCGGAGAGACCGCTCTGCTGCTTCGCCTGCGTTGCCTCGGAATCGAAGCTGTTCCCTCTTTCGGCAGACAGAGGAGCGACCCCTAACAACGGAGGCGGATGGTTTAATATGGTATCCCGTTCGCCTAGAGGCTGAGCCCCAGGAATCACAATGGGTTTAAATATGGACAAATTGTCATGGGAACTGTGTGCCAGGGATGGGTTACTGCCGGAGTTCCTCTTCTCCCATTCCTCCAACCCCGTGAGCATCTTTCTCAAGCCACGGGCTATATGGTGGCTGAGGTGATGTTCGCTTGCGCGCTTGCTACAGGACACCATCATCTCAACAATCCGGCCGACCAATTCACGCACGTACGCGACGTCGATGTGTAGCCCGGCCGATGAGATGGAGTTCTGCTGGCCTTGGTTACTGGGAATGGTGCTGGAGCAGCCCTTGGCAGCGATCTTCAGCAGAAAAACGGCGGCAAATGTGATCATGCTGTGGAGGTACAACGGAACACCCACCAAAGCCCTCTGGATATCGGGTTCATCCAGGACGACCAAAAGGGTATCGATGGCGGACTGGATAGCCAGGTTCGCGCGTTTCTTTCGCTGACTAGACATGTGGCGTGTCGATACCGAGGAGTGATAAGTCCGCAAAGCCACCGAATTTAACTGTAGACGAGAGAAGTGGTAATGCAGATTGACAGCCCTGTAAGGATACGCACCGACATATCGACTTCCAACTACTTGTACAAGCCACATTAGCCATCTGCATGATGATGTGATATGGGGGGAATTTTACCTAGCCGAGGATACCAAGAGGTCCGCCAGTTCTCAAGATCAGCGTCAAATTTCTCGATCGTTGAGAATTGGGCGTCGGGAACCTCCAGGTCAACATCAGGCCCAAAGGCGTGATATATCCGTGTTAGGATGATGAACAGATCGACCTGGCTGTGCAGGCGCAAGTCACCTTGTTGCACGTTGGGGTCAAGCGTGAATTTATTGTGGTTCGTGATACTCTGGTCCTCGTGGATGATTGGCGGTCGTCCATATGCGATAGAAAAGTGATGCTCTAGAGTCTAAGAAGGTTAGCCTTATTGCGCATAGCACAGCAGCGGCCAATACTGATAACGTAAGAACATACATAAAGAAGATACCACAGCCTAGCTTGCTCTATATGCTCCGGCGAGCCTTGGATGGCTCTTCGGTAAGACTGATGTAGGTTGCGCTCGGTGGCAATTCGGACTGCATACCCAGACAACTTCCAGCTTACGTCCGCAAGCCAAAAGGCGCCTATACATAACGCGCGCAAATCATCCAGGGTGTGGTGTCTGTCTAGCATTGATTCTGATGCTAATCTAGCAAACTCCGTATAGCATATATCGAAAGTCCGTTCTTTCTTGGGCATATGAAGGGCCGTGACAGCCAGGATGGCGGCGGAGAGCATTGAGGAAGAGTTCCTCACAGAGGTAAGGTCTTTGTGATCCAGTAATATCCCATCCCAAAGATAACGGCTAAGTACTTGATCAAAGTAGGAGAACAGCTCCTCTGCCTCGTGTAAATTTACCACTCCCCGCGAAACGAAATCGCTGACAAGAGCCCGATCGGGAGCATGATGTCTCCCCGGTGAAGTCGTCTGAATATCACTCAACTGAGTCACTTCGTACAAGCTCCCCATCGGAGCCGTGACGAGCGAGGAGGTTCCGTTTTCTTCCCTGTCGAGGGCATATTCTGAGTGTTGTTGAAACGTCGTGTCGGACGTACTGGACTCAAGGACTACTTTACGCGCGCTGGTCTCGAGCGTGTCCGTTCCCGCATCGTGACCCGTGGAAAAAGGCGTATCCTCCATAGACACCGTGGAATCTTGCCGATCCCTCTTCTTTGACGGTGGCTCCGTCGATTTACCGATAGCTTGATAATATGAAAGATCCGGTAGTTGAGCCTTTCGGAGCAAGTCTGCCATTGCGAGCTCCATTGTAGCCTTCCATCTAAAGAACCGCGGGTGCTGGTTAGCCGCATCTTCTAATGGCAAACTACACAGACGTAGCAAAGGGCATAATTACTCTGTCTCGTCGTCCAGCAATGTCTGGAGGCTCTTGTTGACGATACATTCTAGGCCCATGCGGCGGCATCTCTGGCAAACGGACTCCCCCGCATTCATATCGCAGCGGACCTTATGGCGTTTGCATTCAGTGCAGGCTCGGATCCTGCGCGAGATTTTGGGGACATGTCTCGGGCTCTGCTGGGAGTCATTCTCCGGGGTAGGGTGCGGGCGCGATTCTTGAGGGGAGGCCGCCGAGGAGGCGTCACCGTTAGACTCGAATTGAAGACGGCTTCGCTTCATGATGCCAATGCACGCATCGTCCTGGGCAGATCATGTAGCTCGCTTGGGTGGGGGTGGTTCGACCTAAACCACCAAGACAAGGCCAACGGCACGACGCAGAGACGAGGAGAGGAGAGGGGTTTGAGGCTGGGCATGACCGATGCTGGCGGATGCTTTTCCGTGAGCTGCGATTTGTCTACTCGACCGAGACGGCCAGGCCCGATAACAGACGGCGCCTTACTGCTTCGGTCCGAGTCGCCTGCACGGGGTTTCGTGGCGGTGGGGCCTGAGGGCCTTGCAGCCTGAGCCGGATTATGTAAGAGGAACCGGGGAACCTTCCATCCGCGGGGAGGAGCTCCTGTCACGTGTGGCGTAGCTTGCCGGTGCCGCTAAGCCTATCCAAGTCTAATGATGACCGCATGGCGCGTAGGCTCCGCGGCGCGTTCCTGTCGCGGTTTCTCTCATCCACCGCTTGCGCCGGCTGACAGACATTGCCTCATTGATTGTTGGGTTGGGTATTCAGAGTAGCTTCCACAATGGGTATTAAACGTGAGTGTGTTGTTCGTTCTGATTCCCATCATCGCGAACGAGATCACCGTGTCGCAGCACAACTCATCCCAAGAGCTCATTGGAACTGACCATATCCAGAGCTGTTCTCGGTCATTTCTGAGAACGCCCCAGATGCCGTCAAGGCAGGGGATATCAAGAACCACTTCGGACGAAAGGTCGCCATTGTATGTTCAGTCCCCTGTTCTCGTCTTGATGCCTGCCCACCTCCTTTTCTCTCTCCCGAAAGCCATTCACTTGGCAGGCAAAGCTAACAAAAACGGACAATATAGGATGCGTAGGCTTTCCCTGCCCCGGTTTTTCGAGTTTCTCCCACTAATGTCGTCCAGTTCCATGAGCATTTACAGCTTCCTCATTGCCGTTCGTTCCGAAGGTCAACAGCTCATGAGCGACACCGGAGAGACAACGTCGCATCTGATGGGTATGTTCTACCGTACTCTGCGCATGGTCGACAATGGTATCAAGCCTCTGTATGTGTTTGATGGGGCTCCGCCGAAGCTCAAGTCCGGCGAGCTCGCCAAGCGTTTTGCTCGGAAGAGCGAGGCAACCGAGGCTCACGAGGAGGCTAAGGAGACTGGTACGGCGGAGGACGTCGAGAAGTTCTCGCGCCGGACAGTACGGGTCACCAGGGAGCATAATGCGGAATGTAAGAAGCTTTTAAAGCTGATGGGCATTCCATACATCGATGCGCCCACAGAAGCAGAGGCACAGTGTGCAGTGCTCGCGCGGGCTGGAAAGGTTTACGCGGCTGCTTCGGAGGATATGGACACCCTGTGCTTTGAGGCGCCCATTCTTCTGCGGCACCTTACGTTCAGCGAGCAGAGAAAGGAGCCCATCCAGGAAATTCATCTTAACCGTGCGCTGGAAGGGCTTGGCATGGACCGCCAGCAGGTACCCTCCCCAGACCTATGCTCAACTGCCTTATGGAGGCTAACTTGTGCTACAGTTTATCGATCTCTGCATTCTGCTGGGCTGCGACTATCTGGAACCGATCCCGAAGGTCGGACCAAACACGGCGCTGAAGCTAATCCGCGACCACGGAACTCTGGAGAAGGTGGTGGAATTCATGGAGAATGACCCGAAGAAGAAGTTTGTTATCCCCGAGGACTGGCCCTATCAAGATGCCAGGGAGCTCTTCCTCAACCCGGACGTGAGAGATGCCAACGACCCCGAGTGCGACTTCAAATGGGAAGCGCCCGACGTGCCGGGTCTGGTAGATTTCCTGGTGAAGGACAAGGGCTTCAACGAGGACCGCGTCAGGAATGGAGCCGCTCGATTGCAAAAGAATCTGAAGTCCGCTCAACAATCCCGCCTGGAGGGCTTCTTCAAGCCAGTGGCCAAGACGGATGCCGAGAAGGCGAATCTGAAGCGCAAGCACGACGAGAAGATCCAGGAGCAGAAGAAGCGGAAGAAGGAGGAGCAAAAGGCCAAGAAAGAGGCCAAGTCGCGGCCTCGCGGTGCCGGTTAAGCACCTGCAGTCAATACTGGTCTACTTCGTAATAATACCTCGGCCCTGTTGGTCTTCGGTCAATGATCGGAAGAGACAGGGCGACATGAAGAAAAAGCATTCAGTTGGATATTATGACCGATCGACCCGGGCACCGAAAGTCGGTGTATAGGGATCCTGGCAGTTCTCATCATGGTTGGCGGCGTTTCTGGTTTGGCTTGTATGCAGTACGGCGAGGCGTTTCAGCGGCGGGATGCACGCGTCCAGCATGCCACGTACTTACGACGTGGAGGTTTCTTTGGGTTGTCCTGGGGTCAAAATGCAACATGTAGATAAGGCAGATGATGATACACTTGCGGAACTGTGTTGCCTGGCGCTTTTTCTCGGACGGGGGTTCAACCCGACTGGCGGTAGCAATCAAAGTTTGTAGATCGGAAACGGACTCGGTGAGACGAGTGGCAGCGAGCCGAGGCGCCCGCAACCAGTTCAGGAATTCAGGTTCAACAGTGATCCTTATGGGCATTCAGTTTGGACCAATTCAATGTGAGCGTAATGGTGATGTGCCGATATTCCCCATCCCAATGGTAGGAAGGTGGCACGATTGCCCTGCTGGTGCCCGTGTCTATGGTGGGGTCACGCGATACTCTGCTCTCATAGATCAGACTGACGGCATGTGCTGGCTCGACACACGATGATGAAACTCCTTGTCACACTTAATGGTGCCTCGATAGCTGGTCTATACGATTGAGGTTTGTATGACCCTGCTCCATTGGCCTGAATGATCGAGCCTCGGGTGAGGGAAATATATAAACGGGTTGCGGGCGGGGGAAGTGCGATCGACACCAACGATTCAGGAAGGATATTCTAGGCAGTTGGGTTGATAAGCCGACCAACCGATTGCAGTGACTTACTAGAAGAATGATGTCTAATTCACTCAAGCCAAGGGGATACCGCCTGAGTGGTGCCCTACTAAATCCCGCACCGTTGCGGCCGAGCGGGAGTAGATCCTGCATGCATATCGGTTCTTGTCGAGGCCATCCGCAATGGACCTGATACTCGAGCCAAGCATTCCTCAAGATCGGTAGGTCTGCTCGCTGCTGTCATGTCCAACTTTAGGTCCTGCTCATAACTGGCCTTAAGAAGTTGCTTACTGCGCAGAATGAACGCGAGAGGCCTGCGTTTGAGGTGAGGATCAAGAGGGGGGGTGTTCTTATCCAGACCCATGGATTGGCATCAACCACTCGATATCAGCCACGGCCCAGAATCGATCGCTACAACGAAGCACGAAGCCATGGCCCCCCCCACCAGTGAATGCTCTGATCACTCCAAGCTGGCCCGATCAGGTGGTACGGGGAGCTTCCAGGTTTACGTGACGGCCATAGTCCTCCTCTGTCGAACGGCGAGCACCCGCCAAGCGAGCAAGCCGATGTGAACCACGGTATGAAGGTCCAGGAGCTTTGGATCACCGTGCAGGGACGACGATCATAGGCCACTGCCCCAGGCCCTTTCACAGCTTCCCGACGTGAAGCTAGCCTGGCTGGGCCACGCCCCCAAAGCCAAATCCATAACATCATCTCCCCTCGTGACCCCGAGCCTCCGCACGAGGGAGTCCAAGTGAAACAACGCCCTCCCCCGGCCGTTCCGTTCATCGCGTGTCCACAACCTTGAGACCAATGGCTGCTGTCGATGCAAGGGGCTTTGACTGCGCCAAACCCGCTCTAAATTGTAAGATCACGGCGTAGGCTGCCAGGAGATCCATGAGCTTGATCGGACTGCAGAAGTAATCGGGCGGGCACGGATGGAGGGATCAGAAACCCAGCGGGAATCGCCCTCCCAGAACCGGGGTGCGACTACAGATTTTCTTCATTTGTGTGCAATATTTAGATCATAAGCCTGTCTTCCATCCCCACATCCCATTAAGTGGACTTCAAGCTTGCATTGGAGGATGGGAGGGGGCTGCGAGTAAAGTTGGGGTGGTGGATGTGAAAAGCGTCACGACGGCACCCGAGATCCTAAGGAGCGAAAAGGCGTGCGGATTTGGGGCACCACATGAATTTTTCCGAATTTCCCCAGATGATAGAGCGATATGAACACCACTTGGAATGTGCGTCGACCAGCTCTGAGCCCACCATCCCCCATGAGAAAGGGGGAGGATGGAGGGGAAGAGCACGCGTAGGGCGTCGACAAGCAGCGTTGTCGGATCATGCGCGTCAAAGGGCAGCCAGCAGCAACTCGGGCCAGAAGGAATGCATGGGCATCTACAAGAAGACCTACAAGGGCAACCCCCGGATGAAATCACATTGATCGAGCCACTAAACAGCCGAGAAAAAGGCACAGTTAATCGCGCCAGAAAATCGAGCGAAGGGAAAAGGGAAAAAAAAAGGGAAAGAGGGAAAAAAAAGAGGAGAGGCAGAGGGCCTGACGTGTTGTGCTCGATTGTCGGCGAGGTGATCCTGTGTCAACACCCGCTGCCCTATAAAGCGCGGATGCCCCGCGGCCTTCCACCCCTTCCGTCGTCGCCTGCTTTTCTCTTCCTCTGCTTCCATCCCACCTCCATCCACCTTGCTTTGCAATCCGATTCTGCCATCCTCCGCGTCGAGTCATCTTCTGTTATCAAGCTTTCTCTCATCCCAAGGAACCCCCCTTCCCCTATTCCACAATGCCTCCCAAGAAGACCACCACCACCTCGACCAAGAAGGCCGGCTCGAGCCACGCCTCCTACCGTGGTATGTTTTGGCTGATCTTCCCCCACCACCACATCGCGTAGAATTGAAATGCGTCTTATTTTTGTCGCGAATGTCTGCTGATTCCGTGGATATAGATATGATCAAGGATGCTATCCTGAATGTGAGTTAATCACGCTGTTCCCAGGGCGCGTTAGGATGACGGGTGCTGGGCGGGAACTCCCCCCCCCGACCGTGACACGTCCATCCCAACGCCCCATCGGGCTCCTGCTTGTTTCATCCCAAGCTGGTCGCTGACTTCTTTCGCAACAGCTGAAAGAGCGCAATGGCAGCAGGTAAGTTGATTCGTGTTTCTGGTCCCCGCCCGATGCAGGGTCCCGTTCCTCGGCGACGTGGCAACCCCAGACGGTGCCCATGTCGCGATCTTGGCTGACTCGTCTTTTTTCCCTTTTGTCATCAGCCGTCAGTCCATCAAAAAGTATGTTCAGGCGAACAACAAGATTGCTTCCGCCTCCACGAACGCCTTCGACAGCCAGTTCAACAAGGCCATCAAGGCCGGTGTTGAGAAGGGCGAGTTCGTCCAGCCCAAGGGTAAGTCAAAGCCGTCGCGCGCATTTTCGTCTTTTGTCTTAACGGCGTTCGACGCTCTTCTTCACACGAGACGTGTGCTTGATTCCCCTCGTCACGCGTCTTGTCTTCCCGTCTCGATTTTTGATGGGGCGTGCCAACTGACGCGTCGCATCTTCAGGCCCATCCGGACCCGTGAAGCTTGCCAAGAAGGAGACCACTCCCAAGCCTGCTGCTGCTAAGGTTAGTTCACAATGAAAACCTCTTCTGGACGAAGACAAACCATCACTCACACCGCCTATAGAAGACTTCTACCACCAAGGCTGCTGCCCCTAAGAAGACTGCTGCTAAGAAGGCCGAGAAGGCCGAGAAGACCGAAAAGACCGAGAAGCCCAAGGCTAAGAAGGCCACCACCGCCGCGAAGGGCGCCACCACTGCTAAGAAGCCTGTTGGCAGACCCAAAGCTAACACCGCCAAGCCCCGCAAGGCCTCCACCACTGTACGTGAAAGACCCTTGCGTTCTTTCCCCCCGGACACCGGATACTGATTTCGAAGCAGGCCCCCGCCGTTGTCGATAAGCCCAAGGTTCTCGGCACGACCAAGTCTGGCCGTGTGACCAAGACGACGGCTAAGCCTGCAGAAAAGGCCACCAAGAAGACCGCGAAGAAGGCTTAAAGCTCTCCGCGATCATGTGATTACGGTTCTTCCTAGTCGGCGATGTGTGCCCATGGTAATATCTCCTGGGCCATATTCCTTTCTCACTTCTGTTGTAATTTTTTTGCACCTTGGCCACTTTTCTTCTTTTGATCAATGGGGGAACTGCTTCTGGGATATGCCGTGGATCGTTTACTATTTTGTTTTCACTCAGTGTCGGTTGGGTTGGCGTCTTGCGATGGATCTTGCAACGGGATATGTCATTTTTTTGCTTGCCTGTCATGTTTGGGGCACCCGTCTAAGGGCAGGTGTAATGTTATGCAATGAAACTGCTTGTCCTCTTTTCCACTGAGCTCGCGGATGAGATGCCGTGTTGCCGATACGAAGACGGGTCGGTCGAGGCATCATCTATGCATGGTCTATTAGTTAGGCCGTGAGCGCGAGACCAGTACTAAGCCGCCGTGCTAGGGTAGGGTCTGAATGGCGCCTAGTGATGCGCAGAGATTCGCGACTAGTGTGTGTGTAGGCCATTGTAGCTCGGACAGGCAATTTTAAGCTTAATGGATGCATGTCCGGCGGTGCTTAAGAGTGGACCGGGCGGTGGATTGAGTTGGAGCATGAGGGAGTTTAGTGTTTAGTACGAATGAACCCGATGATTCGATACCGAGGCGTGGCCGGAAGACGGAAGGGCAGCACCGACCCAGCCAAAAATAGCAATGCGCCCACTGGCCCGTTCTCCGCTTTCCGCTGAGTCAGGCTCTTGTGTTCATAACTCCGGCGTTGTGCCCGGGCTACGGTACGGTACGCAGGCCGGGCTGACGGGGCTTGTAAGTTGGACTATGTATGTGCCCCGTATTGGTATCCCGCGAAAAGAACCGGGACGTCAATGTTCTGCATGAACTCAACCTTGGGCCCAGAATGCCATCCCTGGCTAGAGCTGCCTTTTTTTCTCCTTTCCCCGCCTGTCGTCAGTGGGAAGATTGGCTGCTGCAGCTGGCCCGATACGTCTGGCCGACGAAGCTGGCGGAACATTCGCCCCTACCGGGTCAATCTCATTGCGTCAGGGCAAGGAGGAGTGGTTTGGTGTGTGACGTTGGCATTATTGTCGATCATTCGAGGCAGAAGCTCACTGCCCACTGCCTAAGTAGAAAACGGGGATTGCGGAGGTCGTACCCTCAATTTGATTCTGTTGCTGCATTGACTTATCTATCGAATGCCGCCATGTTTGAGAATTGAGACGCAGGATTGTTAGGTGCTAGTATTCCCCCCAGCCACCTGAGACTGCCACCCCCCCCCTCCGAGCTGCAGCGGACACTGGCAGCCATAATGGAATTATGAGCTGCGAGATAACAATGGCTAGCCATTGTTGACCAGGGTCATTCTGGTTTGGGCTGGGACGTAATGACCAAACCAGGGGGAGGGTCACGAGGAGGGGGGGGATTGATAATCCTATCTATGTATGGAGGACTTTGATGTCCATCCCTGGTGGATGGCGAAGAGGCCAGGTGTTGGGTTATCCCACCACTTTACTCCATACGCAGGAGATCATTGCTACCTAGTACATAGTAATATAACTGTTCCCCATGATCAGGGGCCTGCCCTTCAAAGTAGCTCGAACCCGATTTTCAAATCTAACATGTCATGGACGGGTGGGGACCGACAGATGGCCCTTATGGCTTATGCATCCTTGCTGTGCGTGCTCAATCTCTCCGGGGGTCGTTGTGTTGGTTGTCTCTTGCATGCAGCGTGGTAAGGAGGAACCTACCTTACTGCCTCGTTCCTTTCTGAGGGTTTATTTCTGGCATTCAACTCTACTTGATCAAAGTTAAAGACTACCCGTCCTCCACTTGACAGGACAGCTAGGGAAATCCTTCCAGGGCCTCAGGGTTCAGTAGATCGGCTCAGGGTGTGAGGATGTCAGAAGGGAACTTGGAAGCTGCCTGCGACGGGGTAATTGTGCCAAGCCTCCTGATACCATACTTACATACTAGTACTCTCATACCGTATGGATGGATATCAGGGCAGTCATTTTTGGGGGAGGGGGGGAAGAGAGACCGAAGAGATTCAGGAAAGTACATACTTTGCGGAGTATGATGGTGATGAGAATGATCTGGATGCTGCTGTTCTGGTCGAGGATAGACTGCAGTGGACACGCTTTTCTGATCCTGGTGGGATGCTGGGATATAGATACATCGGGACACGGATCAGTACCCAACACCTCTACGGAGTACTAGGTAGATACTGACTACTACAGCTGAGGAGTGGAGCTGCAGGCATCGGACCAGACGCAGCCCGGGTCCTTTTCCCCTTCTTTTTCACTTCGGACCAACTCTGTTTTTCAGCACTCTGGAAGGAGTTAATAATCAACATCATCGTAATAATCCATCTCTCAGATCATATTATTCTTAGGCTGCCAACTGAGACAAGAAGGGGGGAAGTGTATGTCAACAAGAACAGGTCAAACTTTTTTCTCACCCGTCCACTGCCAATTCTTCTTCTCTCTTTCCACTATTCCATCTCTCATTTGCCCCAAGTACTACGTAGTCATCGTCTTTCTCTCTTGCTCAGCCTCTCGCTCGCTCGCTTGCTCACTCGCTCTCTTTTCCTTGCCGTCCCCTTTCGCGTGGTATTATTACCTTACCTCCACGTTCGTTTGGCTCCCGAAATACGGGTACGGTTCTGCGCCAATTCTCTGTCTCTTCCGTTCCATCTTCATTTCTCTCTTATCCTGCCTGCTGCTCCCCCATCTTTTCCTCCCCTCTTCTTCTTCATTCCCACCATCTCTGCCTCTTTCGTCTCTCCCTATCGACACCAACCTCCTCCTTTCATTTTTCTTGTCCGGCGCTATTTTCTGCAACTGATACCCCTCGACCGTGCACTCTTCGTTTTTTCCTCACCCGTTTCAATTCGATTGTACACATTTCCATCTCCTTCATCATCGGCCGATTTGACCTAGCCTCCACGCCATCATCCTACGCGGACACGTCGATTGTGTCGCACCGTCTGCCTTTTTCAAGTGTCCGCCTGAACATGCCTATCGGTCGTTAAACTCTCTGCCGCCCGCTGGCTTCTCCAGCTTTACCCGGGAACTTTGTTTGTTCTTGCATTTCGCCTTCTTGCCATTGATCGATTAATCTCCCCCTTCGTCTCCTCGCGCTCCCCTCCCTCCCCGTCGCTCCGCCGATAGGATCATTCGACACACCCTCCCCCGATCCTAAGGCCAACCCCGACCGACCTTCCCCCGTCGCGGCTTCCCCCCCTTTCCTAACCCTTCTACCTCCGCTTTCTCCCCCTCCGAACCCGATCCTAAGCGACCATGCCATCCTTTGCCAGCGACGTCGCTTATCAATCGTCCACCGCGACGGCCACCCACCCTCGTTCCTTCGAGTCGCCGCAGGGCAAACCGTCCGAGAAAACCTCCGTGGGGAATACCTTCTTGTGGACAAATTGGCCCAATGGCGACACCAACCATCTCGAAGCCCCTCCAAATGACCGCCAACTCACCAACGGCAGTGCCTACTCTCTGAATGGACCGCGCTCGAGCGCCAGCTCGTATACGAAGGAATTGCCGCACTCGAAAGACGGCAGCATGCACTCCTTAGGGAACGGATCGGCCCGGGAACCCCGAGAAGGCGGAAGGCCTTCGACTACATTGGATCGCGATCTTTCGAGGAAGTCCGTAGAGACAGGAGCTCGTGCAGGCTCTCCGACGGCGTCGATCGCAAGCCAGCAGGTCAATGGGACGTTCCACCCCCGGTCGCTGAACGGCAAGCCGACGATGAATGGCGACCACCCCCGACCATCCGCCGACGAAATGATTGCTCCGGACTCGGTAGCCAATGTTTCAGGCACGCGATTGTCGACCTCGCAACCCGATGACGCTGGCCGTCTTTCACCAGATCCCGATCGATTGTCGCCCTCGCAGAAAAGTCCCCATCGTTACTCCTCCCCCCCGGTACCGCCGAGCATGGACGGTAGCGCACAAGAGCCGGCTAATACCGGTCTCCGGCATCGACATACGTTGCAAGTCCCACGAGCCGCCAGCGGACGTCGGAGTAGCCGTGACAACGCGGAGGATGCTGCTTTCAGCAGTGGTCGATTGTCTCCCACGGCGGGAATTCGCCGTACTTCCTTCAGCTTGGCCCGACGGGCCACCCGGACCAACCAGTCAGACGTACTTTCCGACGACGCCGCCCCAGACGAAGATGCGGCCCGATGGGCGGAAGCCATCAAACAGAGGCGGGCCTCCAAGAGACGACGCCGGGACGACGATGATGACGAGCGCGTCATTGTTGGAACCAAGGTTGACCAGAACCATGTGAACTACGTTACAGCGTACAACATGCTCACCGGAATCCGGTTCACCGTGTCGAGGATCAATGCGAAGATGGATCGGGAATTAACACCGGCGGATTTTGAGGCTAAGCACAAGTTTTCCTTCGACATGTACGCGCTTATGTTATTACTGCCTTGATATGCCATTCAAGTACTGACGTTTGATGCTGGCCAGAACCGGAAACGAACTGACGCCTTCCGCCAAATACGATTTCAAGTTCAAGGACTATGCGCCTTGGGTTTTCCGTCACCTCCGAGCAAAATTCCGACTGGATCCTGCCGACTACCTGATGTCTCTAACGAGCAAGTATATTCTTTCTGAACTTGGCTCGCCAGGGAAGAGTGGAAGCTTCTTCTACTTCTCTAGAGATTACAAGTACATCATTAAAACAATCCACCATTCCGAACACAAGTTGTTGCGGAAAATCCTCCCCGAATACTACCGGCACGTTGAGCAAAACCCGAACACCCTGATTTCGCAATTTTACGGTCTCCATCGGGTCAAGATGGCCTATGGTCGCAAGATTCACTTTGTGGTTATGAACAATTTGTTCCCGCCTCACCGTGATATCCACCAGACGTTCGATTTGAAGGGTTCAATGATCGGCCGTGATCTGCGCGAAGAGGATTTGGAGAAGAACCCGCGAGCTACCTTGAAGGACTTGAACTGGGTACGCAGAAACCGCGAGATACAATGTGGTCCGTCAAAGCGGGAGTTTTTTCTGGCTCAGCTGAAACGTGATGTTGAGTTGTTGAAGAAGCTCAAGATTATGGATTATTCGCTTCTGGTGGGGATTCATGACGGGGCACGAGGCAATGAGGAGAAGCTCCGGGACAAGACCTTGCAGGTGTTCCAGCCCGGGGGTGATCGTGAGGAAGACGCCAATCCAAACATGCTGATGCGCACGCCTTCTAAGTTGGAGAATGAGCGCAAGGCCCGCGAACTTCGCATGCTCATCAAGCGTGAGCGTCCAGTGCCGCTCGATAAAGCGGCCGCTAAGATGCCCGAGGAGATTCTCGATGAACGGAAGTATCATGTCTTCTACGCCGACGATGGTGGATTCCGAGCCACGCATGAAAATGGTCAGCCTGGCGAAGAGATCTACTATCTCGGAATTATTGACTGCTTGACTCACGTAAGTTCGGATTGGAGTATTGGCTTTTTTTTTTGGATTTGACTAACAGCCTGGGACAGTACGGAATGGTGAAGAAGATAGAACACTTCTTCAAGGGCCTGTCCCATGATCGAACTCAAATCTCGCCTATACCTCCGGAGGGCTATGGGGATCGATTCATCAACTTCATCAAGGGGATTACGATGTCCAAGGAGGAGGCCGAACGACACCGTGAAGCCCGAGCACTCGGTAGGCCCTCTGTGGAGCGATCCGAGTCTGTTGAACGGACCATGCAAGCAGCGGAGAAGGAGGCCTCCAAGGATGTCTCTCTAGCCCAGCCCCGGACGTTATCGACTGTTCGAGACCCGGCTGACCCTAGCGGGGTTGTTGCGCCTTCATTCCTGCCGATCGTGGATGAGGCGGGAGAGGCCAGCAGCGTCGGAGGACATAGCCAACACAGTCGCCATGGTCCATCGTCGGCCCAGGAAAAAGAACTGCCTCCAGTTCCCCAAGCCAATGGGGCGCCCTTCGCTAGAAAAGGCAAGGGAATTGCTCGCGATGGACAACCCGACCTGGTATCTGTCTCCGGCAGACAATAACCTCTACGGTGCTGATTTTCCATCAATTTTCATGATATCCTTGTTCGCAGCTCATAACGCTTTGTTCCCCCTCATACCCTGGCGCCACGGATTCTCTACCTCTGCCCGCAGCGCACCTTCTCCGTCCATACCTCCACTGCTCCGCAACCGTCTCTGTGATAGTCTCATGTTACCACGATTGATGTGATTCCTTTTGCATCATCGGGCGCTGCCCGTCCGTCAGGATCAATCCTTTTCGTCTTGACATCCCACCGGCTATCGGTTGACCTTGGTCATTTCTTTGACCATGTAGTATCATCCGCTCTAGCCCTACTTTCTTTTCTATCGACTCAGCATGGCAAGCAATATTCGATCATGTCTAACATCTTTTGTATCAATTACCTCACTCTCTCTATCTCCTACTGTCTATCTCTCTTCTTCACCCCTTTTTTATTTCCTAGTGTCATGTTGTGACAGCTTTTGTGGACGCCAGCTTTCTAGCTCGTCTATCTTTTTGCCACGAGGGGTCAACTGGCAACAACCCAAGTGCTTCTCAGTGGCTCACATTTCCCTGTATTAAATATCTTATTGCCTTTTCTCTATTATCTTTTTGTGTTGTTCCCTTTGTGCACACTTGCTCGACTCTCCCACCAACTTTTGGATCTTTATCCAACCTCACTCTTTGACTGACTATATTTATTTCCTTACCCTCTGACCTCTTTTGGCTTAGCATACATTGTCTGGTTGTTTGGCATTCTTGGGCCTCTTTGCTTGTATACATGGACGGGAGAAGCGACTGTGCGTGAGCAGGTTCGAGCGACTTAATTGTGTTGGTGTTTTCTTTGATGTTCCTTTTCATTGAGCTCGTATTTCCTTTAGAAGATTGATAGAAGACGCACAGCAAGTAGAGAATTGATACCATCATCGCCTTTCTGTTCATGACATCCTGTTTAAACCCCGTATCCGTAGCCTCGGAGTGCAGGCTACATATAGCAAGAACGGTACAGTTATTATGATACAGAACTTTAGGTTTGGACTTGGTATGCGTGGAAACCCAATGTTACAAGAACCGTGGTTCCGAGCTGCCAGTTATGTTAGTATGTTGTGTTGTGTTGCACTCCGTATTGAATCGGGTATAGCAACTACGGCCATCGCCCCAAGCCCTATCCTATCCTATGCTATCTTATGCTATCCTATGCGAGTGGACTCTGCACACAAGAGAGCAAATAATGATTAATACTACAACGATAATTCCAACTACAAACTGCTACTGCTACTAGTAATGATGACCAAGCAGATAAAGTGATCCCACAATTCAAATCATAATTCATTCATCTGGACCCTGCCTGAGTGGGTATTTCCGTGATCGATTGTGCGGCGTAAGAAGGAAAGAGAAAAAGAGCAAGAAGATAAGATAAAGGGGTGAGATAGGTCAAGACATGAGAGGTGGAGATAAGGGAGGAGATAATGGGGGAAGTCAAAAGAATAAAAGGGATGAAAGAAAAGTATTAGGGAAGAAATGTAGATGACTAGACACGAGAAGGGAGAAAGGATAAGTGGACACAGATGATGGCGCCTTTGCAAAAAGCAACAAGCAAGGCATGAAAGTTTTCAGTTTGATCATAGATTCATCTGCGGAGAAGAGAAGAGAAGAATTGATGGGGTGTGATTGTTGGGGAAAGGTAGAAACGTGAAAAGAAGAGTGAGAAGAAAAAAGCCACCCAAAGCCCCCTAACGCCACCTGAGAATAGTGATCAGGATCAGGAAAAAAGTGCTGCCAAGACATTTTATGTGGTAAAACCCCAGTGCGAACCAGTGCGAACCAGTGCAATACTGCAAACCAATCTTCGATAACATCCAGCCAGATCCCGGTCATCGCCTTGATAGTAGAGTCAACCCACATGCACACCGAAAGAAAGCCCACGCGTGAAGTCGTAATGAAAAAGAAACATGTAAGCCGTTGGTGGCTGGTTGTGAATCACTCGGCTTTGCCCTGTGTAACCTTGGCAGCCTGAATGGCGGACATTTTTTGAGTCCAGCCTTGAGTGGGTTGAGGCTTCTTGACAGTGCGCAGGTCATCCGTGGAGAAGCCGGAGATGCGCATGTTGTACTTGCGCTCCAGGACGAGCTGGATGTCGCGGATCTCAAGGGTCGAGGACGGACGAAGTTTGGCCAGACGGCAGGCATCGGTGATCACGTCGTCGACAAAGTCATCGGCCATTTGAAGGATGAACTGTGCGGAGAGGGGTTTAGTATTGTTGTTCATCGGGAGGATAGAGGGCAGTAGGGGCGATGCGACATACCTCTTCGGCGTCAGGAGTGAGTCCTTCGCCTTCTCCACCACCAGTGACCTGACGAACGAGGATATCCAGCATCTTCTTGCTCAGGACGCGCTGGCCTTCGCCTTCGAGCACGTAGCCCGGGTGTTTCTGGATCGCAGGCTGGTTCATGACACCGACCGCAGCGTGGCTGGGACCGCCGGACAAGGTCGGTCGAGCAGGAGCCATGTTGACGGGCTCCGGAGGAGGCACGTTCAAGTTCTTAGGGATCGCCATGTTGATGTTACGCGCCGAGTTATCAGCCGAACGGTTGGGAATGTAGCCAGGAGGATGGGCATGGGAGTTGGCACCGGGCTGAGCCATGTTCTGCTGCTGGCCCATGTTGTTGTTATTGACGTTGTTGTTGGAGTAATTCTGTGCAGCCTGGGCCATGGCAGCCTGCTGAGACAGGGGGCGGGGAGGCCCTTGGACCATCGTCTGGGCCGGAGTAGGGGTCGGCGTCGAGCCGTCCACGTTCGGGACCTGAGTGAAGGTGACTTGAGAGCCGGGGGGACCCTGCTGTGACTGTGCCTGGGTCTGGGGCGGTGGCTGGGGTGCTTGTTGCTGCGGTGGTTGCGGAGTGACAGCTGCTGGAACGGCAGGCGCGGTAGTACCGGGGCCCTGAGCAGTCGGGGTCTGGCCTGGCTGAGAGGTGGAGGGAGACATGGCAGTCTGTCCGGCTTGACTGCGAGCAGCGGAGACGGCAGATGTAATGGTGTGAGGCGCCGGGGTCGGAGTCTGGCCTGGATGCATGGTGCCCGGCACGCTGGGTGGACGGCCGTCGGCTGATGTACCACCACCACCTCCTCCTGGGCCGGTCGCCACTGGAGCCGCGCCTTGTTGAGGGTGTGGCTGGGCAGGAACATGCTGCTGCACTCCAGCTCTCTGCTGCTGAGCCTTAAAGGTGTCCTGCTGCTCCTTGAACTTGTTCAGAAAGTCGCTGCCCTCCCGGTACAGCTTCTCCGCCGCAAGCTGCCGATTTTTAAATTCCTGGACCTCGTCTTGGGTCATGTTCCCCGCGGCCTGACGTGTCGCAAACTGTTGCCGGAGGTCTGCGATGCGCGCCCGCCCGATTTCCTGTTTCTGCAGTGCAATCCCATATCGTAGCTTGGCCTCCGGGAGCCAGGTCTGGGCCTGTTCGTTGCTGATGTTGGGAGGGAGGAAGAATTGGAGGGTGTTGACTTTCTGCTGAATCTGCGGAAGGAGCTGCGCAAAAGTCTGAGGATTGACCGACTGCGACCGTTGAACGGGTTGGCCTTGTTGCGCCGCGGACGCTTGCATTTGTTGATGTTGCATCTGACGGTTTTGCTGAAACGCGCGCATGCCTTTCATAAGATTCTGAGAGATTTGGGTGAGCCGACCGTGAGCCTGTTGGTATTCGGGACTTTGAGGATCTCGCGTGTTGAGGTGTTCCCAGAGGGTCCGCACTAGCTGGGTGTGTTGGGCTTTCTGCTGGTCATTGAGATGGGGAAGCTTCTGGACCTGGTCCGTCCGGATCAGGTTCGAATGCTGAGGCATCATCGGTTGGGCTGCAGGGGCCTGCGCCTGAGCCTGCTGCGGTGCCTGTGAGTTGTCCATACCGATGATGATGCTGCTTGTATTACGTCGAGGGAGGGGGGGAAGTAGACCGCGAGGAGAGAGGTTGAATGGTCGCTGAGACTCCGGAGAACGGGATTCTCAGGCACGTGTCCCAAGCGCCCCGACCAGCGGTAGAGAAGGAATGTAGTGTCTGAGAGGTGCTAGATCGGAGGATTAGCGACCAAGGATCAGAGTCTTGCACTTGTCGCAGCCGTTCCCCGCCTGAGAGGGATGATATCGCCGAGAGACGAGTTGATGGGGGGCGAAGGTTGAAGAGGATTTGGAGATGGATGGGGGGAGCCTCAGTCTTGGCACGCCTGGCCAGTTTCCGAGGGGCGATTCAGGTCGATTCAAAAGGATTAACACCCAGTCATGCCCTCGCAGCAAGGGTTAAGTGAGTACTGGTAGTTGCGATGATGGCTGCCAGGCGCTGCTGAAATCCTCGGTGGTGTAACACAGTGAATGGGAGGCATGGGGGTTCAGTCTCCGCATCTAGCTGTAGTGAAGCAATGACGATGCAATGAGGGAAACCGAAAGCCATTTGAACAAAGGAATACATTATCACTTATTGAAAGGGGTCAAGACAGTTTAGGGAGAAATATAAGAAATTTTTTTTGATGCTTGTAAGTTACAACAGCACTCCCAGGATAATACTACTAGCTAGTGATGAGTGTAGATACAATATCTAACAAATACATCCTCAATGACAATCAATAACTCTGTGCAGCCCGGCACGGCTTTTCAGACACAAAGGGCTGGACGGTACATGTCCAAGAGAAATCAACAAGTGCGGAGCTGTGATAACAGCATTGGAACGTCTGCTTCATATCGGCATATCAAATCCATCACCCAGTTTGGGCCCATAGTTCCAGGATAAGCCGTATATCCTTACGGGGTCGGCTATGTCGAGCGGATTTCCTCCATGCTGCGGCTCATCTTTTGTGCAACAGCCAAAGACGACATAGCGGAAGTATTTCCTCACAGGGAACACCCATTGGCGTATCTGGCAGAGACTCACTTGACTGGATGCTGCAAGATGGGTTAGCTGGCAGAGAGAGAGTTGCACAGCATCCACGTGGAGTAGATTGAATGGCTTGTCCGAATGCCGATAGATGCCCTTTGAGCAAAGTCTCCCGTCATGCCAGAAAAAGCCAGCCGAATCAGCCACAACAAGAGTGATACCAGCCACATCTATGCAGCACCAGCCCGTCACTCTAAGTATATGGCCGACGTAGGCGTTGCAAGTTCTTGCGACTCAACAGTGTCTGGGAACACTGTCTCCGTCAAACAGTGAATAATGTAGAATGAAGCCTGGAGAGTACTTCACCCCAACAATCCACCTAGATCGCGTTCCATGCCATTGACTCGGGCCTCCAGGGAGCGCTTCTTCCTCTCCAGCTCTCGGATCTCCGCCATCTCTCGCTCAAGGTCGGCATCCGTGACCTGCGCCACCTCCGGCTGAACGGCGTCGGTGCCATCGTAATCATCAAAGTCGTCTCCATACGAGTGGCTAATCTTCTCCAATTCGGCGGTAATTCTGGCCACACGTGCCTCCAATTCATTGATCGACTCTGTAACCAACTCGTGACGATAACGCAGGCCGGCGATCTTCTCATGCGCACCAGCGACAGGGCTTCACATGCAGTCAGTATATGCAAGCATACACTGCTTCTCGAGAGGAGGGATGACGTACTAGACATTGCAGAGGATCTCCGCGCCTCGGAGTAGAACATCGACATTTACTTCACCACGACCCCTACTAGACGTGCCCGCGGATCGCTTGATCTCCTCCATCATATCGGAGCCCAGGACCCTGGCGACCGCAGACTGACTTTTGTTATTTCTGGCCGAATAGATCCGACTGGCCATGGACTCGCCCTCTGATTCCTGCGGGAACTGCGTGCCGCGTCGGGTGGCTCGTCGCTGTGAACCGACTGATTTAACGGAAGGGTCGGTCTGGAAGAGAGCCCGTTCATGAGCCTCCGTATCGCGAATCAAAGAGGTAATGTCATGGGGGCCCAGAAGGGCGTTGGTGAAGATCCGCGGCGGGGGAAAGCTGGAGCGACACAATCAATCAATGTCGTGTAAGAAGCAAGGCGAGAGGGAGGGGTGCATACGGTAGCTCCGCAATGGCATTGGAAGAGAGCGAGATCTGCTCTAAATGATTTTCGAGGAGCGACATGCTGTGTTGGGTGGGGGACGTTGCTATGGTCTTCTGCCCTGGGGGGTGGTTTCAACTGCGGGGGAAGCAATAAAGAAGAATCAAGGCCGAAGGAGGCTACTATTATTATTTGGGGTTAATTAATTATTATTATTGCATTGGGGAGAGCAACACGGGTAAACACGCCAAGAAGAGCTCCAAGCTGTGGGTGCCTCAGGCGGGCCCCGAGGAATGGTAGTGGCAACGCAACGCAACCCGGCTGCGAGTCACCGAAATTCTCCAGCGATTCTGGCGACTTGTTCCCCATCATCACGTCCAGAGCTCCTCCCCCACGCCCATTGTCACTTTTCCGGACCCCCGATCGAACTTTTTTGGCTCTCCATCCTGACGCGAACAGGCGAGGGCGTCACGCAGATCTCCAGCTGACCGGTTACTCCGTTGGTAAGCTTGGTCCCCCAACCCCGATACTGACTAAGCTCCTGTGCTGGTTCTCTCGCTGTCCATCCAGAGCCAGCCTTGACATCACATCACCACCTCATCAACCATCTGCTCCCAACTCAACCCAATCCCCATCCCCTATCATCCCCCACCCTGTGTCTCGGCTTCTCTGGCTTCTCTCGTCGTGACTCTCGTCGTTTTCCATCTCTGTATCTCCGGACTTTGGACAGTGGTCTCTCCTCCTTCCCCCTTCCTCTGTCTCCGGTACCGCGGTCCTCAGTGCTCACCTGAGCTCCAAGCTGGAATCTAAGACAAGAAAACACGAAAGATGCCGGCTGAGAGGCGCTCCTTGAGATCGAACAGCAAGTCAGATACCTCTTCGTCTGCTAACGGTGAGAAGGCACGCTCTACCTCGCAGAACCAAAGCTCCAATAAGGATAAGCCGGCGCCTGCCCGCGCCGCTGCCAACAAGGCCAAAGCCGCCTCTACCACGAAAGCCGCCTCATCGAACAGCACTGCCAACTCCGGTATGGGTGAGCAGAGAGACCAGCCGCGTGCCAACGGGTCCGACCCGACAGAGAATGGCGTGAACGGCTCGGAAGATGTGGAGATGGGAGAGGATACGGCAGGTGGGCCTACATCCTCATCCAACACCAGTCAGGACCGCAAAGGTGACGAGAAGATGACTGTTGTAGTGCCCCCCACCAAAGGTTCCAGGTTATCCGGCGAGAAAGGCTCGGACAAAGAAGGCGACGTCGCCATGGAGGGAGTTGAGGGCGAGGAGGCCGAGCCCGAGGTTGATCCCAAGGTTAAGGCTATTCAAGGTTGGTTTCATCTTCCCTTGTTTTAGGACTGCGCAGCGCTCGGTACTAACAACGCCGCACCCCTCCTTCAGATATCAAGACCAACTTCACACTTCTCGACCGAGCTGTCACCCACTTCGATCCCAGATTCACCCTCCGCGTATTGCGCTCGATATCGTCTATGCGCAAACACATCACGGGTGATGGTCTTGCAGAGGTTATCGAGGAGACCTACCCGGCCACAAATGTGACCGCCTCATTCTTGTTGAATGCCCTCGATCAAGCGGGTGCCCTGGGCAGCGGTCGGGCCAGCGCGAAGATGGAGGTCGAGGAGAAGACCAAGTCTTCTGTCAAAGAGATTCTGCCCGAGGTCGACATCTACCTGTCTATCCTCGTCCAGATCTATCTGTATGACCGGAAGGAGATTCAACTGGGCGCCGACTTTTCAACGAACCTGATTGAGCGCTTGCGGACGCTCAACCGCCGCACTCTCGACTCGTTGGCGGCCCGCGTCTACTTCTACTACTCTCTCTTCTACGAGCAGGTCGCTCCTCTTCCCCCATCCCCCGCCGCAACGGTCACCAAGATCCGCCAGCCTCTGCTCGCGGCCCTGAGGACGGCCGTCCTCCGAAAGGACGTAGACACCCAGGCTACCGTGATGACGCTACTACTGCGCAACTACCTGTCTACATCCCACATCTCTCAGGCAGATCTCCTCATTTCGCACAACAAGTTCCCCGCCTCGGCATCCAACAACCAGATTGCCCGGTATCTGTACTACCTGGGCCGCATCCGTGCCATCCAATTGCAGTATACTGATGCCCATGGACACTTGATTGGTGCCACTCGCAAGTCGCCCTCTAGTCACAGCGCACGCGGCTTCTACCAGGCCTCCCATAAGCTTCTTGTGGTGGTGGAACTCCTCATGGGTGATATTCCCGACCGCGCCATTTTTCGACAGCCGGCCCTGGAGCGCGCCATGCACCCTTACTTCCTGCTTGTTCAGGCTGTGAGCGTGGGTGATCTGGACGGGTTCCTCAACATCGTCAACACCCACAGTGCGACCTTCCGTAAGGATGGCACATATACTCTCATCCTGCGCCTGAGGCAGAACGTTATCAAGACGGGTATCCGCATGATGTCTCTCTCCTACTCCCGTATCTCCCTTCGCGATATCTGCCTTCGCCTCGGACTGGACAGCGAGGAGTCGGCTGAGTATATTGTGGCCAAGGCTATCCGGGACGGTGTGATCGAGGCGAGCCTGGACCATGAGCGGGGTTTCATGAAGAGCAAGGAGGTGGGCGACATCTATGCCACCAGGGAGCCTGGGGAGGTGTTCCACGAGCGCATCAGAGCTTGCTTGAGTCTCCACGATGAGAGCGTGAAGGTGGGTTTTCTACGAGGGCGCATGCCCGGAACATTGTCAAGAGTATCCTGCTAACTTCCCTGTGCCCCTAGGCCATGCGATTCCCCATGAACCAACACCGGCTTGAGTTGAAGAGTGCACAGGAGGCTCGCGAACGTGAGCGGGAGTTGGCCAAGGAGATCCAGGAAGGAGACATGGATGACGAGGATGCCGGCGGCGACTTCGATGCTATCTAGTGGGTGTGAGGTTATAAGCATACAGCAATTTTTCGTTTTGTAATCCTGTTATATCCCGTCCGGATGGGCCGAGGACGGAGGGAAGCTTCCACATTGTGTTCTTATGTGTCGTTTCGTGCTGTGGGTGTGTATGAAGAAATGGGTAGGATTGAGCTGCCCCGGCGTGATCTGACTTGTTTCCTGTATGTGATTGAACCGTTTTCCTTTGGTGGCTGGACCGCGATTCCCGGTGTAGATGCGGTCTGTCCGGCAGTGGGTGTTCGGGTGGGTAACGTGAACCAGGATTGCCGCTGTGATTTCCACCGGACTAGACAACAACACTTGTAATAATGACTCTGTCAATGAATGAGAGCAGGTCGAGAGGCTGGGAAGTCGAGACGGCGATATAATACTGGGTAGACGGTAGAGGCAAGAGCGGTGCCGGCCAGGAACCCCGAGCCGGCCCGAGGCGACCTCCGCCTTGAAATCTTCGGCGGCCTCAGCAAGTGCGCTTTGCTCATCCACCCAGGCACTGGTGCTGCCCCCGGACCCGGACCGGTTTCCAATCCTTCGTTTCCCCGGTATTATGACCTTGCAATTTATCCTGTTTCATTCCTAGTCACTGCTCCGCACGTTTCCCCGACCATGAGAGCTCGCTCGGTGCCTGCCTCCGGGCTGGTGCTCTCGTCACGCGTCACGCCCTCCACCATAGTCTGCTGGCAATGCCTCCGGAACGACCTCCTCTCGAGCCAGATCCAGCTGCAAACGCGCAAATATCATCCCACGAAACGGAAGGATGTCTCGCCGCTCGGTGCCGCCGTCTCCGCAGCTCAGACCATCTTCAAAGGCCTGCCCAAGGCACCCCCCGGCATCTCCGTGGACCCATTGCGAATGGTCGGCAAGGAGCTCAAATTCTTGACCAAGAACCTCCGTCAGCTGCTCGGGTCCGGTCATCCGACCCTGGACAAGGTGGCCAAGTATTACACCCGGAGTGAGGGGAAACATATGCGGCCCCTTCTGGTGCTGCTGATGTCCCAGGCCACCGCGTTGTGTCCCCGGAAGCCGGGCACGGACACCAATTCCGCGACGGTGAACGACCCCATCAGCTCGCCCTCGATCCTTGTCGACGCCAACCCGGACCTGAGCTCGCTCTCCTCGACTAACGCTGACGCGCCGTACGACTTTGCCGGCGATAAGGACATCCTCCCTACGCAGCGGCGGCTGGCTGAAATCACCGAGCTGATCCATACCGCGTCTCTCCTGCATGACGACGTCATCGATAACGCCGTGACCCGTCGGTCCTTTACATCCGCCAACCTCCAGTTCGGAAACAAGATGGCGGTTTTGGCGGGCGACTTCATGCTGGGCCGGGCCTCTGTGGCGCTGGCACGGTTGCGGGACCCGGAGGTCATCGAGCTGATGTCGACCGTCATCACCAACCTTGTCGAGGGCGAGTTCATGCAGTTGAAGAACACGGCGGCGGATGAGAAGAACCCCGTCTTCACGGACGACACCCTCTCGTACTACCTGCAGAAGACCTACCTGAAGACGGGTAGCTTGATCAGCAAGTCCTGCCGTTCGACCGCCGTGCTCGGTCACAGCGTTCCCGAGGTGGTTGAGGCCGCGTACCAATACGGACGCAACTTGGGGCTGGCGTTCCAGCTTGTGGATGACATGCTGGACTACACCGTGAGCGAGGCTGAACTGGGTAAGCCGGCTGGTGCCGACCTGGAGCTGGGTCTGGCTACGGCGCCGCTGCTGTTTGCCTGGAAGGACTACCCGGAGCTCGGTCCGTTGGTCGGCCGGAAATTCAGCCAAGCCGGTGATGTTCAGAAGGTAAGATGATTCAATTCCAATGGCGGAGCTGCATGGCTAACAATGATCAATCTAGGCCCGGGAATTCGTCATCAAGGCGGACGGTGTTGAGCAGACCCGTCTTCTGGCCCAGGAGTATGCTGACAAGGCCATTGCTGCGATCGCCGACTTCCCCGACAGCGAAGCCAAGGCGGGGCTGGCCCAGATGTGCGAGAAGACCATGAAGCGGCGGAAGTAGACAGTGAGCGATCCATCAGCGTTCCCTTTTGGCGGATTGGCGTTGGTTGTGCGGTCTTCTTGTTGATATTGGGCGCGACGATGCCCGTGTACCACTACGTTCTCTGTATTATCGCGAGTCTGCTGGTATAGACCTTCCTCTGTATTCTTGCTGAGAGCCTAGAATGTTGGGGATAGACCCAGGACTATTCATACAATTTCATTACTTTCGGTTGGACGGACATGCTTGGTACGGCGTACACATGAGGAGCATTGATGTGATCCGATGTTTGCTGTAGTTTGCCGAATAACTAATGCCACGTGCAGGGTTACGGCCACAGATCGGATCTTACAATACAGCTTCACCAGTCACTCCTTTCTTTCCCCCAACGATCGACAACCGGGGAAGGCTCACTGCTTGGGCTGCTCTGATGGTCTGTGCTCTAGTTCCTCCCATTGCTTCTCAACACTTGATCACGGATTCTAATTCATCCAGAAGAAATAGGGTCGCGCTAACTCTCAGCTATGTCCCAGAAAGTGAGGAGTATAGCCTACGGAACCGAAGCTTTCGAGGTTCCCACGATCACAAATATCTTCCCAACGGTGGAACTCTTGAGGGGATATGCCAGATATACTTGATCCTCTCCCGAATTAGCCACTCATTCCATGACTCGGGGCAAAATCATGATGCCGTTCTGTCTCGTGCAGGAATAGAGATGGGTGGACTGATCCCGGAGACAATAATGGATCCGAGTGGCAGGATCTGGTGGCAGGGATTAGCCGGCATCACGGCGAACCTGCATAACCCAACCAACGAGCACAGACAGCTCATACCGACGCGTTCACTGCCACATCTCCCAGTCAGAAAATCCGAACATATCCGCACTATCATCATGCTGTAGTCTGCAATCACCTGCCACTGATTCCCTTGAAACGCAAGAACGAGGTCGTGTCAAGGTTTACTAGCTCAACCGACCTGCATCATATTCCGGCTCTTTGGCTCATTGTTTGCTGTATAATTATGGTCCAAGCTCGTGAGGAAGTATATCCTCGACCACTGAGAATCCCGATGGCGGTTGGTTACACGAGGCGAACCGTAACAGGCTAGCGGCGACCTTTCCGTTGGAGCTCCGCTGACTGGCCGAACCCTAACTTGCTTATCGTCAACTTGGAGTATCTAGCCGGTGTCTGCCGAGCCATAGGACCATGCAGGTATAGGAAGGACCCCATGTCGCTCGTTCGATGATACGTGATCATGAGCGGAAGAAATGGCCTGATCCGAATTATGATTCAAATGCCGGATGCCCATGTCTCAACCTTTTCTTTTAGTGGGTTTCATCTGTTTTATTTTACTAATTCAAGTCAGAATCTGCAATTCTCTACTCCGTATGCCCAAGATGATCATTATATCCGCAAAGAGTCATCTCAATATTGGGATATTTAGATTTTCTCCAAGACAGTAGTATTTCTCATCTAGAAACTGCAATGTTCAATTATTGAAAAGAGGCTGCCACTAATACTTCTCCCAACGAGGCTCGCTTTCCCATGGTCTACCAGTTCAATCTCTAACAGAGACACCCCACGTCGTCCAGATCCTAGCCATGACTATTACCTGATAAAATAACACAAAACACTCGACCACAATGGCTAAATAATGTAAGGCCACATGGGTGACCCCACGGATCTTAATAACCCAAGAACTAGCTACTAGTCAAAATATGGACACAGTCATTCTTATGTTACTATTTATTTTCCTGTCTGCAGTAAGCTTAGTCACTATTGTCAAAGTTAGAAATTAGCTTGTACGACTGTGAATTTTTATCCAATATACTGGCCGTGCTGTCGTTGCCTGGATTCTTACTAAGAATGGTGTTCGCTTTTTGTTCACTATGCCTCTGTTAGAAATGTTTACAGACGTATTCACTGGCCGATTTTAAATACTATTTAATACGTTATAGAAGATTGCAAGCCACGCCAGGTCATGAGTTTCTCTTTCTTAGCCAGTCTAGGTGCCGTAGGCACTAACTCAATATATATCATCTTCATATCACACTTCCCCTACGAATATTTTCCAATCATACATGAGAAGCAGCATTACCTCGGACCTATTCCTCCTTCACAAGTAGGAAAACTCTTATTTTATCTATACCCTCGCTCCATTATTCGGCATGACTATTACTCCTATCGCAGGCAGATTCCTCGTTTCATACACAACCCGCCTATGGTGCTTCTAGTTTGTATCCATCATAAATGGAATAGTACAAGTCCTCGGCCTGCCTTTCTTCCACAAGGCCTATACTTCAGTCATACGACAAAGAAAAAATACAGTTGTCTGTGTAAGCGTATCCGGAATCCTAACCTGTACAGCCGCTATTACTCAATGTCCCTGCAATAGCTACTGTATACTACTAGCCTCGTTCACCACTGTAAGTTACTTGCTACACAGTACGGATCCAGGGTTTATACTGTGTCTTTTTATATAGGATTCTATACTTTCCTTGTCGCGACCTTCCTTAACATCTGGATATATGTTTATGATAATTAATCTGTAGTACCTTTCTTAAATATCTCTTCTTATCTCTAGCCATGATCTTGCTCGGGTGGTGTAGATCCAACGTGTTGAGGATTATTGTAAATCATACCAGGTATATCAGAACAGAACACAGTACAAAACAAACGGTACTCTCACATCAACAAGTATCACCATCCTTGCCAAACATACCAACTAGTACTTAATGCAAAACCCTCTCCAACAACCCCCCCAACTCCCTCACCACAACCCCCGGATTCCCCAACTGCACGACATGTCCACTGCCCTCCGCAACCATTGGACCCCGTCCCCTCTCTGCATCCGTCACACCCAACAATCCCCGATTATATTCTGCCCAGGTTGGCGTCAGATATTCCTCGAATACCCTCCCCGACACCCGGCCCCCACTCATCTTGACACTCTCTTCCGCGAAGGCGGTCATATCATGTCCCACGACCGTCACCCACGGACCCTTTCCACCCGGGGCCGTGAGTCTGGGCCCATCGCTATCCGGAAGAAGCGAGGCGAGATTCCGTCGAGAAAGACCCTCTTTATTGCCCACGGAGGGATGGAAGATCTTTGAAGCGATGCCGCGGGCGATGGCTACGTCTTGCGGGGTGATTCCGGCTGGCAGGGGAGTGGAGGGGGTGAATGTGGCGGGGTCGGGGAAGATGGAGACGAAGTCGGAGTTGGCGAGGACGTGGTCGAGGAGGAGGAGGGCGGAGACCGTTCCGGGGTAGGTTTGGGCGTAGAGCCGGGCGAGGGCGCAGCCGATGGAGTTGGCGGTGAAGATGATTTGGAGGGTTTGGGGATTGGGTTCGGTGAGGTTGAGGTGGGATTGGGCGATTTGGAGAATTAGTTGGTGCAGGTCAGCCAGGGCGGAGAGGATGTCGTGGCCGTGGGAGGGGTCGGGGGCATCAGCGTCGAGGGGGTCCCGGCTAAGGGTTTGGCCTTGGCCGAAGCGGTCGTAGGTGAGGATGGCGGGGAGGGGGAGATTGAGGTTGGTGCGCGTGGTTTGGAGGAGTTGGATCACGGGGGTCCAGGAGGTCTGGGGGGCTGCGAGGCCGTTGAGGAAGATGAGGAGGGTTTGGGGGGTTGTGGCGGGGGTCGAGGAGGGGATTGAAGTGGAGGGAGGGTAGAAGGTGTAGCTGAGTTGGGCGGTGGGTTTGGTGGTGAGGGTGATGAGGTTGGTGGCCATGGTGTTGATCTGGATGAATGGGACTCGGTGGGCTATGTATAGAATGGTATATTGATGACAAAAGGATAGAACCGTTTGATATAGAAAAGAAGAGAGATTGATGAGAAGGAAAGGAAATCATGAGAGGAAGAGCCGGTTTATATGTGTTGGATGAAGCTGAAGGCTGTATAGATTGCTGGAGTGGAGAGCAATGCAGGGTCCACCAGAAACGATGTGGCCAATCAAGGACTTGTCGGGCCGGGGCCTGTCAGCCCTAAGCCCATCTGCTGGACAGCTGCGGAGCTTCTGATTGGTTGTTTGTGAATACTCTTCGTATTCCAACGTTGAGGTAGTATAGGCTGGCTAGGCATTGTCTATGCACATGGAAGGGAGAAGTAAACATGTCTCACCTAGATTGCTTCGGTGTATAGTTCTGATGTTAGATGTTGTGCTACCATGTTGTCCCATGGTATTCTTTGTTTGATAAGCACAACACATATGATAGCCTTGCACCTAGGTTGTCTCCAACAGCTGCACCAGGATGTGATAAGATAGTTGTAGCAGGTGCAGGTTGCTAGATAATATGGGCAATCCCTTGGCTGCAGTGGTGCAAATGGCTGTGTGTACGGAGTAGGATGCTCTGAGTGCAGGTAAACTCAACTCAGCGGATAGAGTACCCGGAATCTCGGATACAGCTGACTATGTGGGACAATTCTCTCTTCAGGCTCGAATTAGCGACAGCATCTAAGTAGTATTGCCAACTTGGCATGTTTGATCAAGTCAGTAAGATCCTGTTGAGAGCTCGTATATTGCTTAGTGCATGACCAGAATTCAGTCATAGGCATGTGAGTAAAATGTCCCTGACGGATAAGCTCGTGCACCGGACCTGATAAGGTTCCGTGGAAACCAGTCCCGTCCCCAATCCTCCATAAAAACAAGGAACCCCTGAGGAGCACAATCGATGCAGGTTTTCGTGTTTGCTTTTCAGATCTTGCAGCAGTCGAACCCAATCGCTGGCTTAATCTCCGGATGAAAGGCAGCCTCTTCTGCTGATTAGCTACAAGGCTGGTCACGGGACCGGGTTGCAAGACGCGGGGCAACGTTGACCCGGACCCACGGATTCCGTCATGATCGATGACCGGATCTGCTGACTTCCGCCAAGGGCGAAGCTGTTGGTCGACTAGAACCAACGGAAAGTACGGAAAGCGCGGAGACGAAGGAAATCGGCACCCCAACTAGGTAAGGCCGGTTCACTTGAGGTACCGTCACTCTGTACAACTTGCTGCCAACCTCATCTTGTCGTTTCCATCTCCCTGCCTCTCCCGTCTCCATCCTGTCCTGGTACACTTGTCCTTTCGTCCCCCCTTTTATCCCTCCCTCCGTTTATCCGCGAGCTGGTCTCATCTCGCTGCCTTGGCCTGCCACTTGGTCTTTCGTTACCTCATGATGATGATGGACGAGCTGTTGTCGCTGGCCTTTTGAACGACCGGCTCCCAATGGGTTCCTACGCCAGCTTTCTCTTTGTGTACGTCCTCGGCGGACTCACCTTCATCCCGCTAGTCCTGTCGCTGGTCCTCCTCTTCGCCTATCTCACCCTTCCGTCTCTCCCCCCACCCTCCGAGCAATCAGGCAAATTCACGCAGGGCGGCCTTCAACGTCCGACCGACGACCAGTACAGCCTTAAATCCGGCACCGATGAGTTGGCCGAGAAGTTCCATCGCACCCACGACTCTGATGTCGCCGCTGGGTACTTCGCGGTCTGTCGTGAATATGTACCGGGGGGTGTCAACGGGCGGCCGCCCGAGAGAACCACTCCGGCGGGTGAAGTGATCGCCGCCGAGAGCCCGAGCGTCTATCAGGCGATGTATAGAAGCCTGTTTGACCGCAAGCAAGCACCTACAATCGAACCCGCCAAAACCAACCCAAAGAACGGAAAGCGAGGGCGCAACGTCTTTTACATTGTTCTTCGGTATTTCTTCCTCCCCGCCCCACTAAATCCGCTCTCTGCACTACCCTTGTAACGATGCAGACGCTAATGCTCGATACGGTCTAGACACGGTCATTTGATGCTCTATGACAACGCGAACCAGGTGGAAGTCCGATACGTCATCTCGCTTGCCCACCACGATGTCAGTATACACGGCGGAGAGGGCCCGATTCCGGAAGGGGAGTTGTGGCTAAAGAGAAATGCCATCTGTCTTTCGCGACGGTTGGAGTCGCTGGGAGACTTGGGAGGGCCTACGCCGCCCTTCTTTCTCTTCTCGGAGAACCTGTCAGACAAGGAAGACTTCTATTTCGCCATGCTTCAGAACCAGGCCAGGATGTGGAGCTCTCCAGATGGTCCTCCCAAGCAGCAGCCGTTTGATGTGAAACACATCGTTACCCTGGTCCAGCGATTGCATTCTTCTGAGGAGCAACTGCAGACGCGGTGGATCAACGCGGTGTTAGGCAGGCTGTTTTTGGCCACATACCGAACGCCAGAAATGGAAGAATTCATTCGAAAGAAGGTCACCAAGAAGATCTCTCGCGTCAATAAACCGAATTTCATCAGCAAGATTGGTCTCCAGAAGATCGACATGGGGGAAGGGGCGCCGTTTATCATCAACCCGAGACTCAAGGATCTGACGGTCGACGGGAACTGCTGCGTTGAAACAGATGTTCAATACACTGGCAACTTCCGCCTGGAGATTTCGGCCACCGTGCGCATCGACTTGGGACCTCGCTTTAAGGCTAGGGAGGTTGACATTGTTCTGGCCGTGGTGCTGAAGAAGCTCGAAGGCCATTTGCTGATCCGGTTCAAGCCTCCTCCGAGTAACCGAATCTGGATTTCCTTTGAAACCATGCCCAACATGGTCATGGATATTGAACCGATCGTTAGCTCAAAACAGATTACCTACGGCATCATCTTGCGTACGATCGAGAGTCGCATCCGGGAAGTGCTCGCGGAGAGCGTTGTTCAACCGTTTTGGGACGACATCCCCTTCCTGGACACCGAATCGCAGCGATTCCGAGGAGGCATCTGGGAGCGAGAGATACCAAAGCCCGATACGAAAACGGATATCCCCGACGAGTCGGGTGCTCAGATCCAGACGTCAGGAACTCCCAAGGAGGAGTCCGTGGAAGTGCTCAAGATGAAGGATGAGCGCACCATGAGCGCGCCTGTGCTGACGGAGTCCGTGAATGGCACTTTGAAAGCCCGCAAGAACTCCAAGTCCTCTATTGGGGAGTCGGAGAACACCAATCCAAGCGCGTTGTCTTCGGCTGTCGAGAAGCTAGGCAGTTCGCCCCCTCGGGTCATCAGGTCTCAAACCTTTTCCCATGCGGCCGATCCTGTCCTGACAGCCGACCACGTGAAGATGGACAAAGTCTCGTCCGAACCCAAGGGCGAGGAAAAGAGCCATGCAACCAGTGCCATGATCGAGATATCTAGCCGCTCTCCTCCAGCTTCGCCGGATAAGACCCCCGACAACTCCCCGCCGACTGCTAGTCACATGGTCCCGGACAATTTGGGTCAGAGTCGGGATCCTTCCATTATCGAATCTACTGGGAGCTACGAAGAGTCGGTCAGTGACTTGCCTACCCGACCACCTTCCACTCATCATGGAAACGAGTCATCCAGCAACCTCCGGGGCCTGGAGAACGGTTCTACCGCGTCTGTGAATAGCAACAAATCCCGACGGCGTAGCACGCTGGAAACGTTGACTCGATCTATGACTTCCTCGTCCACCACTGAGAATAAATCGCCCGGTCCCCTGAATACAGCAACTTCGGTGGCCAAGAAGTGGGGGTGGAACATGTTCGGCCGAGGCGAGTCTAGCTCCGCTCAAGATGCGTCTCGTCCTGCAGGCACTCCGGACCAGCCGATCGGACGCGGGCACCCGCTCCCACCCCCAGGCACTCCGTTGCCGCGGCCCGACAAAGTTGGTTACAAGAGGAACACCGTCGCGGTCCCGAAGCGGAAACCCGTGGGGATTCCGACTTTTCCAGAGCCCAAGGCTGACAAGGAAAACAAGAGACCTGTTCCTAAGCCACCTCTACCCAAGCGAAAGTCCCTCTACCGCCCCGAAGAACCGGGAAATCGGTCCGAAGAGTTGCTCGTGGTCGAGGCCCCGTACGATTCCGGGCCCAACAGCCCGGTGGTGGACATGACCCCCGATGTAGGATCAACGGTCGAGTCGAGCACCAAGGGCAACTCACCACTGTCAACAAGACCAGGCGAGTCCACTGCCGGCCCAAGCCGCGGGTATGAAGGGGCCCGGGAAACCGCTGAGCAAGATCCTCCGACTCAAGGGCCGCGGAACAGACTCGATACCGAGAAACACGGCATGGAGATCTTGTCAGCCACGGATGGTATTATTCCCTGATGGTTCCGCATGCCGCGAAGCCCTGTATGACGGATAGAACGTATGATGTCGCATTTATCCTTGGCAATGCATAAAGGAAGCTCTGCAGCGCAGAGCGCTCTCTCCTGGCGCGGGCGTTTTGATTAGGACGGAAAGGCGTGAGACGAGACTGGTACCGTGGCGCTGGGCGATTGCTCCTTTCCTTGGCTTCTGACCCATGGTATACCCTCTCAGCTGGTTCTTGAGCGTGCTTGACAGTGTCCGGCGTCGATAGCAATATGGGTTACCCTCACCTCCCGTCGTACGGTGTATTTGTTTTCTCGCTAGGTAGATGGAAAGTTCGAGCGGATCCCGATTTCTCCACCGTAGAAAGTCAGGTGTAGTTGGCTGGTAGATATGCGCATGGTGGGTTGGGCGACAAAATCGCTGCCTAGCGAGAGGCGTTGACGACGCTTCGGCTTCGTCGTCTGGTCCGCGGTGGCTCAATCAGGAGGTGGGCGGCGGTGCCAAGGCCGGCCGCGATCGCTTTCCCTTCCGGACGTCATCTCGCCTCGGGGTGCCTGTTGCTATTTCCATCTTCCCCTCCTCCTCCCGACTCGACTCGATTCTCTGCAGCTGGCCATTGCCGTCTTGCACTGCACGGGTGCCCTCGCCAATCTCCCTTCGCGCTGACTCCTCCTTCTTACCCCCTTATCCTTAGCGCATCCTCCGTGGAGCTGATTGCGCTCTCGAACACGGGCCCACCGGCTCCCGCCGCACCTCTCCGTCTCCTGTTCCCCTGATCCACGCTCATCGAGAGCTTCGCAACCGCCAGCATGAGTCGGTACGTGGGGTTCCCCGGGGCAACGATGCACTGTCCGGGCTCGATGATGGACTGCTGACATTGGGTGATAGCACGGAGACTGATTTGGCGATTAACATTCGCAAAGCCACGAGTATCGGTAAGTCGCAGTCGCAGTGTATCCCACGCTGGCCTGATGTGTCTGGTGACTGATCATATCGCAACCACAGAGGAAACCGCCCCGAAACGTACGGATTGACCCTTAGCTTCGTGCTACACCAACCCATCGCTAAACCTTGCTTAGGGAAACATGTTCGGAGCTGCATCGTGTACACATGGGATCATAAATCGTCCGTCGCCTTTTGGGCGGGCATGAAAATGTATGTGCTTGTGCTGTGTTTGCCCACATGTCTCTGCATCAGCTGACTTATCATTTCTGCTTAGCCAACCCGTGCTTGCCGACGAAGTCCAGACGTTCAAGGCGCTCATCACGATACACAAGGTGCTGCAAGAAGGTCACCCGGTGGTCGTCCGTGAGGCACAGCAGCATGTCAATTGGATCGATAGTTTGATGCGAGGTGTTGGAGGTGATGGTATCCGAGGTGCGAATCGGAAGAGCATACATGTGTGGATGGATGCTGACTGGGGACAACAGGATACGGCCCTCTGATTCGCGAATATGTGTTTTTCCTCGAGTCGAAGCTGGCGTTTCACCGGAACCACCCCGAATTCAACGGTTAGGGCACCCATACGACGCTTCTCGCATGGTTACTGATTGGTTTAGGCCTGTTTGAATATGAAGAATACATCAGCTTGAAGACGATCAATGACCCGAATGAAGGGTATGTCGACTGCCCGAGACATGTCCACACTTAGCTGACCGTCACTAGTTATGAGGCTATTAGCGATCTCATGACGCTGCAGGACCAGATCGATGCGTTCCAGAAGTTGATTTTCTCCCATTTCCAATCCGGCACGAACAACGAATGTCGAATCTCGGCGCTGGTCCCCCTGGTGCAGGAGAGCTATGGCATCTACAAGTTCATCACCAGCATGCTGAGAGCCATGCATACGAGTAGGCTTCTCCCCTGTGATTGTGATGGTATGATGAATTGACGTGGGTCTCAGCAACGGGTGATACGGAGGCGCTAGAGCCCCTCCGTGGCCGGTACGATGCTCAACACTACCGTCTGGTCCGCTTCTACTATGAATGTTCGAACCTGCGGTATCTCACCAGTCTGATCACTGTCCCCAAGCTGCCCCAGGACCCGCCCAACTTGCTGTCGGATGATGACGAGCGTCCGGCTCTGCCGAAGCGACCCGTCAAAGAACCCGAGCCCCAGCCGTCCCCGCCACCCAAGGTGGCCGGGGGTGACCCAGAGCCTATCAATGACTTCTGGACCACCGAAGCCAAGCGTCAGCAAGAGGAGTATGAAGCGGAGCAACAACGCTTGCAGCAGCAGTGGGAGGAACAGCAGCGACAGCAACTGCTTGCGCAGCAGCAGGCACAGCGCGACTTTGAGGAGCAGCAGCGTCTCCAGGCCGAGCAGCAACGTCTGGCTCAGGAGCAACTCCTGCGCGACCAGTACCAGACACAGACCCAAGGTCGCTTGGCCGAGCTGGAGCAGGAGAACTTGAACGCCCGGGCCCAGTATGAGCGCGACCAGCTGATGCTGCAGCAGTACGACCGTCGGGTCAAGGACCTGGAGGAACAGATGAACCAGTTGACCGCGAACCTCAACCTGCAGAATGCTTCGAAGGACGACTTGATCCGGTCGCTGCAGGAGCAGGTCAACACGTGGCGGTCCAAGTATGAAGCCTTGGCCAAGTTGTACTCGCAACTCCGACAGGAACATCTCGACCTCCTGCAGACGACCAAGAGCCTCAAGCTGAAGGCAGCTTCGGCACAGGAGGCGATTGAGCGCCGCGAGAAGCTTGAGCGTGAGATCAAGACGAAGAACCTCGAGCTGGCCGACATGATCCGCGAGAGAGACCGCGCGTTGCATGACCGAGACCGTCTGACCGGCAACAACAAGGAAGAGCTGGAGAAGGTCATGCGGGAACTTCGCTTTGCCCTCGAGCGGGCTGAAAATGCGGAACGCTCCAAGGGCACGGAGATCTCGACGCTGTTGTCGAAATACAACCGAGAGATGGCAGACTTGGAGGAGGCTCTCCGAGTAAGTTCATCCCAGATTGCCACCGACTTCTCTAATCTTGGACATAGAACAAGTCTCGCGCCCTGGAGGAAATCTCCAGCAAGACCTCGGAGCGTGCCGGGGATCACGATCTGGCTCTTCGGGAGAAGGACGAGGAAATCGAAGTGTACAAGTCGGGAATGGAGCAGGCTTTGATGGAACTCGAGGAGCTGAAACTGGTATGTTGGCGAACGACCCATGGTGTTGCTGAGCTAACAGGCTGCGCTCAATAGAGTCAAGGTGATGTCGACACTGCGTTGGATTCCCAGATTGATCACGTTCTGCACAGCACAGTCTCCAAGATCAACGACATTATCGATTCCGTGCTTCAAACGGGTGTGCAGCGTGTGGATGACGCTCTGTATGAGTTGGACTCTTCCAACCAGGCTGGTAACCAGAATGCCTCACCCCCATATGTGCTTTCGCAGATCGAAAAGGCCTCGGCCTCGGCCACCGAGTTCTCGACGGCGTTCAACAACTTCATTGCGGACGGCCCTAACAGCACGCACGCGGAGATCATCCGGACGGTGTCTATCTTCGCTGGGTCTGTTGCTGATGTGCTGAGCAACACGAAGGGGTTGACACGGATTGCCAACGACGACAAGAGTTCGGACCAGCTGATCAACGGCGCTCGCAAATCCGCCCAGGCAACCGTGCGGTTCTTCCGGGGCCTGCAATCCTTCCGCCTGGAGGGGCTGGAGGCACTGCAAAAGACGGATGTGGTGATCAACAACAACCTCGAAGTGCAGCGAGACTTGCAATCGCTCTCGAAGCTGGTTGAGACGTTCACGCCGAAGAGTGCGAAGATCACCACCAACGGCGACCTGGGCGACTTGGTGGACAAGGAACTGCTCAAGGCGGCGGATGCCATTGATGCGGCGGCCCAGCGACTGGCCAAGCTCAAGAACAAGCCCCGCGACGGCTTCAGCACGTATGAACTTCGGATCAACGATGTGATCCTGGCGGCGGCCATTGCGGTGACCAACGCCATTGCCGAACTGATCAAGGCGGCCACGGAGTCTCAGCAGGAGATTGTGCGGGAGGGTCGTGGAAGCTCCTCCCGGACGGCCTTCTACAAGAAGAACAACCGATGGACGGAGGGCCTCATCTCGGCGGCCAAGGCAGTCGCCAATTCGACCAATACGCTGATTGAGACGGCGGACGGGGTCATTTCAGGCCGCAACTCTCCGGAGCAGCTGATCGTTGCCAGTAACGATGTGGCGGCTAGCACGGCCCAGCTGGTGGCGGCCAGTCGGGTCAAGGCCACCTTCATGAGTAAGACGCAGGACCGCCTGGAGACGGCCAGTAAGGCGGTTGGGGCAGCCTGTCGGGCTCTGGTGCGACAGGTGCAGGACATCATCAAAGAGAAGAACCAGGACGACAACGAGGCGGTGGATTATTCGAAGCTCAGCTCGCACGAGTTCAAGGTTCAGGAGATGGAGCAGCAGGTAAGTGGTTCCCTTGGGCGGTCCGTGGGCTTCGCTAACGAGCGTATAGGTCGAGATCCTTCAGCTGGAGAACAGTCTGGCCCGGGCTCGGCAACGGCTGGGAGAAATGCGCAAGATTTCGTACCAGGAGGAGTGACAAAAGGGTGGATTGGTACGGGGGCGGCGTGGAATTACCGTGCCTGGTTGCGTCGTCGTCCCATGGGTTGCGTGTTTTGTGTGACACGGATTTTCGAGGCCTTGCCTTGTTTTGTTGGATATCCCAAGAGTAGCGCCATGCACTTGTAACTGTATATACGCCACTGACCTGAAATGTCCCCTGGTAGACCTCGCTTGGGTAATCATCTGGACCGGAAGGCCCTTCCAGGACATGAAATCATGCCACCATCATGTGGATGCCTGGAGCAGCGGGCAGCTATATAAAGGTTTTGTTCTCTCCTTGAGTGACCATTTTCTAAATGCATCGACCAGGTCGAATCACACTTGAGACCGACACCATGGCACGCACCGCAACCACTGCAGACCCCCGGGCCCAGGGCCCCAGCACCCCACCATCCCCCTCGGCGATGCAGCGGGTGTTGGCGATCCCTGAGCTCCTCGAGGCTCTTCTCCTGGCCGTCGGCTCATACACGTTGGCAGCGGCCAAGTTGGTGTGTCGATTGTGGAGAGACCTCATCGAGCTGTCGCCGCCGCTTCGAAAGAAATATCCCCCCAAACCGGCGCCCTATATCGGCCGGCTTCGGGGGCACCCTCGACGAGGCCTGCCTCCTCTGCCCCCTCTGCCTCAAGGTCTGCCTCGCCCCAGCCTGTCTCAGCAAGAGCAGCTTCATCCAGGCCAGCCTCAGCCCAGCTGGTTCCGGTCCCGCCGCAATGCCTTTTCCCCCTCTAAGTGGGCCCAAAAGTCTTTGGAGCGGTTCCGACGGCTGATCCCATTGAGACGCAAGTAAGTGGCATCTTCAGGAATGGAATTGGTTGCTAATAATTCGATTACATTCTAGATCCAAGCCGAGTGCCTTGCCTCCGACTACACTGGAGAATCCCAACCACCCGGCTACGAAGGAGTTGATGGAGATTTTGAAACTGAATGATCGTGATAGTCGTCTAGAAGTGGCTCCTTGGGAGGCTTACGATGTGAATAGTCCTGTGGATCATCATCACTATGATGGGGATGATGAGGCGGTCAGTGAGGATGGGTTTAATGAGGAGGTGGTGGATGAGGAGGTGTTGTATGGCGTGAATGCTTTTTAGAGGTCATATGGCATGTTCTTAGAAACAGAGCAGAGGAGATACAGAGACAGAGGGACAGAAAAGGACAGAGAAAAGCAGGGATGGGACAGATGGTTGCTTGTGTTGTTGCCCTCCTAATGTGTGACTTGAGGGCTTTGCTTGGTATTATCATGATCAACAATGAATATGGTTGCTTGGTATTATGGCCTCTTTGAGTAGTTGAGGTATCTCTAGTGTAGTATACAACACTCAAAAACCTCCACTTCCTTCTTCCCCTTCCTTCTCCCCCTTCCTTCTCCCCCACCACTTTTTCCATCTCAATCACCACTACTGGTATCCCTCCATCCAAACCAACCTGCTCAGGCACATCATCAACTCCACTCATCTATAGTTCTACAAACAGATCCTCTCCAGCCCGCAGTCACCGACCGGCCCCGATGACAGCCCCCGACCCAAGGCATCGCCAACCCTCTAGCAAGGAATCCTGGTACCTGATCCATCCTACCTTCCCGGACCCACGCAATGACCCAAACTCATTTTCTTGGCGGAGAAGTAACCCTACCAGGGATGCCTACGTTTGCCTAGGACATACTTTGCCGCTCCTACAAAGCTTTACAAGCCGTTGTCTCGGCAGGGATAGGACCCATCCACGATGTCAGGACATGTGATCAAAGCTGTGTGATGGTTCGTGAGAGGTGAGTGCTGTTGTGCTGGGGTACCTAGCTAGGGGTGTATGTCAGATTTGCTTGAGATGAACCATGGACCTCCCCACTCAGAACAGTAAAAAGCTCATCCTAGTGAGGGGTTCATTACACGAACCAAGGTAGCTGGATCTGTCGGTCGAGTCGGGGGCAGCGATGAGTCAAATCTCCGTGCCTTGAGTAACTCTGGCTTGGACGACCTGGCTAACAGAGTTTCCGTGCGGTCAATAGGAACACCCTCCACGTCACTGCTGCCGTCTCAATGGGCTGATTTAGCGAGGCCCAGTCATTATGACACGGTGGGTGCTACGCCGGACTTTTTCGAAGGCCAAGACTAGGCTTGTTGTCTGGTTGTCGAATCAATCTCATTGACAAGTGCGTTGCCTGGGGCTGGAACATCGGGCTTGGGGCTCGCCACAGACCTAGTAGCGAGAACGTCCTAGATTCTACCGTCGGAGTAGATCAACGGCCTTTGACAGTGATGGTGGGATACATGCATATGAGATGATCCACCCGGTGTCTGTGATTGACTGGTTATTCTAGAATCATTCCTTATTCAAGACAAGACTCGAACCCACGGATAGCCAGACCAGCTCCGAATCCTGTCGGGCACCAGCCAGGGCTAGTGCTCTCTCAGAATTGGTACCCACGCAGATCTCAATTATGGTCTGCCGGTGCAACGGTCTGACATATGGATCGACGCCAGGAAGTCCGGTCCTGCATTCGCGGGATCGGAGTGGCTGTGGCTGTCAGTGATGAACAGGGGGCCTCTACGTCGGATGTTGAGAGATTTTCGATTAAGCAGTCAACGATTGGCTGATACATATGTTCTGCATGTGAACCATGACATCAAGGGGTTACTAAGGGTTGTTTGTATCTTTTCTACCAGAATCCGGCACGAAAGCCACCTATGACCTGTAGCTCCCTGCCTGCCTACTCAGGATGAAACAGTTATAGTAAATCCAATCCTTAACCAAACACCCAAGCAAAAGTCCCTATTACTACCAAGTATGACTACCAAACATGTGAACCCCCAACCTCAGACACCCTCCTCCATACCCGACTAGCCACACCCAAACCCATTACCCCATCGAATGCTAAATCCCTCACTCAATCCCACCCAACAAAGCCCAACAAAGAACTATAGGAATAGACTACTTCTTTCGTCTTCTCTGTCCCACACACAAACCAGAAGGAATAAAGAAAGGCAGAAAGTTAAATATAGTACGGAGGACGGAGAACAGGATGGTTATATCCGCTCCGGCCGAGAGGAAGGGTAGGGATGGAAGGGAAGGGACCAATCGTGTTCCGGGGGGCGGTTGCTGTTCTGGGATCCTTGTTTGTGTTTTAGTTGGATTGGTTGGGATTGGTATCAGACCAGAGTAGACTATTAGGGTGCTGTTCATTCTATGCTATGCCTTCAAGGAGGGTATGTATTGGGCTAGAGTAGCTCACCTCCTTTCCCTCACATAGCCTAACCTAAGGTACCTGCTTAAGCTAACCTACCTGCTTAAGCAGGTTAGCTTAAACTACCTACCCTAGCACCAGACTCGAGAACCTGATTCGTTGAGAATGAGAATGAGGAGTGGATTCCAATTCTCCGAGTGGAGACGTCGGCCGATCCGTTTAGTTTAACGGTGTATCTACCTACCTAGTAAATGTCTTCCAGCCAACTAATCTAAGTCCAAGGAATAGTACTGCCTATCCTTGACCAAGTAACAAGTACCGTCGTACCCAACCTCCAAATGGAGATAGCTCTGCGAACTGAATGAACCAAATCCAAGGAAATGCCTCATGATGTAAGTACCCTCCTATCCTCCCTCCTATCCTATCCTCCCTCCTATCCCCATCAAAGAAATAGACATAGAACTGGTATATACGTATGACAACCCATCAGATTCAAACTCTAATTGATGAACTGACTGAACTGTACTATACCGAAATGAGATATTTACATTAACGTGTAATATAACCTCCCTCTGTTGACTGTAATCCTGTTAGTACGGAGTATAGGATTCAGGATCATTTAACTTTGCCAATTCTCTAACGGTGGTGGAGTGGATACATTTCGCGCGGTGGGGTTGGTAGTGGTGATTTTGTGGCTGGGGTGGTTTGTGGGTGTGGGTGAGGGGTCAAAACTGGAAAGTAGAGGGGAGGGATTTTGTGTAACTGTCTTTTTTTTTTCATTTGCTCTCTTTCTTTCTGTTTCTTTTTATTTTTCTATTTTTCTCTCGTAGGGGGAGGTGTGGGTGGAAAGATGAAGATGTGCGTGTGACTTGCACTAGGGCTGCTGTGTGTAGGTAGGTACTGAAACAGGATTACTGGGTCAATGCTCCAGGATCAGGGGGTGGATGTAACCCTAGGATACCGCTTTGGGAAAATTATATACTCGGTGCCTAAAGTGGCAATATCGCAGGAACCTGTTGAGATGGATAATCTAGAATAGAGTATATGGGTTGGGAGACCAATGCTATAGAGGAATATAGATTGTTCATGGGATGAGATGGTCAAGTAAACATGAATCGTAAGTAGCATTACCATGCATACAATTTCCTGCGCATCCCCCCAATCCCACAGCTCCCTCGTCGAGAAGCCGGCCGAGTCTGGCGCCATTCCTCGAATGCCCGCCGCGTCGCCTCGATCAGCCCCATCCCCCCGGCTAGAACGCCCTCCTGGCCCGACGAGACCATCTTCCACCACCCCACCTCCGTCTCCCGGGTGAGGCCGGCGCCGCTGAGGACCCAGTCCCGGAATTGCTGTGTCACCCCGTTGCGTAATTGGAACTGGCGGCGACAGGCGAGTGCACTCTGCGTTCTTTGTGTCGCGGCTGGCCGGCGCAGGTCTTCGTAGAGCTGGAGGGCCTCGGGGAGCAGGGGCCGGGACTGGTCCGGTTTCATCGCGTGCTGGTTGAGTAACCCCAGGATGGTGCCGAGGACGACGGCGTCCTCGAGGCTCGAGGCGGTTTCTTGGCCTTGGTGGGCTGGGACCTGGCAGGGGGCGGTGCCGAGGAGGGTCATGCGCTTGCGTGTCCAGGTTTTTGGCGAGGTGAGGGAGGGTATCCTCGAGGTAGTGATGGAGGGGGCGATGGAAAGGATGGATTGCAGGCTGTAGATTGTTAGTCTCTTGATAGGTTAGGAGATAGGGGTCTAGGGGTCCAACCGGTCGTCCCAGCCCCGACTGCTTTCTTGTGCGTCGGCGGTGCTGCCAGTGCCATAGAGGGTCAAGACGAATGCCTGACCCTGTCGAACCGGATAGAAGATGACGTGTTGGTCGGGTCCCAACCAGGCGGTGATGCTGCGTCGTTGCCACAGTTCATCGATACGGGGATTGCTGAGAGCCTCGAGATGTTTCCGTGAAATGGTGGTCTGGTAGATGACTTCGTCTATGCCCAGTTGGTAGGTATCCCTTACTTCTTTTTGAACGTGAGAAACTGTCCCGCTCCATGTATAGTGTTGACCGTGATGAAGGATAGACGTACCATCTGCCTCGATCACCACGTCGCCCTGCACCCGCTCTCCATCGTCCAAGATCACCTCGGCAGTCTCACAGACTACCTCCCTCACCACAGCCTGACGCATCTCAACTCCCAGACCCCGCGCCCTATCTCGCAAACCCTGGAGCAAATCCTCTCGATGGATGGCCCTGCCGTCACGTTAGTCCATCCAACCATACAGGCAATCATGAGTAGCATACACCCACGACCCCCCGTACACTCGACACGTCTCCTCCCCACACGGCATCGACCGGATCACGCTTCCATCGGTATATCGCCGGAAATCAATCGTCTCGAGCACATCCGCCTTCTCTAGCACGGCATCAAGACCCAACTGGCGGAGAAGACACGTTCCGTTGGGGGGGATCTGGATGCCCGGGCTTGCCTAGATATCGTTAGTTAGAAAAGATATATAAAGTATATTCGCTGCTGTGGCGTAGGATGATTACCTCTACATCAACATCGCCCTCCAGAACAATCACATCTACATTCTCTCGACGACAGGTAATCGCGCATACAAGGGCGGGAACATCCCCTCCGATGATGATGACTTTCATCTTAGTATCCTTCTTCTTCGTGTCTTCAAGAGATAAGTTCCGATTCGTTACTGGGAATGATAAAAAGGACAGCAATCAATGGAAACATTCGATCAATCTGGGACCTGTGCTATTTATCTCCATCATGCTCACTAGCGGGACTTCTATCGCCTCGGAATTGATCGGACTTCACCCAAATGGACACGCCTGCAGATCAAAAGCAAATCTTGGGCATTCCTGTCAGCACTGCTGCAGAACCAGCATCAGATTGAGAACCAGACTGTCGTGGAAGGGCATTATTGGGTGGCATATTTGCTTTGTTGAGGTGCAGGCGCCGCTGCATGCGTGCTTTTTCTTTGTGCAATCTGTGCTCTCACGATGCGGGGTAGATGCAGCGTCGCATCACAGCATCATTCCAGCCACCGCTTTTCGTCCGATCCAAGTGGTTTGGGCATGATGTCGCATCCGATGTCGACGCCTTCGATGCTCGCGGCGTGACGGATGGCAGTCATCACACCGAACCCAGTCGCTCGGGTTTCGAGATACTCGGTCGGGACGTCGTCGGGGCGAATGTAGTCGGGGACGCCTTGAAATCCCGTCTTGCCCTCGTATTGACCTAACGAGCGGAGGTATTTCATCACCCCCGCCAGCGAGACATCCACCTGCCAGGATCCCCCTACGGTGGCTTGCTTGTACAGCGCCGCCATGATCCCGGCCGCCAGGAAGTAGCCGCCGGCATGGTCGAGCGCCTGGCATGGGAGAGCACGGGCGGCCTCTCCGGCCCCAAAGTGTTCGGCCTCGGAGACGTTCATGCCGGAGCAGGTCTGGACGAGCGAGTCGAAGCCTCGACGGGTGGACCATGGGCCATCGGGGCCGTACGCGGACATGTTGGCGCAGACGACCCCACGGTTGGGGCGTCTTTTCATGATGGCATCCGGGGAGAGACCGCGAGAGGCGAGACTCCCTGGTCTGTAGCCTTGAATGAAGACGTCTGCGTCGTCGAGCAGGGCGAAAAGCTCCGCTGCGTCTTCCTCGTCACGGAGATCGAATTGGATGGTCCTCTTCCCGCAGCCAAATTCCCGGTCGACATCCGGCAGATCAGGGAGATGAGGACTCGTTACCCAGAGGACATCGGCCCCGTGCGTAGCGAGCGTCTTCCCGCATAGAGGGGCTGCAATGACCCGCGACAGTTCAAGGACACGAAGCCCCCGCAGACATTTATCGGCATGTGGGCCCATCCGGGCTGGTAGACCGGCGGGGGCCTCGCCGATCTTGTGAAGCCGAATGGGAAAGTCTGCGATGGCTTTGGCTTGGGGAAGGACATCCCATTGCTCGTAGGTGCGAAGCGCGGCGATGGCAAGGTGGTTGTCGACGGCAGTAGATTCGAGGTCGACGGAGCGCCAGGAGAGGATCTTGGAGGCGACTTCCTCCCGGGTTGCCCTTGGCGAGCAACCAAGGAGGGATTTGGCGCCCTCGCGGTGGTTGGGAAAGTTATCGTGGACCCGGACGTAGCCGTCGGAGGTTCGGTGGAGGCCGCCAATAGGGCCCCAGGCCGAGGGAGCGGGGGCCCCGTTCAGGGTGTAGAGACGCTCGCACTTGAACTCGACACAGGCGTGGTCGGGGGGCACGCGGACTTTGGGTGGGGGGATCGTGTTCCTAAGGCTGTGGATTTGAGATGCCAGAAGGGCAGAGAGCGCAATGGAGGCTTGGGCGAGATGGCCAACTTTGTAGGAAGAGGGGAGACCGGGCTGGGAGGATTCGATGAGGCAGAGGGCGTCAAGGGTGTCTGGAGGGAGACGGAGGCCTTGCCAGAGATGAGCGATGGTATCGCGGGGGGTGAAGCTGGTTCTGTCCGGATGGGACATGGTGGGTTTGGTTGCAGCGAGTGAATGGGTTTGTTTATATCCGAGCAGATGCGTATTGATGCCAAAGGAGAAACGTCGAGGACGACAACGATTGAAGCGTGTGCCGAGGTACACAGCTGCAGTCATCGAATCTAGATGAGACAATGGTCAGTTCAATAGCCAAGGGAAGGGAATAGTGGGGGATTCCTTACAGACTGCTTCACTCCAACCAGGGAATTATTCTTATTGAGGGGAGGGATTGTTCTGGGGATTCACCAGATGACCCACAGAGATGAGGGAAGGAGAAAACAATGGATTCTATTCCGATCCTTCCAGGAATCTTATCCCGCCGCCCCACTAGTATCATAACATGACATCGTAACGTCGGACTGATAAAGGAGACGCGATAAGCCGCTTATCCAAAGCGGGGTCCGCCGATCCGCTGTCTCTATAAAGCCTCCAGCTCATGCTTCATCACTTCATGAATCTATACTACCAGTTACTTCAAAATGGCCGATCTTCCCCACATCTCCAACTGGGTCAATGGTGCTCATACCGCTGCCACCACGGACCGCATCCCCGTCATCAACCCTGCCAACGAGGTCCCCATCGCCACCATCGACGCAACTCCAAAAGAAACCGTCGATAGCATCGTCAATGAGTCTCTTCACACATTTCGGAATGGCCCATGGTCGCGCACCGATGTGTCAGACCGATTTGCCGTTCTCTCCACAGCCGCACGACTGCTCCGCTCCCGCATTCCCGAATTCGTGGAACTCGAAACCCGCCAGACCGGCCGCCCCATCCGTGAGATGCGGGCGCAGCTAGCGCGCGTCCCAGAATGGCTGGAGTACTTTGCATCCCTGGCGCGCGTCCACGAAGGCCGTGTGACACCGTTCAAAGGGCCTGTTGTGAACACCCTGACCCGCCTTCCCTTAGGGGTCGTGGCCCTGATCACACCGTACAACCACCCGCTCCTCATTGCGATGAAGAAGATCGGTGCGGCGCTGGCAGCTGGGAACGTGGTAATTGTCAAGGCATCGGAGCTGGCACCGCTGTCGGTGCTGAAACTCGGAGCCCTGTTCCAGGAGGCTGGTCTTCCTGATGGGGTATTGCAGATCGTCAGTGGGTATGGGTATGAGACGGGAAAGTACCTCTGTGAGAGCCGATTGCTAGCCAAAATCGACTTGACAGGAGGACTGGCCACATACAAAGCAATTGCGCCATCTGCGTCGGCCAACTTGATCCCCATCACGGCCGAGCTGGGTGGGAAGGCCCCCGTGTGCTTCTTCCCGAGCATGGAAGTCGAAAATGCAGTCAAGGCGGCGCTGTTTGCGAGCTTCATTGCCAGCGGACAGACTTGTGTCACGGGAAGTAGGCTTCTGGTTCACGCAGACATGTACGATGAGTTTACAGCGCTGCTAAAAAAACGGGTGGAAGCCTTACGACTAGGTGATCCGTTTGATGACCAGACGCAGATCGGAACTGTCATATCCAAGATCGCCGTGGAGAGATGCTCCGCTTTCGTGGAGAGGGCTGTGAAGGAGGGAGGGAAGATCCTCTGTGGTGGAAAGCCAACAACGAACCCAGATGGAAAAGGCTTCTATTTCCAGCCGACGGTCATCGAAACTCGTCCGCAGACCGATCTGGAATGTAACGAGGTGTTTGGCCCAGTCATTGCGCTCATCAAATGTCATTCAGAGGAGGATATAATCCACGTTGCCAACAGTTCTTCAATGGCATTAGGGGCTTCGGTCTGGACGAATGACTTTAAGCAGGCGCATCGGGTTGCAGACAAGATTGAGGCGGGAATTGTCTGGATTAATGGACACCATCTCAACGACCCATCATCGCCGTGGGGTGGCTTTAAGCAGAGTGGCCTGGGGAAGGAGAACGGGTTGGAGGCGTATGAGAGCTACACGAAGCTCAAGAGCACCGTGATCAACTATGGTGTTCCTCCGGTTTGGTTTGATGATGAGCCTGCAAATGCACGCTATGGCTAGATGTAGCATGGCAATTGTAGATATTAGTTTGCATTTGAGACTTACTGCAATGTCTCTTCTGCTTCCGGATAACTGCTATGTTTTCAGTCGTGTATCACCCGAGGAATCCTAAGCATGTCTTGCTGCAATGTTGTAGATACACGCAGCCACACAAGGACATCACGCTTGATTCGACTATCACATCCGAGCTACCAGAAATTGCATGATTATCGTTGATATCAAGGGCCGAAAGTACAGCCAATTGAAGGGGAAGCCTCATAGCCCAGGAAATAATCCCATGTTCTGCATATGAACCATTCTCCTCCACTCAAAGGTAATAGCAAGAGTCCAGACTGCTCATCAAGCTACTTCAATACGAAATGTATCTCCAGCAGGTATTGTAAGAGTATCAGCATCTTGTCCAGATATCATGGTAAAGGTATCCTTCCCCTTTTCTAGGGTCCAAACTCTCAACATACCATCATTACCACCAGTGAGAAAGAATTTGCCAGCGGAACAAACCGGTCCCTTGGCGTCCCCAATCCCATGAAGAAACTCGTGCATAGCAAGGGATACGAAATCATATACCATGGTTGCCACGTCGCTCCAGTTGAATACGAGTTTCCTCCCTCCATCAATGAACCGGGTATCTGAAGGTATCTCTTCCCCACGAAAACGCGGATGCCATCGCATCCCTTCCATCCGTCTGGTGGCATCCCACAGGTTGATATCGCCATAGGGACCCAGCAATACAAGGGATAAGAAGACAAGAAGAGAGCGAGCGATGGCACGAGCGCGAGAGAAGGAAAGAAAGAGGCCGATGTGTTATTCTTATTCAGCTTTTATCAGTGGATGAAGATAGTGATAGGGTAGCATCATCGTGATTCCATGGTCGGACTTTTTCATAAGATGACATCCATAAGCATGAGAAGCGCCATCAGCAGTGCTTTCCCAGCACGGGGCTGGCCCTCTCTATCCCAAAGACCTTACGCGAGAATAATAAATGTCTATCTTACACGATCTCCATGGACTGGACCGCGCGAGTGTACATTCCGCTTGACCAAGACTCTTCAAATGACTTGTTCAAGAAGGTAACTGATTTCTATCATGTAATTCAAGACAGGCTGAAGGAAAAGGGCAGTGGTGGTGCCACAGTCATTAGTGACACTCTGACACGTTACTTGGGTACCGTGATCTTCGGTAGCAACTACATTGAACGTGCTGGTCTCGACCTCGAAGAGACGGTAAAGATTTGCGAAAGTATCTTCTGTGGAGAATTCGTGGATCCCGAGCACATCCCAGAAAGGTGAAAACCCCGATCCTTGTCGACAAGATTATCTATACGGCAAGTAAAAGCTCAAAGTAGGGTTCCTGCAAGTATGCTTATCCTAAGTGGGTCACAAACTGGGTTCCGCCAACCCATATGTGTTGTGGCTGGCTTGAAATTATCGGTAGTCAGCCTGCATGAATCCATGGCCATCTTGAACTCATTAGTCGTCACTTGACCACTACTTATTGTTCGTCACCTGGCAAGTTTTGGTGGCCAAGTTGAAGTTATTGGTAGTCCCCTTTTCTAGCCTTTGTATATAGCTGTCTAGTACACTCTCTGTGACTTGCTGCGTTCCCGCCCCGACCAAATTGACATATGTACGCAGTATGAATTGCATGGTGGTTTGAAGATGGCCCAGGTGATCATGAATCTAGATCGTCTGAAAGTAGCCTAGATTGATGGATAGTAGAATGGAACCGTAGCTACTACATAGAGATGCACCCACATCCTGCAAGGCTAGGGTCACTAAGCGCTTATCTGTGATCCTATTGATTCCACTTCATTGGTTAGTATATTCTCATCTCCCACAGGATTGGCACCAGCACAAGATCCGTTTTCTTGCAGTCCTCCTATTTTTTTTTTTTTTTTTTTTTTTTTCAAACAATTCAAGCAAATGTGCAATGGGCGAGCCCTCTATCCTTGCGGCACCAAACGACATCAAGCAACAGGGTTGGACGTGTATTGACAAGACTTTTCCCTCCAAATCTGCAGATATTATATTGTAGGTAGTTCATCACGTACAGCTTCATGTAGGAGATGGTGAGTATCCATCTGTCTGCGCTTCGGAGTTCCTTCTATAGTCTTTCGGGAAGGTTATAACTTTGAACATGGAAGCTAGGATGAACATGTAAATGTAATGACTTTCCAGCCAATGGCAGGTTAAATTCAGTAGCGCCTTGAATACAGCCTGTCGGCGGTCATTCAACCAAAGGTCCGTGAGCGAAATCCGTGAGCGGGGTTAAGTTATGGAATACTTCTCACGCGATTCCACCTCGATTTTGCCATCAATTCTTTTTGCATAAATATGTAGTTCCGATTCCCCTCTTCCATTGTCCCCTCAACCTCCTACAAGTTCCCTTCCTACTTTCAATCTTCTATAAGCAACGAGCCACGAGCAGGTCTTGTTTAATACTTTAGACGCATCTAAAGCTCGTGAGTTGACCTACTTTAGGTAAACTTACCATGACTGATACTAATGAGAATTTAGAAATCATGTGCCAGCAGCTCATTCATACCACCAGACACATGTGCGGACATAAGATCGATTCTCCGGGAACGATCATGGAACTCGATCGTTGTAATAATTGCGGTAACATTGTACGAACACAACACCTGGGCGTGTCAACTAAAAGAGTCCCATGCTCTGACTGCAAGGCCAACGGTGCTTATGTGCAGAGGGGTGGAAAGTGGGAGAGAGCTTAAATTGTTGCTGGTGGAGAAGTCAGTGTTTATGGCAAATGTTCTTATTTGGTGTGAATTTTGTGCCGAGTACCGACAGCTAGTTTCTAGGATCATGGTATTTACTCTAAATAGTTAGCTAGCTTCTGGAAATTCTAAAGCAATTAGGAAGCGTTTTGATCTTCGCGTACTACCCATATGTGTATTTGCTCACTACATGCTTTACTCAGTAACTAAGCATTGTATAGCTTACCCTTATGAGATACCAGATAGATATATTTTTTTTCTCGATGGATGAGCACAATATCTGGCCTGCAAACTTAAGTCTCATCATTTCCTTGTTGCCTGGTGATAAGGAAGGGATGAGTATAGCTTTGTTATGGTAAATATAGCACTGTGTAGTACCACAGGTGGTGGGATAGGAGAGAGCTATCCTACGTTCGCAGAGATCTACTACTATCCTACACCGTCCGCTACTGCCAATCCCTTCTTGGAAATTGGTTTTTATTGCCTGTGGAGAACTTCCTATTAGCCAACCATCACTCCAAACCTCTCCCTCCCCTATCTACTCGATAATAGTCTCCCAGAAGTATATTTCAGGTGAAAAGTCCCGGTCGCTGCTTAATGCGTTCTGATTGGTGTAGAGCAAGTTATGACCAATACGGATTTCTGCGCTTGATTTGTCAACCTGACGGGGCCATTGCGTACAGTCCGTAGTTACGCCGTACTTTAAGCATATGACAAATACGCGACCCGTGTTACATAGAGACGCGCCCCCGGTCGCGATTTTTGACTCAAGAATCAATCTATCCCTGTATACACTCCCTAGCCAAAGGAATCTCTCCAATATCTTGGCTCTACCCTCTAGGTCATATTCCTGAGCTACAGAGTACTCTCCCTAGCCTCAGGATATTAGTTCCCATGAGTGATCCTGTCATGGATGCCCAACGACGCTTTCCCAATGTGCACTGGATCTGGGCTGGAGGTATCTCATTTGTGTATGAGGTCCACCCTCGTATTGTGGTCAAGGTGCCAAAGTCTGGAGAGTATGAGAGAGAGCAGTTCCATAGGGAAACCAAGATTTATGAAATCTTCTCACAGCATTCTCCATGCTGTTCTGTGGTGCAGTGCTTCTTTCATACAGACAACGGCATCTTTCTTGAGTACATGAGAGGTGCGGTTCTATTGACAGATGAAATACCCTCTACTGACTGGTTTACTAGATGGGTCCCTGTCCTCTAGGATACAAAACAATCAGGCTAAGGATCAGCAAACCATGATTGTTACTAAAGTAGAAAAGTTGGAACCTCTATTTCTTCGGAAGAAATGGATGAATGATCTTGCTCAAGCCGTCGCCTTCCTTGAATCACTTGGACTAGCCCATGGCGACTTACGACCTGAAAACGTTTTACTGGACCGTGACCGACTGAAGTTATCGGATTTTGATTGTACAGCCAAGCTTGGGGAAGACTTTGAAGCTTGTGTGGCCCCATACGGAAGGTTACTTAACAGCAGCGAAATGAACTACGGGCGGCCTGGAACTTCTGGCTTCTTGAGCTCCAGAACTGAGTTGTTCGCACTTGGCTCTCTATACTATCTGATAAACTACGGCTTTGAGGTCTACGGAGATCGAAGTCTTACTGAAGATCCTAAGGAGCATGGACCCAAGCTCGTGGAGTTGCTGCAGAACAAGGAGTATCCGACACTTGATAGCAATCCAATGATTGATGATATTATCAGCAAGTGTTGGCACAACAATTACGCTACAGTTGCGGAGCTCGCTGCACACACTGATATTGTTCTTCATCAAGGAACTTATAGGGAGAACTCCAATGAAGGTACTGTTTCCTCGACCACCGGATGGGGCGTGGCTATGATTGTGAGCCGCATCATCCATGGATTATGGCGTAGTCTTGCCAAATGGAGATGGTTAGTGCGCCGGGAAAACAATGACAATCTAATTAATTCTATAAAAACCGATGGGGACAGCTGCGAAGTGCTGAACCAAGACTCGAAAACCGCAACTTGCAAGGACTTGGTACGCTGCGGGCTTCTTGATCTGCTATCTTCGGGTGAACCTGGACAGCTTGGTTTCCAAGTAGAATGGTATAGACACAGTTACCAGGTATAATAGGAGGAACCCGGTGAAATAGGAGGAGTTGCTCACCAGTGATTCTAAGTAAATTGTTTTTTTAACGCTCCCACCAATTATTCACATACATGCCACAAATAAACAGTGCTAGCGGGATGATGCTATCTGTATCGCCCAAGAAGCTCGGAAGAGCGATATAGCTATGAAGGCATTACCACTTTATATGTATTCGTTGTATCCACTGTTTTGGTCCCAGTAGACCGGTATAGATTGAAGTATTCAACATGGTGCCGAATCATAATGTAAAACTATAGTACAGCCAGACGAAGTTACTCGGATCAATCAGCACATTGTACCCCGCTATCAGAATGCCCATGGTAATTGCCATGTGTCATCTAATAGACATATTATGACACGGTAAATGCGGTGCATTAGCTTAGGAATCTGGACTGGTTTGGCCGCATAACAAGTAAGCCTTGTAGGTAAGAGAGCAAGTCAGATTCGTTTCAGCTAGTACCACAATGGGGGTCAAGGGATATAAAGCACCGAAGCCATCACGCTTCACTCTCCTCCAAATTATCCCTCCGAGCACGTAACCTCACCTATCAAGCGGTATCTACTCCGACTCTAATCTTCGTCATCTAGGAAGGTCTCAGGTATGTTAATTACAATATGCCGACGCAAGGTATGAACTATCCTGAGTCAGTCAGTAAAACATGCCTTCCTTGTTAGAGTAGCTTTTTATCTCCGCTTTTCCAGACCGCTCTTTGGGTCGACTATAAGTAGATAGCCAATTAATCCCATCCCTCGAACTTTTCTTGTCCTCGATCCTGCGTTGTCTGACCTGAAAGATGTCGTCTTGTCATTATGTCAGGATACCCCACTGCTCTCTGTGTGGACAAAGATTTGATAGATTCTCATCCTTCTGCTTGGGTAGGTTCGCCTTAGACAGACTCTACACTATATACTGATGCTACCAGTAATCTTTCATGATACCTCTAGTTCTGACACAATGGTCACTCGGTCTATGACCTTCCGGGAAGAGGACCATACAATCTATTTGGAAGATCTGGATATTTATATCCACGACTTTCCACGAAAGAAAGCAAGATATGCCCCTTCTGTGCATAGTCTCTGCAAGACAGGGGGGGGGGCAGATCTACCAAGCCCCCATGCTATCTACAATTTTGGTCTTGCAATGATCCCGTTGATATGGACTAAGCTTCCACGGGAGATCTACAAGAGTAATACTCTCTTTGAAGCGGCAGACTCATTGCTTGCAACTTCCCGAGGTAGAGAATATAAAGGCTCACTCTGGGAACTACTGGACAGATGTAGGAGACTTCCAGTCGAACTGAGTCTGTTTATTTGGGACTTTCTTCCTTCTAGTCCCGTCCGGCACTTACTTGCACTTAACGCTGCTAGAAGGATTTGGCTGGATACTCCTCTTTCTGCTGGTGGTGCGACTATATCTCTCCAAGGAGACATCATGATCTATCTTACACAACTTATGAAAGACAGATGTGTTTGTGGTATTCGTCAGGGGCACAGCTTATATGGCCATGAAAGCAGTCTCTTGATAAACGTTCAGAGACCTGCTGCAAGTACCGCATGTGTCTTCACAATGGGACTTTACGGACTCCAAAATGTGGAATTCATGGCAGAGACCGAAGAGAGCTTGACCAGCGGAGTCGACTCAGGGGGTAGTAAGTTCATTATTGTCATTCCTTGCAAGCAGGAAATGCCATTGCATGTGGATGTCAAATGGGATGTATGGGATCTTTATCTTTCAAAAGAATATCTGATACTGATAGTATCACTAGGTTTGGAAGATTTACCTCATTAGCTCGCACGATAAGTCAATATTCGGTCATGATTTTTTTTGGGTTCCTCCAGTTTCTTGCGGCCAATTATGTTGGCTCTCTCCGAACTCATTTTATAACTGGCCGCGGCATTTCGACTTTACTACCCAGTCCCAGAGATTCATGACATATGTACCTCTGAAGAGAGATGAACGATTGTATGGTCTTACAGCGTTTTGCTCTAGTGAAGGATTTGTTGGCTTGGGAACTCACTTTTGCTCCTATTCTCATCAAGAATCTTACACACAGAATTCTTCAGTATATTGGTATGGCAAACAACATGGCTGTCCTATTCATGTTCAACTCGACGGCTCGGATGCTATAAGTTCAATTTACGTTTACTGGCACAAAAATGACTCATTGTCAGGATCCTACTTTGCTGTAAGTTCTCCCTAAGTTATTCAATTTATACCAACATAATCTAGATCACAACCATCAAGAATGAATCATTTATTCTTGGACCGCAGTTTCCACCTTCTAGAACAGTCATGAAGAAGATATATAGCTCAGATGATGGTGAGATCTTAGGCTTGTACTATGACAAAAGTCCAAGTATCACAAGAATGACGAGTCTGGGTATAATTTCTTGTCCAAAGAAATTATCGATTGACAGCGATCATCTCGCTTCCCCACTACTATCGAACCACGAATGTATTTACTATCTAAATACTTCGCCATTCACCAGCTTCAGTTCACAAGCCTCTTTGAAAGACATTGAAAGGATAGAAGCCTGCTACGTGGATTCTCGGTGTACAGGAATGCTTCTTCACTATAACAATGGCAGGAGACGCATCCTAGGTCAGTGGTATGAAAGTACTTACATTCAGACGGATATCCAAGCAATATCTTTACCGAAAAACGCTTCGCTTCGATTTCTCCTGACACGCAAGGGTCATAGACAGCTTGTTACTCATGTCAGTGCTCTAGCGTGTGCTGCTCCTGGCGGAAGAGAGGCAAAATTCATCGATATAGCCTACGGTGTAAGTTACATATATTGCATTACGGGATCTTGCTAATACGCTATAGGATGTGATGGTATGGATGTTTTCGGGCAACTCTGATGCCATTCTATGTCTTCCAAATAGTGCTCACTACAGAGAGGAGTAAAGACTAGTACAGTATTCATTCTACCTCTTTATATCATGATCTTGAATGTATACTGTGTATTTCAGGATAGAGTTGGTTGTAAAGCTCTTTTGTAACCACCAGGCACCTGTCATTTGCCTTGCTCTGGCATTGGTGGTTAGAATATCTATAATGAAGCGGAATACCAATAGATACTTGAACGGAGACATTAAGACAATCGTCGCGTAGAAAGAAAGTAGCATCCACAAAGTAAGCTGCAGGAAAGACAGCACCAAAAGTCGCAGCATCTTCATATCGATACCCTGCACTATGTATGTATTTATTGGTAAAGCAATAGGAGCTTTCAGGACCCGGGCAGCACAGAGGGACATAGAAGCCGGCGAGATGATCTCGTCTTTGGTGCATAGCGGGCAGAGAGACAGTTTCCACAGAATGCCACGACGGTTCATACTACCGACTGGCTAGGTACTCGCAGGCCAATTCTGGTCTTCGCGGGCTATGTCATATTTTGCATTCCCCGATAACATATATGGCACAACCGGTGACGATCAATAACAGTATACCACCAGCAATAAACCTGGGGAAAATGAATGTCTGTGGAGAGTAATTCAAATCAGAATCAGCGCATCCTCAATCTGACGCCCTGCACCATGTAGTTATCAATAAAGTAATACAACCGTCCCGGTTCCGGGCAACGCGATGGGACATGGAAGCCTTTTAAGATGATTACCATCCTCAGGGTCCGTATACTGCCCGAGAAGTACTTCCATACAATAAGGACAAAATGGCTTGCATTGTTGGCCTGCCGAATACTCGTCTGCCAATTCCTGGCTTCTTCTAGCTTTCCTGAGAACGGAGTCGGGGTAGAAGTGGATAAAGCAATTGTAACAGTAGGTATGGCCACAGCCTAGTACTAGATCTACTACCTTACAATGCTAGAACATACCATTACTGTCACCGGGGCGGTGTAAATCATGACAGAAGATGCTACTATCACTTTCTCCATTCCTGAGAGCATCAATGTCAATCGGGTTCTCCGAGGGACTTCAGTATACATGCTGACTTGATTTCAGGGCTGCCGCTGACCAGAACTTGATCCAGGAGACCAGAAGTTAAATTTCGCGAAATGCTCTAACGTGCATCAGCAAATGAAGCTGAAAGCTAAAAGTGCGTGAGGTAATCGCACGTCATTTCTGGCAGAACTAGGACTGATACTAATTGTAGGTCAGTTAACATGGACAATAAAAACAAAACAAATCACGAAAAAAAGAAGAATACATACAACAGAAGGGATTCGCTGGTGGTCACCCACCCAACTACTAACCTCCCGGCGTGTGGCTTAAGTACGGCTGAGCGGACGGGAAGCCCTGTTCTCCACACCCTGTGGTCGTATGTACTTGACACTACTTAGAGATCAACTATATAGTACATTCAGTAGTTGAAATTCTCCACCCCGCGTGCTTCTCAGCGGTTGTTTATGCCTTCCCTTGACATGAGCATTGGTCTGGCCTACCGCATCCAAACCGATCCAAGTCATCCACGATTGGAAGTGGAAGCTCCCGCATACACTCGGTCATCTGATCTGGCTTTGTCTCCCACGCGTTGCTCCCACGCGCGCCGTTCATTCCCCATCCACTGCCCTTGGCTGTCTGTGTTTGCGACCTGCACGTCGTGTCGTGGCTGGAAGTATAAGATCTTCTAGCGGGTCATGTCTGTCCCTTATCCACAATGAGTCGCTATCTCACTCCATCCAAGGTCGCTCTCCTCTGCCTCATCTCCATCTATACCGAAGGAGTCGTCCCCAACTCCTCTGCCATTCATGTCCTCTCCTTCCTTATCACCTGTCTAAGTCCTCTGGAAAGAGAACCCACTTCCCCATTAAAGTCCCAGGACACACGATGCTCCGTCTCGGTTGATGATTTGGAAGATGCCCTCAAGAGCCATCCATCCTCCATCCCTGGTCGCTCAATCTGGGATCTGTTCCTCAAAAAGATCTGGTCCATCGACTGCTGCGATGCGTTGGAGGTTTTCTTCGCCGAGATTTCCGCCATCCTGGTCAAGACCCGTGAAGAGCAGATCCGCGATCGAGATGCAGGTCTTGCACCGGAAACAGGCTGTATGCGCCTGTCTCGGTGCTCTCCCTTGGGCGCATTTGTGAGACGAGCTCAGCTGGAATTTACCAGATTGCAGTTCCATGACTCTGTCAAGCTCTGGCAGGGGTTTGTCAAGTATCGGCTGCCGACGTATAATGTATGGGCACGAAAGAACCCGTCTGATGAGCAGGCACCGGTGGATATCAACCTGCTAAACCTTGGTCTGGATCCGATGGAGCACCTTACGCAGGTGGCGTACGGCAATATCAAGGATGACTCGGAGGATGATCAGTACGTCAGCACGAAGGACGTTGAACGGCTCCTCGAGTTCCAAATTAGCGAGCTGCAAAGTAATTGCCCCCTCGAATAGATAACGTAAATGCTTATGGAACCTAGGTTTGGGAGGAAGAGTGCCGGACGGCATGAAAGTGCAACTCGAACGCATCATCATGTCGGGGGTGACCGTTCCTAACCTTGTGCACTACTTAAGGTACGGACCAGCTATTAATGAGAGATTCTTCCAACTGTTAATTCTCTAGGTTTCTGGATGCCTGGAGGGCCGGAGATTATCCATCTTCTTTTGACAACCTGCACCGCTACTTCGACTGTACTATGCATAGTCGCGATCGAAGCTCCTATCAGTATGCGTTGCTCAATCTTGCGATCCTACAAGCTGATTTCGGATGCTACGGAGAGGCCGTTTCTGCCATGCAAGAGGCTGTTTCTATTGCTCGAGAATCTCACGACATGAACTGCTTGAATTTCTGCATGAGCTGGCTGTATCACTTCGGCAAAGCGTTTCCGGAGCAGATGAAGGATGTACAGAACACCGGCATGTTGGGTAACGAAAAGGAAGGCCTCGCCTTTCTGAAGGCAAAGGCAAAGGAAACAGAAATGTGGAGCCTTCTCAGTACGACGCTGTTGAGCGAAGCGAAACTCGAACTGCATAATGTGAGTGACGCCTTGTCTACCAGCTTCTAGTCTAACATTCTCTAGGGAGAGAGTCTGGCCTCGTCGTTTGAGAATATAATCCGAGCATCGCATCTCAATGTGACGAAACATCTATCCAACTCCGTGGGTCCACAGTTTCTACTGCAGACCTCGCTTTATTCCAGAATAGGTATGTCTCTCTCCATGCCATCGTTCAGTCTCAGCTAAGTCCATAGGCATCACGCATCTCGCATGGCTGAGCAGCGAGATATTCCGCGAATGCTACGCAAATAAAGCACCCTTTGAAGACTATCTCAAGAGCACATTCCGTAGCTGCCAGCTCGTACGTCAACCATCCATCCAGCATACCTCACTACTAACTTCCCAAAGCTAGCGCAGCAGGGCCGCTACTCCGAGGTATCAGCCCAAATGAGCCAAATCACCCCGGAAAAGCTTCGCTCCCTGAAATCATCTCAATACTGGATCTTCTTCTCTGGCCTCCTACAACTCCGACGCCAAATATACCGGTAGGCCCACCTCCACCATTTCCACCCCAACCCACACTAACAACAACACAGCGACAACAAAACCGCAGCCGAACATCTCCTCGCCCAACTCCAAGCCATCCAACTCCCCGACAACGACATCACCCTCCTCCTCTCCATCCTCACCATCGACCTCCGCATCCGTCAAGGCCACTACGCGCGCGCCCTCGAACTTGTTGAGAAAACCGCCCAAACCATCCACCAAGACAACTTCGACATCTTCACCCAAGTCAAACTCCTCTGCCTCAAAGCCTCCATCCTCCAAAAGACCGGCCACCCGCAACGCGGCTTCTCTCTCGCCCTACGCGCCGCCAGCATCGCACATCGCTCACGCCTCCTCCCCAGCCTCTGGGAATCCATCTGCGTACTCGCAGGCGTCCTCCTCAGCCTACGCGAATTCGACGCTGTCTCCGAATTAATCGAAAGCATCATGCCCCAAATCCTCGAAACAAGTGACTGTGAGCTAGCCGCCCAAGCCTACTCCCTCCTCGTAGACGCCAACATGGGCATCGCAGGAACCCTCTGGAGCAAAGGACAGACCAACTCCGTCTTGAAAAAGGAACACATCAACCGCGCACTAGGGTACCTGGACTGCGCATATGAGCAGTACGAAGAAATCGAGGATGTCAATGGACAATGCGAGATGGTAGCGAAGAAAGCAACGGTTATGCATTTAACGGGGGATCCGGTCCTGGCGAATGATTACGCGGCGAAGTATTTGGATTTGAAGAGACAGAGTCGGATGGATAGTGCGGACATTTAGTTGTGCTGTGTTGTGTTGTGTGTTTTCTTTCTTATCGGTCGGTTGTTGATGTATGATATGCAGTGATTGATCGTTGAACATGATTAATGCCTGTTTAGGTAGTGACTTCTTTCCGTGTTGAGGTGATGGATTTTTGATCTTGTAGCAGTCCACTCTACGTAAAGGGCGCCTGGAACCATGTTCTCCGATATAGATTTGCATCGGAATAGCAAAACAGCGGATGAAGCGAGCAGCACCAGGCAGAATTGAAGGCCATTGGACCAACGCTGGTCAATCTCGCGGGTTCCGCGCAATTTTCCTGCGAACTGCTCTCGCAGTCGGTGCGTCTATCCTGGATAAAGCAGGAAAGCGCTCTACTCCTATCATATGGAGAAAGAAATACTAAGAAACCAACAAGTTCATGCTGATTATGAACAAAACCAGAGAACAAAGGAAAAAGAAGCTTATCAGTATTGTGTGTCACGCTATCTCAATTCCACCACTGAGCACCGACTTCCCGGTCATTCTATCTTCTGCATGTTTTGCCGATAAATATACATGTTCTTTGATTTCCCCTCCCGTCAACAGTCAAGATCAATCAAAGAAGCTGTACTCCCGTCATCCACTGCGGGACGTTTAGGTGGCCTTGTCCTTGTTGTGGTAGTTGACGCTGGAGTTCCAGCTGCGAGGTTCGTTAGTATGGATGCTCGGCTGTAGCTTGTATTCGATGTTAGATGATCGCGGATGCACACTTACAAGATGGTCTGTAGGAAAAATTTCCACGTCAGTATTCGAATATTATATAGTTAGAAAGGTATTGGCACGCACCTTGTCACCATCTCCCCAGGGGAAGTTCTTCACGCGGATGTTCTGGTAGGGGTACTCGGTGCGCTCCTCAAGAGGGGGCATGTGCTCCCAGTGCTCCCAGTGCTCGTTCCAGAGGTTGTAGGAGTTGATACCGCCGGCAATCAGAACGGGGATGACGGCGCTAGAGAAGGTGAGTCTCTACAATAGGTCAATTGCGGTAGTATTAGCAAGCCCACATACTAGATGGAGAGCTTGCGCCACAGGTCTAGAACAGCATAACAGCCATTGAGTCAGCACAGCCCGTTTCCTTCCATATTCTGATCCCAATTGGGTAGATACGCACCACTGGTAGCAGCAGCGTGGTGCTTGACGGCCTCTCTCTCGCGGTTGAATGCGTTGTCGACGGCCCAAGAGGGAAGCTGCTTGGAGTCGGTGCTGTTGGCACGGCGCTGGACGGTCGAACGGACCGGAGCAGCACGCAGCTGCTGGGCAGCGCGCTGGGACAGACGAAGGGCGTTGCGCTGAGAAAACATGGTTGGGGTGGGTTGGAGTGGAGGAGTGACGTTGGAGGAATGGGACGACGTCTTTGACGGTGGGATTATCCCGGACGTCGGCCCTTCCGGCTTAACGAAACAAAAGCCGTTTAGCGTCCCCGTGATTCGCTGTCGCCGCTTCAGCTTATGTCAGCTCCCGGGTCGGATCGCGTGATGTCACGATCACGTGCCAGCGACGCGGAGAGGAATGCGATTGGGGACATCCTCTGCCTCGCTGTTGATGGACAGCATCGATTGTATCATTCTATTCGAATTGTCGCATTGGTACCTTATTTTGGAATTGCCCTTCTACTGAATGGGCTAACTTGGCACCCTGGGTAGATATGTGCGATTCGCGTCCATATTGCCGGGATGGGGTTTCGAATTACAACATGGAATGGTGCGTGGGGATTGCACGTTGGACCTTGACTGGATGCTGACCGTCTCTAGTCAATGGGATTCGGTGGGTGGTGCTAGCCTATGCCGCGGTCACGTCGCTGACCTGATGCAGAAATCCGTTCTCCTACGAGCCATGGAGAGGCAAGCGGACGTTCGATGTATGCTTTTCCTTGACCCCCTTCACAAACACAAGACTGATATCAGCAGGCCATGTTTGACATCCTTGAGGCCGATATTGTCGTCTTTCAGGAAACGAAGATTCAGCGTAAAGACCTGCGCGATGACATGGTCTTAGTGCCTGGTTGGGACTGCTACTTTAGTCTTCCGCGAGTCAAGAAAGGTGCGCATTTCACATCTCTGGGGGGCTGATCGGGCGATTAATTGCCGTAGGGTACTCTGGGGTTGTGATATACACACGCAACGCGACATGCGCCCCCATTCGCGCAGAGGAAGGTCTCACAGGCGTGCTTTGTCCCCCAAATTCGTCCGTCTCTTTTCGAGACCTCCCAGAAGAGCAACAGATTGGCGGCTATCCCACCATCGAACAGTTGTCGCAGCTCGACCTTGATGCGGCAACGCTGGACTCTGAGGGCCGTTGTGTCATCCTTGAATTCCCCGCCTTTGTTCTCCTGGGAATCTACTCGCCCGCCAATCGGGACGAGAGTCGCGACTCATTCCGTCATAACTTCATCGATTTGATGGACGTGCGGGTCCGGAATCTGGTCGCTCTGGGCAAGAGGGTGTTCGTGACGGGGGATCTGAATATTTCTCGAGGGGAGATCGATGCAGCACATGCGGGGGAGGCTATCCGGAAAGGAACCTTGACAGAAGACGAGTTTGTCTCCGTTCATGCGCGACGTGTATTCAACCAACTACTCTCCGACGGAAAGGTCATTGGGGAACGAGAGGAAGGGAGAGAGCAGCCTGTTATGCACGATATCTGTCGCTCCTTCCACCCGGACCGCAAGGGGATGTACACCTGCTGGGAGCAACGCATCAATGCCCGTCCTGGGAACTATGGCTCGAGGATTGACTATGTCCTGTGTAGCTTGGATATGCAAGACTGGTTCTGCGATTCGAACATACAAGAAGGCCTCATGGTATTGATTCCGCTGGCCTATAAGGAAACTTGCTGACTCCGACTGCTTAGGGTTCCGATCATTGTCCCGTGTATGCGGTGTTCAAAGATAGTGTAAGTCTAGGGGATAAACAAGTCAGCATCCACGACATCATGAACCCACCCGGGATGTTCGAAAATGGCGAGCGCCGACAGGACTATACGGCCAAATGTTTACTGCCTATTTCGGGCCGCTTGATACCGGAGTTCGACAAGCGAAGGAGTATCAAAGACATGTTCATGCGCAAACCGAGCAGCGCGTCGCAGAGTTCTCCGATTGGGACCCCTGCGCTCTCTCGTGCAGGTTCGGTTCAAGAGACAGAAAAGATGGCTCCCATCAAGAACGCCCCAACGGAAGCAGTCAGCAACCCTTCCATGTCCAAGAACGATCCTCAACCCAAAGGCGTCGTCCGTAAGCGGTCCGAAAAGAATGACTCACCTATCAAACGTTCGAAGCCAGTAGCTGCCTCAGCACCCGCGCCACCTACTGCTGGACAGAAGTCGCTCAAAGGGTTCTTCAAGCCGAAGATTGCCCCGGTCAATCAGACCAGCGCGAGTCCAACCGACACCACGAGCCCACCTATTGTACCACCACCTGCATCACTCCACGAGCCCAACACCTCGACAAATCATGGACAGCTAAATGACGAACAAGTCGCATTATCAATTGCTAGAGAACCCGCGGAGGAGATCAACCCACCTGTATCAGCGACAGCAATCACCCCGAAGGAAGATGACACGGTCATCGACCCAATAGTCAGCAAGGAAGACTGGTCAAAGCTCTTTACAAAGAAGCGAGCGCCTAAATGCGAAGGTCACCAAGAATATTGCATCAGCCTGACGACGAAGAAACCTGGAGTCAACTGCGGCCGGTCCTTCTGGATATGTCCCAGACCTCTTGGACCCAGCGGCAATAAGGAGAAGGGCACTCAATGGCGGTGTCCGACATTCATCTGGGCAAGTGACTGGAGCTCGTCGACATCATAGGTAGCCATGGCAACGCGAGGCATCATTCCCTAACCTCGACACCATACTGCAATAATAGATACCCATTGTTCATCAGTAGTCACGGCATTTGACTATGGAACAATACCCCCAGGCTCAATAGCCATCCCATATTCACATAGCGAGACTATTAGCCTGCATCGCACCCCAACCTACGTCATATGATCATTTCGCTTGCACAGCAACCACCAGCAACAGCAAGCATCAAGGTAGATACTTAGCTACCCACGGTAATTAATTTATCTAGCAGTGACGTCCCTTACGGCACCGTTGATCAATCAACACCATAGCCAATTCATGTATTTTAACCAAGCCTATATCAAACCCCCCGACAAACGCCACCCTGCTATACAACATTTTTCGGTTAATAACACCTCTCAAGAATATCCAGTCCTCTTGTCATGTGGGTCCAGTGGAACTCTATCTCAACATCGCTCGACTGTGGGTCTAGCCCTATCTCAATAGAGTAATCAACCCCTCTTGTCCAAGCTTCCCAGCCTCAATAGTCCATTGTTTAGGCCACATATAGTGGAGATCTGACCGGTGAGTCACAGATACGCAGGGGGCTGTGTGTTATTCTTTAATACTAAGTCGAATGTTTGCTGCAAGTTGTAAGCCACTATGACATGATGTTTAGGGGTGAGATACGCCCTGCTTGGATGTGTATAATGATCTTTTATTTATGAACTGAGTTGTCTAAATGGTTGTCGTCGTAGGACATATATGCTGGTTAATCGAGAACAGAGATGGTTTTGTCTCCCCCTGTCTTCCTTCCACCCAGGGGAATGAGATGGAAAGGGGAAGATGAGCAGTGGAATATGAGAAAATAGGGAAGAAAATCCGAGCCCCATCTGGATACATGGGGATTTATGGATTACAGAGAATGTCTGTCATGCTCCCCCGAAAGCCCGTGTTGGCTGTTAAATATCATATAGTAAGAACGGACGAAAAAGAAAAGGAATGGAGGAAAGGTCTGACCGACCCATTCCATTTAATAGAGATCCGTAATGTAGTCTGAGAACTCGATGGTCTCGCCTATATGTCGGTCTGTGCAGCTGATCTGTGGTGATGGGGATGGGTACATCGCTGCCCCATTGTTGAAGTCTGTCTGAACCTGTTCGATCAACGAGCCCAATGTCTCCGGGTCCAGCTGGAAGTGCTCCTCTGATAGCAGTGACATGTCGCTCGGTATCAGGTCGCCGCAGATTATGTCGCCGGTATGCATAAAGGGCATGTTGTATTCTGGAAAGAGGTTCATCGTCCCCTCAATTCCAGCGTCATCTAGTTGTACGTTTGTGTCGATCGAAGGACTGGTGGTTTCGGTGCTGGTAGTAGTAAGATCCGGCGACTTGTATTCTGTCGTCGGTTTAGGATACTGGCGAGACGACGTTCGACGCTTCTTTTCAGATGGCCTGCGTGGTGTGTACTGATAATCGGGATGCGCCTCCGCGTGCTTTCTCTTCAATTCGTCGGCCAGGGCTTTGAATTCTACCCTGATGTGTTCTGATTCTGCCTTCCACTGCTTTCCTAGGATAACGGCTGGGGATATCAGCATACCTATTGATTCTCTAGCGTAGCTGAAAACTCACATATTTCGTTATTCGAGAGACTAGGGTGAGCCTCCTTGAGCTTGGGATGATGATGCTGGCGGTATAGGATGAATGCATTTGGCGGACGAGGTACTTTTGCAGCCTTAACAGACACCGAAGGCCGCTCATGCTTTTTAACAGGGACTTTAAACGATTCAAATTCAAGGCAAGATGCCCCTTCATGAGATGCAACGGATATTGCTGTACCCGAAAATGCCGGTGTACGCATGACACGGAGTGCGTTTATGGATTCATCGACGAAAGCTACTACCGGAGCACCAATTAGAGCACTTTTTCTATATGTAAGCCTGCATTTTATTCTTTGCTGTCATAGATTTCTTACCCAAGACGAGACTTAATCTTATTGACATTGCTCTGGCCGATCATATCGATAATATTAATTGGAAGCAACACTTCGTTGTTCGTGGACCCGAGATGGCGCAAAGCATCCTGCCAAAGCAGCTCTGTAAGCTTGTCGCTGGACTCAGTAGTGTGCTTCAAAGCGAGAGGTATAGAGTTCATATTGGTATTTGCGATATAAGCTAGAGGGTTTAATAGTTGTTAAGTCGACAACCATAGCCTTGGGCGACAGTTTCAGAGCATCAAGAGCAAGCAAAGAAAAGTATAGGAGAGGCCATGTATAAAAGTAACTCAAAGACAGTATTTAATAATAACATTTTCAGGTAATAAAAGAGGAGTATTTGGGATTAGACATTACGAATGGAGCTGTGTTCCAGGTGGTGGCGGGAGGCTGGTACCATTCTTTGTTGGGTTAGAGGGCGTGAATTCTTGAGGTAGATTCACGAATTGGTGTTATGCTCCGTAGGCGCTAGCTGATCTTTATTTTACGTTAATACATGTCCTCTTTTGCTTATACTTCTTTTTTAGTGATTTTTCTTGGCAGCCTTTCTAATTTCTTGTCTTATAATCTTCTCTTGCTGTTCGTGTCCCACCCTCCTTGTACCTTCATACGCATTGAGTCCCAGAAACCATCAATCGCCCTCATATCTCGCGATGGATCTCATAGTCGATTCTTTACTTCGATTCCTTGATGGCACGGCTGGCAATGAAAAGCATGCCGCTGAGCTACGTGATAAGGCATCGTACATTCTAGCTTCTTTTCGTGTCCACAAAAACGTCGGTAGACTCATGGCGCAGGTTACTGCGTTGACAAAGGGCGAAAAGCTGATCTACCCTTCTCATCGAGCTTATGGTCCAATCGAATCTAAGAAGACACCTGTATATCGTCACGGCAAATTCCTGCAAGCCATAATGGCCGACTATCGCGTTAAGCCATCTATTGCCGACATTAAAGGCCATCCCATCCAGCTCATCAGCATCCTTGAACCTGACATTGAAAAACTGCTTCAAGGGGAAGACTTGTTCGGCCTTCATTATGCCCTCATTCGCACTGAGAAGAAAGCAAATGAAGATCTTGCTATATTGGCTAAAAAATATGGGTACCACTATATATTTAGAATTGGTCTCACGGAGTATTACACAACGTAAGTTGAACCTCAGGTGTGCATGATTCGTGGATAAATACTAATGATGAAAGGAAAACTGTCGTTGAAAACATTAATTTTCTTAGACCGGATTACCGTGGTGACGCTTATCGAATCTATGCTCAAACCTGCTTCTATGATGCAATAGAGAAACGTTCCAATTTGAATGTCACTGAGAAGGAACTTATTATACGCTCTGTGAACTGCCAGCCACATGATGCGCATAGATTCTGTAAGCATCAACGATTTGCTATTGTCGATAATGCTAACTGAGCCAGGGGACTGGTTGGAGCGCCACCGTGTCGCCTATAACGCAATGCGGGCTTGCATTGCCTTGTTGAGCGAACTTGAAGTGCGAAATAGTCGATATTCTATTCTGTCTATACTGATTCGGTATTAGGAGCCAGCCTTTAGATTCTAGGGGCAAGAACCGGGCTGATACTCTTGTGCACCCCTGCTCTGTCTCGATGTTTGAACGTCCATATATCATCGTTACGACAATAATTCAGATCGCAATGCGTTACAGGTCTCTATACGACGGACCTAATTCCGGCTACTAGGTCCCTATCCTCTGATTGCCTCCTTAATCAACTTCTCATCCACCACAAGTGAAAGGGTTTCGAAAGTGGTCCGGTTTATTCGGAACAGATTTAACCCTTGGGTCGCAATAGCGAACAACTAATGATAAAGAGCATGGGTGGCGCTTATTTTTCATGTTTAATCAAGTGGTGTTCAAATTTACGCATGGCATAAAAGTTCTATACCCCGTCGCTTTCCGAATAATTTGCTGCTTGGAATTTCCGGGGATCTCTATCTGGACAAGACTTCAGTTCGCACTCCAATGTATTCGAAGATGTTCTAGAATAATTAGCATGGTAATATGAATGGTTGCGTATCACGAATGGTCTTTCTTACATTGCTCGACCCAGACCATGTTACTTGAGGGGATTTGATTCCGAGGAGGAACTCTATAGTATGGACGACATGGATTGCCAGGTTGTCAAGGAGATAGATACGCCAATACAGAATAGACTTTCGCACAGCCACACGAAGTAGCCAGCAGGGCCTCCCTCCTATCGTGCATCGATCCGGGACAGGGGCACCTGGACCCCGTCGACCTCTTGAACTCTGTATGCCCCCTGCCACAAATGGTACGCCAGGCCCATCCAGGGTCGACGGCCCAGCGCGACGATATCCGACTCTCCGAGCTCCCTCCGTTCCCACACATGCATCCAGCACGCTCCGAGCGCATCTATCCAGTCGCGGTCCAAACCGATGGCTATCCATCTCCTTGGGTCGGCGACGAGCAACAAAGAAAGGTCGACGATGGACGGCCGAGTAGGGGACGAGACGGCGCCACCGGGACGGAAATGGACAGAACCCCTCCATCTTCCGGCCTCGACCACCAACCAGACTCCCTCTGCCACGCGCGGCTGACTTGATGTCGGACAAAGAAGCAAATATCCGCTATTGTGATGAACGGATGCCAACCGGGGCACCAGATTGGCAGACCGTTTGCACTGTCCCGGTCTAGAGGAGCCGGAGATCACGGACCTCCAGAACCAGCGATCAGCGACCGGAGGATGGTTGCTCGATCCATGAGTGCAGCGATGCTTCGACCGTAGACCAACGGACGAAGATACCATGTGCCCCTATGAACGGGGCGCTCAGGGGCTTGCGGTCGGGCTTCTGGCATTGACACTGGCCCCCAGGTGATGTCTCGCTACAGACTTCCTTGGCTCGTGATCCGAACTTAGTTTACAGCATCAAAGATCCACTCTTCTGCAGTACTTTTGTCGCGCGAGTTGAAACCGCGGTTCTCTGGAGTCTTCGTCCAGCCTCTTGGTCGGCTACCACGCGGGCTCCAATGGCGGTCCCGGACTTTCAGCTTCATCAAACCGGTCGACATGACCTGTCTCCCTCGTGTCGTCCGCGACTCGGGCTAGATGCCCAGTTCAACGTGCCAGTGGGAGTCCATGACGATGGTAACTTATTACCGATTGATACAGGGGCGCGCTTCTGTGTGTCTGTCTGTCCAGTCGACAGGAGGGCTCCTCGACCGGGCGCTTCTAGTCTGTCTATCATCACACCTCTTTATCGTTCTGCGCCCCGTGGATGGACATCGCCACGTTCAGTATCTCATGGGTCAGCATGGTCGAATGGCTTGGACAGCCTTATCCGAGCAAGCAGTGGCCATTGGACAGCCTGGCAAGTCAGGTATTCTCTGTGTGGTGCAGAATAGCGTCGTTTAGATGCGTCAGAACCAATATTGTCAGGGTCTACTGTGCTAACTTGCTTTGCTGGTCTTCTCTTAGGGCTTCTGTAGGTCTGCAATTGAATGTCCCATCGCCTTCACTGAGGCCGACCAACCCTAAGTCCGAAGTCGAACCAAGCCTTCTACCAATCAACCGGCTGCGACGACGCGAGGTATATGACACAGGCGCGAGGAACGTTCCTACTATATAGCTATGGGAAGTGGACTGCAGCGACTACCAGATCCGGACACGGTCTCTGCGCAGTGATCCTCGTCGCATCCGTCCGACACTGGGATGACAGACCCTGCTCTATCCTCTAACCTTTCTGTGCTTCCGTGAATATAGCTGGCTGACGAAGCCACGGGATATACTGAGATCAAGGTGCGACGGGGCAGATTGCTGATATAGTCCACGATGGTCCGGAAGCATACTCATATCTCCTCCCTATACCTCTGGGTAAAGGGACATGCATGTTTGTTGCTGTAATCGCTCGTAGGTTGAGTAATGTTAGATCAAATGGTCGCATCTGGGCAGCTTGGCCATGATGCTGCAACTCTAGTATAGGAGTCAACTGTTTGTAAAGAGCTGTTGGTAATGTCAAAAGACATAGAGACGGGGAACAAGGGAATGAGAGGGAAGACCCCTGTTAGCTGCTGCTGCTGCTGCCTGCAGGGATCTGGCAGTGGTGCCTGGACTTCACCTCAACCCAAGCCAACATCCGGGCCTGCGCCGGGACTCAACGCATCGTCATGCGTCATACAGCCGATAACTAGCACAAGACATCGGAGTTCACCTTGCCATCTGGTATATAACCAGGGTGTTGCTTCCTGGTTTCAACCCAGCCGGTGTCAGACAAGGCTCTCGAGTGGCACATGTGACCGGCGCAGGGCAGCTCTTCGTGTTTCCCCGGCATCGTCCCTCCTTCCAGCTCCTGTAAACAACACGCCGCAGCGATCTTCCCTGCAAAATACTGCCAGTTACACAAGTACAAGTATCCGCAGAGCTTTATCGGCACCTCCTTCAAACCGATCCCTAGCACATTTAACGAGTCACTTGCAGCAGATGGCCACTACGCTAAAGGCGGGGCATTTCCAGACTCACGAGTCCCCCGCACCCGACACCATTCTCATCCGCGACGCCCTCTATGGCGACCACACAGTTACCGAGTCCGTCCTGGTTGAACTCCTCCAGGCGCCGGATCTCCGCCGACTGATCGGAATCGGCCAGCACGGCGTAACCGGACACCTCGGACTGCTTCCCAAGCCGGTCAAGATCACGCGGTTCGAGCACTCCGTCGGGGCAATGCTGCTGGTCCGCATCGCCGGCGCCAGCGTCGAGGAACAGGTGACTGCTCTGCTGCATGATATCAGCCACACAGTGCTTAGCCATGTGGTGGACTGGGCGCTTTCTCAGCCAGGGGAGGAGAGTTTCCACGAAGTGCATAAAGCACGATATATCCGGACGACGCAGATCCTCGCCATTCTGACCAAGCATGGCATTCCACAGACGGTCTTGGATGAGGAGCAGTATCCGCTCGTCGAGATGGATGCCCCGCACCTCTGCGCCGACCGACTGGATTACTCCTTACGGGATGCGGTCGCGTTTGGACTGTTCCCGCTGGACGACAGCCATCGGGTGGTGGCCGCTCTGAAAGCGTTCCCTGATGCGTTGTCTCCGCGTCGGATGCTGGTGCTCACGGATCCGCAGGTGGCCCTCCGGCTTGCGCGAGCGTATATGACTACGGATCGAGAGGTGTGGTCTAACCCGACGCATGTCGAGATGTACCGCAAGACCGGACAGTTGATCGGGGACCTGATTCGCGGCGGACAGATCCAGGAGGCAATGCTGTGGGCCATGTCGGACGAGGAGTTCTGGGAGCTGCTGAAGGACGTTGCTGATCCGGAGGGCGCTGAGACACTGGAGAAGTTCGAGACCGAAGGACTGGTAGAAGCACATGGCTTGCGTCTGCATAAGAAGGCCAAGGTTCGCACGATCGATCCAGACATTTTTGTTTATCAGACAGAGGCTGTTGCGCTGTCGGTGGTGGATCCAAACTGGGCTGTTGAGCGGCAGGAATATATCCGGGGAAGAGAGGCTACGCGGGAGGTGTAAGATCCAGATCCTAGACGAGCAGACAGAACTTAATGAAAAATATGCACATGCGTGCAATTAATTGACAATGGCACAACCTTTCATAACCTGCTCGCTTTCTGTGCACTGCTTCCCTCACGAGACAGGAACAGCACGGTGTCTGCCTGGGGCAGCCATACCCCGCCGCAAAGCTTATCGATTATCGCGAATTCGGATGACTCCCCCACGAACCATCTCCATCCGCTCCATTCATCCCACAACTTCCCCTTCAATCTCTTATTGAGCTGCCCCATTGTTCTCAGTCACTTCCCCCACCATGACCGAGGCATTCACCCAGACGGATCTGCAGGGCGCGTTGCCCCTAATCGCCCGCGGCAAGGTACGCGACCTGTACGAAATCGACGAGAAAACCCTCCTCTTTGTCGCGACCGACCGCATCTCCGCCTACGATGTGATCATGGAAAATGTCACCCCCCCTCCTCCTCCTCCTCCTCCTCCCTCCTCCCAACCAAACACTAACAGCATCCGATAGGGCATCCCCAACAAAGGCATTCTCCTCACCCTGTGCACGCAAAAATGGTTCTCCATCCTCTCCGCCGCCCTCCCCTCTCTCCGCACCCACTTCCTGACCCTCGACCTGCCCCCGCAAATCCCCGAGTCGCTGCGCCCGGTCCTCCAGAACCGCAGCATGCAGGTCCGCAAGCTCCGCATCCTGCCCATTGAAGCCATTGTGCGGGGCTACATCACCGGTTCGGCCTGGAAGGAGTACCAGACTTCGGGCACGGTGCATGGGATCCCTGTCAAGGCGGGTCTTCGGGAGAGTGAGGCCTTCCCGGATGGACCGATTTATACTCCTTCGACCAAGGCCGAGCAGGGTGAGCATGATGAGAATATTCATCCTGATAAGGGTTTGTTTCCCGCCCCCCCCCCCTTTTCCCTACTACTTTCTCGTCTTTCTCATTTCTGCTTGGATGGGTGTTCTTTAGAAGGAATATAGCTAATGAGTATGTACAGCCGTCGAAATCCTCGGCGAAAAGTACGCCGCCATCGTCGCCTCTCTCGCCGTGCAGCTGTACAAGATCGCGCACGAGTACGCCCTGACCCGGGGTGTGATCATCGCGGACACCAAGTTCGAGTTCGGTGTCGATGAGGAGACCGGCGAGGTGGTGCTCGCGGACGAGGTGCTGACTCCAGATTCGTCGCGGTTCTGGCCTAAGGATACGTATGAGATTGGACGCGGCCAGGCTAGCTTCGATAAGCAGTTCTTGCGCGATTGGTTGGTGCAGGAGGGGTTGAAGGGGAAGGAGGGCGTGCGGATGAGTGAGGAGATTGCGCAGAGGACGAGCGAGAAGTATAAGGAGGCGTGGGAGAAGATTACGGGGGGTAATTGATTAATCAATTAGGGTGATGTGTTTGGTTGAGTCCCTGCGAGATGTAAGGGATGTATGGCATCATGTGTTTGTAGAATTGGAATCAAACGGTCAGTGTATTAGGTAGACGTTCACTGGGACTCCTACTTTTACTATACAATCTAGAGAACAAGGTATACTTTGAACTGCACCTACTGCTCCCACTCATCCTTCAACCCCTTCAATCCCTTGGCCTTGGGCTCCTTCTTCTCCTCCGCCTCCCGTCTCCTCTCGCTCTCGCCCTCACTCTTCTCCCCCATCCACCCCGTCATAACCCCCTCATCAACAGGCAACGCATCCGCCCCACAAATCCTCCGCTCCTCCTCAATCTCCGCCTCGCCCATACCATTCGTGGCCCAAATCTTATGAATCCTGAGATCAAACGGGCCCTCGACCCGATCCGTCAACCCAATCCCCACACTCTTCACCCGCTGTCTGATAATCGACGTCTGCGGCTCCACCACCAATCCATGATTCGTCCGCACAAACGAGTTGAACGGTAGCAGAATCGTCTCCCACCCCGTCGTTCCGGACGTCGTTACACTGGAACTGGTACTGCCGCTCGACATGATGATGGATTCCGGGGGCGTGTCGGAGAGGGAGGCGGGGATGCCGTGCGGGTAGATTTGGTCGGCGAGGTCGGGGGATTCGATGGAGGAGGGGAGGGAGGAAGCGGAGTGTTGGACGCGGTGATGACGCGTGTAGAGTCGGTGTTGGTGGATGTCGGTCTCGACGATGGAGTCGGTTTGGATGTTCACGGTGTAGCGACGACCGTCGGATTTTACTCGCAGTGCGAGGTAGGCGTATGGATCGACGTCCCAGTAGAGTCGGCCGAAGAGCCACATGCCTCGGTCTTGGTTGCGGAAGGCGGCGTAGCCTGTTTTTCATTTTATGGTTGTTAGTGTGTGGGTTTGAAGGCAGTGGGAGGAGTGATTAGGGATGGAGGGAGGGATAGAGGGAGGGGGGATATACCCGTTCGCTCAACCCGCCAATTCATCGGCAACTTGGTCGAGATACTGCCGTGGAATTGGGCATGGGCGGGACTATTGGTCGCTGGATCAGCGGGCACGTAGTCGAGACTGGCGGTACTGAAGCCCCCGACGGCGCGGTCGGCCATGGTCTTGCAGCCGGCGACGGACGAGTCATCTTCAAAGTCAAGGAGGACGTAGGGCTTGGTTGGGGTGTGTAGGGCCTCGGAGTTCCAGGCTAATGGGTTATCAGATCAATCAGTATCGGTGCGGTGCGGTGGAGATGGACGGGGATGGGGGCAGGGGCTCACCGATTCGCGTCAGGCGACTGAGTTCTTCGGCGCTGCGCTTGATGAAGCCGGATGGCTTGGCAGCTAGGCACCGGGCGGTGGGAAACATGGTGGATTGAAGAGGAATGGGGGTGGATGGAGGTCGTGAGGCGTTGAGGAAATGCACGCGCCATGACGTCGGGGATTTCGCGGGTGCTAGGCATCTGCCGTCCAGACTGACCGCTTTGTGACAGCTTCTTTCGCTGCCTCCATCCGGGCGAGAGGTATGGCGCTGGGTGGTCCGCCATGACAGGGGTCTGGAAGATCAACTACTCATCGTACATGTTGACCTTTGACCTACAAATTGACATTTAAAATCTCACAAGGAACTGGAAACATCATCATCACACGCGACAATCGATGCAGCTGGGAAATTCTGCCGGCAGAACCACCGCGCGGTGACCCAGTGGCAACCCCGTCGACCAATCACACCCAACGTCTATACTATTTTCGCTCCACCAATGAGAGCCCTCGATGACAGACCGAAACAAAGTCTTTGTTCGCAGCATCGAATGAAGCCTCAAGGAAGGACGTAACCCCTCTTTGTCGGCTACACAAAATCCGCCGGTGGACGCGTCTGGGCCCGATGACCGGAGCATTTCTCTCGTCGAATTAGGCAGCCTCCAAAGTTATAAGCCAGGGATGCCGTCCCCTGAGGGGACGAATTCTCATGGTGCCTTTGAGTTTTGTGCTTTGTGTATTTTTGGTTCTGACAGCGATCTTCTGGCTTATTACGACTAAGCAGGGTCAGTTTGATATCTCATCCGTGGTAGCCATTTGTTGTGGCTGCGAAACGGTCTCCCTCTATCGGTCCCCTGACTGCTCAGCTAGGTGCCTGTCAGATTATATACGATATTCACAGTTTGCGTCGTTGGTCTGGCTCCCTAGAAGCTTTGAGAACATCATCGAGACGCACGAGAGTAACTCTGGTGGGTTACTGTCTCGGTAGGCAAAACGGCAGCCTTTCCTTGCGCCAATTCCTATACTTCCTTCCTCCCCAGTGCCAGTGTCAAGCATCAACTCCTTCTACGATTGTTCGTACTACAATCAGCCATTCTAGGAGTTTATTCTACATGTCCGGTCGTCCAGTTAACAGACCTTATTACCTCTACCTGTCTGTACCTTCTCGTGCAGCGAGCTAGCGAACCTGCTTACATCTTTGTCTCTTTCCCTCTTTACCTCATTACTTCTATACCGTCTCGTGCAACGCACCTTCCCATTCAACGAACTAGCGAGCCTGCTTACATCTTTCTCCTCTTTATTTACCTCTTTACCTCTTTACCTCTTTACCTCTTTACCTCTCTACTTTGGTTCTTCGTACTTCGTTCAAGACGAACGGAATACATCTTCACCATGTCGACTGGCTTTTATCCCAACCAGCTCAACGGCATGTCCAACCACCGTGCTCAGCCCTTTTTGATCCATAAGCAAAATGCCCAGTTCATGCTTCCACCGGAAGCCCGTCTGCACGTGGGAAAGTATGTGCGGGCCCCCCTCCCCCCCGAGAGCAGAAATATCTATACAGTAACCGGACAAGGAATGCTAACAATGACCAGTCTTGACCGTGATGTTTCCACCAACGTCCTCGAGAATGAGCTTGAGGTGCTCTTTGCCCCGTTCGGAACTTGCTGGGCACAGGTTCGCCAAGGCAAAGCCAACAGCCTCATGAGCGGCTGGGTCCAGTTTCAGGTTTGCATCATCATTGTCATTCAGCTATTCATATCATCAGCATCCAGCTAACCAAGCATCTACAGCACCCAGCTCACGCCGAAGCCGTTTTGCAGAGCGACCGAGTCGGACGATTCGATCTCAGGGGCCGGACTTTGCGAATTGAAATTGCCAGAGGGATTCGTCAGTTACCTGTCTACCTAGTGAGCATTGTCACCTCTATCGACTCGTCTAACGATACCACAGAAGGCCATGATCAGACGACTGGAACTGTCCCAGGCTTTCCCCCAGGCCTTGGCCCCGCTTATATGGCTCCGATAGGACCGTCCATGGCAGTTCCCATGAGGGTCGACAATACCATGTCTCTGATGCCGGTGCAGCTGCCTATGCATATGTATATGCCCGGACCAACCAAGCCGATATACTTTCCTCACTATTATCTTATCGTGGAACATGGACACGACACCACTCCTGCTATGCCTGTATCTGCATCTGGAGCATCCGCACAGGCAAATACTCCTTCTGTTGATCGTGTATCTCAACATGCGCCCATTGTTACTACTCCTTCGGATGAGTTACCCAAGGATTCCATCGGGCTAGTCAACGAGACCGCATCCAAAGAACCCACTGCCGAGCTCGACACGTCGGATCCCACTACCAATTCACCCGAAGAGCCAAAAAATGCCTCTCAACGGGAAAAAGCCAATCAGGCCAGCGACCTCCCCCTCACTATAACTGGTCGTACCGTCCGCGATTATGTCCTCGAGCAGAACTCTCTTCTTGGGCTTGATGCTAGCGATGAGATCATTCAGGAGGTTATCCTTGAGGTTGAGGCGGAACAGCGCTGGCTTGGTCGGTTGTCTGAGCCTGCGTCTGGAAGTGTGTCTGTCTCAGTCCGAGCTTACGAGCGAAGAATCTACGGATATGCATAAGCCTTTGCCCTCGCCTCAAACTAACGTGGCCACGACTGTGCCACGGACCGTCATCACCTAAGGCGAGGGTAGGGGTATGGGGCTGTTACGCTGTGTGAGGGAAATGGTTTTTGTAAGTGGAAAAGGCGTGGTGTCTTGGAAAAATCTTGCTGTGAATTTTGGACATGGGCGTTGCTGCTCTGTTTCTGGATACATTTGGACCGTGCGAACACACACATACGTAATGCTAATGAGTGGAGGACTTACAGGTTGGGAATTGTCTAATGTTTGGGTGGACTTGGATACAGAACAACATGACTGTACTAAGTCATTCGACATACCAACCCAACTGATGTGGTTGGCTATTATTTAGTCTTGCCTTGTGGGTAAATTGTTCACAGGGTTAATTAATACCGTCTTTGAACACAATCAGCTCGGTCGCTCATGCAAAATATTCAATGCCATGTAGATATTTATACCGATCGTAAATGCTATGGACCACCCACCCGCTGAAACGCCCAGATCTATATTATATACAACCCCGATGTCTCAAAGTAGAAACCCAAAACAGCTAGAACCTGTGCACCCTTGCTAGTTGATATCGATACCCGCGGAGGAAGGATCGTGGAGGAAATGGTGAACTAAAGAAACCAAAAGAATGACGAGAACTGGCTGGAGTCAACCCCACCAGACATATGACAACAATAGATGAATATATGCAAGAGGTATGGTATCGAGCGAAGGAAAGCACAATATGTCAGATCGCAGCAAGAAGAAGTAGATGATATATACGGGGTCGACAAGACATGAACTGTGACATGTCTAAGCCCTGACGCGGCGGGCGTCAAAGTATTTCAGGCTCACGGCCGTGTCGTTCATTCCCACAATCGGAGCCGCGTCTTCGAGCAGTTCCCAGGGACGCACCGGATACGCGCCAATGACACGGCCGCGGTACTGAAGGCGGAGATGACTGGCGATGCAGTTGACGCCTTCAGATAACCCAGCAGGGAGTCCTGAAGGAGCTGAGGATATCGTCTGCTGTGGATTAGGTGGCCCGCCGGAAAGACTTGCAGTCGGCGTGGGAGTTGAACCACCGGCAGCAGGAGACGGTAGAGATGCAGGTTGGGGAGGGTTGGAAGTCGATGTATCCATCATGGGACCGAGAAGATAGAGGAACCGGGAGTCGTTCTGAAATTGGAGGAAAGGGGGGCATTTCTCCCGGAGAAACCGGGCGCATTGCTGCCGTGCCTCGTCCGGAAACGTATCGATCAGCGCTGCTGCGACATCCAAGGCATGGGTCTGCAGCAAAATTCCCGGACAAGGGCGGTAGTTTTCGGACTGCACCGGATGGGGGAAGTAATTGGCCGACGGGTAGAGTCGAATGACACGGTCGGGTAGGCGGGCCAGAGAGATGCAGAAGATGGATATCAAGATCCGAGATTGGTCTTGCAGGCCATTCAGCCTGGGTGCTAATGTCGGCATGGTAAATGCTGCACGGTGGATGACAACGAGTCGGAGCAAGGCCGAGAACCAGAATGCCAGGCTTCTTTCGAAATTCGAGCGCACCTGAGCTGTTTGACTGGCATCAACGGCACCAGACAGGTTTGGCTGCATGGTGATAAATTTCTGAAGTAGCAGCTCCATTCGCTCCACCAGGACAGGCGCAACCGATTGCGAACCGGCTTCAGGAATGCTGTGCGCCAGCTTTTCGACAATTGTCAGATAAAGTCGGGCGGTCTCGATGGAGTTCGATTGGTCCGGGACGGTAGGATCGCCGATGGGCTCCTCGAGCATAGGGACGGAAAAGAACCCCTTCTCAGCTCGCTCCCTAATCTGGACTCTAGTTAGTATATTTGCAAAGATTCGATATTCTAAACCACGTCATACCTGTCGCACTGCATCCTGGCTCATCAGACTGACCAGACCGTACCAGTGGGACCGCTTGGAGCGAGCATCGGCCATTGCAGCCTTGAACATCACGTCCACGATACCATTATCGACTTTATTGCCCGCTTCTGCATTAAACAGGACCTGAAGCTTCAACTGACAAATGGGGAGCGAGAAGTCATTGTTCATGCAAATGACTCTCTCGGCTTCAGGCATAGCTTGGGGATCTGGGACGCATTAGTAAATCTCCAGCAACCACGAATCTCGAACGGACCTTGTGAAGTGAAGCCAAGAAGCGTATCGAGCGCCTTTTGTAGAAGCGCTGTGGAAGCCAAGTCCTGGCCTACAAATTTCTGCATGCAGCATTGTACCATGCGTTCCGGTTTCTGCGTAAGGAGGGTCTGAAGCAAGTTCATGGCGCAGTTCACAAGGTCCGTCTGGTCGGATACACCGGCAACCTCAGGATATCTAGTATTGATCAACGGCACAGCATCGCGAATGATCCCCAGGCATTCCTCGGGATGCTTGTCAATGAACTCCTGCTGTGCTAAGTAATAGCGGTATGTCACCTGGAAGACAAAGTTAGACAAAAGACAGCCCAAAGGAAATATGGAACGGAGCGGCTAGAAGAGCATACCATATCTGCGTAGCGGCTTTGGTCCGGGCCCCGTGGAACCAGAAGTTCAAGAAGATCCAGCCGCAGGTCGGTGACCTTGGGAACTACCGAGGCCACCCTTTCCGATTGCAAGAGCTTCTTTACAAGCGTCACGAAGGCATGGATGGTAACGCAACCAACCCCAATCAGAGGAGGAAGGATACGGACTAATGCGGACCGCGACGGTGACCTCAAAAGCCCACAGACCCACCGAACCAGCCTTGCATCGAAGCGTTTAGGGTGGAAGGACCTCAGGTAAGCCAGATACCTGCAAATGTCATTCGGTGCCAGTTTGACAGAACCATGTTCAGTTCCCAACGCTCTAGTCAACGAATTGAATATGGAATCCATAGTAGACTCATCCATTCCACCTCCAGAAAACAGAATCTGATCCAGCTTTTCCTGGAACGAAGAGTCAACCTCACTGAAGCCCATCGGTATATGGTCCGAGAGAGGGGACGGCGCAGCGAGAGCCGACTTGTGCTCAATCCGAGACAGATCCTGACGCAGAAGAGCAACAGTGTTGAACTCGCTGGGCATTCGTAGCCCTAACTCGATCAACGAGAAGATAAGGTCCAAGCTGGGCGCCCCAAGTCTCTTAAGGCGAGCATAGGATTCAACGAGCCCCTTGAAGAGATCGGTTGCAGCACCAATAACACACAGTGAGTCGAAATGGTAATTGACAGTGTCCGCAACGGAAGCCAGAACAATGCTGTCGTCGCAATTCGTCGCCTGCTTGAGCACGTCTGCGAGCATCGAGATATCCCCGAAGCTTTCCAGGACGTCCCGAATACTGTAGAACTCGCTGGGAGTAAGGGCAGAAACACCAGCATCAGCTAACATGGGGATATGGGCGTATTTCCTGCCGGCTATTAGGCTCTTGGATAGGCTGCAAGGGACAGAAGCTGCTTACCTGACTGGATCGCGGTGGTGTCCAGACACTCCACGACGAATCCACAGACCAATCTCGGACTTGACGGCCCACGTTAAACTCGGTAATGACAGGTCAGTCAGCATTGCATCACTGATTTGGGCACCGAAGATTTTCGGAAGCCGTTGAGCGATGGACGCCTTGACGGTTGCAATGGTCGACTCCTCCTGCGAGGCCAGCATGCCAGCGCGGCTTAACAGCGTATTGCGGAGATTACGCACATAATCCGGAAGGCGAGCCAAGGGAAGTTGTACGAGAAGGCGAAGGTCAGATGAGATAGCCTACAGTTTATTTAGTCAATTTGATCTTGGCTAAAGGACTTGGAATGGCAATCTGACCTGTTGTTGACCAGGCAAAGGATCGTTCGCCATCCCTTTGGCCATCAGCCATTGCAAGTACCTGCCGACAGAGAACGTCTGAGACCGGACAAGTTCAGCAATGATATGATAAACATTGTCCATATTCACTCGGCTGGTTATCTGAACATCGGCAAGGAAAGCGAGAATGTGTGATTCAACATCCATCCCCGTCATCTTCCATTTTCGCAGCAGGCGAACGCTGGTATACACACGGCGAGAACCATGACGGAAGGGGGTAGCTGCCCATTCAAGTAGTTTCGAGACCAAAGAGGCCTTGTCTTCTACAGCACCCAGACAGGTAGAAGAGGCAGAGGAGATGTCATGTGCTGAGCGTATGGAATCGAACAGGTGAATGACATGTTGCTGAGGTAACCGTTGAGCCGTGTCTTGGTGACTGCTAGGCAGCTGGACTCGTGCATTACGCTCGGCAAGATTCTGCAATGTTGTCTTGTCAGGCGTTTCTTTCAGATTCATGCACGAGGCAACCAGGTCCTTGTACTTCTCCCACGAATTCGGAAGTATGACAGATGATGTATGCTCCAGCACCAGTCTCCTTACGCAGCGGGATAAGCGATCCACCAACGGCTCAAAGGCTGTGTGCTGTCCAGGCTGTTTGATCTGCTACACGATTAGCTGAAACTATGGAGGATGTGGACGAGAACAGTGCCTACCTGGTGCAGCTTGTCCAGTAACACCTCGGCTAATCGTCGACCACGTTTTCTATATCGCATGATATTGCTCCAGTATATGCCGAGCATCAATAGCCAAACAGGCACAGTATTAAGCGGTGCGGCTTCTAATGACAATAAGAACCACGCGAGATACTGATCATGGTCTAGCAAGCGTTCGAAGAACAAACGAGAAGTTAAGCTGACACTGTGAAGGATTAGTATGACTGCACCGAAAACGCATGGACGGATAGAGGGCGTACGCATATGTCATCTTTGTTTTCCAATCCGAAGTTCCACAAGTGCTGATTACGCTCTCGAGAAACTGTTGGACAGTTGATGTCCAGTCGCGGACCCATTTAGTCTCGAGGCCCAACGCGAGCGCCCCGCTTGTGCCTTTGCGTTTAAAGGCACGAATTTCATTGGCACCGACACACCTTGCCAACCATATGGCCCGGGGGACCGGGATGCCTTTGCCGAGACATTGATCGAGCAACACCTTGCCCCTAATACCATGAGGGATCGTCCGACTCAGCCTGCGCAAGGGGACGGACGGATTCGCGAGGTCCCGAAGCCAAGCCTCGCGTTTGTTATCGGTCAACGTGACGCGGGGAGGTGGCTTGAAACTCGACGGGGCAGTGACGGTATTATGACTTTGACGCTTCTCGAGGGCAGCGGCAAAAACGGACGAGAGCATTTGAAGACCGGAGCGATGCTTCAACTGCGCATACAGGGACGGGCGTGCTGTATTCGATTCATTTTGTGAGACCTGGGTTCGGTCATAGTGGCCTTGTTTCGCAGTATGGTCGTTAAGGGTATCCTCCGGGTGATTGCCTGTCCAAGGGGAAAAGTCCGCAACTCCTAAGCCATGATTGTGCAATTAGACGAGCGCTCTGTATCGGCCATGGTGGTGAAGGCGACTTACTCTCCCCTTTCACTCTTGGCGCAACCGGGGGAACGACAATACGATATGGAGTGGTCTGCACTTCCTTTGTGTGCGCAATATCGGGAGGTCTTGCGCTGTTGCTTCCGGAGGGTTCCTGCGGAGTATACTTCCAAGGGACGAGAGGTAAAGGAGGCGGTGATGCGGGATTCTTGCCTTGCGAAGCAGCGTCATCTTCTTTCGCCTCCGCAGCCCCAGTTGTCTCCGAAACCAAGGCCTGGAATGACCATACAGGCCGACCACGCCAGGAAAGCGGATTCGGTTTTGAACTTGCGGTGCCTGGGGTGCTTCTCGCTTCTCCTCCACTTCCAGGCGCTGGACTTCCCTCAACCGGACAGGATCCTGAAGGCACGTCTAGTTTCAGCCTCTTAGCAGGGGGTTCTCGGTCCTGAAAATCGGTGGTGTTGGTTGTGAGATCGATCACTGCCGGCTGTCGGGGTAGCGGTTGCGGCATGGACATTGACGACTTCTCCAACTGAGGGTCAGGGAGACCCACAGTTTGAGACGCATCAACGCGTCCTGAGCCGTTATTGAGGGCGCGCACGGAACGGCCCCATGGCTGGACGCCGGCGGAGGGATGTGGTATCATGTCAGCTTCATGGTGTATCCAAGCGTCGGGGTCTAATCATCGGCACTGCGCCGTCAAGACGGCTAAACAATACAGTCAGGAACCCGGTCGAGTGCCTGTGGAACGTGTTGGTGGTATGTCGGATGAGGTGAGGACCGAAATCCTACACATTCGATCCCGCAAATCGAGTCTGGTGCGGTAGAACGAATTGACGACCCGAGCGGCGCGGCTACTTGGGGGGAAGACGGAGGTTTGTCCCCGGGAACCGTCGCGGACCTGAGAGTTTCGGGGGGCAAAGCGGGAAGGTCAATCGATCCGCAAAGATGAAGGGGGAGGGTGCCGACGCAGAAGCGAGGGGACCAACAGACGTCGGAAGATAGGGGAGACGAAAGAAAGAGAGAGAGAGAAAGAGGAAGAGGAGAGATCGAAGGGAAAAAGCCGACGAGAATCTGGAGATAACGTAAGGAGGACCAACTGGCACCTGTATGACCGACCTACCCAAGTAGGAAGTCGCAGCAGCCCGAGGGGGGGCAAGATTACCGGCTGGGACGGTAAATTATCCGGATGACGGCGCCAGACCGCGTGGGCGGAGCCGGGTTGACCGTGGGTTGATACCGCTGTATTACCGGGCGGCCGTGGATGGACCTGGATGATGGATCATTGAGGATCGGAGCCAGCTTATCCACCGTCGGAGTTGTGATAGCCTTTGCCTTGACTACGTCTGTTGTGAAGGCACGGGGGATCTATCGACACTTGATCCTCGACACTACTTTCAGGCTTCCGGCTCCGAATTGGAACAAGAATTCGCTAACTAACTCACTAACTTCAGCGCAATCACAGCCATACTCCCATAGGTACATAGCCTTGCCTTATCTGGTCTCGACCCAGACCTCCGCTCTCCGCATTCAGCAAATGACCCCTACGCATTGGCGTTTACAGTTTGCCCTTCAGTTCGCCATCAGCAGTGGTGAAGAATGAGTCCGAGGGACTACCAATGATCACGCTATCCGGCAAATCCATGAGCCAACCAATCCGAAATCGCTGCGCTTGGCATCAGATGATGGGGCCTCCATCCGGGCGATTCTGAACATGCAAATCGACGCGATTACCTGATGATATCGCGGCATCTCGCCCCATTCTTCCACCAGTGGTCAGGATTGGTCCCCGAATCAGAACCACTTTGGGACCAAGATAGGGACCGCCGCGAGGCGACTCAGTGCCTAACCCAACCTGAACAGTTGAACCACGCCCAGGTTAACTCCGCAGATCGGCCCGTTATGGGCGATCCCTGCTCGCCGGACAGTACTTTGGGATCCCAACTTGTTTGCATCATTAGACCCGGGGATTAATCTACGATGCACTCTGTAGCTACTAGTGAGCAGGGGAAATCCTCTCGTCATGTACCACGGACGCAGTCGCACACACAGGGTGATACGTGTGCGATCTTTCCTGGAGGGGATATGAATTTTCCCTGTCTGTCCGTCCGAACATACGGTGAACAATTTTCTGACAACCGGATTCAGTATGCGACCTGAAACCAACCCTAGATGGGACTACTTGACCTTCCCTATCTTCTTTTTCCGCCTTAAACCCACTCTCTCCAAAGTCTCCATCAAGTGTGGGCCGTTGGATCAAGGGGATTCCATCCTCTCGGATTCCTCCAGACTTCTCCTGCCTAAGCGCCCCGAGCCCCGTCGGGAAGATCCATTGCCGACGATGTTAGACATGTGTCATTTTATTTTGAGGTCTCGGGTTTGGGACCATCCCAGATCCCAATCGCTGCCATCCAGCAAAAGCCGTCTTCAAGCACCGGCTGCGGGATGGACCCCTCCACAGTGGCATGACACTGCGTGGGAGACTGTGAGTACCGTATGACTGTTCCGTCTGATCCCACTTTCTCCGCATCTTCAATGGCACGGCGCTGTAGATCGTCAATGGGTTTAATCTGTAGATAACTAGTAGATATCTATACTTTGGTCTTCCAGGCGGTCACACCCCCCCGTCTTTCCGCACTAGAACTCCGTACGCCCTGGGCTGCTGGCAAAGATCTCCCGTCTGGTACTACTCCGAACGGGGGCAGAGATCCAGCAGCTGGGCGCACTGGAGCATCCCGGAAACTCCGAGTGCACAGACCGGCGCACCACGGCTGGTACTGGACACGAAGCAGCTTTCGACAACAGCCATCCTAGTTGCAGGATGCAGTGCGACCTTGGTCGTCGCAGCTCACGAATGGAGACAAAGAGCTGAGCGGATAGGTACACAAGCATGGTCCGGATTTAAATCAGGGATTGCGAAAGGGGCTACTTGGCTCTGGAAAGAAAGCCACGGAATGGGTCCTCCGTCGGTAACCTGCTTGGGCCACCCTCCCCATATGCACCTGGAATTAAGTAAAATTTATACACCGATCTGGAGATGGGCCGTGAGGACGCCCATGATTTGGTATATCTGCAAAAAGCACCGTGCATGCATATCCTGCATCGGCCGCCCGGTCAGAGCTGGGGGTGTTTGAGACACCTCCTGAGCTGACCTTCATTCCAATCGCTGACCGGATTGCGGTTGATCACCCCTATCGCATAAAGTCAGTTAATAATAAATCCCCATAGGCTGACCTGAGGATGTCTGATACGGTCCAGCCCGAAGATAGACGATCTCCGATGTGATCTGTCTGGTTTCTCCATCTCTAGATAGTCCAAACATCTTGTAACCGAGGGGACGACGCTAAGTCTGTCCATGGGCTCGGAGGTAAGCAATCAGTTTGCTCAATCCCGTCCCTTGTCCAATAGTCCATCTGTAGCTCCGTTAAAAAGGGTAGCCATTATTGAAATTGCTTTGTCCTAGTGCGCCGTCGAGGAGGGAGGACTGGAAGAATACTGGCCGACTACTACTTATCAGCCGGGGCGATAAACCTCGGGATCCGGCCAGCCTTTCCGCTTTGGTCTTGGCGGCAGTCATCGCCTGGCTGGCCTGTTCGCCTGTCTCTCTTCCGGTAGGCAGGCAACTCGTTCACGCCCTGTGCAGTAGCCCCGGAGCATCCAGCGACAAGATGGCTTCCAAGAAGGATATGCGGAGGTTGGACCTCGGTAGGTGGCCTGTCTTCTGATTCTCTTTGCTTTCCAAACCCACGCGTGCCGTGCGCTGACGTCGACGCCGAATTCTAGCCATTCCCTACATCGATCCGCCCAAGGGCAAGGATGAGCCCGACATGTCTAGTACGTAACGAATCGATGACAACCCCATGTAGATGGGGCAGAATGGGAATGCGTGCTGATTGCCCGACGCAGGCGCCATGTCTAGCACCATGCCTATGGCTGCGGTAGGTCGCAATTGGAGATCTTGTGCTGGTTAATGCTTCAGACACGTTGACACTTTCGCAGATGTTCACCAGGAATAGGTGAGCCCTGAATATACTCGCTGGGATTGACTGTGCATATGTGATCTGACAAATCTCGTCCGTGCAGGATGATCGGATGGTAGGCCACCACTGCTTTGCGGTTTCGGCAAGCTGCTAAACTGTCCTGTCCAGGGTCTCCTTCGTTTTCTCGCTTCAGTCCTGGCTGGGTGAGACCCCAGACCAGAAGAGAGCAGCTTCGACGCCGGGCTACATGTCCGTCTTGATGTCCTGTGCGTGCACCCACTCTAGCCCATTACTACGAATAATAACTAATTGCGAATTTGCTTTCAGTGATGGCTCTGGTTGTTGTATGTCCCCTGACTATCCTAAGAGAGGAGATGAGGCGAAGCCGCCCCGGCCTTCTTCCTAACGCGCACGCTACAGACCTACTTCCCGATCTTCCTGCCTCCCCAGGCTGCGCGCGCTGCCCCTGGCACCACCGCTGCCCCTACCCCTTCCCCTTAGCGAGAGCTGTTCCTGTGATACCATTGCCGACACGTTTCGATGTACTGTTATACCACGGAGTTTCCAAGTTGGCGAAGAAAAAGGGTTGGAAGGTTGGCTTGACAAAGGGCGGAAGAGGCTCAGGGGGACTCGACGCCTCGAGTTTTGGAGGCCTTAGGCCATTGGTCTGTACAGGGTGAGACTGGGATGTTGCATGAATACTCTAATAGCTCGGCTACCATAATATCATCGTTATTTAAAAAGCCTCAGTAATTCGGTTGCCAGTGGATATACAGTGGCGAAGTTTAATTGGATGTCGTAGACGACTATGGCCAGACTTCCCTATTGCCAGCATAGTGTAACATCCCTGAGAACTGACTATACGCCGCAGGACAATCATTTCATCAGATTATTCACAATAAGATTTGTAGGCTCAATCTACCGTTAGGCGATGAACCTAGCGTGACGGCATAAACCAGATCCGCTGCGTAGAAACTACGTATGGATGGAGGGGGAACCCCGGAGAGGGGGTGGGAATGGAGACGGAGGGAGGGCCCTGGGTCGCCACCAATCCATCTACCACCACCACTATCACTACCACTCCGAGAAGCCAATAACGATCGCCATGACCCCGACGCCTCTTCAGCCCCCAAAGGCAAAGCGGCAACGCAAACTGGAACCTGAACCAGCATGGGAGGGGGCCCAGTCCGCGATGGAACGTAGCAGATGCGCCCGAATGGAAGGGGGCAGCAGGGCTTAGTCATGGGCACACCGCCTTCCCCCACAAGGCCGCTAAGGCAACGCCGCGCCCCTCAAAAGGCTCTTCTGTTCTTCTTCCTGCTTCCTTCCCGTCAACCACCTCGCATCCACTCTAAACTCCAGCTTCAGTCTCCCAGACTTCGCGATCGCCTCGATTTTTACAGAGATCTAATTCTCACCCCTCGCTCTCTTCCTATACACCGCTTTTAAGGGCCGTTTACCGCGAAAGGCCGAGTTTATGTCCATCGAAAACCTTAAGACCTTCGGTGAGTCGCCTCGCCACCCCCCTTCTGTGACTCCATCGCCAGGCCCGCAGCCTGGCCTCCAGACGGTGTTGGTCCTTCTTGTGATGGTCTCCCTGGAAGGCCGTCGCGGATAGGATCATACACCCTGGTCTGGCTTGGCTGTGTCGCCGGGCGTGTCCCTCTTGTCGACCTGCGTCACAGTTGTGGCGGGGTAATGTCTGGTCATGAGCCTGAGGCTGACACGTGCTCTCCCACAGACCCCTTCGCCGAAGCTGACGAAGACACCGGCGAGACTAAACAGTCTCAAAATTACATCCATATACGGATTCAACGTACGTGCCATTGCCGTCCCCTCAACTTGTTGGCCCACTGCCGTCCGTCGTCGATGGTGGCGCCACGCTGTCCCGTGCACATCAGACTAACCCGTTCACAGAGCGCAATGGTCGAAAGACCTTGACCACCGTCCAGGGTCTTCCTAAGAAGTTCGATCAGAAGAAGATTTTGAAGGTGATCAAGAAGAAGTTCGGTATGTTGTCGCCGCCTCTTGACATCGAAACAATGAAGCTAACTGTCCTCAGCCTGCAATGGCACCATTGTCAGTGACGCTGAGATGGGCGAGGTGATTCAGTTGCAGGGAGACCAGCGTAAAGATGTCCAGGAGTTCTTGACCGACAAGAAGGAGGGTCTCGAGCTGGATGCCAAGACCATCAAGGTCCACGGTTTCTAAGCCAGACGCCACGCCCCCGTTCCGGTCCCTTCTTCCCAGTCCACATTTCCCTCTGAGCGGTGGGGTGGGGGACATGATGTGTCCACTTATCCTCCGTCTGATCTTGCATTGCGCCCCCCGCAATTGCAACGAGGGTTGTTCGGTCTAACATTCTGTCTGCTATTGTTACCGCTCTGTGCCCGGAATCGTGGACTTGGGCTTTTGTCGAATTGATGCACTATCAAGTTGGTCCCTCCCATTTGCGAGTGGGCAATGGGAGGGACACAGTGGGTCTGACTTCCTGACTCGACTGCTACATCTGGAAGGGAATAATGACGGAACGAGGCGTTGGTAGATACCCAATATCTTCATAGATGATTTACTTCTTCTGTTTCTACTTCTTCTGTGTCGTGTCGTTGCTTGGCTTGGTGTGAGCCTCAGTGCGAGAGGACGGTTCGGCCTGGATTGTGACGGGTTGAATGGGATGGGTCTCGCTTGTTCGTTTCCATCAGTGTTCCGATCGTTGTGTGCTACATGCTATCCTCAGTCATTTCCATGTCTTTGCTCGAGAATGACCTCATTCTTGACGGTATGGTTTTGGTGAATCCATCATTGATATTATGTCACTATTGCAAAGTACTGTAATCTTCCTAGAATCACTTTCCCCGCTTAGATTTCAAATGATGTATTTTTTGTAGCTAGGGTTTCTATTCACTAGGTAAGGGATGATGAATACCCAACGACACCAAGACACAAATAGTCTATGGAGATATGACTAGTGCCGTGATCGATCAGTCGATCAACCCCGTCCCAGCCTACAATTCCCCAACGGGGGCCCGATCGTCCGACACCCGCATGCGAAGGAAGATCGCAACGGCCCAATCCCAAAGCTTGCGCGTGATGACGAACAAAGGCACTTCGGGCTCGTTCTCTCGGGTCAAATGTAACTGCAGGAGCAGTGACGACATGCTCACGAAACTGGCCACGGAGACGACGAGCAGTGCAGCTGCGGTTTCACGTTTGATGGTCGCATGATTTTGGGTGGCGTGGTAAAGGAAGGTAAGGGTCTGGGTTGTAAAGGGGGGTGTCAGTTACGGTTGTCCAGCATCGCTGAAGAAGTTGGGGGGATGGAGTATATATAGTCCGCGGGACTTACCGTAGTAATGGATATCCAGGCTGGTAAGAGGAGGCGTGGGTCGGAAGAAGCCCCAGAGAGATAGAGTACCCAAGAAGTGATATAAGCAATCAAACCGTTTGTAGTAAGGAGACGAATAACAACAGCTGGTGGGGTATAGTTCAAAAGCCTGGACGGGGGAAAGTTTGAATGTCAGGAACGGCCAGTCGATCTCAGGGGTCGGAAAATCATACCATCGAGACATCATACAATCAGCAAAAAAGTAGGAAAGATATGCAGATGCACAGCACTAAAATGACGGTCAGAGCAGCTCGCACAAGGACGTGCAGACGAAGAGGGGACTATCCACATACCCACATAATAGCCAACGCCACCTCTGTTACGCGAAATCTTCTCTCAACATCCCAGTCTTGCCCAACGCTCCCGACAATGGCCGCCGCCCACCCCTCATGTCCTATGCCCGGCCGAATGTGTAGCAGTTCGGCCAAGAAGGTGAAGGAACATCGTAGCCCCCACCACGCGGCCGGCACGGTGCTCAGTGCGCGGCAGATCAGCAGAGGTAGATACCATTTCCGATCGACTCCTAGAATCACGGCCACCCGGGGATGAAGGCCAGACGGAAGCGAGTGACCAGCATCGTTGCTGCTAGGAGTGCGGGACGTGGAGGAGGCCGGGGAGGGCGGGACGGCGGTTGAGGCGGCGGAGGAGGGGGCCACGGCTTTATCGGGGGAATCCACCTTTGAGAGTATGGAGGCGAGCGTGGAATAAAAAGGCGGGGGAGGAGTCGTGGGAAGCGAATCCGACAGGGAAGCAATCAGGTCACGGTCAGGAGTGGACGGCCGGGCGTGGAGAGAGAAGGATGGAGAAGCAGCATCACGATAAGGAGGAGCCAGCCTTAATTCCCGGCATATGCGGCCGTCACGCAAAATTCCTCGAGTGGAGATGGATAGGCGAAGGAAGAAAGAATAGTAGTGAGAGGCCCAGAGCTAAACTGGCTCTGGAATGACCCCTAAACGGTATAGATTCTCTAGTGCTCGGCGGATTTCGTGAACACTTGAACACTCGACTCGGGGCTGGTCCGCAGCGGTCAGGAGAGTCGAAAACGCGCGGAAGGCGAGTGCCAGACAAGTCGCACCCACTGCTGCTGCCTGTCGAAAGAGGCAGCCGGAATTGAGGCAGAGAGAGGCGCAAAAGGCGAGAGATGCGTGAATTGAAGGCCATCAAGCCAAATCAGCCAAAAGCGAGAGGCGCGGCGGAGAACCGCCCCACGTGACCGGGCCCGTCGGCGGAATTTCTTTGGCTTCGTTTTCCGGCTTCCCTCCGGCCAAGCGTGCTTCTGCGACCTGCTCTGCCTATCCGTTGAGGTGTTCCTCCTCTGGCCGTTGTCCATCATGGCGTCCTCCCTGTCCAAGGGCCCCGTTCTCTCGGCCATTCGCTCCAGCAGCACCCCCTTCGCTGCCTTCTACTCCAAGACTCTCTCCGGACCGGCGGTAGCTACACCGTGCCAATGCCGACCCTTCTCGCAATCTTCGCAGCGCAATGGCTATCGCGGACTCCCGCAGAACATCTCCATCCCACAGCCCGCTCAGCCGAGTATGCGCACTCGGGGTAGGGACATGAACAGAACGGATCTGCCTCAGGACATTGGACTCTTGCCGGGAACCTTCATCCGGCCGCTTTGGCGAGACTTGCCTTCCATCTTCCACCAGCCCTCGGAGCGTTTACATATGGAATGGTTGTGGATCAAGTCGGCCTTTCAGAACTTCATCTCGTGAGTCTCCACTGTGGCGGGCTCTCTCGAAATGGTCCTAACACTACACCAGTCTTCTCGCCTACTGCAAATGGGTCAACAAGGGACTCCCGCTTCGGCTGAAGGAGCGTCGACAGGTTGCTCTCAGTCTTCACAAATCCATGTATACTGCATTCGCTGCGTGGGTCTCCCACCATTTCCTCCCGCCGTATATACCTCCCGCATACCGTGTGCTAATGATCCTGTCGAAACACAGCGGCGACTCCACTACCCTTCGCAAGGTGTGCTGCACCGGCCTTGCCAACCAGCTCAACAGCCGCATTGCGGCCCGCCCCAAGGGCGAGCAAGTCTCATGGAGCCTGGAGAAATACATCAAGTCCCCTGCCACCTTCTTCACCGGTGTCCGCGTTGTCTCGGATCGTGCGACCCAGATCCCCGAATTGCCCGACTCTGGAGTCCGCCAGGTCGTTCTGCGCATCACTAGCCGCCAGTCGAAGGGGAAGGTGTCTTCCGGGCAGAGTACGGATGTGGCCAACAATGCTAAGCAGCAGGACTGCACCGAATACATTGTGATCCAGAAACTCCGCTGGACCGGCGAGGAAGGCGAATGGCGCGTCTGGGGCCACGCTACCCCCACTACCGTGGAAGATCTCGATAGCCCTTTCTTTGCCCGTGGAATGACTATGGCCGACCGCATGGAGGCTATGAAGGAGTCGATGGGTGGAAGAAGATAAGCTGCATCGGATTCTCGTCAGGTCACAACATTGACCTGTCCTTGTGAACGAACCCCAGTCACCAAGTCCCGATTACTCGAGCCCGCAAAGTCGACAACTTCCTTCTTGACCAGTCAAGCACGTGAAGGCCCTGAGTTCACCCCCCCCGAATTGTATGCTACGCAGTGACGAAGCACAAAAGTGTCTATCAGTTAGCTTGATCTCTGCCACCCGCACCCTCCTCTCCTCCATTCTCTTGCATCTGGCTTTGGCTGCGACCCATCGCATCCAATTCGATTCTGTCATGTGTTATTGAGAACTACCCGATACCATGCAGTCGGTTCTGGTGCTTGTGTTGGTGTCTTTTCCGTTCTGTTATAGTTCGGGAGAGATAACCGGGACACAGCAATCATTCCGCTGCACTCTGTATTATATCTGATTGGCTATTATCTCACCAATTTGAACCTTGTAATTATCTTAGCAGCGTGTCTCATGGAAGGAAATCCGGTAGCGATCTAGTTGGCTTGATCGTATCCTGGTATCATAGTAAAGGGAAGATTGTTGCGTAGGCACACCTTTCCGCCCAATACAAGGAGCACTATGTACACTGAAAGCAGGGGTAATAAAGGAACAAGGAAGAAGGGGGTAGATCATGGTAATATGGAACGTGGTATTCGTGTGAAGAGAAAGCAAGAAGTGAGGTGGATGATTTGTCCAACAATTTCGAGTCGTGGTATTAGAGCGATCGATCTAATCGTCGTCGAAGATTTGGAACGTATTTACGAGGATGGTCTCAATGACGCGCACCTGCCAACCGGCGTCTGCGATGTTACCGCCAGAATTGGCACCCATGAGGGTAGGTCTAGGATTGTTAGAGTTCAGTTACGAAGAGTAAAGGGAACAGGACGTACCCGAAACAGATCGCAATGTTTCCTGCATTCATGCGATTCTGCGTGTAATGTTCTTGGACTTTGTTAAGATGCTATAATAGGTTAGTCAGGCGGTTTCCAAGAGGGCGGTCATTGACATACCAAAATCAACGCCCTCAATGTGGCGTAGTGTGCATCGGGGAGGTTGTTGACCAGGGCATGTAGTGAGTCGCGGCGCTGAATGTCGTCCTCAAGGCCTATGAACTATATTAGTATCAGACCAAAGGCCCGTGATCGAGAGCACTTACGAGCTGCGTTGATAAAGTCCGTGTAGGTGTGCGATGTGAACAGAGGATCAGGCAGGTCTCTGAAGAATTGCTTCAGAAGCCCAGCAACGCTGTTGACATCATGGTAAAAGCTCTCAGGATTGGTGAAATCGACCTGGGATGAATCTACCTTCATTTTTAGGGCTAGCCCAAGAGAGGGGAGGGATAGCAAACGTACCGTTGTCAAATAGCGCCTTCATATGACTGATATGAGTCGCACTACCGGAAAGTCGGTAGATACCCTCCATGTCCAACCCAAAAAGTTCAATAGCCTGAAAGCACTGGTAAACAATCATGGGAACAGCCGTCCCATCTCGCGTGTATAGGTCATCCAAAGATACACCAAAGACCGGCTTCAGAGGAGGCAGGTTGGGGCTAGGCTGGAAGCCATTCCCGGCTGGTACTAATGGTGTCTTTGCTGGTGGCACAGGTGCTGGGTTTATGTGACGATGCTCGGAAGGAGCCGAAGAGGTTGGGTAAGGAGGCTGGAATTGTGGGGTTGAGTACGAGTCGGGGTTTTGTGGATATGGCAATGGCTCGGTACTCGGTGCAGGTGGAAGCGACGGTGCTGGAGCTGGAGCCGGGGCTGATATTGGTGCCGGAGCTGGGGGCTGAGACGAGACCGGAGTAGACGCAGGGAGATTTTGTTGCGAGAAGGACTGAGGAAGGAAGATTGACTGCCGTTTATTCTGCGTGGCGGGTTGAGAGGCAGGTACAATGGGTCCGGAACCTCCCAGCGTCTGCTTTCAATCTCAGCTACGAGCACCAGGATCGATACCAGGCAAACTTACCGGATGACGTTGGTATCTGATCTGGTCTGAGGTCACCGCAGCAGGGTTCCTCTCATGGCTGAGAATATACTCGCGGAAGTCCTTCTCGTTGTCGACCTGAGAAACGACTTCGTATAAGCTCTTCGGAGCAAGATTGGGGTTTGCCGTGGCATCTTTCAACGGGCTGATGGACAAACCCTGTCCAAGTAACAGCTTCTCGTTGAAAGTTGCTATGCACCAGTCAGCAAGAGGTCCTGCACCAAAGAGTAGGGTCAAGCGCACCGAACTTCTGCAACTGCAATGTCAGGCCCGAATCACATTCCGAGATGAGCTTTTGAATATTCTGCACTGCTTGAGGCCGATGGGTTGCAATCAATTCCTGCCGCGCTGTCTGCGCAGCCTGAACCTTGGCAGCATAATCAGCATCGGCGTTCTGGACCTTGCGCAGCAGCTCCTCTTCATGCTGCGCGGCGGACTTGTGACCCTTCAAGCCAAACTTTCCACCCTGCTTGTCACCGGTCTTCACACGGTCATATTGCTCGGCAAGCGACTCGTATTTGGCCTTTGCCTTCTCAGCAGAGGTCTCCGCCTCCAGCACCCTCTTCTCCGCACTCAGTCCGGTCTGCTTCCATTGCTTACGGCCTCGCTCAATGTTCGATGCGAGTTCGTGAAGATCATCGGCCATCTGCTGCAGAGACACGGAGAACTGGAGTCCGTGATCCGCCATGCGGTCATGGAAACGATTGAGTTCATTATAGTTCTGGCCGTAGGTGCCTTGGCGGTTCTCGTTGCGATAGGCGGAGTCGTGGAGGGAGCGGGACAGCTTCCTCAAGCCTTGCGCGTGCTCTTCTTCCAGTGAGGACCGTTTTTTCAGGAACGTGGAGAAGTCCTGTGGCCATCCGGCTGGTTAGCGTCTGTGTGTTTCTTGATCCATGAACGGTGGGGGTCTGCAGCCGATGAAACATGGACGAACCCTGGCAGAAGAGACACTTTGCTTTAAGCGGGTCAGGAGAGTAGTAACTCCGATCTATGACGTCGGTCAGTTAGTATAGAATGACTTATTCGTATGGACAAGCAGGTGAGGCATTACGCACATCCGAGTAGATAACCTTATCCAAACGCGCCTTCAATTCCTCCGACATAGGGGGAGGCCCGGGACGGAGCTCTAGAGCTCCGGGGTGGCCGGCAGAGCCGTCAGTGGAGGGGCGCGCATCGGGGTCGGGCGCTGGGCTATCGTGTACGTCTGCCATGGGGGCGTGGGAGTGGTGTATGGGCGACTAATGGTAGACAAGAAGGAGAAGCACGGATGGCCTGAAACGGCAGTTTGGGGGGAGTGGGTATATAGTAAGTAGTAATAGTCGGAGTGGATTGCGGAAGCCTACGAACTTAGCTTGGAGGACGGCGTCAGCCCCGTTGGAGTGATGCCGGGCTGGTGTCAGTGTCCCGGTTGCTATTCTGGGTAAGCCGCCGTGGGGGAGGCTTAGCGTGTGGCTGAGCTCTCCATTACTGGGACGTTGGTACCTATTGATCACTATCACCTACCAGGTACCACTACTATACCAGTCCACCGTTTATTGTTGATAGTTCTCATCCACTCCATATAATTTTCTCCATTAGGAGGCTTCTACTGTATTATGGACAAGGCCATATCATCTACGTCATCCAATCTGATGTCTAAAGCATGGACTATGGCCTACACTGCATACCAGAGGCATTCTCAGACGAATCTGATCTGGTATGTTCAAGTCGGTCCAGAAGCATTCCCTCGAGGGATCATCCATCCATCACTAGCTAGCTAGATACTCAAGATAGAGTATGGAGAACTAATCACCTATGCATCGTGGCTAACTGGCCCAATTTATAGACCGCTGAGTCAGCCCCAACCGCCGAGTTTCGCGAGCCACTGCCTTGCTCTTCGCTCCGTCGCCCACCAAAATCCACCAAATTTTCTGCCGATTTCCGGCACCTGCACGCTGGTTCCTCTCTGCTGCACTCTCCATTTTGCATGTGTTATCGGGTCCCGCGGTTCCAAGGCCGTCGGATGTTTCTTGATTTATACTGATGGATCTGGAGTTCCGGGGTGTCCTGGCACCGACTGGGTTGGCGACACATGCCAATCTGATAACACCCCCGGCCTCCTCCAGCGACCTTCGGAGCACCCCGAGGTTGCCCCGGCCGGTGACAGCCTTCGACTTCGCGCCCAAAAACTTAGAACCGGGCGATATGGAGAAGCTCCCCGCCATCACTGGCAAGCGGCGGGGTGGCTGTAGAAAGGCTTGTAATGAGTGTAAACAGCAAAAGGTAAGCTAGTCCTATTCCCGGCCTGGGCGTCTTTGTTTCGGAGGGATCTATGCATATCACTATCTATGCTTAGCTTCCTTCCTTCCTTCCTTCGCTCGCCCCATCCATCTATACGGCTGGCTGAATATGGTCTGTTTCGAATCCACAGCTTCGGTGCGACATTGTGCAAACACCCGCGGATGCTTGCTCGCGCTGCCGGCGGCTCCAAATAGAATGCAAGGTCGAGCCCACTTTCAAACGGATCTCCAAACGAAGGTAGTCTTTCGTGGCCTCCTCTTCCCGTTGATGCCATTGTTCCTGACCTTGATGTATGCAGGCGCAATGCTGAAATGGAACGGGAGATCGCAGAGCTCCGCCGGCGGCTTGCCACTGGCGATCACCCGCAGGCCGTGGAAGCCAATGGCAGCGATGAGCTCTCCCAGTGTTCCGAGGATGTCTTTTGTCCGCCTGATGCGGCGGTTGCAAACAGGGCGCGGCCGCTGTCGGCGCCGTTGGAGCCTCAACCGATGGCTACCCCGTTGACCATGCATAGAGATGGGTCCATTCTTTCTCAGGAGGATAACCCATGGCGACTGGAAGATGTCTCGCTGTCTAGGACGAGGGTGGCACGTCTATTTGAACAGTAATATGCCTGCCCCACCTATATGCTGCTATAGCTAATGGTTGGTCAGGTTCTTCAAGTACTACCACCCGTTTCTCCCTCTGTTGAATCCGCAAAAGCACCCGGATGAGTATCTGCGTCGCTGTCCTTTGCAGGCATGGACTATCATCTGTGTCGCTAGTCGACGAGCGCCCTCGGAGCCAGGCCTCCTGAGTGCGCTGTCGGGGCCGTTCAGCAGACTGCTCTGGTCCACCATCACCGGTGTACCGCAAGACTACCGTGTAGTCAAGGCTCTTTGCCTTCTCTGCACCTGGCCGTTGCCCACGACGAGCCAGCGGACCGATGCCACCTTCATGCTCAGTGGATTAATGATGCAAATTTCCATGCAGCTGGGATTGCATCGGCCCGTCCAAGCGGAGGAGTTCACCACTTTCCGCATGGAAGTCCAAGGGGAAGCTGTCAAAGACCGTCTACAGACATGGGTCATATGTAACATTGTGGCTCAGAAGTAAGTTTCTTTGCCCTATTGCTGACGAAAACTCACCGAAATAGCGTCGCCACCGGCTATGGACAACCCCCCGTGACTATCTACGATTGGGCGCTCGAGCCAGCATCGCTTCGAGACGCCGACTATCAGCCTTCCGAAGATCTGAAGACTCGGCTACGGATTGAAAAATTCTGCGACCGTGTGACCAAATCACTGTACAGCAGCAAGCCCGACCCGGCGGAGTTCATCAGCTCGGAGAAGTTGCTGATCGTGCAGCTTCTAGAGAACGAGCTGCGAGACATGGAGGTGGAATTCGGACGAGATATTTCCAGTTCGTGCCCGATGTCTTTCCACGGAAGAAGCTAACTCGTTTGCAGATATCAACATGATCCATCTCCGAGCCGCTGAATTGCATCTACGATACTTTGTTTTCCTTGGCTCCAGTGCACGAAGTGACGACTTGACGAAGCTTTTCATTGCCACCACATCATTCCTTGGCCGCGTGCTCGATCTCGAAACGTCACCCGGGGAGCTTATTGGCCATGCAACCAACTACATTCTCCAGATGATCGTTTCGGCTGCATTTGCCCTCATGAAGCTGCTGAAGAGTGACTTCCGACGCCACATCGACTTCGAACATGGGAAGCTGCTGTTCAACGGAGCGATCTCGGCGATCCGCAGAATCAGTGTGATGGACCACGACCGTCCCGTGCGTCTTGCGGACATTCTAGCACAGATGTGGAATGCCGGCACCCCGGAGGGACCGGCGGGCGAGGATGCTCTGCAGCTGAAAGTGCGTTGCCGGATGAGTATGAGCCATGTTTACGATACCGTTTGGCGTTGGCGCCAGCGATTCCGCCCGATGAAGAGCATCGAGGATCCGCAAGGTATGTCTAGCGATGCCGGGGGTTCATTCAATCACTAACTTGTGTAGCTACCATTGCGAACCCCAGTCTCTCGGCGGCGGCCGGCCCCATGACGCGACCAGAGGAGTCGCTGGCCGATCCCGGGTTGATCTACCCGCCAAACTTCGACCAAGGGGCATTCATCAGCGAGGCGGGGTTCTCGGAGGTGTTTGATTCGCTCAACTGGGTGTTTGACGGGATTCCCGACACGTTTGTGGCGCCTCCGGTCATGTAGGCTCGTCACGCATTGCATCTCGGCGCCGGGGGGTTCTGGTTCATGCGATTGTTGAAGTGTACCCTTGTGGATACCTTGTACTCTGTTTTGTACATATGTTGATGCCATGACGATCACTAGATACCATTGCGTGAATAGCCGTTGACGATTACCAGATCCCTGAAATTCCTTAAAGATCAGTCCCACGCGAACGACCACGGGCGGACCTTCGTCGGGATGCCCACTTGTCCGTCCGTCAGGGTCCTTACCAATCAATCCCCACCCGGTTAGAAATCCGGAGATATTTCGGCTCTATTACTCAAAAGTGAGGCCCCTAGATACATAGTATATAGATCTCCCACCAGTCCCACTTCCAATTAGATCCCAATTCCCATCCCTCTCGTGCTCAATACCAGTACTGAACTACCACCATGGCCTCCACCGAAATCAACATCGTCGCTCTGGTCTACCCCCAGCCCGACAAGCTCGAGGAGGTATAACCCCTACCCCCACCACTCAACAATGATACTTCATTTGCAGAGGATGAATTGAGGTACGGAGTATTGATGATTAAATATTTAGCTCTCCGCCCTCCTCGCCACCCTAACCCAGCAAGTCCACGCCCACGAGCCCGACACCTTGGTGTATTACTCCTTTGCCAATAAGGAAGGGACGGTGATTAGTGTGGTTGAGAGGTATTTCCCCCATCCATTTCTATATGTCAATCAATCCATCAACCTATCGATCTACTTCAATACAAGGAAATGCATATACTAAAACTCAATGGGTGAAATAGATACCGCAACCAAGCCGCCTTCGAGAAACACAGCCAAAGTACATATTTCAAGGAATTTGTGGAAAAGGGCAAGGGGTTAATGGCCAAGCCGTTTGATCTGGTGGTTGGGGGAGATGTGGTGGGGGGGTCGGTTTCGGTGGTGAGAACGTGATTTCATTGTCTTATTACTTCTATCTAGTTGTGTGTATAGTATGTGGAGTCATTGTGGTTAGGAGTATGTATAGAGTTATGATCGGGAAATTTGATAGTGTGACGGGTACGCAGTACGTACTCGGTACCCATGTTTAAATTGACTTTGGATGGTGGTAGTAGGACAAAGATGGATGCTGATGGATGGCCAGGAAGTGAACGCCGAACGGATGAGAAACGGAGTTAAGGAAGGAACCTTGTCTTGGTCGCGGATGGATCAGATCCGATCCGATCCACCAGTAGTATAAGTAGTAAAGTACTGCATCCAGATGGAGTACTGTGCAGGGTGTAGAGGATTCCGTAAATAGTACGGAATACTCTGTAGATAAATACTTACTAGGTAGGTAGCAAGTACCATGCCACGCGCCATGGATCCGAATGGGCTTGCAGATAGCGAGCCTTGGAAGCTCGACGGCCATTCGATCGGAACGGACACCGGGCCATATGTATCATGTACCATCATGTCGGCGGTGGGAGGTACATCTGTACGACTATGTATGTAGTAAGTGCCTGCTAGCCGCTAGTGCATCTGGATCTAATATTAGGGGTTTTGGGTTTGGGTTTGGTGGCGGTCAGACACTACTGCATGGGCCTGGGAGCCTGGAGGCGAGCGAGGTTCATGATTCATGGATGGCAGGATGGCTGGACTGAGGGACGGATGGGTCCGTGGGTGCGATGGGGAAGAGTGACATTCGACCGTCGTATCCTCACCACTCGATAGAAGGAGAATGGGAGTCATCTCCCATGATGGGGGTAATGGATCGTCCAGCATGGCACATGGCCATCCGGGGCAGAGAATTCCAGATTCCTCCCATGTTTGATGTTCTCTGATCAAATTCCCAGTTTCTCTCTGCCCCCCCTGAACCAGCGCGCATCCAAGCGCCGTCCCTTGGCTCCAGTGGTCGATCCAACCCGGGGAGAGAAGAGCTACTGGGGACACTGTAGGGTCTGGAGGGTCGTCAAAGGAATTGGTGGAAAGCGTAATGACCACACTGTACACACTAGAGAGAAGGTTGGCTGGAGAGAGTGGAATTAGGGAAGAAAGTGGTGGCAGGCAAGGCAGCCAGCCATGAATTAGATAGAAAGCAGCGCGAAAGAGTGGACAACGGCGGCCGGGCTAAGAATCCCCATCACTAAGTCAGTCTACTAGTAACAGGATCAGTCAATCCACTCATCCATCCATCCATCCATCCCTCCCTCGCTCTCGTCCTTTGGCGCTTCCAGTGATATCCCTTTCCCCCCCCATTGATTCGGTAGTATTATTGGTGACTGGCCGTGCTACCTGTCCAGTGGCTATCTCCCTAGCTGATCGTCTATCTTGCTTTGCCAGGTGAGCTATCCAGTGCCCCATCCACTTCTTGCTGCGCTGCTGCTGCTGCTGCTGCTGCTGCTGCTGAGCTTCCCGTCACCGTTCGGCCCCCCTCTTCTGCTCTGCTTTGCTGCTACTGCTGCTGCGTCTGCTGCTGCATCTCTTCCTTCCCTGCCAGGCTGCCAGTCTCCATCCACTAAGCCTGCCTCGAACCCATCCATTGATTGATCCATAACCTCTTCTTTTCCCCTCCTCACTCACCTCATCCGCTCATCTTCTCGCCATTCACTTCCATTGTCTCCCCTAGTCCACTGCGTTCTCCTGCTGCTTTCCTTGTCGGTCCCTGCTTGACATTATTTTCGTTGTCCATATTCTTCTGTGCCAATCGCCGCCTGGGTTGCGAATTCTCCTGACCGGTTCAGCCTTTAGCCTGGGTGCCTTTGCAGATACCCGCTCTCTACTAGTTGTCCCTCCGCCCGTCGAAGCCACTATTCACTACCCCCCGTCGCTCTAGCTCCGCTCCATCGATTTTATCCTCCTCGTCTGCTGGCTGTCCTTGCTCCAATTGTATCCATATCGAGTGTTCTTGCCCCGAACTTTGCGTCACCATGGCCACCGGTCCTGCGACTCAATCTCTCAAGGTCAGCACCACTTGCTTATCCGTCCGTCGGACTGCGGCTAACGGGCGCTTGTGCACAGTGTGTGGTGACGGGTGATGGTGCGGTTGGAAAAGTACGTCGCTCGTGGAGCATTCTCCTGATCGGTCAACTGGGGGATCGATTGCTAACCCGACGGTAGACATGTCTCCTGATTTCGTACACAACCAACGCTTTCCCCGGGGAATACATTCCCACCGTGTCCGTGCCCCGTCCCTCCTCTGAAACGAACCGTTGTTGACCCCCCTCCTCAGATTCGACAACTACACCGCTAGTGTGATGGTAGATGGCCGACCGATTAGCTTGGGACTCTGGGATACTGCTGGACAGGAAGATTACGACCGTCTTCGCCCGTTGTCCTACCCGCAAACCGACGTCTTCTTGATCTGCTTCTCCATCGTCAGCCCGCCATCTTTCGACAACGTCAAAGCCAAGGTGATTCCCGACGCTGCTAGCAGTCATACGGTCAATGTGAACCGCTTACTGACGTGATGCAGTGGTTCCCGGAAATTGAACACCATGCTCCGAACGTCCCGATCATCCTGGTCGGCACTAAGCTCGATCTGCGAGACGACCGTGGCACCATAGATGCGCTCCGACAGCGAAAGATGGAACCCGTCTCCTACGAACAGGCTCTGGCCGTGGCCAAGGAAATCCGGGCACATAAGTACCTCGAATGCTCGGCCCTGACGCAGCGCAATCTCAAGAGCGTCTTCGACGAGGCGATTCGGTATGTCATCGGCTTGATATTGCTGGACCCAGACTGACCATCTAGTGCCGTGCTCAATCCCCGGCCTGCGGCCAAACCGAAGAACAAGAAATGCGTGATTCTGTAGATCGACCTCGGCCTGTCCGACTCATAATATAAACCACTAATACGGCGTCTGGGTTTCGGGGCGGTCCGCCCCCTCTGATGATTTTGCTCGTGTCCCGTTCCCTGTTTTGGTCCATGATCCTGATGTTGTTCTCTATTTTCTTCGGGTTCAGGATAACCTTCCTCTCCTTTTCTCCCTCCCTTTAATGCAGTATAAAGATGTAACATGCCATACAATACCACTCAATGAACGTCACTTACGGGCGGTGGGCTTCAAGGCGGAGTAGGGTTTCTACACGGGGACGGTGAGGCACGCGCTGCATCATCCGGATCTATATTCCTGACTCATCCAAGTATACACATCAGAACAAGAGAACGGAAAGGTATCTCTGAAGCACAAAGCACATATACTTTTATAACCCACGGCCAATCTAGGCCATCCGATTCCGGCGACTGGGGTGCACGCCGGCAAAGTCATCCTGGCCGGTCTCCTCGGTCTGTTCGTGTCTCGCCTTCTCCTTCTGGATCTCCTTGGCATTGCGCTGTCTCTCCTCGAAGAGCTTCTTGTTCTTCGCTTCGATCTTGGCTGTCCGGTGCTCGGACTTGCCACCGCCGCCGGCCCTAGAAAGGTCAGTCAGTCGCTTGCTTGGAGGGTGGCCATGTGGACTTACGTCAATTCCACGTTGATTCTCCGAGGAGGGTACTTCTTGTCGTCGAACATGGAGTGGTGGTAGAGCTTCAGGCAGGTCTTCATGCGATCGTAGTTGTCGAACTCGATGAACCCGAACCCACGGCACTTGGTGGGCTTGTCTATTTGCGTGGCCACCCGGACCGAGACGGGGGCGATCTTCTCGAAGTGCTTGGTCAGGGATTCGCGGTCGGCGGAGTAGGGAAGGTTGCCTGAGGATATTAGCATGACACGCATACCGGTGTATCTTGATACATACCAACGAAGCAGATAAACCGGGCATTCTTCTTGGATTGTTGAGCTTCTTCCTGGACGGGCTCTTCCGCGGCGGGGGTATCAGTCGGTTGAGTCTCGGTCTTCTGCTCCTTCTTGGACTTCTTCTCCTTCTTCGACTTCTTGTCCTTCTTGTCCTTTCTCTCCTCCTTGGCTACCTCGGCCTCGGGCTCGGGCTTCTGGTTCTCCTTTTCGGCGGGGGTCTCGTCCACCTCCATGGCCTCGGGCTCGGTCTCGGGCTTCTCCTCGGAGTCGTCTGTTGATTTGGACTTTTCCTTCTTGTCTTTCTTTTCCTTTTTCTCCTTCTTGTCCTTCTTTTCCTTCTTCTCTTCCTTGTCCTTTTTCTCCTTCTTCTCCTCCTTGTCCTTCTTTTCTTTCTTCTCCTTCTTTTCCTTCTTCTCACCCTTCTCCTCCACCGGCACCTCCTCGACGACCTCCTTCGCCTTGCGCTTCTCCTTCTTCTCCTTCTTGTCGTCGCGCTTGGCTTTCTTCACCTCGGGGATGGTGGCCTCCTCTGCGAGCTTGCGCTTCTTGTCGCCCATGATGAATTGATGGATTGATGCAGCGAATTAAAAAAAAGAAATCAAAAGACTTGAGGGTATCAATGCAGAAAATGCGCCGGGGAGAGATCGCAAGAGGGCCGAGTGATCGGCGGCATTGGAAATTTGCTTTTTTTGCCGGGCGGAGAGATCTGGCGGTGAGGGGTGGAGTCGGTGATGTTTCAGGCATCGTGATGTTCAGGCAGGAGTAAGGCAGACAATTCAGGCAGTAACTTGCTGCCTCAGGTATGAATTTAGTGAGTAGGGCTTGGATCGTTGGGTGATAGTCGGATGGATTCACATAATTGGTGAAGAATACTGTGGACTATTCATTAATACTGCCATCCTTGGATCACTGTCGCTAGTAATCTTGTCTGGATTCACCCAGATAAGGGTATATATAGCATGCTGCTCCCTGTCCACACATCCTCTTCCTTTCTCTTCCCATCCCCATATCAAGAAACAAGTCTGCCATATACCTCGAGATAGATATTCAGCAGTCCCATCTCTTAGGGCACAGTACATATCTTTACCATATACACCTGAGACAGTCGACATTCTCAATACCATAAAATCTCAAGGACTCAATCCATCAAACCGTGGTACCGCATTCATTGCCTATACTACCACCACTTGAACAACAATCCTCTACTTAGGGCTTGACACCTGCTGGTCAAACACACTATATTTGTACCACTCAGCACTTAAAACAACAAAGATATACCACCTGCAAAGAACTTTCCCGGGAATCCACCCCGGGATTGGCATATTATATCTTCAATAACTGCCATATCCACTCATTCTGTGTCTATGTCTCATGGGAAATCTACTCATTCTGTGCCTTATGGCACGTCCATCCGTTGTGTCTTCCATGAGATATCTATTGTGGTCCCTCGAGACACCTTCCCTCGTTTGTATCGCTGTCCTTCGGACATTTCTTGTCCTGTGGTGGTTCCTAGGCTGGTCTTGGTTTGCCCTGTGGTAATTTATCCTGGTCGGTACGATAACGACGGGGAAATTAGGCTGGGACTCTATCCATACAGTGCGAGTTTATTCATATCGCTCAAGCCGTCAGTTAAATGGGGTTGCTATAGGAATGGCCATATGGCCAGAAAAGTGTCCAAAACATACATATCCTCTTTGATTAGCGTACAGAGTAAGTACGGCGGTATATTATTTGCAGAAATGCCTTGCACGAAAAAAAAAACATTCCGGGGAAGAGCATATAATCAGCACGGTATTGGTCAATAAGACAGAAGAGGACCTGATAACCTGAGCTGTTTGCACAAGGCTGGGCAAGACCCGTGCCTAGAGCTTAGGGAGATGAAGAAGACTTTTGGCAATGTCTATACCATATGGATTCATATTTATGATATGGAAGTCAAGCGATAATTGAGTGTGGGTGGTTAATATACTGTGGCTAAGTCATGAATAGCGAATTAACAGCTAGCGGATGGTCTTTGACTTGTCTTCTTCGAGTTCCCCAAGACAATCAGTACTTCATGCCCCAAGTGATGATTCCCTGGTTGATCGGTGGCAGGATAACAAGCACGGCCGGTATAGATGGTCGGAATGGTCAAGGCCCATTGAAAAGCCTGAGAATCTACAAGTTTTTGGTCAGGGACGTATGTGGATTGATGATACACAGAACTTCAAGGAATCGTTTGAAGGCTGCTGTACGAGGGTCACTTATAAGGCTCACAATATCAGAAACATGGAACAGAGGCGTTGAATTTGTTGATCGAAGTTAAGCTTCTCGTCTCAAATAGCGTCCTGTTCATCCCATCATAGGGATTGTTGTTAACTGAACACCGCCGGGTGACTAGCTCTATACGCCCGAGATATACTCCTGATATCATCGATTCTTGAAATAGGCCCTGGCTCAACCAAAGCTCCGCCCTGCATGATATATTTTTCACGGGGATATAAAAGACTCAGAGATCTGCTGCACAAGCACTAACAAAAATATACAACTATCGGTGACTTCGCACGAACACGGCTATCTGCGTTTGCATATGGCTTGCAGATATGTGGGGGATTAGCTCTCCAGAATGAGTACTTCACAGGAAGTTGGGGCGTGGTTGTCTTTCTCAGGGAGGTTTGGGAAAGTCTGGGTTGTTCGAATTCAACATGAGGATCAAGTGGGGTGTTTTGTATACCAATCCACTCCCGCTGGGTTGTATGTGATGAGGGACATGCTAGCAAAGTCAGTGCAAAAGTCATTGATATGACAAAGGATACCCCTAATGCAACAGGACTATATGTGCAGAGCAGGAAGTTCTGTTACTGACCAGAATGAATGATGCAATGTGTATCAACGCATCGTGCGGATCATGCTGGGATCAGCTAGAGATCTATAAAGGTGGCTAAAAAGGCACTTTGCCCGGTCAAGGGAACTTGTACACCAGCCCCAACCTGGGCGCTTACTGCGCTGGCACACAAAAAGGATTACGTTTGCAACTAATTGGAAGTACTCGCAGGATTGGCAAGGACATACACCCGCCGAAAAGGAAAAGATTTATTATCTTGAAATTGACAGCGAGGGACAAGGACGTTGCAAGACATATTGAGACTAAACCAATGTATGAGGTGATGGTACCGGACAGACAGGACTATTCAAGCGTATCAAAATTTCGCTGGCATATGGACAAGCTGCGCAAGCTTAGTAGTCTGGGTCTTCCTGGCTCGGATTCATCATGTCAGTATACCAGTCAGCGGTATCGAGTGCGGCACTTTTTATCTGGACTGCGAGAAGTTCTATATTGAAGCTCAGACGGAATTTGGATTTTTTATTGATTGCAAGAAGGCAACGGTATTGCTAGCTTTGACATTTCTGGTCTATCAGTTGTCACTAAAGCGTCATCAGATCCTTGTGTGTTGTGGTGCCTTAAGGGGAATATTGAGGATTGAGGCAACCTATCATCTTGCATAGCCTCTGTTTCCTGTGCTTAAGATCTTATTACGAACAGACGCATCACAGGCTCCTTGTACTGTCCTCTTCCGTCGATGTTAGGATCTTGTCCACAATTACAAAAGAGGTATGGCAGATGAGTTGTTCCGGAGATTCCAAAGAACACTGGGCCAAGGCACACCTGGCGGTATAGCAGCCGGCCGTTCTCTTACGGGACAATTCCCAATACTAGCCAAATACTTGTTATATCAGAGTCCCTGTGGTCACCGAAGACCTTGCTCAAAAGCAATATGCCGGAAGATGACACTAATGTCAATAACCACTGTAATAGTTGAAGAGAAGTGCTCCAGCACTCATATAACCCCAGCCAAGTGGTCAAATGGTGCGATCCTTAAACCAGATTACCGAACCTGGGGCAAACGGAACCTGGTTGACTGCTGCGATCAACGGGGTTGCTGGATGGTCTGGCCCATATGTGTTGGCCGAGTTACATCTTTTCGCCCGGGACTTGGTAGATTGGTCCTCAGAGTGAGGTACATGTCGCAGGGATCGCACGTTATGCTGGTGCTCTCGATGTCCAAACAAGCAATTTTGTCTGCGTCGAGGCCAAGAAGGAATCGAAGCTTCGCTATCAGAAGATACTTTGTATGTATCTCTGGTGGACTGATCCCTTTGAAGAACCTTCTCAGAATATGTCAAGATCCACTTAGGCCAAAAAGAAATATATCCCTTCTTAGCCTCGGGCGTCGAAGGTAGAAATAGCATGTCTCAACAGAATATATTGGTGGTCACGGTGGCCAACAGACTTCGATCAATGCAGAAAGAGCAAACCAGAGCAGGTAAAAAAGGGCCTAGGGTTTCAATATCCCACCAGAAGAACAAATAGCATCCTGTGCGCGGGTGACTGGCTTAACGACCAACATTCGACAGGAACGTTGCTCTACATATGCTTCCCATCACAAGTGGTGGTTCTTTGTATAGAATGAGACTGTGGGGTGGATATAATTCCGATAGAGACAAGAATTCGAATTTACATAGCAGATGTCCAATCTTCATATAAAGTTCTTCTCTCCGTAGATCGCGGACCTGTGAATCCTGCTACGCGGTTAGTTTTGACCCTTAAGAAGTCACCACGTTCTGCGAGACTACTGGGGCGAAAGGCCAATCCTGCAGATGCAATGATTTGGCTGTGTGTCGCTAATTGCCTGACAAGAAATTGACCTGAAAGAGTACCATTCCAGAAGCCGCAAGAAGGCTTGTCCTAAGAAGAACAAGAACGTCACGATTCTTTGAGCTCCAGTGAAATGCCTCTGCTTCCAGTGACGCAGCCCTAATCTGCCGGTTCGGATTGACTTTGGAGTGATTCGCCGGTGCAGAGAAGCCTGACATAGCAAAAAGCGGGCTAAATCTCCCTCAACGAGATAGCTATAATGTACGGCCCTATCCGTCTCGTTGCACTCTTCAAGTCATTCCAGGAACTTTTGTGATTCTCTACAATGAACGCCATCGGCGGTGGAGCTGACCACAGCCCTTCCCAGGTGTCTTTTCCGCACAGCAGCAGCTGCGTGCCAGTAGCCTGGACAGCTACACTCGGCTGCTTTTACAATACCTATTCATTGATTGCTCGCGGGAGATACATACAGCGTACAAACAACCGCTCTTCAGCAGATTAGAGGTCCTTGTCTTTCTATCTCTTGTGAGTACACGGGACGTTTGCTGGTGTTTGGATAGATGATCTCTCTATCTCTTTCATTAGTCTGAATATGAATTTTTCCAAAAGCCTGATCGAAGAGTGCCAAGAACAATATCTTGAGGATACCCAGGAAAAGCACCACGAAGGAAAGTGGAAGAAAGCTAGATCTATCTGATCCATCTGTATAGTCATTATGGATGCACGGGTAAAGGACGATATTCTAGGAGATATAAACGAGTTCCTTAACTAAGATATACATGCAGAGTCGATCTTGTTCTGTCCTGAATATAGAATGGTCCTGACTGGCTGGGTTGGATACTAGCAATCTTTATGTGCTACTGGCTGGTTCCTGGCATGCCGTTGTAGTAGTAGACTTCTGCCAATGACCCGCGGACTTCATCCTTTGATGCGGTCTTTGTATCGAATGACTGTCGCTTTGTCCAGGATTACCTCCACTCCGAGGAGACAGGTTCTTTGTGGCCCGAGAATGGCCTTGTCCGCAGCCTTTGATAACTCAGAGCCTTCAACGCTTTGTCTGACGTTCTCAATATGTCCTATATGCTCCCGGACCTATATAGGTCCTATAGTCTCATGGCGCGATGTACATCTGTACCCTCGCTAGCTTATTGAAAATACTCAGCATTGCATCTACCATGTCTATCCATCCGCATCGGCTCCTCCCCGAGCCATTCTATAGAATCGTGGAAGACCTCGATGAAGTCGACCTGCGCTCTCTGCGATTGATCTCCAGGGAGGCCATTTAACGAGGTCGTAGGAGACCATTCTAGCGTCATAGACTCTGTGTCCGACTCGGCCCCTCGAAGGGACTCGATACGCTCCCATTCGAGCTTCTCGGCATGGTGATCGCCTGGAGGACAGAAACGTGATCTCCCTTCGACAAATGTCAAGACGGATCGCGAGCGCAACCTTCAAGCGCAGTCGACCTATCTTTGCTCGCTGTCTGCGCACACTTCGGACTGACCTGTCGGACTCCAGCATCACTAAGATCAAAACCATCGCCTCAACCTCAGACCTCAAAGACATCCCCCAAGCCCTGCAAATCGCGCCCCCATTTGGACCCCTCTCCGGCATCGACCGCTCCATTCTCTTTGACATGATCGAATCCCCCACCAGCATCCCCACCATCAACAACCTCAAGGAATACCTGCAAGCGCTCCCCAACTGCACCAACTTCGAGATCTGCCTGAACGACAACGACAACGACAACGACAACCTCTCCACCGACGACGTCGTCCGCATCCTATTCCACCTCTTCGTCGAAGCTGGCCGTCACCCCAAGCAACTAACCCTCTACTCGCAGTGCCCTTCTCCCCCCGAGACCACCCCCCATGACATCCGCCAGTATCACCGCATCGAAGCGCACCCGGATCTCTCCCACGCCTGGACCAACCTCCACACTCTCACCATCAGCGAGCCCTACACCGAATACCTCTACTCATCCCTCGACTTCATCTTCCCCCGAATCCTCCATCACGCGCACCATCTCCAGCGCCTCGTCATCATCGGGAACGCTGAGAGCGGCGACTCCGTTAGATTTCTAGAGGCACTCAACAAGGCCACGCCCATATTCGGACCGAAGCATATAGAGATTCGAAACTTTCATTTCCGGGATACGGGCTTTCAGGACTGGGTGAAGGAGAACGGACATAAATTGATCTCGTTGGCTTTTTCTGAAGTGCTCGATGGAATCGGGGCATAATTGGGATGATATGATGCTGTATGTGCTGGCGTATTGTACGGTGTTGGAGTCGGTTACTCTTGATAAGATCTGGGATTTGTCTTGTCAGAGACAATTTAGTCATGCGTTTTCGGGTCCGGAGATCGGGGGTGAGTTGGAGTGGTTGAGGACGAGGTTGAGGGAGTGGGATCCTGCGCCGATGGCGCCGTTGGAGATTGATTGAGTAGGGAGTTGTTTGGCGGATGGCTGGCCTTCGTGACATTGCCGTATATGTTTGTGTTGTAGTATATAGTCTGGTTCGAGAACTAGTTATAATACCAGTCGACTGCATACTGACCCGTTACGCGTAATTGGCAATCCTTGAAGTGACTAAATACTTTTATTCTATGAGCAACCCGTAATGTATACAATAGATAAACGATACCAGCCGTTTATAACGCCCCCAGACAATCGCTTAAAAGACCAAGATCTGAATCTTCTTCTCCGTCGCGCCGTACCGCTCCCGGAATTCAGGCCGGGTCAGCAGCTGCAGCAACGGGAGATGCGTCTCCTTCATGTCGAAGATGCCTCGTTGCTTCTGGTCCACGTGGGATCCGTCGATGACGATGCGCTCGAGTTCACCCAGTTTGAGGGAGCCTATCATGGTTAGTTTTTCTTCAAGGCGAAGGGGCTACTGACATACCCGCGTCAATTAGGTCAGAGATACGAGCAGGAGTGCCGGCTCCGATACCCGTGCTGTTGTCGTTAGTGATGCCTCTGAGCAATGATCTATGGCAGGTACATACCGTGCGCGCTCCAGGAACTGCTTGGCCTCCTCCAATTTGATGTGCTTGGCGAATAGCTTGCCGACAATGGACTCCTTGTTCTGGAATGACCGGAGGGCTCTGCAGACAATATTAGCACTTCTCTGTGCGCACAACGCATCGACTTACCTGACGACGTCGGCCGCTCTGAGCCCAGATCCAGAGACTACCAGTGTATGCGGGGTACCCTTCTCCTCTGATGCCTTGGCCAGTCCGGCTCCCTTATTCGGACTGAACGCCTTCAAGAACGCAGGCAGCTGCTCCAAGTTTCTAGTCTGTTCGAACGACGATGTATCGAGGAAGGCGGAGTCTGTTCCGTCAGTATGAATCTCATGCACGGGCAATTGACATACCTGGAACCGACAGATCGCTCAACTCCACCGCACTCAGCTCCTTGTTATGCCGCTTGGCCTTTTGCGCAAAGTGATCGGCGAACAACCGGCCGTCCATCTTTCCAATCGCCTCATCAAGTCCGCCCTTGGTCTCGGTGGCCTTGGTATCGGTAAGCTTGGCGGGCTTCGCATCCCCCTTGTCCTTGTTGTTCTTCTTGCCCTTGCTCTTTCTATCCTTGCCGTTCTTGTTGTCCTTGCGCTTCTTGTTCGGGGCCTCGCCAGTGCCAGCCGGCTTTGCGTCGCTCGGCTTGGAGTCCTCGGCCTGTCGCTTGCGCTTCTTGTCCACCTTGGCCGCGAGGGCAGAGGGCTTGGGGGTTCCGTCAGACATGTTCGATTCGAAGCAGCTCCGGCAATTCGCGACACAGATATCTCAATGGTCTGGGTGTCATTGTCGTCGTCGGCGTCGATGTTGTCGCGCAACTTTTTATGCTGAGTCAGCCTTATCGATAAGCAGCACCAATCAGGCCGGGATCCACTGGTGTCGCTGACCGCCTGCCGTTCTCAGCCGGTGCTGCCCGGCCGATGCACGACGCGCGACGCACCCCTCTTCATCATACCCTGCTGTTGGTATCATGGACTGTTGTCGTGGGTGCTAATCGCGGTATTATCACTGTGCATATAGCCAATTGATGTTCAATTGCACTAGCATAGCATGGCGACCACTCCGAACCCGCGTCGCCGGTCACCGCGAGTGTCCGATGGCTCGGAAGCATTTACCCCAGTAGGGGACACCACCCTCACAGGAGTAAGCTGATTCTCTGATTCAACGGTATGTACTCACTGGAACAGCTGCAGCGACTTCCCGGACATACGCGATATCCCCTTACACCCAGCCGGTTTGCAACCAACACGCCTTCAGCGAACCGACGGACCCCGCGGAACAGGGGCGGCGCGCCATCCACGCCGTATCGGGTGCAGGCGATGCAGCGACGCGCGGCGAACACTCCGGGACGCGATCGTAGACGCAGCGGGCGAGTCCAGCGGGAGACTACGTTCGATATTCTCCGGAACTTGGGAAAAGGTGCGGACGATTGCAGCGATTCAATCATTTGCTAATACCCTGCAGCCCTTGCTCCGACAACTGAACCAATCCGATCATCGCCGCAGGAGAAACCGGAACCCGAGAATGAGCCGGAGGTGGTGCGGGATGAGATTGAGGAGCTAGACAATGAACCCGAGATTGAGCGGCCGCGTTTGTCCCTGCCGCTGGATGAGGTAGATGAGGTGGATGAAGAGCCGGAGATGCGTCCGCCCCGGCTGTCGCTTGCGTTCGAAGAAGAGGACCTCACACATACCTCGATCGAGTATCCTCGACGAGCTACTAGTGAACATGACCGGGGAAGGCTATCAATGATGGGTGTTGGTGGCCCTCGGATGAGTGAGATTGGGGCTGCGACTAGAATTGAGAGCGAGAGTGAAGATGAAGATGACACGGGGATTGTGGATGATAATGAAGGAGGGGAGGATACGGTTATCAGTCAAGGCGATTTTGACGGAGGGTGAGTTCTGTCTTATGTGGATAAGTGCACAGCTAACATGTACAGGGGCGAGACGGAGGACCTCGGGCGGTTCAACTTTGAGTTCAATTTCCCAACTCCACCCCCTCCGGGTGAGGACTTGGACCAGGATGAGCCCCTTCACGATGATGAAGGGTTCGAGCTTCCGGTGGACATGCCGCTAGATGCAGAGGCGGGGCCCGATGATGCGAGCATATCCATCGCTGCCGACGACTTTGGCATGCAATCCCCGCTACCTCAACCGGTGGCGATGAGTGAAAGCCAGAGCCCAGGGATTGCCGGGGGAGGTCTGCGAGACGAGGACCGGTTCATGCCCGGCCCCAAGCAAAAGAAGCTTTCCCGACATGGCATCCCGGTGCCCAACCTCCCCGTCGGGGTCGTGAAGAAGCTGGCCATCCGGTTTGCGCGGGCGCGAAACGGGTCCAAGGCCAAGATCAGCAAGGAAACATTAGCCGCAATTGAGCAGGCCTCATCATGGTACTTTGAACAGGCCAGTGAGGACCTGGCGGCGTATTCCAAGCACGCGGGGCGCAAGACCATCGACGAGAGTGATGTTGCGACCTTGATGCGGAGGTGAGTCGGTTGCTCCCCTTCTACAAACACTACTAATTATTCAGACAACGGCATGTCAACAACGCGACGACGATCTTCTCGCTCGCCCAGAAGCATTTGCCCAAGGAGCTGTTGCAGGACATGAGATTGGCGATGCCACCATGATATACATATACACGATTCTATAGATACAAGCCGACGCCACCACGACCCTACCAGTTCCGGTTCTGGCGCACCCGCCGGGTGGCCTCGTTGGGACGTTTACGGATGATCATCCACAGCATGATGGAGGTTGCCAGCGACAAGCCGTACCTGGGGAATCAGCGGGGTCCACACACAAGCAGGGAAGAGGAACCTACCACGTAAAGATATACTGGCTGTGGTTATTCTTGAGGTTGACTTCCGCGGCACGGCCGATAGGGATACCCTTGGCCTCGCGATCATAAGCCTCGACGAGATCCTGTACTATCAACCAGTTAGCCCCAACGCCCCATAGAAGCACAGCAATCCAATCCACATACCCATCGTCTCCTCAATCCAAACGGCCTGACTCCCCGTCAAATCCGCCATCTGCTCAATATCGGGAAAATAAAACTTCCCCTCCTCAGGCTTATTCTCGGGCGTAAACATATTCTTCTTCCACGGCTCCCTCAACAACCCCTCCACCACCACCTCCCCCCCTGCACACGCCCCCACCCCCCGATCCCTCTGCTCCTTCATCTTCCGTGAAATCCACCCCCGATTCACCAAAATCGTACTCTCCCCCTCCCCTCTCTCCAATGGCGTCACCACAAAAAACCCATCCTGCCCATCTCGCATCCGCGGCCCCACTAACATTTCCTGATCGTGCCGGAACGTGCCTGTCGCTGTGACCCGTCGGTAATCGAATTCGGGGACCACGGACGGGTCGATTTGGGGCGGGAGTGGGAGGGGGGGTTTCACGAGTCGGTCTTCGTATTTGGCGATGAGGTTCGTTTTCCATTCTAGGCGTTGGATTTGCCAGGTGCCCAGGGCGAAGGAGATTATTGGTATTAATGCTGAGTTCTTGGTGAGTATGGATGTGGATTGGTATAAGGGAAGGGGGGAATACCGAGAATAATCAACCCCGGGCCATGTTTCCGGCCCGTACGAACCACCTGGGCTGGATGGTCGACAACCGATAACCATCGCTGGTCATCGGAGAATTGGTTGTTGTTGTAGAAGCGGAGTTGTTGTTGGCGGCGGAGGAGACAGCGCGTGCAGATGTCGGGTTTGGAGCCGCGGAGAATAAAGGAGGTTGTGGGTCGCCAGGCCGGGATGCTTGTCGTGGTGGTTGTCCGGCTCAGGACGGAGAGGAGAGACCGCATGATTGCTTCCTTTCTCCCCTGTTGGTGTGGATTGCGGGCGCAATTGAGTAGGGTAGTGGTGGTGGTGGTGGTGGTGGAAGAGATCGAGGAGAGAAAGGCGGAGGAGTTCGGGACGGCGGATTTGGCGCCGATTGCCTTATCGATAGCTTCGGGGCGGCGCTGCGACTGACTACTTGGCTACATACTCGGTCCTCGGTACAGAGGAAGCTGCATCAAGATGTTCTACGAAGGTAGTTTGCAGGATGGCATTGCGGCTGCGGTGGCGGAGGGGAAAGCTGTGGTTTGTTTTGTGAGAGGTTAGTTCCTATCTCTGTGTGTCTACCGATGATGGGATGGAGCTGGCTACTCCGCATGCTAAGACGTCGCAGATGATGAGCAGACGAGTACACAATGGGAGGAGGAGTATTTTACGTTCGATGAAGAGGTATGTCTCATCTTGAATTATACTATACTATCATCCGGCCATGCCAATGTAACCCAGTTCTCCCGACTCCTCGACACAAGAGCGGTCCTCTTGCGCCTCACCCAGGGCACCCCCGAAGCGGGCTTCCTGGCCTCCTTTTGTCCTATCGTCAAGTTTCCTACTGTCGTCATGATAAAGTATGTCTGATGATATATTTGTTGGGCCTCGTTGACCGTTGTAGGAATGGCATGCTGTGCGATTATCTGGTCCCGGACTTGTCCAAGGAGGACTTTCGGGATCGGTTGGCGGCGAAGCTGGATGAGAGTCGCGTGGCGGTTCAGCAGGGTCAGGGTGCTGAGGCTACGCCTGCGGATGATACGATAGTGACGACGGATGAGACTGTGTCTGCACCTGTCGCTCCGGTCCCTGCTCCTGCGCCTGTTTCTGCTCCCGCGCCTGTATCCTCGCCTCCTGCACCTACCTCCCCCGTTGCAGCGCCAGCTCCATCTCAGCCGGAGCCAGCCTTTACGCCGACTGAACCACCCTCTACTACAACCGAGCCAGAACCCCGAGACGCAAGCATCCGCGAAGGCAAGCGACGAGTCGAGGACGCGCGAACCCTACAACCCCAATCACCCCCGACCAAGAAACTACAACAGCAGAAGCAGACCCCCAAACCCGCACCCACCAAACAAGAACCCAAACCCAACCCCAAAGCGAACCCCTCCACCCCCATCACCAACCCCCCATCTCCCCCCCGCCAACCCTCCCACCCCACGCAATACCGTCTCCAAGTCCGCCTCTTCGACGGCCGCTCCGTGCGATCCAGCTTCACCCCGACGCAAACCATCCGCGCCGACATCCGCCCCTGGCTCGACCACCAAATGGACGAAAAATCCCCCTACAACCTGAAACACATCCTCACGCCTCTCCCCAACCGCACCCTCACGCTCACCGACGAAGAAACCCCCCTCGCGGAACTGGGCCTCGGCTCGTCCGCCAACCTCGTCATGGTTCCGATTCAGTCCTACACGGAGGCGTACGCTGGTACGGCGGCGAGTTTGCCTGTCCGAGCAGTGTCCTCTGCTTATGGACTTGTTTCGTCGGCGGTGGGGACGGCGACGGGTCTGGTGGGTTCGTTCTTTGGGTATGGAGTGGCTCCGGCGGCTCAGGCTGCGGAACCGGTAGCGGCGGCGACTGCTCCGGGTGGTGATGCGAGGAGATTGCGCAGGGGACCAATGATTCGGACGTTGAGGGATCAGCAGAATGAGCGCGATGAGAGGGAGTTTTATAATGGGAATCAGGTATGTTGTTTTGTTCTGTTCTGTAGATGGGGATGGGTGATGCTAATGATTGTAGTTGAACTTTCAGCCGCGGAATGATGGGGACAGACGGTAGGATGCTTGCTGAGGATTTTGCTATGACAAAGGATTCTTGCTTGTACCAATCACTATTCCTATTGCTGCTGCGAGCGAAGCGTGATGTAACTACTGTCAGAATGTTCAGCGAATCATCTAGTCTTATCTTGGATGTTACTTAGCTCCTATCACAGTACAGAATGAAAGCAGAAGGAAGAGTGGAATGTTTTTTTCTATATCGTGTCCGCCATCTAACCAGATCCAGACCCAGATCGTAGCAACTAGATAAACCAAGGCAGCCACCCTGCCCAGTTGAAAAAAAAAAGTGGTATATGTTATACAAAAGTAATAGGAGTAATAAGATAATAGCAGGGCAGTCAGTCAGTAGTCGCCGCTATGCAAACAATATCACCGCCACTCGACCCGCAGTCGAGTAGATTCCCGTCCAGTCCAGTCCATAAGATCATTTCATCAATCCCATCTCATCCCCATCTCATCCCAGGCCCCAACTAAGTAGTCCAACCCACTTAGTAAGGCTTGGCAGCAGCCTGACAAGCTTTCTATACACACAATCCACATTAGCCAATCTCTTCACCATCCATACCACTTTCCCCCGGGGGATGGAACATACCAACTGATCCAAATACCAGCCACAAATGGTCAAATCGCCCTTATTCTCATCCATACACTTACGGAAGCTCTGGGCGTCGGTAGCGCAAGCCGGAGACTCCCAAGAGCTGTTGGTGGCGTTTCCAGCCCAGAGACCATTATCCATGGCTTGAGAGGGGGCGGGAGGAGCCGCCTGTTGGGCCTCGGCGGGGGCACTGCTGCCGCCGCCACCGCCGAAGAAGAGACCGCCGATGGCGTGGCCGATGGAGGAACCGACTGCGACACCACTATTTTCGAGTATTTGTGAGTTGGGGTTTGTTTGGGGAGGCGTGTTGGGAGAGGAAGGTAGGGTATGGCAACTCACGCAGCAGTCGAAGCCATCTGACCGAACAGACCAGGGCCCTGGCTCTGCTGAACCGGAGCAGCAGCAGGAGCAGCAGGAGCAGGAGGAGCCGCGGGGGCGTGCTGCTGGGGGTGAGCGGCCGTCGAGTGAGGCTGGTGCTGCTGCTGCTGGCCGTAGGCAGGGGCCGGTCTAGCGGGAGCGGCGGTAGGGCGGGTGGGGGCGCTGCGCGCGGGGGTAGGCGCGGGGGCGGCACCACGGCGTTGACGAGGCATGATGTTTTGTGTGTGTGTGTGTGTGTGTTGGTGGTTGGGGTGGAAGAGGGTGTGGGTTTTGGAGGCGTTAGTGGTTGAGGGATGGGGAGGTTTATATGGAAAAAGAACAAGCTCGAAGGTCGGGCGGAGAAGGTTCGAAAACTCCGATGGCCTGGCAATTCGGGGGATGCTGATTGGTGCCCTCGGGTGTTATGTCAGCTGCCGGTGTCCGGCGCTCAATTCGGGAGTTGCCCGGATTTAATGGTTGGTATTTCCGGTGAAGGTCTATTTATGGGTGTTTTATGTAGAAGCTGATGGATGGTATTGGATTGTATGGATTTCTAGCAGTGATGGTAATGCTATGTGGTGATGATCTTAGCTCCGCGCAATGACTCACGGCATCGATCGACAGGGCTGAGCGAACTCCCTCCGTCATACGGAGTGTTCAATGCCACTATTTGCGGTCAAATGACTCTTCATCGTAGGCCATGGAAGGCTCCGGTACCTACCGGCCTGTGTGTTGAGTAATCACTGTCTGTGTTGTTCCTCGACCTAGTTCAGGCCTTCTGTGATGGTGTATGCGCGATGCATCTTGAACTGTTGTGTAGTAATGTCGACAGACAGTAGCCACTGACTCCATAATGATCCACGAGCACTACTGTATGCCACATTCACCGGCCAGCCGGTCCACGACAACTGCTCAGTCCTCATTTCAACATCTTCGCCTTGCGCATTTCATCCTTTTTCTTTCGGCGTTCCTTCTTCCCCTCGCTATGCTCCTCCTTGCTGATCTTCTTCTTCTGCTTGTCCCGGCGCTTATTCCTCCTCTTCTGTTCCGAAGTATTGCCAGCAGGTTTGGCGGGTTTCGCGTCGTCGTCGTCCTCACCGGCCTCGGAATCGGAGTTGTCGGACTTCTGGGCAGAATCCGCCTTCTTCGCCAGTAGCGATGCCTTGAGCTGCGCGCGCGCTCTCTCCTTAGCCTCCTGCTCCTTGCGCTCCAGATCGAACTTGTCATTTCCAGCCTACCAATTAGCCACACTAACACCACCCCTCACGACAGATTATAAACTCACAAGACCATGCTTGATGAAGCGACTAGCCGCCTGCTTATCCAAAGTTAGAGTACGCTTTTCCGGCTCAGTTTCCAGCGCGGTAATCTTGGCAAAGTATTGCTTGACTCTAGTTAATTCTCGAAACACAGAGTGTTCCTTCGCATTAACGCCATGTAGACGCAAATAAGCTGTAGCCCTGTTAGTCTCATCCCTTCATTCCAAACACCACACATACAAAAAATCAACGATTCCAACGCATAAGTCACCAGGACGTGAAATTTCGCCTTATCCAGCACCGGAAGCTTCTTAGACGTCGCCACCACGGAGCTCTCCAAGATCGGCTTCAACGCCTCTTCAAGATCATCGATATTATCATCTAGCTGCTCAAGCAGCGGCAGTAGATCGGTAGCCTCCATCTTGCGGACTCTGGCGTGCAATGATAATGATGATGATGGATCAAGACTAGCCGGATAATGTCGATTTTTTATCTGCAGGCGGTCACGGATGCGGTGAGGACTTGCATGTTCGCCGCTTCCGATCTTATTTTCGGTCCAGACTTGTTTCCGATCTATATCTTCCTTGTTAGCTTGGAGGTTTGTTGTTGGACGGAACGTCTCGGTGTGGTTGCTACGTGTTTCCTCTTTTAATGAGACGTTAATACACGCACTTGAGAAGGTCTACGCGGTACGCATTGAACTCACATCGTCTGATCTACAATCCCGTCAAAGTGTCGTACATCCTGGGACGCCGTCCGCTGCGGCGGACTGGCATTTGCGAACTATGTCTTGTTTCAAGACGTAGTTCCCAGCGGACCCCAGCCGTCCGTTTCATGGCGACATGGATGCAGAACGCCGAAGAAGCGTCCAAAGACAGCGGCAAGCGTCGCTTGTCCGGACGCATACATATCCTGGGTGTTGGAAATGTAGGCACGTTTGTGGCCCATTCGCTCATGAGTCGTCCGTCGCCGCCGCCGGTTACGCTGCTATTGCATAATCCCGACTTGTATAGCTCGTGGTTGGCGAAGAAGAAGTGTTTGGCGTTGAATTCGAATGGGCTTGATGATATCAAGACGGGGTTTGATGTTAATGTCTTGGATGGCAGGTCGTGGCATTCATTTCCTTACTGGGATGAGAATGGGGAAGTTGTCGCGGAGACGGAGGATGTGGAAGAGTCGGTGGCAGAGTCGGTGGAAGATGATGATCGCATTGAATGCTTGGTTGTGAGTGTCAAGGCGCCGGTGACGGCCATGGCGTTGGAGTCAGTTAAGCATCGGTTGACGCCGGATTCTACGGTGTTACTCCTTCAGAATGGAATGGGAGTCGTTGATGAGGTCAATGAGAAGGTCTTCCCGGATCCGCAGAACCGGCCTAACTACATGTACGGAATCATCTCGCATGGGCTGGCGCGCAGAAAGGAACCGTTTCAGGTTGCTCATACCGGCATTGGCACGACTATCCTCGGACCAGCTCTATCTGCGAACTCTACGGGTGTGGTCAGTGAGAACAAGGACGACTGGGCCCCGAGTACCAAGTACCTCTTGCGGACATTGACCCTTACGCCGCCACTGGTTGCTGTCGCTGAGACTCCATCCTCCCTGATGCTGTACCAGCTCGAAAAGCTGGCGATGAATGCGGTCATCAACCCGTTGACAGCGGTGATGAACTGCGAGAACGGCGAGCTTCTTTACAACTACAGCTTCACTCGGGTGATGCGGTTGCTCCTGCTGGAGATCTCGAGCGTGATCTGCGCACTCCCCGAATTGCAGGGCATCCCTGGCATTGAGAGCCGGTTCTCCCCCGAGCGTCTGCGGTGGATGGTCACGCAGCTTGCCAACAAGACGGCAAAGAACCACAGCTCGATGCTGCAGGACGTGCGCGCCGGCAAGACGACCGAGATTGAATACTTGAATGGCTACATCGTGCGCCGAGGCGAAGAGCTGGGTGTCAAGTGTGTGGTGAACTACATGATGAAGCACCTGGTTCTGGCGAAACAGCAAGCGTCGAAGCAGAGAGATGCGAGCGCGATCCCTATCGACATTCTGTAAGCGGAGCGCAAGTCTGTACTTATTTATTAATATACCCCGGGTTTCTTCACTGGTTAGCAGGACACGGCCTCCATGGCGGTATCACAGAGGGTTCTAATCTGCCACCACCGTTTCAGCAGCATCCTGACCATCCCTTGGTGTTCCGGCTTGTCGGGATGAAGCGTCTCCAAGTGGTCGATCGTCGTGTCTGCCTCCTTGAGATAGACGCCGATCCATCGCTTAATGACGGCCTCTGATTTCTTCTTATCCACCCCGTGGGTGGAGTAGCCGAGAACATAATCCTGCCACTCCCTGGGTCGCATGTATGTTAGACCAGCGGCGATTTCCGTGCGATAGCAGACGCCCTCGGCCGTGAGTTGATAGTTTCTGCTTTCGTTAGCACTATGCAGCTGCGACGTAGGTCAACATACCCATCGTATTTATGAAACTCGAGGTCTTCTCGCATGGACGGAGTGAGATCTCGGAATATGATATCATCCAGGCACAGCGTCTCGGAGACGTTTTCCTCCAAGTAGAATCCATCTGTTGCGATTAGCCTAAACCTCCAGTTTGGAGTAGGTCACTTACACTCCGTAAATAGAAAATCGTTCGGATGAGGCCCATAACTCATATAGATTTCCTCTCCCTCATCTATACCCGTCAGCACTGCCCAACCATTGCAGCATTCCGAGGGGAGATACATACCATAATCCTTCGCCGCCCGAAAGACATATCTCTCCCCATCGAACTTAACATTACACTGCCCCAACCATTAGTCACGACCCAACCACCAACCCAAAAAAAACACGGGGGAGGAAGGGACATACCGCCTCATCCGAATGATTAAAATAATCCGCCACCGGCACCAAGGCCATAGCATCATACCTATCCTCAGGCATATCCCTCCCCGGCAAAAGATAAAAGAAACTCCGCGTATTGACAATAATCCAATGATATTTGAACTTCTCCCAGTCCATTGCTGGAAACACACGCTCCACGATGTCCCAGTCGCGCCGGAGTCGGCCTTCTTGTTGCGAGAGGAGGTGGTGGTGCCGGGTTGGGTCGTGGTGTTGCGTTGTCCCGTTTGCGGGGGTTGGGAGGGTGGAGATGGTGGACCATTGGCCGGAGATGGAGGGTGGCAGGAGGGAGAGAAAGGAGGAGGGCCAGAGGAGGGGCATGCTCGTGGCGAAGTCGGTGATTGTGGGCCAGGTGTTGCGCCAGGGGGCTTCGTGGGGGGTCGGGGTGTGGGTGAGGTAGGCGGCGTAGAGGGCGTGGGTGGGTGTGTCGGTTGGGAAGAGGGTGGTGAATGAGGGGGGGATTTTGCTGGGGGTGAGCATTGCGTTGTGGGGGACGGAGATGAGGATGGTGTCTTTCTGGGGGGTGTTAGTGTTAGTGTATGAGGGAGAGTGAGGGGGAGGGGTAGGGAGAGGGAGAGGGGGAGGTACTTCGATCTTGCGCGTGGCTATCATGCCTAGACCGCGGCCGGCGAATTTGGCTGGGCTGACCCCGTTAATGATGATGCCTTGCGTGACGGCCCATTCTGTGAAGAGCTCGTGTTGCTCGCCGGGCCACCAGATGGGTTTCATGTTGATGTGGAGGGTGGTAATTGATCCGGAGGGAGAAGAGGAAATGAGGGTTAAAAGGGGATCTGGTGACCTATGTGGTGAGTACAGATTCGACCTAGCCTGTCGCACGATGCCAATCTTTATATAGGAATGATCTCAAACCTCCAGTCCTAACACAAAACCCCCAATGGCAATTGTGAGTCAGATGGATGTAACCAGCGCCGCCAAAAAGATTATCTTATCGATCTTTATCAGTGCTACGGCCCCGCACAGCCACCACTCGCGCCATCCGGCATCTCCTCGAACGCAATGCATCGTACCACTCTGCACCCATCCGCCAGGGTCATGTCTAGAACGTGTCACCCTCCCCCAGAGCCAACATGACGGTCCTCCGAACGCGCAGCGCCGTTCTTCCTGCGCGCGAGCTCAACCAGCTCCTCTTCTGTGCGCCGCTCTCTCTCCGGTCCCACGCGCGGCCGTTCTCCGGCTTCAATCGTCCTCCGCCAAACTATCCCGGCCATGTGCCATTGAACTTTGTAGAGCGCGGTGCTCTGGCTGTTGGTTCGGCCGTGGGAGCTCTCATCAATCCGCGGAGGGCTGGTATATACCCTCCCCCTTCAGTTGTTCTTTACAACTACAATTCTGTATGCATTGGCACTAACGCAAAAGCATAGACCTAATCGCCGCCTGCGGCGAAGCCACCGCAACACCCTACTTCATCTACCGACTCCGCGACGCCATGCTCTCCGACCCCACAGGCCGCCAAATCCTCCGCGACCGTCCACGCATCACCTCCGAAACCCTCAAACTCCCCTACCTCCGCACGCTCCCCGAACACACCGTCGGCCGAACCTACGCTACCTGGCTCGACCGCGAAGGCGTCTCCCCCGACACCCGGGACAACGTGCAATACATTGACGATGAGGAATGCGCGTACGTGATGCAGCGGTACCGCGAGTGCCATGACTTCTACCACGCTGTGACGGGGTTGCCGATTTTTGTGGAGGGAGAGCTGGCACTCAAGGCGTTTGAGTTCTTGAATACGTTGATTCCAATGACGGGGTTGAGTTTGTTTGCGTCGGTGAGGTTGAAGCCGGCGGAGAGGGAGCGGTTGTTTTCGATTTACTTGCCGTGGGCGTTGCGCAGTGGGTTGCGGAGTAAGGAGTTGATTAATGTGTATTGGGAAAAGGTGTTGGAGATGGATGTTCGGGTGTTGAGGGAGGAGTTGGGCATTGAGAGGCCGCCGGATATGAGGGAGATTAGGAAGATGATTCGGTTGCAAAAGAAGAGGGAGAAGGAGGAGGCGGAGCGGAGAGGCGCGGTTTAGACGGTGAGGGTCTTTATTAAATGTATTATATTTCACTGAGGGATGAGTAGCCCTGATTAAATGTGTGATTACTTGGTGATCATTTCTTGAATGCATGTGGGGAATATTTGATAGAAGTGGAAAAGCTGGCTGGTATGTAAAGGCAAAAGTACTTTTGATAGCAGAAACTCAGCTGCGGTCGCAAGCATCAATGGAGCCGGAGGTATCATGAACATGGCAAGCATTCAGTTTGCACTGAACGCCTTCGCTAAATCATCTCACAGATCCAAAAGGTCGTCATCATCATCCCAGCCGCCGCGCCGGCTGATCACAATCTTGTGCTCCTCCTCGTCCTTGCGCTGGTTCTCGGCCATGGCGTTCAGCAGCTGTTTGAGCTGGTCTTCCGAGACCTTCTGGCGCAATTGGCCGGACTGGGCGAGCATGAGCAGCCGGTTTTCGACGTCCGCAGCGCGGGATTCCTTGACGAGGCGGATGCGGCCCAGGCGATCGGCGGCCTCGGGCTCGAGGATCTGGTTCAGAATAGTGGCGCGGCGTTCAGCTAGAGACGCAGATGGTAAGCATATTGTTCGGGGATGTAGGGAAGGCAACGGCGGGGATCCTTCAGGGACCTGCTCTCCAGTCATGGGATAATGTCATGGCGCATACCTTCAACTTGCCTAAGAAATGACTGTCAGCAGCGCAATCACAAAAGCATAGAGCCTCGGTTCCTACCTTCTCTGTTCCTCCTGGTTGCCGTCTGAACCACCACGTGCGCCACCCTGTTGCTGGAGCTGCGCAAGACGGGCGCGTCTGATCTATTACTCTTCTAAGCCTCTGATACGGAGTGTCGATGGTGGATCCCGAGCGGAAATTTTCAAGCAAAAAAAGACAGAGAAAGCTAACTGTAACTCGGAAGGTTTATACTGACCTCCTCAAGCTCTGCGTCGGCCATGGTTGTTGAATGGCTTATCTAGACTGCGAAGGAATAGGGGATTTTGGGAGTGATGCGGGGTAGGCTGTGACCGTATTGAGGTAAAGCAGGTGAGATGGACGGAGCACGGAGCGGGGAGATTGTCCAGGGATCAGACTATGGATGCGAGCAAGGCGGGATGATTCGACGCATTCCACGTTGGAGAATTCAACCCCACCTGGTGATCCTGGAAGCCTCAGGCACTCAGGCCCTCGGGTGGGGCGCCATGAGGCATCGGGCAGCCCTTGCCCGATCGGGCAAGCAATAGTCCCCAGGCAGGAACGGGGAGGCTGGGCAGTATTTGCATTGCAAGCAGTACACCGCAATTGAGACTTGAGAATGTTCTTTTCAAGGCTGTCGGGTGCAGCAAAAAGACACTGAAAGACTGCAGACCGGGGCTGCAATGACAGCAAGCCGGTAAGCTTTGGGGGTGTCTCGGAGGTCGAGGATCCCTCCGGCTACGCCTGCAAGTGTCGTCATCAGGTGCCAAGGACGAGTTGCCTTTTACTACTTAGCATTTAGCCAAAAGCACCCATGCCGATGATCCGACGTGATTGGGGGGAGATTGGCTGATGTGCCCAAATTAGAACCCCAATAACACACACCACCGTGCCGATGGATCTCTCTCCGGCACTATTGAATGCGCGTGAAGAATTTGCACGTAGAAAAGCTTGTGGATGGACTGAGCTCCCAGGATGCTCTAGTACCGTCTCCGGAGGCCCTTGCGAGATCGGGTCCGTATCGAGATCGTACCTAACCCTCGGAGTGGGAACCAATAAACGGGATAGAACGTGGCGCGACTGATGGGACATATTTCCACCATTCAACGGATCCATTGCAGTCCAGCACTGGCCTCATGGTCGCGGGTTGACTTTGGTAGGTGGCATCGTCTTGACCTGTAAATGAGAGCGTACAGGAAGCCGCACTGGCGAGTGGCAGGCAGCCCAAACCACCTCGTGATGGACGATGGCACCGGAGACGCGACGGGAGGCGATCGACCTGCCTGATGCGGCAGCGACTAAGCGCCTGCGGTTTGCCTCCGGGTCGGTGATTGGCCGGTCGGGAGTGGAGCGGTCCGGTATGAAGGTGGTAATTACGGAACCGCGGCGGCGATACGGAGTCGGAGTCAGGCCGTCAAGGAAAGAGTGCCTGGCTGCGACCTTAATCCACGACGGGCGGGAATCTCCTCATCTGTTTTCGTGCTGTCGTCGTCGCTGACCAACTTTCGTCTTTCTATCTATATCTAACTAATCTTGCCATTCTCACTAATTAACTACACTAATTCTCTACTAACCTTCCACCCTACCTTACCGGGTCTTGAAGAAAGAGGGGTCACACCCACTCATTTCCACTCTCTCCCTTCCTTTATCTCCCTCGCTGGGTTCGCCTCTATCGTCATCCTTCCGGTCTATCCTTCCCTGCCCACCGCAGCCTCTCTTTACTCCCCTCCCCAGCGCCCGCCGCTCTCTTCCTGCCTCCATTCCATTCCTTTCCTCGACTCAATGCTTCGGCCCCCGACTGGTTAATCCCCTCTCCAGTCTGCGCGCTGGCGGGGACGTCACGTTATTCCCCCCCTGCTTGAATTGTTGCATGCACACGTCCCAACCAACCCTTGTCTCTGCCAGGAATTGCAGATGCGAACGGTTGCCGACCTGCTATATACGTGGTTGTGACACCCGCCCCCTCCATTGCTGTGATACCCTGTTCTTCTGCATCTGCTGTGCCCACACCCCACGGTCACCATGGCTGAGTATGTATCCACACACATCCAATGCTATCCTCTATGCAGGCGTTGCTAATCCTGGCATTAGTTTTATCGCTTTTCATACTTATTATTCCCGCCACAACTTCCTGACACCTTCGACAATGCTTCCACGCCCCACCAGCCACAAACGGTCACATTCCTCCGAGAATAACTCTCTTTCCCCCGACAAGACCGTTACCAAAGCCAGGTCCACCAATGATCTGTCCGGCATCGCGGCCGGAAAGCCGACCCCCGGTATCCGTTCGTCTAGTGTAGGCAATTTTCAAGAAAGCAGCTTCAGCACCTTGAAGGACCCCAGGCTTGCAAGCCACTCGGAAGAGTCGGAGACGTCGGATTCGACGCAATCGCATCATCCAGATCTAAGCAACGAGGTCGCAGCGTTGAGCGTCAAGCTTGTGCAGGCGATCAACAATCAAACCACTCTAGATGACAACCTCGTCGCAACCCGTCAGGAATTGGAGCAAGCCCAGGCCAAGATCCGGGTTCTTGAGTCGGAAAATGAAAAGCACCAGCGAGACATCGACCAGCAGGTCCTGATCAAGAAGGCCGACGTCGACTACGAGATGCTGCGCTTGCAAGCTGCCTTGGCAGAGGAGAAGGCGCAGCGCGCGCTCGCGGTACAGGAAAAGAAGGGCATCGAACAAGAATTGGAGACATTGACTGCCGCGCTTTTCGAGGAAGCCAACAAGGTAGGCCGCTCTGGGTTGTCGTATGGTTTAGGTCGATCAACTAACCTTGTACTTCCAAACAGATGGTCGCGGCTGCTAAGCTCGAGCGTGAAGCGGTAGAGAAGAAAAACGAACAGCTGCGTTCTCAAGTCAAAGACACGGAAGCACTTCTTGCATCGCATCAAGAACAGTTAGCCGAATTGAAGTCCGTGTTACAAGCAATGAACATCTGCAAGGACGATCTTGACACCCGCACAATCAACTCGACAGCTCCATCGTCACCAACGGCACCGCGGCATCCTTTGCACATCAAGAAAAAATCTGAGACGCCCGACATACCGGAGGAGACCGCACCCTGCGAAGAAATTACTCCAGGGCCATCCACCAGTTTTCCCCATCTAATCAAGTCTGTCTGTCGAACAGATATCCAGGCGTACGAGGATTTCCGGGAGCTCTTTACAACATCCAGAGCTTCCAAACCCGCCAGCCGGGCCACAAGTGGGTCTTACACTGGATTGAACGTCATGAGCTTGGCTAGCCTGGGAAGCGGTGGGTTCGGTTCAGCGTCGTCATCTCCCGCCAAATCTCAAACACACTCTCCCAATGGAAGCGTGTCTTCTCCACAGCCCGTGACCTCCCACATCCCTCTCAAGGAGACCCGCTTCTACAAGCGGGTGCTTGCCGAGGACGTTGAACCAACTCTAAGGCTGGATGCTGCGCCCGGAATATCCTGGCTTACCCGACGCTCAGTATTGAGCGGGATCTGCGATGGGAGTCTGCTGGTTGAGCCGATGCCACCTTCAGCGAAGAAGTACGAGTTCCCATGCTCACTATGTGGTGAACGGAGAAATGGCTCCATCAACGAGAGGACCCATCGGTTCCGGACGTCCGATAGTGAGACTGCTCAACGATACCCTCTATGTGTGCTGTGTTTAGAAAAAGTGCGTTCATGCTGCGAATTTACTGGTTACCTTCGACTCATCCTTGATGGACATGTTCGTATCGGCGATTCGGAAGAAGAAAAGGATGCATGGGATGAAACGATTCGCTTGAGGGAGAGAATGTTCTGGTCGCGCATCGGAGGTGGTATCATCCCTCTGTTCGCCCACAACAATGGCTTCCATGGGAATGCCCCCATAGCCACTGAAGCTGCCACTGATGATGCAGAGGTTCCTGCTGCCGATGGTCGTGAGGAGTGTCAGCGCTCCATCATTTCCACAATCCCCGAGCACATGACTATACAAACCACGAATTTGGACGACATTGACGGCGAGCACGTTCATGACGAGGGTTCCGTGGGAGACGATCCATTTGTATCTGCGCCTGAATCGGAATCTACTGCGAGCAGCACGGCGGTCTCGCCGACCGAGCCCAACGCACCAGTCGAGAAGACACCCCTCGGGGATGTGGACGAGCAGCTTGTCTCACAAACAACTGCTTCTGAGACTACTCATGATGAAACTGAGACTGTCAAACCCGCTGTTCAGGTTGAGGAGATGTGAAACCACCACGACGCCACAAAGAGCGGTGATAAATGATATGACCGATGCTGATTTGACCACGATTGCTATCGTTCGAAGACACGGACGCATTTCGCTGCCTTGCACTCTACTTGAGTTTGATTTCGACTTCCAACTTCTGCACATTTCCTCCTTTCTTCAACCTTTCTCTTCATATATCGATATATTTCAACCATGCCTGCTTGCTTAATTCCTCACCGATCCTGTCCTTTGCATCCGACGACATTATATCAGTCAGAAGCGGCATGTGGTATGTATTATAATTCTCTTGAGTTTGCTTCTTCTTTGTATACCTATTCTTATTGGCTTTGTTCTGTCCCTGTTTATTTCGCTTTTGACAACTTCTTTGATTTCGTGTTTACCTCCCTGTCCCCTTTACATGTCGAGCCCTATCGGCATGCAAATATGGGCCGATGTGGGAGACCCTCCTGGATGAACAATGACCTGGCATTTCGAATGAGTTTGTGTTTCTTTTCCACACCGGAAAGCATTTTCTTTCCAGGTTCTGCTGCATGAAAGTCTCTCTGTTGCTATTCCCCATGCATCATCTTGCGGTCGATTCATTTTTATGCGATATACATGGTGGCAGAGATCTCACAGGTTATGGAGCGGATGCTGCAGGAATGCAGGTGATGGCTTTACTTGCACATATCATAGCATAGGTAAAGCGAAAATTCATGATATACTCGAGGCGCATTGTGTACGTAGCAGGCTACCTGACAGGCCAAGAGGCCCTTATACATCCAAATTCAATAGTGTACCGGTCTAGACGCGGGTCTAACATAAGTTTCTTTACATATGTATGGCAAGAGAAGATAATAGTATCAAGATTTTACAAGTGAGGTAAACAGTATCTGTCTCGCCCAACGAAGACCTATCAATGAGGTGAATTGACTCCGACATAGAAAACGCCTCCGATAAAACACGGTCCTAATTCCCAGTATGCCCGACGGAGAAAGCAAAGAAAACCATGGAACTAATTCTATATTTTATTTCCTCGTCATCGCCTGTCGCTCGTGAATGCGTCGAATCTGCTCCTCGATATTCATACTCTGAGGATTGGGCGGTCCCCCAGCGGGTCCGACCACCGGTGGCACAGGGCCAGACCCCGGAGCACCTTCGAAGGCCATCTTCTTCCGGCGGGATTCTTCTTCGAGGTCGGCGGCGCCGGAGACGACAGTCGAGTCGAATACGTCGCTTCGTTGGCTGGCCAGGCGCTTGAGGTTGTTGACCACGTCCACGGTGGAGAGGTTGGTGGTGGCACTGCGGGATTCCGCCTTGGCGCGTTGCTCTTTCCAGCGGGGGTCGAGCAGTTCGATACGCATGTGCTGTTCGAGTTCGCCGACGGGGACCTGCTGGTGACAGTTGGGGCAGAGGGCCATGGCACCGGTAGGGTGCAGACGACGGGCTTGCGCGCGGGGCACGTAGTCGGAGCGGATGCGCATAGGTTGTTGTTGTTGCCCTGGAGCGGTTTTCGCGGCGGCTTGGGCGGCGGCGGCTTGTTCGCGAGCTTGCATCCGTTCCTGGATCCATTGTTCCTCCTCTTGGGCGGCTTGGGACATGGCAGGGGCAACGGGGATGGGTTGCGGAGGGAGCCCTTGGGGTGGGTAGGCGGGGCCGGCGGGGACGACGGGGACGACGGGGACGGGTTCGGGTTGTTGGGGGTAGGCGTTGTAGTATGTTGGGTAATCCTCTTCGGTGGGCATGGCTTCTTCGATGCGGAGGGGGTTGAGGGACATCATGGCTTTTTGTTCGAGGGAGGCGGATTGGAGGTCGTTGAGGGAGGTGGGGGGAGGGAGGTCGACATGGTCGTCGGCTTCCGTGAAGAGGACGGTCTCGACGACGACGAAATCATGCCAGTCGATCTGCGCGTAGGCGATGCGCTCTTGCTCTTCTTCTTCTTCCTTCTTTTCCTTCTGTTGCTGCTGGTATTTCACCCATTCGGCGCGTTGTTTGGCGCGGTCTAGGACATGGAACTTATTCTGGGCGTTGTGCGCAAGCTCCGTGAGGCGCTTCTTTTCTGTCGTAGCGGCGTCGATTCCTTCGGAGCGGAGGAGGATGGTGTATTGGTCGACGAGTCGGGTGAAGAAAGAGTAGAGACTGTGTTGCGGGCGTAGGAAGTCGAACTGGTAGTTTCTGGTTTCACGTTGAGAGAGCGCGGTCATGAACGATTTTCCGCGCTTAGCGACGAAGAGAGCAGTGAGCTTGACAACTTCCAAATCTTGCGCATTGATTATAGGCATCCGCGCAGAGAAGTGAAACTCCGGCGGTTCTTGGGGGCCCTTGGGCTTCTCGGGTTCAGCAGCGGGGGTCGGTTCGCCCGGTCGGCCAGCAGACACTGCAGTCCCTCTTCCTTCCTTGATCTCGACGAGACGCCATTGGTAGAAGGGCGCGTAGGCGTCACCGGGGTTGAGGAAGGAGAATTTGGGGTTGTTCCGTTCCTTTTCGCGAACGCGATCTGAAAGAATGCATGTGAGATAGAGGGCTCATCTGGCCGACTAGGGTGCGGGAGGGGGACGTACCTTCGAAAACTACACCATTTCGAGCGACATAACCGGCAGTCTTCTCGACAATAGCTATTCCAAGGTTAGCTTGTGTTCATTGTCGGTTCTCTCACATGGACACGGAACTTACCTCGAATATCCTTGGGTGGCAAGACGACACCCTCCGGGGGCTTGTTCACCTCCTCGGGCAGCGGAGTAGTGCCATTGCTTACGGAAGCCATAGTTCTCAGCGGTCGGGATGGGGCGACGCGAGATTGGGATGAGGAGCAAGACTGAAGGCGACCTGCCGATATCTGATGTCCTTTTCGGGTTGACTTCATCTCGGGGCGCGGCTACGGCTGACTCAGCGCAATAGAGCGGCTACCCGCGCGCTTGCCATCGGGAGCCTGTGATTGGCTGGCTTGGACCGAGGCTAAACCGGTCTAGGCAAGTCCCTGGCGTGTCAATCAATCTAAAGGCGGTCCATGAACGCTGGGGCATTCGCCATTGTATTATTGTTTGCTGCCCTGGCTCGAAGCTTGGACGGTGGAGGGGAACGTAGACGAGGGGTGATAGGCTAAAACTATAATCAAGCTTGTGGAACGGCAGTGACTGCGCTGCAACGCATGATGCTGACGGGCAGCAGCTGCTGACGGGCAGAAAAGCCCAAGTCGCCGGCGGCCGACGATCTGGCCTTAAAGCGGCCGACGCTTTCATCCGCCTCCCTAATCGTCCCACACGTGTTGCCTCGTCCGTCACCTTCTTTGCTCGCTCTGGTCCCTTTTGTCTGCTCCATCTCTGTCATGGCGCTTCTTTTTTGAATTCTTACCCTCTTTTGATTCCCCCATTTGTTTATTCACCCGTCTTCCCCGTGCTTGTTCAGCGGGGCTCCTGCAAAGCTCCCCTGGAGTCGGAGCATTCTGCAGTCTGTCTGGGCTCCGTCATTGCTTCGCTCTCCCGCGGTAGCTCTTAATGGTCAATTGCCCTGTTTTTGAATCTCTTAGGATAATATAAACTCCCCTCCACCACTATCCGGTCCTCTCCTTCCTTTCTTTCTATTCCGTCTTCGAGAAGCGCCTCAACAATGGGGCCCAAATCCAAAGATACGCTGGCGGTTACGCCTCCGCCAAAATCATCGTCACGGTCCCCCAGCCGCTCGCCAGGTCCCAAGAACCGCAAGAAGGCGGCCCCCCAGTCCTCGAGTTATAAATCAGACGGCGTTTCGGATAACAATATCTTCCATCTTCCCACCTCCGACTACAGGACTCTAGCTCTGGTGACCATCGTGGCGGCAGTGGTGCGGTTGTTCAGGATCTATCAACCTTCAAGCGTCGTCTTCGACGAAGTCCAGTATGTGTCGCTACATTTTTAGTCCGCAATATCTGGTGGAGACCACGTTCTAATACATGGCGAACAGCTTCGGAGGCTTTGCGACAAAGTACATCAAGGGCCGCTTTTTTATGGATGTCCATCCCCCTCTTGCCAAGTTGCTTGTCACACTGGCTGGCTGGCTGGCGGGCTTTGATGGCGAGTTCGATTTCAAGGATATTGGAAAGGATTACCTCGAACCTGGTGTGCCATACGTTGCAATGCGGATGCTGCCGGCGATTATGGGTGTCCTGACCATTCCATTGATGTTTTTGACGCTCAAGGCATCCGGATGTCGCACTCTGACTGCAGTGCTAGGTGCTGGTGTCGTGATCTTTGGTAGGCCTCCGCAACTGCCCGAGGTACCAGCCGGTCATATATGCTGATCTAGCGCAGAGAACGGTCTCATCACTCAGTCTCGCCTGATCCTATTAGACTCCCCATTGGTGTTCTTCACTGCGCTCACGGCATTGTCCTTCACATGCTTCACCAATCAACAGGAATTGGGGCCATTGCACGCCTTCCGTGGACCCTGGTGGTTCTGGCTTGCTGCGACTGGCCTCTGCCTGGGTGCTACTCTCAGCGTCAAATGGGTTGGACTCTTTACAGTTGCTTGGGTTGGTTCGCTTACAGTCCTTCAACTGTGGGTGCTGCTTGGTGACCCTAAGAATGTGACACCGGTTTGTGCTACTATCATCTATCTGCTGGAGGCGAATGCTAACCTTGAACTCGTAGCGCCTGTGGTTCAAGCATTTCTTCGCTCGCGTTTTCTGTCTGATTGTTATTCCCCTCAGCTTTTACTGCGCCATGTTCGGAATCCACTTCTTGTGCCTTGTAAACCCTGGTGATGGAGATGGATTCATGTCGTCTGAGTTCCAAGCAACACTGAACTCGAAAGGAATGCAGGACGTTCCTGCCGATGTTGTCTTTGGCTCTCGCGTCAGCATCCGCCACCTCAACACCCAGGGAGGTTATCTTCACTCTCACAACCACATGTACCCGACGGGAAGTAAGCAGCAACAGATTACGCTCTACCCTCATAAGGATGAAAACAACGTCTTCGTTCTCGAGAACCAGACCCAACCTCTTGGTCCCTATGGAACAGTGGACGGCCCCTTGGCCTGGGACAACATCACTGCCGAACACATTGAAGACGGAGCTGTGATCAGGTTGAACCACTTTATCACACGGAGACGAGTCCACTCGCATGACGAGCGCCCCCCCGTGACAGATGTGGATTGGCAGTTTGAGGTGTCTGCGTATGGATACGATGGCTTCCCCGGTGATGCAAACGATCTCTTCCGAGTTGAAATTGTCAAGTCGTTGTCAGAGGGCGAGGAGGCGAAGAAGCGACTGCGCACCATCCAGACCAAGTTCCGCCTTGTGCACTTCATGACTGGCTGTGTGTTGTTTTCCCACAAAGTCAAGCTTCCTGAGTGGGGTTTTGATCAACAAGAGGTGACCTGCGCAAGACAAGCTACTCTGCCCAACAGTATCTGGTACATTGAGTCGAACAACCACCCCATGCTTGCAGAAGACGCGGAGAAAGTGAACTACAGGAACCCCGGGTTCTTTGGCAAGTTCTGGGAGTTGCAGAAGGTGATGTGGATTACCAACGCGGGTCTGACTGAATCACACGCTTGGGACTCTCGCCCGCCATCATGGCCAACCCTGCTTCGCGGTATCAACTTCTGGGGCAAGGATCATCGTCAAGTTTATCTCCTTGGCAACCCGTTCATCTGGTGGTCGTCCACTGCGGCCATTGGTATCTACATTATCTTCAAGGGTCTTTCCGTTCTTCGCTGGCAGCGGAGCTGTGGTGACTACAGCAACGTGAACTTTAAGCGGTTCGATTATGAAGTTGGTACCAGCGTACTTGGCTGGGCTTTCCACTACTTCCCGTTCTACCTCATGGCGCGACAGCTCTTCCTTCACCATTATTTCCCTGCCCTCTACTTTGCTATCATTGCGCTCTGCCAGGAATTTGACTTCCTCACCAACCGCATTCAGACCCTTGGTTTGCCATCTCGCCCGGCCATCGGCAAAATCCTGGCCGGCGTCTTCCTTGCGATCAGCATTTTCACCTTCACCCTCTACTCGCCTTTGATCTATGGCAACCCCTGGACACAGGAGGCTTGCAACCAGGTGAAACTTTTGAGTACCTGGGATTTCGACTGTAACACCTTCTACACTAGCGTAAGTCTTCCTGGTGACAGCAGTAAGCTCGCTACGTTGCCGGTGCTGACATGACTATAGCTCGACCAATATGTTACCCAAATTGTGGACACGCATGCGGCCATTCCCACGACCGAAGCGCCGGTGCCACAAGCGCCTCCCGTGGTGGTGGAACAGCCACCACAGCAGCAGGCTCCGCAACAGAACCAGGCAATCTTGAACCAGGAGCCGGAGAAACCTGTTGTCACGGAGCGGGCTCGTCATAGCGCCAAGGCCCGCGTGGAATACCGCGATCAAGACGGAAATGTTCTGGATGAAGAACTTGTTGCTGCGTTGAAGAAGGAGGGTAAAGTCCAATTTGAGACCCGCCACGAGACGAAGACTCGCCTGGAGAATGGCCATCTTGTTGATATGGTGGACGGCCAACTCGCCCCACCGCACCCCGACGTGGAAGGCCAGAACCCTGAAACTGTTGGACGGCAGCCGCCTGTGGCTGCTGAGGACCGCCCGGCTTCAGCAGTCGGACAAGGCAGCTCTCTCGAGCAGCAAAATTCGCCTGACCCGAAACCAGCCAGCGAGGTCAACGAGGCGACCCAATCTTGAATAGAACGGCAGCATCTGTGAGGGATCGCTGTCCTGGTTTTGATCTTTGGTTCTGCTCATCTACTTCTCCTGTATTTCCTCTTCGAACAATAACTTCTTCCTACTTTGGACTAACGAAATGCCACCTTTGTACATGATTACTTGTTCCTGGCGTTAGTGGCCTACTTGATTGTACATGCCTCACGGTTGTTGGGGGGCTTGGTTGTAGCGCAACGAAAGCAATCTTCGAATGAATCTCGTCAAAACAAACTATGCACAAAGCTCTTGTAAGAACGGTCTCACCCCATACTCTAGTCTTCACAAGTTTTAGTGTACAGCGATCAGCGCCGACATGCCTCAACTTCTGCGGTCTTAACCGCCTTGCCTGCAGCTGCAGCGTGCGACTATTTAGTAGTCCCACTCCTCCTTTCCGTACTTGTTGAAGCGCTCGTGGAGGTCCTAGCAAATACAGGGAATGGTATATTAGCAATTCTGCTGGCATTGCCGGATATTGGTGGCGAATATCAACCACATAGAAGGAGAAGGACGGGGCAGTAAATACCACGGGCAGGGTAACGTTGGGGACAATGACGGTGTTCAAGGCGCTGGGGGCGTTGCGCAGGGGCTGGCTCTTGTCACCGTGGGGGTGGTATTGGTACTTGTAGACCTTGCCACTCTCATCGGCCTGCTCCCAGGGCATGGCACTCTCGCCAATGCGGACGTTGCTCTCGGAGGTGACGGAGGTGGGCTTGCTGCCGAAGTACCTGTTATTCGAGGCATGGTTAGCACATTGCGTCGATTGGGAAGTTGCAGAACAGCGTCGAGGAAATTTTTGGCCGTCGAATGGTGCAAGATTGTCGGGCTGACACTGTGAAAAAGATAAAAGGGTAAGGGAAAAGTATTCACCATCCGGCAAGCAGGAAAGCACCGGACATGACACCGAGCAGAACCTGTTATGAGTTTTTACCCAATTAGATAAAGATCGCAATTGGATTAAGTCGGCCAATGGGTCCGTACGTAGAGCTCGGGGTCACGCTTGGGGCCCTTGTCGAGGCCAGCCTCCTCGACCTTGGAGGCGCTGTAGAAGCGGCGCGGGGGAGCGCGGAGAAGGGATTGGCGGGCAAAGGCCCGGCGGGAGGCCATGGCAGCAATTGAAGACATTGTGATGGGTTGCGAGGAGAGGACGTCTGCCTGCGAGGTTCGGGGGGGGTAAAGTCGGACTGGAAGGAGGAGGTGGGAGAATCGGTGGGCGTCGGACGATGATGTTGCCGGCGCATCATCAGGTGACATTTCGTTGGCCAGCTTCCGGCGGGTGCTGACTCAGCCGGCCCGCGTTGGTGGCCTTACGAGAGAGGTATCTATTTGACTCCGTACTGCCTGACGGCCTGAACCCAGCTCGGTCTAGCTTGTTACTGCCTAGTCAGTTAGTAACTAAGTTTGCCCCCCAAACTGCTCCTAATCATACGGTATCGATTGCGATAAACCCTCGTGTTTACTGCGCATGCCATCCACTTGCCAGGCTTTAGGGTGCTTGGGTCCATCTTTGTCCCTTTAGCCAGTGCAAGTCGTGGGTTTTGGCTTGCGACCGTGATGTGACGTGATCCGGCTGCCTTGCAATCACCGCAACTCCATCTCCAGGTCCGTCACTCGGCTCCTTTCATGTGGACAGGGGGGGGGGGGGGGACACGGCCTGGATTTCCGTCCTTCATATGAAGCTAACTGAGCACTGTCCAATATAGGTTGCTTACATTCATTTTTTACCTCACTTTGATTCGATTACACCCTCAGTATACATTTTCTCGTCACTCCTTCACCCCACTCCTGCCGAACCTTCACGCACCGCGCTCCTGGTTGACGTCCGACATTTGGTCCACTTACCCGAATCGCTGCATTCCTGTCTGGCCACAATATGATATATCGCCGTGATCATTAGCAGAAGTCGTATATTTAACCTCAAACAACATGCCTTTATCTTCCGCAATCTCAGAGACCAGCGATACGCCTACCTCGGCGCCCGCGCAACATGCCCTGGGAATTCCGCGGCCCCCTTCCGTGGGAGGAATCTCGTCCCGAGTGACGGACATGGCTTCGGACGATGGAGAACAGTCCCAAACATATACCGGAGTCTCATCGCATCCAGCCCAATCACGAGCTTCTGTAACGCGACGAGGACCCCCGCCTGCCCGGAGCTCTATCACATCCACCAGCCAATGGACGAATAGGCCAGGAAGTTCCGGTAGCAGGCAGAGTCGATCACACATTCCTTCGCTCGCTGCACAAGGTTTCTTCCGGCCCATGTCTTCCCAGCGACTCCAGGCTCATCGAGGTCGACCTATGACGAAAGGAACCACAACCGATACGTCGGAGGATTGGAATGACCAGACGAGTCAGAACAGGCAGAGCTTGATATCCAATAGCACGATACCGCAAGGTTCCATTCCCCCAATGGAGCAAGAAGCTCCTCCCTCGAGAGGCACGGAGTTTACAGACCCTATCATCCCGGACCGCAACACATCGAATGCTAGTCCAATCGGTAACACGACGGGAAGAAGTCAAGGCGAAAGCGCCAAGCTTCTCTACGACAAAGAGAGGGCCTACAAGGTTCAACAACCGCATCTCAATATGGGGGCGAACTACAATGGCTCGAACGAGCCTGACGCTCCCCAAAGGTCCACGCTTTCTTTCCTTTCCTTGCAAAACAGGAATCAGGAGCAAGATAACCGCGACGTCCGGACGCATGAGAGACTTTCATCGGCCGGTTCGGCCCCTGGGTCTATTGAGAAAAAGCCTCAGGTAGGTAATAGCAAAAGCCGTCTGGGCAAGAACTATGAGTATTTCGTCGGGAATACTATTTTCTTCGGCGGCGGAAGACTCCAAAACTCCCGGGACAAGCCCGTTAACATTGCAACGGCAATCTTTGTGATTGTTCCTTCGGCTCTTTTTTTCGCATATTCGTAAGCATCCTTTTTGTCTCTTGAAGTATTGAGTAGCTAACGGCGCATAGGGCTCCGTGGCTCTGGCATCATATTTCGCCCGCCATTCCCATCTTGTTTGCTTACCTCTTCTACCTGTGTTTCTCGTCCTTCATACACGCTTCGGTTGTTGATCCTGGGGTAAGGGAGATATCCAAACGAGATAGCATGTCTTGTAATGCTAACAGCTATGGTCCAGATCGTTCCTCGCAACCTTCACCAGATGCCACCATCGGATCCCGCGGACGATCCGTTGGCGATTGGTCCACCAACCAATGACTGGGTGATGGTGAAGCTGGCGACGTCGGACGTTGCAGCTATGGACGTGCCTGTGAAATACTGCAAGACTTGCTGTATCTGGCGTCCACCCCGATGCTACCATTGCCGCGTGTGCGATAACTGCGTTGAGACTCTTGATCATCACTGCGTCTGGCTCAACAACTGCGTGGGCCGGCGTAACTACCGATACTTTTTTACGTTTGTTGCGTCCTCAACACTCCTGGCTCTGTTCCTGCTTGGCGCCAGCCTCGCTCACATCTTGGTGTATCGATCACGAGAGCACGTCAGCTTCGGCACGGCCATCGATAAATGGAGGGTACCCTGGGCCATGGTCATTTACGGAGCGGTTGCTGCACCATACCCGGCCTCATTATGGGCGTATCATCTCTTCCTGGTCGGCCGAGGTGAGACGACCAGAGAATATCTCAACTCCCACAAGTTTGCGAAAGCCGACCGCCATCGGCCCTTTACCCAGGGCAACGTCTTCCGAAACTGGCTGTCCGTCTTCCTGCGGCCACGGTCTCCGACCTATATGCAGTTCAAACAGCCTTATCATGAAGGCGACCAGCGACTGAGCACGATGAAGCGCAAGTATCTCCCTCGAAACGTCGAGCCTCAAGCGGACATCGAGATGCAGCAGGTGCCTCCTCCTTCCCAGCCGCAATCGTGAACCAGGTTGCTTCCAACCTACGCTTAGTCAGAGCGGTTACACATGCTTCGTATGATTTTTCTTCTGCTCCCTGAAGGGCTGTTGTTTTTACTTTTCTTCATTTTCTACTTCCCAACATTTGAAATAGTGAGATCTTAATGCACGTTGCAGCCACCTTTCCATTCGTTTCTTGAGCCAATTGGGCTCTCCGGATATACGTTGACATACCCCACCTTACTTCCTGTCATGTTCCTGCTTTCAAGCGAGTTGCCCGTATGAAGCAGCCGTTGGCTACGTTCTTTTCATGAGACTTTTCCTTTCCCTTTTTCTATATATACGCGCGCGTCACCGTGGGGGGCCGGTTGCCTCGGTTAGCAAGAGGCTGGATTGGACTTTGATATCGGATGAGATTTAGGGCTATGTACAATAACCAGATTCTGGACAGACAGATAGACCAAGCATATCCGTAATAGACCGAAATGGGCGCCCGAGAAGGGGAGAAAGTGCGCGGTGCACTTCGGATCAACGGGGGCTGGTAATATATGCCTCATAATAGAAAGCGTCGTCCGGTCGTCTGAACCTCGATTCCCGGGGTGCGAGGCGGGGCGGAGGGAAGGCGACTGGGACTGTAAGGCGACTCCTGATGGGCTATTAAACGAGACCAGAGAGGACATGAAACGGGGGAGTTGGACTGGCCCAGGGTCCGAGTGCATTCCGCGGCGCCGTCGTCGGGGGGGGGGGCGCTGACGATACAGCCCTCCTCGAACCCTCTCCGCACCCTCTGCCTCTTCTTCCTTCTTCCTCCTCCTCCTCTGCCTCCTCCTTTCCTGGCCCTTGACCTCGCTCCGCACGCCTTCTGCGTCGGCTTTTTCGTGCCGTCCATCTTGGTTTCAGGGCTTGCTATGATCTGTGAGGAGGTATAAGGCACCCACACCACCACCGATATCTGCTCCTCCTGCTTAGGGGAGACCACCGACCCCCCCCCCCCCGGTACATTGGCGCTCCAGCTCAGCCTTTCACCGGAAGCTGACCCCCGCCTTGGACGAGGAAACCCTCTCGGAAGGCGCCGCTTATCCGAGTTCCCTGGCGGTCCTGCCCCTCGCACCAAACCTAGTCCTCACCGCATATCCTTTCCCGCGGCCCTGGGGATGGAAGCTCGATCTGGTTCATCCGGCGCGTCTCCCGCGACACCCGCGACCCTTTCGGACCTCACGAAGCATACACGCGAGCACTTCGAAGGCACAATGGGCTTCGAATATACCGAACAACTCCTTACCCCCGAGAACAGTCGCTCCGAGACCTCCAGCAACAATGACAACGCGTCCACCGATGAGAAACCCACCCTCCGTCGAAGATCTACACGTGTAACACGCGCTTCTTTGCGGGGGGCAGCCCAGCTCGAGGACCATCTGGAGGTCGATAACCATGGCATACCCACTCCGGCGGATGAAATCGATCGTACGGCCTCCGGTGACACCCTGCTTGATGGGGTCGGAGTTGCGGAAGGGAAGCGCTCCAAGTCCACCTCCCACCTCCGGCACAGCATAGCGGTTATGGAAACGGCTTTGTGGAGCGAGACCACACTCCCCCAGAACAATGTGGACGGCGACGATCACCCAATGGCGCCAGATACCCCCGTCTCCAAATCGTCTCAGGAACCGCAGCCCGGCGACATGAGCACGTCTCTACAACAACGGACCCTACGAAAGCGCGTGGAACAAGCTTTGACCCGGGAGGACAAGGAGTCGACCGAGGATGCTATGACTGCCAGTCTGGAAAACCGGAAGACACTACGTCGCTCAACCCGGTTGAGTATAGTAGACAGGGCGTCGGACCTCGTCGACCGGGCTAGCAGCGTTTTGGGGAAGCGCTCGCGTGATAAGACTGAAAAGAGCACAGATCCAGGCCGGCGTGCCAGTTTACGCCCGCGCAATTTTACCGCACCCAAGGAGGCTCCTCCGGTCTCACCTCCGTCTAGTCCCGCTTCTAAAAAGAGGCGGGTCTCTGAAAGTGATCTCCCGTCCAAAGTTCAGTCTACCGAGGAATCCTCTCAGGAGCAACCGACCCCTGCCGAAGCTGTTCCGCGCCTAAAGCGGAAGCGCTGGCTGGCGCATGGCTTGTACACAGGACAAGAACATACGGACGCTCCCCCGGTTCAGAGCAGGAATCGGAGCAGACGGAAGAGCCAAACACAAACCCAGAACCCGCAACGGAAACTGCTGCCGATGCCAATGTTTGCAGGCGACAGACTATTGAAGCAGGGGAGGGACTTCCAATTGCCTTTCGACATCTTCTCGCCACTGCCTCCTGGTCAGCCCAAACCGGACGAATGGAGGAAAACCAACAAAAGTATGTATACATCGGACGACTGAAGAAGATGATGGCTAACGTGGATAATAGACGTCTTCGTGGGGGATGCATCCAGTATATGGCGCGCAAACAAGCACTGTGAGCTGTCTAAGTGTATGTGCACGCCAGAAACCGGCTGCGACGAGGAGTGTCAGAACCGCTACATGTTCTACGAGTGCGATGAAGGCAACTGTGGGGTGGGTCCTGAGTGCGGAAATCGAAGTTTCGATGAGCTAAAGCAGAGGACCAAAGTTGGAGGCAAGTATAATATCGGTGTGGAAGTCATCAAGACGACGGATCGCGGATACGGTGTGCGCAGCAACCGCACGTTTGAGCCAAACCAGATCATCGTGGAATACACGGGGGAGATCATCACACAAACCGAGTGCGAGAAGCGAATGCGGACGATCTATAAACATAACGAGGTGGGTCGTTGCTCGTCATATCTTCTTGACAGTCAATTGCTAAGAACCCGTCAGTGCTACTACCTAATGTACTTCGACCAAAACATGATAATCGACGCCACTCGAGGCTCCATTGCTCGCTTCGTCAATCACTCTTGCGAGCCCAACTGCCGCATGGAAAAGTGGACGGTCGCTGGCAAACCGCGCATGGCTCTGTTTGCCGGGGATCGCGGCATCATGACGGGGGAGGAGCTGACCTATGACTATAACTTTGAGTAAGTTGTCCGATGGAATCCGGGGAATCGCAAATGCTCATATTGGATCCTAGTCCATATTCCCAAAAGAATGTCCAGCAATGCCGATGTGGCTCTTCGAATTGCCGCGGAATCCTGGGTCCGCGGCCAAAGGAGAAGGATCAGCGTGCGAAGGAGTCCAAGGTCGAAACCCAAAAGAAGGCCAGAACCAAGCGAAGAAACAGCAAGGCAACAGGAACGAAACGCAAATCTGGCGATGTGCTCGACGAATCTCCTTCACGCGCCAACAAGAAGCGAAAGCTTACGGTGGCCAAGTCGATCAAGTCTGGCGTCAAGAAGGCTGTTTCGAGGGCGCGTGCGACGGTGTCGAAAGCCACCGCTACTCGGACAAAGCAGGTGAAGAAGGCCAAGGTAACCTCTGCCAAGCGAACCGCTGGGAAGGCTACGAAGACAGCAACCAAGAAGGTAGCTTTGAAAAAGGAAGAGGCCAAAAGTAAGAGCATCAAGCTCCCTAAGGTCAAAGCGACCAAGGCCAAGGACAAGACCAAGGCCACCGTGCCAAAGAAGACGGCAGCGAAAGCGAAGGCTGAAAAGCCCTCGGCGACAACATCGAAACTCAGTCGCCCGTCTGCAGCCACCAAGGCCAAAATCCTCGCTGCGGCCAAGGGCACCGCCGCCCGAAGGAGGTCAACGAAGAAGGCAGAAGCTCCAGGAGCTCGTAAGGTCGCGAGCAAAGCAACCACGCAGACACCCAAGCCCAGAGGCGCAACTACTAAACGCGCCGCTGCAGCCACCAAGGGTAGTAGGAAATGATTGGACATTCGCAGTCTTGGATGGCTGGTCACCTCGCCGGTCTTCCTCCATCCAGCCGGCAGGATACCCTCCATCTCATGTGCCTGCAGACTCAATTGCTCCTCCACATGGCTTTTAATGTAGTCAACCGATTCCGCATCCATGATCTATCTCTTCTGGCTTACCTTACTTGGCCCTTCTCGTCTTCTCCCGGTTACCCCTTTTTGTTGTACGCCCTTGGAATCCTCTGGATGATTGCCTGCTTTCAGATCTAACCCTTTTTGCTTTTTTCTTTTCTTTTTTTATCCTTTCTTGATCTATATTTTCGGCCAATCCCCCTTTCTAGTCCCTAATGCGATAGGTAGGTAGGCAGGTGAGTAGGCATTCCCTACTGTTTCCTGCATGTTTGCTACCTTAGTTCGGTTTTCTTCTTTTCTTTTCTTTTTTTCCTATATTTTCTTTTTGCTTTTCTTTTCCATATTTCCTTATGACGGCGCTTTCGAAATGTATCATCCCCATCCTGTTGTTGGTTCTATTCTCCCTCTGTTCGATTTTATGTCCGTCCTAATGTTCTGCTCTTTTTCCTATGCTCAATCATGTCGACGAAAAAGAAATTCTTATCATGATGCATCTTGAATCCTAGTCTTCAAATGACGACACATGTCCGAGTCCAAGGCTAAGTCCAGACGAGACGGTTGGAGTGTGTGCTCGTTTGCTTGCTTGTTTTGCTTGCTTTTGCCTATCTTGTCTATGATGGAGCTAGCTATTTACTTCGATTGGTTACTCCTCTCTCTATACTCAGTTATATGAGACCCGAGATATGAGTGCTAGTGATCTGCACACACTTGGTCATTGTTTTGGTGGCAGCGACATGCTCTGTCGCCACTATGTCCAGAATTCCCGGATATATCTGGGATGTGATTTCTATCCTGTTTAGTTTTAGTTGATAGTTTTAGCCTAGTATCTCTAATGTTTTGCTTTTCTTTCATTTTTTTGGCGTACTCTTAGTTATCGGTAAGTTGGTCGGTTCATTTACTCGAGGATGAGAGAAGAGTCACTCACTATACGGGTGCTCTTGGTTGCTGCAGGAATATATTCCCGGAGACCAACAATGCCATGTGGAACGACTGTCAACTTAAGCACTACTAGTATCTAAGGCTTGATTTGATTCCTATTATATAAATAACAATACTATCTGACTGGTACTCAATTATCCACTAGGAACACTTCTTCCAGTGCTTTTTCTTTATTGTTTGGAAGTAAATCTTCCTGGAGTCCTAGCCGTGTAACTTTCTATAAACCTCAAGGACTGAGAATGCGATACTACTACTACTAGCGAGTGACGATAACAAGATATATCTATATCAGGGGTCAAATTGTTTATACTGTTGATGATGGACGTTCTTGTAATGACTGACTCGATGAGGAATAGGGGGAAAGCAGGGTACGAGTACGGAGGACAGAGATTCTGTCTAGATCACCTGATCTGGTACGAGTCTCGACAGTTTCGCCAGATGGCGCGGAATAATAGACCTCATCTAGGAAGAAATGGTAGAGGGAGGGGTATAACGGAGGATGGAGGGTAGACCACGAGTAGTAGGGGGTGGAATAGTAAGACACTAGACTTCCACTGTTGATTATAGAACGGACGAAAAAGCCAAAGCGAGTCATATGTACCGTGTTATACGCTGCACCTGATGATCTGAATGAAGACCCTATAATACAACAAAAGAAAACCCAACGCTGGCATGGCTGTGCACAGCAATATTCAATTCACGTAACCCAAGCCTCTCCGGCTATCGCGCCATAGCACCGTTCCTCGCTGCGCCCGAACTGAAAACAAGATTTCTGTTTCCAGGGAAGAAGTTTGTCAAGTATGTCTGGTAAGGATGGACTCCATATGAGACTAAGCTGCATTAGAGTCGGCTGGTTGCTCTGCCTCCTGGGGGTTTGCGTCCTCGAGGTTTTGCTCGGGGATACGCTCAGGAATGGGCGCCGAATCGGTGGGGGCAAGAACCTTTTCGGTGATAGGTTCTTGAGGTTCTTCGGCTTCGGGCTGTGGTGCCGATTCCGGCTCTGCCTGCTGCTGTACGTCCTCCGGTGTAGTCAATGCAGGTGGCGTGACTTCTTTCGGTGGTTGGGGTTCCTCTGGCTGCTGAGGTGGAGCTGCTGCTTCTTCCACCTGGGGAGCTGGCTCCTCTGTAGTGACTGGAACAGGGGCTTCTGGCGCCTCTGGTAGTTGCTCGGCCTGTGATTCTGATGGTTGCTCGACAGGCGGCTGCTCGCTCTGCTGCTCAAGTGCATTATCGGTAGTTGGGGCCATCTCCTGGGCTGGGGCCTCCTCCAGGACCTGTGCTGTTGTCTGCTCCATGGGCTGTTCTTGTTGCACAGGCTGTGCTGGCTGCTCTGACTGCACGGATTGTTCAAACTCTGCAGGGCGTGGCTGTTCAGGCTCTGCAGGCTCTGCAGGCTGCTCAGGCTGCTCAGGCTGCGCAAGGTGTTCAGACTCAACAGGTAGTTCAGACTGCACTGGTTGCTCTGGAAGTGGCTCTCCTGTCGGCTCTTCCACCTGTTCTGCTGGAGCTTCTGGAGCCTCTGGAGCCTGTTCAATAGGCTGTGGCACAGGCGCTTCAGAGCCTTGCTCTCTGTGCTGTTCGGTTGATGGTTCTGCAACCTGCTCGCCCTGTTCCATTACAGCCGGTTCAGTGGCCGCTTCTGTGGCTCCTGTGATGCCCTCTGTTGCTGTATCCACCTGGGGCTCGGCTGTTTCTGTGACAGTGGGCTGCTCGATGTGACTCTGCACATCTGCCGCCTCCTCGGCGTCTATTAATTGATCGCCAGCCTGTTCTTCGCTCGGTGCATGGCCCAGACTCGCTTCCAAAGTACCGAGGAGATCGATATCTTGATCCTCTACAGCAACCTCACTAGGCTGGGGTTGGGCTTGCTCAGGAGCAGCTTGCTGAGGAACAGCCTGCTCGACTGGTTGTTCATGTGGGAGCTGGTCGTGTGCAGTTTCAGGAAGGGGTGCAAAATCCTCCATGATTATATCCATCATCGGATCATCCTGAGTTGTCGTCTGGGCCATATCCTGGCCCGTCTGAGACAGTTCCAGAGACTTCTCTACGGGCGCTTCCTCGACAGCCTGCTCCGCAGCTGGCGCGACTGGGGATGCTTCTGTAACTGAAGCCTGGGGAGCCTCCTGGTGTGGTAGGATAGGAGCAGTTTCAGCGCTTTCCGGGACTGGTTCCGGCTGCTGCATAGCTGGCATTTGCTGAGGAGGAGCAGATACCACAGCTTCAGGTTCAGGCAGTGGAGCGGCTTCGGTCATCTCCACATCCTCCATAGGGGTTCGTACCTCACTAGGCTTCTCAGGAACTGCTGGTTCGGGCAGGCTAGCAGGCACCTCTGCGGGAGGTTCGGTAGTTGGTGGCTCAGTTTGCGACACGACGGGTTGTGCAGGGGTTTCTGGAGCTTCTGCCGACGAAACCTCGGGGGTAGGCACGGCAGCTTCCGTAGTGTCTGGTGCAGTTGTTGCGGCCGGTTCAGTTGCCGCAGCAGGGGCAGGGACAGGAGCAGGTGTAGGAGCAGGTGCAGACACAGGCACTGAGTCGGCCGGCGGCTCAGTACTGGGACGCGGAAGCGGAGTTTCCGGAGTCTTTGCATCAAGCATCGATTCGTCACCCTCATCGCTCTCGTCCCCTTCCTCGCCTTCCTCATCGTCATCCTCCTGGCCATTTTGATCTACCGACATCCGTGATGGGTCCGTGTCCTCATCCTTCACATACTCTGCTGCGCCTTCGAGACCGCTGGAATTGGCATCATGGACCAAGGAAGCATCCGCGCCATCACCAGGAGCAAACATGACCTTCTTTCTCCGTCCCTTACCCACGCCTTTCGCCTTACGCTTGGGGGGCGGCGGCCGTCTTTTGGGAGGAGTCGACACCGCCGCAGAGGTTGTATCTGCAACCACCACGCCCTCGGCGTTGACAACTCCAACCCCCTCAATGACCGTACCTGGCGCAGGCGCCTCGGGGGTAACTGTGACAGCGCTATTATCGGCTACAACTGGAGCTCCCTCGGTGATCTCTCCCTCGATTTTGTGTCCTTCCGGCACCCAGGCTTCGTAAATCGAGATGTTCCCGGTCGCTGGATCGACCTTCTTGAACCGGGTCCGCCTCATCGGCGCAGCAGCATTGTTCCCATCAGTTGAGGTACCGGCGGCACCGTACAGCGATGGCAAGCCCGGTCGTCGCTTGGCAAGAAATTCGATTTCGGAAGATTCTAGATGTCTCGGTACCGCTGTCCATTTGCGCGTGACGAAGCTGCGTTCAGTGCTCTGGATTATTGGTTGTTCTTCTCCATCGGTCGCTTCTTTCTCTTCGTCTTCGGAGTCCTTCGATGCCTGGCGGATGTAGATGCACCCGGCGCGGGCGGCTCGCAGGAGGGCTCGACTCATTGGACCCAAAAGGTGACTGTCCCTTGGCATTGGGTGCTCAGGGATGGTTGGTTTCCCCCCAGGGCCCTGCACAACGGGTTCTGCAGCTTCTGTCTTGGGCACTTGCGAGATTGTCTGAGTTTGGCGTGTCCATCGTCGTACAGGGAGGCCCTCAAACACATCATGATCGATCTGACCGGTTCTGTTACGGTTGGCGCCATCGCCGAATTGGCGCCCAGAGCGAGAAGATCTGAACTGGGAGCTGTTAGCAGACTAACAATGGCATTGGCCACTCCTAGCTGGCAAGTTGCGATGGGATCGATGGTTGATCCAAGACGGGGGGGTGATGGCGACGAGAAGCTTACAGTGGGTGGCATGACGAGCGCCGGACCTGCAGTCCCACTCTCGGAAAAGGACAAAGAAAACGGGGGAGAGTCCCTCACCCAGAGTATCTACAGATCTGGGTGCTATGCCCGAATGGAAGAAAGGGTCTCTTTGGGGGGCAGCGGCGCGAGAGGTCGGCGCAGTCGACGGGCGCGATGCGATGAATGGAAGGAAGCGCGGCAACATCTCCCGCACGTGACTGCGCCCGCAGCGACTCGGCGACAATTACAGAGTACTTGGTCAGTGATTACAGCAGGACTCACGAGAGATGGCATTCATGGGGAGAGAAGAATCGTATTGCGGACAACGAAAAGTAAGCATCGGTGCTACCTACAGCGCAGCGGCTTTAATAAAAATACAGAGCCCCTCCGGTCTATCCAGTCACTTCATCTGCGGGTGATATCAATATCGTGTGGTGCTGCATTCCCCTCAACTCCGTACTCACGCTTCCAAAAACAAAGGATGTAGGTAAATCAATTAGTCCCAGCTAGACCGACATCAGCACAGCCCAAATCAAAGGGAAGCTAAAGCCCTCGTGGGGATAATGGGACCCTCTTACCCGGTATCCTTCTGGCGAACAATGTTGCCTTCCGAGCCAGTTTGCTTTCCCTGTCGCTCTATTAGCTTTAGGGCCACTTTGAAGAGGCTCCAGGCAGGACTCACAGTCTTCTGGCCTTCAACGACCAGCTTGTCCAGCTGGTAGAATTGACTGATAACAGTTTGTCTCTGCAGCAGTATTAGCAGCTCGTTCACCGGCATAACCCCCGCTTTGACTCAGCGCGCGCTGTCTGCGCAGACTAGGCAAACACGGCTCGCTCCATCCAAAGGCACTCAGATAATTCCACTGACCTTCATCATCCGCAGATTCTGTAGCCCATCCTGGATCAACTCCTGTATCCGCCTGTCCTCGGTTTCCTTCTGGTGCTCGCGGAAGGCATCCAATGTACGCCGGCGGGCATACTCGCGGAAGTTGTAGTTCGAGAACTGGGAGGATTGACGGAGCAGAGACCGAAACTGCCCGCATAAAACGGTCCAGTTAGCTCCAGTCCATCGCAGCATAAGACAGGGATTTGGCGATCCAGCTCATGCGGGGAGAGGTAGACATACCAGAGATCGGACCTGGAAGGCCGTCTCTCGCTGCAAGGTCGGCACAGACATAATGGCAAAGTTGATTTTTGGAGTGGAGAGATGCGATTATAACTTGGTATAGTTTAAAAATACGGGGGAAAGAAGTGAACTGCTGGAAATGACGATGCCGGAAAGATCCCAGATACAGCTATTCCCGATTTCTAATCGTTCGGAGCCGCTAACGTGGAGAGTCGCTTAGGCGATGCTATTCGTGTCAACGTTCTGAGTCCCAAAGAGGAACAATCCGAGAGGTCTTTACCGACGAGATCCGACTCCGAGAGGCGATTCGCAGACGGACTGGGATATCCCTCGGGCAGCGCAAGGCAGGTGGCGTTCTGTATAGAAGTCCAACAACCAACTGCAACGGCGTCTTAATCCCACAAACAGTCGTAGAGGGCTGGATCCAACAGGTGGAAGCGAGCACGAAAAATGAATCCTTCCGGATGGGGATGCAGGCGGAGCGTTGAAGGGACAATCGTAGGCAGGCCCGGGAAATTCTTTTGCTTTTGGCTCTCGGAGCGGAGGCGCGATGACGGAGTTATCGGACTCGCCGGCCGACCTCCACGGGGAATCTCCCTCTCCTCTCGCCTACCACTAAGTTCTATTCTCCCTCGACAGCCGCGATTAAAGCCCATTTCTATCCTACGAGGAGCACCACTGTACTTTGAATCGATCGCTGATCCCATTCTCGAATCTCAATGGCGCAAATCCCCACTCCGCCTGCCTCCCGCTCTGCTTCACCAGCTCCGGATGCCGAGCCGAAGCAAGCTCCTGTAGCAGAGTCCCCGGTGGACTTACTGCAGTCGTTGGACAATTTGCTGGAACGGTATCTGCACCTCCTAGATCAGCATCAGAAGCTGCAAGCCGAGCTAGGTTCGAAGCTCTCCTCGGTATGTCATCTCAATCGCGCCATGAAGCGATCCGATCTAGCGGGAACTGAGACCAATGCCAGGGCTTTTTCTCTCTCGCCCAAGCCAACTATACGTGTCCACCTGGTCGACACTATGGCGCGGACTACTATGATGAACGCATGAAAGCGACCAAAAGAGTGTGAGTGGCTGCACCATGGGTCGATCCACATCTGTTATCTTCACAAGGTTCATGCTAATCGGTTCGATCAATCTAGGTCTCTACAACCTCCTACTAATCTTACTGCTGAGCGCTATACGATAGACGCAGAAAACTCACCGGAGGCAGATACCAAGGACGGCAATTCTAAACCTATCTTCGAGATCAAAACGGTTGCCGTTCAACACACGGAGGATGAATCCGAGACTGACGATAAGGCCGAGTCAGACGCCAGTTCATCTCAGGAAGACCAGTCGGGACGTGAAGAAGATAACAGTCAAACTGGCGAGACTCTGGCCACGCCAGAGCCTCCTCAAGCGGAACAGGAAACAGATGCGAAGCCCAAGCGATCAAAGAAGAAGTTCCGTTCTTCGAACCCTATTCACTGGTACGGGATCTTGGTGCCCCCTTATCTTCGCAGCGCCCAGAAGTCCTTCACTGAAGCCATCGAGAGTCGTCTGCCCCAGCTGGCTAGTGTCATAGTTGAGATGCGAATCGTGGAGAAGGAAGTCGAACTAGTGCGGAGCGAGCTGGGTCAGAGATAGAGGCATATCCAGGTCCTTGGAGGGTTGCTGTCCGGTCACCGTGCGCTAGGAGTAAGGTTATCGGTGATAAAAGGTATTAAAAAGCGCCTCAGACCATCTGTGCTCATGGTGGATTATAGATTATGCATAGAAATAAAGTATAGATTGAGTACGGACAGGGAAGCTACGGCAATTCATATGTAAAATAAATGAAAGGCAATATCGAGAATGAACAGACGCACCCACCCGGCGCGTTTTCCCATTCTATTTTTATTTTTTGACATGGATGGTCCGATGGAGTCCAATGGACGATTTACTGGGTTGATCGATAGTAGTAAGCGGGTATATCAACGCTATTCGAGCATTCCATGCCATGGGGTTACCCACCGCGTGGTGATCCGAAGCACCCTTCAAGGACTTGACCATGGATGGAGAGAAAATAAAGTCGAACCCAACGAACCCTGCCGTCAGACGATATTCGGCTCTTGGAAGTGGGAACGGGGGTGGTTGCAGGTGGCTGCAGCATCAGGGAAGTGAAGAGGGGCCGCCCGTTGAGCCTCGGAGTTGGCTTCCTGGTCTTCATCACTTCTCTCGTCCATGGCGGGCCACTTGACCACATCGCTCCCGGACTTCTCATGGCGCCCCAGATCCGAGATAAAAAGGAGGATACTATTATTATCCCTCATATGATGCTAGTTGCTACTGCCGGCTTAATCTCGTCCCGACTGTGGTGCTTAATTTCCGGGAATCATTCACTAACCACAACCAGTCTTCTGCCCGACGGCAGTGACGGACTTTTGCTAGTATCTACAACGGAGGAGATAGATGACTACTGATGGCGCAACTGCTGACCTCGACGGACTAGCTAGCTAGGTCTGCCTCCTTCAATCATCGCGAGAGAAAGGACTCTGGCCAGGATTGAGTTTTTCCCACCGCCATGACGGTCGTGAGACTCGGATGGTTTTATGGCTCTGATAACCGGTGGAGCTTCCCGCGCCAGGATCACTTGCAAGTCGTGGATGGCCTGCGCTGACGACCATGTCTCGCTTGCCCCATGGCCCCGTTCATTGGCCGGTGCACACGGAAAGACTTCGTCGACCGTTTCATATTGAAATCCCAGGGCCGCAGGACCGCGCTGGAGCAGCGGCACTTCTGCTCAAGGTGAGACCTAGTTGAACCATCGTCTGCTTGGTCCCTCGGCCCCTGACCAATGGACGGCCCTGATCCCTGTCTTTAGCTTCTCCGGTTATTCAGGATTCCCAATTTCTGGCCAATCCATGGCCCTCGCCTACCCTGTCCCCTCCTTTCGCATGGCCCGCCGACTCATGGGACTCCGCTGGCCGTCTGCTCCAGTTCCACGCAGGCACACGGATTGCAGTAGGGAAAACTGGGAAGAATCAGGCATCAGATATCAGATGGGTGTGAGGAGGGATGCCATTCGTCACCAGTGACTGTCGCCCAAACGCGGTATCAGCTCTGGATGTCGGGTCAACCACCGGTGAAAGGCAATGTTTACGTGGGAGGCTGGGTTTCGCGCGCCTGGTCTCTTAACAGCCACCATTATCACAAACGGCCTTCCGTGCCTGTCCCCGCGCTATTGCTTTGGATCAACTCCACTCGCACTGAACCGGACCGACTCTAAAACGTCTGCGCCCTTATCCGGTCCTATGCCCGCGCATAGGACGGAAATGAAGCACTTTAATATCAACGTCTGACTTTTGGTTCGCCGGGTTGCTGGAAAACCCTTGGCCTTGCTTTCCCAACCGTGTGAGGCGTTATCGCCCAAAGGACTGAGTCTTGACGCGACACTGGGGGTTGTTCCCTTTCTTTCTACCTTCCAGTCGCTCGCTCCTTTCTTTCCAAGTCAGGGCTAGAAGCTCTTTCTTTTCGTTCCCTGTCGTTCTTTTAGATTGACGACCCCGTAAGTCTGGAACTAGCGCCCTCGGTGACCAGGTGGGCTAACTGATGTCTTGCTATGCGCTCAGGGGTTTCAAGAACTGCCAAACGTTCTTTTGAGGCTTTGGGAGTTTGATATTGTGCTTTTTGGACCTGGGTCTATCTTCCTTCTTTAAACTTTGACAACAGACCTTTTCTGTGCGGTACGCAAGCTTCATCTGGTTATCTACCATGTCTAGGATTGCAGCATCAACTTACTCATCCCCTCTAGAGGCATTGAGTGCCCTTGCGACACTTGTTATCATCCACTTTCTCTTGATTGAATTTTGAATCCATTGCTTCACGCATTGACTGTTGCACGGCGTCCAACAGTCAGAACAATTGCTGTCTTCTTTCGTTTACATCTATCGCAACACCGTCCAGCTGTTCAGCCCTCTGGTGTTGAACAAAGATCTTTACACCAGCAGCATCTCGTCGACTCTCATCCTATGTGCTGGTCAATCGTCGCCCCATCTTCCACAAAAGTATCTTATGACTATTAGGAACTCTACAGTCTGACACTGATAATACATGGATCCTCAATCCGACAGCGCAGGCTCCCGGCCTCAGTCAAATGAGGATGTTTCGCGAAAAGGATCCGTCAAGCGAGCGCGAGAGATGCTTCAGGCTGGAAAGCGCCCTGAGCGAGTAGAACCAGAGCCGACTTTCCGAGTCAACCCAGCCCATATGACACAATGGCCTCTGCCCGACAATCCCGCGATACCGTCGAACTTGGCTCACCCTCAAGCAACGTTGAACGTTCCCAAAGGACCTCCGCCGGTGCGACCCCCTCGCCCTGACTGCCCGTCCCCTTCGGTCTATTCGGAGACAAGCATGTCGGATGCTTTATCGGCACCCAGCCCGCTGAACATCAAACGCCCGGTCCCCTCCTTCTCGCAACCTTTTCCACTCCAACAAGGCCCGCGTCCTACCATCAGAATCCCGATCCCTCGACCGCCTAGCCCAGACAGTGTTGCCGGTTCAACACCTCGCATTTCAGTTGCGACGGATGATCTTTTTCGACAGTCGGGAATCTCCACCGTCTCATCAATCACTGAACTTTCCTCCGTGCCTCAGCCACTGCCGTTACAGCACCGTCCTGCCCCCGGAGGAGCCCCGCAAAAGTCCGCTAGCCTTGCACCCCCGGTGCCGGTGGCGCGACCGGGTGGAAATCGCGCCTCATCCGTTTCGCCCATCCCAGAGGAACTTCCGGACAGCCCGACCATCTCGCAAGACCACTATGGAGCTGCTCAACCGTACCCACCCAGCTGGTACTCGGGACAGGCTGAATCAGAGATTTTGGGGACATATCTAGACGGCGAATCAGACGACGATGACGTACATATAGCTCACGCCGGAGTCGCTACGCTCCTCAGACAAGCCAGCGTTGGAACCAGAGGGAAACCTTCCTTGCGCACCATCCAGAAGTCGAATGCTAGCTCACCAGTACCGCCCTCGGAGAGGACCCCTGTGTCCGCTAGACCAACTACAGCCGGAACCATGCTACCTGAGGTGGCACTGAAAGAAGTGGCTGTAGGTTCGGATCGCAGGGATTCTGTCTCGTCAACCTCGACATCATCCTCACATTTCAACTTGGAGAAAGCACCTATTATCTTGGACGTCAGCACGCCACATCCCGCCTTAGCTCGCCCATACAATGACAATGAAGCCCTGGAGAAGGAAGTGGGCGCACTTCCCAAGGCTGCACCAACGATGAGTGACAAACGACCGGGTGGCCGCAGACCTCCGCGCCTCAACATGCTTGCTGTCCGTGACGCAGAGGCTCGAGGGAGCCTAACCAGCTTGCCTGATCTCATCCTACGCGCCACAAAACTTGCGTCGAACCTGGAGCATGGGCGGACTGCAAGCAGGAACGACCTGCTGAATGGTGGTGGAGGTTCAAGGTTTCCATTTCGCGGTAGGTTTGACCCAAGATGTCAGCATCAATGCAGCGGCAGGACTGATCAATATTTACAGATGACGCCAAACGCAAGTCCGGATCAATCAAGAGCATCTTGGCGTCATTCCCCCCCCCTGCTGCAACCCCAGAGGGTGGCCACTCTTCCTGGCCGTTCTTCCTCAGGAGGTCCACCCTACATCAGATACAATCCAACGAGCCCCCTCAGGCAGACCAGGAGAAAGCCGCGCCAAAGCAACCCCGCCGATGCTGCGGATTACCACCCTGGCTCTTTGGCCTCCTTTGCCTTTTGATTGTCATTATCATCCTTGCCGCTATTCTCATCCCCGTTTGCCTGCTTGTGCTTCGGCACAAGTCGAGTGGCACAAGCTGCGCAAAGAGCAACCCGTGCGAAAATGGCGGCGTCAGTGTTTCCAGCGGTAGTCTTTGTTCCTGCGTTTGCGCCAACGGCTATACTGGGTCGCGCTGTACGATTTCTGGCGATGCCAGCTGTGTCACCACCGAGGTCGACAATAAGAACGCCACCATGGGTAGCAACCTCCCCCGTTTGTTCGAGTACTCCCAGCAAAACTACAGTATTTCTCTGGACGCAGTTACCATCATGGCACTTTTCAGCCAGAACAATGTCTCCTGCACGACGGAGAACATGCTTGTTTCGTTCGCTAGCGTAGCAACAAGCAGCAGCAAAGCCCGCCGTGCTCTGTCTGCCTCGCCTCTGACTGAGCGCTCGATTTCGGACTATCTGCTAGCCAACCTTGAGCAGCCTCCCAGCCCCGCCTTATCAGAATTGACTCCTACGCAAGCCCTTGCAGCCCGTGACTCGGTCGCTACCGCACACGGCATCGTCTACGACGGCGACCCACCATCGACAGTCTCCACGACTGCAACGGCCACCAACACCGGGCACGCATCCCAAGCCACCGCAACTTCCACCTCTAACTCCACTGCAACGACGGTTAGTTCTACATCCTCCAACTCCACCACCGTCACAACGGAAGTCCTTGACTTTGCCCGCGTCGCTGTTCTCTACATCCTCGAGGAAACCGGCACCCTCGCCGCCGCCGAGTTCTCAGAAAGTAATATCCAGTCCTACCTGACCGAGGATTACACCGACGCCCAGACCCACAGCTTCACCGTCGATCTCACACCCTCCGGTATCCTCGGCAACTATACTCTGAACTTTGACGACTTCCAGATCAAATTGCCCAGTGGCAGTGTCGTCGGGGGAAGCTAGGATACCCGGGACTCGCGGGGGCTGTTTGTATCTTTAATTAATTCATCTGCTTCAATATTGACTTGATTTGCATTTGCAATACCGTTGAGCGATAGTAGCCTGTCTGTATATGTACATATCCTCGCACTACGATAGATCTATAGCCGTCAGCATTAAATCCGAGAAGCTTATGCCCCTCCGCTCCTTCCCCCTGGCAAAACCTCCTGACCTTCCTTCCTAGATAAGCCCCTAGCCTGCACCTTCCTTCTTTGTATGATACAGCCTTTAGTATATCTACTGTATGTAGTGCCAGGCTCCCAACCCTCCCTACATTCATCATATAGAACTCCCACGTAGCTGCGGCAGCAGCAGTCTGGATAAATTCCAATTTTTGCATGCATGAATTAACCCTACAGCTTTGTATTTTACCTACACACCCAGCTCCGCAATAGACAGGAATACATTCGAAAGGAAAAACCATCATTGAACCCATCCCCAAATTAATATACATGATAGATGGTATATCGATTGCACAGGATAGTCTCTACATCCAGCGAACAAAACAAGATACCTACCCACCTACCTATGGGTAATGAGATATCTATCACATACGGATATAGAAACAGAAACAGATTGTAAATGACTAAACAAAAATAAATAACTAATGTATTGTGGAGGTAAAAGGATGGGGGGAGAGGGATGAGGAAGGCATGGAACCAAAAAAGGTCGTGCCCGGGATCGAACCGGGATTGCTGGAATCAGAATCCAGAGTGATGACCATTACACTACACAACCTGTTATGGTGATCGATTTCTGTATTCTAAAAATATAAGATAAATTAAATAGTATAAGAGGAATTGAACAAACTGGCATCGTCTTAATTAAACACATTCAAAATGATAGGGAAATCCGAATGTGATGGTTTAGTATTGGACGGCTTGGTATAGGCATTGTCCTAAGTAACATATTTTGTTATATCTGACTACACAGTAAATAATCATACACAGAGAAGAGAAACCCCACAACGCTTCAGAATATGTTAGGTATGTCCTCGCCTCAACTCCTCAATTCCATGCATGGGCCAAATGATAAAAACAGTGAAGGATAGGTAGCTGGTCATGTGTGACCGGACTAGGTGAACATCGAGCTGTTAGGCGCAAGTCCCTGGAAGGCATTGTCGTCGTCGACAAACGGTGAGAGCCTTCTAGACCGGTCGTCGAGAATGATGCGTTCGGCTTCCCATCGCTTCCGCTCGAGAGACTTAGCCTGAATTTGCTTTTGGCCACCGTACCAGGCCGTCTTGGCCTTTTCGATGGCTTCCAGCTCCTCTTTCTCGGCCTGTGCGACTAGACGGGAGACCATGGTTTTCCAGTTATTGAGGCCGACTCGCAGACAGTCTGCGCAGCGTTCGCGCGGGATACGGACCTCCTCGGAGGAGCCGAGTTCGAGGATGCTAGCTTCGGCCATGTCGACGGCGTCACGGGTCCAGGCTAGGCCGGTTTCCTTGGAGGAGGAGGCGAAGATGATCTCTCCGATGTAGGTCATGAGGCCTGCTTCGTCGCAGGCAGAGGTGACAGTTCGCACGGGAGGTTCATCTCCCGAGGATTGAGCTGGAGGATATTCAACTGGAATGAGGACGGTCTTGAGGGAGTTGAAAAGGGCTCGGAAGGGGTCATTGCTCGGACGAGGGATAGAGGGGAAGAATGGAAGAACGTTGTCTGGGTTGGCTGGAAGGGAACGACGAGCCTTCAGCACCGAAGTGAAGATGGATAGCGCATTGGGCAGGTTGCCCTGTTTGGCCTGGTAGACTGCAAGCGCAGTGGACACTCGGATGATGTTTTCAGATGGCAAGAATTTCCCGTCGTTCTTCAAGACGCCCGTCTTCACGTCCACGACTTTCGAGGCATCCACGGACGATCCAGCGGCCGCGATATCCATAGCCCAGTTGTACATGTCCTGCGCAGTGTTCTTCAAACCTTTGTAGTCGAGCCAATCCGCATATGAGAGAGCCGCGTCCACTTTCTGTCTTGTGTCGAACCCCCGTGTCGTCAAGATCTTCATGTAGAAGGTTTCCGGGCTGGGAGAGGCAGGCTCACAGTTCTCCTCCCGCGGGACCTTCTTCTGACCAGCAGGCATGGGCTTCGGACGAGGGTTCGAAGGGCCAACGACATATTCCGCAGGAGCAGAGATGCGCTGCTTCCGATCGGTCAACCAGCCCTCAAGACTCTCCGCGGCCTTAGCAGCGCCCATGAGAGCCTGGAAGTAACCCCGTCGCCACGGCTCACTCTTCGCAGTGATATCAAACCCGGTTTTGCCGACACCAGCGACGAGAAATCCCCCGTCTTCCTGCTCCACAATACCCTTGCCTTCTCCGTCGGGGTTCTCAAGCCGTTCCAACAAGTCGCGCAGGTATCCCGCCACCATGGGCCAATTGGTCATCAACTTGCCGATCTGCGCGGGGTTCTGCTGTGCCTGTGCCGAGCGCAAGCACCACCGACTTTTCCATGACCATTCCGGGGGCGTGGGCCATTGATGCTCGATTTCCTCCTGGTACACGCCCATCTTGATGACCTGGAACAGAACCAAGATGGCGTAGAACGACAGACCGATCTTCAGCCCATTGGAGAGGCGGCGTCGATAATAATTCCGGCTCTCGGTAGATACAAGCCGTGCGAAATGCTGTCGGAGATGCAACGATAACGGCGGAAGAGGCCGAGTGCCTGCGGCGGATGAGAGGAAAGGTAGTTGAGGCCGACCTAACGGCGGGGATATAACATGAAGTCGGGAGTTCTGCGTGAAAGGCCGGGATGCAGGACGGTAATTGTGTAGAATGGGGGGCCGCAAGGAGCGGCCAGCCCCCGGTATTCGAGGAATCGGTGCGCGAGGAGGGAGCATTCTCTGATGTGGTCGCAGAGCTGCTTGTGCCAGGATCGGTTCTCAACTTCGTCGAAGAACAGCGGCGCCCGCGGACCAGATCAGGTGCCGGTTTGCACAGTTTGCAGGCCACCCGAGGTCACAGAACTAACCAGTTGACTCTGAAAAGATGAACACTACGGAAGGCCACGCTACGATTTTGTTTGGCTGGCAACCTATAATCACTGTATTGGGGAATCATTCATATTATTTCAAAGCCAAGTCTCTATAGACCAGAGATCCTCTAAATCACCCATGGTTCCGAAATCCCACCTGTATCAGACAAAATCAAATCCAATGTTTTCCCAAGCGCCTACGCTAATCTAGTTGCGGTCAAAGTAGCCCTCGCTCTCGAGCATGAGGATGATCTCGTGGACAATGCTGCGGACGCTCTGCTTGGACACGTCGACAGTAAGATCCGCGTTAGCAGGAGTCTCGTAAGGGTCATCAACACCAGTGAAACCCTTGATCTCGCCGCGGCGGGCCTTGGCGTAGATGCCGCGCTTGTCGGTCTTCTCGCAGTACTCCAGAGGAGTAGCAACGTGGACGAGGAAGAAGTTGCCACCGGATCCAGCGACGGCCTCGCGGGCAGCCTTCCGGGAGTGCTCGTAGGGAGCAATGGGGGCGGCAATGACGGCAGCACCGGCACGGGTGAGCTCACCGGCCACGAAGGCGATGCGCTGGACGTTGGTGTGGCGGTCCTCACGGCTGAAGCCCAGCTCCGAGGAAAGCTCGTGGCGGACAGTGTCACCGAGCAGGAGAGTGACCGAGCGTCCACCCTGCTGGTTCAGGGTGACCTGCAGAGCACGGGCGATGGCATCCTTGCCGGAGTTCATGTAACCAGTAAGGAAGATGGTGAAACCCTGGGAGGCACGAGGGGGGTTGGATTCACGCAGGATCTTGACAACCTCGGGGTAGGAGAACCACTCGGGGATGTGAGCACCGGTGCGGAGGCGGTTGCGCAGCTCGGTACCGGAGATGTCGAGGGTCTTGACACCAGCGGGGACCTGGTCGCGGGGACGGTACTCGTCGGTGTCGGGAAGGTAGGTGACCTGCTGGAACTCGACGACCTCAATGCCCAGCTCGTCCTTGTACTTCTCGACGGCGTGCTGAGCATCGTAAGGGCCGTAGAACTCCTGACCCTTGGAGTTCTTACCGGGACCGGCGTGGTCACGGCCGACGATGAAGTGAGTGGCACCGTGGTTCTTACGGATGATAGCGTGCCAGATGGCCTCACGAGGACCACCCATACGCATAGCCAGACCCAGAAGACCCAGGACAGCCATGCCGTTGGGGTAGCGGGGGAGGAGGGCCTGGTAGGCACGGACACGGGTGAAGTGGTCAATATCACCGGGCTTGGTGAGACCAACGACGGGGTGGATCAGGACATTGGCCTGACGGGCGCGCGCGGCACGGACGGTCAGCTCACGGTGAGCTCTGTGCATGGGGTTTCTAAAGCATCGTTAGTTCAGGCTCCGCAGAGCGACAAGAGAGTCTGGCTCGGGCATACGCACCTAGTCTGGAAAGCGACAACTCGGGACCAGCCGAGCTTGTCGAAGTGGACGCGCAACTCCGCAGGAGTGTCTAATTAAAGGCCCGCGCGGTCAGTAAATTCTCCGGGATACGATCCTCGGGGTTGTGCACGGGTAAGGACATACAGCGAAGGGCGACATAGTCGTAGTGGTTGAGCTTGTTGACAGCCTCGACCTTTCCACCAATGTAGAACTCCTGGATCTTGGTGTTCAGGTACTTGATGGCAGGGTGATCCTCGTCTCCGCCAAAGACCAGCTTGGCTTCCTTTTGCCTAAATCAGGGGTAAAAGCGCATGGTTAGCCCATCCGCGTCATCGAGACCCACTATCTGCAAAATCCCCGACAACTAGTCACCTCCGCGGGTCGGAAATCAAGGCCGACGATGCTAATCCCACTCGGATTGGTTTCATGATTGAAACCCATTCCAGCCAAGCGAGCAGCGATCGTTGACATCCCACGTTTGCCAAGAATCGTTTTCGTAAAGAAACGAGAAAAAGTAAAAAATCAAGAGGAGATAGAGTTGCGACTCACTTGTCAGCACGGTAGATGTCGTCAATGGTCAGGATGGCCAGGTTGCGGTCGTCACGGAAATCGCGCAGGGTGACACGAGCACCAGCCTGAAGCTTGAGGTCGGAGATGGTCTGCTGGGAGGCATCGAGGGTGATGGGCATGGAGAAGACGTTGCCATCGGCCAGGCGGCAGTTCTCGCAAACACTGCATGGAAACGAGAATCAGCCAATTGCCCCCATTACTTGTGCCAGTGAACAGCCCCTCTTCCACATTGTCTAGTCGAGGACCGGTGGCGTAGAATGGAGTGGGGGGGGAAAGGGATGGTCGCATACCCGTCGAAGTCCTTCTGGTTCATGAAGCCTGCGCCCGCGTTAGCCAAGACCGATGCACCCCGCGCTGGTTGCCTTTTGCGACAGCACGCAAGGTTGCGGACAGCAACCGTGGAATGAGACACATACCCTCCAGAGGACTGAAGCCACCGTTCATGATGAGCTCCAGATCGCAGAGCTGGCGCTCGGAGAGAACGATGGCGGGGAGGGTCTCCGCCTCAGCAGCCAGCTGGTCGTGGCGGGGAGCATCGCGAGCAAGAAGGTCCTTAAGGACACCACCGTGGGGAGAGTTGGCCATTGTGAAAGGATGAAGAGGGATGGATGGGAAAGGAAAGACAAAGGCGAAGGAGGGTCTGGAGGATCCAGAGGCTTATAAAGAAGAGGGGAAGGGAATGCCAGGGAAGAAAAAAAGTAGGAAGGGGGCTGAAGAGGGGAACGGCGGAGAATCAGGCAAAAGATCCAATTCGAGCCCTCAGGAGATTTGACGGACGCTTTCGATGACCAATATGCTTTCTCCAATGCCCGTCCAGTTCCCCGTTCCAGCCAATTCAACTGTCGGGATCGGACCTGTGGCCTCGTCAAGTGGTGGAGCAATCCAACTCTTGGTTCGCGGAGGGTCTACGTATGCCTTGGATCTTTGTCTTCTGGCGCTGAGGATGAGGCTTCCCCCATGCGTTTCTCTACGAAGTCGCAGTTCCTGTCATCCTCGGCGCGATGGCGCCATCGCCTTACCGCCAGCAAGCTATCCTTATGCATCCACTATTTTCGGCCTTCTGGAAGGTGGGCGTTGGACATAAGTCGCATACTTGGTATACACGGCTGGCTCCTCGGAGATACAGCGCTGCCACCACCACCACGGGGATAATCCCCCCATCGTCGTCATCACCTCCATGTTGAAAGCCACATAATCTCCCCGGCTGGGTCTACGGGGCCCAGAACAAGTCAAGATTTTCAGGGGCACAGCGAGGAGATTCTCGGATACAAAACCAGCAGGGATCCCGACATGTCAATCGCACGCGTGGTCTTTTCTCAGATAGATGCTGGCCAGCGCTGCTCCGATCGGAGACGTCAGCCCAGGCCCGGCCGCATAAAAGTTGAAACGGTCCTCCGTCGCCTTTGAAACGCTCGCCGGTCAGTCACGTGTCGGATCACGACATCCCCAGGTCGGCTTGCGTGATCAGACTACGCCAGCCGGGGCTTAACCCTGCTTGGCACCGGTTCCGCCCTGCCCGCTCAGGTGACCCGCTTGCCCTAACAGCTGTCTGCTGCAGTCCATCAACACAGGAATATTATTATTATCGAATGTCCGGCTGCTGGTCGGTTAGGCGCAGAGACTGATGGCGGACTTACAGTGTAGTCGACGCTGTACTAATGCCGACTCGGTTAGTCACCTCCCCGGTCAACTTATTTGCACCAGTCCGTAATATCCCTCCACGAGCACGACATACTTCTCGTGTTCAGCGGTCAGCCCGTCAGCAACGCCCAGACCGACCCTGCCACGGGATACCGGATCGTGCCCGTATACGGAAGACACCCTGAACTTATCTGACTTGCGTTCGGTCCGCTGTGGAACTGCTCAGGACATGTTCGTGCTTAGCTCAGGGTCTCAGGGTCCAGGATCGCGGGATGTGGCTTCTGAAGAGCGGGAGGGGCCAAAAGACTTATGCAGGATTCCGTTGAAGCCAAGAATGACGATGATGGGAAGTAAATGATGCAACCAGCTATGACTTTGCCTGTCACATGAACATGCACGAGACTCCTCAAAATCATATCTTGATACTAAGAAATCCACAGCGTAGCACAATAATATAATTCTAACGCGCTTAAATCTCTATATCACTCACAAAACCAGCCATCCAACCTATCCTACATCACGGAGTAGACTGGCCATGTACACAGCCACCCCAATTAGAAATATCTTTAGAAAACCCAAAAACACAAGCCACATCCAACCCTTACCCCAGTCTTCAAACTCCCAAGTCCGAATAAAGTCTAGAACCCAACCCATCCACCCCATCCTCTTACATAAAAGAAAACGGGGGCAACGCAAGCAACCCAGTCTCTCTCGCACGAGAAACAAACATCCCCCATTCCATCTCCGCTGATAAGGTTCTTTGACTGGGTGATTAGATTGATAAGATAAGATCGCCCCTCAAGGGAATTAACAGAAGTGAAGAGTTGGCTGTCTTTACTCTGGTAAGATACGGAAAGTCTGATAAAAGAGTATACCCCTGCCTTATTCCATATTTGTGGCTGAATAGACGATTGTCTACTCTTCAAGGGACGTTTGAATAATACCACCAATTACTTAGATCCAGTGGGGTCTATCCCTTGTATATGTTCGTAATCAGAGCCTGAAAGTAAAAGCCAGAATGATAATACGATATAGGTAGGATACTTTCCTACACAGGAGTGAATTCATGGGTTGAATGCGCCTAGAACCATGTAGTACATTGTTCAATGATGTGTTTTTTCATCGAGACCTTCAAAATCCCATATATGTAGACGCACATCAACTATTGATTCTGATCTGGTTTAAAATTGGAGTCTTGTTAATTCACACAGACATGATGGCTTATTTTGTTCAGAAACCGGGGTACCCGCTAATCCCGGATGCGCTTGCAAGGGTCTTGGCAGGGTCTTCGAGATTTGGACACGTTTTCCCAGAAAATGGGGAGGTATCAGTTATTGCGCCATAGCAAGGGAATTGGTGTTTGGCAGCACTGGAAATCTTTAACTTGTTGGGGCAATGGTGCTAAAATCACGCAGGTTGGTTGGGTCGGGTGCAAAATCGGATAGGGTTCGACTGGGAACACCCCACCCCACAGTTCTTCATCCTTGAGCCAGAGCTTACTTAGATATCCATACACAGAAGAAAAGAAGGTAGAATAGAATATTTTATTCATTGTATCATGCAATTCATTAATATACTTGGCTTGTAAGCCATCTTTTGCAAGTTCCTGCCGGTCACCGCCAACCCGATAAGTATATACAGTATTTCCCGTCGGGCTCGGATTGGCGGGAGGCCCTTGATCCCATTAGAACCGTTTGCTCGAATGAATTTTCCCAAAGTCATAACACATTATCCCCGGCTGCGCTCGTAGGGACTGTTTAAACAAGAATGAACAAGGCTGTGTAACTCCGTTCGACCCAGATCATAGAACGCCGTTGTATATGCAAGGTGCGAAAAAACAAGATTTTTACTGAGCGGTAGTCGTGAGCGATGACTGGAGCGCCTGCGATAGGGCCTCCTCCTGACGCTTACGCTCCATTTCCATCAGGAACTGGGCATACTTGGACCGAGGGTTGTGGATACCGCACTCAGTCTTCTGTTGGCCCTTCCAGCGACCCGACCGCTCATCCTCGTTCTCCTTGACCGGCTGGGTGGAGTGGTAGTCGCCAATGCTCTTGTAGCCACGGTCAAGCAACTCATTGTAGGGAACATCGTTGTCCTTGACGTATTGCTTGACCTGCTCAAAGGACCAGTTGGCGAGAGGGTTGATCTTGATGAGGCCGGCTTCGTCGACCTCGATGACATCCAGGTCACCACGCTTGCCACCCTGGCTGCGGCGACGGCCAGTGAGGACGGCATGGACGTTGAGTTCACGGTAGGCACGCTGGGCGGGCTCAACCTTGGCCGTCCAGTCGTAGAACTGGTCATCACTCTCCCAAAGACGGGAACCGTACTTCTTCGCAAATTCTTCCTCAGTCTCAACACCCTGAGGCTTGAAGACGTGGATGTTGACCAGGGGATACTTCTGACGGACGCGGTCGACCAGAGCCAGGGTCTCGGGGAAGTGGTGGCAGGTGTCGAGGAAGATGAGATCAACCATCTGAGGACGGGGCACGTCCAGCTTGGAGAGCATATCCAGGGTCACCAGACCCGTGAGACCGAAAGCGGTGGTCTGGTAGAGGTGAGGGAGAGAGGTGACACACCATCTCAGGACGTCTGCGAAAGGTCAGTCAATTGGCCTGGGGGACGTAAGAGGGGCAACCCATGCTGACCTTGAGGCTCGAGGAACTGCAGCTGTCTGTTGAGGAACTTCAAGTGCGGCTTGGTGAAGACAATCTCTGGAAGGTAGTCATCACTAGAGCCGCCACTGACATAGCCAGAGTCCGTGGCGTTGTCTCGAGAGTCGACGGCCTCAAAGCCGGAGGGGTAGTTCTCAGAAGTCTTCGCAGGCATGTTGAATGGATGTCTTTGCAAAGCGACTTAGGTAGACGAGTCAATCCCAATGAAGAAGCAAACAGATGAAAGCGGGTCTATTTGTATGGACTCGGCAGACCAGAGGGATGACCAAGACTAGGAACTAAACTGGGAGGCGAGAGCTGATGTAGACAGGACACAGCAGAGACGACTCGACCAGTCCGATATAAAAGCCAGGCCAGACAGGGGCAATCACGACATCATCGGGTCGGGGCAGCCGTTCTTCCTGCTGCCAGTCCCCTCATAGATGCCGACCCATTCTGCCGTTCTCGATCACGACATCGTCTGTGACCGCCTGCGAAATCGGGCCACAGGGCAGAAAAATTTCATTTCCTCATGTCCTGGGGAAATCACGCAATACTTGCATGGTTGGTTGCTGTGGTCGCCCGGAGACGCTTAGGTCATTCCCTGGGACCCTCTCCGGCTGATAAATCGCGGGGGTGTCCCACTGTGGTTTGGAACAGTGCAGAAGACAGGCGAAGGAAGGATGATGACCCATTCCTCCGGCCGGCAGCCAGTTGTAGCTGACCTGCTTATCATGATCACGACATGGCGCCCGGTCTCCGGTCTATTTTCTGGCTACAGCCGGTGCAGATCTAGGGAATTGTTAGCCTCGGGCTATGGGAATCGGAGTGCTTAGAAACAAACCCATCTAGGGATGACTGTGACGAACTAGTGTTGTCTTGGCGTCCGGATGACATGGAGCAAGGGCATTTGTCATCGTAGATTGAAGGTGGTCCCTGAATTGATATCATCATCAGCGTCATTGTGGCTATCCGGATTGCCTGTGGAACTGTAGTAACCTTGAAGCCAGCAACCAGCAAGACAATGAAAGTCGCCACGATTCTGCCGGGCGGGGAAAGTGCCCGCTCAGGTGACCGAGGGGCAGCCCCCCACCACGTGCGGCCGATCGGAGCTGCAGGGGAAATTCGCCCGTTCTTCTCAATGCCAGCGACCTCGTCTTGACGGCCTCGTATCTCCCCTCCGCTTCTCCAGCTTCTCGAGGGTGCATTCCCGCCGGGTGGGCTTTCCGTTGTTTGCTGAGGATTTTCCGCTGCTTGCAGCTTGACCGCACTGCCCCCTCCGTCCAACTCCGATCCAACCCCTTGCGCCCAAGTCTCTAGTCCGGCACAATGGCAGCGCCCAACCCCAACCCCACCACCGCTCGTCCAACCCGACCGATATTGCGACAGACCCTTTCCAGCGCCTCTTTCATCCAGGACCATCAGCAGTACAAGCCTTCGGCCCCTATCCCGACCATCGGCAATGTGATTGGCAACTCCCCCGAGTCGGCATTCGCTTCGCTGTCTCTCAAAGCTAATCCTATTAGCCCGGACCCCGAGAAAGTGACCGACAGCGGCATCACTCACAGCATCTTTAACCCGCAGACCAACAGTCTGCCCAGTGGAGCCCAGCAGCTGGTCGCAACCATCTTCTACAAGTCCTCGGATCCGATCCATCCCCATCTGCACCCGGACTCGTCTCCCCATGCTGGATCGACGCTTCCTTCCCCCATGGTGCCCGTGGGGTCCGCCCCGACGGTCGACATGGAGAAGATCCCCCGGGAGCCTCCCGCGCCGGAGCCGGAGCCGCTCGACCATCTGTACGGCCCGTTTGTGTCACAGCTGTGTCTGACCAACTTCCTCCAAATCATCGAGTCCCTTCCAACCCCGTATCAGCGCACCAATACCTCGCACCGCTGCTTGGACCGCCACGACCAACCCCGCGTTATCGAAGTCACATTCTCGCCGCCTCCCAACCCAGAATATCTTACCTTCGAGGACCTTCGCAAGCATGAGAGCATATGGCGGTTCGAGCGTGAATGGAATGTGGAGGTCGTTCTCCAGCGGGAGAGTATCTTCCGCCGGCACAAGCGGTTGGTGGTGTTTGACATGGACAGCACGCTAATTCAGAATGAAGTGATTGATGAGATTGCCAAGTTTATTGGCGTGGAGAAGGAGGTCTCGGTTAGTGCTATGTTCCGCATATCCATCGCGTCCCAGAAGGCTGATGTACTAATGTTGACGGCAGGAAATCACGGCCCGTGCTATGAATGGCGAGTTGGACTTCTCCGCATCTCTCCGGGAGCGGGTCAGTCTGCTGAAGGGCGTTCCCGCGGATGTCTTCGAGAAACTGAAGTCCGTTATCACCATCTCTCCTGGTGCGCGCGAGCTGTGCAAGGCGTTGAAGACCCTTGGCTGCAAGATGGCCGTCCTGAGTGGAGGCTTCCAGCCTCTCGCGGAGTGGTTGGCCGAACAGCTTGGTCTTGACTACGCCCATGCCAATCATGTACGTGACATATTCTGCCTACCATGATCATTCAATCGATTGTCTGGGTACTAACTGCTGCTCAGCTTGAGATCGATCCTACGACTCAGACCCTGACGGGCAAATTGGTCCCCACCTACCCCATCATTGATGCGAGCCAGAAGCGCACACTTCTCCACTCGATCGCTGCGGAGCACGGTATCCCTATCACCCAGACTGTCGCTGTTGGTGATGGCGCCAATGACCTGCTCATGCTACACGCCGCGGGATTGGGAGTCGCCTGGCGGGCTAAGAGCAAGGTCCAGCTTGAGGCACCGACTCGGCTTAACGGGGACAGCCTTGTGGACATCCTTTACCTTCTTGGTTTGACCAAGGAGGACATTGGCGAGTTGCTTGCGTAGTTGGAACATACTGCCAAGCTTTCGTTGCGCTCCAGTGACTTGTAGAAAGGCACCAACACGCGCGTCTCACTCTAGTCAGCTCGGCAACGGACATGCGAACGTCTCGCTAGGTGCGTATTCTTCTTTCTCATCCATCGACGGGAACCTGCCGTTCGATATGTTGCTACCCCTTTTCATATACTCTTCTTTTCCACCTATATCTCTCCTTTATCCGGGCGTTTCGGATTGGCACATGAGGATCAGCCCAAACCAAAACAGCCATATTCCTTCTTTCCCCAAATATGCGATTGCCAAGCCAAGCGGAAGATTCATGCATTAGATCGATGATCAAGAGAGCGAAAGAGCGTTACATGCGGGCGTCGGAGTAGGCAAGGAAACACACGGGCAGGTCCATACTACGACGATATGACGATGGACTTACATACGGATCTGAATTGAATTCGATGACTGGGCGATCATGATGATGATGCTGATGCTGATGCTGATGCTGTTGTTGTTATCTTTCATCTCTCTCATTGGAATTGGATGTATATGTTGAATTATGTCCCTGTCTCGCGGGCATATGATCATCCTCCCCGTAACTAGATACCCCCTTCCATGCGAATTGATGATTCTCCGCTTCATCGTCATCATCATCGAGAATAAGCTCATCCATAGTCAAATAAATAGTAGCAGTAATAGTAGTTGATAACGTCCGTAGTCTTTGCAATGACAAACGCATTTTAAAACCAAAAGCTCTCAAAGACAAGATCAGACCCATCCAATGCAACCGGGCGCCGATAGACCAAAACCACACAATAAAGAAATTGTACAAGATAAGTGAGGTGAGGTGAGGTGAGGTGAGGTGAGGTGAGGGGTAGAACATCAAGTCAAGCTAAGCTAGGCTAGGCTCAACGCGCCGCCTCATCCACAGCAGCCTTCTTCTCACTGACCGTCTCACTCAGACCAGCCCGTCTCTTCTTCAAGACATTCTCAATGAACGCCTCACCGGCCTTGTAACTACTGCGAACCAATGGGCCCGAAGCACAATACAGGAAGCCCAATTCCAGGGCGCGACGCTGCCAGTGCTCGAACCACTGGGGATGGACGTACTCATGGACCGCCATATGTCTCTTCGTGGGACGCATGTACTGGCCGAAGGTAACGACGTCGACGTCGACGGCGCGCAACTGCGCCAGGGCATGCTCCAGCTGCTCTTCGGTCTCTCCGAGACCCAACATCAACGAGGACTTGGTGATGACATCAGGGTTGGCCTTCTTGGCGGCCTCCAGAACGCGAATGGACTGCTGGAAGGTGGCGCGACGATCACGCACCCGGGGAGTGAGAGCCTCGACCGTCTCCACGTTATGCGCGTACACATCCAACCCGGATTTGGCCACCAGGGCCACCATATCCAGGTCGCCGCGGTAATCACCAGTCAAGCACTCAACCAGGGTGGTGGGGGCCTTGTGTTTAATCTTCCGCACGGTCTCGGCGAAGTGATTCGCGCCGCCATCGGCCAGATCGTCACGGTCCACACTGGTCAAGACGACGTAGCCCAGACCCCAGCGGGAGATGGCTTCGGCGGTGTTTTCGGGCTCGTGGGGGTCCAGGGCAGCGGGCGTGCGGGAGGTCTTGACACTGCAGAAGCTGCAGCCGCGGGTGCAGGTATCGCCCATGAGCATGATGGTGGCAGTGGCGGCGGCCTTGTCGCCGCCGCCCCAGCAGTCGGAGATGTTGGGGCAGCGGGCTTCCTCGCAGACGGTGTGGAGTTTGAGACCGCGCAGGTCCTTCTTGAGGCGTTGGTAGTTCTTGGAGTCGGGGATGGGGGTTTTCAACCACGGGGGCAGACGGGTCATTTGCTTCTTGCGGCCGGCGGGGCCGACGAGGGCGGTTTTGAGGGCATAGGCTTCTTCGGGGTCCAGGGGGGCATTGTCTTTGTTACCGGAGACGAAGTCGGTGAAGGAGGGGCCGGCGTTCAGTTTGTCTGTGAACTGGGTGCGTCGGCGTGGGCTTGCGGTGCCGGTCGTGGCGGAGGGAGGGTCGGTGGTGGCGTATCCACGAGTGGTGAGGCGGGTGAGAACGCTCGATTGAGGGACAGCCCTCGTGGAGGAGCAGAGGAGCCGTAGCCGGGACGTTGATGCGGCAGTCATGGTGAGGGTGGGCGTTCAACAAGCTGCAGGTTGGAGAAGTTAAGTTGGATTCCGCGGGAAACCATCGCTGATAATCGGCCTTCGGCGGCGATCCCGCCGGAGCCTGACTCAGCATGTTGATGCCTAAGGTGTCAAGCCAGCTGATTAATCACAGCCCGATGACTGCCAGCCTACAGGTTGGAATGGAAGGGGTGAAGATTATGCAGGGGTATATAGGTCGGTGGAGTCGAACTAGCTATTATACATTAGCCCTAGCGGCTAATTGCACACAGTACATATGAGATATCATGCGCCAATGGGAAATCGAAAACAAAGTAGTAGAGAACAGGCCACGGGCATGTATGACAGATAGGAAACACAAGTGAAGGACAGGCCACAGAGTACACCGAAATGAAAGGCGGGTTCTATGCAGACTGGTCTAGCCAAGATAAACTAAGGAAATGTATGATCACAAGAAGACGGGGGTCAGGATATAAAGACACAAGGGGAATGAATGAAGGCACAGAATGATTGGGAAGGTCTATAGTTAAACAGTCTGGTCAAGAAAAGAAACGAATATTGGCAGAGAAAGAATGACTGCCTAGTTCTTGGCCTCAAGAACCTGGGCTAGGACAACCACGGCCGACTTGACTGTCTCGTCTGCTCGGCCACTTATAGCAAAAAGCAGGTTATCCACGATGCGGTCCAGCTCTTTGCGAAGCTCCATGCTCCGGGATCCTAGGACGCGTTCCTTGATTCGGGACGGAGTGGCTGGGCTGAATTGCATCCCCGGGGACGTAGCCACCCTCTCAGGCACTGTATCCAGGCGGGACACGGGGGAAGGATGGGAGAAGTTGTTAATTCGTCGGTTATTGGACGCCAGAGTCACAACATAGTTTCGTGCAATTAGGGCTGCACAGAGACCGCCCAAGAGGTTTTCCGCCACGTTGGGGAAAATATCCCGGAACGGCCGTATCAGGGCCCTTTCGTTGTTGTGACGGATGAACATGATGACGGGCGAAGTTAACCGGAGCATATTTCGTGGAAAGTCCTTTACCGAATGTTCCAGCTGATCGATGGTCCATTCGTGATCCCACCACTTTTCCAACTCCTCCTTTTCTGACATGATGGAGGAGCGCCCAGGGGATGCTTGTACCTGAGGGGATGTGCTGAACTTCGGGGGCATCTCCGGCTTGGGCGGAGACTTTGCATCGAGAGTGGCTGGCGTTGGCTGGTTGCATACTACAGTCTCACCAACGCTCTCTGAACTCAGGGACCCTGCATCTGTGTAGTCATCGTCGTCGTCCTCCTTGTCGTCTGGGAAGTCGTCGGGGGACGAACACGAGCGGTGGGTAATGTACCCACTGTCGGACATCTCCATCGGGGTGTCCGGACTGAAGGCAGAGACTTCCTGCTGACCAAGATCGGGGGTGGATGGAACGGGGCGTGGCGGTGCTGGAAGCGTATAACTCATCGCGGGAGATGACTGACGCGAGATGTCAACCAACTTGGGTTTTGACTTTCTGGCCACCGTACAGATCTATGGGTTTTTCGTTAGTATAAACCTCGTACATCCATAGTAGATGATACTTACTTCGTGTTTGTCAGACGTGGCTGTTCTCAAACGCGGTGGGCTTTTCTGCACAATCTGGCATTTCCTTCGGCTCTGTTCTCGGGATTTTTCACCTTGGACATCAGCTGTTTCCACAGGAGCGCCCTGAAGCCAATCGCCACAGTAAGAGAGGCTGCTGGGGACCCAGCTTCCCTCGCTAGACACTGTCCCTGACCTACTCCTCTGTGATCCATTGGAAGAACCCGAGAAATTCCTCTTTCCAAAGGTCTCGGAGCCCGCGGACGGTACGGGCGATGGTATGGGGTCTGGGTTGGCCGACTCCTGGGGCAGCTGTCCCCCTGTCGACTCGCATTGTTTGACCAGCTGGGAGTGAGCCATGTGTACATTTGTAGTCTTCTCTTCATGTGTCGAGGTCTCCCGTCGATCATCCTGCTTTCGACCGCCGCAGTCGTCACAAGATTCCTTCCCAGGTGTGCAGAAACAGCCTTTCGGTGTTCTTGGGTCATAGTCTGACTCGGAATCGTATTTCGATGAAAAGTAAGCCGAGGACGGCGACGATTGGGAATCTAAGGTGTCTGACAGAGGGGGGCTGGGCAGAAGGCCGAAGGAGTCCAAGCTGGTAACATTAATGTTTTGATCCGAGCGCCAGGCTCGTAACGTTTGACTTCCGGACATTTGTCGCGACAGTCTGGCCTCCTTTGCAGCCGACGCGATGCTTTCGAGAGATGGAGAGGACGGTAGACGAAGCTGGAAGGGTTGTTTCATTCTGCGCACGGAGCGAAAAGGCGACATACACACGGGGGCACGCTCAGCTGGCCGTCGGGATTGAGGCGCTGTAGTATATTCCGACTGTTCTTGTCGGGGGGATGTTGGTGGAACGAACGAAAGTGAGCTCTGCGCCTGTTGCCTCCTCCACGGCTGAAGGTTAGGTGAGTATCGTGGGGAAGCAGAGCCGCTCCCTTGAATCATGGGGTCTTCAGTTATTGAGCCGTATGATGTTACTCTTCTATTCGAAGATGCCGGGGCCTGATTCGCAGACATGGTATGATGGTGGTAGTAGGGGTTATGCGGGTGCAAGTATGCCCTGGTTGGCGGGCAGTCAGTCGAGGACATGGCCGGCACGAGGAATACGGAATGATCAAAGAATAGTCGAACGGTTACGGGGAAGAATATGCAAAGAAAGAGGGGAACCGAAGCTTCATTCAGATCGGGAAAGCAGCCGGCAGGACCTTATACGAAGAGCAGCTTGAATCTCGGGGTATCCCTTGACTGCCTTGCGGTGACGGGAAACTAGTCACTGGGCATGTGTATGCTCCCCCTTCGAGAGGGTCATCTCACACGCTGGAACAGAAACGAAGTGTGAAGGGCGACTACGCCTACCGTCCTTGCATACCAGAGAGAGGCAAGCGAAGGCAGTGTACACAACCATTGGCTCCAGGTTTGGGTGCGCGCCACCTGCAGGGACAGCGCAACGTGGGTGGTCCGTCTTCCAGGGTGCTTGGATCTCGTTAATTAGCGAAAGGAATGAGACATGCAGCTGGAGGGATACGGGAGGACCCTTAGATGGGCATTCAGAGGACGTCACCGGTCCGTTTTCAGGGCTGTCTGGTCAGCACAGGTGGTGTGCTGGGCAATTAAAGAGGCTAAGAGCCAGCCCCTAGACGGAGCCCCTTGCATGGGTTGCTGTGGGTGCCGGGGAAGGCTCATGTTGATTGAGGGATAAGCGAAATTTAATTTAAGCAGCATGTGCAGGAATCCCAGATCACCTGCGGCCGCGGAGATTTGTTATGCATCATTATATGGCTTGAATGCCGCTTGAAGGCCAGCAATCCGCTGTCCGGATGAGTTCCTGCTGGTGGTGGTCAAGTCAGTCGGCTATTGGGGGCGGTATTTCGACGGTCAGTGGCTCGAAATTAATAGCCAAGGGGTTGTGCTACCTAGCTAGGCATGTTAATCACGAAGGGGTCTAGGGGTAGGAGAATATCACTCACTTGACTTGAACGGGAGAGAAGGAGGAGAGCGAGTGAGTCCGCAGGGAGAGAGAGTCTATAGATAAGTTGGAACGGGCTGTCCGAGCTTACCTAAGCTGCATAGCTGTGTGCATAACTGCCGCCTTTATCGGGGCAGCCAGACAAACAGTGCAAACCCGCCGGTTATCGATTGGAGCATCGATCCAATTCCGATTGATTTTATTTCCTTCAGGAAAAAAAAAAAATTAGCAGCTGTCGGAATCTCCCTGCCTCCTGCAATTTCTTTGCGCTGCATCTCCTCATGCTCTCCGAGTGTTTCATCGCGTCGACGCTGGCGTCCAGCAAAGCGCCAGCGTCTGCGAGCCTCCGAGATGTGGGTGTCTGCGTGCACGAATTCCAGCCTACGTTGAACCTGCGCTCCACCTTCAAGAAGAGCTCGACGGCCGCCAATTGCCTGGCCGTGAGCCCGTCGCATGTCTTCGCTGCGCAGTCCGAAAAAGCCATCGTGCATGTGTATAGCCGAGAGAAAGGCAACCAGGAAGCGACCGTGCCTTTCCCGGAGCGCATCCGCAGCATTGCCGTCGCGGGGGGGAAGAATGGCGATGTCCTGGTTTTGGGAACCGAAGGTGGACGGTTGATTCTCTGGGAGGTCAGTCCAAGGCGTCCGGCCTCTCAATGGCATCCCAGCCATTCGTATTAGCTCCGAACTAACAGCATGTGCTTCTTAGACATGCACCGGCCGACAAGTGGCTACGACAGCGTCGCATCTGCGGCCAGTGACCGCTCTCGTGGTCGATCCCAATTCCAACTTCATCCTGTCGGGCTCGTCCGATGCCAGCGTCCATGTCTGGTCGCTGGTGGATCTCTTGTCCTTCACGAAACCCCCATCTGGCCGTGATCGTCAGCCCCCGAACTCTCCCATCCGTACCTTCTCCAACCACCGCGCCGCCATCACCTCGATCGCTGTGGGCCACAGCGCTGGCCGATACAACATTGCCGTGTCTGCTGCTCAGGATAACACAGCCATTGCCTGGGATTATCACACCGGTCGCGTCTTGCGCACCTTCCTGTTGCCTTCCAGCGCGATCTCTCTCGCGCTTGACCCGGCTGACCGCGCCTTCTACGTTGGCTACGAAGATGGAAGCATTCAGTCGATTGACTTTTACAAGAACCAGTCCATCCAGCACCCTCTTCACGACCCCTCGCTTCAGTCCACTCCTTCGCAGCCACCAGCAGAAGACCGGTGGACACCGCCGTCTACTGACTGCGGCGCAGCCCATGCGCTCACTCTCTCCTACGATGGCATGACACTGCTGTCTGGCCACCAGAATGGCAAGGTCCTGTCATGGGCCGTTGGAAGGAAGAAGTACGCTTCAACCGCGGCCGACTACACGCACCCCGTTACGAACCTGTTCATGCTCCCTCCTAACGGCATCCCTCACCCTTCCCTCGACCTCAAGCGGGTGGCACACACCATCATCAAGCCCCGTTATGACCACACCCTGTCCGAATCCTCTCAAGCGGCCGGCACCGTCCCCGCCGATTACACCTTCAGCACTCATCTTCTCCCCTCCATCTCCAACTCAGACACCGCCAAAACCGACGAATTTACCGCCGCCTTTTCCCACGCCTACTTTCCCGAATCGATGCTTGAAGAAGGTCTCGCTGAACTAGCCGCCTTCGATCAGTCCGGCAGCAACGGAGCGTCAGTCTCATCGATAGGACGTGGCATAAGCGATGAAGAACTGGCAGCCAAGGATTCTCAAATATCCCAACTGGAGGAGCAACTCGCCATGTTGAAGAAAAAATCCTCCATCAACGAGACGGCCCGCCAATCCACGACCGAGGAAGTGACTCAGCTCCGCTCCGACCTCGCCAACCTCCACGACTACGTCAACGAGCTGCACGAAAAGCAAGCACAAGCCCAAAGGGAGAAGGTCCTCCGCCAAGCTCGCAAAGAGGAGCGCGAAACCCGCCGCCGGGAAGCCTGGTTTGCGGCCGAGAAGAAGGGCAAGAAGGGCGATGCAGTTCTGCGCAAGATGGACGCCGAGGATACGGTTATGACGAGCGATACGGATGACCAGAGCAGTGATGATCAGTAGGGTGTTTCTCCCTCTACCGAATTCACCCCCTTCCGCCCAACAATCTATAAAACGAGATCTACGGTATTATCATTCACCATCTCATATTCACGATTGACTCTGCATCGGACTTGGATATTTCCTACATCATCTGGCAGGCGCAACGGTCAAAAAGTCCCATTTAGTAGACAGATCACCTATTTTCTACACTACCTGCCCTACCCTACCTTACACTACACTTGGTTAGACACGGAGCATTGTATATAAATAATACACAAAAGTTCAACATGATGATCTATTCCTAAATTTATCTTGGCATTGGCCCACCCATATACTAAGAATCCCCACGACATATGGAGTACAGGCGTACAACCCATCTCGTCCAGAACACACAACCCCCGCCCCAGCCCCAGTACCAAAACCCCGATGGATGAAACTCATAAATCTTTTGAAACGCGCCTCCACCATTCCAACACCAACATGAAACAAAACGCTGTCAAGAAACGCAGGAATGTGGCGCGTCCCCGCCTCTGGTATGCATGCGGGTGTGTATGTATGCATGTATGCATCATGCGGCTGGTGCATTGCGCTGGGCGATCTACGGAGTCCTATCTGCTTAGTATGTGGGATACATTCCGGGGATATTATGAGGGAACTTTGTTATTAATTAACGCCGGGTGAGGGAGTTATATTACGGGGGTTGGGGAGGGAGGGAAATATGTTTTGTGTAGCATAGTGATGGTTAGGGATTCCGTTCTTTATCCTTATTTGTGACTCCTTTGGGACACGTGGGAAATTAGGAGGTATTTGAGGTTGGGGATGAGGGAATGTCGTTGGGATGATTGATGCCATGGGGTTCTAGAATGGTCATGCTTCGATTTGTTTGATACTGGCAGGTCGTGTCTGGTCTCTAGTGGGGTGTGAATCTGTGCAGGACCTGGCAGACAGCTCGCCCGTTCCTGACGAGTGGCAGTAGTCAAACGCTTGAAAATGTGGGGAGGATAAATAGACGCAAGGCAAGCATATGATGCTCACCTGGAATGAGCGCCTGCCATGAGGGGTGGGGATGCTTATCAATCATGATGGTGTCGGAATGTATTCCTCAGACGGTGGGTCCCCTCTGTCAAACCGTGGAGACTCATCAAACCCATCCAGATGGCCTCCTCTGTACGAATGGTTCGGCTGCCTTGACCGGGCAGGAAGTTGACCCAGTAGTCGAAGAGCTTCCCGGCATCTGATGGGCGAATCCCCATATCGCGGAGTTGAAAGTCGTTCCGGACGGCAGCTTCAATTCCAGCAACACCACCGAAGACAATGAGAATATGTTGGAAGTCTGCTGGTGGTTGACCGTGGCCATGGGGGCGGTGGTGCGCGGTGTACTGGTCGTAAACTTGAGGCTGTTCCTCCAGCACGGTGGAGACGGGCACTCCGCGTTCGGATGTGCCAAAGGATAAGTCGTAGCCGCCGTCAAAGGGGCATTCCGTAAAGACGGTGGAGAGAGATCGACATCGCCGTACATAGTAGCCCCAGTAATACCCTGCCTCTGCACGAGGGGTGGATGGATGTACGGCTTCTGCATACGCGGACCCGTGCTGGGGGAAGCGAACCGTGACTCGGGCATGTTCTGGGAGGTGGATGTTTGGGAGGGTTGTTGTGTGAGAGAGACCAGTATCCACGATCGTGGCATGTGCACTGTTAGTGGGGCTATTATGACGGGGGGAGTGATAATCTTTGCTCATCTGAGTGGCGTTCCTGGCCGATTGTCTGCTTCGATCTGCGTATCGATCAGGGCTAGAAGTGACGATGCCTTCGCGAAAGTCGCACCATTCATTAGCACGCAGGTGATGGGGCATGTCCAAACTGGGTAGCAATCCGGCTGTGCGAAGATTGGGGTGGATCGGAAAGAGGTGTTTGCGTAGGTAAGGTGGAGTCTCAAGATACGACAGGACGTGAGTCAGGAAGTGTGAAGGGTCCGAATAGGCGGTACAGCTTTTCGGAGAGGACGCGTTGCCGTCAAGCTGCTCGCTGGTTCTAGCAGCAGGCGAGCTATCGTATTCTTCATGGTCGTAGAAGTATGAGGTACCGTTCTCGTCATCGAATACTATGACTTCATCGACACAGAACACTGCAAGGGCTCGTGCGATTATACCGACCAGAAGAGTCTTTTGTTCAATGGAATGAGCGCTGGACAATACTGTTAGTGACTGAAATCACCCCCCCTCCCATGTGAAGCACGGCTAGGAAGCTTTACTTGGCTATAATGCTACCAGGAATAGCAACGCTGAGGGTATGAGATCGGCCCCCTTTGGGGGTGAATATGGCGGAAGGCTTTTCAGTAAACAGGGCGTCGGTTGTGCCATTGTGGCGCGGTGCACTGTCTTCGGGGGTGGTCTTCCGTTTCTATACAGTCCAGCATTGATGTCAGAGACTGAAGATACAAGCAAGACGACAAGTTGCCATTGACATACCTTATAGTTGGGACGGCGCATCACGGGGCGGCGGGAGGAAGGGGAGGAGGGAAGGCGAGAGAGAGAGAAGGAAAGAGCGAGGAAGTAGAGGACGAAGAAACTTTCAGGAACGAACGCTTGTTCAATTGACGAACAAAAGATCTTTCGGGAAGCCAGGATGGCCCAACAGCGGGTGGATAATGGCTGGATGATTGACCGATCACACTCCCTTTCGGTGACGTCGAGCTCCACCGGCTCCACCAACGTTAAGTTTACTCCATCAAGAACCCATCCCCCTGAAGATGTACATAGTATCTACTACTCCGTATACGGATATGATGGAGGGTACTGTCTAATAGCCAGCATCTCCTCCCTCCTCTACTTCTCCTTCCCGCATGATCTTCACCCCCGAGCTGCTCCCAATTCGCTCTGCCCCAACCTCCAACATCTTCCGACAATCCTCCCTAGATCGTACTCCACCACTAGCCTTAACCTTCGTTCCCTTCCCGACCAGGTTCGCCGTCGCTCGCATAAGAGCAACGTTCTCCACGCTTGCACCAGGCCCATTGAACCCGGTACTAGTCTTGATATAATCCGCCCCAGCCATACACGCCAGCACAGAGCCAGCCACAATCTGCTCGCGCGTCAACTGCGACGTCTCCAGAATGACCTTCAGACCGACTGGCGCAGGGGCTGCGTTGCGCACTTCCAGCACATCCATGTAGACATCGACGTACTTCCCCTCCTGGAGAAGGGGATAGTTGAGGACCATGTCGAGCTCAGTTGCGCCCAGCTTCACTGCCTCTTGAGCTTCGGTTGTCTTCTCGGTCGTCGTGTAGGTTCCCTCGTGGAAGCCTACCACGCAGGCTATGCCGACAGCGGGGTGTCCTTGCAGGTTCTGAACGGCACGAGACACATGGTTTAGCCGGACGCAGACGGTTGCGAACTGGTGCTGGATGGCTTCCTGGCATAGGTCATCGATTTGTTGCTCTGTTGCAGTCAAAGCTAACTGGGTGTGGTCGATTGTGCGGTTGATTTCTGATGAGATGTCATATGAGGGGAAGGTAGTGGGCAGAGATTGCTGGATGCTGGAGATCAGCGCTGCCCATTCGGCGTCGGTTTCCGGCGTGGACATTGTGTGATAGATGAGTGACAGTCGGGCCAACTGTCGAGAATTTGGGGCTGTATGAACGTTAAGAGTACTAAATCTGCAATGGATTCCTCTGAGTTGATGGTGTATGGGAGAGATTCAGTGGGAACAGTTGAGTTTCCGGCACGGCCCCTCTTTGCGGGGACATCCCCGCTGAGGGGCATATCCCAGCTTACAGCTATGCAGAACACGTTTTAAGAATAAGGCAGACACCAAGTAGCTTGTTTGTTGTCTCCTAATCAGTTTCATTATCTCCTCAACCATGAAGTACGATTATGACAAATCCTCGTCCAGAACCTAGGAACAACTAGCACCATATCGTAACACCTATCCCATCGGAAATTGAGACGTCCATTACCCATGTATCAAGCGGAGCATAAGGAGATTTGCATAGACTAACGATGCCGTAGACGAACAAGAAAAGAAGGGTAACAACACTCAAGTGCTAATAAAAAGCTTGTCAAGATGCATTTTCTTCCCGTCTTCAACAACATAAGAAACAAAAGCAAAAAAGGTCGTGCCCGGGATCGAACCGGGATTGCTGGAATCAGAATCCAGAGTGATGACCATTACACTACACAACCTTGCTTGTTGATTCCTAGGACGATTCTTCACTCCAAATCTGCGCGCACATCACCACCCATTAACCACAGCTCTTACACTCGGGGCCTCGAACATCATCCACCCGGCCGATTCTCCTTCCAGGTCCTCCCGGTCCACCTCCGCCGCCTCCTCCTCCAGGGCCCCAGGATCCGCCACCACCTCCCCAGCGAGCACTGGTATTGGGGGTCTTTCCTGACCGAGTGATGTTGAATCGTGAGTTCTGGGCGGCTGTGTAGGGGTCCAACTAGAGGATGACACTCGTTAGACCAGGATCCAATACCACGGGACTTCTATCTAGCTTATAAACACAGGTAAAACATACCGAGAACAAGCTAACAAGATACAATCCGATGAAGATATAGATACTCTCAACGAAGCGAGTTACTCGGACCGTGACGGGGGGACTGCATGCAGGTGGGTGCTGTCAGCATCGCTTCATCGTGGAGGACGAAAATTCTCATCGAGGATGCTTACCTGGAGAGAACGCGTCCCCCGGACACATAGGTCTTGGGCTCCGATGGCATTCTACAGTCTGGATGAGTGGCTCAAATGGAGAGGATGATGGCGAGGAAAGGATGATGGAAGGTAGCCTGGCGGATGCGATGCGCTCGCTGATAACGGGCCTTGCCCGAGAGGGTTTAGCGTGGTGAATGGGGTCTGGCCGCGGCTGGATTCGGTCTAGTGGGGAGACCCTCGATGACATCAATCCGCCTTCTAGAGACTCTAGCTTAAGTAGATACTGGGAATATTCCACAGCTCTATAACACTCTCCCCATCAGCCAGGTCTTAGAAATAGAACAACTCCTCGTCCAGCCCCACTAGATATTCCTTGTATCGCGCACTCCCAAATAGGAAATTGGTACTGAGCTGACACCCCAATCCCCCCAAAGTGACTCAGATATCCTCATATCCAACTAGAAGATGTCTAACTTGCCACTCAACAACAACTCAAATTAAGCATGCATCGAGGTGGGAGGGGCTGGTTAAGGGGTAGATGGGTTTGGGTGGTCGGCGAATGGATATCTCTGCTCGGTGTGTTGTTTATTCTATGGGTGTGGGGTGGGGTTTTATAGATAGTGCAGAATCGTCAAGATAGATTAGAGATTGATCGTATCTTCTGAGCAGACATCACGTAGGAAGCTGTACTGTTCATTGGGTAGTTTCATCCATGCAGATGTTTGGAATAGAATCTGTCGAGAGCTTCGAGGCAGCAAAACTGGACAGCTCGTGGATGGAGGCACCCCCTATGATTTTCAACACAGGAAGGTCAATAAACAACTCCTTGACAAACCAACGTCGCAATTCAATGGCCACAAGAGAATCCACTCCCATATCGGTCAACGCAGACACTTTGGTGAGTGACTGTTCCGTAGAAAGCCGCAGCCTGGAACGGACCTCCTTGATAAAGCCGTCAGCGATGATCGCGACGACGTCAACCATGCTCTTGGCCGATTCAAGTTGTATCAGGATTGGAACGCTGTCATCACTGCTAGATGCCGGCGTGGCCGGGTGAGTGGTATGCTTTATCAGATTCCAGGCCTTTGGATTCCGTAGCCACAATGCGTTAGGATTTTCAGCAGTGTCAATGACTGTATATCCCGCAATCACCTCGGCGTCTCTGCCAGAATCGGGATGCCCCGCGAGAATACCCTCGGCAAAGAGCTCATGCAGGTCCTGCTCCGTCAACTGTGGGGTGCCTGTGTTTTGCTCAATGATGTTCTGACGCGCACTACCTACTCGTTCATAATAACCCACCCCCTTGATCAGCCCAGGATGAATGATGCTACCGACCAGGCCTTGCTCGCGTCGCTGTTGGATGAGTGCTGACATGAATTCAGTGGCGGCCGAATAGGCCGTTTGTCCCACATTGCCCAATGGCCCAGCGGCTGATCCGAAGAGGATAAAGAATTCTAGATCGAGGGCACCGAAAACCTCGTTTAGAATGACGCTGCCTTGAACCTTGGGAGCAATCACGCTCTGCATATCTTCTAGTGTCACTTGAGCGAAGAGGCAGTCTTTAAGCACCATCGCCCCGTTGACAACGCCCCCAACTGGAGGCATTTCACTACAGATGGCGGCATAAGCGCGACTGATGGATTCGCGGCTAGTGACATCCCTAGTGAAAAATATCAGTACATGTTATCATATCACTGAGAAAACTTACATTGTCATTGGTACGACCCGGGCTCCCAGACTTGCCATTTCCTCAATCCATTGCACATCAACGTTAGGGGATCGACTACCGAGAACTATAGCTCGAGCTCCCCTACTGACCATCCACTGACAGACAGATTGTCCGAGATCACCAGTCATACCAGCAAGCATGTAGGTCTTGTGTGCGGACAATGTAATCATAGAGCCTGCTGTTTGAATCCGAACAGGTACTGGACCTGGCCGAGACCAATCCAGAATTCCCAGTTGATTTGCTCCTGGTGGAGTCCCTTGCAAGTTCTGAACAGGAACAAGACTGACGTCTTCCTGCGATGTGGCTGTTTGCAACGCAAACTCACAGGCTGCCAGAAACGTCTTCCTGACAGTGACGGAGTCAAGAACCCCCAGCAAACTCGAGGATACCCTGCTAATACTGGCAATGTCTATGTGGATAACGTCCTCAGGAATGAGAGGTTTGACTCGGGTGTAAACACCGCATGTCGCCCGACATCCGGCAATAACAGATAGGTTAGCTGGCAGGAGACGAGACAGAGTGCGGGAAGAGCTCCTCTCGTGAATGAACAGCATATCTTCCTTCGGCGGAGTAGTTTGAACGCTGGTGCTGAAACATACCCGGATACTTCGTCCCAAAGCAAATTCCGAAAGTGCATCGCAGACAGCGTTGCATAGACTATCGGCTCCGTAGACCAAAATAGACGTATTTGGGGTTCCCCTGTTTACAATGTGAATAGCTAACATGGCTGCAGCTGCTCTCATCAACAGGGCCGGTTCCGATTTCTCGCTCACGTGGTCTGGAATCTGCCAACACCAGTCTAGCGGTGTCGCAATAGCTGAAGCGTGCTGGTCGGATAGTGCTAGCCACCGTGTCTTGTCACTCTCATCTCGACCGATTGTCAAGTGCAGAAACCCAGCACCATCCACCTTGAACGCGGTCATTGTTGAGAATCGTACCGCAAGCGGACGATAAGATTGGTGGCGCTCTTTGGCAACTTGCTCTGATTTCGATCTTTCGCTCAAGATAAGCTCACTGCACCTGCTTGACGGAGGAATGACCTGCACCGTGGAATGTTGCAGGTCAGCTAAGCCATTGACAACACGATGGCTTGCTGAGTACCGTTCGTTCCTGGAATCATCAAAGTGGATACGTGGGATGTGCAGCGTCCCATTCACAAGCTGCAACTCGAACTCCGTGCTATCCACACAGGTGTCCAGGTCATGGTCATTGTCCATAGGGGCATGAATTAGGCGCATGAAAATCGTAGCCAGAGTAGGCGCAGTGACCTCTTCATGATCGGGCACGTTCAAATACTGGAAGACAGACTGTGGGTTCTCATAGGCGACGCAGTGAATCATAGCCTTACTCATGCCCCAGTAGGGCTGCTTACTCTCCGGACCGGCAGTTACCCACAGAAGCCTGCTGGCACTGTTCATAAGCATCTTCAGACCTCCGAGACAGTTGGATGTAATGTCCTCGTAGCAAGGCGAGTCTAGGTCGCTTAGATTCAAAACGTACCACCCAAATATATCTTCCAGATTCAATTCGTCGAGAGCTGGCGCAACGACCAAGTGATGAAAACGTGGCGCGAGTAAGGCTTTCAAAGCTGAAACCAAGCCCGCCGTTGCCTCTGTTGCACCACCGATCAGCAGCAGGCTATCCGGTAAGATCCCTGAAAAATTCCAGGGATCCCGGAGTAGTTGGGTGCGGTTACCAATCGCCTGAGTGACAAAGGTTGAGCCGGATTCGAGTTGACCTGCTGGGGAAATCGCTTCGAATCCACCAAAGCCTGTGTTTTCAAGTAACCGCTCCCATTCCTGGAGACTAATGACTGGACTTTGTGGGTGGCCTTCCTCATCATACCACCACTTCTCAAAACAACTGATCAGTGCAAGACGGTTGATGTTGGTATTAGTGACAGCACGGACAACCAGATACCCACCAGGTTTGAGCAGGCGTCGAATATTCGCCAAAGCCTGCACCAGGCCTCTGGTGTTATACGTTGTGTCGGCCGCGACAACAAGATCATAGGAGCGCTCTATGAAACCTTGGTTGCAGGGGTCCGACATAAGATCAAGTACCTGATAGGCCAATCTATCTTTGTGTTCAGCTAGAGTCTCTTGTGCCGCCTCAAACAAGTCTGGGGAAGTGTCTGTGAATGTGTATGAGTGATATGATAGGTTGATTTCATTCAGGACCGATTCTGTGACAGAGCCACTTCCTGCATCAACTTGTAGAATTTTCATTTGAGGGAAGCGAAAAGCAATCTGCCCAATGAACATTGCAAGTTGCGAGTTGCTGAACCTGGTATCGAAAGGGTCCTTCAGATTAGAGCCCCCATCGAGGTTACATTGCTGGCCTGTCACACTCTTTCCTCTAATAAACCGTAGCAAATTCTCCCCTGCTACCCGTAAAGAAGACCAAGCCTTGCTGGCTGCGGGAGCCATATCTATGAGGTCAGCTATAGTGCCGTCTAGCCATTCTGGACGGCAAATCGGATGGGTGCCCTTCTGTGTTGTGGACAGAACATGATCCATCCATGCGATGATACGAGAACGGTACCAGTCAAGATGCTCGCACCCTTTGAAAGCCAGCTGTTCCCGCGCATCTCTCATGTATAGAAGAGCGCAGCGTTCCGCCCAGTGGAGTTCTTCCTGGGTCTTGGGATCTTGGTATGTGTTGTTCGGAATAGCCCGAGGTAGAAGTGGCCCCCAAACAATCTTTGAAAACATGGTACGATTCTCAGCAGCTGTGAGCGGAGCGACATGGAAACCCTCGACTTGAAAAATTCCATGGCCGTTGATGTCAAACGCGTTTATATCACCCGTCATGCCGTCAGGGTTGACATCGTAGAGAAAGGTCTCAATGGAAATCTCATCCCTAGCTTGCCTGCACAACAGTGCATTTATGGCGATATGCTCAAAAGACACAGGAATATGTAGCATGCGAAGCTCTTCAGGGCTTCTCGCAGCTAGCAGGCCCTGCAAGCTGGAATCCAAGGTCGCTGGATGTAGGAGTAAAGACGTCGTCAGGTCGTTCCCTGAAACTATACCCATTGACCCATCCATCTGTCTAGTAAGAGCCTTCAGCCCCCGAAAAGCACCACTGTAGCCTAACCCAAACCTGTCCAAGCATGCATAGAAAGAATTAATGTTTACTGGCCGTGATATCGCGACCGGAAAAGATCTAGGAGGCAGTAACATAGGATCTTTTTCGCCCAGCAATACAGTGAGTTTTCCCGAAGCACATGTCCTCAGAGTCCCAGCAAGGCTTGCATAGCATTGGAAGGCTGCTAGGACAACATTGTCCTTCCATTCTATCAGCTCCACTTTGAAGATAGTCTCCACTCCACATGGATCATCAGGGATGGGAATAGCGCGCTTGATGCACACATTATCGAGTTCTACTAGACGTAGGGATAAACCACGCGCCATTATTGCAGCTGCTTCCAACGCCATGGCTATATATCCCGTTGCAGGGAATACGACCTGAGACTGGATCTGATGGTTGCTAAGCCAATTCAATTGTGTCCGGCTCAAATGGTTGCGCCAGCGCCATTCGTTTTCACCTGTCTCTGGGCTGAGGGCTCCCAAAAGAGGATGCGGTGGGTCAATGCAGTGCAGGCGGGCATTGGTAAGGCGTGATAAGGTCCAGTAAGATCGTGAATGGTCAAAAGGATACGTGGGCAGGCCTTTCAGAAAGCGGCTTCCATATGAATGATCAAATAGAGACATATAACGTTGTATGTCAAGGTTTGGTCCCAGGTGTGTCCAGAAGGAACCAATGGCGCTAGCAAATACCTCCGGACTGCTGGCCCCACGCTCAGCCAGGCCAAGATAGGCTATCTCAGGCTCCGAGCCCTTAATATCAGATAGGGTTTGCAAAATCGGCCCCTTGAGCGTAGGATGTGCGCCAACTTCGACCACAAGTTCAATGTCGGGATTGTCTGCAAATGCTGCATTCACTGCCTGAAAGAATAATACAGGACGGAGCATATTGTGGCACCAGTATTGGGGACTGAGGTCTCCTGTCTGCAATTCTTTGCTCTTGTACACGCTCGAAAACCACTTAACCATCACAGGATATGCTCGGATTTCACATTCCTCGAGAGCATGATGGTAGGGTACAGCGCATGGCACCACATGGTGGGAGTGGTAGGCTACATCCACACGGAGGCGCCTCACTGAGAGGTCTAAGCTTTTTAACATCCATTCAAGCTCCTGCACAGCATCTAAGTCCCCGGAGAACGTAACACTGACAGGAGAATTGCTTGCAGCAACTCTAACTTTCCCGTCGAAGCCTTCATCACACAGTGCCTGCGCTTCTTCCCAGGGAATTCCGCTAGCCAGCATTGCCCCAGGTTGGCCATTGGCGCCAGCATATTTGGTCATGAGGCCTCTCAGATACGCCAACCGGATTGCATCAGATGCATTGATAGCGCCAGCGGCATAAGCTGCCGCTATTTCGCCCGAGGAGTGCCCGACAACCGCGGAGAAGCTTACGCCGAGAGCTCGTAGGAAATTGACTTGTATGATCTGAATAGCGGTGCGAAGAGGTTGAGACACGGCTGCCTCATGAAGCCTTGAGGATGAGTCGGGGGCTGAAAGCTCCTGGACCATCGAAAAGTCTGGCTGGTATTGTGATGGAAGGTTATCCAGAGATTCTTGAAGCTCTGTCATCCAGGTAAGAGCTCGTGGACTGGCTGAGATTAGGTCCCAAAACATCTGCGGATACTGCGCGCCTTGACCAGTGAAAACACCCAATACTCGCCTCGGAGCATCTTTAGGTTGAGACACAGTAGACGGAGAGGCTATCGCTGACCTCCGCTTCTCGAGCTCTACCTGAATCATGTTTTGCAGATCTCCGATTGAGGCCGCTGTAAAAATTATTCGGTGAATCAATACTGATCGTCGCTTTAGGAGAGACTCTGCCAGGCTGACCAAATCGACGTCAAGGTTATTTTGGAGAAATGCACCATAGCGTTCCAGAACATTGGTGAGCGCTTGTTCTGTAGATGCAGAGAAAGTAAATGGGAGCATCTGAGGGGACAAGGTATGTCTCAAGGCGAGCTTCGTGGGTGGAGCATAGTTCTCAATAATCGCATGTGCATTACTTCCACCGAACCCAAACGAGTTGACCGAAACCCGGCGAGGAACGCCCGGGGCAAGGCTAGGCCACGGAATTGGCTCGGTTGGTATACGAAGTCGAGATGTGAGAGGTGCAATGACGGGGTTTATGCGTTTTAAGCACATGTTTGGGAGAATGATACCTTTCTGAACGCTTAAGGAGGCCTTTATAACGCCCGCTAAGCCGGCGACTCCTTCTGTGTGGCCAATGATGGTTTTGATCGATCCCACGTACAGAAGTTCCTCAGACGATTCCTTAGGTGGCAACAAATCTCCAAAGAGCGCCTCATAGATTGCGGTGGCTTCTTGTGGATCTCCAGCCTGCGTTCCGGTGCCATGGGCTTCGAAAAATTGGCACCGATCTTCAGGACGGAGTACCGGATTCAGCCCAATGCTGGCATAGGTTGAGCGTATTAACTGTGATTGAGCTATGCTAGATGGCATGGTAATTCCCATACTGCGTCCGTCAGTGTTAACCCCTGTGGCGCGAATGATACATTCAATAGGGTCTCCGTCCGCGATGGCCTCACCCAGGCGCTTCAGCACCACAGAAGCTATACCCTCACCCCGTGCATAGCCATCCGCGTTCTCGTCCCACATCCGACACCTCCCGGTGGGGGAAAGTAAGTGCATCTTGGAAGCGGCAATGTACTCTCGTGGGCTAAATATCAGGTTGCCAGCGGCTATTACCGCTAGGTGACACTCTCCACTCCGCAGGGCACTTGCACCTTGGTGAAGGGCCACCAAGCTAGAGGAGCATGCGGTGTCAATGATCATAGAGGGGCCGTGCCAGTCGAAAAAGAAGGAGACACGGTTGGCCAGCATCGACGCTGCTGTTCCAGATGAGGTATACGTGGGTACCTCAGACCAATCACGGCTAGCGAGATTGCCATAGTCAGTATTCATAAGACCACAGAAGACAGCCGTGTCAGAGCCTCGGAGGTCTTCCATTTTCAAGCCTGCCGTTTCAAGGGACTCATAGACGACCTCCAACAGCAGTCGTTGCTGAGGGTCCATAGACTCCGCTTCGGCATGAGAGACATTGAAAAAGGGTGCATCAAATGCACGGACGTCCTCAGCGAGAAAGTAGGACTCCGGGACGTTACTCGTGCCATGATGGCCATCAGGATGATAGAAGGCGTCATGACTAAACCGGTCAGCAGGGGTCTTGGAGGCTACATTGCGCGGGTGATGGAGGAGGTCCCAGAGCCGGGCTGGGGATGATGCGGAGCCAGGGAATCGGCAGCCTGTTCCGATAATTGCGATGGGTTCCGGGAATGACATGACGAAAGAAGCAGAACGGGGAGAGCTCGAGAAAGGATGAGATGGGTGGGAGGTCAGATGACCCGCGTGCTTTCAGTCCGTCGGCCATCACCTCCCCAAGCAGACTTCATTCTTCTTATACCCGCCGCTCCACGACGCTTATCAACCGATGTTGACTTCAGTCCACGGCCCAGGTGACCTTGTTCCAAAAAAGCATAGCTTGATGCAGGAGCGGCGCTAATGCGATGGTGTTGCAGTTCTTTCCTTCCACGCAATGGAACCCCTCCCAGTAACATCGGTTCGCTTTCAGGCATCACCTCACGCCAGGGGAGAAGTTGCGAGCTTCCCTCATCATTACGACCATCTCTTGTCATCTACCCCAGAGTGATTGAAGAGCGAACACTCCTCCGGTGGATCACATGCAAGTCATACCCTGGCTGGCCTTATAATGCGATAGTGCGCAAGGAACAAGGCACCTCCGATGATTCTTTCTCCCCGCTAGCTGGAGAGACAAACAAACCATGGTAGTGGATTGGGGCTTTCTACTGGGTACGTGAATGGTTCGTGTTGCTGCAGCATAACCGCGGCTAGACGAATGAAAGAGGGGTCTAGCTATCTAGCTAGGCTCTAGTTGCTTCGACATATTTCCTCCTTCAGCTTCGACTGGCTTATCGCCGGCGTCATTGGCTTGGCCTTTTAACCATCGCCTAATATTACCTCGTCATGTATGCGTGTCTCAGACCTGTTGAACGTATCTCTTCCGTGCGCACTAGTCAGAGGCGATACCGGCTGTCAAATATTTCTGATCGCCGATCGCTCTGGTCAAGATATTAAGGCCGTCCGGCTGCAGTGTCGTACCTATGTCACTTTGCCTGCCTTGTAAATCAATACGACAAGCACGCAACTGCCACACGGCGCTATACTCAAAGCTGCAATCCCTCTAGTAGGTCACCAACCCACCTTCAACATTCAGTCTACGTGATGGCTCGAGTTTGAGTTTTTGTGTCGCTACACTGAGGACGGGCTGCATGTCTAACTTGACAATAACTATAGAAACCAGAATTTAGGCGTCCTGCCAAGGAGCTCACAAGACCGTCTTCTTTCAGATGAACCCGAGAGTTGTCGTCATATTTCTCTCGGGCCTACGCTGATTTTTCTATTAAGCAACCGACATTGACATGGATCTTCCTGCAAATCATCACGCAGATGTATTATCATTCGCCTTTAGTCGCGCGGTCAACTACGATGAGGATCGCCCACTTTACATTGATGCGAAAGACTCCTCTCGCAGTCTGAGTGCCCGCCAGCTACGCCGACTGGTGCGAGCTCTGATTGCAGGCCTGAAGCGCCATATCCAGAAAGGGGACTGTGTGTTGGTTCACCTGGGCAACAGCGTATGTAGTGCCTCCAAGGGAGTAATTAGGTCAGTATGACTGAGGCTGATTCAAGGTCGACAGTATGTCCACCCAGCACTCTTCTTCGGTGTCATAGGCACGGGAGGCATATACCTGGGTGCTAGCCCTGACAGTCCACCCCATGAACTCATCAATGTTCTTGAACTGGGAGATCCAAAGTTGATCATTACATCAAGTGAGACATTCCAGGCTGTTCTGGATGTCGCAACCAGCAAAGGCCTCTGTCCCGAGCAAATCTGTCTGTTCGAAGAGTCGGCTATTGCCAGTTTCCTAGGATCGAGTCCCAGTATTCCAGCCAGGAGTGCTGGGCACACCACAGTGGCACATCTCCTCGCCCACGGCGAAGAGGACTGGATCAAGCTTGATGAGGAATCCCTGGCAAGAACCACTCCGGCTGCCATGTATTGCACCAGCGGCACCAGCGGACTTCCCAAAGCCGCTGTTATCACACACCACGCCATTATCTCCCAACATCTGAATATACACTATGAGGTTCCGTACAAAGTTAACAGAATGGTTGTCGTCCCGATGTACCATCGTTTCGGGGCACTCTGGCATACATTCCCCGTCCGTCATGGAGAGCCAGCGTACATCATGCACAAGTTCGAAGTTGGCCAGTTTCTCGAGGTCGTCCAACGCTATCAAATAACCGATGTGTATGTTGTCCCGGTCATGGTCCACATACTAAATCAGACCTCTCGACCTGTAGCGGAGCTCCTGTCCCCCCTACGCATGGTAGGCGTCTCGGGTGCCCCTATTGATGCAGCATCACTGCAGAAGTTTCAAACACTGCTCCACAACGAGGCCACTGCGGCGCAGTCCTGGGGGATGACAGAGACCGGTCCGGTATTTGTGGGCAAGTATGGCGAACGATCTGATAAAGCAACCGTCGGAAAGCTTATCGGTGAAAACGAAGCAAGACTCCTCGACGATCAGGGCATCATAATAGACAGCGACGGCTGCCCTGGTGAGCTGTGCGTCCGTGGCACAGGCCTCTTCGCATACTACAAGGGACGAGATGATGGGATAGATCATGACGGGTGGTTCCGCACAGGGGATGTAGCCTACCGGCAAGATGGATACTACTACCTACTCGGGCGGACCAAAGAGATTATCAAAGTACAAGGGCAAGCACCCCTAATACATCTAATATAAACCATGTCTAACAATGAACAGCTATCAGGTAGCTCCGGCTGAAATAGAAGCCGTTCTTTTGACACATCCAGGGATTGACGACGCCGCCATCCTCGGAGTACAATCGAGTGACAAAGGCACCGAGGTCCCCCGGGCCTTTGTCGTGAAATCAGCATCTGGAACTAACCTGACAGCAGATGATGTCTACCAATTTGCGCGAACTCGGCTAGCGGGCTACAAAGCTTTGGACGGAGGCGTGGTGTTTGTCACCGAAATCCCTCGAACAGTGAGTGGGAAAATTATCCGTACCAAACTGGCGCAGATGAACGCTCGGCGGGACAAACTTGCCCAGATTCTCTCCCGGAGAGTTATCAAGGTGATTTCTTAGAGTACTACGGAGTACTACAGAGGGTTTCCACATTCTTATATGCATACTTGCATATTAAAGACTATTATGAAGTTAATGCCAAGCCCAGCTGCTTATGAGACCAGGACTGGCTGCATACAATCTATCTTGAATCAATACAGTATTATTATCTAGTTCCTTGTTCCTTTTTTTTCTCTACTTTTCTTAGGTGATTTCCACTTCCAGAACAATGCATACAGCCTGGATAAGAAAAGCAATGAAGAATCGGCCGAAGGCAACGCTCCACAAGTCCCTAAGAGTTCTGCATCAACCAGCCACACTCGTACGATTCCTGATCGCTGGGGTATCTATGAGTCTGCGGATGAAAGCATTCGCCGGGTCTGTGTGGGGGAGTACAAGGCTGCGCATAAGGTGCGGCCTGATGCAATCTTACAAGTTTTAGGCTCTGCAACTCCAGACTTCTTCATAGACGTGCTCAAGCGAAAGAACCATGGGCGGATCAATACTCCAGATGAGGGGAACCAGGAGTTAGTGGCGCAGATTCTTTGTCAGGCATACCATTACATGATCACAAGTGGACTTTTGTTTGGCTATGTTACATCGGGAGAGGCTCTGGTCTTCTTGAAGATTGATGAACCTGCCCGCCAGAAGCTCTATTTCTACCCCACCATGACTACTATCCACCAACCGGTCGTTCAATATGCCCCAGCGGCTCAGTTGGCGACCTTCGTGACTCTGTCGCTGCAATCCACGGAGATGCCCCGCGAGTGGGTAACTGGTGCCGAAAACTGTGGCATCTGTAAATGGCCTTTTCTGCCTGCCCATGGCTATGACAAATGCGCCTGGAGATCAATCAAATGACGATGATGATAAAGGTCACAGTAGTGGTGAGGAGAAGAAGGACCCTACGTATAGGTCCGAATCTAAAGGTGAATTAAAGACTCGATCTGATCAATCTCTAACCCGGTCTAGTGAGCCTCAACGGTGTAATCGCCAAAGGACTACTGTCCAGCGGCCAATCGGGGAATATTGCACCCAGGCCTGTCTCCTTGGTCTTGCTCGATGTCTGCCCCTCGACCCAGCTTGCCCTAATGCCATACAACATCAGAGAGGTATGAGCGGGGAACACCACCTTATCACAAAAGAAGAGCTCTGCCGTCTTACTAGGGAGCAGTTGGCTCGCAATCTTGATGAGAACTGCGAGTGCCTAGATCGAAAGGGCTTGTTTGGAGCCATCGGGGTGCTCTTCAAGATTACCTTGTCCGAATACGGATATACATTTGTGGCTAAAGGCGTGCAGTCGGTAGATGAGCATCACCTGACTCACGAGGGTGACGTCTATACCACTCTGTCTCATCTGCAAGGCACGAAAATTCCGGTCTACCTGGGCAATATTACCCTTGAGCGGCCCTATCCCCTTGTTAGCCTAGCGCGTGTCACGCAGATGATGCTCATGTCTTGGGCTGGTGACAGTCTCAGGGTACGGAGCTGGCCACGAGACATTGACATTGAGGTGGAAAAGGAGAAGACCCTACAGGAGTTGGACTCCTCTGGCGTTAGGCACGACGACGTCCGAAAAGCGAATCTTGTTTGGAACCCTCACGGAAGGCAGGTGATGGCGATCGACTTTGACCAGGCCACAATTAAGAAGCGCTCTCGCAAACGGAAGATCTCGCTCATCCGTGGCTCCGGTGGTCGTGCTTCACGGAGCTATGCAGGCGCGACTACGACCCATCAGACCGATGGTCTCAATGACCATTTCGACCCATCTGGAGGGTTGCTGCCCCGGATCGGTACCATCGCACCTATCTAGCTTCACAAAAGGTCGGGAAGCTAGAAAGCTGTCGAGATCCGTCCATTTGATCGCTGATCATCCAGTACCCACTGGTGTAAGCTAGCGCTGTAGTTAGCTGTGTCCTTTGTACCAGAGACGCGTTAGAATACCTTTGGTATGAGACAGGCAGCGTAGTTCGTTCCTTTGTATCCATTCGTTTTTACCTCTCGTATGAAAAAGTAGTATCAACAAAATGACTCGTAAGACCCTCATTTCCATAGTCTACCCAAATACAAAAGAAATACCATCATCTTCACTCCCTACAATTACCTACCGTGTTTGCAAGCCCTTCCTTCCTACACCCTCACTACTAGTAATAATCAATACCCAATCGTAACCAACATCTTCTTCCTATCTTACGCTTTCTAGGTCGAACTACTATGACTCACCATGAACCATCCCACCAGTGTGATACAAACACTCACGTCTGCACTGGACTAGCAACCCAAACATGGTGGGTATTTCAAATCTCAATGGCAGTGAACCTGTGGGTAAAGGTACGGGTTTACTACTATTACTACTACTACTACTACTACTACTACTACTACTACTACTACTACTACTACTACTACTACTACTACTACTACTACTACTACTACTACTACTACTACTACTACTACTACTACTACGGCTACGGAGTTATCTGTGACGTGTTAGGATTTAGGAGTTATCGTCCCATATCTATGTGAAGGATGATATGATCAAAAGATGAACTTGGGTCGTGTAGGTAGGCTGTGTGTGATTTGGTTGACAATGTAAAAAGTTGCTTGAGGGGATGTGGCCGATTACACACACACAAACTCAGACTATGGACGTGATCTAGGAATAGAATCACGGGGACATTGGACTACATGTAACCGGCAGATAGTAATAAGTATCCAAGGCGTTCGTTATTCTTTTCTATCGTCTATAGGGTGGGTGGGTATCTATGCAACAAAATCCAGATCTGGTGAAACTCATCCGTAACGATCATGAAGACGCATCCCGACAGGTCGCCTCTGTGAGCAGCTCGTCCAACTCCCGGAATCCCTCTTCCACGACCCATTTCTGACCCTGAGCGGGATGAAGGACATGGCAGCTCGCTCCCACCACCAATAGGCCTGGTGGTCTTGAGCCCTCGGCTTCGAAGGCGGCGCTGACGTGCTCCAGTGTTGACCGGATGACGCGCTGATCGCTGCAGGAGGCCCGCTCGATGATCGCGCAGGGTGTGTTTTTAGGCCAGGGGATACGTGGGCGAGAACCCTCTGCTGGCTCGGTGGTTAATGATTCTATGAGCGCGGACAGACGATGCAGGGCCATTAGGAAGACGACGGTTTGCGTGGGGACGTAAGTAGGGGGTTCTGGGGCGGCGCCTTTTCGTCCGGTGCCTGTGCAGATCAGGACTTGGTCGGACACACCCCGATGTGTGGCAGGGATGTCCGCGAAGAGAGGAGCGCTCAGGGCACTGGTGATACCGGGGAGGACCACAGGTGTGTATCCTTCGCCTCGGAAAAATTCGAATTCTTCGCCTCCTCGGCCGTAGAGGTACGGATCGCCCTGCTTCAGTCGAAGAACGTGTCTTCCTCGACGGAGGGAGTCGATGCCCATTTTCAAGAATTCCTCTTGGGCTTGGTCTGCGTTGCCCGGGAATTTACGCGCGATGTGGACTTCCGTCCGGCGTGGGATGAGTTCTAGAACGGGTGCAGGGACGAGTTTATCGGCCAGAATGATATCGGCGGATTGGATGGCGTTGTATGTGGCACGAGTGAGTAGATCGGGGTGTCCTGGGCCCGAACCGGCAAGAACAATTTTGCCTTTCTTTGGCAAAGACTCCGAGCTGCCGACATCGTTGAGTCCGTCTTTGCCAGATGAGTACGCCTCGAGAATGACGTTGATATCTTCATCGGTGATAGCGGCTAGTTTGCGAAGGGGCCAGTATTCGCAGATCTGAGACAGCCAGCGCATGCGGCGGGTTTTGGCTGCGGAGATGTCGTCCTCTGTGACTAACGTGTTGAAAGTGTGCCGTTGGCCGGTCGAGTCATCTTCGTCACCCTCTAGCGGTGCATCGCACAGCCCGGCGGCATAATCTTCCGCCCAGAGGCGCTTCCTCACTGCACCAAGCCTGTCAATGGCATTCCCGAGATTTGACGGGAGCCCGGACGAGATTTCCCTCCTGAGTCGGGAGGCTAGCTTGCAGCCGCGTCCTGACGTCGTGATACCGATATGAAGAGGTCCATCCGAGTATGTGGACAGCAAGCTGAATGTGCAGAGGTCTGGAGCATCGGACACATTCACTGGAATTCTTAGACGACGGCACAGCCTGGAGATATGGGCACTCGTGGAGTTGTTTCCGCCTAGCGTGACGAAGACTGTGTCTACAACACGGTCGACTTCCTCCCTCCCTAGGGTCGTGAGATCAGCGTCCTCGAACTCTCTGCGGATCCATTTCACGGAGCCGTTCTCAATCCGCTCGACCAACGTATACTGCAAGTCCTCGGTGTCCGGGGCGATGAGGACTGGCTTGGCACCAGCTTCAATGCTTTTAGCACAACGAGCTGCTGCCAGAGGGTTGGCGCCGATGATCAGATGCACCTGGGACTCGACGTTCACGGCCGTCAGTAGAGGTGCTGGTGATCCGCTATCGGATGCGTCCTTCATCTTGGAATTGCCACCGCGGGGTCTGGCGGTCGTATGCTCAGCACTGCTCCTTGTGTGTTGCTAAATCGCTTGTTTGAAAAGAAAGGCGACGCAAAGCAATCGAAGGCCTATTTTGGGAGACCAGCGTAAATTTATCTTTGCATGCCCACGGAGAAACGTAGTCGATTGATTAAGGTTCCAAGTTTCTTCAATTCCGCGGAGATGGAGCGGGCAGCACTTGAAGATAACGATCTCGTTTCTCCCACTCAGCGCCTCAGCCACGTCGATAAGCCTATCTCAGGGATTGCTAAAAGAACACACCACAGAAAACTGGGGGAATTGTAGTCATTCGCCTATGGGGAATTTATAGATGCATTTCCTGAAGAGGTTAAGGTGATATTGCGTGATCGGATGTGTGGCTTAGATAAGCTGCTGGTCGCGGATGGAACCACTCGATCCGGGGAGATTAGTTATCATCTGCACTCTTAGCCTCGTTAGACTCATTCACATAGAAGAATCGGCAGTGGAAAGGAAAGGGGAAGGCCATTATAGAGTCGTGAAGGAGCACTCTCTGGAGAGCATTCGTGATTGTCAAGAGCAGAATTAGCCCACCCGTGCGAGACCAGGATAGTCACCTGACCCTCGCACCTTGACCCGGCCAGCTCGCCAGAGCTGTTCTGTACTCGGTTGGAGAGGAACATCAGTCGCTGGGCATTCGAGAAGTTAGTGGGCCAGTGCTTGCAATCCGGGACAGTTTATCATTATGAAGGTGTGGTTCTTGTAGATGCCATTGTGTGTTCGTTCATCCCAATACTGGCCAGGACTAGCCCTGGTCGAAAGCGTCAGTCATTGATTATAAACAACAACCCCAGGGAGTACGAGTAATGCTGGCAAGGATATTCAGCTCGCTGCAGAGTCCAGTTGCTTGTTGAATGAAGTATGGAAGACCGTGGCTGCTTGGGTCGGAAGTGCTGCGGCGGTGTTCATCACGTGACACAGCTGCCGCCAGCTCGAGCTGCACGTCAGAGCTCCGATCCAGCCCATGCCTCCATTCAATCCCATCACTTCCCCAGACTCCCATCTTCCCTCAAACGTCCTCCCCTTCCTCGTATCTCCTCCGAAGAATCCTGCATTTATCTCCATCTAATCTCAATTCATATTCCAGTTGTGACGCTCCCTCGTCACCATGTCCGAGACCCTGCTCAAGCCGGAGAAGGACTTCTCCAAGGATGCTGACAAGCTGATCCCAGAGGCCGAACAGCTTGCCAAGGTAGGCGCTTCGGAGAGGTCTCCAGCGGATGCAACGTACTGACCACTTCCAGACCGATGTGCAGGGTGCCATTGACAAGCTCCTCGTATTGGAGAAGCAGGCAAGACAAGTACGGCCCTTCCTCCGTCCATCTGGCGATAACGCAATTCTCATCCATACTCCAGGCCTCGGATCTTGCCACAACATCCCGCCTCCTTATTACCATCGTCACAATCAGCAAGAACTCGGGTGATTGGACCCTCCTGAACGACCAAGTCCTTCTGCTGTCCAAGAAGCATGGCCAGCTCAAGCAAGCCGTAACGAAGATGGTCCAGGTGGTGATGGGATTCTTGGAGGAGACACCAAACTTGGAGGTCAAATTGTCCATCATCCACACGCTGCGGACTGTGACTGAAGGAAAGGTCAGTGCGACAACCACCCGTCCCGCCCGACATCCTGCTGAGGTGCTTGTGTATAGATCTTCGTCGAAGTCGAGAGAGCTCGCGTGACCCGCATCCTTTCCAACATCAAGAAGACCCAGGGTGACCTGAACGCCGCCGCCGATATCCTCTGCGAATTGCAAGTCGAGACGTTCGGATCCATGACCAGACGGGAGAAGACAGAATTCATCTTGGAGCAGGTTGCCCTATGCATAGAACGGGGTGACTGGACACAGGCCACTATCCTCAGCCGCAAGATCAACAAGAGATACTTTTCCCGCAAGCCGAAGAAGACCGCCGAGGAAATCGAGAAGCTGAAGAAGGAGGCTGAGGAGAAGGAGAAGACGCGTGGACCGGAAGAGGCACCGATGGAAGTTGATGACGACGTGACCGACTTGAAGCTCCGCTACTACGAACAACAGATTATCCTCGCCAACCACGACTACAAATACTTGGAAGTTTGCAAGCACTACCGCGAGGTCTTGGATACGGAGTCGGTGGAGAGCAATCCGGAGCAACTGCGCGCCGTAAGCTTTACTCGCCTTTATGGGCGTGCCTTAGGCTAACCTTGATCTCAGGTTCTTGCTCGGATCGTCTACTACATCGTCCTGTCCCCCTACGACAACGAACAGTCGGATCTGCTGCACCGCATTCAGCAGGACTCGCGGCTCTCCCTGGTACCTGTGGAAGGCCGGCTCGTCAAGCTCTTCACCATCCACGAGCTGATGCGCTGGCCGATGGTGGGCGAGCAGTTCGGTCCCCACCTCTGCAACACGGACGTCTTCAGCGCGCAGGCGAGCCAGTCGGCAGAGGACCAGCCTTACCGGAGGTGGCAGGACCTGCGCAAGCGGGTGATCGAGCACAATGTGCGGGTGGTGGCCAAGTACTACACGCGCATCCAGATGGGACGGCTGACGCAGCTACTGGACCTGTCGGAGGATGAGACGGAGAAGTACATCAGCGAGCTGGTGTGTTCGAAGACGATTTACGCGAAGATTGACCGTCCGGCGCGGTTGGTCAACTTCGCCAAGCCGCGCGACGCGGACGACGTGCTGAACGAATGGAGCAGCGACATGAAGAGCCTCCTGGGGCTCCTGGAGCGGATCGACCACCTGATCACGAAGGAGGAGATGATGGCGCGGATCCTGCCCTCGCGGGGCGAGAAGGGCAAGGCTCGGTAGAGCCTATATGTTGATAGAAGCCGTACACTGACGATAGTAGAATGGAACCACTGATGAGTCGAACAATGCATGGTCTATAATGATCTATTCTATCTATCCCCACCCCCATCAGCATGCACATGAACCCTCCCCTTAAAACGGCAAATCCATATCATTCACATCCTCCTCAACCACCACCCCCTTCTTCTCCCCCTCCAACACATCCCTCACAAACCCCACCACTGCATCCAAATACGGTCTCTGCGCCGGCACAAAATGCCCCCCGGGATGCACCACCACCCTCCCCTTCGCCTCCCCTCCCACCTCACACGCCTCAATCAACGCCCGACTCCTCCCCTCCTCCACCACCGCATCCAACGACCCCAACACATGCAACACCGGGGTCCTCACCCCCGGCTCATAAAACCCCCTATACCTCGGCCCCGGCGCCCGAAACCCACTATAACACACCGCGAACTTCATCTGCGGCTGCACCTTTCTCACCTCCTCCCACCAAACGCCCGGTACCTCAAAGCCCCCCACGCCCTCAAACTCCGTCCCCGCACACGCCACCCCCGCATCCAGAAACCTCGTCACGGCTTCCTCCCGCCCCGGTTCTAACAACGATGCGACAATGGCTGCCATCGCCGCGCCCTGCGAAAAGCCAATTACCCCGTCGAAGGGACCCTCGGTCAGGATCGTCTCCGCGATAGTTTGCAGTCCGAGGTGGAGGTCCGTGTATAGGGGTGGGTTGGTGGTCGAGTGCCGCCGGAACCAGCCGTAGGAGTCTGTGCTTGTGCTTGTGCTTGTTTCGTCGCTGGTGCTGGTGCTGGTGGGTTCGTAGCCCGGGATGTCGGAGGGGAGAAGGTGGATGGGACCGGTTGGGTAGGTGGTTGTCACGACGTGGGTTGGGAGGAGAGCCTTGGTGAGGTGTTTGATCACGGCGCGGGATTTGGCGTGGAAGAGGGGGCCGGATTGCGTGTAGCCGTGGAGGCAGAGGAGTTTGAGGGGGGGCATTTTTTGATTCTTTTGGGTTTGGATTTGGATTTGGGGTTGGAGTTGGGCAGTTGTTGGTTGATTGGTGAGGGGTGTGTATTTTGTGTAGTTGTGTAAGTTGTGGTGGTTGTAGAGGGGGAAAGAATCAGAGTATCAGAGGGTGAAGATGTCGGGGAGAGAAAATGTACTAGTGGGAGGAGGAGGAGCAGATAAGATAAGCGGGTGGTTTGTCGGGGACGGGGTATCGACCGAGTCTAGGGTTGGAGTGTCAGCCTGGTTTAGAGTGGATTGGATAAGTGGTTTCAGGAACTCCGTAATGAGGGGCTGGTTCATCTGGGGTGTATCTACAATCTGGGAGTACGGGGTATTTGCTTTGGAAATGCTGTGGTGATACATCCCAGCGTAAAGGCAGCGGATGGGCAAGGGCCAGGGCTAAGCAGGGGATGGTCTAGATGCAAGTGTCACAGGCTGACCCCAGCTTCTATAGGGCTACACGGATTGCGGAGATAGCGGAGCCGGATCTCGAATCAAACATCGGTCTACCCTACAGCCTACAATGTCCATACTGACCAAATAAACATACGATTGCTACCGCACGAGGGTATCACAACTCTGCAACGCCAACACCCTCCTTTTCAGGCTGATGTCCTGCATGCAGCCCAGTCACGCCGCCCAAGCAATGCCGGCTCCGCCATCATTCATCTTCGTCAACGATGGATGGAATCTCTCGCTCCGCAACATCCGAATTCCTGCGGCAACCGGCAGAGCTCAGGCAGACGTGACCGGGGCGTTGTGTCATCCCATCGTGCCCTGTCGAGGTACAGCGTAGGTACACGGAACACACAACGCAGGGGCGAAAAAAGCACAAAAGCGAAATCAGAGATCAAGGCAAGAGTAGTTTGGTAGTATGGACCGATCATGTGCCAGATATCCGGAACTCCCCTGCGCGAAGGTAGGAAGAAAGAAGAAACGCTTTTTTGAATGTATCAACGGGTTGTGTGCCTGGTCAAAATTTTTTCATTTCCCTTGTCTGTGTGGTTCCGCAGGGCTTCTCGCAAGGGGCGAGGATTCCATCTTCTATCTGAATCTGTTTCCTCAGAAAAACGAGATATATTAATCCATCATCATTGAAGAACGCCACATTGCATCATCGCTCCGGCACGGTCGCGTCGAGACGTTTACTTGCGGCGGAAAGAGCAGCCCTCAGTGAGACGGGCCTTACCACCGGTGGGCTGGCAGAGGACGGTCGAGCAGCCAGCGCAGACGACGACGGTCTGGGCGTGGGAGAAGACGGTGGTGATGGTGAAGCAGCCGGGGCACTTGACGTCCATGAAGAAGGAACGGGGGGCAGGCACAAGGGTCTGTTGAGACACCGGTATCAGCCAACCGCATCCCTTATCATTTTTTGATATATCCGATCCGGAGGTTCATACCTTGAGCTTGTGCTTGCGGGCCTCAGCCTGAGGCGTGGGGTTGAGGAGGTCGACCGCGAGAACCTATCCAAGGAAGTCCGTCAGCTCAACATTTTCCGACAAAGATTTTGGGGTGTTTCTGCGGCGACGGGATGGCGACGGCGACGGGGAGCACAGATAGCGAACGGCGTGTGCCAGTCGAGACAGGCATGCAGAGGGAGGTTCGGCATAGGCTGGGATGGAGGTCGAAGGGCAGAACGTACCATCTTGACGAGACAAAAAGTCGATCAGCGAAGGGAGTTGATTGATGCGCTGATGGAGATGGCCTGCTTGAGGGTGAAAGCGAAAAGGTGGTCTCGTGGAGATGGCGAGCGCTGAAGGGAATTCTCGACGGCGTCAGCCAGGGCGGCCCGTTTGGGGCGCATAGGGTTGCAGCCCTCTCGCTAATACTGCCCGAACAAGCACTTTTGCCACGGCCCGGCGGTGCCCCCCGTGGCTGGCCGTCCTTCCGCCAATGGCAGCCCGCTTATATCAGCCTCTAGATGCTGCTAGACGCTCCAAGGTCCTTCTGCTCGGAGCTCTTCCTACTCCTTACGCATGTGTCCACCACCGTTGCCACCATGTGCTAAGCTCATACAAGTACATTTCTATCGCTAATCCAATACGCTACTGACTAGATTCGGGCATGACATACGTTCCTGTCCAGTGGCATGTGCCTGCCATTCCGACACCGGACTCTCCGACTTCCTTCCAATGCTTCTGATCCGCAATGCTAGAATGCACGAACCGCTGCTCGTCCAATTAACCCTCCCTGTGATGCGACTCGGTCCTCCCCCGCGTAACTCATTCCTCATACGTCACCGCCCTCGTTTGCGACCTCACTAGTTCGATTTCTTCGCATCGCCGTTGGCGGCTACCACTTCCACATGGGGGTGTTTGATCGTCAAGCACCAGATATCGATATAGTCGCATATCGTCGTGATGATGTCATGCTGTTTGCGATTAGCGTTTCGTCACAAGATATCCTCGGCCGAACTTACCACGAAGCTGCCATAGACGCCAACCGACAGACCAAGGCACACCCAGAGGAACGCAACCTGACCCTCACCGTCTCCCAGCAGGCTGGACCAGACACCAAACGTCGCACCAGCGCTGTCGATAACCGCCAACGCAAGAGGAATCAGAAGCATGTTGAAGTAAGGGAAGCTGGCTTTGACCAGGTGCGCACAGATCATCCTGCCCACGGCGTACGCATTGATCATGCCAACGTACAGGCAGAACGGAACCATGTAGTTCTCCAAGATGGTGGGTTGCAAATAGAGATAGGCCGGCACAAGAGTCCACACCGCGACGAGAGGGAGCAGACCGTACAGGGGCTTGATGGGGTCCTGCTTACGCTCGCAGCGCACCTGCATGACGTGCACAATGCTGGAGCCTGTGGCGAAGAAGAGGAGGACTCCACCGTAGACCAAATACCACTGCGTAAAGGCCATGTCGTAGATGTTGTCCGGGAGGAAGGCCAATTTGGGAACACCAATGGTCTCAAGCATGGAGCGATGCCAGAAGCTGCCGCCGCCAATATAGGCAGTAAAGCCGAAGACAACGCAGAGAGTGAGAACGCCCTCGACGGGGCCGGAAATGACTCCCAGGGTCAGCACTTGGGTGTAATATTCATCCCAGGTCTGAACATAGAACGTCATGGTAGCTTTATCTTATCAGCATTCCGAGGCTCAAATTGAGCTGGTAGAGCCACGTACATCCAAAAAGGGTCAACAGAGTTGCCCAAGACTGGCCGAGGTTCATGGCAGCGGCGAAGATCAAGACTCCCAAAGCCGTATTGCACGCATCAACACCTAAGGCGACTTAATCTCCGAACAACCTAAGTCTGAAAGCCGACCTATGCACTTACTGTGATCAAACAGCTCACCCAGAGGACCGCTCTGCTTGGTTCTCCGCCTGTAAGATCGATTTAGCATCGAGCCTACCCGTCAACAGAATATCAAGGGGCGCAAGGGGCAGGTCGTACGCTTGGATGCCGTCTACGCCGTCAAACGTCTGGTATAGGAACAACCCAATGGCGCAACTGGCATAGACCCAGGGCGGGCAGTCCTGGTCTAGGGTCGGGTTGTACCAGAGGATAGTGAAGAAGTTGACTACCACGAAGAAGAACCCAGTCAGGGTGATCTACCCAGTCCTCAGTTATAGGCTTCATATCCCATCAGGACTCGCGACTTACGGCGTTAGGACTAAGATCGGCGAGCGAGGCTGTTAGCCAGGGAAGAACTCTAAAGACGAATCAAGCCAGCTCGCCACTTACGCCATGCTCATGGGGAAGAATTTGATCACAAAGTCATTATAGAACGGCTTGAGGATGTATCGGCTAACAAGCGACAGATCGATACCTGCATAACGGTATTCGCGCAGCTTGGGCAGTTGATCTTGCCGAATGTACACCATCTTGTCGGTGTCTTAGAAGCGCCTGAGTTACAGGAGCAATACGACCAAAGAATCCAGGTAGTCAGTGTGCTTGAAGGATGCTGCTTCACACGCGAGGAAAGCCAAGCCGGCGGCGGACTCAGGTTGACGCCAGAATTGTCAATGCCGCGCGGAAACGGGGGAAACAAGGGCCGGAAAGGCGAACAAGGCCTGGGGCGTGAAAGAACTGCTAGCAATTAAAGATGAAGTGGAAAGAACAAGCAGAAAGGAGAAGCAGAAAGCAAGGGAAAAGAAAAAAAGGAGACAAAAAAAAAGACACGATGAGGATGGTGGGCACCGTTGTTGATGTCTGTCTTCTTCCACGCCGTGAATTTTCTAGGAACTTTTTTTTTTCTGCCGGCGGAAGCAGCGCTGCAACGGGCGGACGCGGGGACCAAAGCCTCCCACGCCAACCAGTCGCTCTCGGCAGCCACTGGGCCAAGAACCTTGCCTGCTTCAGGCGCTGTAAAGAATCCCACCGCACATCTTCGAAGGACGGTGTGGATTCACACGGCACGCGCACGTGCAGGCGTGCCTCTCATTTGCTGGCTACCCTCGGACGGAGCAGTCTCCTCTTTCTTATCAGTAAAGCCCGGCTCTGATCGTCGTGGGACAAGTGGGGTGGCCAGCAACCCGACAGCCAGTCTGCTAAGTCTAGCGAGGCCCGAGGTTTTTGGCGATGACGGGAATGGATTTAGTCGACTACAAAGCGGGGAGACGCTAGAACCGTCAAGCGGGACCATGGATCAACTTTGTTTTCGGTGGCTGGGGATTTCGGACTTGACAACTAACAACAACGAAAGATAATAGATACAGCATGGAACACTTTGAACATGTGCTGTGCTAATGCTAGATACGATACACGAAAGGCACTAGGACCGGCTCAGGTGAGAAACAGTGGGCAGTGTACGAAGTACACTAGGGTCCAAGGTTCCTGAGACTCGGGATAGTGCAACAATAGACAGGCCTAGTCGTTCCATGCTAGATCCGGCTCCTGTCTATACACTCCCTTGCTCTCTGTTCATGGCGCTCGGATCGTCGAGGAACATAAGTCAGGCTTGGCTCTGGATGCCTGGGCACTGTAGGATCGCCCCGTGATCATTACCATGTGACCGTGACTGGGTTTAACCAACCGGGCTCCATGGCATAGGGATCAGAATCCGGCTTTGCATGGTCTGGATAAGCGGGACCGTCTTATGCACGGTTTCCGCCCAGCCTTCGATGCCCCAGGACTGCTCCCGACGGACCTTGCGCTCCTCGAGGTTCGCAAACTGCCAGAGATGGTGCACAGTGTTCAACTCTCCAATCTGAACGAACCATGCCCCGACGCCCTCCATGACCTCCCGGCGGGCTTTGAGACCGCGTCGCCAGTGCGTCTCCCATTCCAAAAGGTTTCCGGGGTGGAGTGTGTATGATCGGAGCTCAAAAAGGCCACCCAGGCGCCGTGGAGGAGTTGTTGGCCAGAAGGAAAACTCTTGCATCAACGATGTCTTCTTGCTCTTGATCAAACTCTTCAACTTGCGGTCAAATTCGGGGAATTCGGGATGACTGGAGATGTTGTGCAGAGAAGCATGGTAGCCTTCGTATCGCTGATATTCCCAGATATGAACTGCAAAAATGATTAGCATCCTGGTCTGAGAGGCAGGCTGAATGCCACCAGATGGAAAATGGGCGCATTTAGTCAAGTACCAAAGGTGTCATTGTCTCCGACCTGTGTACGCCAGCTTCCAACCAAGTTCACCCGGTTCTCTGGGTCGGACGCCATGCGCGGATACCACTGGCCAACGAGGTTGACATAGTCGTCGACTTTGTCGGGCTTCACATCATGGAAGACGATCGAATGTACGTATTTTCCACGGGCGAGGACCTGCGAAAACGACCGCTCGATATCTTTGTCCAGTTGCTGGCCTTCCTTGGTTCCGTAGATGAGCGACGACAGGGGGCCGCGCTTCGGAGACTGACTGGCTTCCTGCAGCTGCTCGTCTCCTATAATCCGGTGGGTAGAAAGTGAGCCCAAAGCCTTATGATCAAGAACTTCAGCGGCATCAAACACAAGGTTCTTGTTACTGCTCGCATTGCTCTCACCCGGAGCAGTGGGAGCGGCAGCGTACTCACGAAAGCGGTCACGGGATGCAGGGGATGAGGCAGTAGAACCAGAAGCATCGACAGACTGACTCTCTTGCTGTTCTCTCTTCTTGCGAGCCACCTCCAGATTCTCGCGGAACTCCTTTTGACGGGCATTAAACTCCACCGCCGAGTCGGGGGTGATGTCACGGATAGAGGGGGCGCGGTAGGCAGTGGCAGAGGAACTGAAGGGGCGAGCCAGCGAAGACGCTGGCCGCAACAAGCGTGGGGCGAACATGATTCCGAGGGTAGATATACAGAAGTAGATGCTGTTTGAAGACAGAAGACAAAGCAAAAGAAAGCTCTACGCTCTCAGATAAAAAGACACAGTGGTCGGGGGGAAAGACGTGGTTGAAGAAGGGTGCTGGGTGTCGAAGTGACAGCAACACGGGAGCCCAACCACGGCGCCGAGGTTAAGGAGGCGACACAGAGAAGAGGGGCTTCAACACCGAGAGGGGAAGTAAGAAACTGAGACAACAGGTAAGGGCAGGGATGGCAGAAGCAGGTAGACACGCGATGAATGACCTGACCGACGGCTAAAGGGAAGGAGCACTACAGCAGGAGTCCACGGAACCAGTCAGGTAGCAAGCTTTGAGAGCCAGGATCAGCAAAGAGGAGGGATCGAATTGTCGGGCGGAGAAGAAATAATCCCCAATGGCGGGTGTCGGTTAAGGCTGACGGATGTGTGCGATATTGGGTGACAATTTAAATAGAGCCAATGGTGGCAGAGGAGGGCGGGATGGGAGAAAAAGAGGAGAGAGGAGAGAGGACTAGAGAGAGGGAGGACAGCTGGAGGTACCTCCGGACCGCGTAGTGGAAGCTGGGGAAAGTCGTCACTTGCTAAGCTAAGAGAGTGCGGGGAAAACCGCCTGAAGACCTGTCCGGGAGGCTGTGCTGTTCCCAGCAACCATGTACAGCTGGGGTCTGCCTTATATAGGGCCCAAGCACCAATCCCAGCCCTAGTGTACTAATTTCCCATGCCGATACACGTCCTGCTCCTGCGGATGAGGTGTAGCCCCCGAGAGAGAGACATTCCTCGTGATTTGTCCATTCTTCTGTCTAGGCCGATCTTCACTGCCTAGTGCTGCAGCTCCTAGCCCATGACGAAAGCGGTCTTCCTTTCCTCCGTGCCCACGGCTACTGGCTTGATAACCGGCATGAGAGCCATCGAGTGCCGTGTCTCATCCGATTGGTAAATGGGTAGACAATGCCCCTTATCACACTATTCATAGTACTGGAGCTTGCAAAACCAGCAGCACAACACAAGCGTAGCTCCCAGCACCGATGACGTCGTGGACGGAGCAGCGGCCTTATGTAATCCGCGACGAGCCGCGCGGTGATCCGGGCCCGGTAGGCTAATCCTAAAGAGGATTAGGATGGTCAACCCAATCCGGTAGCGCCTCATTGTTCCGGGCCGCCCCTCCAGGCCCTCCAGGCCCGCCACTTGCTGTTGTCCCTCTGCCTCTGTGCTACAAGCTCCTTGACTCAAACGGAGTCCAGACTGCGATTGTTGTGTTTGACGTCAAAATCATCTGTACCTCGGCTCTGAATAAAATCTCACCATGGCGGATTCAATGAACCCTCCCCTCTCTTACGAGGCCTCTGCCTCAACTACCCATCCGCATGTTGGGAGCACCCTCCCAACGGAGGTGATCTCGAGTCTCAAGAATTCCCGATTCGTGAGTACTATGATAGCTCCAGTTCCATGCTCTACCCCTGTCCGCGGCAGCTGATTGTGCACTCTACCAGCTTCATCTTGCAACATGTGATGGCCTGACCCCGCACATCTCGCTCATGTCCTACACCTACCTTCCCTCGACTCCCTATGACCCGTATCCGACGATTATCATGACCACCAACCCCTCCTCTCGCAAGACCAATCACTTGCTAACCAACCCTCGTGTCTCCCTCCTGGTCCACGACTGGGTCTCACACCGTCCGCCTACCCGGGCTCTCAATCCCGGTGGTCGCGAAGGGTCTCCTCCCCCTGCTGCGACACGGTCTTCATTGGCAAGTCTGCTTCTGAACTTGAACACAAGTGCGCTGTCGAGTATTTCCACCACCATCACCGGTACTGCCCGCTTCCTGGAACCGGGCTCGGATGAGGAGACGTGGTGCAAGAAGCAGCACTTGGAAAACAACACCTTTGAAGAAGAGTTGGGCACTTTTGGACAGCAGCAGCAGCAGCAGCAGCAACCCGGTCAAAGACGGGCCAGTGTCTCTATTGACAGCGATGTGCGCGTCGTGGTTGTTAGTGTGCGCGAGGGCCGCATTGCAGACTGGAAGGGCGGCGTGAAGGATTGGCAGCTGGTTTTGGACGGTGAAGAATCGCAAGAGGCTTTGGTTAACGGCGTTCCGTCCGCATAGTGCTTGCTGATTTTTGTGCTACCTTGTGTATCATAGCTCGAGAGTGGACTTGCCGACTTGGGAGATTGCAAGCAGATGCTCAGGCGTAAATTGCCTATGTTCAGTCATCGGGGTCTTTCGGCGTACCGGGTTCCTGAAGATGTCAGTGGACACGATCTGGCCGTCATACTTCCGGACGAATTTGGAAGTATCCACTGCTGTACATAGAATTGAAGCTGCATGCAAAGTCAAATTGAAAATAAGCTCCGTGCTGCAAGCACGCAACCTGAGATCCGGATTGCCTTTGTCGTCACATGATCGGGAGCTCCCCGGTGACGTTGAATCTTATCGGACAAAGCTACCACCATCCTCAACTCAATTCCTCGACTCCGACTGATCCCTCACCAATTGCACCCCAACCACCGCCCTTATACCTCCTCACATACGATGCAAATACACCAACACCACTAACCACCAATTTAATCTCCAATCCCAACTCAACACCAACCACCACCACCAAAATGCGCCTCGCCCACCTCCACTTCCCCGACATAACCTCCTTCACCCGGGTCGCCAACCTCCAACAAACCCTGACCAGCCGCCTCCTCTCCCACAAAAAGCACCTCACCCCGAACCCTCCGGACCCAACCATCATAACCTTCACCCCGAATCCCGTCTACACGACCGGACGCCGCGACCTCCCGCCCTCCAACACCAGCCACCCCACCACCAACACCAACACCACCACCAACAGCAGCAGCAGCAGCAAACTCTCCCTCCCCCCCTCCCTCGAACCAATCCGCTCACTCCTAATCCCACCCCGCACAAACCCAAACCCAATTATCCCCCCCACCAAAGTCGCAGAATACCACCCCACGCTTCGCGGCGGGCAAACGACCTACCACGGCCCGGGGCAAATGGTCGCATACACGATCCTGGATCTCCGACGACTGGGCCTCACCCCGCGCTGTCATATTCGGTTATTAGAGAATAGTGTGATTGAGGTGTTGGGGCGGTATGGGGTCCGGGGAATGGTGACGGAGGATCCGGGCGTGTGGGTGAATCCGGATGGGAAAGACGGGACGGTTCCGAGGAAGATTACGGCGGTGGGGGTGCATTTGCGGAGACATATTAGTAGTTATGGGATTGGGTTTAATGTCACGGAGGAGCCGATGTGGTGGTTTCGGCAGATTGTGGCGTGTGGGTTGGAGGGGAGGGAGGCGACGAGTTTGCGGGGGGTGGGGGTCGAGGGGGTGAGTGTGGATGAGGTTGCGAGGCAGTTTGTCGGGGCGTTTGTGGGGAGGGTGAATCGGGATTTTGCTTGTGGGGAGGGAGCTAGGGGGGAGGGGATTGAGGAGGTGTATAGTGTCACGGAGGAGGATTTACTACGGGAGTAGGGTGGTTGGTTTATACTGTGGGGTTTTGGTGATTGGGCTGTACACTGGCTGTGCAGTGATCCGAGAATTCGAGCACAGCGAATGCTGCACAAACCGTGGTAATGTGCAGTCAAGAAGGTTCATTATGAATGGTACATTTGCATGGTCTATACCAAAATCGTCGATGCTAAGATCGGCCAGAGCGAGCAATTGAATGAAGATAGAGCAGCCAGGGGTTCCGGCTGGCGCGCTTTTCTGGAGGACGGATTCAAAGCAAACATTAGGTATACAGGATTACAAAAAGGTGCAGCAAGTATATATAGAGAAGCGAACGGAGGGGACATGACAGGCTGGAACGCCCAGAAGCATGGTACCTCAATGCCAGTGGTGGAAACCCCGATTCCCAAATCGGAACATTCACAGCAAATGACCCAGTTCAGTGGCTGAAGAGCAAGCAAGTCAAGAAGGGTATAGAAACAGAGCAATGCGACGGTCGAAAGTCATAAAGTATGGGCCAGTGGGGTTCAGAGAATGACGCATCGTTCCCCGGATCCGTTAGAGCCCTGGGCTTTGACTTCCAGGGCGACCTTTGCTGCTTCGTAGAATGTTTCCATGATACCACGATTTTGCACGGCGGAGCATTCTGCAAGAGGTCTGTCAGGGACCATCATGGGATGACATCACAGGGTATAGTCCTTACCCAGATATTTCACTGCTCCGATTTCCTTGGCCTTTGCTAATCCTTCATCATAAGTGATCGCATTCGGATTGTCGTTTAGGAACTCGTCCTTCCTCAAGTCACACTTGAGGGCAGTGAGCACCAGTTTGACATTGGGGCAGTTCTCCGAGATCTCTTCGATCCATTTGCTCGCCACGTTCTCGAACGAATCCCGACTTTCGACCTAGTACAAGTCAACGTCATGTCCACCCACAAGGATCATCCGTCCTCACGCTAAAACAAAGCATAATCACATGTGTGTCCTCATAGGATAGCGCACGCAATCGGTCAAATTCTTCCTGGCCAGCCGTATCCCATAGCGACAATTCCATGTGAACACTATCCACGAAGATATCTTAGGCGAACATGAGCATGCGGAAACGATATGTATAGAGGGAGGAAGTACCATGCACATAGTTCTCTGTCAAACTCCACGGTTAGTAGGATGGTTCATCATAGACCGAGGAAGCAAATGCGCACCAAATACAGTAGGCTCACTGGGTAGGTATGAGGTTAATACCGCAACTTGGAATTAGAATGAGGAGAAGGCCATGCTCACTAAACGGTTGGGAAGTATCTGGCGCAATACGTTAGCTAACTTGGAATCCAAGGGGGATACAGGAGGTGCCCACCCTCTGGTGAAGACGTTCAAAGCGGAGGTCTTGCCGCAAGCGCCATCCCCTCTTATCTAGAAATCAGCATTCTGGCCATCGAGCGTGGTTTCCAGGGCTCGCAAACTGACAATAACACCATCTTGCGCCGAACCACCTTTTGACGGCCGCAGAGATCCATTGTGAGGGTTTTGGAGGGTGATCTGTCAAAGTATGCGGAAAGAAGGGTCCAAGCAAATGATAAGGGAGGGAAGGGGCTGGATCGAGAGGGGGTCGACCGAACGACAGGAATGCGTATGGAAGATAAGGGAATTAGAGTGTGTGGAGTAAGGGCGAATAGGTACGGCTAACGTTTCACGAGACTCAGATCTGGTTGCGAACACGAAGATACTTAGTAGTCGTGGGCCGCCGTGCAGGGTCGGTCGATGTCATCGGCTCCGTCCTGCAATGGACGATCCGCGAATAAGACGATCGTCATCTGCCAAGCGTAGTGCCTGAACCGCTCTGGATGTCGGAGGCGCGGAGTCGCTTCGCCACGGCCACACTGGCGATATTCCTGACCCGCACAGCGTCCGTCTTTGCTGGATAGGCAGTGTGCCTTGATGGAAGTGGCTGTGTTCATCAGATAATGGACATTATTGCTTAGTATGTGCCAGCGGGCACACCCTCACTACCTTTTTAGTAGTGCTGTAGAGATCGGTTTAGTAGGCCTGCTCAGGCCTTGACAGCCGCCGGTTGCTTCAGTCGCTATATTTTTAGAATCATTGCATGCAGGGCTAAACCGGAGATCTTAGGCGACGTTATCAACGGCCTGTGTATTCCTACTCAGCTAAGAATAGGTTGAGTGGGCGTGAACCCCCAAAAATATATATGAGAACGAACTGCCTGGTTGTAGATTATGATCTCAGTATATTCATGTTTGTTTCAGCGCAATAGTAGCAAGTTGAAGAATTGGCCTAAGAATAATATTCGTGGCATGACAAGCTATTCTGGGACGTTGTTAGCAAGTCCCTCATGCTCGAGTAGACAGAGGAATCCATCCTTTGTTGTGCTTAACTGAGAGAGTAGACTCGGTCTCGGTCGGCCCCGGCGTCGACGACCAACCTGGAAGCTAAGGCGGGGAACCTCAACTTTGGCCCCAGGCTCCGATAGGCGCGGAAGCTCTCCATTCCTCCCTCACGTCCATCTCATCGAACTTATCTCCATCCATTATTAGCACGCCGTGCGCGCTCATTTCTCTCTCTCTTAAATTCCCTAGATACCCAGCACTCAGCGAGGCCCGTTTCCTCTTTCATAATGTCTGACGATGATGATTTCATGCAAGATTCGGGTGATGAGGAGTAAGCCTGAGCCATCCACCCAGGCATCCGGTATCCGTCGCCGCTAACCAGCTGAACTATCGCAGGTACGACTTCGAGTACGAAGATGCGGACGATGATGAATCTGGAGACGTCGGAATCGAGAACAAATACTATAATGCCAAACAAATGAAAATAGACAACCCGGAGGAGGCCATCGAGGAGTTTCTGGGTGTTCCGGATCTAGAACAAGACAAGGGCGACTGGTAAGAGCCCGTGGACCTCAGTGATGGGTCAGCCCCGATGCTGATGGTAGTTAAGGGGGTTTAAGGGACTGAAGCAAGCGATCAAATTGGAGTTCAAGCTTGGAAAATACAGCGATGTAAGTCGCCTCTTCTCGCTCCCCTTGATCACCGATAAGGTCCTGACCTTTCAGGCCGTCGAACACTACAGGGAACTCCTCACCTATGTCAAGTCGGCCGTCACGCGGAATTACTCGGAGAAGTCCATCAACAATATGCTGGATTACATCGAAAAGGGATCGGACGACGACACAGCTTACCAGTGCATGGAGGAATTCTATTCCCTGACGCTGCGCTCGTTTCAAAACACCAACAATGAGCGACTGTGGCTGAAAACCAACATCAAGCTGGCACGTCTTTGGCTGGAACGGAAGGAGTACGGCCAGCTGAGCAAAAAGGTGCGGGAGTTGCATCGGGCATGTCAACGGGATGACGGAACAGACGATCCGAGCAAAGGGACATACCTCCTGGAACTGTACGCTCTAGAGATCCAGATGTACGCCGAGACGAAGAACAACAAGCGACTGAAAGCACTCTACCAACGTGCCCTCCGCGTCCGGTCGGCAGTGCCACACCCCAAGATCATGGGAATTATCCGAGAATGCGGAGGGAAAATGCACCTGAGTGAGGAGAACTGGGAGGAAGCACAAAGCGACTTCTTCGAGTCGTTTCGGAACTACGACGAGGCGGGTTCAATACAACGGATCCAGGTGCTCAAATATCTGGTGTTGACCACCATGCTGATGAAATCGGATATCAACCCATTCTATTCCCAAGAGACCAAGCCGTACAAGAACGACCCCCGCATCTCCGCTATGACCGATCTAGTGGATGCGTTCCAACGGGACGACATTCATGCATACGAAGCCATCCTGAGCAAAAACCCGGACGTCCTGGCCGATCCGTTTATTGCCGAGAACATTGACGAGGTTAGCCGGAACATGCGGACAAAGGCCGTGCTCAAATTGATTGCCCCGTACACACGATTCACGCTGAAGTTCATTTCGAAACACATCCGGGTCTCGGTACCCGAGGTCCAAGACATTCTGAGCTTCCTGATCCTGGACAAGAAGCTCAATGCCAAGATCGACCAAGAAAACGGGATTGTGGAGGTCGAGAGCACTAGCGACGTGGACCGGCTACAATCCCTCCAGGAGTGGAACGCATCGCTGCGGTCTCTTTGGCAAGCGACCTTGAACGAAGGGGATGGATTCAGGGAAGATCCCACTCAGCTCCACGGCATGAGAGGAGGAGGGCCCATGTTCCAAGCCGGGCTTGGAGACGAAGCACCTGCAGGCTTACGGGCTGGCGGTCGCCGGCTGCGGGGTGGATACAAAGGCAGAAGCGGCGGCGGGCCTGGAACAAAGGCCGGGCTGGGGGGTCTCTAGTGGGAATGCATTGTTCCATCGGACATCCATTCACCCATCCATCCATCCATCCTCGCTGCGTCATATCCCGATAGAGTGCAAGGATACAAAGTCAGACCGGCACATACGGAGTACAGTCGGAAGAAGTGAAATCACAGCACACACACACACAACAGCCTACCACAGGGAAAACAATGAGATCATGAAGGCCAATGCGCGCGGGCAAACCACCTACCTAGACACATCCGTAAGCCACCCGACTAAAACACGCCAGGGACCCAGGCACACAACGTACTTTTTCCCCGGTACACAGTCCAGTCCACAGCCCACCCTACTTACCCCCATAACCCTTGCAAGTAGCAACGCCCCATCCATCCCTCCTGTCACTGCCGTACATACGGAGTACCACCATCATCCCCGACCATAATCCAAGTCCAGCTAAGACGCCGGGCGGGAACCCTACAGTCTTTCCCCCGGCCGCTTCGTGACAGGTCCAACCGGTCCAAGTAGCGATAAGCCATGTGGTAAGAAGTTTGCCAAAAAAGTACCGAAGTGTCAATGGACCCGTCTAGGTCTTGTCTGTCTGTCACTTCACTTCCTTAAACTTTTTTTATTTTCTTTTTTAGAGTTGCTTGCTTTTTATTGTAGTTGTACATATGTAACCCCGTATGCATGTTTGACGCCTCATACTCTCCCTCGCACTCCCAGAGGTGTAAGTGCTAGGTAGTATGTATGTTTGGTAGCGCTTCGGGGGACTTGGGAATCCGGGAATTGTGAAATTCTGGACTACGTACTCCGTACTTCTCTAAACTTAGTTTTTGGGGGAGGTGGGTTTTGCAGGGTTGGTTGTTTGTTTGTTTCCGTATACTCTACTCCACACTTCTTATTGATAATGTACATGATGGGATTGTGTACTCCTAACTCGAGCGGAGATAAATGTCTCACTGGATGGCATGGGATGGGATGGGATGGGATGGATCGGTCCGGATTGAGATGATGAAAGTGTGCATAACATCAGTATGTAAGAGGATGTAGTAGGTATAAAGGGGGGATGGGGATGGGGATGGGGATGTACTGCGACGGAGTACGGGCTGGGTCGAATGTCAATTGCATACGGGGTACGGTAGGACTAGGTACCGGGATGGAGGTACAGATGGCGTAGGAGGCACTATGCAGTGCCTGCCTAGGTAGGTAGTAGGTAGGTAGGTACTAGGTAGGTACGTTGCAGGAGTAGAGTACATTACAGCACAGCACAGCACAGCACGGACAGACAGATGTACATACATACTTGTTTAGGTAACTTGAGGGTAGATAGTACTCTGGATGGAGTAGGTGGAAGTGTATGTAGGTATGTACCCCACATCCATCCCAAAGGAGAAAATACACCCTCGGCCGAATAAACCCGCTACCTACTGGGATAATCTAGGTATATGGAGTAGGAAGCAATCAACTACATACTTACATCCAGGCCCATCCATATCCTACCAGGAAGTGAAGTATGTACAGCTGGTAGAGGTGGAACTACCAGGCAGTAAGTGGTGGTGGTACTTTTTGAATCCTTCCGCCGGGATGTGTGGTTGTTGGGTAGGTACATGGGAACATTTAGGTACCTGAGACGAACACATTAGAGTGAGGCAGAAGTAGGTACCTAACATAAGGTGAAACCGGGGGACAAATAGGTACCCAATCAATTCTGTGAAGGTAAGGGAGTCCCTGTACGGAGTACTTAGTAGATACTTGCCGAAGGACGTATGTACCCTGGATGAACTGTGGATGTAGAGTGGGAACAACAGAGTATAGTACATACTTGATTGTTAGGTTACACAAGGGGACCTGGACGTTTTCTTGGTTTATCTATCTATCTAGCGATCATTCGATCGGGATGGGATTGGCGCGGGGAGGTGAATGCCGATCAGTACGGTAGTTGGGGTTGGGGGTGGTGTGTGTGACTGAGGGTGGGTGTGTTTGCTTTCCTTCATCATTAGTGGGAGGAGGAAGTTTACGGAGCATCCTGCCGGGCTTTAGGTTAGCTACGGAGGAGATAGTAGATAGTACGGATAGATAAATAGCTATCTCTTGCTTGAGCTACGGAGATAACTCAGCTGTGCCCCGAAGGTGCAGGGTTCCTTTCCTTCTGCCACTGGATGTGCCTGTCAGGTAACTGACAGAAGTGTCATTTACCGGTGTGTATATTTGGTCCTTGCGAGGCCCCGAAAATACGCCGATGTCGCGAATGTGAACCTCGCTGCAGAAGACTCTGCAGTGACAGTTGAGACAGCCAGGTGCTTGGTATAGAAGAGCCAGATTTCCCTGCGATGCGGCCGTCTCCACCTCCACCGTTACCAGTCACCACACTTAATTATGCCTTTCCTTTTTTTTCCCTTCTGGCTTCTTGGCTATACTGTTCATTCATTTTTGTGCCATGCCAGTGCATGCCTCTTCTGCATCACCAGTCCTTGGGAACGGACAACGAATACCCAGACGAATCGGAAGGATGTCATCCTGCATGAAAGGCGGAAAAAAGCAATCAAATGAAACAAAGAAAAAAGGTGAGATTCAGGTACTCTGTGCTCCGTGATCTGTCGAGGCGACAAAGTACGCCCAGCGGACGAGGCAACCAGCCTCGCGGAGTGGATACAAGGGGACCCCGTACTCTACCGGCAGGGAGGCACCTGACAAAGCGCACCCGTCGCTAGGATATGTACCATGTACCATGTATCCCCGGCCAGGAAGGTGCGCAGCGTCCTTTGTAGAGGGGGAAAAAACAGAGTAAGCAAACGATCAGGGATGCGATGGATGGGCTCGGAGCGGCTTCCGAGGTAGCATATGCAAGCCCCCTCTTAGTTGGATCGAGAATCTTCCTGGAGCGGGAGTTATTGGTAGCCTGCCATCTCGGGCCATTTGATGCGGTTTGGAACATCCCCATCCGGAAAGAGACGGTCGATTACAATCCCTGTCCATGGCCACGGTCACAACCCGGAGGGCTGACTGGATGGCTGGTCACACCGGCAGGATGGGACCAGAGGTCTTACCATCATCTTACGGTGGTCTGATCCCATGCCAGGGCCATGCCAGGCAGTCAACCTCGATAGTTGCTCGTTGCTTCTTTTTCAAGTGCGGTGTGGGCGGTGGTGCCTGTGGACACTGGTGGTTGGGACTTGGGAGGCCCTACAATCCGTGTGGCGGTATGGAGTCCCGAGTACGTGCTGACGGCAGTGGGAGGGAGCCGTGAAGTATTAGTATGGGCGGGCTTACTTACATACATACATACATGTTGCGCGTGCTGGTCGGAGGTCCGCAGCGATTCGGAGGGCAGAATCAGAATCTATCTCAATCGGGTCCTTCAAAAAGGGTGCAACAGGAAAAGAGGCAGAAAGCGCGCGCACTGGAGGCAGTGAGGCACCGGCGGAATCCCGTGTCGTGTCGCAGACTCCGACTCCGCACTTTGAGTCGCTTCTGCATGCAAGACGGCTGGTAGCAGTGCGCGGATAGACGATAAATTAAAACGAAATAAACTCGACCAGCTTCCGGGCATGACTTGTCCCTTTCAATATCCCCGTCGTGGGTGTCGTGGGATCGAGCAGGGCGCGTGCGTGGAGACAAGGGCAAGTTCGTCGGCCGTAAATGCAGCTGCAGGCACTAACGCGGGCTGGTTTGGCACCGGCTCCCACTCGCCCGAGTTACTAGCTCTTGATAGCAAGAGTCAATCTCGAAGGTCTTGTCTAGCTGCGCTGCTGCAGCTCCTCCCGCCAGTCAAGCGGGTTTGTCGGCTGTCCTGCCAGGACATGTGGCCGTTCTCCAGCGCATGGAGGATCAAGAGGCGCAGGTAGGGGTCATCGGTTGCATCGAGATCGGGCGTTCGTTCTCTCAGCAGCAGCAGATGGGCTGGCCGTTTGCTGGCCGCGGGCATGTTTCGGCCGCCGTCTGGCTCCCCGGGCCTCTCGATCATCCTCAACCAAACCCGCCAGGGAGCGAAGAATAATACGACTCCCAGCACGTCTTCTGGACCCCCTCTGATTGTTAATCCCGTCCCGACACGACCAGGACTGCGATCTGAGCACCCGGACTGATCCCGTGGGTTGAGACGCTCTCGTCCAATCAGGATGCTTTCGGCATTTGCCTCGTGATATGCTTCAGTCAAGGCTCAATAGTCATACTAGTCAGGATGATGGCGAGGTGCCATTGTCATTATCAATCAGGTTGTTAATTTGCCGCGGTTTCATGGCGGTGACGCCTTATTCTTAGTTTATTTTTATTGTTTGTTTGTTTTTTTTTTCTCTTCTATCTTTTCTATTTTTACGCTTCTGAGGATCATCCCGAAGATAGTACACGATGGAGATGTACGGAGCAAGAAAATGAGTGGATAAACTGACTTCTTCAGCCGTGAGTTGAGCCAGCTGGATCGCGAGACGACGGGTGGAGGTCGGGCAGGATGGGGCCAATCCCTTCCAACGACTCTAGAGGACATGAATCAGGAGCACCAGCAGCCTACCACCACATCAGAAGTGTTGCACTGGATGGGGATGGCCGATGGGTGATGATCGCCCCCATTGGGTCCCCGTCCAACCGGCTCTTCCGCTGCACCTTCAACCTGCTGTAAGTCAAGCGATGCTGAGTTTGTTTTACCCTACCTGCCGCCCACCACACAGATGATCCCATTAATCATTAATTATTATTCTTCGTGGTCTGCTAAATAATATTGTTTGGCTTCCCTGACCTCGGGCCTACTAGTTGGCCTCACTAGTTACTATCGAGACGTTGATGATTCCCTGCACAGGCCAGTTACCAAGGAAAAAAAGGAAAGAAATAATAGCAACCAGAAAAACGCCCTGAACTTACACCCGGCCATTGATATCCAGACGTTGTGAGGATTGACCATCCATGTCTTGCGTCTTCCGGCGCCTTGTAAACCCCGTCGTGGCGGCTACTAGTCTTGATATCAACCCATCATGGCAGTCTTCTTCAACGTCATGATTATTCTTCCGGGGAGCTATTCCCCATGCATTCCAGGATTCCAATTCCACCCACCGGTGGTTCTGGGGTCAAGGAGTTCCACCACCGTAGTTGGTCTGGATGCGATGCGTGGATTTCCCGCATCCTGGCTTGTCGGAGGGGTGGTGGTGGTTGTGATGATGATGATGATGATGATGATGATGATGATGATGATGATGCTGCTGATGGTGGGTGTGAAGTACGGAACAAGTAGTTGTAGTATGTGTGTGAGGGAAATTACCCTGGGAATTATTTTTGTGACTATTGAGGGCCGTCCATCCTGGCGGAACCCAGCACGCATCCATCCGCTAGCGAGTTGCGACAGCAGACCGACTGGTATCGAGCCTAGTGGCCGTAAAGAACGACCCCGTCGGAAACCCCGCGCCCGGCCTTGAAGGTGGACGCAGCAGACTTTCAATCCACTCGCGCGCTCCCCTTTCTCCTCTCTCCACGAACGCAGCCATCCGGCCTCCATTTGCTGCCACTCAATTTCCCTTCTTAAACCCAGGGCCACCTCCGAGATCTGACGGACTTGCTTTGACCTGACTTGACCTGTCCAGTATCTTTGATTAGGTTCCCCATCATCCCTGTTCAGTCTACACCTTACTTTTACCTCCCACCTTATCTATTTCATCCTTCCTCCGTCCGTCCTTCTTCCCGTCAAGTGATTAGCCGGTCGCCCTGACCATCCATAATCCATCGTTCTGCTTTTCCTTCCCCTCCCACACTTCCACCCCCCCCC